CCTAAATCCACAAAAGCGGAATTCTACTCGGCACTATTATTTACAAACATCCAAGTTATTTAATTGTCTCATTTTTGATAGAATTGATGACGCAAGTATAAAAAATCCGGATATCTCATTTATAGATAAACATTAGGTTCCTGTAATGGAAATAAGTTTTATACCAAAGAAGAAAATTATTGGGGGGGCGTGCGGGAACCATTTATGAGCGTATTTATGTAAATGAATAAATTTATGTACATATGTAAATGTGAATCTTAAATATTTACATGTGATCTGACCTGCCACGTCAATTTTGTGACCCTATCATAATTAAACCTTAATTATTATTTCGGGGTCTGATTGACCATTATATAATATTAACCTTTGGTAATTAATCATGTCCATGATTAATATCAGTATTCGAATTAATCTTGGATGTCGCATTGTTTTAAATAATTCTGCAGTAATTAGTTTTTTTGCCCTGATTTTTTTCCAAGATATCCATCCTGGTTTTATAATTTGCATGATAAGAAAAACTATTTTCAAATATATTGTCCCAAGTACATACAAATTTCAAAGTGGAAGAAGTTAACACGTCCTCAATCGAGCAACTCTGTTACATGATAACAATTCATAGTTTTTACTTTTTTTAATTGTGAGCGGATTTCGTACACGATAAAAATTTGGAGGAAACCAGGGATCAATTAAATTACACTGCACTATCGAAAATATTACCAACGAAGCAAAACTACGTCATTGTGGTCAGCTCATCTGCCTACCTGAATCGTCTACGTGTAGATCTCATCTCCTTTTATGAGGCTGGGATATTATTATGTGTACCTTGTTGGTTAGTCTCACAGACACACTGACTCATCCTCATCATACCATCGTCTACTTTTTCCTACACTCTAAATAATGTGGTAAAAATCTGTTACCGATGCGGTACTATTGGTTTCTGGTAGTAAAATGTGGTACCCAGTTTCTTCACAAATTTTTACTTATACCTATAAAGTATATTTTAATGTGGTACCGGCTAGTTTTCGGTAACATGAAGTTAATTAATTATCCACTTAACAATGTTTTACAGATGCAGAATTATATAATTCGATAAGTAGTTCTAATCTACGGAGAAAGTTAAATTTGTTACTATTAGGTAAAAGACTGTCACCAAATTATTTTGAGTGTAAAATAGCACATTGTGGTGTTTAAATGATTCATATCTGCCTTTCATGTCAAGATTACGAAACGATTCTCTCTTAACAAGTCTCGTCTAAAATTCCGTTGGTGAAATACATTATAATATAAATATTTTATGGACTGACTAAACCTCAATAGACAGACAGACAGACGGACAGATATTCGCGTAGCATGCACACTATTTTTATTATTAAATACATAAAACGTAATGTGCTCTCCAGTTCGAGGAACCGGATAGAATTTGAGATCAAATTGCAAAATATTTCATACATATATGTGTTCATTAGGTGTTCTTTACTACACTGTTTTTTAATGAGTACAAAATTAATGAATGAGTTAAGAAAATGAGAAAGAAAATCATAGCTTCTACATACGTATATTTTATAGTTGGGGATATTCACGTCACAAACTTGGAAAATAACCGAGTTGAGCATAAACATGGCCCACAAATTTAATTTTTGACTAATTTGGACGAAATCCATGAAAATTTAAAATTTAAAACATTTCCTATATTTAAAATCACACTTTTTCTAAGAAATACTTAATTCCGTCAGAAATTTAAATCACTAAATAAACTTGCTTAATGAATAATTAGGTAAAATCTATATAATTACTTAATTTTATTACTGACCTTGTACTTTTCCCGATTGAAGCACCACACACCCAAGAAACAATCCAAGCAGGAACATATTTCCACGATACCGCAGAACTTCACCCATCTCAATATTTAATATTTTACAAACTTTTTCGAGTCAATGGAGATTTTGATCCGTTAAAATGTTTAAGTTAAACACCTCAATTTTGTATGATGCTTGACGAATCTGATGTTTATTTGCTAACTGATTGTATCAAAAGTTATTTTTATGTCGTCAAATTGACACGAATTTGTCAATTTACAACTTTAATTTCACATGAAAATGTTGAACCAAATTTACACCTTGTTAACAAGTTGTTAAACCACTAAATTGCCAATTATGTACAATTCTGTCAACGTGATTAAAAAACACCGGCTCAATATCGTAGAATTGTTTTCGTTTGGACCAGCGTGGTTAACACATGCAAAGTTCATTAACAAGTGACGCTCACCTCCTGAAAGGTGTACACAAAACGCCGGTACAATATTTTTTCAATTTTTGCCAAGTTTTATTTGCAATTTTTTGCACGCTGAATCCTAAAATCCAGTCTTAACTCCAAACACTAACTTCAAACTTCTTAACAAGCTTAACTATTTTTTTAGTTTCTAATCAAATCACGTTAATCAAATAAATTTATGCAAATTCTGTCTTCAACTTTTTTCACTTAAATGATTCACTTCTCCAAAAATGCAATTCTAAAAAATCTTGTAGCTCAATTTTTCCTGAAATTTTAATATTTCTCAAAAAACGCGTGGCTTTTGTACCGAGTGGAAATCTTTGCGTAGATTCAGCTCCGTTGTTGTCTTGCTAGTGGACAGATTCAGACTGAAGTGAGATTCCGGCTCAAGTGAACGTGGGCCTGGTTCCCCTCTTGTTTTCATGTCGGAGTCGTTTTAGTGGTGCGAGCACAAAAGTTGATCCGTTTTTATAAAGCACATTCCGATCGTGCAATCCACCCTTTGGATACGTAATACTATAAATATGAAATACTTACGTAGTGCAAAAACCACCACACCGCCCGGTATTAGCAGACTTATGAACTCCTCGGCTTCCTTGTCTCACTTATTTTACGTTACACGCTTAATAATGTGGTAACAACTAGACACTTTTTTGCCAGGGAGTCGTAGACTTTTTAGCGGACTACAAAATGCGGAACTATAGTTAATTTATCGCATAAATGCATATGTGGTGCATAAATTTTATTGGGTCGGTAATAAATTTATACCAAACCAGCATCGGTAAAAGTTATGTTGTAAACTGTGTAAGTTTAGGCCGAGTCCTTCAAGAAACTAAAAAAATACAAATTTTACAAGTTTTAAAAAATACAAAAATACAATAAAAATTTGTATCGAACCAATTCTGAATATGCATGAATTACTCGGATATTTGTAACCGTGTAAATTTTACACCATTATTTTTTAGTTCTGCAACAAATTTGTAATCTCACAAGTCTACACAGCTTTTTAAAATTATTCTACACAAGACAAAAATACGAGATGAAAATTTTGTATGAAATTTTACAGGATGACAATATTTTAAAATTTGCAGCTTTAATTCTTGAATTTTAGAAAATGTATGAAACTTTGCATGATTTTGCCATCCTATCATTTTACAGCATTATTTAGAGTGTTTTCTTTTCAATGTTTTTGGTCGTGCAATTCCCATCATTTCTTTGTAAATTACGAGAAGAAGAATCGCGTAATTGTATGAATGGCACGGTTGGGTGGACTGGTTGTGAGTTAGTTGAGTGTATTAAGTGGTGGCTTGGTAACGTTTAAGTATCATCGTACGATATTCCAGGGCCGTATTAAGCAGCAGGGAAATAACGAACAATGAATTCGTCTACGTGTCATGAAAAAAATACATGAGTTAGAGGTGGTCAGTAACTCGATGGATGTGCGAATTTTTTTTTGCGAATCCTATTCTTCTACGAAAGGTTCACAATTTTGGTGACCATGCGTAGCGTGATGGTGTGTATTTATTAAATGCACCGAAATAATTGATGATAAAGATGGATTTTTTTGTAGGAATAATGTTGTCGGTAATTGATTTAAAATAGAGTTTACTTATTTATTTGTATTTGAAAAAAGTGTTCATGTTTGACCTTTAAAATTAAACGAAGTGGTTGAAATAGTTACAAAATAGTTACAAAATATATCATTTCTTGAGTGACTCACGTCAAGCTTTGTAATTGTGGAAATTTTGTAAAGTTATAAACTTTGGAGGAAAAATAAAGTCCTCTACACCGACTGCAAATTCGTTAATAGTGGTCAAATGGTCAGTAGATAAATAGTTGTATGTTTTATTGTGGGAATCCTAGTATAAATTTTTCTACTTACTTGTGTCCTTGGCCTGCTAGAAAAAAAATACAAAACGCCAGACCACCATGATGCATGATGTAGTTGGTTTGCTGGATTGGATGAACAAATACTCAAAAGTTATGTAGTTATTTTCTGTAAATTAACTTTGATACATGTGAAAATATATAAATTACATTGCAGATCAAAAATATCTGAATTTATTGTACAGCTTACATAATCCAAGAAACTTTATCAATTGGCTTGCAAGTTTATCAACTTTGCAAATTTAATTAAATTGATTAAAAAGGTGTACACATTTCTTTTATCTGTATGATTTCTTTACGGGAATCCATAGTACGTAATGCATAACATTATGAAGTCTATGTTTGTTAACAGCATAATTTGGTAATAAATTGTCAGCATACATGGCATATGTAGCAGGTGAGATAACTATCAATTTGCCGTCCACCTGGCTTTTGTCTTAATTAAACTTTTATGACCTACGAACTGCTATAGTGACCTTTTGACATGCAAGTTCCGTTAGTGAACTATTCATTATCAGATAAAAACAACAGAACTCAAAAAACCTGCGAGTGTTCGGTTTTTTATATTATATTTTTTTAAACTCGGTAAATTTTCGGATGAAACTGTTCGCATGCATTCTCAGCAGACGATGGAGTGATAAGTCGAAAGACTATTGTTTTGGTCTTAAGTTTACATACGTATGTATGCACGTACATATTCATTCAACTCTATAACTAACTAAACCCTTTTTAAAATAATCTTAGTTTTACTTCATATATGAAAATTAAAAGACGTTACATATTTTAATAAAATGGCGTGATTTATATTTTTTATGAAAATTAAAAGACGTTACATATTTTAATAAAATGGCGTGATTTATATTTTTTATCTTATTTATTTAAAATCCCATTAGTAACAATTGAAGTTCACAATATCGTAGTGTAACACAAAATAGAGCGTTTCTGGACTGTGCAAATGGTTTTTGGAAGGCATATTATATGCTGTCTCATGTTTTAACCCCTGAGGTGGCATACATAAGCCATTCATTTAGAGATATAAAAATATAATAAGTAACAAATGAGATAACACACAATCCACACCAAAAACCATATCATGTCTCCAATCAAATCTTAAAATTACTATTATGTAATTATCAAAAATCCCCTAAAATCAGAATTAAAGCCACCCCCAAGCTGACTAGTGCCCAGGACGTTACACTCCTTCCCGATCTGCCGTTTCCCTCCTCACTCCCTGTGATCAAGTTGAAGCTGACCTGACCCCTGTTCGACTCGCCGTGATAGGTCACAAAGTCCTCGAACCCCATCGCCCACACGATTCGCATATATTTGTCCTGAAAAATAATGAACATTTAGCAAAATTTCAAAATTTCATCGAAATTGTATGATTCGAATGGCTTTGAATTATGAAAATTCGAAAATTGGAAATTTCTGGACAGAAACATAATGCAATATTTTTACGGCTAAAACTTTTTTTAGGCTATGAGATTACGAAGTAAAAGAAAACATTAGACAACAATTACAAAGTTGACACACATTTTGATAAGATACAAATTTGCATCTCTTGGTATGCTCATAAATAAATCGCATCTCGCCCCCGCAAATTTACCTCAATCGGGACATCACTTTCCACGTCGGACGTGACTAATGGTCTCGAGAAGACGATCCTTGTCTGCCCCCCGGCCTGCTCGCCGGAAAGGAGGACCCAATCCTGCTGTGTGTCATTTACTGGGGTCTCAGTAGTTTTGGTAAAAGTGTCCACAAACCCAACGCTTCCGTCGTCGAAGACCCACGCGATAAAAATGTCGGTCGAGTTCATTCCTCCAGTTCCGTTGCTGAAACCAAATCCGATGAAACCCTGAGTCTGTCCGATTACTTGAAAAGTGATGTTTTCTCCGGAAATGGAGTACGTTGCTTTGATTAAGTCCGACCCAAAGGGCAGTGTTTTAGGAAGCGGGTCCATCGGCGGCAGGGTGGGTGGGGCTTGAATCAAATTATATGAAGTGAGCCCTTTATTGGTGGGCTCGTGTTGCTCGATAGTGTCAGTCGTTCCAATGGCCCACATGATGGTCATGTCTTTATCCTTAAAATTTTCAAAAAGTGTTTTTCAAAATTGCAAAGTTTTTTTAAAGAAATATTTGTTACCTCAATTTTAATGTCTTGCTCAGCGTCGCCCGTGTCTAATAAGCGTGAAAACACGATGGTTGTTTCACCTCCGGATTCCGTAGCGGAAATGAGATCCCAGTTTTGTTCAGTGTCCAATTCTGGTACGGCATATCCGCTCGACTTGCAATCCTGGAATTAAATCGTGTTTTTATATAGATTTTCGGATGTGATTTTACCCAATTTTTTAATACCAGATAGTACGCGTTATTAGGGCCCACTCCAGCAATAAAAATGTCAGCGTCTGCCATTCCGTTGGCGTTACTGAAGCCAAAGGCCACATAACCGGTCGTCCTTGCGACCGCGGTGAACGTGATGGTGGACTCGACGAGGGAAAATGTCACCCGAATGAGGTTCGTCCCCATCGGAATTTCCCCCGGCGTGGGAGCCTGCGTCGTACCAGGGTCTCCGGTGGTGAGTAGCGTTGTTGGTGGTGGCGTGAGTGGTGGACCTTGACCTGCGATGAGGTTGTAACTCGCCTGACCTCGACGAGTAGGATTACTAGTGTGGTACAAGAGTTCATCTGTGGAGCCGAGGGCCCAGATTATTCCCATATTTTTATCCTGCGGGATTAAATAGTGTAAATATTCAGACTCTAAAATGTCTGACCTTTTCTTGATTTAATAAAAACACTGCAAATTATGATTCTTCATATATAACCGTACCTCGATGACAATGTCGTCCCCGCTACGATCTCCAGTGTCCAAAAGCCTCGAGAAGACTAACGTCGTAGCATTCTCAGTTTCATGTCCATGCAAAAGTACCCAATCTTGTTGCTGGTCTTGGGAGGGGATAACGTATTCCAGAGATTTGTAGTCCTACGGAGAAATGGAGTTTCAATATTTTCGTAATAATTTGAGGAATTTTTAATACTTGACGGTATATACCCCGAAGTAAACGTCGCCCGTGTCTAGCACACCTCCGACGAAAATATCCCCTTGAATCATACCGGTCGCATTTGTAAATCCGAACCCAATGTAGCCCTTAGTTTGAGACACTGCCGTAAACATGACGGTTTGCTCGAGTATGGCGTAAGTGACTTTGAGGAGGTCACTCCCCAGGGGAATTTCCCCATTCCCCGGAGGACTCTCCGTCGTGGGTGAGGTGGGTGGCGTCCCAGTGGAGCTGGGTGGGAGAGTTGTCGTCGTGGGTGTCGTGGTCGTCGTGGTGGGTGGGGGTTGACCCGAGATTAAATTGTAACTCGCAGGGCCACGATTTGCGTGGTGAACGAGATCATCTGTGGCTCCGAGGGCCCAAATCAGGTTCATAGTTTTGTCCTGTGTAGGTTAAACTATTTATGACGCATGAAACATACGTAATTGAGTAGATAGATAACTCACTTCGATAACAATATCGTCATTGAAATCCCCAGTGTTCAACAACCTTGAAAATACAAGTGTCGTCACATCGCCGACTTCGCTTCCATACATGAGAACCCAATCTTGTTGCGCGTCACGGGCTGGAGTGACGTGTGAAAGAGAGTTGTAGTCCTGAAATTTTGTAAATTTAAAAATTTTTTTTAAAATTCTGAGTACAATCCGATTTTTTTCAAATTCAGAGTTTACCCCATAATAGACTTCCCCAGTTTCGGTTACACCCCCAATAAAAATGTCCCCTTGAACCATTCCGGTCGTATTGGAGAAACCGAACCCAATGTACCCCGTCCTTTTTGCAGTTGCTGTGAACATGACGGTGTCGCCAAGGATGATGTACGTGACTTTTAGGAGATCTGTTCCCAACGGGATTTCTCCATTGCCAGGGGGAGGTTCCGTAGTCGTGGTGGGTTGCTGAGTGGTGGTGACGGTGGCGGTGGATGGTGGTGTCGTGGGTGGAGGGGTTGGTGACGTTTCTGGCGTCGTGGGTGGTTCGCTGGTTGCAGATGAACTTGCATCAGATGGTTGCGTCGTTTCCTCTACCGGAATAAAATTAAAAACAGCTTGTCCTCTGTCTCGATGATAAGCCAGGTTATCTGCACGACCCAACGCCCATATTATGTTCATGTCTTTGTCCTCCTCGATAGGGACGTCGTTCATGAAATCGGGTGTGACTAAAAGTCGAGAAAACGACAGCGTTGTTACGTCATCGACTTGATTACCAGAAATGATTGTCCAGTCTTCTTCCTCATCACGGTTTGGCATAGTTTTAGAACGCGAAATATAATCCTGGCCAAATTAATTTTCGAATTTTCGAATTTAATTTATTTATTAAGTTATACAAAATTATTACCCCAAAATAGATTTCTTGATTGGTATCGTTCACGCCACCGATGAACATATCCGCATCTGTCATTCCGGTCTGATTTGAAAACCCAAAACCGATAAATCCCGGTGTATTTGCAGTAACGACGAATGTAATTCTATTTTCGGAAATTATATACGTTGCGGTCAAAAGGTCAGATCCGAGAGGAATTTCGATGAAGTTTGGAGCTTCCGTGGTCGTTGGTTGGGCCGTCGTTGTCGGACGCGTCGTGGTGGTCGGAGGTGTCGGAGGTGGTTCCGGTGTCACTCCCTCATTCGTGCCCTCGATTAAATTAAATTTTATATTTGACCGAGAAAAACCGTGATATCCTAAAGTATCTCTTTCTCCCAGCGCCCAAATGATATTCATCAAACTATTTGTAATATTGACATCATTCGCATCAAAAGTTGTGAGTGGTCTACTAAATTTCAAATAAGTCGTAAATTCTGTTTCAGCCGCTTCCAACAGTTCCCAGTCCTGTTCAGCGTCCAATCGTGGAGTCCCAGTGGTGACGGAGCTGTAATCCTGAATTTGGATTTGATTAAAATTTCACAAATTCCTATTTTATTTTTAAACTACATATTTTAGTACTCACCCCGAAATATGAAGTTCCATCTTCGTTCACGCCACCAATGAAAATGTCAGCTTGAACCATTCCCGAAATGTTTGAAAATCCGAAACCGATAAACCCTTTAGTTTCTGCCGTTACTTCAAAGGTCACAATTGAGTTTTCTTCATCTAAAGTGTACGAAAGTAAATATGCGTCAGTGGCTGTGGGAATTTCGATAACTTCCTGAGCATGGTAAGAATTTATTAGGAAAACAGATGTGAAGAAAAATATGTAAAATTTATTAATCTCCATTTTTTTGGAATTGGAAATATTTAAACGCCCAAGTCCAAATCTCTCCCGGAGAGTACAATACTTGTATGAATGAAGCAAGATAACTATATGACTGATTTTTTAGGTCGACAGTACAAAGTCATTATTGAGTAAGTAAAGCATGTAGCATGTGCTTATCGGTGATCATGATCAGTGACGTCATTCAATTATTTTAGTCACTGGAATGAAGCCCACAATAAAGTTAGGTTCGGTTCAATTGTTATAAAAAGATTGATAATTTCCTCGCAATTTAATCCAACTAACTACACATGAACACTTAATTATTATACAATCGTCAGAAAAGTTATTAACATTGAGAACAACAGAACTTTATTTATTTTAGATCTTTTTCCACGCCATTTACACATTATTCCTAAAATTTGTGATAGCTTATAAGCTATATTATAGATAATCGGCTTGTTTAATTAAAAGCAGATTGCAGATAGTTTGATCATGATTTGTAATTTATTAATTATAAAAAACATAAAAAACTATAGGTGTTTTTTGCTCATCCTCAGTGCTCGCAGTGCTCATCCTCAGATAACGGTATCAAAAAAATTATATTTTAACCGGTGAGGTTAGAGGAACCCTGGATAATACTTAATCACATTGTCATAATTGTCATTTCTTGTCACTGTCTACCTCATTGGGTGATATCCATCATAGATAAGCACTGATAAAGTCAAACACGCATACAAAAATGTCTTCATCGATGTATAGGATCAGGATAGAAATTCATTTCGGGTGAACGAGTGCATGCGTTCGGAGTGTTTATTTGTGATCAGTCAATTCTGTATCAAAACTTGTAGAACACATTCTTTAATTAATCACGTGAATTAACCGTGCCCTTTTTATTCGAGTATGATTGATCAAGCATTCATTAATTGTATATTTATAATCCTGAAAAAGAAAGTTCTTAGCTGGAAAATTGGTCAACATTTCATTTACTTTTCATGTAGAATACATAAACATATGCAATTTGCATATTTTGCATACAACATTGCGTATTGTACTTACCATTTTCCTATCAACTTAACACATACTGAAAAGTACATAGTTTACAAAAGAATGTTGGTATCTTTGTTTATGTAAAAGTTGTGCAGTTTTAATTTAGTTTTTGAAAATGTGAAGTAATAAATGCAATGTTTCATTGATCTGCCAACTCTGAAATAATTTGAATTACATTGATTTTGAGTTTTTTTTAATTTTAGCAATTTATTCACTGATTGATATTTCACATATATGAAGATTTTAGTTTCGTTTTGACTAATGATGGATTGTTATTTATAAATGCATAATAATTTACACTTTTTATTTAGCTATAGGTGATAGGGCAAATAGCTATTTAAATATCTGTAACAGGATGCAGGAACTTTTAGCAGCAGGATTTTAGTAAGTAGTCTTACTTATTTACTAGATTTACTTAATCATAATTCGTATAAATTTAAACCGATTACTAAATACATAAACATTTCAACGAAGCATTAAAATAGTTCATCCATATCTTTCTAAATGTGGAAATATTGTAAAGCTGCAAGTGGACCCTATGTATGTTAAGATGACGATAGGTGACTCATCGTCTCAAAAAATCTCACGGCACAAGACATGGAGTAAATTAGCCGATTGAGCCGAATTATTTTATTATTTGTTACCATTTATTCTTATTTTGGCGTTTACATTAGTCAATGTCGTATGATTTTTACGCCAAAATATAAATAAGTGGTACCAAATAATAAAATAATTCGGCTCATTCGGCTAATGTACTCCATGTAACGTGAAACGGAGTTTAGGTTACTTTCCACACCATGATTTCAAAATTGTTTTCTAGAGGAATGGAATGGAAAATAGAAAATCTATCTGATCCAATTGTAGTCAGTAAGCTGATTAATAGGATGGCGATGATTTTTTAAAAAAAAACATAAGCCAATTTTTTGGACACGCAATTTTTCTGAAGACCTTTTAACTAGAGGTCTTATCTTGGGTCTCCTCCTTCAAAACTTGATAAACTCTGGAGTGCATATTTTTAATAAATTGGTACTGACCTGGTCTACAAATGGATCTGATAGAATTTAAAAATAAATTCCCAGAACGGAGAAATGCGTAAAAGTGTTCAGATTTTTAGACCTGTGACGATGAGTCACCTAATCCTACGTGAAACCATTTCTGGCAGCAAACCGTCATTTATATAAATCTTAATTTCGCATCGGTTTGTAAAGTTATCTTTCAAAACTTTTACACAGTTTACAAGGTTTTGGTAACTCAAGGAACTTCGTACGGGTCTACATAGCCCAGTAAAATGTGGATGTTTAATAAAATTAAGCCACATTTTTACATGTATTAGGCAACTTTCAAAAAATACGTAGCGGAAGGATCGCTTTTACTAAACATGTTAACTTGCGCCATATTTTAAAAAAGGGAATATAACCCGTTACGAGGGGATAGGGAGGGGTAGAAACATCGCCAATCTTGCGTTGCATATTTTATGAGCGTTCCCTTAGTACACTGACGCTTGACCGACACCATTAATGCAAATCTAATCTGATTAACATTAAAAAGAGACGTTCTTGATTTATACAAGCTTACGTAACTTGATTTTTCAAATCTTTGCAAACTTGTGGACGCAAAACTCGCCGAATTCTCTGGTTAAATGTCGGACTGAATACCTTTACAGAGAATTTGGTTATTACTGAATCACACTTAATCACAGACCTATGCCATAATTTTTCTAAACCATAGGGATGGTCATATATATGTGCGTATATGATTTTTTATCAATAGACTAAAGAAATAAAATGGGTGGGATTGGTGCATGAAAAATTACAAGGTATGTTGTATACAATTAAATTAACTACAAAATAATTGTATATTTCAGTACTTCTAAATTAGAAGTTCTAATTAATTAAAGTTTCAAAATAAATGCATTAATTGTCATTTTGTCCACATTAATTAAAAAAATAAACATAAAATGCACGTTCCTCACGAAATTTTAACTTCCATTTCGTTACAAAATCTACCACAAGCAACAAAAAAAAATTAAGTGAACTTATCCGCCTAGCAAAATATCAGGAATTTGTACAAAACAGTGCAGTTTTTCTAGTAAGAAAAAAGTAAAACTCCATAATTACAATACAATGTCAAAAATCCTGGATCAAAATATCAACTGTACTCAAATTCAGGATAAACAAGAACTAATAAATGTTATCAAGGCTTGGCTCGGAAATAACCATCAAAAATCGATGAGATCCCTACTTGTTGCTCCATTGCAGCTCGGGGCTTCGTTGTTATTATTATGATTCTGAGCACTTTTCGTCCTCTTGACAGTGGGGGAATTGGTTCTAGGAGGAACCTTGGGCGACGGTGAACCTTCGAGTCGTACAGACGCGAGTGGAGTGGGGACAGCGCCTGAGGGAAGGAAAGGATTGCGACGCTGTCCACCCGGCGACGGCGATGTCCTCCGAGTTCCGAGATCGAGGAGACTTACATCGTTTAGAAAATTTCGTTGATGTGGATTGGATTTATCTTGTACGATAGAGTCACGCTGTAAATCAGTATTTTTAAAATGAAGTCAAAATGTACAAACAAACTACTTAGTTTAAAAATTCAGTTTTTGTCATATGCAAAATCTATAACGAAACAAACTCTTTGAAATTTTTACGTAGCTATTCATTATTATTAAATTCGAGACAAAAATACAGAAAATCTTCAAAAATATAAGCGAAATTACACTCACCGCTTCCTTTAAAGCCTTAATATTCGACTGCATAGCTGCCAATCGGTTCTTCCAATGTTGATAACTATGTGTAAAAAAATATGTAAAATCGGGGTCTAATATTGCTATATCTAATTTGAAAAATGAAGCATTAATTTTGTAAAAAAATTGGAACAAAATTCGTCTTGTTCCGCAAAATTTGTAATACGAAAATTGAAATACTTTGAACGAAGAACGTATTTAGTTATCGTTAATTCGAACCTCGTACTTTTCGAAATTTGTCAACAGTAATGCTCAATTCTCAAAAATCTGCCGAAATCCCTTTGAAAAATTCTTACCTCGCCTGCCGTAACGTGTTTACCCATCGATTAACGTCCTCCTCCGACCTTGTCGTAAAGATGTGACGCTTATCGGGCTCGTCTAAAAATAAAATTCCGAACGCAAAGGATAAATCCGACTCAGTTTCTATCCGAATTGAATAATTTTCCAAGATAATAACACCAACCGGCTGTAATAAATTGATAAATTAGCTAATTACTACTATATTAAATTTGGCCTTATCTTGTTTAATATTACCTCCTTCTCCTCAATTTGACCAAACTCATTAAATCTAAAGTAAAATAGGAGATTATTGATCAATTTGAAATATCTTTCTCTGAAAGCTGGAAAGAAAACAAAGATAGATGTTAAACTTCATCATCATTTAAATGGCTATCAATTCATCAGCAAAATTGTCGTTATCGTAATTTCTAACCCGCATCCCTAAAAGTTCCAGGCGGCGACCTGTATTGCAACCTGCCCTCGATCTGCGCCTTCCTCTGCGACACGACGGCCATGTCCTTATCGTTGAACCGCATTCTTTATGGTAGTATAAGTAAGGCCTTATCAGGTAATAGTCTGGTTAAAAATTAGTTTATAGAACAATAAGGCACCCCATCACCCTTTTGTGTCTACACAGATAATCATTGTCCAACTCTATCCTTGGATAAGTCAGGCCATGGAATTAGATATATAATTGCGAGTCAGTCTTATGAAACATTAATTAATTAGTTAATTGAACATTTAAATCTTCGGAGTGAAAAATTACAAGTTTCTGAATCACAACTAGAAAGAATTAAAGTGTGTTATTTAATGACTAATTACATTTATCTATTCTCTAGTAGTAAATATGAGTAATCTGTATATATTTCTCCTAACATTAATGAACTAACTATTTGCAAAGCAAGATTTAATGCAATTAAATTTGAATCAACATAAAGTTAAATTGCACTTCATCCAGGATTTCTGTGAAGATTGAATTTCTTGAGGCGGGCGGGCGACATGTGTGCGGGCAAAACCGTCGTATATAAAATAGTGGGCCTCCTCAGACACACGAAAATATCGTCGCTTAAAATTTCGCTTCGTTTTTCGCTTACTTCCTGATAAGCGAGCTCTGGGGTAAGCGAACAGAAACTCAACTTATAAGTGGGGTTAAGGTCGGTTAGCTGAAGTCGCAACAAAATTTTGCAATTTTCATAATTTTGGCCATGCTATCGATAAGCGAAAAACAAAGCGAAATTCGAAGCGACGATTTTTTCGTGTGTCTGAGGAGGCCCATTATTTTTAGTCATTGATTTCAAAGTGGAGAGTTTTGACGAGAGAGAAAGTGGTAGGAGGGGAGGAGGAGTAAAATGTCGTTGGAGTGACGTTTTCACGTTAAAACTGTGAGTTTGATTGAAGTTCATGTAAGTTCAAAGTTAATTTTTGCACAATTCGTAAAAATTATTAATTTATAAACTGTGATTGTGACTAATTTTTTAAAAATTTTAATAATAATTGCAGAAGGAAGTAGCCCCTTTTGAAGTTGAACGAATTCAGTTATCGCTGATAACTTATCAGCAGTCCATAGTCCGTCACCTTACGCTGGGTAAGCCAAGAACTTGTACAAGAACCTACAACTGTATAAGCTAACGAATAACTTTTTCCTTGTTCTCATTACACGTTATACTTTTTGGTTGACTTTTGTACATTCCGAATTTTAAATACTTATGTGTATTATCGCTATTTGCTGATTTGCGATTAACTAATTACAATCTTTGTAATTACTTAATTTATAGGAGGAAAAATATAACCTTGTGTTTAATTGCGAAAGATAAGTTGTTAATCATCTTATCCGACAAGATGAATCATAATGCCACGACCACTCCACGAAAAAAACGAAAGCGCACCACACCCACCAACGTGACCCCTCAACCAAAGAAATCGACTCCGACCGGAGACCCCTCCCTGGTCGAAATCGTCAACTTGGGCGATAGCGAAGATGATGAGAAACAACCGGCCGTTAAGAGAGTTGCGGCGCCACCAAAACCAAAACAATGTGGGAGACCTTCGCTCCCATCGACATCGTTATCGGCTGCATTACAAGCGTCGGCATCGCATTCACTCGTGCCATTGACATCATCAAGTCTACCACCACCACAACCGTCGACATCGTCGTCCGCCATTATCCAACCTCCTGTCACCAACGCCGTGAATGAGCACAAATTTCTTGTCCCAACCCTCATGCCTGTCGTAGCGAAATGCGCCCGTAAGAGGTCTGCGCTATCTCGCGCGGGCCGTATCAAAGTCGTCACCAAAACGCCCGAGCAAGTCAAACAGACCGCAAACTGTCGGAAAATGCGAATCGCTGTGATCGGTGTTATCAAAGATGTTCATATCGAAATCGAACGGCGTGGAGGGCCAAAAATTGATGCAAGTTAAATTAAACAAATTTTATATAAATTATGGAAATAATTGATGTTTTCTTTATTAGAGCGTTCACGCCTTGCTGTCAAATTTATGGGCGTGTTGGCGAAAATACCCCTTGATGTTCGTGTCGAGTTATAAAATTCCGAAAATGGGCAACAACGATGAAGACCTCAGCGCGGAGAGTGAGATTAAAGGTGGGGGTCAAAACTTTATATATTTCTGTTACTTTGCTTCATTTTATTTCGAAATAGTTTTCTTACGTCGTAATCTATTTTATCAACTGAGAAACTTCCCAATTCTTAATACTTTGTCGACGCAAATCACAAGGTTTTCACAAATTGTTGATTAAGAAAGACAATCAATCTACTGTAAACTTACATCGATCACAAATTACAGATCCCTTGATTTAACAAAAATTTTCACATTTTCTCGAAATTAAACTTATGCACTTTACAGACATTTGAGTAAATTTCGCAATTAATTATATGTAAGTAACATTGATATATAGATTTCCTTCCTTGGTGGCTCCACGGACTCGCATGTCTTGTCCTTTATCCCGAATTAGCCGCAGTCTCAGCCGACGTCGTCGCCCTTTTGCAAGCTCTGGGACAATTGTTGACCTACGGGAATCCCAACTTAGTCGAGACATGTTTTACCGAATTGATCACCATCATTCACTCTCTCATCGAGGCATTACTGTCACAAGCTCGGGACGATAATTTAAAGGCAATGTCTGGGATCACTTTGAAGTACGAGTGTGACGAAAATCCAAAGGATGAAGCCACCGGCATGACCGCAAATAATGAAATTCCGGCCGTTGCACCAGAAACGAGGGTGATCAAGGAAATCGTCCTTAAGTACACAATCAGAATGGATAACAACAACGACAATTCCGACGCCATCGAACATCTACTAGATGTAATAATAAATCGACAAGTTATAAATTATTGTCAGCGTCGTCAATTTCTTGACGTCGTTGTCGACAAAGATACAACGTGATTGTCACGGCGTCTTCTTCATACCGCAGTAAAAAACTTATTATTTTTTTAATGCTTATTTTTATATTTCTAGATCTTAGGCATATTTCTTCCCCGTCTTTTCTACTTAAATGCAACCCCTCCACACAAACTGGTATCGATGTGGGGAAAGTTATGGGGGTGGTTAAGTCACCGGAGGAAGTTGAAGATGTTGCAAAATTTTTTGATTCCAGAACTCACTTGCCTTCCACGAATGTCTACCGCGGTAAATACTTAATGTGGTTAATTTTTTGCACGAGTAATTAAGTTACATTGCAAGATCTTAAAATTTCATTCCAATTCCTGATAATTTAGTTTAAAAATTTTCACGCAAATAAAGATTTGACACATAATAATTTCCTCTTTTCTTAATTTATAGACCGAGCTATCTTTGTCGCATCTCCTCACCAACGTCATCACGGACGGAATTGGACTCCAAGATCACCACACTTTCGACCACTTTGTCTCCTTCTGCGAAACCGTGTCTCGATGGAGCGCATATTGGAACTTGTTCCCCCAGTCGGTCCTCTTACGAGTTCACTCTGTCGTGACGGATATAATATCCAGCGATCGATTCGACGCCTTGCCATCTGGTCTGCAAAAATAGTTACTTAACCATTTAATTAATTAACTAATAAATAACTATACGTTCTGTAGATAACAGTCGTTCATGTCTGATTAAATTATACGATGGTCTTACGTCGGAACACTTGAGATATGACACGGGGACAATGCTGAGCGTCCGAGATGCCCAAGAGTTCCAAACGGTGGCCAAGACTTTGACATCAATTAAGGTGACAACAATTTCGGAGACAAAAACATTTAATGACGTCTCATTTTCGTAAATTTTCCCGAAATAATCTAGTTTCTGTTATCCCATGATCTTAATATAATATCAGCTTGCGCAAATGTTATAATTCAGAATTGAAAACTAATGTAGTTTATATTTTTTCATTAATTTTCAGACTCTCCACCCCATCCTGATCAATTCTGTGTTTCAAGAAGTCAAAGACAAATTTGACCACCTCACCGGTCGTGACGATGAAGACAATAAGTGGGAATTACAAATAAGAGATCCAGACGTTAATTTTTTCACAAATATTCCCCTTGGACCGGAGTCCTCTCCAATTTGGACCTCAATGTCTGCCAACTTTACCGATCTCGTGTCCGTAAATCCTGAGAAGATGAGTAACTACGCGCACCATGTGCGCCCTGCCATGCGCCAAACTTGCCTCCTTATCCAACTCGCGGCTGACGTCCACAGCAAACTCATAACATATGTGAAGGAGTGCAACGTCGAAATGAAGACTGCGTTTCGTCCAATGTTCACCTTCCTCACTACGGAGATGATGGCCAAGTGGGGACAATTTGGGAGTAGTTGTATCGTCCAGTTGCTTAGTGGCAACGTGCCACGGATAATGGAAGCGGAAGAATGTCTCAACATGATATTAGACACAATCAAAAAATTCGACGAAGCAGAATTTCTAGAAGTCCGGCTCTCCCTTGAGGTAAAATGCCTCCTCGCCACCATTACCGGCACCCCCTGGCTGGACAAGTTCAAAGGCAGGCTACCCAAACGATTTGTTCCTGCTCTCTTTCTGAACGGGATTAGTTCATCGACAGATGCGATAGGTCGTTTCCAACCCACCACCGTAGGAAAATGCCTCTCTGTCCTCTGCTCGCGAGTATTCCTACCCTTCAGAGATTTCGTCCTGGACACCCTCATCGATGAAATGGAGGCCGTCAGCAGCGTCACCGTCACGAATGAGATCCTCACACTGATCTCCAAAGAAAACTGGGCTATCCGATACCTCGATTGGAATTTCACTGTTACCTTTATCCACCTCGCCGAATCCAAATTCGATTGGAAGCAACTTCCCAATTTTCGAAACATTCTCGCGTCCGCCATCCTGAAGCTGTCATGCACTCTCTCCAACCAAACGATGCGGTCCGATAACACAGCAAATCTCAACAACCTTACTCCGGAACGAATGCGGAAGCGAACAATGTCCCTGCTCCTCTCCCCTTGTCCGTGGTGTTCTGCCCCTTTCAGAGAATACAAGGGTAACAAGATCGTTAAGACGGGTAGGAGGGTGTTGGAAGCAGGCAAGATGGTCGATGACGACTGGACCATTAATCTCATCCCTATGCCGGATGATGATTTAGTGACCGTGATCAAGTTGGCGTTACCTTTATTGAAGTCGAGCTTTGAAGTGACAAAACTGACCCTTTGCTCGTTAATCACGATCGCTCGCCACCACACTACAGGCTACTTGTCCTCCCTGATTGCCGAATTTACCTCGATCGCAGCCAACAGCAATGTCAACATTGGATCCGAAATCATGACCAACTTCGGATTCTACTTTGCTCAGAACGGGGCACAGGACAGTTTTTCGTCGCAACATAATTATGCCGAGACGGAGAGGACTCTCGGCTACGGTCTGATGATCCACATGCTCATGTACCACCTTCAACTTAGTTTCGAAAAAAGGTGCTCTGTCAGTTTTGCGGGAAAAATTTTGACGATTTTACAAAAGGTTGCCGCGTTCGTCGACCGTCCTATGATTTTAGAAACGTTGCGCTTCTGTCTCCGCTTGACGATGCATCGTGACAGCAACGTCCGCAACCTTCTCGCTCAAGCTGTGTGCACCGAATTAGCGAACCGATGCGTTCCACCCTGCACGGCGTGGGAACTCATGACCTCCCTCCGATATGAATTGGCCCCTGTAATTAACAAATTGCAATTATTTATTTATATGCTCTAAATATATGTAGAAATCTGTCCTCGGATCGTACCTACATAAGGCTCTAGAGATTCGACAACAGTTTAAAACTCACTCGTATGGTCGTAATTTGCAAAGCATAGAAATACTTTTTTACTCAAAATTTCGAGAAATTTCACTTTCCGTAACGGGTAATTGAAGGTCAAATAGTCAAATTAAAACAAAATCGGCTGATAAAAATCTCTAACTTGGTAGAGACACATTGGTAATTTACCAATGGTAAATAAGGATTGCTACAGAATTATTTTTATAGTATAATTGACAAACTCCAATGGACTAATTAATTTCACAAATTAATTTTCTCTTTCGCTTTCAGAACATCGTTGAAATCATTGTAGAAGAATTTTGCAACTTTCACGAACAGTCTGAAGACCTTCAATTGGAGAGGGCCAAAGCATTTCTGAACTCAGTCTCAATTATGGGCGACTTTCGGACACATGCCGTCTTTATCCACTACTACGTCCCCGTCCTACTTGGAGAAATTGTCCCATATCTTCCGGACGATAAGAAATATGCTTTTGTCCTTAGCACAATTTCTAAATTCGCCTCGACAAATGAGTCAATGTTGCTCGGCGATGGCTTCCCGATCTACCTTCGCCCTCTCGCTCTCAGTTCCCCATATGAGAAGACCATCAAATTTTGTACATATTTGAAACAAGTTCACAAGCTCGACCCTGATTTCTTGGCGGCAAATTCTGCACAGGTTAGGCCGAAGGTTGAAATTCTCCACACTTTGACAGTTGCTAATATTTGTTCCAACTATTTTATTTACAGAGCGCTGTCAACGAGCTTCTCTGTTTCCTGACTGATATGAAAGATCGCGTTCAGAAGTTTGTTCCGTGCCTCCCGCAAAAGAAAACAGACAAGTTCATCATCAAGTCTGCTTCTTTAGCAAGATCAGAAATGGTAAGTTGAACTTAATTAACTAACATTTGATTAATCATTCAACACGGCAAACATTGAACTATTATTTCCAGCAAAACGTTATGGCTCACTACTTGATGGGGTTTTTCGTCTTTGTCGATACCAAATTGCACTCTCGGAAGGAATCTGTTACACGAAAGAGACGGATCCTCGCCTCTTTTACCAGTCTGATTGATGTCATAGGGCGCACTCGCATCACGGACAGTAGGACCAAGGTGTGCTTCTAATCACACTTACTAGTAGCTACTTGTTAAAGATTGTTAATGATACCGACCCTGGGAGTTAACCGGTTTGGGATTTTTTATCTAAATTTCAAATTGGGTGTAAAGTTCAATAACGAGTGGTATTGTTTTTGCAAATTTAGTTAAGCTTTATATCCACGGATCATGTTTTCCCAGTTCTAAATTTGTGTATGCATACTTAATTTTAAATTCATGCTATTTTGCACCGGACCTAACTAGTCAAATAGGGTAACATTTATAACCAGATGTTTCATTCTGGGGTCGGTTTATTTTTTTTTACGAAATTACGTCACAAATAATTCGTTTCCTAATGTACGTTCTAGGTTTACGCCACACTTAATTCGCTCTTTTCGCTCGGACGGGATTATGCCGATTTGCTACTCAAGTCCTGGAAGATGTTTGCCAACAAGTATGGTGGTGTTTATCTTGTCGCATTTTGAGGGAAAATTTGACGTTAACGACTTTGGTGATATCCTTTTGTGCCAAACTTTTGTTAAATTTGCCATATTTTTATATACTTTATAATTGCAAATGTTTTCTTATGATTTGGTTTACAAATTCATTTTCTTGCATGGTGTAATTATTTGTATAAATTGTTTGAAAAATTTGTAATCCCAAATATTCGTGTACAGCTTGGAGGACGTCGCCTTTGGTCAGATGAGCACCTCAATCTTATCCGCTGTGTCTACACTGAGCCCCTACCTGCCAGAAGAGGTGGATAATCTGATGACCTTCTTCATCTCCACGAAACATGTCGTGACTAGCCCATACTTTCAAGAACTCTACTTTGTGACAGACTTTTGCAACGATTCCGGCGTCCTCCACTCTGTGAGACAGGTCACCACACCTACAAAGTGAGTAGAATAATACGAAATTCATGAAAGCTTTGATTGAATGTTTGCAAGTATTAAAAATGTAGAAATCTCAGTACAATTTCGCAAAATTACGTCCAAAAACGATAGAATGATAAATATCATTGTAACATTACTTGTACAATATTGTCAACTTTAACCAGCAAGTAAATCTCTATTTTGTACAAATTGGCAAACTAATTTTACAAAACTTAAAAGGATTAGAGCTATAAATATCCAAGTGAATGCTCTCACTGTAACCTTGAGGTACACAACTTTGGGAAAAGTTGAACAATGGATGGAAACATGAAAATGTACAATGGAAACACCGCCATATAATTATTATATGGCGGTGTTTGTAAAATACTTGCAAAATTTACATAGTTTAGGAGGTTACAAGATGCCCTCCATAAGAAGGGAAATGATTTTCTTGCCTAATTTGATGATTCGGTAACAATTTGTAACTAATTTGTAGGGGAGATTCGTGGGTGAGATTTTTCCAAGTACTCGTGCAAGAATCGGCCCACGAAAATTCACACATTCGCCTCCGTGCGGTCGAAAAATTGAGAAGAATTTTCTCTGACGAGTACATCCAAGTCAAAAATTTCCTATTGGACACTGAACATCCCGTCGTATCCAAAGTGGGTGAAAGTGGTTGCCTTTTGATATTTAATCTTACAATGGAGGCGCAAACCATGTTCAGCCCAGATTCTTTTTTGACCATTTTAGTTTGAAAGAGTAAGGCTTTAGAATCAACATTTGGTGCGGCACTTGCGCAGATGCGCAAAATTCAGCACGTTATGAGCGCCGCAAGTTCGCAAAAACGCACGAAGTTGAGCTCGCGCTGGGCATTGCCCGAAAAATCGTGCGTTTTTGCGAACTTGCGGCGCCCATAACGTGCTGAAATTTGCGCATCTGCCCAAGTGCCGAACCAAATGTTGTTTGTAAAGACTTGCTCTTTCAAACTAAAATGGTCAAAAAAGAATCTGGGCTGAACATGGTTTGCGCCTCCATTGTTAGTAATTTAAATTTAACTATTTGTTTCAAATACTTTTTGCATTGTCCTCTAGCTCTTGGCGTCTTTGCTTACAACTTCTCGAGACACTGACGCCTCCACCCTGATGCGACTCGCGGAATCGTTAGGTTCCCTCGGTGCCGTTGATCCATACCGTTTCAAGTATTCACATGATGAAAAACTGTGGCGGAAATCGACCCATGTCATGACCGTTGAGGGGAGTGCGTTCTGCGCCAAGTATTTGGACATCCTGATCCGCGAGTTCCAAGAGGCTGACGATACGACCGATTTTGATTTCTGTGCTTGTCTCATCCAACAACTTCTCCAACACTTCAAGGTGAGTTAAGATAAGGGCGAAAATATGCATGCAACTGACTGTCAGGGTCGCCATTGTCGAAATTTGGCAATATATTTTACGCTCTAAATTTTAGAACAATTGATTCATTAAACATACTTTACCAATTTGCGTAGTGCAGTAGTACAAATATTATCAATAAACGAACGGTTGAAAAGTATGTAAAAAATAAGGGTGTCGAGGCACAACAGTGCGTATGTAGTGCTCTGACCTTGCACGGACGGGAGGAACTTCTCATGCTCAGTTTATAATTTGTATTTTATTTCTCCGCAGGTGACTAAAGCGGATAACGACCGGATTTGGAAAACATTATCAGGCCAATCGCGTCAATTAGTGGAACCTTTGCTGGTCTCGAAGTACAAGGTTAGCTTAAAGTTAATATTAAGTTCGTAGGATTTGTTTAAATTTTATATTTTGTAGATTTCAAATTTTGGGAAAAGTTCTTTCTTATGTTAAAAATATTTATTTAATTATGCTTTTATGATTAACTTAAATTACCTACTTTAGGTTGACAAAGTGCTGCTTCAGCCGATTCTGGGATGTCCCATCTATCTGTCTGAGTGGGGACAAACCTTCGACGCTTGGCTGACTAACTGGCTCTACGCCATGTCCGCTGCCCTTAAGTCGGGAACCCCAGCGTGGGAATTGTTTCAATTTTCGAAACATTATGTCTCCCGGAACAATAAAGTGGCCTCATTCCTCCTTCCGTTTGTTGCAAGTGGGTATAATTTTATTAATTTGTATAATTTTATATTTCAATTAAATTTGACCATTTTACAAAAAAGGGACTTAGTATTTCCATTTTAATCAAGGTTTAGATATTTTCTCAATTAAATTCTGTATTACCAAATTTGTATTTTATATTTCCAGCCTACGCCGCAATTCATGGCAGTCGTAAACAACGCTCTGACCTGGTCACCGAGATGGAAACCATTCTCCAAAAGTGGATCGAGAAGGATAAATTGAAAATAAATTCGCAAAACCCGCATCCCATTAAAGATTCACAAGCAGAGCAAGATACGCCAGCTGCGGAGTCGGTAGTCACCGTGGACGAGGATGTCATCCAGTATCGCTGCACGCGCCAAGTCTTCTCTGTCTTGGACCATTTGTTCCTCGCTGTCCGCCATTCGAAACGAGTTAGTGGGCTTGCCCGGGCCAATGCTGTTCAACAAGTGAAATGTCGACGTAGTATGCCGGTAGAGGCACCAAAAAGAATTGACACAGTAAACCCATCCTTGAGTGAGGAGGACGCCGATGCCATTGCGCGAGAGATGCGACAAATTCCTATGGTGAGTTGATTTTTTTGTGGGTAACCTAAATTGAGAAATTTTGAAGTTTTTATGTCAAAACTGCAGTTATAAAATATGATGTTTTCTAAAAATATATCAATCTCGATAGATAAGATTAGTTAAAATTTCACTTGTTACTTTTTCTTCCCCTGAAAAAATATTTACTAGTAAATTTTGTTTAAAAAATGATTTTTGTATACTTTTAAAAAAGTTCCATAATTTGACTCTGATTTACCTACTAAAAATTCTCAGTCTATTTCCCTGTTTGCGACAGAAAGATTGTAAACAGTTGCAAAAATTTTCTACTCAAAAGACAAAAATTTGCTACTTTGATCAGCTTTGTAAACATAGGTTAAAAACTTTTTTAAACCAGTATTGAAATGGATATAAATTCATGGCATTTGCATCCGTAATGTTTCTAAAAGTCTTAAATTGTATGTACAAAATATGTTTCACATATCAGTTGGCTGTTCTTTTGCTTGCAGACCACTCTATCACTGGTGGCGTTTCATTGCGAGGATTACAAGAGGTCCCTCCTCTACATAGAGCAGGAATTGAAGCAAAGACCTCACAAATTGCAAGAACAGCTCAACTTCCTTCAACAGCTTCACGTCTCCCTCGATGACATGGACTCAGTCATTGGTGTCGTCGCGCTGCGCGAAAGGGTGCCCACGATGAGCGAAGTCGTGTCCGACTCTTTTGCCAGGGGCAGAGTCGAAGTAATCGCGATATTGGATAGAATTTTTCAAGCATATTTTCATTCCCTTAAATTTGTGCAAAAATGTGCCCATTTTTTTTGTTTAGGATGGTGTTCGGAACTTGGAGCACATGGTGTACGACGATCCGACCAATTTGATCGCGACAGAAGGCCTGCTTCAAGCCTACCTCAGCCTTGATGAGCCACGAAAGGCCGACACCCTGATTAAAGGATGTGTCTCCAGAAAGTAGCACATTTTTGTTTCTTTTTGCAAATCAAAATTTCTGTCAAGCACTATGTAGTTTTCCAATTCAAATCATACCTTTTCTCGGTTTTTGAATTCAAAGTCAACTTATATCAAAAGAATTAATGTACCCAATTTATTTCTAACGTACTCAAATATTTTCAGCCTTATATTCGCACTTTCTAAGCTTGCTAAATATATATGAGAGTGAATACACTCTCAAGTGTATTCACAGATCGAGATCTGTTATAATAAATTTGTTAATTTTCCATAATTAAAAAAAGCAAGTACAAACGCTTGTAACTTTTTGTTTATAACTTTACATGGAGTTCCACACTTCCGAGTGAATTACTTAAATACCAGATATTTCATACTTTTTGCCCTAATTTTCAGCCCGCACTGGGAAGTAGCTCTACAAGACTTCCAGATCGAAGCCACCTGGAAGTTACGGGACTGGACAAAGCTGCGCGAGCAAATTAAGGCAACCGCCCCAACACCCACACAGTTTAAGGTCAATCTCTCATCTTCCCATGAGGGCAAAGAGACTAACCAGCCATGGACCATGACAGTGGTCAACATTCTCTCACGCATCCAAAGTCTCGAACTAGGTCAGATAAATTTTAAACCATTTCACTCAAAAACGAAAAGATGCCCATTAAGTTTGTATAATTAAATTCAGGTACCGCCCTCAAGCTGGTCAACGAAGCCCGGCTGAAACTAATGAACCCTCTCGTCGCCGCCGCAAACGAGCCTAATGCTTACTCTCACTGCTACTCGAGCATTGTCCAACTCCACATTTTGACTGAGGTCGAACAAGCGATCGAAGTCCTTCGAGTGTGTCGAACCCTCCGCGATGACAAGGACTTCAGTTTAGACTACGAACTCAAACAACTCATCAATCGGTGGGCCGATCGGAGCGATATCCTCCTCAAGGCCCAGATGGACCCCGTCCTCAACGTGAGGAAGGTGTGTGACGTGGATTGATTTGTACATACGCCGTGTAGAAAGGATATTATCGATTGTATACCTTTCGTGATTATGTTCAACAAAAATTGCAAATTTTCATTTGTACTTCCCTCGTCCTCAAAAACTCTCAAAATTAACTCCCATATTTTCGAAAACTGACCCTCAGCAATGGCACTATGTGTCCCCAAAACATTCTTTCTCTTGAACGATTCACCCGCTATATGCACGGCCTTTAGTTTTAAATATACAAATCATAATTAGAGTTTTTAATAATTAACCGTATCTTTGTAGAGTATTCTCGAAATTTTGAAGGACTACTCAGACGGAAAGTGTCAGGATTTGTTGAATGGATCGATAAGGGACTGTTGGCTTACCGCGGCGCGGCAAGAGAGCAAGTAAGTCGAAAATATTTCGGATTAAATCGTGCAAACAAATTTCAAGTCGCTATCTTTTGCAAACAAAAAACTACAATAATTTGGTTTACAAATAATAATAAAATGGTTCACTTAACAAAATTTTACTACACATTAAAAAAATCTAAGTATTTCTCACTTTTTTTTTTACAGAACTGGCAACTTTACCCGAGCTTTGAACTGCATTACCGAAGCGAAAAAATACAACTCTCCTCAAGTTATGATCGCCTCGGCGAAATTATGGTCGCGAAAGGGCGACGCGGAAACAGCACTGAGCCACCTCACCGCCGGGATATCCACATTCTTCCCACACGTCGAGCAATGGACGTCGTCCAACGTGCGCGGCTTGGTCGTCGAATCAGCCTTATCGGAGGGATCAGGAAGTGACGAGGGTAACCGGAGGTTAGCCTCACAAGCCCTCCTCCTTCATGCGCAGCTCACCGAGACCCTCCAACTTGTCGACATCGAGAAGAACATAACCAACTATAGGAAGAGTATTGATGTGTTTGAAAACTCTGAGAAGAATTATTTCACTCTGGCCGGATATTACGATAAATTGCTTAACACGACTGAGGAGAAGTCTCCAGACCATGCGTGAGTAGCCGCTATTTTAATTTTCATAATTTACTTTGTAGAAGGTGAAATTAGAAACCTAATATTTTTTATCCTTCGCATTTCGTAAATTATAGAATGTTAGCGAAATTATTTACAGAATTATATACTTCCACACGTTTGCTTCTAATTAAATTTTTTTTGGCAAAGTATACATACTTACAAATGTGCATAATTTACCATAATTGGTTCGCAAATTGTAATTGTCACAAAATAAGCAATCGGTTTTCAAGTTAAAATTTCAGCCAGGATTCTCAAATTCCTTAATTTACTAATTGAGTACATTTTAAACTAATTTTGCAGCATCATACAAGAAAAAGTGGTCAACTTATACGCCCAGTCACTCCACTATGGGTGCAAATACGTGTACCAATCTCTCCCCCGCCTGCTCTCTATCTGGTTTGATTTTGGTGCTCTCGGTTTCGTCGAGGAGCGACGATCTGGGGATACCAACGGGACCGGCGCGTCGATAAAAACGCCTACCAGCGAGGAAGCAGCACTACGACCGGCAGGATGGGCGAAAATCGTGAAAGATATGCAAGCCTCGATCAGTGAGAAAATTCGCATCTGTACAAAAATTTCTAAGGGGCAAATTTGCAAAAAAAAAACTTATGAAACCTAAAATTACAATCCAGTGCACACTGAATTATAATCCAGAAACTTATAAGTTATAAGTCTCTTTGCAAGAAATATTATCTCCTATTCTGTTACCATCTATCCACCAATTTTAAAGTGGATTATATAAATTCATTCAAAATAAGCCTTTCCAACTATGAACTTTCTGCGTGAAAACATTACTGTTAACTGAGTTTGTAAATTTTGCAAAATAAGTTTACAAAACTCAAGATTTTTTGCAATTTTGCACAATTTGCAACAAAATCTTACATTTATTTTGTTTTTTTTACATAGAGCGAATGATGAACGAAGTACCGGCGTACGTGTTGCTAACAGCTTTTTCGCAACTAATTTCTCGTCTCGGTCATCCCAACCAAGTCGTATGGGAATTATTAAGAGATTTAATCGGCACCATCGTCGTCACCCATACCCACCAAGCTCTGTGGAGGATGATGGTGGCGTCAAAGGTATGTTTAAAGCAATTCACTCGATGTGACGGTGTAAACTGTACAAGTTTTATAAAACAAATGTCAACTGCTACCAAATTATAACCGCCCTTGATCTGTATCAGTTTGCGATAGAGTTTAAGCAGATTTTCCTTCGTAGTCTATCTAAACTTTTCAAAATGCTACACATTTGCCATTACAAACTTTATTCGGTTGCAAATATCCAATTTAATTATTTTCTAATTGAATACCTGAAATTCAGTTTTTGAGATTTCAGAGATTAGTTTACATACATTACATCCGAGTGAATGGCATCATTGTGTAAAACATACTTCAAATGTCGCTTCACATATAATATGACGTCAAATGTGCATCAATTTTATATTTCCAGTCGTCTGTCGATCTGCGGAAGGAGCGTTGCGTCGAAATTTACAGTTCCATCGAGAGGAAAAAGGTCGGTTTGAAAAAGATGATTCATGACTACTCCATGTTGGCGGATCGATTCGTCGAAGTTTGTGCAAAAGAGGTGCCGACAGGAGTCTATGTAAGTGTTACTAGGTCCTATGTTATGTAAATTTCTCACTTACGCGAAAAATTTCACTAACCAACTTATTAATTCAATATATGGAATGCTTAAAAGTATGGAATTTACTTATGCAAATTATATTCTCCCGTTTAGCAAACTACGATGGAATCTCTGTGCCCAAAACTACCCCAACTCCTCCGCAGCACTGGGTTTAGCGACGTTTTGATACCATACCAAGTGTTTATGAGTCCATCAATTCCGCCCAATGGGTGTGGCCACAAGAGCTACGACGCCTTCCCAGAGTAAGTCAGGGTTCTAAATTATCTTTTAATTAATACATTTTGCGAAAGTATAGTTTTTCTCAAATTGGAATATTGTCGGGATAATTGTTTTAAAACTGAGCTTTGTTAATTTAATTAACCTAATTAATTTACAAATATTCTTAAATTATGGCTTGGGTTTCATATACTTCAAGTATATATATCTTGGAAGTTAAATGGGGGAAACCGTCTGTCTTAACATTTCAAAATTACTCTCTGCTGTTCATCCCTACTACTAATTTATTTACATGATTCAATTTTTACACAATTCTTCCGTTTTTTTGCTTGATAGAAAATTCGTCTTTATCAAAAGCGTCGAAGACAGCATTGAGGTCATGAACTCCGTCGCCAAACCGAAACGTATTACCCTCCGTGGCTCTGACGGGAACCGTTACGGCCTTCTCTGTAAACCCAATGATGATTTACGGAAAGACTTTAAGGTCATGGAGGTCAACAATGTAGTCAACTGGTACCTCCACAGAAATCCAGACTCACGACAGCGTCGCCTCCACGTCCGTCTGTATGCGGTCACCGCGCTCACCGAGTTACATGGCCTGTTAGAGTGGGTCCCTAATCTGACGGGATTTCGAGGCAGTGTTCTCTCCCTGTATCGAGAAAGGGGGACACATATCAGCATCAAAGACCTAAAACCTGTTATAAGTAAGCTACAATAAATTGGGATAATTTTTAACATTCGACTGACTTGGCTTTGACTTGGCTACTTCAGTCCTATAACTTTCGCCATGGTTAAACATTAGAATTGGCTCAAGTTGCTAACTTGAACTCGTAGAAATATAGTTCCCTATATCAATTCTAACCAATAAATATAAAGTGCTCAAAGTACAAGATAAAAATTTGGGTGAAACTATATCGTTGACCCCTAACCATCTACGATACCATTAATTTGACCACGAAAAAGCCAATTTTATTCCATATCAAGTCGATTTTACTAATGAACTATTTTTAAATCCCTCAACAGAGGAGAGGGATTCGCTGGAGGTGAAACGACACAAATTTCTCACCAAATTTCTTGCTGCATATCCGCCCGTATTTAGTGAATGGTTTCTCAACAACTTCAGCGATCCTCAGTCTTGGTGAAATATACAAATTAATAATTAACTTTGACACTTCGTATCATTTAATTGATCCTTTATTCTTCCAGGTATAATGCACGACTCTCGTACGTTCGCACAGCTGCGGTCATGTCTATCGTCGGGTTCGTCCTAGGACTCGGTGATCGGCACGGGGAAAACATTTCGCTAGATTCGTCCAACGGCGAAATTGTCCATGTGGATTTTAACTGTATTTTTAACCGGGTAAACTAAAAAATGCAGTTTTTTGGAAAGTTGTGTCGCCTCTTTATACTTTATGTTCTTATTCCTTGGTGTTTAGGGAGAGACATTTCTGTGTCCGGAGCGTGTGCCGTTCCGTCTCACACAAAACATGGTCGAAGGGATGGGACCACTCGGAGTTGAGGGTGTTTTTCGCCGCTCTTGTGAAATCACGATGAACCTTTTTCGCCAACACAAGGACATCTTCATGTCGGTCCTCGGCCCCTTCGTGTTTGACCCGTGTGTGGAATGGGGTGACAGTGGGGGGAGTGGCAAGTCATACCAATCCGGTATAATTCCGCTTTCCATTAATTTTCATAATTTTAGAAATTGTGCAAACTTTCTCCAAAGTCAAATTTTATCATTTGATAATTTGGGAACCTTTTGGAACACATTTTTACTACTTTATGATAAACTACTAAAACTACATTTACATGTACTACCCTAAAACATCAAGTAATTTACGAGTTACAAAAATTTCTTGTGGTAATTAAATTTTTGCAATTGCAGTCAACTTTTTGCCAGAGTCGTTGCTTATTAAAAAATTGTGTCCAAAGTTTCACTAATCTTAATAAACTAAGTTTAACTTGGCGATTTTAAACTAAAAATAATAATAACCTCCCAATATTTAGACAAATTCGCGTGTTTTCTCTTCTTACACTTACATTTTCCATCCAAAATTTTGCCAAAAAGTTATTCAAATTTCTATTTTTTTCAGTCGTCGACCCAAAGTTTTCCAGAGCTCAGGCGCTCGTTCATTTGAAACACATTCAAAATCGGATAAACGGATCAGCTCGGAACCACACAAAAGAAGTCAACACCGAGCTTTCTGTTGAAGCCCAGGTGGCCTATCTTATTGATGAGGCGAGAAGTATCGATAACCTGTGCCAAATGTTTATCGGATGGACACCTTTTATTTAAATTTTGTTCCGGTTTAATTCAAACAAAAAAACTAGTTTTAATCTATTTCAAATTTACATTTCACAATTTTTACTTACTTTTTATACAAGACATGTCACACGCTTATGAAATTGATTACTCTCTTAATTTAATTTTAAAGAAGTTTTACTCTTACTAACGAACGCTTATTAATTGTACCTGAGGAAAAAAAACTAGTGTTATTTAGTAATTTTTTATATGTGATTAAATAATTAAAACCTACAGTGACAATGCAGACCATTTAACCCTTATTCGATGCTCGTATATTTGCTAAATATTCAATTATTTGGTACCTTTTTGAACTATTTACAAATCCTTCTATTAAAAAACCTAGTACCTACTAGTACCAGGATGGGGGCTCGCATCTCTTAAAATCTTAAACTTCCAAAGTTGTAATTGTTGCGCAGAAATCATTCTTAGCTTCCATACCGAATTTCAAAAGACAATTTCTTAAAATCGTGAGATCACCCCCTGGTCCGCTCTGAAAATTGAAAATTCAGAATTTTCAATTTCACCTAAAAATCTTCGTCATTATCAATCTGTGTGCCAAATTTGGGCTTTCTAGCACTATTCTGAAATTTTGACGTATATTACAACAATTATTGCGACTAATCTTCATTCATGACAAAAATCTCATCTCAAATTTCCCTTTGATCTTCCTAAGTCCTAACCCATAGGGGACATGCAAGAATGTCACCCACTTTTCCCTCTTTAAGTCCCCTTACGAATGTTTATGGCAATATTTCAGCTTTGTCGAAAGGTCGACCCTGTCTAACCAAAAAAAACTTCCAATTTTCCCCACATCATTTTCGCAGGGTCCTCAAGTTCTGTAAAGAGTGACGTATTAAAAACTGTGCGGTGGTGGTGGCTAAAGCAAAAATAAAGGAAATGGATCCTTTTTTTGGCGTAAATAAATAAACAGAAAGTAATTAAATGGATTAACGTTATCTTTATTCAGTCCAGGCAGTATTTCAGCTTTAGTGGACGGATTTGGATTTTGAGAACTGTTCTTGTCGAATCTGGTTCGTTGTTCTTGTCCAAGAATAGACTAATAGCAAATTAGCACAGGTTAGAGTTAATTAACCTTTAAACTTTGATAAGATGGCGATAATGATAACCACTACAGTGACCAGAAATATGGACAAGGGATAAGCTACCTGGATACAAAGTGAAAGTTAAACTATTTATGGTGTGGTTTGTGATTCAAGTTTCCGCGAGTATAAATAAGCAAAACCATTTTAATCTTATCTTATCGATAAGTGGAGAAGATGAGCTTATCGGAGCGTGAGAGGACGCGCAACAAGCCGTATGATTACCTCTTAAAATTCCTCCTTGTCGGCGACTCGGACGTAGGGAAGCAAGAAATTGTCTACAATTTTCAAGACGGGGCGAACGAATCTCCCTTCTGTTCCGGATCCAGTAAGAAGGCTTATCAATTGGTGGAAGTGTAATATTACAATGCGTCTAAATTGATTATCTTTTCTTGTCATCACAGGTCCTGCAGCTTATAAGACAACGACGATATTGTTGGACGGGAAACGTGTCAAACTTCAGGTATGTAAAGTAAACCTTAGCCCAAATGATAAAATTTCAAAATTTCACCAATCCACCTAAACTTGAACTCAGAAAATGCTAATAGGAAATTTGGCATTCGTTACATTTTCAAATTTAACAGTTAATTGAATTTGATTTGATTTTATATGCGGATAAAATTTGTCTCTGAAAACTAAAACGATTTGACTTTAGTACGTTCAATAATTGTGTATTAATAATTAATGTTAATTGTTAGGTCTGGGACACTTCTGGTCAGGGTCGCTTCTGCACAATTCTACGCTCTTACTCTCGCGGGGCGCAAGGAATCTTTCTCGTTTATGATATCACGAATCAGTGGAGCTTTGACGGGCTGTCCCGCTGGTTACATGAAGTTGAAGAGGTCATTTAAACAAAAGTCAAATTACCCGTAATAACTGCTCAAATAAAATACATTCTTGTCTTTCAGCACGCCCCCGGGGTACCAAAGGTACTGATCGGAAATAGACTGCATCTCGAGTTTAAACGCCAAGTCGCCGTTGAGGTGGCCGAAGATTACGCCAACAAGCACAAGATGGGCTTTTTCGAAGTCTCTCACCTTTGTAACTTTAACATTGTCGAAAGTTTCGTCGAACTGAGTCGCATGGCGGTAAATTTATAGAAATACGTGGCACAGATAATTTGTTTTCAATGTATAACTAATATGATCTAATCGTACATTACAGTTGCAGCGAAATGGAATGGAGAGGTTGTGGCGACAAAATAAAGGTACCCTGTTCTAAATGTATCTCTTGATTTCATTTTGATTTCAAATCATAATGACTTTTTCAGATTCGAAATTTTAATTTTTCAAGTTACATAGCATTTATCTGATAAATTATTTTCCCTTTTCCAGTCTTGAAACTCAAAGAGCTCTGCTGTCGACAAATCGTGAACCACACAACGGTCTATGGAATCGACCAGTTGCCTTTACCAAATAATTTAAAGTCGTACTTGAAGTCATATGCAATGAACCGCTACTCCACCCAGTATCGCTCCCTCCCGGCCAAGTTCCCCTCAAAAAAGCTAAAGTTTCTCACTCCTAACGATGCCGCGAATGGCACGAACGGTTGCACCGGGGGGAAGAAGGCGTGCTCCATTATTTGACACATGATGACAACATTGTGCCCGTGTAGACGCTACTCTAACCGGAAGAAAGGAGTGGAATCTTCATCGTCACCTTTATCGGAATCATTCATCAATAGCTTTTAAGTTTTAATTTATAACAATTCCACTTCGTCCTCAGCTACAAGATTTTAACAAGAATTGCTTTCAAGCAAATGACGCAGATGTTTGTGACCAACTATAAACTCTGTAAACTTACAAACGTTGGCACAAGTTTGCAGATTTACGCAGGAAATCACGTTACAAATCTTTTGTTTACATTAATCAAGGCCGACGCTATACAAACTGTAAGTTTGTAAAATAATTTTATAAACTTGCAGTTCACAAACGTCTGCGTGGATTGTCTAGATATTTAACTAAACAGCGTGTTTATGTATTCAATCACGTGATGGATCGCTCAGTTAATTTGTTTGTTTCACCTGTTATTTTCGTTAAAGGATACTTCAAAATGTGGAAATGTAACGCGTGATGGGAAATCGTTGTAACGTAGCTGCTAGCTAAATCTTATGATAAGTTATGTTATGTATGTCGAGTTTTGTTAGCATTTTTACCTTAACAATTTTTTTCAATTTATTATTTATTTATCATTCATTCATACGTAAGTAATTTCTAGTATGTGTTAAGCCACATTTGACAAATTGTTATAATTTAATTTCGCAATTCGCACTTACAAATAACCAATATCAATCAAGAATTAACCAAAAAATCTGCTTCTTCCGGATTCACACAAGACAACCCCCACCAAAGTCCAAGCAATCTCATCTCAATCAATCTCGTCTCTTTAATTAAATTTAACTAAACATGATAAAAAATGTAATTTACGTTAGTTAATTCATAAGGCAAATTATGACAAATATGTGACAGTTGTCTACAATTGTTGTGAATTATGAATGACCTGACCTCTGAACTTGTTCAAGTAACAAAACGGTTGTTAACTTTATCCCACCAACAAAATTGCTACATAATAAGGAGAGATTACAAATACATTTTATAAATTAAAAACAACTATCATCAAATTGAACCTTGTATCAAAATCTAAAATCCAAATAAAAACTTGTCAGGTGTATATTTTATAAAAATCTGACCCCAAATAATTAAGGATAAATCGTCCCCAAAACTTTCATCTCATCTCAAGGATCAACAAAACACAAAATCAAACCAACGCTTCAACTTTCAACGTGGTCGATGATAAACAAAAATATTTTGTCTTGTCCACTAAATATTATGCAAGTAAATTGCATCTTTATGATAAAAAAATCTGTTATATTTAGCAAATAATTAATTAATAGCATGAATTAATTAAACAGTACACACGTGCGTGCATATACATGCATAAAAATATATGCTCTTGCTATCCGTTTGTTGCAGACACATACTTACATATAACAGTCGATGGTTGAATAATTAAGTTACTAGACTACAATAATTAAGTATTATTGGTACATGTTTTAAGCAATTTTGAGCACCCATCAGTCTGAGGAAAAAATAGAAAATTAAATAAAACGATGTGGAGTCCTTGTCGGTAAAAAAAAACAAGTGTTAATTTTTTCAGTCACTTTGCAGTCTAAAATTTATCCAGCTTAATTCTAAATTTCGTATCCGCTTCTCAAAAATTTCAATAAAAAAGGTATCCAATTTCAAAAAATCTGCAAAACTTGATCTGCACTTGACACTAATGTACCCCAATGTTTCACAATTTCACTATCGCTTGCTTTCAAATTTAATTCTTTCCACGTTTGTCGCTTCTTTTTGCCATCTCGTTCCTCCAACGATTTGAGGAGATACACTTTGCCCTGGATTTCGGTTAGGATGCTGCCCAAATAAGTCAAAAAGGCGAGATCCGAGTTATGGAAATTTCTCTGAATTTGCACATCCGGTTCGAACGCGGCAAGAAACCGGCCCGAGTACGCGGGACCAAGAAGGACGATAGGACTCCCCTTAACAGCCATGTTCAAAATTGTGACTCCGTTTTGGTCTCTTGCTGCGATCAGGTCGTGAACCGATAGACGTTCCGGAATGCAGAGACCGATTAATTTAAAGCTAGAGAGATGCGATGAGACGAGGACGCCACGGTGCCAGCGAAGCAATTTCCAGGTGGAGGGGGACGAAGTATTCTGATGGCGAGAGGAGTGAATTTTCTCCTGTGGAGGCACGAATGGCGTCAGCGCAGTGATAATTCGGGACACTTTGGATCGTTGGTCTTCACCTCCACATATCACAATCGGTCGTCCTGAATCAAAAACAAAATATTGGTAAATTTGTTTACATATACGGTTTTGCCCATTTTTGATACTATTTTGTACAACTTGCACAAATGTAGTTACACTAATTCATAATAAACTGCACATCGTTTTTGAACACATTTTAACAAAAGCATCCAAACTCACCGATCAAAACTGAATAGTAAACATGGTGAGCAACTTTAGGGTAATGTCGAAAGAATTTAAGGATTCCGTGACCGGGCGACCCGCGCGTCAAACTTGCTTCCACATATTCGAACCAGGGCTTTCGCGTGATTGTCTCCTCGGTTATGGGATCTGGTGTTGGGCTCGAGGGACCTGGCACTGCTGCCAGAACGGTTATGGTTGAGCCCGTCTCTCGTTCGGATGAGGAGGAATGTGACCCGTATGAGGAAATACTCTGTTTCAGTTCCGTTTCTTGTAAAGGAGTGGGGTTATCGGCAGCGCCCTGAGGACAATTGATATGAAATTTAGCCAGATTAATTTTCAAAATTGCAATTACTTTCATCCCAACTTTTATGACTTTCTAAGGATCAAAAACAATCCCCAGTTCATAGTCTAACTACTTCTCAAATCACACACCTCTTCTCCCTGTACAGCATCTGAATACAGCTCCGACGCGACAGTGTGATATGAGCCGGATTTATTATCTGGCGTACTCGACGAAGGTGGGGGTGGACACGTGACATGAATCTTTTCTAAAATCAGGACAACTTCTCCATTCTGCAAAAAATTTTGAAGAGATTCTTCCTCGCTCGTAGTAAAAATCGTTAAACGTTCCTCCTCCGCTTTCAATTTCACTTCCGGCTCGTTGCCATCTTCCTCCCTAGCTTCGATCCCTTTCTTGGGTGAATCTCCGTTGGACGATGACGATGACGAATTATTGAGACCCTTTTTGCGCCTCCTTTCTTCTCTAAGATGACTGCAATGCTTCTCAAACTCATCCCCGAGTTCTCGTATAATCCCGAAAATTAAATCTTTGCGATGTGTAGAGTGTAAAACGACCAACTTCCAGAGGAGGTGAACTATCCCAACTTGCCCTAACGTGGTGAGAGGTCGGAGTGATTCGCCCTTCGCTTTGAGGGGGTGGACGAGCGGGACGTTGATTGCTGAAATAGATCGCTGAACGGAATTTGGTGCGACGGAAATGTCAAGCTTTGAAAGGAGGTTAACGAACGCTGGGTGCGAGGGGAGGTGAACGTCGAGAAATGAAGAGAGTTTGTCAAGTTGTGAGATTAGGAAGGGATTTTCCTGCAACAATAAGAAATTTTAGCTAAACATATAGTATATATATAATTTATACAATTATTGGTATTCACGCCGTGAAAATTTGGAAAAGTGATTATTTTTAAAATTTTACAAAAGAGATTTTCGACCGGTCTTTCATAATCTTTACACATTCTAACGTTCTTTTGTACAAGTGGAAAACGTATATTTGTTACATTAATTTTACTTAGGAAAATTTTCATGAGAGGACAACGAATGGGTTCACATATAATACATAATTTAGGCTCACGAATGATTTCACAGTTTCTAAAATAGCTTCAATTTCCATATATTGATGAGCAATCTGGTCCAGCGTGATAGCGTCGGGGTCATCTTCGTCTTCAGAAGAATCGTTTATCACATTTGGATCAAAGGTGAACATATCGTCAGCTGGAGGTTGGCATTTAGCGGTCCTCCTCTGGATAAAAGCGTCTTTGGCTGCTCTTAATTTGTCTAAATATTGGGCCAATTCTCCTCCAAACCATGTTCGATTGGCCTGTTTGAGCACTTTCGTCATCTGTAAAAGCATGGTAAAAACTAAAAATGACAAAAATCCACACAATCATAACCATTTCACACCTTCTCAAACTCGCTAATCAACATGTCCAAGTTATGATCCAGTTTGACATGATCTTTCGATACATATCCGAAACAGAACGGTCTCACGAAGCCGCGCGCCTTGATATCATATAAGGTAAAGTATTGCATGAAGACGTGGACGTTTTTGAAAACATTTTTCCTCAGAACTTGCGTGTCCTCACTTATCTTGAACTGACCTCTGTGAAATATACATACATAAGTTGCTTAATATTGGGGAAATTCACTCACTAATATCAAATTTCACAAACTATTTACACCATCTTTAATGTACTTACACAGAGTTGACCTGATAATCCGTCGACATTAAATGAACCGTAAAGTCATTGAGGCACAACGAAGAGTTTGCACATTCCGGTATCGTGGCGAGGGGGATGGGGCCCTCCAGTTCAGAAAATTCAGCCAAAATTATGAAATCCAGAAAAGTTGGGTCCAATTCATCTCGTTCTTGACCTTGGCAGACTTCTGGTTCAACCTGGGAAAAAATTGGTAATACAATGTGTAGAAAATTTTAAACACGTACTTATGTATGTATTATCAAAAAATACTAATACTTCAAAAAACTTAAAAGTGTTGTGACCAATTGATTATATTTTGTAGAATAATAATTGTGTTTATCACAAATTTGCAATCAATGACTTAATCTTATCCATGTATTACCTGCAGAAGTGGAACGCGACTTTCTTGCATGACTTGAAATTCTCGTGGGAGTGCGGAAAATACGTTCCGGGGTTCTTCCGTATTTTCGTAGTGGACCGGAACGAATTCGGGGTAGGATTGCGACATGGCGAAACCTTGAGGACGGAGGAGATCGTCGAGGTGCATGTAGTGAAGATAACTTCTGAGGTCACATTAGCTTTAAAAGAGTAAAAAATAATAATAATTAAACAGGCATTTAATTAAGCAGACAATTTATTATGCTGTGAAATACAAATTGTATTTGTACAGATTGCAAGCTTCCTCAACGTCAATTTACAATTAGATTCAAGATAGTTTTATGCAAAATTACTTTGCGAAATGAAAACAAACCTAAAAGAACAGCACGTGGTGAAATCTTTGCGAATTTTATTTTCTCTAAGTGTGAAGTAGAGCACATATACTGCAGCTCAATTGTTTCGAAGAGATTAACCAAGTTCACTTACTTGATACTAATTAATTTAATTAGTAATTGGACGAATCTGAAACTAAAATCGTGTGTCCTCCTCCTCGTATGATCTCAAATCTTGCTCATTTCTTGTCCGGCTTATCTCTCAAACCAGAGTAACAATTGTTGTGTTTGTTAAGTATGATAACACATGCTTATCTCCCCAGTCAAATGTAGGTTATCGTGGTGGTCTTACCAAGTAAAAGTAACTATTGACTTTATTGACTATTTACGTCCTGAGCAGTCAGCAGGTTTTTTTTCTTTGTTTACCGCCCACTAAGAATCAGAGAACATGCATTTCTCCAAAATGAGGATTTGTATTTTGATTTTGCATGAACTCATGAAATTGGATTTTATTTATTTATTAAAAAGAAATTGATATTATAATTTATAAAATATGCAATTTTTATTACTTCAAAATAAAATTCAAATTACTTCAAATTTCGAAACGTGTAAAATCATTTTACATCATTTTGCATTTAATTTGCATAAAAGGATTAGTACTTTATACAAAATATTTTGCCGGGAGGTGAAAATAAAAATTATTTTCTCCATGCGTGTTTTCTCCTGGCAGTCACATTATTTTTTTAATTAACTATTTTTATTAATTGTTCCCAAGTTTCAAACAATCAAAATGTCCCTACTTGGCGTCGGGAAGGGTGTGGAATCACCACCCTCCAAGACCAAAAAAGATACTATCGCAAAGAACGAGGACCAACAAGAAACTGGCACTTGCGAAAAGTTGTCCTCGTCACACCTTCCACGGTCAATCTTCTCTCGTGCCCTGTGCGAACAATTAGCTACAATGCAGGTGAAATCGCTAGTTAATGAAGCGCCGCCACAAGCCACACACAAGACTGACGCCTTTGTCGCAAGGTACAAAAAGTTGGAAGGCCTTCTTCGTCACGCTATGGACTCTGGAGATTTCACCGCCCTCTTCAACAGAAATAAACCCATGGTGGATAAGGTGAAGATATAATAATTCAAAATAAAACATGTACTTTTATAATTAATTAGAAGTATTTAGTTAATCGTGAGTTAACTGATTGCTTGTTTGTGTTTATATTTTTTCAGGAACCACACCGGATTTCTGACGCTGTTCGACTCGCGGCACAAAGACAAGTCTGCGACCGATTGCAGAGTGACCTTCTCACCCAAGAAGAAATGAGGGTTGGACAATTTGCCTGCATTACAAAGTTAAGGTATCATTATTCAGTATTATTTTTGCAGGACTTTTGCTACACTTTGGAAAAGTGGGCCAACAAGACGCCCAAACCGATGAAGCCGGCATGGTTTCAGTGGGTGGTATGCGGCATGAGAGAAAAGGGGATGCTCCTTTACGATATGTACATTGACTACGTGGCATTCACCAAGGCAAGGGCGGAGATGCACCCGAAAATCAGGTGATAATCAAGTATTACTTTTATTTAGCAAGTTGGTTTTGAAGCGTGTTCAAAAATCCCTAAATTTAAAAAATCCACAAGATTTTCCCATCGGAGATAGGGCCTTCGTGTATAATTGTTGCATAACTTGTTTGTTTTTGATTTTTTTTCAAAAATTTCTTCAGATTCTTGTTCAATATACTTTGGTTAGTCTAGAAAACATGAGACAAAAACTGATTCTTTCAAAAATTCGTAGAAATTTTATTTTTAGAGACCGCTGCGAAAAAAAGTTTTTTTTAGGTTAAGCGTCCATAAGGTATCCAGTTAAAAAAATTCAACGAGATCCGAGCTAGGCCGCTATAGTGCAAGTTTACCAAAACTGATACCGTTTGCTGGGGTGGCGTACAAACATAAATGTGAAGTACTTCTATAAGTTGTTGTTCAATTTTTTCCAAGGGAATGGCTAACCACGACCAAATTTTTCACCTTGATGACCGAATCTGACGACACGATCTTTCGCCGTCTCCCGATCGTTCATCTCTATAATTATGTGACAAAGAAGGTCTGGTTGGTTCAAGTTAGGTTGGGATTGGCTTACTACGATGTCGACGGTCAAGGATATCTGACCGAGGAGGTGAGTGAATAATTTATGTACAGTTGATTGATGTAATTCTTTAAATCAATGACTTTTTTCCAGTCAATGGAGGCCTACATTCGCGATATGATCCCAACGCTGCCTCACTTGGATGAGATGGACCCTACTTTGGAGCCATTTTATTTGTGTGCAGCCACGCGAAAATTCTTTTTCTTCTTGGATCCCAGACGTATCGATAAGGTACAAATCGCCGCAATTATTTCTAGCCTCTTGCTTGACGACATATTTGAGGTGAGTTGTAAGTAGTTTGGTAACAAAGATTATTACCGAACTATTACTCTACAGAGTTAGTTTGCTGGCCGACTGATGATTTAAAATATGTAAAGGTTACCATCTGGTACCAAATAATATTATCAAATCGGTGGTGTCGTCACGGTCATGCAACAGATTGTCACCATATTATTCCGAGCGTTAAATAAAATTAATCCTGTTGTTACTCAGTTGCACGATTTGGAAGTTAGAACGACCAATTGGTTCGGAGTGTACAGCTTGCTACGTATTTATAAACATTACGTTTACTTGGACACCGACGCCAACGGAATGCTCAGTCCAAAAGAGTTTCTCAAGTTCGGAATATGCATTTTTTAAATCAGAGATACACAGGCATAAGTGTTCTGAAATTTTATTGAAATTTTTCTAGATTCAACTATTCGTCTCGTGGGAATCAGGTTTGTCTCACGGAAACATTTGTTAACGCCTTGTTCTCGGAGAAGATGACGTATCATGGAGAAATGGACTTTAGGACGTATATTGATTTCGTTCTGGCCATCGAGAACAAGAATGAAGAACAGTCGATCTCGTACTTCGTAAAAGTCTTGGACGTTCATGGGAAGGGTTATCTCAATTCGTCTGACTTGCATTACTTCTACAAAGTGAGAAATGTGTAATTAAAATACGTTTTTGTACTAAATTGTCCCATTTGTTGTCCAGGACGTTTATAAAATACTGTTCGAATGCAGCCTAGAGCCGCCTAAGTTTGAGGATATCAAAACTGAGATATTCGACATGATCAAGCCATCTAATCCGTGCAGGATAACCGCTGCAGATTTATTCAGCAGGTAATCTACCTAAACGGACATTTGTGACCCGGTAAATTTGCAACCACTTGTAAAACATTGCATAGATGCCGATCACGGGTCTGTTTAGTTTATACAAATTTGTGCATACAAAAAGTTTACAAAACCTGCTTGATTTACTGGGTTACAAACGTCTGCCTATGTTGCCTCATTTTTGCATTCTATGAGAAAAGCTTACCTATATTTTTTGCGTCTAATTTTTAGCGGCAAAGGTGGTTACGTAATTGGGATGCTGATTGATGCTAAAACCTTAGACGAGGCTGAAAATCTCGAAATTGTCGGAAATTCATAAGAATAATTCTTATGTGGATCAACACTACACGTTGATCTGTGTAAAAACGTACAAAATAATGCTCCCGTTTTTTTCAACGACTTTGTCTTGTTCCGTCGTATCAATTTTACTCTTAATGTTTTGATCAGTTTGGTCATACCAAATATTGTAGAACTATTTATCCTAAGAAATTAATGTACTATTTGAATGTTCTTCCCTTTGTTATCTAATATTAAATGTTACTACAAGTTATCTAAGCTCCTCCGACTATACATATGCAGTTGAGTGTGCTCGATTTAAACACGTATTCTCCATAAGAATTACATTTAGAAATTTATTTCCAGTGCCCAGTCACCCCCAGCTTTGGAGATGTATTTACAATGTACATAAATACATGTAAATTTTGCATGTCTAAAAATGCTCAATCAGTAGTATGTACATAACATCATGTTCCGAAAAATATTCTCACCAGTCTTATTACTAATTTACTACAGATAATGGGCTACAAATCTCCACACGAATGACTACTTAACATCGTTATTCTTATTTTTACGCAAAGAATTTTTCCCTATTTGTTTTTAAAATTTAAGTTATTTCCCTATTTCTCCGTCCTTCTATTATAAAATGACCGCAAAAATTGTTCAGTTTACTGGGTTGTCTGAATACTTTAAAAAATTATGTATTTTAAAATAAAAATATTGGTTAAATGCGTTACATGAATTTCAAAATTCAGACCAAATTAATTTTCCCCCAACATAAAAGGTATCCATCTCCATCTCCCATAATATCGGTCATCCATCAATTTTTTTTCAGAAACTTAAAGTAAAAGTTGTAATACTTCTCATGATACGTCAAGTTTAATCATCATATCACATTTACACATACATTCATACATATTCATTACTAGTGGATCATTACCCACGCACCGATCCACCTCACTTTTTATTTTCTCTGGGAGCCGTGCAGAAAGACGCCACCTTATTTCGACCCGTCTTACACGGTCAACTACAAAAAATATTATTAAATGTGACACTGCAACGTTTGTGTGACATAAATACAGAGATTTTCACAAATATTTGTAACTCAAGTTGCCCACAAACGTTTGTACAGGTTTCCGGTTCTTGTCACTCAATTTGCAAATTTTAGAGTATCGAAACTCAAATTTCAAAGGCACATTCTTTATGCACATCCCTCAACCCCCCATGTCTTGTATTTAGCATTTATAAAATTTAATGAAAATGTTACCCTCACACTTAAACACTCTGACTGAGCAATTTCCGGTGAATAATGAACAATTATACCCCGACGCATCGTATTTCTCACGGACTTCCGGTTTCCCTCAATGCAAATTTATACAAATACTCCGATCAGTGTTTGATACGTACGATATTAGCGTAAATGCATTTACATACCTGACATTCACCTTCTCAAGGTAATTGTGACGTTATCTTAATCTCCTAACTAAACCAATCCCTGTACCGATGACCTAAAAAAACAGGGTTCAATTATTTTTTAATGGCCTTCTTATTTCAGTTTGTTTTACTGTTGGGTATGACGAGTCAGTTTCACCTTCGCAGTTTTTGAAAATCGTTACAAATTTTAAAAATATATATTATTTTAATATGGTGGCATTTAAAATTCTAGTAGAAAGATAAATTCGCATTTTGCAAGTTGACTTCCAGTGTCGTAAAATTTAAAACATTGCAGATTAAATATTCAGAAGACGCTGCATCTAAATAATTAAAAAAAAAAACATTTAAAAATCGTCCCCAAAAAAGTAATTGTCAAAATAATTTCTAGTAACATTAAAAATGTTACGAAATTTTATTACGAAAGATAATTTTCAAATAATTTGAAAGCCTCTGGAATTTTGACTGGATAGAAATAATTGTTAAATTTCCGAAAACATGGTATATTCCGTGAGTGGAAGAGACGGAATTTTCAAATTTTGCGACAAACTTTTAAAATCAAATTATTAAGTGGAATTTTCAAAGTTTACTGTGGGTGGGGAGGGGTGTGCCAACCTCCCGCTGGGAAAGGACGGGATAATTTACAATGGTGAAAGTGGTGAAGAAAGTGAAATACGGGGTAAATGCTGGATTTCGTCACGGATTTAAAAATGTGATTTTTTCGAAATTCTTTTTCGGTTTCGTCACCTCGCTTTCGGTCCTTATCGCCAGTCATGATAAGGCCGGAAGGATCAAGGACAATTTGGATGCCAAATTTAATGAACAGGAGGACACGTTCGATTTCATAGTGGGTATGTTGCCGAAATTTCTGTTTCTGGAAATACCGGTTTTATCTCCAGATTTCTAATACATAGTTTACAAAATTATTTGGTAGGCTGGGCATGGCGTTCGTTAGCATCATTCACAATTTCGAGCAATGCTTCTTTGCATAACATGTAGATCCTTCATGTCATGAAATAAAGTTTGGTAATTATATTTCTCAACAACTTTTAAAACGTTCACAATTCACGTGAAAGTGGTATTTTAAAAAATGTATCAAATGTATTGAAATACGTACACAATTGGGAACTTTCTGGATTGTTTAATTTTTTGCTTTATGTAATACATATTTATTAATATTTGTAATTAGTATTTCACGAATTTTCTAATGAGCCGTATTGATTACACAGAAAAGATAACTGATGAAGCCCTCAAGTGGGACCAAAAAATTACGTTTGATTCTTCTCTCGAAGCTAACACATATTGTTTGAAAATTTAAAACTTTTCAAAATTTGCATATGTCTAGCCCATTGGAAAATTTGTGAACTTTACAATTTCAACATTTAGAGCTATTTAATTAGTAATTAAATTACAAGTAGATGTACATATGTATGCATACATATTAAATCTTGCAATTTTTAAATCGTGTCAACGTATTTAGTTTCATATAAGATGGACACACCTTCTCATAAATACATGCAACATGCATACATACCAATTTGACAATTTCTAATCAAATTAAATACTTTACCTGCCTACTCTACGAAACACTGCTTTAATAAGTGTTTCAGAAATAAATCTTAAAAATTTTAAATATTTTTCAAACTAATTTTTCCTCAAATTTAACTACAGTCGGGGGTGGCAGCTCTGGCTCCCTTCTGGCCAACCGGCTTTCCGAAGGGCACAAAGTCCTTCTGATCGAAGCGGGTGGTGAGCCACACCCACTGCAACGTATCCCAGGAATGTCCCTCTTCATGCTGAACCATCCCGAGATCGATTGGATGCACAGGACCGTTCCGCAAAGAAGGGCCTGCTTCTCCTCACCAAGCAGGGTAAGTTTTGTGCAAACTCTTCAAAGTGGACTTGCCAAATTCTAGTGAAACCTATCGAATTAGTGATAATTTAACACTTTCAAAATTTGCAAACTTGCCAAATTGTGATGGAGTTATGTAGTATGCATGAATAAAATTATAAAATTTATTGGTGGCTAATTGCACACATTTGCAAGGTAATGAAAATGACGACAAATAATTTTAATCTTATATTTTTAGAGGGCAAGTTGGTCACAAGGAATGAATTTGGGTGGTACCAGCAACCTCAATTTCATGATGCACTTACGCGGCTCCCCCAGAGATTACGACCACTGGGCAAAGGTATGAAAAATTGTTAATGTATCCGTCCAGCATTTAAATTCTTAGCGAGGTCATTCGTCAGTAATTCGGGAAGTTTGTAATGATTATTTTTGACCTAATCAAGATAATATGTCTTTGTCTTTACATCGTGTATAAAATGAGATTGGCGTTGAGACTCATGCTTCTTTCTTCTATAATGCAGTACTTCTGTGCAAACTTTACAAAGTTTAATTTAATTGCAAATTTATCTGACATTTTATGTGCCAGTTTTCATCGAATTTGTATTTTTTAACTTATTCCCGACTATACATAATTTTAAAATTAGGTGACTGGCGATGATTCTTGGACGTATGAAGCCCTGCTTCCATACTTTCGACGGCATGAAAACTATCAAGGCGACTCACCCGATCGTAAGTCGGCTATTTTTTAAATCTTTTTTTGCAGCCTTGACAAAACGTGACAAAACTTACAAAGTTCACAACTTTAAGATTTTTCCGAAATTTTGTAATTGAAACAGTTTAATTCCTTTCATCAATTTTTACATAATAATTAGTACGTAGGATTAGTGCAGATGAGATAAAATGACGGATACGTTCCATAGCTTTTCGCATCGATTTCATTGAATCAAATAAAATTAATTGTAAATGCAATTGTGGGTACAAGGACAAATGTACCACAACATTTTTTGAATTCTGTGCAACCACACCCCCTATAAAAATAAAGGAACAAAGTTCGGAAAAATGAGAAAGTCAATGTACATCGTGTAGAATAAGAGTTAGACCTATACTTGCATTTGCAATTTGACTTCCCCTTGAAATACGAACATTTTAATGCATCAAGAGTTTCAAAATTCGAAAATTGGCGGTTTTTTTACGTACACAGAAATCCTTAAAAAACGCATGGTACCACCCATTTACTTCGGACAACCCGATGCCAGATTTTTCTCCTTGGGAAGAGCTACATTTTCAGCTTTTGTTGCCCGAAGGGAATCGATGGTACCACGAGAAATTTGGGGTCAAAGTTTCTGAGGGAGGGGCTTATTTTGCAAGAGCCGTAACATACATACATACATAGTATGGCTGCTTGTGAAATACTACCCATAAAAATAATGATAAAGAATAAAGTTATTAAAGTAGCCTCAAATCGATCTAATTGTTAAAATTAAGCTTTTCTGAATTTATAATGGTGATATTCACTCAAAAATTAACGCTATAGGGCTTACCTACAGACTTATCAATTTTTCAGATAAGCAAACTTAGTTTATCTAAATCGTCCCAAATTTAAAACTTAAGCTTTTCTGAATTTATGATGGTGATATTCGCTCAAAAATTAATGCTTTGAGGCTTATCAATTAAGTTATCAATTTTTCAGATAAGCAAACTTAGTTTATCCATATCGCCCCTAATTTAAAACTTAAGCTTTTCTGAATTTATGATGGTGATATTCACTCAAAAATTAATGCTTTGAGGCTTATCAATTAAGTTATCAATTTTTCAGATAAGCAAACTTAGTTTATCCATATCGCCCCAAATTTAAAACTTAAGCTTTTATGAATTTATGATGGTGATATTCACTGAAAAATTAACGCTATAGGGCTTATCTCCAGACTTATCAATTTTTCAGATAAGCAAATTTAGTTTATCCAAATCGCCCCAAATATAAAACTCTTGAATTTATGATGACGATAATAGGAGGTATGGTGTATACTAGACACTGAACGGTAATTTCGGGTTACATATATAATAAAATGAGGCGCCTGGTTGGATGAAAAGTTTGCATGGAAAAAGTGAGACGAAGAGAAATGGATTTCATACGACCCTGACTCGAAATGATGATGGATACCCACCGCGAACCACTTTTCTCACTCTGTCTCACATTCCCATGCGAAATATGGAAAACGGTTTTGTGAAACACTTGACGTGGTATTCATCAGATGCAAGTTTTCCAATTTTTCACAATTTCAGGTGAGGCGCACGGTTTCGACGGTGAATTGAAGTTGGAAGCGCCCAGCTACACCGGGATGGCGAAAGAATTTATCCGTGCGGGACAAGAATTGGGTTACGAACATGTCGATCTGAACGCACGCTATGACGAAGGTATGCCAAACCAAGCGTAATGCAAACGCACGTTTCTAAAATCGTTTTTAATGAAAGACGATACTTTTTTAAAATTAAGGGTTCGATACGATCTTCTACCCGTTGGATTGTGGAGAGAGGAGAGGAGCGTTTTCCGCATTTTTGGAACCCTGCAGAGATCGCGAGACCCTAGTCATCAGGAAGTACGCACATGTCAACAAGGTCAGTAAAATTGAAACCAATAAATTAGTAATTTTCGGTAATTATTTTAGATAACTAGAATAGATAGCTAGGTGGACGTTTCGTAAAGCAAAAAAAAAATCAGAAACTCTATTCAGAAAATGTCAAATTAATTACTGCATTTAAATTTCGTCAGGCTCCAGCTACCTTACTAATTTCAGTTACAAGCACCAGAGTGAATTACATAAAAATCCAATTTTTCTGAGATTTTTTCTACGCATTAAAAACCTTGATAGCCTCCATACAAAAGTTACCAAGTTGCAGAGCTTTATATTAATTGTCTGCACGATCACGTTTGAAATACAAGTTTGTTAAACTGATATTACCACCCTCAATTGCTATGCATGATTATTTTGCAAGTTTTTTTTCTCAAGTGAAACTACCGGAAATTAACCGCAATATGTACATATGCATCATTTCCCTCTTAACCTTAATCTATATATTAATCTTTCCCACCACATAGTCATTCACTTACCCAACAAGAACAACAATGTGCAAAAAGATAATACTAAAATCCCGGTCGGCTTCACTTTTCATCGTGACGTTTAGAGCCATTTATTATGTGTGCACGACGTTTACTGATAATGTACAATGCTTGTAATGTAAATAGATAGTTTTACTCTGAAATATAGAAATGTTATAATTTTTTGTTTCCAGCTTCTCGTCCGTGGTCACGACACGACGGCCTACGGAGTGGAGTATGACCGCCATGGGAGGCGACGTTACGCCTACGCCACAAAGGAAGTTATTCTAGCTGCGGGAACGGTCGAGACCGCAAAATTACTAATGCTGTCGGGCATTGGGCCCAAAGCACATCTGGCTGATTTAGGGGTGAGAAAATCGGATTTGATAGCATCTTATTACAGATTAAAATAAAACGCGTGCACATGAATTGTTCAAAAACTAACGTTGTTATTCGAAAGGGTTATAGAAAAAGTCACGTGGAAATATATTTAAAAAAAAATTTTTTCCTTTAGATTTCCCTTGTGGCAGATTTACCGGTGGGTAAAAACCTTCAGGATCACTTGGCCACGTTTCTCGGCCCCTTTTTCATCGACCCTCCTCGATCCTACCTTATCGACAGGGATGTCACCCTCAAGTCATTCTACGAATACAAGTCTGACGGGAATGGCCCCATGTCCTCCTCTCTCTTCCAAGCGGCGGCCATGATCTCGTCAAAAAAGAACAAATGGGCCGGTTAGATACAAAAAATTTAAATTTAATAATTTACTCTGGCGTTTGTTATCCTGCAAACTTGGTAAATTTGCAGACGCTAGGTCCTAAAATGCACTTATTGCTTGACACTTGGTCTCTTATAGAAAGTGCATTTTTGGACATTTAGCGGTACAAGTTTTTTCCTGGGAATTTCTGTGAAATTTTAAAGCCTACAACAATTTCGACCATAAAAAATTCAAATACTTTTTAACCCGTTTTAAGGTTCATGGAATTGGCCCGACATTCAACTCCTCTTTTCCTCTCTGGCGGCACACAAAACCTTTGCCACCGACCTGGGTCACGCCTTCCACCTGAATTCCAAACCAATCAGAAAATACACCGATTCGGCTACGGGACGAGACTCGTTTTTTATTGCAGTCTCCCCTTCCCGTCCCTTCGCCAGGGGAGAGATCGTCCTAGAAAAGCGGGACCCTTACGCCCCCGTCGGGATTAATCCACACTATTTAGAAAACGAGCACGACCTCGGAATTATGATCGAAGGGATTAAAACGTCTCTTTATTTGGTCGAAAATACCACTTCGTTTCAAAATTTGAGGGCAAGATTTACTTCAAAAAAATTCCCTGGCTGTGAACACATACCGTTCAGATCGGATGAGTATTTCGAATGTTACATTCGTCACTTTAGTCTCAGTTTGAATGACCCGGTCGGATCGTGCGGAATGGGTCAAGTGGACATGGGGCGGGGCGGGGTGGTAGATTCGGAACTTAAGGTGATAGGGGTTAATGGATTGAGGGTGGTGGACGCCAGCGTGATGCCCTCAATACCGGGAGGTTAGTTGCAAAAAATTAATCTTAGGTTTTTTTTGCAAAAGTTTATGCTAAATAATGTGCAAAACGTAATAATATAATTTAGTACGCTAAATTTCATAACGATGTGCATAAATTTACGTCCAATTTTTGCACATGGCACATATATACTGAAAGTGTAACATGCTTAAAATGTCTTAATTTTGTTCTTAATTTAATGTCTTAATTTTTAATTTAGCCCCTGTGGAAGCCGCGGTCTACATGATAGCCGAGAAAGGGGCAGACATCATAATGGAAGCGTGGCGAACTCGAGGGGAGGAGGAGAAGAGGGAACAGGCTCTTAGAAATCAGCAAGGTCATCATCACACGGATGACCATGAGGGCGACGGTTTCATTCCGCACAAGTTACGTGACAATGATTTTCACGAGGGACATGGCGAACCGAATGGGCACGGGGGACCACCGAATGACGAACCCCCTTGGGTTACGAACAATAACAATGATGGACCACCTCCTTGGGTTACGAACAATAACAATGATGGCCCGCCCCCTTGGGTTACGAACAACAATGGACCACCCCCTTGGCACAATAATAATAGCCCGCCAAATAACAACGGACCACCGCCCCAATATGGACCAGGGTCACTCCCGTCAAATAATAATGGATACGGACCTCCACCTGGGCCAAGAAATAATTTTGGTGGCAACAATGGGTCAAGTCCTGGACCGTACTGGCCTCCATCGGCGTCCGAAGTTCCTCCAGCTTTTAACAGCAGTTTCATTCAGGATCCGTTTCGGGGGAACAGTAGTGGTCCGCAATTCAATAATCTCCCAAACAATGGACCTCCCAATAACGGTGGACCTCCGCCCCCCAACAATGGACACTTTAATGGTCCCCCAAATAGTGGAAATGGACCATTCAATAATAATGGTCCCATGAACAACAATGGTCCTGTGAACAACAATGGTCCAATGGGAAATAATGGGCCCCCAAATAGTGGAAATGGACCATTTAATAATAATGGGCCCCCAAATAGTGGAAATGGACCATTCAACAACAATGGTCCCATGAATAATGGTCCAATGGGAAATAATGGCCCCCCAAATGGTGGAAATGGACCATTCAATAACAATGGTCCCATGAACAATGGTCCTAACAACGGCCCAATGGGAAATAATGGCCCAATGGGTCCCATGAACAACAATGGCCCACCACCCCCCTCCGACTTTTCCCTCTTTCCCACCTCGGGTAACTCTATCGCAACCATGATGACATTTCTCACCGAATCCTCCACCAATAATCCCATTGGGTCCAGTGTCCCAATTCTTGATCATCCCGACCCTGCCACCCTTCTTAACCACACCCCTTCCAACCAATTCGATTTCACCACTACAGAATCCTCCCCCACAACAAACAAACCGTCCCGTTTCGATGACCATGACATGGAATCCACCTCGACGACGACGTCTTCATCCATAATTCCGCCGCCCTCCGCCACACGCCCCAACCTTGTCGACGACGAAACCAATTTACGCCCCGGCCTGCAAATTAGTAATCCATTCCCGGACGAGGCTTACCGCCAAGAACAGCGAGAATTCCAATTAAGATACCCAATCACGTCGAGTGTCGAATATTTCAACAATATTCCGCACGTGCCAGGCATTGAGTTTCCTAATTTGGGGCCCCTCCGGAGTCAGACCCGACCAACCGTGTTGACGATGGCGACGAATTCCGGGGCCCCGCCAACCACCGGAGTTCCGAGCAGTGCAACGGTGCCAGATATTTATTACAAGATTAAGGACGGGTCCAGTTTGAATAATTTAGCAGCGGATGAGGCGGATTTGAAAAAGATGCAGGAACAGGGTGACACCTCGAGTAGTGCCACGTCCAATTTGAACGCGGTTGAGGTTAAGGTGAGTTGTAATACATAATGCTAAGTAATTGAAAATATGAAGAAGCTGGCTCGGGCTAAAGGAAGTCTGCATTGTAGGTTTTTAATGCATAAACTGCATTCATAAGTATTGAGGCTGGAATTTCTGGGGCCAAGAACAATCTGCGTGGATTTGCAGAGCAAATTTTGTGTCACGGTGCAAAATTTGCAAGCTTACCATGCTTATCTTTCATACATTTCATCTCTTCTCTCTTTAGAGACGTAGAAATACAGGTATATAATATTTACTGTGAAAGTCAAATTTGCTTTCACTCGGTAAATGCAGAATGCTTTTAAAATTGCCTTTGATAGAGTCAGATAACGTTGATTAAATAATTATTTTCATTGCATAGACTTAACACATTTTTGTTTATCATTTAGGTCCCAATGTCAAAATCTCCCTATTGGACGAACCCTCTTCCTGTCACAACCACACCCACTACAAATCCTTATTACGTCAACGCATCTCCATCCCCCAAATCTCGATCCCCACTGGACGACAACTTCACCCCGACGCCATCTCCCTCGTGGAAAAACCCGGGTAAAATCGCAATCCTCAAATCCTTTCCGGGCAGTGGGACTAAAGGTCGCGTAGTAAGAATCAAATCTGGCAACATTGGTGTGTCCTTATCAACGACGGCGTCACCATCTCACAGCGACTACCATATCGGTCCAGGAAACAAAAAAATAAAAATCAGGATAAAACATAAAAATTTCCCGGAAAATACAGAATCGGACAACCATCAGAATATTCAGCCTTACTTTTCATCGAAAGATAACCATGTCTCGTCATCCTCAACTCGAACGTCGATAAGTATCAAAAAGTCGAAATCAAAATCTCGTGGATTTTTTTCAAATTTAAAATCCCCCTTGACAATTACGCCACGTCCCCTCTTGTCCGTAACGATATGGCCGGATGAGCTAGGCGGAGAAAAAAATTCGACACAAAACTTTGAAAATTTTTCGGATTTTTCATCATCAAATAATAATTCCGATTCTGAGACAAGCTCGACAATGTTATTGTCCGCATTGGCTGAGGCGACGATGGACGTTTTACGTGGGCGCGACCCTGAAAAAACTTACGACGAGGAAGGCAACGTGCCAGAAGTGCAAGATTCAATGGCGTCGTATTCAAATTTGAAAGGTCTAAATTTGCCCCAAATTTCTACAACGATTCAACCACCGACACGTTTCGATGATGTTTCGATAATAGCCCAAACTTATCCGAGCTCCTTTATCGAAAAGTTTCCGATCTTCGATAAATCAACCCCGCCTCCATTAACATTTGGAAAATCGATAGCACGACCACCATGGACCCCGTCGCCGCATTTGTCGACACAGCCTAATTCAAATTGGTCACTATCGACTTCCGGTTTCTCTAACGTTATCCGTGATAAGTATAACGCTTTTGAACCCCATCCTGCCTCTGTCGACCCGACGTCTCGATTTCCTACCAGTTTTGTAGAAAAACATCCTGAAACCGACTCGACGACAGAAATGTCCGCCACTTCGTTCACTTATCGGACTAATTCAGATAAGCACAATATAGGAACGACTTCAAGACCTCGACAACGCTACAATCATCACGGAACTGGGCTTCCACGACCAACGACGACACATAAACCCGTCTTATCTCCAAAACAGTATCAGAATGAACAGAAGCAACTCGACGATAACGTCAATGAATCCTCCCAGCAGCAAAATTATCGCCAAAAATTCACCAGTTTCTATAACACGGGACGCAAATCTAGTTTCGGACGGAGCTACGGTCATCAAGTTGATGTCAGTCCAGGGTCATCGGAAAATCCCGCTCTTGTCGGAACTGGGAGTAACTTGAGACAGGATGGACATCAGACACCCGCTGGGCGTTGGATAAGTCAAATGTTGGGGGCGTACGGCTATCCTGGAGCATCCGGTAGTGAGCAGGGAAACCTTCCAGATTTGAGGAACGTTGGAAGCAGGGAGAAAAACGGGGATAATTCGGGAGTAGAAAATTTCAGATTTTTTAAGGAAAATAAGGAGGACGCGGTGCGAACTCAGGCGAGTCAAAACTTTGATCAAAATTTGAACAATTTCCAAAATCTGGGACAATATGGGGTGCATAATCCAGGACAAAAGTTCCAAAGTCAGGAACAAACTGGGCTTAAAAATCAAAATCATGATCAAAACTCGCAAAATGTTAATAAGTTCCGACCTACCTCGCTTACAACCCCAGCACCAAACTCTTACCATGATCATCAACATCAAAATGACCACCAGAATGCACCTTCTCCTCCGCCTGAAAACTTTGGGGGGAATAGTAATTTTCCAAAAAATAAGAATTTCCCCCAAAATTCCGGCCATTTTAATTCAGGAGAGCAAAAAGTCGACTTTTATTCTCAAAGTAATTCACAGTTGAGGGGAAATTTTGACTATTCACAGACCCCGGTGGAAGAAAATTTCAAAATAAATCCTGAAAATTTGGAACCACAAACGCTAAGTTTGCCAACAGATTTTAGTAATAATCGGGACAGAAATTTGCACAATTTGGGACAAAATAGTGGAACTCAGAACAATAATCATGACCTGAAGAACAAACACATTTTCGTATTTACCGACACCAACGCCGAGCAGAAACCACTAGTAAATTCGGGACAGGATTTTAGGGGACATTCAAACGAACAGGGTGCAAATTTGGACAAGAATTTTCCTCAAAACCAAAAGAATTTTGGACACCATGCAGGTTTAAACTTTGAACAACCGTTTAAACCTGCAGGACAAAACAGTGGCGAACAAACTGGAGGACTGAATACTAATTTTGACCAACAGCGGAAAAACGAAAATTTCCACGGGACCAATAACGTGGGTGGGTACGGGAATGGTGGAAATCAAGATTTACGGCAAAATTATGGACATTCTCAAAACTCTGGGCAATTTGTTCCTGGACAAAGTGGCAACTTTGATGAAAATAAACCAATTGGACATGACAATTTTCCTGGGCAAAATAATGGCCAGGGTGAATATGGAAATGGGGATGCAGGACAACATCGCAAACACAATAATGAAAATTCTCAAAATGCGGGCCACATCAATAGACAAAATTCAGGGAATAATCACAATTTCGGACAAAACTTACAAAACCCGTCATACTCTAACCCGAACTTGGGACAAAATTTTCCCAAAAATTTCCAAAATTTAGATCCCCAACATCATCAACATCACACCACTCCATCCCCAAACCTGCAGCCAACTTTCACCACCCCTGCACCAAACTTCAACCCAAACACTTTAGTCACTCCTGCCATGCAAATGTTTCAAAGTCCGCATGTTTTCGAACACCACACCACAACGGGAATTTCTCCACCTGAAATTCCCAACCCAACTGATCACCTTTCCCGTCCAGATTTTCTCCCCGACACCGAACCGTCGCCACAATATGATTATTTTCCCGCACCAACGTTGGGCAGCGTTGACGTGGGTCAGGTTTCCTTGACGTATGACGATACCGGGTCTACGAGCTCGCTTGACCCCCCAGTAATTTCAAATGGTGACGTTATCCACCCGCCCACGATTACAAATGGAACAGATAACCAGGCAAAGGTTCAGATTAACGATGTAATGATAACAACGCATGATAACCCTGCGGAGGGAGGTCGTGACCTTGATGAGGGGCATCATAGAGATTTTCAATCTTCTGGAGGAGAAAATTCGAATCAAAATGTGCTAAACTTTGTGCAAAATGCGGAAAATTTTGGGTACAGCCAAAGCCAAAATCAAAATCAAGATTTCAGAAAAACTCAAAACTTAAATCATAATCAAAATTTCGGAGAAAACCAAAATTTAAATCAAAACCAAGATTTCGGACAAAACCAAAATTTGAATTATAAAGATTTCGGGCAAAACCAAAATTTAAATCAAAATCAAGATTTCGGACAAAACCAAAATTTGAATCAAAATAAAGATTTCAGACAAAATCAAAATTTAAATCATAATCAAGAATTCAGACCAAACCAAAATTTGAATCATAATAAAGATTTCGGGCAAAACCAAAATTTAAATCAAAATCAAGATGTTGGTCAAACTGTTAAAAACTTACACAAAGACATTAAAGATTTCCAACAAAATTCAGACAACTTCGACCGAGACGTTCTAAATTTTTATAAAGAGTTAGAAACCTTGAACCAAAATTCTCCTCCTTTCAACCAACCTAGGCCCGATCAAAACCAAAATTTTCAGGAAAATACTCAAAATGCAGATGGGCAAAATTTCCATCAAAATTTGAACCACGTTACTCCAAAGCCTTTCTCCCAAGAACTAGAATTCGTCCCATCCGTCATCGTCGACCCTTATCCCCACCCATTCGACGGTTTACTCACGCCAACCGGCACGCCCACTTTGACGCCAACGCCACGCCCCTTTGTTAACCCGTCGACCACGCCACGCCCATTTATTGACCCTTCATCAACGCCTCAATTCCTCACAACTCCACAACCAGCAATTTATGGTCGAAAAATCCCCCAAAAGCAACGTGACCCTTTCGCCAATTTTGGCGACACTTTTACCACGACCGTAGTGGTTGACCCGGTCGGGTATGACCATCACTATTTTGGGAGCGGAGGTCACGAGGATGGGTTTGGTTTCACGTTGACAACGCCGGTCCCAAACTTTTCGACAACCTTTCATCCCGATGTATTTGACGGGAGGAGAAATTTTGATGCGCCAACGCCACATCCGTCGCATCATGAAATAAACTTTGACCCCAAGACGTCTACTTCGGGTCAAAACAGCCAAGAATCTACATCGGTCTATCCAAATAATGAACCTTATCGTATCCACCATGAGTCCACTTCCGGTGAACATTCCGCTCAAAATCAAGGGTATCATGCGAGTCCAGAAGCTACTTCCGGTCATGATAATGGGCCCACTTCAGGGTCACATTTTGGGCATAATAATCCATCACCCACGCCACAACCTGGCCCTCGCGAGTACACAATTTATTCCGACCCTGATACCGTTTACATAACGGAAGAGCCTCAAAAGACCGAAGAATTTCGCCTCGCCAGTAATAATTTCCAGTATCGGAAGGGCGTCACGGACGATGCTGGACAAGCAGATGACAACGAGATGTCGACAACGACGGAGAAAAGTGTCAACGACGAGGATAGGGCGACGAAGCGAATCCAGCACAGGAACACCCACTTGATGAGAAGGGCGGATATTTTGAGGCAACGCAGAAGGCGGAAAAATAGGAAAAGGGGTTGGTTAAGGTATGTAAATGAGGAGTGATAAGCATTGGCTTATCCCTTCGAAGTTATTTTGTTTGAAGTTTTACCGAAGCTCTGAATATTTTAATATTTGCAAAAAGAAACATGCATATCAAAAATTGTAAGCATCTAATTTTTGACCCGTAGAAAACGATAATTTAATGCCATTTCTTTGTTTTCAGCTTTTTGCTTTGTGAATTTATGGGGCACATACAAAATTCTAACACATACATATGCACCCTAATCGTATGTATGCATTCTTTTCAGACAAAGAATCAATTCTGAATTCCATGCAAATTCCATGAAATCAGAATTGACTCTTTAAAGTTCTGTCTACAAATTTGGATTCAAATGGTATCAGGCAATTTAACTGAAAAATAACTGAATTTTAAGTATTTAAATTGCAAAATATTTAAAGCGTGGATACAAATTTGTAAATGCTAAAATTGTGAACTAGTATTCGAAAATTATTTTTTACGAAATTTCAAAATTTTGACCCTAGCTTGCGCTGTAATACAGTGTGTTTAGTTTTTTTCGTTCTAAAAAATCTAATAAGTTTGTCGAAGCCTAAAAACTAAATTTTTTTTGCGAAGGGGTAGCCGGAGAAAATTCGACTCGGATATTGACAGCGATGATGAGTCTGATGAAGAATTTCAGCGTCCATTTCGCCCCACGAGAAATCGGCGACCCCACAGCAGACGTAGATTTAAAGAAGAAATTGAAAATTATCCCTTTCGAAAGAGATCCTCATCCGAATATGATGAAAACATAGACATTTTACCAATAGAACCTAGTAATTCAACGATACAATCTTCTCATGAAGATGAAACTTACGCAACGACAACACCGCAACCAAAATCTAACAATACAACAAACAAAAGAAGAAAGCATAGGAAGAAATTAACGCAAGATGTCGAAATCAAAGCAGAAACACCAGCACCAACATCACTTCCGGTGGAATCAGAAGCAATTTTACTCAACAAAACAAACTCTCTGAAGAATCTGTGATGTAAATAATTTATTAAAATTGTCGTAAGTTAACTTGTTATGTACTTGATTTTCAAGCCTTCCAATATTTTGTTGAGATGTGTTATGTGTTGCATACATTTGTAGATATGTAATTAATGAGATTATGATGAAACGACTTGATTGATTTAGTTACTAATTATTGGCGAGTTATTTTCGATGCATTATTTATATTTATATATTGATTTGTTTGAATTTTTATGGGATTTTATATCCATACCTATTCCTTAAATAAAATATTAAATTAAATGTACATGTTAATTTGCATACAATTTGCAACAAATTATAAAATCCGGCATTTTGAAAGTACCCGACTTAGACTGACTTGTAATTTTTGAAAACATTTACTGGCCTCGACTATAAGAATCACTTTCAGAAGGCTTACGAAACGATTGACTCTGTCCACGTCAATATCCACGGTCTGGTCGGCGTTTAATTTCATCTTTAAATTATGGTACATGTTTGGTTAAAAATCGGTAATAGAAACATGATAAATTGTCATCGGGTAACCCAAGCATTCTTAATTGACTCAGTCTTTTAATAGTATCAAGTAATAAAATATTTATTTGCTAAAAAATAGTTGTACAATTAATTTCAAACTAATGACCCAAATAAAAATGTTTGCATTTATACAAAATAAGTTTACACATAATAAAGAGTCAGTCTGTTCTATTGCTGCAAATCTGCCAGTGTTTCCACTTGTAGCAGTAGTTGTTGTTCCACTATAATCCTGTCCTCCTGTGGTCGGGAATCCAGATTGCCCGATATAAATAATTCACCTTCCTCCTGGTCGCCACCGTGCAGATGACGATGATGATACTGGACGTATTCTTCTTCTTCTTCGGGAGTTTTCAACGTCGCCAGTGTTGTCGTAATAACGGTGACTTCCTTACTTGGTGCTGGAGCCTGATCTTCTTCCATGACCAGCAACCTCAGCGACGACACGTTCCCACCACTGATGTTCCCATGTTCCACGACATCTTCTGCTTTTGGGAGGAGGACTGTGCCCTTCCTCAACACGGGTTTTTGTTCCCCTCTCCTCCTCCGGTGGGGATTGTCGTGCCGGATGATGTGCTTCTTCAAATGTTGGGGTCGCTTAAATAATTGACCGCAAAGGTGACATGCTAATGTTCTCCGGTTTTCGTGGATATCTGCAATGTGTCGTTTCAACTTGCCAGAATCTAGGGAACAAATTAAGCTCAAAAACTAGGGTACAAATATTCACATTTTCTTGGGTCTCACCGGAAACGACAACTGTGCAAAGATGACATTGGACAGCCAATTCATTTTTTCCATCTGCGCCATGCTCCTTTTTGACGTGTTTGTACAATCCAGCCTGACTTAAGAAGCGTCTTTCACATTGGTCACACTTGAACCTCTTCTCACGCGGTACGTTGGGATGAATTAAGCTGAACAAATCATTGACTGAAAATATTTTCCAAACAAGGCTTTCAAAAGCTTGCCTCCCTACCTGATGTGAGAATTTAACATTTGCAGCGTTTTCGACGTATGGCCACAACGGAAGCAGAGAAATGGCTTTTCCTTAGTGTGTCCTCTCTCATGAATGAGAAATCTCTGCAAACAAATTACAATAATCAATCTGCATATTTATAGCTATCCAAAATTAGCGCAATAATGATAATTTCAACTCACGCTTTTGTGACGAAACGATTTAGGACAATACGAACATTGAATTTTAGTCTTGCTTGTTTTCTTTTCCGTGTGAAATTTCCTTTGGTGCGCTTCCCATTTTCGCCTTGTGTGCAATATTGTATCACAATTTGGACATTTGTGTGGACCGCGTAAGAGTGTTCTTCGTGGCGGTGGAACTTTGATAGACATTTGCTCGAGTTCACGAAGCGTTAGGTTGTCCAATTTAATTACTGGGTTGAGATCCTTGGTCACTGTGGATGGAATAACGCGTAAAGGAGCATAATACCGGAAGCGCGGTTTGCCAGGATGGGATTGTGGTGCCTAAAAAATGAGTAATTATTGCCAAATCTTCTTTCTAGCATGTAATACAAAAAGGAGAAAATTTTAGAATATTTTTCAAATGGCAAACTCACTTTACTTATTTCAGTTTTTATATTCGTCCGTTGCTTTCTCTTTTTGTCTTTCACATTTTGGTTAAAGCTGTCGTCACTATCCAGGTCGGATCCTTGTGGAACAAAGTAGTAATCACCATCATTATCTGATTTTTCGACCTTCACAAAATTTTCATATTCAACGTGAACGGGTTCAGTCTTAATGTCCTTGTCCGGCATGATGGTGACCAATTCAAGTTTTGGATGAGAAGGAGGAGACAAATTATCCTGTCCAGAAGAAAGGGCATTTTTTCGACTCCCACCAGCGGTCGATTTCCGTGCAGTGAGTTTTCGACTGGTTGGCGATTTGCTAGCTACGTGACGACGACCTATGAAATTATGAATTGAAAAGCGATATACATATAGATCACACCAAGTTGGTGGCACCACAGTAGACATAAAATTATAAGGCATTTAATTACCAGTAATGGATTTCTTATTTTCAGTCGATGTAACATTGTGTAATGTCGAAGGTCGTGTATTTGATCGTTTTTCTGATCGGAATATTTTCTTGACGTAATAATCATCATCGTCATTGTCGTCGTCCATTTGTCGCCCAGCTATTAAACAAACACAACAAACATTGCTAATGTTCACATTCGGAATGTGACATTCCATAAAAAATCGGGTTCAAGATTTTCGAAACAAAAAGTTACCAAATGTGTTCAAATCGAACTGGATCCATTTCGCCAATTCTACGACAAGTTTCTCCAGCATTGCTACACGCCCGGATAATATGTCCAGTCCTTGGTCACTCTTCTTCTCCATCCTTCCCAAAATATTACTTAAAAACTAAATTAAAAATTCTAATGTTTTTGTCAACATTACAAGGCTACTGAAAGTTCAGCACAACAGATCGCAGATGTTTATTACGCGGGTGAAACCCCTTTATGGTTTTGCAATGTCTGTCCGTCGGCCCGTTTCATAAAATCTCAAATAATGATTTTCACCACGTGTTTCGAATTCGTCAGGACCTTGCAAGTTTGAAGTTGGTGATCATGGGGTACACCCCCCTTGGCTGGGGTGTTTTAGTCGAAATTAGAAATTTTTGATATGTCGTTCACGGTGGTGTTCTACATTCCATAAGACTATTTTGAAACCAGTGGGTGGGTGTGTGGGAGGTCGGTTCCCACCCACAATTAAGATTTTGTGACATAGTTTCGTCCCTTTGTTGCTTTCGTTTGTAACGTGTCTCATTCCGTCAAGTATCAATCCTGCTAAAAACGAGGCAGAATGAGACGTCATTTGATGAGAATGAGACGACTCATGAGTAAACGACGTCTCATTCTGCCTCGTCCATGAAATGAATTTCATGAACCTGTTTCTCTGCAAATTTCTTGTGCAATTGTTCAGCCAATTAATATTAAAACACACCCTCCCACCCATCTACCCTTTTCCACATTTTTTATTTCACATTTAATAAATTTATACTTGACCACATTTCATAATTTTCACACTTAAAAATATTGATTGATTTTGATTAGATCCTCTTGATAATTATAACAATCTGCACCCACCCCCCTCATCCTCCTCCCACGACCACGGGCCAAATCAAACCAACAATTAACAATAATCCTGGTTAAACACATTAATTAATTAATATAATTAAACTGCACACAGATTTACGTATCTCTCTCAGACTTTCTCAAACCTTTAATTAAAAAGCAATTACATGCAACTTACACTGCAACAATTAATTAATACGACAACTATAAATTAAATTTCACATCACTACAGATTATCCAACACATATAATTTGACTCATTAGCTGACAACGACTAACTATGCTACTCTAGAGCATAGTTAGAATTCCATTTATTTAATTAATAATATCATCCTCTCCATTAAATACGTACATTTACATAATTTTATAGTAAAAGCAGATATGAAATTTATAACAGTTTCATGAATTTGTACACAATTTGTTTAAATTGTAGTCTGATTTGATTTTAACCCAGCTTTTCTCCCAGGTCAGTAGGTCATCATCCTAAAGTTTGTATAAAGTTTTAAAATTTTTAAACTTTTTAAAATTTGTGTCCTGTCAAAGATCAGCCTGTTTTTTTCTATATTATGTACAACTCATTCACTTTGGAACATTGAAATTTCACTAAAACTACAAGAATTCACAATCATCATCATTTTTTGATAACAACAATATAGTTTTAAAGCTCATATGTATCATCATCAAATTACTTACGTTTAGAATTCTGGAAATACACAATTTTTCTAATTTCTACACACACGTAATAAAATGTCAGCATTTTTCTATACAGTTCTTGTGCAAAATTGACTGCGGAGCAAAATAGGCCGGGTTTCACTTTAGACTTTCAAACATTTCATTACTTTTTAGAATAAAATGATGTCCAGCTTTCTTAGCTAATTATAACTAACTAACTAGTTCATTAACGAACTATCTACCTACTTACCTATCTACCTATTCTAATTAATCGTAAATATGTTAAATATATTAAATATATTTTAGTACCTTAAATTGTATAATCAGTTTCATGATGAGAGGAAAAGTAGATTTTTTTCTCAAGGTTTATCATCCAGTTTCATATACTCGTTGATTAGGTTTCGGAAAAGGTAAAGGTAAAAGCTTTGCAATTCAGTCTAAAAATTATCAGATTTTCAAACTTTCCAAGCCATCACAACAACACGAACGACAACGACAATGACGACGTAATACATACCTATCAGATCAGATCAGATGGATATGTAAAGTCAACAACAATCAGTAATTAACTAATTATAGAGCACGACAACAATCACGAACAACGACAATATAACAACCAATGATGATGGTGATCAGACAGTCAGGATATGATAAGTTCATATGCATACCCGATCTATGTCCTCTCTTGCCTAATTCGTTGATGCGCTAAACCAGCTTTTTTATAAGAACTAATTTGGGAAAATTAGTCATTAATAAATGTTAACTTATATAATTATTCTAACTTATAATTCAATCCTAGTCGCTACATTTTTCCACCTCCACGCTTGGTTGGAACACGGGTAGTTTACATTTACAGATACATAAATAATCTTACTTTAGCCACGACTGACTCCTTCCTTCCCATCGTGTCCCAAAAACAGTTACTTATCTAGCACAAAGACAGACACCACTATTTTCAAAGAATTACAATGTGAATTACTGACTACAACAACATTTATTAAATAATGTCAACAAAATTATAAAGTAATTCATGAACAAAATACTGATACTTGATTAAAAAAATGACTAAAATAATAGCAAAACCGTGAATAAATAATGAACGGACAAAATAACTTAAAAACGGAGGTAGTAAAAAATGTTTGATTGAGTATTTCATGTTTTGTCAAAAAAATATAAAAATTAAAGCTGCATTTTTGTGCTTGTGTTGGTTAGGTTTCGTTAATCGTATCGATGGGTTATAAACTATTATCACATATTGAATTTTGGTTAATAAAATGTTAAAGAAAAATGGTAAGAAGGATGTTTTCTTCAGAGCAGATTTGGTTGGAGTTACTGCTCTTAATAATTCTTACTCCTTGGTTTAATAGATTCTGACACTTGCCAAAGTTCGTCATCGTTGAGAGATTCATTAAAATTGTTGAGGAAATTTAGCAAGGGGTCATTCCTTACGAAGCCGTAGTTGCTTTTGGAAGAAAATAACAAAATTGGGCAATTAGCATTTTATTAGCGAAATATATAGATAAGGTATATTTGTGAAAGTATCTGTATGCATACCAGGCGTGGAATCGTCTCACAGGTTCCAAGACGACCCATTGTTGCCATCTCTTTACCCAGTTTACTTTCCCGTCCGGGAGTAGATCAACATTTCCAATGTGGACAAATGTCAAATCCTGGAGCACCAATCCACTGAAAGATAGTAATAATAACCGACTTGAATTATAGACTAAAGACAAACCTCTATGTATTTATGTCTTTGCATGTCGTTGAAAATTGTACATAAACAATTGTACAGATGAAATATGTACTTACATGTATGGAATGCAGGGCGGTTTACTTTCACCCAACGCGTGACGATAGGTTCTGAAGGAGCCGGAAGAGTCGGTCAATGCGGCGTGGGGTTTGAGAGCTTCAGTCAACCTCCTGGAAAAGCCAAGCCGTCGAATGGGAGCAGAATCCAGGGCAGCCAAGACGGCGAGGAGAGAATTAAAGTTGTTGAATTCTCTCAATTTGCGCATGACCTCAATCATCTTCTTCATGGTGCGATTCCTCTCACGGCTGTTGCAGCAGAGGAGCACCTTCGACCTCGACCTAAAGCAAATGCACAAATGGTTTAATTCCTGCTACTTCTCGTGATCATTTAATTAATCTCAAGTTTCTCTCCTCACCAGTACGAAACCTTGTTGAAATGCTCCGTAAAATTGTTGAGTGCTGGACAAAAGTCTTCGCTTTGTTCCCTCGCCCAAAGGAGGAGTTCGGCTGGCTCGAGCTGGCGAAATAGTTCGGCGTCGAGCAGCGTCATTTGTTGGGCGATACAGGTAGCACTAAAGCTGAGGAGGGATTTTGGTCTGCACAGCATAAATGTTCAAGGATCAGTTTTTCAAATTTGCATAAAATATTGCAAAAAATATTTTAGCTTACTCTGCAGTGACGGCCAAACTGGCCGGAGTTGCCCTTGGGCAGAGGAGTTTGACCCGAATTGAATACTTTTGTATGAGCCCTTTCCTGGCCTTCAACGCACTCTGGATTTCCCCCGTGGCGACGAGATGGTAAATCCTCTCTCTCAGAATGCTGACCATTCCTTCCTCCAGGTCCATGGGTGTCAAGGAGTTGACGACGTCCACCCAAAGATCCAACGTGGCTCGGGCATGGAGTAGAGAGATCCGATCAGTTCGACCCTGGTGAAAGTATTGGTAGCGACACCAGAGGAGATTCACGACGTCCAGAGGACGCACAAAGGTACGATACGTCAGGAGAAATACTTCACGGAAGCGGACGTCTACATCAGAAATTCACACAATTTGTAATGAATGACTAGATGGGAGGAAAGTAGAGTGTAGATACCTTTGAGATCCGGGCTGGCAGCATATACGATGAGGAGGTGAGGTTCTCCGCCCTTAATTGCGGGCCCTTCCCCCAAACCACTCCTGCTCGAGGAGGACGAGTGGTGCCGACTGCTGCTGCTTGACGACTCGTTCTGCACCAGACTGGGTGTGGCGTCAATAATGTAGAGATCTCCGTTCGCCATGATTACTGCTTCCTCCGCCGTCATCACAGTCGCTTGTCGAGGGCTACAACCACAAAAAATACATGTAAAAAATAATTGTAATTAACTAAAACTATGGACATATGTAAATGAGCAATCTCACCTCGTGGAATTCTTACTGGGTGAGGCAAGTCCACTGCCAACTGGACTTGTGGGACCACTGCCAGCAAGTTCCTGTCCCAAACCTTCATCCCCATCCATTCCATATCCTGGGGACACGATGGGTGAGGCCACTCGGCTCCCAGGACTGGACGCCTCCTCCTCCTCACTCCCACCACCAGCACCGCCAAAAAGTTGTCGAGACTCGTGTCGTTCTTGTTGCCGTTGAGGAAGTTGCGAGTATCGTTGCTTGGGTGGCAATGCCGGCGGAGGGACGCCACCACTCGCTCCCTCGTCGCCATTATCATCGTCATCGTCATACCCAGCACTGAGCCGTCGCCGTATCCCTTCTCCTGCCCAAATCGACGTGGTTGTTGGACTGGTCATCTCCTCCCCTTCTGACAGCCGCTGGTGGTCATAGTTGGAAGTCGACGTCGTCAAGTCTTGGCGATGAGAGAACATTCCTTCCGACCGTCCTCCAATACTATTGCCAGCAGCGGCAGCCAGAGCTCCCGGATTGGCAAGTGTCGCACTTCTCTCCGCTCGGAATGCGGAAGCTCTCCTCCTTTGCTCGAGATTGGTATTGTCCACCCCGGAGGCGACGGATGCCAAGTGTTGGTGGTGAATGGCGTTGAGGTGGTTGTGGAAGTGGGAGTGGTGCTGTTGCTGTTGTTGAGAGTAGGACTCGAAATTGTGGAGAAATTCGACATATGCAGCAACTAAATCAAACAAGAAGTCAGCTAAGTTTTAAGCCAAGGTTTTTGCACATGGGGGTTTTGTGGGATTCATTTGATTTGTGTTATACGAATGGTAGAAATATTTCGGGACTTACTCAGACTGTGTTTTTTCTTTGGTGGGAGTGGAGGTCGGCCATCATCATCGTCGCCACTTCCGCCAGCTGCCCCTCCACCCACCAACGTGCTCCTGCTCTCCGAATAGGACATGGCGTTCCTCGAGTGATGCTGGCGGTGAAAAGCGTCCCTCAAGGACGAGGGTACTCCTTCCCCATGCCACGTCACGTGATCCGTCGCGTCCACATTTTCATACGGTGATGGACATCGATCTCCTCCTCCTCCCCCATAATTCGCACCCACGGAGGCGGCCCCATTCCTCACTCCGCCCCCATTCCCATTCCTCGCCAAGAGGACGAACTGTGCCCGATTAACCTTCTCTGGAAGCTTGGGCGGTGGTGCGAGGTCATCCACGTCCTCATCATCCTCATCTTGACCCTCTCCAAACACATCGTCACGATCAGAGTTGACCAAGCCTTGCGCGGACAAGTGTCCCCCCAGGCCAGACGAGGACGAGACGGAAACCCTGTTTCCACCCGAACTGCTCCCAGGACCCGGACTCAGCCCTGACTGAACGGACGACGAGTCCACAAGCAGCAAGTTGTCCAACGACGACTCGAGCGAGATGGACATTTGCGACACACTGTCATTCTTGGCGGCAGATGCGGCACACTGTCGACGTAGGAGTTGGCCCAAACTTCCCGAAATGCTGTGCATGACGTCCTCTTCCTCCTCCCCTCGTGCTCCTCGTCTTGCGGGGGATACGAGTCTGAGTGGGTTCGGTGCTTGGGGTGCTGGTGGCTGGTGTGACGGGGGGCATAGAGCGAGGGGTTGGAGGACGTCGCTATCGGCGTGTTGGTGAACTGCTGGTTTCGTGAGGAGGATCGAGACGAAGAAGTGCACGAGTGCGTGGTCGTGGAGGAGGAGACGTAAATGGAGGACTCTGTCCAAGGGGAGGACGACGAGTCAACCGTGGTCTCAAATCTGGACGAATTCATCATCCTTCTCCCCGAAGACCCCGCAGGATCGCCCCCTCCACACCCAGATCCGTGCTGACTGAACGACCTGTGGTGTCGACTGGTGGGTGTGGTCGCTGCTGACTGTGCTAACCAAGCGGTAAGATGGTTCTGTTGGTCCATGGGTGTGGCAGAGGAGAGGAGCTGACCCTGCAGGTTGTGGAGGAGCTGGGCAGCCACCCCCACCCCGCTGCTGGGCGACATTGTCCTCGGGGTGGAGGAAGAGGAGGAGTTGGCGGGTGCCGAGGTGGGGAGATCGGTCGAGGAGTCGAAGGACTTCCCCATCCAGAGCTGCTTCAGTTTTGGGGGGAGTGGTGGCCTGGAAAGAAAGTGGATCAATGGGACAGGTGCAGGTATTTCTGGGATTAGTCGCGAATCAAAGTCCTCAATGCAGACACATCCATATTGCGTCTCATTTCAGCCCTTTCATCCTTTAAACCTCTTAATTTGCAGCCTCCTTTTCCTCCTCACAGTGCCAATTAATCCTTCTGCTCACACAAATCATGGCCTTCCTTTCTCCTAAATCATAATCCTTAACACGTTCCTTGCTAAAACATTTCAATCCTTGACGACCTTCATCATCGTCGCCGTCGTCGTCGCTGGCTTTCTCCTACTTTCTCCACCCTTGTGAAAAGTATGTTTCCTGATTCCGCGGATTTTCCACCTCTAGAAAAAAAACACTCTGTTTTCCTCTACTCCTTGGACTTTGAATTCAGAGTGGTGCCCATCCTCGGGTTTGTGAAGTCTGTCCTAAAATGGACTTTTTGGAGTGGTCGATGATGGATGGATGGAGAGATGGATGGTTGGTTGTGGTGGTCGTATTTGTACAATTTAGAAGGAGCTGAATCGATAAAATCCATACTCGGTCACGATTCACAACTTGTGAGTGCAATGAGAGAGACGTGAAGCAAGAAGAACTTTCTCCTTAGACCCACCAACCAAGCAATCTGCAGGTACTTCACTTGCTCTGCCTGCCTGCCTTACTCACGTACGTAGAGCAGCCACCTCTTCAACTTTGGACTACCCAACCAACCTGACACACGTCCACGTCCTCCCAAGGAGCAAATCAAACCGGGAGGAAAAGAAGAAGTGCTTAGAACAATGAATCCAGAGGACATCTCTCTATTAGTGCAGAGACACGATTCAAAACCAACAACGGTACCCACTTAACACTGTTTATCTTGCGCCCTAAGTGGACCACGTCCAACAAACAATTCAACCCTGCAAAAACATTACTATTCAACAAGTCGTCTCATCTTTGGCAAGATTATTTTGCGAAATGAAATGAATCAATAGGCTTTTTTAGCAAAGAAAAGTGATTCCAAAGAACGTGGACTTTGTTTGCTTTCACCAATCAAGGGAAGCCATGCAATGATACGTTTGTGTATGGAATGCTCGAAGATAATGAGGCTGAAAGGGTATTGGATGATAAGCATGATGATGACGAATGCATGGAGTTCTTACATACTTTCTCCGCCACTTTCCACTTTCTCACCATTAGTTTTCCCCATATTTTGAGCTTCTCTCTCCTCTGGTGGAGTAGTTTTGGGTGAGTGTGTGGATTGGATTGTGTGTGTGTGTGTGGACTGGATGGATTGGATGGCTGGTGATGAATGAATTTTTAATGGATTTGGCAGCCACAAGCCGCCGTAATAATAATAGAACGTACTCCTTCCCTGCCTGCCTGCCTGCCCATGCATGTTCCGGCCGTGAATGACGTCCGTTTTCTTCCCAAACTTTCTCTTCATACTTTCACCTCGTCAAAACGCCACCTTCTCACTCGCTCCCTGCTTGCTCATCATGGTGGCCGAGAAAAATATAAATTTAGCCCTCTTTTCAATTTCCTGCTACCATCGCGATGCATGCATGGACGTAGGCAAATTTGGTGGAGGCTCGTGCTGTTGGTGGGGGAATCCTGGCTCAATTCAATGGGCTGCTCATCATTTCACGGTCAGTCTGCTTATTTACCGAAGTAACACCATCACCACCACCACTCGTGGCTTTATTTAAAGAAGTGCAATCCGAGGAGGAGGAGTGCAACCTAAACCTGAATGGATTGAATGAAGGAGGTGGGATAATTCGAGTGGAAAAGACGTGGTGACGCGCGAGGTGGGACAGATGTCATGAGGATAAAACAGCCGGATATTTTTGGAATAATAATGTAGTATGACGAGCAAGCAGAGCTCAATCCAATATATGACAACCTCCTCCCATTACTTTTCTTTCCCTCTCCGGCACGGATTCAATTGTAACAAGCTGGACTTTGAGACTGGGCGAGGAAAAACAGGATTTTCCACTTTCTCCAAAAGTATGCATGCAAGAGGATAAAGGGGATTTTCTCCTCACCTTTTTTCCGCTCCGTGCACCTGTGGTTTTGAGGTTGGGAGGATGCGGGTGCCTTGCAGGGTGGAAGGTGTGCTTCCTACAGCCGCCCCTCCGACGGGGGAAATGAGTCCGGCGACTGGAGAGGGGGATGACATTGCTCCGATGGGCGAGATGATCCCGGTCGAAGAAGAGGAGCCAGCACCAGAGGTTGAGGAAGCACCTTGTCGAGACTGTTGTCGCATCATGGGTGTGGACGTGAGGAATGGTTTGGCCTTTTTGGGACTCCCCGTGCAGGAGGTGGAGTGGTGGCGGACGCTGTTCGTGTAGTGATGATTCCCATTGTCCCTCGTTTCGAGCAAGCTCTTCAATTTCTGAGATGTGAAAAGTACCAGATTTAGAATAGGCCAATTAACGAATTTGGCGGAGGAGGTGATGCATAATCAATCATACACCATAAAATGCTTCCGTATTAATTTCGAAATAATTTCGTCAAAGGGGAGCATTTCGTAATTTTGCTTTTGAGAAATTGATTAGTGAAGAAAATATAATTATTAATAAGTATTACTGGAAATTGGGAGACAAATTGCGAAATTGAGATCCGCTCGTGGAGAAACTGATCATCATGGCCTATTATTATGAGTGAAAGTAAAAATTGCGAAATTGTCTAGCTTTAAAATCATCTTTGATTGATTAGCAAGTATTTCGCAGTACTTTTCTGTGTCGCAATCACATCTCAATATTTCGCAATAATTTGGCAAACTACGCCTTAAAGGGAACGCTTCTTCTAGAAGATGTGCGTCTTGGGAAAGTAAACTTTTAAATCATCTCGTTAGGTACTCGTTAGGTACTTCCGTCCATCCAGTCAGGCATCAATTTCAATTCTTATTTTCCAAAAACATTTCCCAACGTTTTAATGATTTAAACTTTAACAAGTACAATAACACAAGTTTGACACCCAATCGGAGTCGCATGTATGTAGGCACACAATTTGCGCAATATTTCACTCCTCAGTTCACCTCTTTGACAAATTCGAAAAAATAAGCTACAAAGTTTTCGCCTTCTCCCATTATCGCTTTCTCCTCGACTTGACGCCCTGATTTCATGTCGCAACTCGTCCCACTTTCAACTCGCCTTCCAACGAACGTAATGAGAGAACTTGTTGCACGACGCAGAACATTTCTGAATAATTTCGCCCAATAACTGCGCCATAGTGAAGACACGCGCTCCTATTTTTTCGCAACAACTTTACCTTTTGTGATGATTTCGTCATTATCCAAATTACAGATTGACAATCTCCACCAAATTTGACCCGTCTCTCTCAAAAAATTCTTATATAAGTATCATTTTCTTAAATATAAAATAAGTTGAGAACGGCGTGTGCAGCCAATCTGGTCCATTCTTCGAATGGAACAAGTCCATAATGGATCCTGATCACAGAGCAGAATGGAAGCCAATACGGGGAAGTAATAAATATGTACATGACATCCCAAAAATGAGGACTTTGACCAAACTCTGAGCGAGGACGCGACCCCCTTCCTCGAAATGTCGGAAATAGATATATAATATGCACAATAACCCGATAATTTGAGCTTAAAAGGAAAGATGGAATATCCAGATTCCGAAGGAAATGGTGGAATTATGTGTAATGATGTCCCATTCAACAGGTGGACTAGATTTGTGAATTAGATCTCAGCTCTTCCAGATATTGATATTGGTTGGTTGATGGACTTCTTCTCCCTGCAAAAATAATAGCCTTCACTTCTCCACGTGGGCGTCTTTCAGATGCCATTGTGCAGAAAAAATGAGGAAAGGAATCAACCTGCTTTCACTTCTGGGCAACTTTTCCCCTATTCATCATATCTGCTCATCAAATGAATAAGTGGCCCTGATGATGATCAATTTCTCCACGAGCGGATCCCGATTTCGCAATCTGTCTCCCACTTTACTTACTTATTAATAACTACATACGTATTCTTCACTAATCAATTTCTCACGTCCTATTAAATTATTGGAAAACAAATTACGAAATGACGAACCCCTTTGACGAAATTATCTATTGCGACGCAGATGGAAACGGAAGCATTTTTCGGTGTAATAATTCTATTTCATCTTATTTTTAACACCAACGTCGCACGAGGCATAATGACATCTCGCATGATGAAAGACTTGTTAGTTAGTTAACCAGCTAGTTAGGCAACAAAGGGGAAAAAGATGCAAGAAAAAGTTTACATTTTGAGGACAACAAAGTGGAAAAATCAGGGCATAATGAATACCAAGAAGACGCCGATGCCAGGGACGACGACACGGGGAAAGTAGCCCACCAGATACATATGTACGTACATGGCCAGGCAGGCATCATGATGGCACGTCGTGATCTTTGGAAATCAGTTTGCAAAAATAACCTGTTTGATCCATGATGAGATAGATACACAGAAATCACCCCTCGTTTCACAATCGAGGAAAACAAGATGATTGGATCTTCCGTTTCCTTTGTCTGCCTACGTATGTATCTATTTTGCATACGAGTCATATATGCTAATCATAACGAGACTGCTATGTACAATAATGGGGACGATATTCTCTCTCGAGCCCTTTGAGGGGTCTGATTTGCCATTATTGCGAAATTGAGGATAATGGGATGATTGCGCGTGTATTAATATACGCCGTGGAGAAATTAATCCAACCCGAAATTGAGACAACAACAATTTAATCGCATTACGTATGATGGAGGGGAAATGATAATGTGGGACGCTTTGTGGTGGCCGGACTGCTAATCCGATCATCAGAATTCTCACTCCAAGGTCGGCGTTGTGGGCTGGATACAAGTTGATCGGTGTGAGACGGCCGTGTATGCAGGGAGCTGGTGGTAGGTGGTTGGGCGAATGATGGAGAAAGCGAGTGACAAGGGAAAGCTGGTGTCCTATATTACGTATTCCGATGAGATGAGACGTGGCATGGATGTAGCAGGTGCAGGCTCGCAGTATTATGTATAAACCTCAACGAGACTGATAGAATCAGCCTTTTTCTACCGACAAATCCAATTAAATCCACATTATCAAAGTCTCAATTTATTCTGTGTAGTGATATTTCGGAGGAGAAATTCCAAGCGACGTTTATGATTGCGTTCTTCTTCGGTCAATCTCAAAGTCATTTTTTGACCAGCTTCCTTGTCCTCTGTACCACTACTCAGAATGGAGGTCTCCCAACGTATGCGTACAGATTTTTAGCAAACTCGTGTCAATAGATGACAAATTTAATTAGTATGAAATTTGCAAAAAGAACGACCTCCTAAAGGGCAGGTTTGGCAGAGAAATTTGCATCCGAAGAGGAGAAAGTGCGCTCTAAAGGTGACACGTGTTAGACTTTCCTAATTTACTGTGCGCTTTCTCCTATTAGGATGCAAATTTCTCTGCCAAACCTGCGAATTTGGAGATCGTGTCTTTTGAAAATTTCATACAAATTAAATCTGTGATCGATTAACACTAATTTCGTCAAAATCTGTGAACATAGATATGTTGGGAGACCTCAATTATCAAATCCCCATGACTGTTGGCTACCTTCGCTTTCCCCTCGTCTTGACTAATATGTTTGTCGGTAATTGTATGGACTGTGACCCTGTAAATTTGGAAGGTAACAGTCCAGATTTCTAGTGCCACCTTTTTAGCCTAGCATCCATCCATACACTTCGGTATGTTTTATGCCCTCCAAGTCTTCATGTCAATAGAGTTGCTATGTTGGCAGGCTGAACCGCTTTTTCTCCTCTTTATTGGGAGGAGACGGGGAAAGTTGTACGTGCTACATCTGCATCCATCCATCCATCCTCGGACGGACAAGACAACAACCCAGAGCACCAACCCAAACAACAAGGTAACCAACCAGCGTGTAAGACAAGTAGCAGGAAACCAACAACCAACCTGAGGAGGAAAGTAGGAAAATGTGAAAGTTCACCTCTCCTCCTTTCATCCTCCCAGCAAATCATAAATACACCGGCCTAAAATCTCCCCTAAAAAAACAACGCCAACAAAACCGACGAGAATAACGAGAACTATGTACCTAGCCAACTTTCTCTCTCTAAACACAACCACATTGATACGTACAAATTATGCGAGTCCAGATATTTCCCAAGGCCTGCACGACGAACGACGACGAAATGTTTAAAGAGTTGGAACCACTTAATTGTGACCTTTAAGAGGCTCTCCTGCTGCCCGGCGTCGTCGTCATCCTGTTATCTTATTCCTGCCCAATTATCATAACCAGCCTCACTCACCTGCCTTGCTCCCTGCCAGTCAGTCACTCATGCATGCACTCATTTATTCCTCTTTCTCTCTCTCTCGTTTGGACAGGGAACACTTTTCTCTTCTCAGAACGGGACACAACTTTCTCCCCGGCTGGAAACTTTCCTTCAAATGCCGACAGAGACGAGGAGGACCAAGTAATCCAGTCAGTCAGACAGACAGACAAGACAAACAAACAAACAGAAGACGATCTCCTTCCGGGATCCTATGCAAATAGGTCACTAACTAATACAAGAAATGGCAAGAGTGCAAAATATCGATTCCTGATTTTACACGGGGCAATGAGCACCAAACCAATCAAACCGTGCAGAATTACACACCAAGTATTTTCACAATTTGTTCCGAATTCTGTATGCACTGGTCACCCTCATTTTTGAGCGACTCGCTATCTATCCCGGGACATTGGCATGCATACATAATCCTGTGCCGACTGATTAAAAGGCTTCTCGAGATCTATTACTCATAATCCGTCCGCCTCGCTCGCTCGTCTTCTTTGAAACACTTGTTCAGTGGACTAATTCACTTATTTCTAATTTACTCGTCTTCTCCTCGCCCGCTCCACTGCTCGCTAGCTACACAATTAGCACACGCTTTAAGAGTCCTCGCGACACTTCTCTCGCCATTCTTCTCCTTAACGGGAAAATGAAACACAATTCAATTTGTTTCCCTCTTCTCTGGCCTGGAATTCATTTAGAAAGCAGGGTGTCGAGCGGTATTTAGTATGTACGTAACAGTAAACTAATTTGCATCCAAAGTGCAAACATGGGCATGTGAATGGCATCATCAATAAGTAATAATCATGTGCATGTATGGACAAATGTGGGGGTAAAAAATGTGAGAAAGATGAGACGAGAAAAGCAGACGATAACGAAGGAACACTTACCGCCAGCGCATCCCTCGTCGTTTGCAACGTGTCGAGCACCTTATCCAAATGCATGTCCTTCTGGACCGTGTCGTCATCCACGCCTCGTTCCTTCAACACGAGAACGTCCACCGCCGTGAGAAACTCCCCGATCGCCTCCTTCAACTGAGACACGGTGTGTTTGTAGGCCGATCTAACCGCAAAATTCACAATTTCAAGCAAACTTATCATAGAAAAGAGTTAACCTAAATGGCAGACATTCCTTTTACGAAAATTACGAGACCAAAAAAACCAAACTCACGTATGTGACAGTGCAGTGAGTCCTTTGACGTCGTTGAGAAGATGTCCCATTAAGTCGAGCATCACGTTGGACGAACCCCCCAACAAGTCCACGCAATTCTTGGTCACCAAACTCTCCACGAATTGAAGGGTGAGGTGCGCCTGAAATAATTAGGAAGTAATTTACTTCACGTGGACACCAGGTACATTCCACCACCCACCCGTCCACCCGCCTACGTGAATACCGTCACATTTTTTTACGACAAGCACCCCGCTGACCGGTGCGATCTCACCTCGAAATGTCACGCCACTTGTTTGTTCAGGACTCTTGAAACCGTTAAATCATTAAAGAGAAGCTTAGGAAACAAAGCTTTATTTTGTTTGCGTCCGAGGAGAGGCGACAAGGCCCCCCTCTCACTCGATCAAGGCTCACACAACACACCTTCCCACCAACGTCGTAGTCGTAGGTAGGTGGTGGGTAGGAGAAAGTATAATAAGTGTTTCATGTCAGGTGTGTCAGATGTGTCGTCACGTCACATTTTAATGTCACCCGCAGATGCATTAACATCACAAGAAGATGAAGATGTCAACATGTCAGGCGCAGAAAAGAGAAAGCACAAGCTGTACAGAGTGTCCCGACAAATGGTCGGATTATTCTCTCTCCGTGTCTCTCTTTCTAGTTGTGCATAACTAAATAAGTAAATCGGGTTGGGCTGACCTCTTTAAGTCGGTGGGCAATGAGGACGATGGGGTCGGTGATGTCAGGGTCGGACGGGATGGGGCTCGTGCCCCCACTGGTCCATCCTCCCTTGGAGACGACTCCAGTAGCCCCGGCCGCCCGCTTCTTGCGAGCCTCATCCTTCGCCAGCGACTTGTTCCTCGCCAGCCGAGTCATGAGATCGTCCTTGAAGGAGCGGCATCGCTTCACCAGCCCTTTTATTTCTGACAAGTACAATTCCACGGGTTACACGTTATGGTAGCGTTCGCATGTAAATATTTTGCATAGCGTTAAAATTATGGTACTTACTCGGCTGCTTTTCCGTACTGCGAGCTGACATGTCTCCAAGAATCATTGATCACTTAAGAGGAGCGGGTGCGCTAAAAAATAGAACACTTTCAATTATGCTAATTTATTAATTGGAGCCCCATCTACATAATCAGCTGCTATTTGGCTCTCACAATTACCAAGAAATGCGATAGTGTTGTGTAAGAATGTACATTATATGAAAATGAGTAAGTAGTAGAAGAGAATCTCTGGACCACCACTCACTAGTTCACTGCTGGACAGGAAGCTGTTACATAAGACCAATTATCCGTCTCATGTGCAATCATGAAGTGCAATGCCAAACTTGTACCGATAAGGAGATGACTCATTAAAATGTGTGGCTTGAAAAGAATCTGGTTCACTTTATTGTCCATGAAAAATGATGATGACTAACTGAACGCCTACAGATTCATGGCTTGATATGTACACGGGGTCACTTTAGAAAAACAATGTAATCCTCGTCGACGTGACTCAAGTGAGCAAACAGGTCGGACATTATTTGCACTAAATTCCAGCCAAGATTAGCCAAGTATCTATGAAAATAATAAGTCTTCAACGACAAAATGGAGCAGATTGAATTAATCTCCACGTGCAATTCAATCCCTCGCGTAGACAATTCATGGGGAAAATTTGCCCTTGTTTTTGACACCACGCTACTTGTGTACCCCGTGAAATTGATCCATTTAAATCAAATCAGAGTAGTGAATCCTACAAACGGCTCTCGAGGAAGATTAAACTTGAGAAATCATCCTCCATTTACATATTGCTTTTGCGGATTATATTTCATTATTTAGCGACCTACGTACATTGGGCATATTATGATAACTAAATGGCAGGCATATATGCAGTAGATTTGTGTTTAGTGGCAGATTCCCATTTTCGCACGGTTTCATGTATTTACTAACAGGACCAGATATTTGCACAACCTTCAAATTAATGCCATTTGTTCCAGTTGGGCTTAGTAGTAAGTTTACTTAGAATGTTTGTCAGTGTGCTCAACTGAAGTGAGTGTACACATGATGATATGCGTCGATGCTTATCTCCATGAATCTGCCCAATACACGACTAATCCACTCTTTACCACCAAAAGTCCGCTTCTCATGCCGATTATTTGCAAAATATGTCACTTCTCATAAACTTGACACACTTCACGTTCACAAACTACTACAATTCTACGTGCAAATCTGATTTAATTCTGCACCACCAATTGAATGTACCAAAATGTAGGTGTATTTAGAACTCTGTACCTTTTTTCGTACGGATTGGAGCACCATTATTGCATTCCTGCTCCAATTCTGTGTTCTTTATCAGCCCGATAGCAGTATTGTGATGATCCGGACTTTTAACTTTCCTCGCCTTATCGACATTATGTTGTCCATTACGTAACCATAATAAACAGTGCTGCATACTTTAGTTAAAACTCGTTATACATACTCTGATATGCACATATGTACATGGGACTGATATTGCATATACGTACATAAACACGCTCTCTCTGTCGGTATTAGCAAATCAAGCCGTCTTAATTGAGTTGCTACATGTACACTCTAATATTTATTCACAACAAGAATAACAACCTATCAAAACTGGAGCACTTTAAAAAAAATTGTATCAATAATATAATATCTCACAACCAGACCACAACAAATATTTAGCCACCAACAACAAGAACGACCCCTTTTCCTTAACTGAAACGCATCCCGAGTCAAAACTGTCACTCAATTTAGTCATTTATCCTTTTAACGGAATCACCCTTTGACTTCAGATCATTCACAACCAGACAATTTTTCCCTCAAACAATTTCTACGATGTATCTTTTTTCTGATTCTGTACAATTCGCCAAGAAATTCAACTATGTAATATGTAACTGTCGTCAAATAGTGTGAGAGATTTTGCTCCGTATTAAAGAGTGTGTGGTGTGGATGGTATTATTATTGGTGTGCCGTGCCGGTCTATGAATTCTTTAAAATACTTCCTGGTTTGGTTTAGTTTCCTTTAAGACCTTTCTTCTACGTACTTGTGTAAAAAGTGGGCCCAAAAGAAGTGTGAGAGAGATTTAATACTGTACATTTTTGAATCCTCCAATCCACTCCATATCCGCAGATGTATGTACATATCCCTTCTGATGATGATGATGATGATGTGCATAGTGGTACATAGGAAATCTCTATGTATGAAGTAAGCATCCCGTCCTTTTAAACTTATTTTCTAGGAGGACAACCCACGAAAATTGCATCACATACATACATACTCGACCGATCTTTCTTGGTCTTCTTCCCTGCCTCCCATGTGTCAGCCGTAGTAAAAGTTTATCAAGAACGTAATAACAAAGATTTTTTAGCAGGACGGAATAGCGAGAGGAGAAGATCAGGCTAAAAAAGCTAGTCAATGAGTTGGCTTTTATGCAGTGGTTCAGTGTTCATGTATCTACTGTTGCATTTTATGATTATTAGACTAGACCCTCGCTCTCATAGAGATCCAAAAACACAATGCATACACAATAATAATATGTAACCAGTTCTTCTTCTCTTGGCCGGCTTTAAAAAATGTGTGATGTAAGAATAAATAGTGGCGGCTCTACATTGGGCTGTACTTAAGTGGTCTTAATGTGCGACATGGTATAAGTGGTGTCATACATCTTCCCTTCATTGTCTTATTATGCATGCTTCCCATTCATTCAATTCGGAGGATTCTGAAGCAAAACTTGGAAGGAAGCAGTCTTTTAAGAGTAAAAAAAGCTTATGTGTATCTTATTCTTACGTCAACCTCAAACCGATCGCAATTATGTGGATGGATTTTGTTGTTGTGAAAATTGCTATACGTACATGAAAACTGTACGTGATTGCGCAATAATGAGAAAATATTGGGATTTGGTCCATTAATTCACAAATAAAAAAATGTCTCGTATGTATGTATGCATTCCGTTACTTTAAAGCAAAGCGTACCCAAAAAATTCATGAGGCTTGTATGTATTTTGATGCATGTGTAATCTAGTTGAGATTCAATTATGCAAGTAATTAATTAAGATTTGGCTCAGTAAAGGTTCACCGCTTCATTAACTGAGTGAGTGAAAGTGGAGTAAAAGAAAGTGGTGTCAATATACTCCTACTCTCATTACCAGCTCACTAATTAATTGCATACGTCAGGTTGGGGAGGAGGGAGACAAATAAATGCTTTCTTTCGTCTTTTACACTCTCGCTGTTTCTCTGCTGTGAGATGGTGGGGACGCAATTGTTATGTCATAATCATGCCGTCGCAATGCATTGTTTCCCGTTGAAATGAAAGAAACGGGAGCCCCATTCTTCTAATTGTTCGCAAATTCAATCCCCATTTGTGGGTACGAAATCCTAGACAAATGACTCGACGTATGTATGTACATATGCAGGTAATATGCAGAGCGTGACACTAATATGAGTGCACATTCTCATGCAGAAATAAACGGTGCGACAAATGAAGGCCTTATTATTATGGATGATTTTTATCTCGCACATGTGACTCTTCTGCTATGACATAATTGTTGCTGGATAAAAGAGCGTCAGGAAACGAGGGAAAAAAGGAGCAGCTGAACGCTCTGGACATGGGCGCACGTACGTATGAAAATTGTCAGTATCAATTAACCGAATCTCTTACAAGTTTGCTCATTAAATTAGCAACGCTACACGTGAGAACCTTAATTGATGCAGGTTTATGGTTAATTGTGAGGGATGCTGTATGAGGGGAATTTATGCGGGGGAAAGTTGTTGGAAAAAGCGTTGGACTTACCAAATTTGTCGAACGCCATGCTATCGTTGTGGAAGTAAGTTGTTGTTGTTGTTGTCCAGCGGTTGTGACGGGTGGTTTGCTGGTGGTGTGCACGCTGCTGGATGAGAAGACGAGGAGGAAGAAAGGGTGGCAGAAGTTGTTTCTCGGTTCGTTCTTCCTCCCGTTATAGTAGGAGCCCAACAAGGAGACCAGTCCGTCGGCCGTCTCCCTCTCTACAAATGCCCGGATTTAGAGAATTGAGACCGAAACCCGACCCAGCTAGTATCTCATGATAAGTATGAAGCATTACAAGTGTATGGACAAACCTTACCCACCGACAACGTCTCTCCTCTTCAATACCCGGGTACGGAGTGCTTGGCTGGCTGGTGGCACTTCTCCTACTCTCTTACTGGCTACTACTACCACCACGAAAGGATCCTCTCTGCCTGGAGAGAACCGCTCCGCTCAACTGCTAGCCAAAAGCAGCAGAGTTCTGGAGCAAATTCGGTTTTTTTCTCACAGCACTCTGTCTTTAAACGCCATGTATAAAATACATACGCAATGTTACCCACATACCCGGTATGCACCGGACAATTCCGAATTTCCCTGCCTATAGCTGCACCACCACCTCCTCCCAATAAAACAAGAAGCCATATGTACAACCAGGACTGGGAACATTTCCTGATTTCTATTAACACCAGCAACACTCTCGTCCCACCGGCTATACGTAAGAAAGGTTGCATGGAATTCAATCATTAAGGGATACGGGATCCGTCTTATTGGGCAGTTAGCAAACTTGCGTTTTTGAAGTGTCTGTAACTTTCCATATTTTATGAGTTGGGTCAAAATTTCCGGAGACAACATGAAAAATTTTCAGAGAACAGTCAAGAATAATTTTAGTATCGGCTAAGAAAATTTTGACCCAACTCATTTTGACCCCATATGGAAAGTTATGGGCCTTTTGAAAACGGAGGTTTGAGAACTGCCTTCCTCTAAATTATTTTTATAAAACATCAACTAGACAGACTTGACTTGGGAAAATGTACAAAGTTAAAAAATTAATCGGTATATTATTCAAACAGAAATTCGGATAAAAGTACAAGGCATAATTTGTGTGAGACATAAACTATATCAGTCTTGCTTGCTTCTTTGTTGGTTGACTAATTTCCGTCCTCCTTGAACTGGATGTTGGACAAGAGGTGTGGTTTTGGCTTGGGTTCCATTGCCAAGAGAACCTGCCTCGCATAGTCGTTGCCCAAGAGCCCAGCCTCCCTCAACTTGTTCTCCACACGGTTGCGACGATCCCGCAAGACCTTCTCCGATGAGAAGCTGTTGTTGTATCTCGATCGGAAAAAGGCCACCATCTCATCCTCTTCCTCGTCATAGGTCACAATATCTCTCCGATGCAAAAGGGAGGACTATAAAAATTAATGGATTAATCGTTTGACCAAAAATGATGACATTTTTACACGTTCATTCATTACATAAGTGTCTGCCAACAGGTTTCCGACTGGGTATTCAGTCAGATTGACGGGAATCTTGGTCTTTTCCAGGAGCATTTTTCTCTCCTTGTCTTTCTCCATTCTCGCTTTCTCCTGCTCCTTCATTGCATCTCTCTTTTGCTCCAGAACATGGTGGCGATGTGCGACACGTCCCCTAATCACAACATAATACCACACAAACAATGCATAATACTTGTACACGTACAACATTGCCATGTAGGCACTAAGTAATAACCTACTCACTGATTTTGTTTCGCCTGCATTTTCTTTTTATGCTCTTGTTCCATCTCAATCTTTGCTCTTTCTCTCCATTCTTGTTCACTTTTGAGCCTCTGTGACTCTTTAAATTTCATGAGTTGGATCCGTTGAGCTTTTTTGACACGTTCTTCTTCCTCCAGCCGCAGACGAGTTTTTTCCTCTACGACTTTCTCAAAGGGTTCGACAGCCACTTGAATGCGTCGTATTCGAGCACATTTTTCCGCTCTAAGCTTGTCCAACCTTTCTCGCCAGAATGTGGTGCGATCTATTTGGTCCCGGTGTTCCTTGGCAAGTTCCAATCGTTTGGTCTGAACTCATAGAATTATGAAGTCAGATGTGTAGAATATATGGTCAACTTGTAAAATAATATGCAAGTATATTTACCAAATCTTTTTGGAGCATGGCCCAGCCCTCGTTGACCTTCTTTGTGAGATCATCTTTGTCCCGAACCCAGTCTTTGAGTATTGCGCCACGCTTTTCCTCCCAGACACGTTTCGTCCGAAGGCGATACTTTTGCAGGGTCATCTGCACAAACCACATTTACAATAATTAAACTCTTGAAAGGGTGCCCAATTTTATGAAGCTCCAAATAAAAAGTAAGGACGAGAGGAGATAACCTGCTCCTCCGCGACACCAGGAAACATCCTCCTGAGCAACTCGACCCTAATTTCTCCGAGGGCCGGGGTGACGCCATCCTCCAAAGCCGTGACGATATAAAAGAGCAACGCGCTGTCTCGCGGTGTCCATCTCGAGGATTGAAGTGAGTCCCAATTTTCTCTCAAACGTTTCGTAATTTCCTCCATCTTTGCGGAATATTCGCCATCGAGAAGGACAAAATCGTCCGTCGCGGACTCGGCGAAGGAGCGAAGGTCGCTGTCCTTTATGGTTTCTGGGTCCAGTGGGATGGCCAAGTTGTGGGGGAAGCCGAAGGGGAGTTGGACATCTTTCATGGAGGCCAAACTGCGTACACGATCATTACAATGGACAATTTTTACATTGGCAAAGCAGAGTAATTATTAAATTAAAGTGCTCATTAATTAATTAATTAAAAGGTAAAATGTATAGCTTTTCAGTCTACGTACTTCATTAGGAGGAGGAAATTGCATATTAAATAAATGTGAGTAAAATAAAAGTGAAATTCTGTAGCTTTTTTCCACATGAAAGACTTGCTCATCCTTGATGAGTAGTGGAATCTCATCCGGCGAGTGAGAAGAGAAGAAGAATACAAGACCCGTAATACATCCACTTTGGTCATGGACCTGATCCTCACACAAGGTCAGCACATTTAGGGATATGGCAGATACAAGCATGATACCGGATCAAACCAATTAAATCCAAGCTTATCTCCCTACCAAGAGTTTCCGCATTTTGGAAAATAAAATGTTTATCCGTGTAATAAGTACACAAAAGTTGTAAGGAACACGGCTGGACTACAGATTCGCAATCATATTTACATATTTCGCCAAATTGTTAATGAAAATTTATCCAACTTTTTGCAAGTATTGCAAAAAAAAGTTATTTTGAAACAAAAAACTTGTAAAAAAATATGGGTTGCTTTTTTATGAGCAAATAGAGATAATTTCACAACTCACGACTAGACTAAAAATAAGTACATATGCATGTACTTATTTATGTACATATGACCATGACTTAATGAAAATGTGATGAAAAATTATTCATAAATTTTGTCACGTTATCTTGATCACAGATTAATTACATAGAAATTGGGACATAGTTTTTCATGTTAACACTTTTGAACTATGCAACGTGCGAGTCGTTGATAGTAAACAGTTGCATGACCATGCATCTTGTTGTAAAATGTCACACAAAATGGCAAAACTCGTGTTTTTTTCGTCCTACAATTATGTAGAAACCAAAAATTACGAAATGTTATGAATGACCTTATCTTGATGGAACCTTTCCGTCTTATCTCATCTCTCTGATATGTTAATTGACGACAACGACGACACGCGATCCTTTGGTTGCCATGTGATGTTCTCCCTTCCCACGACCTATGGGATGACGATGACCTTCCACTTGTACTCAGTCATACGGTCTGCATGTCGTCGTCAGCGTCTCGGTCACTGGCCACCTACGTACTCACGCTTGCATTATGCTGATGCCTCATATTATGCAGATGTAGGTAAGTAAGCAACGCCACGGATGGGTGGTCATTTCCGCTACGTCGTCACAACAAACGGCTCGTTCTCACCAATTCTGCTGCTGCCTTGTTTTCATCATAATCATCATTATCTCCCTTTATTTGCTCATTTGCTGCAAAAGTGCCAATTCTTAATGCGTCTAGTTTGGGCTGGAAAAAACGACCCTTTGCATGCAAACACACGTGGCTCAACTAAAAGTAATGATGATATCGCACCAACTGCTGCAGTTTCGCCAGAAAAGTCTCGACCCACCCACAAATTACTCGCTACATTCATAAATACATACATATCTCCATTTCACTTGCAGTAATAATGCTCTGTCCCGTTGTTGACGTAATTAATAATTAAACTGCAAGCCTATGTGTTCACTTGGGCCGTACTTCCCCCAAAAACGAGCTTAACTTAGAATCTAGCAAGCAAGTCTTCCAATCTCCATTGTTTCAAGAAGTGCGAGAGACGTCCTGAGTATAAAAAGAGATGGATTTTCCTAGGTCAACTTCATTACAATTGTTCACCTCTTAACTACTAATTCAAGCCAAGAGTATAATAAAGTAGAGAAAAATGGTCAAATACGTGGTAAGTTTAAGAAATCCTACAATTTTCCCAGGATTTTCAGAGGTAATTGATTTTATTTTTGGTTAGTGTGCCTTTTTGGTGGTCTGCCTTTGTGCAGTGGCTTTTGCTGCCGAGTTGCCATTGAAGGAAGCCACCAGCCCCAAGACTAAGGAAGGAGGAGACTTGCAAACGGACAGCTCCGCATTTTATGGATATGGTAAATTGACCTCTACTCCTTTTGTGATATTTCAATCTGTGACCTTTTGATCTCTCTGATTTACAGCGCCATACGGAATTGGCTATGGGTACGGCGGTTACGGTCTCGGTTACGGCGGATATGGTAAGTCCTATCGAAAATATTGACCGGAAATGATTGACCTTTGACCTTCTCTTTGATTTTAAAAATAGGTGGGTACGGCGGATATGGTAAGCGCTTCCGAAAAGATTAACCGGAAATGATTGATCTTTGACTTTCTGTTTGATTTTAAAAATAGGTGGGTACGGTGGGGGGTACGGCTTTGGGGGGTATGGCTACCCTGGTTTTGGGGGCTATGGATTCGGAGGTTACTACAAATAGGCCACACCCCATTTGAGAAAGTTATTTAATTGTATTTAAACCCTTCCCTTCCTTACTGCCTTCCTTCCTAACTTAACCTAATTCCTTTCTCCTACAAATGACCACAAACAAAAGTTATTAGTCCAACTCTTTCCTTTCCTTTCAAAATCTTCCAAAAGCTGCCATTCTCGCTCCTCATAAATTTGTAACGCTCTTGTCAAAAGAAATATTCTTACATTGAAATAATAAACGGAAACCAATCTTTTTGTTCTAAACGTTACTTTCTGAGTGTAAAATTTCTTGCATGACTCACGTGTTCACCCAGACGATAATGTTATCAATGTCCTGGTGTCTGATGCGGTCGATGAATCCTTGCATGGCAATCTCAACCGCGGTGGGACTACTCTTGTCCAAGTTGGCGTCATAGTATCCACTTTCTTCGTCCGAATCTAATATCCCCTTAAGATGACGGCGATGAGTGACCCTGTTGGTTAGCAGTTCCATCTTGGTAGGCATGCGTGTGTCATCGTCAAACTCGAGGTCGGATTCGTCACTGTTTCCTTCATCCGTCATCAGAGGGGAACCAGCAGACCGACCAAGATAACGACGACGATCGCTGCTATTATTATTAGTCAACCAATTGTCTTGTTCCTGTTCGGACGTGGAGCGTGTGCTGGGCACACCTTCGTCTGTTTCTGAGGAGATTTTGGACATGAAATTCCTCCCAAAAAGTCCCCTTGCTCCACTGCGACTAGGATCCTGCGATAAGACGGACATGCTCAATAGGAGCGTCCTGTTCTTGGAGAGTTGATACTTGTTGTCAAATTCCTTGATCTGAAAAACAGAATGGATTACATAAATGCATTATTATGTCGACGTAATCTTAATGGAACGAGTCTAAATAATTGGATAGTTGCTTCATTCACCTTTTCTTCCAATTCCTTATCCGATTTTGGGATGATGCGTCTCCTGCCCCACTCGTCGTTGGCATCGCTCTCTTCAAATGCCAGTTGGTTGATGCCCCCTCCGAGAAGAGCGTCCACGTCCATTGCTGAGACATCCGTCATTCGTGAGACCACTTTTCCTAATGCATAATTGTCCAGAAAACGTTTGGGATCTTTGGCGATGAGCTGGGACTCTTTTTTGACGAGGGAAAGTTGATGCCCAGGGAGAGGAGGACGGGATGAGGTCTGACCACCGGATGTCAGTATCGCCAGCTTCTTCTTCTCTTTAGCCCGCGTGGCTTTGGTGGCTGCAAAAAGAGTCAGCGACATTGAATTGGAGAGAAAGTTCAAGAGAGAAAAGAAGAGAGAGATTTTTCATAATTGCGAAGAAATGGACGGTTAAAACTACTGAATATTGATCTAACGATGAGCTCGTTCGTGTTTTATCAATCGACGCATTCGTTATCGTATTATCGACCCATTTAAAATAAAAATAGAAGAATGCTTCGCTTTTCTTTGGGACAAAGCCATACTTACATTTCATGATACAGGAACGTACATATATAAATACAGGAACGGGGATGACAGATAATTTTGAAACACTTGAAGAAAAGATAATGCACGATTTTGGTCCAAATTTTGCTGCTGCTGCTGTGATTGTTATCAAAATAATGATCACCACGGTGTTATAATTCTTGAAAATCGTGATCAGATTTATTTTACCAATTTTTTTATCAATTTTATTTTATTTTTGGGTCGATGCTGGATTTCAGTAGAAAAAATTCGGGATCATGCTTTCTTCTCGTGATTCAAGGTTCGAAAAACGTCTCCTCAATTACTGTCAAATGTTCATTGGTATGTTTTCCTAGAAATGGAGAAAATTAAAATCAGTTCCAGTTGAGTATGCATTGATTGGTTATTTTCTCCTATGCTCACCTCCTGCCTGAACCTGATACTTGGGACCGACGAGACATTGGCTTAACACGGCTCCCTTTCCAATTTGTGCATTCGAGGAAACGATAACATTGACCAGTTCTACATTGTCCTCAATCTTGACATGGTCCAAACTAATGACATTGGTCAACTTGCACTTTTCTCCAACCGTGCAATGGTCGCCTAATATTACTCCAGTCAGTTTTCCACCTCTCGCAATCTTGGTTTCTTTAGCTCGGGCCGTACTATTTGGGAAGCATCCTTTCAACCAATCCAACTAAGATGGTGAAAATATATACTTTAGTTCAGTTATCAATTATCAATTGGTAATAATTACAACAATTAACTCACCGATTGGACCACCAACATGTAATTATGGATCGAATTTATCCTGACACAAGTCTTTTCCTCTTGAATTAACGTGTAGCAAGTTATTGGTTCTGGTTTCTCAACAACTTTTTGATTGTGATAATGGCTGGAAGATGGATAAGTGAATTTCTCAACAGGAGGCTGACTAGTACTGCCACCATCAGCAGCACCTTGTTGTTGCACTACCCACGGAAGAAATTCGCCCTTTAGACTTAAATGTTTGCTGAAAGAAAATAGATTAATATTAATCAAGAAGAGGTAATCGAGATGGATTATTTTATTATCAAACTAACTCTGATCCATCGTGTAGCTTATCGCACAGTTTATCCAGCACCTTTTTCTTGACGACATAGACATGGCAATCCGTCAACCACGTGAGGAGCTTAAAGTTTGGAAATTTCTTGAGTGTGTTCGTTGGGATGATGAGTTCCTCGTCCAAATCAGCTTCGGAAGCCATCAGGACGAGCTCCCCAGTTTCTTCTATTACGCCCACAATGTCACGTTCTACAGGAATTGCGGATGAAATATTTAGTCACATAATTAGAAGTTTCTTTTTAATATATATTCCTACCGACGACATGTTTCGATTTAGGTCCGGGCAACTGGGTTGGACTTGGTGGAATGCTGGTCATGTAGAGCGACGTAAAGGACGAATCTCTTAATCCGTGAAGATCCAACAATTTCTGAATGGGAAGATCCCCCACAATGTCACAGGACAAGATGAGAGCGTCTCTCTGCATGTCACATTTCATAACAATTAGTATAGCTCTAAATAAGTAAGACAAAAAAATTAACTGCACCGTAATCTTTTTCGCCATCATGGCCAATCGGAGGGATTCAGCCGTTCCAAAATCCTCGGATTCTTCAGGAATTTCAAAAGTATCAATGAGCAAACCCAATTTTTCTCCCAGTTTTAAAACGGTACGACGAATATCATCCCGTTCTTGGATAATGATGAGAACCTCTATGAATTTTAAATTGAGCACAATAAATAACTGGTTATTATCATCTTTTAATTTAAAATGATCGCTTTGTTACCTTTTCCGCTGAACCCATTCGTCGCCAAACATTTAAGAGGGTAAAAAAGTAGGGGATTTCCGGCAAACGGGATAAGGCATTTTGGTACAGAACTCCCAATCAGTTCCGTCATTCGAGAACCACGACCTGCTGCCAATACGACGACTTGAAGCCCATTTGTCCACAACATGGCAAAATTTTAAATCTGCAAACTATAAAAATATGGTATTGGTAAGTACTTCCTTTAATATCTCCTTCGTATAAATTGTATGCAAAAAATCGTCCACCTTTATGCTGAAGTCACAGCGTTTTGCTTAAAATTCTAAACTCTAAAATTTTGAACGAGTTTTGAAATTAACTTAAAAATTAGCAATCTTGATTTCGCGATCAGTTAGTAAATGAAACTGAAGTTAAAAATAAAAATCAAAGTGAGACGGCACAGGCAACCCGGCAGTTCTGCCTCTGAACCGGGTTGAATTCAGACTTGGCTTCTTTGTGCGTGTTGATTGAGTGAGAGCTCCACTGCACTTTTGGGAAATTTATTTTTTCGACAATTATAATTAAAATCGGTCGGAAACTATTTGTAATTTAGAATCAAATTTCAAAAACCTGCAAGATGAGTGTGTTGGAATATCCAGACATCACTATTGAACATAAGGGACAAATGGTAAGTGAATTGTGAATTGAACATTGAGCATTTTTACAAATATAAACTCTGACGTTTTCAAACGTTTTGATATAATTATGATCCAATAATTCAAGATCTTACTACTAGAAGTAGTTACAGCTGTAATTATGTTATGTATAATAATTATTTGATTGAATTGTACTTACAGACCAAAGGTCGTTTGAAGCTGACTGATTCAACCATCATCTTTAAAAACAGCAAAACTGGAAAGCTTGAACAGCTATCTTCTGGTGACATTGATATCGTCACATGGCAGCGCTTCGCTGGTTCTTGGGGACTGCGAATCTTTGCAAAGTCTGGTGCGCTCTTGAGATTTGGTGGATTAAGGGAATCCGACAAGGAAAAGGTGATCACATTAGTTAAAATAATTAAAATATTCAGTCAAGAGTTGAGTCAGCCGTACGTCTTATATTCTGTAATTATTCTTAAATTAATTATTTTATTTACTTTCTCAGGTGGCCAAGTTCTTCGATTCAAATTACGGGGTGAAAGTGGTTGACAAAGAATTTAGTTTGCGAGGCTGGAATTGGGGAACTGCTAAATTCACTGGATCCGTTTTGACATTTGACATTTCACGTGATCCAGCCTTCGACATCCCGTTAGGAAACGTGTCACAATGCACGACAGGAAAGAACGAAGTCACACTTGAATTCCATCAGGTATTTTTTATATTACACCAGACTAGATAACATTGTAAAGACCAAGTTTTTCAACCCCTATTCCATCACATTCCTGAGTTTAATTAATTTAATTAATCGTTTTATTAGAATGACGACGCTCCGGTTTCCCTCATGGAGATGCGATTCCACATCCCTTCCTCCGAATTGGCTGGAGACGACCCTGTGGAATCATTCCGGGAACAAGTGATGGGGAAAGCGTCCATTATTTCGGCGGTGGGCGAGTCTATCGCCATATTTCGCGAGGTTGCCTGCGTCACACCCCGTGGGCGATACGACATCAAAATGTTTCCCACGTTTTTCCAACTTCACGGGAAAACTTTCGACTACAAAATCCCAATGTCCACCATTCTTCGCATGTTTCTCCTCCCGCATAAGGATGGGCGACAAACTTTCTTTGTCATCAGTTTGGATCCTCCAATTAAACAGGGACAGACGAGATATCACTTTTTGGTATTTGTCTTTAGCCAGGAAGATGAAGATATCTCTATTGAGCTCCCATTTTCAGAGTCAGTAAAATACTTACAAACTAACTTGATAACGGAATTAGAATATAGAGATAATTTCTGATTTGATTTCTTAATTTTGCAGACAAGAACTCAAGACAAAGTATGAAGGTCGTCTTCAGAAAGAACTCAATGGGCCAATGTTCGACGTGATTTCCCGTGTATTCAAGGCCCTCGTGAACCGCAAGATTACCGTGGCTGGAAAATTCACTGGGTAATAATCAACAATTTCCAATAAATTGTTACGTGATTATTAGTATTAATGGCACGCATTGATTTTTCACGTGTCAGACATTCTGGTACCCCTGCGATCGGATGTTCCTACAAATCCGCTGTCGGCTACTTGTATCCTTTGGACCGAGGTTTCATTTACGTGCATAAACCTCCAATGCATATCAGATTTGAGGAAATTGCGAGCGTCAACTTTGCTCGAAGTGGGGGCAGCACGAGGTATGGATGCATCTCTTGATGTTTAAGACAATAATGTGCTATTCAATTCATTTCACAGATCTTTCGACTTTGAAGTCGAGCTGAAGAATGGAATGGTCCATACCTTCAGTTCTATTGAGAAGGAAGAATATCACAAATTGTTTGACTTCATCACCGACAAGAAGCTCCGTGTCAAGAATCGTGGAAAAATGGTACATAATTATTTCTATTTGTATCTATTTAATTTAAGAAATTGCGAGATAGAATTGCAACAGGTTTGGTTTAATTTTTGCAGGACAAACCCACATATACCGGCGATTTTGAAGATTCCGATGCTGAAGCGGAACCAGATGCTTATCTTGCTCGTGTCAAAGCTGAGGCGGAAGAACGGAGTGATGATGAAGATGAATCTTCCGAAGATGAGGATTACAATCCGGACAAGGATAAGCATAAGCCGAAAGGGGATGACAGGTAAATAAAATTTGGTTAGTAGCCTGTAACACATGATTAAAAATATCGTATTTACATTAAAAGTGGGAGTGCTATCTCCTCTGACGCTGAATCTGAGGATTATGATCCCGACGAAGTTGGGAGTGACATGGACACCAATCCAAATCCAAAGAAAAAATCTAAAAAGTCCTCTGGCGAAAAGCGGGTTAAAAAGGATAAGAAGGTAACAATTGTAATATTTTTGCAATTTCTCAAATCTTTTCTTTCATAACTTTCTCGTAATTTAGATAAATAAATGAATAATTTTTATCAATGTACAGAACAGGAAAGAGAAACGGTCTAAAGATTCCAACGCACCGAAGCGTCCGCTAAGTTCCTACTTTTTGTGGATGAATGCAAATCGTGAGTCGGTCAAAAAGAAAAATCCGGGTCTGAGTGTGTCTGATCTATCCAAGAAGTTTGGAGAAATTTGGCGAACGGTGGATGCAGATGATAAAAAGGTGAGTAGTCAAAGTAGCAAATGTTGCAAATGTTGTTACTTTGATTTAATTAATTAATTGATTTGTAGGAATGGGATGAAAAGGCCCAAAAAGCGAAGGAACGTTATGATGAGGAGATGAAAGAGTACAAGAAGAAAGCTCCCATCCTCCCTCCTTTACCCTCTAGTTCCAAGTCGAGCAGTAGCAAGAAATCCTCTTCCAGCAAAAAGACGTCCTCGCCAAAGAAGAAGTCGAGCGACACTGGAGGGATGGGAACAAACTTTAAGAGCAAGGAGTTCATCTCAGACTCTGATGATTCCAGTTCCAACTCTGACTCGGCCAAGAAAAGTAAAAAGAAAGGCGGACCATCTGGAAAGGGAGACAAGTCTGCAGACAAAAAAGCGAATAAGGTATTTTATCAATAGCAGAGTTTTAACTAGCAATGGAGGTCTTCTAGCGTATGTTCTCGGACTTTGACCAAATTAGTGCCAATAGATAATAACTTTAGTCACACTATCTGCCAATGCTAAGGTTTGGTTGAGATATTTGCATCCAAATAGGAAAAACGAGCCCTAAAGTTTGCAAATTTCGCATCTTTTAAATTTACTACGCGTAACGCGTTTTCTTCTCTTTGGATACAAATATCTCTGCCAAACCTGCGCGTGCCTTTTGCAAATTTCAAACTAAGTAACGTGCTATCGATTGGCACTTCGTCCGTTCAAAATGGGAGATCATACACTGGGAGACCTCCATTGTAACAGCTGTTGTTGATTAACTGGATTATTGATTGAATTTTTAACAGGGAAAGAAGCCAGCCTCGGACGACTCTGACGAAGACGAGAAGGTTGCATCAGACGCTTCATCAGCTGCAAGTGAGAGTGGCGGAGGCGGATCTGACAGCGATTAAACATAAAAATCACCATCTCAAATACGAATGCGTTTCTAATAAAAAATATAATAGCAATTAATTTTTAAACGTTTTCTATTTCTAAAAAAAATTATTAAATTTTAATTGTTCACTTGAATTATTGTACCCTTCCATTTTTTTATACACTAAGATAAACCAATAATAACTCGACAAATGAAATAATTTAAATGCCAGCATGTCTTTAGTTCACCTTAAAATGTAAAGTTTATTTATATACTTCGTAATTAATTGACATTTGATATTAATAATTTCTCAAGTAATTAACTTTTCCATATGTAATGATAAGGAATACTTATTCATGTGGACGTTGTAACTGGGTCGGTGCCGGTAAACGAAGAATCGTATATTTAGTACAACACTACACTATTATTAGGATTTAAATGATATTTTGTGATATGATATCACAGCAAGCTCTGTGAATGAATGAATTTGACGTTTGTAAATGTCGTGTGTCGGATTGTGGCGTTGTATTTGTCAAAAATAAATAATAAATACATTAAATTAATTGTGTGAATTATGCTATTTAAAAAATGGCATCATGTCCCGTTCCTCCCATATAATCATCCCCATCACCACCACCCAATCTATCTCCACCCACACAAATGCATGTCTTTTTCAACTCCTTGTTCTCCATGCACCTGCTGCCCTCCTCGTACCGGTCCAGTCTGACCACCTGCTCCGTAAACCTCCAACCGTGGTCCGGGTCGAAAATGACGGTGACCTCGAACTCAGCCTGCTTTGGCTCGACACTAAACGAGATTTGGAGCAGACTGGCCTTCTTCCAACTCTCTTCCGCTGAATTCCCAGAGTAGGTGTCCTCAATAGCCTCGTCGGGATGCCATTTCAGCGCAGAAATGACCTTGCTCAGCCGCAAAGTAGCACAGATTCCATGGTAAGGTCGAAGGGCAGAGTTGAGGTTTCTCAGCACGAAGGACAGGGCATCATGGACGTCGAGCGACTTAATGGAAATCTTTTTCTTTTTGTAGCAAATGCACCAAGCGGGCGGAATGCCAGCCGAGGTGCAGGACCGATGGGGTGGGAGGGCCGTGAAAAGAGAGGTTCCGCGACGGTACCCCTTCTGCAGTAACCAACGATTTAATAACAACCGTTTATTTACAACTTCAGTTTTGCACATATAATAATTAGTAATATTTGTAGTCATATGTATTTAAATTTAAATACCTTCTCGGCAACCTTCAACTTTCTCTCTCTGACGTAGTGCGTGTGCGGGTTGTTGAGTTTGCCGAGGTCCATGAGGTCTTTGAAGGTTTCGTGCAAGTCGTATGCACCGGTGATGAGTTTGGCGTTCCGTCTCAAGTTCTCGTCCGCCTGGGGATACCGTTTTTTGAACCAAGGGGGCAGAATAACATAGGCGACGGGTAAGCGATCCTCCAGTTGACCCTGACGAGATTTCCGCAGCTCCGACTTACGAGAGCCGTGATCACCCACGAGGACGAGGGCAGAGCGGTTCAGCGTTCCTGGCATTAGCCAACAATTACATGTTTTATACGACTATTTACTTTAGAAATGTAAGGTGCAAGAAACTGCAAGAAAGTGCAAGAAATATGCTCTATATAGCCACGCGCCGTATGAAATATAGCGGCGGGGCATCTTTTAATTGCACCTTGCATTTCTTGCAGGTCAAAATAGCTGCAAGAAACCACTTTCTTGCGGTTATTTCTTGCAAGTGGTTACTTTCACTCGAAACACTTCGGGGTTTACTCAACATGGAAGGCCCGTATCGCCGAATTGGCATAGTGAGACTTATCAAAATGAGGTAACCCGCAACAATATTTTTAGAATAAATATCTACGTAAGTTGATTGATGCACGTACCCAGTTCGTTTAAAGTTTTCAGCGTCCGCAGTAAATGTCCGTCTGCCCAGCCCAGCTTATTAAAGTCGTCGTGCATTAGTTTGCTCGCCCAAGTAAAGTGAAAGAGGTGGTCGGTGGGGCTGGAGTACGTCCTGGCAGCCTGCGTACATATGCACCAAACCAAATGGCTCAAAATACTACATAATTTAATTTAACTGCATAAGATTTTGACCTTTTCTAAGTAGTCGAAAAGAACCTGGATTCCCATTCTGGGTCCCATGCAAAATCCATCATACACATTTTGGGAAGTGACCATTCTGACTGAAAACGGGCGAAAGTAGTGATCGGTTGGGGGTTGTTGGAACGCATGGGAAAAGACGAGGTTAAAAATACCCGTAGAAACCTCATCCTCTGCATAGACCGTCCTGTAGCCCGCCGCTTGAAACTGCTTCCAAATGAAGGGGCAGTCGTCGAGGTGGATGGCACTCTCCATCGGCGGATTCTTCATGACGCACAACTCCCTGAACTCCTCCAGACCGATCCCCGTCAGCAGTGGGACTAGGTTTGGGAGCGTGTTCTCCCCAACTTTCACATACCCGTCCAATCTCACGGCGTCAAGCGTGGTGGTCACGTATTCTAAAGATTTTGGCATTCTGAAGGACAACAAAGGTGACAAGTTAGTACTTATTTGTTATTTTACAACAAATGGTAAGTTTAGTTTTTAAAATACAAAACCCCACCGTCGAATAAAATTCTGCTGCGACGTGCTGTCCAATCCAATCACCAACAAGTTTAATTTCTCTACTTCCGGTCCATAAGGATCCGCTTCCTTCTCCTTCTTCGCGAGATTTTCAATCCTTTCTTCTACTTCCGGTTTCTTTCGCAAGAATGCAAACGCGTCCTTGTAACTGGACCTCCCATCGTCACAAATCACCTCGATAAATTCTATCCGACTAGGAATTATCGTTACCTGTTCTGTTATATTGTGACACACGTATCGTCGATCTTTAGTCGGCTCGATCCTGGTTCGATTTTTAAAGAAAATAGAGGATAAGAACTAATTCATACTAAGTTCCTTCCTAGAAATATGTTAATATGAGTAATTAATTATAGTTCTAACCAATTTTCGACGTCATTAACTCTGTAGAATGGTCGGTAGCAACACGGGATTGACACACCTTCTCGTTTGATCAACCTTTGTTCCTCGTCCAGCTTGAAAAATATCCTTCCACGGAAATCAGAGTTTGCTATGGATAAGCAATCTATCCGAGTTGGTTCGGACATGAGTGCCCGCATCTCTGGAGAAAGTGGCATCAGGTCGGGCAGGTGACACGTCTTCTTCCCAGCATCCAAATTGTCATGCTGTCCTGGAAAAAGTCTGGACAAATATGCAAATTAAAAGTGAATTCGTTAATTGCAAAAACAAGCTGATACAATTAATTATTTAATTACTCACTCTGGCAAATTCCCATGCTCCACGACGACCCAAACGCTGACTCCCAAGTTGACGATTGCTGCAAGGAAGAGGAGGACATTTCGGACCGCTTTCCAAAATGGTGACAGCGTTTCTTCTCCTTGCGGCCGTCGCTTCCTTTTGCTCGGACTCTGCTCTTGTTCCGAACTGCGTGGCGGAGGAGGTGTGGGTGTGGTCGTGGGCAAATACGACGACTTCTTCTCCATTATATTGCACTAGTAATTAATCAATCTGGTACCTAGAGCTTGGAATTATAATGGATGAATGAATTTGTGCACAATGCTTTCGACATTACCCGTCCACAACCCGTCCGTCGTGGTGCCACTCACAAATGCCAATACTTGCACTGCTATCGAGTTGAAACGCTTCAATATTTAACGAGTCTCGACACAACACGCATCCAAACCAACACCCATATAGCAGCCAAACCAGTAGTCTTACTGATAATGACCAGAACGAGGAGTTTTTCATACATAGATAAATTGATGGATTGTGACGAAGAGAAATGCTAAGGAAGAAAGTATAAGAAAGTACACAAGCGTGCATGACAAAACTTTTCATGGGTACGTATTATCTGTGTAACTACTCAACTTTCTTTTACACTTCATAACCAACTCGACTACATAAGTACTCGTTGAAAATTGATCGATCCTGGTCCTGTTCTATCGAAAAAATAAATACATCGATCCGTGAATCAATTTGTAGCACGTTTGTAGTGTGTATGTCAAATCGGGTAACGTAGTAGATTATTTTATTTATTCCATTCTTAATAGTAATTACAAGTTTGTAGACTAAATTTTGCAATTTTAGACAGTAACAACATCGTCGTTGAAGGTGCAGTATGTGCTATCTCACTTTTCGACCGGGTTTCATCTCACAAAATATGACGTACAACAAATGAGATAACACATAATAATCCACCTTCAGCGATGATATGCATAACAAAAATGGCGTAATTCCAATTTTCCCAAGCTAATTAAATCTGCGGTTATTTTGATGACTACTTATTCACGAGGTTTACTAAAACTTGGCATATTTTCTACCACGACGGTAACTCTCCAGGTTTTCTGTACCCTCCATACAAGGAACTCTTGTCCCGGAAAGTTGCTGAGCGTTGGCGTTCAATATCACCAAACACTTCGCCAAGCCATATTCCTATGATTGGACAGATGAAGGGAATCCAATTTTTGTTGAATCCAAAAATGTTTGCCATGATTTAAATTTCACTCGAAGGTCGTCTCTCCCTGGTCTGAAATGGCATTAGGACAACTTATTTTAAGAGTTATTTATATAGTATATGGTATACGTTAAAGATAAGTACACACCTGTACGAAGTTCCCTTTAGTTCGACTGCCCTTGTGAATTACCAGCTTCCAATAATTTTGCTTTCACTGCTTCTTGGGATTTCCCTGAAATTAAAATGAATAACAACTTACTAATGAACTTGATGCACACATAAGACTCTACCCATGGTTAATGCGTGGTTTAAATGTCATAAATATTTCGAAATAATTAGAAACAAGTTATTTGTCGAATAAATACACGCAATTTATTAATTTAAAAACTTACAAGCTTGCGTATGACTCCAATCTGCGTATATAAGTGAAAAGGAGCCCAGAGGGAAGAGGACGACAGCCCAGTACCGCTTCACAATGCGACCAATACCCATAAAATAACTGACCTCGTTCCTGATAACACCGGAATTAAATAGAAAAATATTTCCGAACACTTTACAAGTTTTATTTTGTTGCTACTGCCTGGAACTTGTGTGAGTTGTGGGCACGATTTAGACTCTCGTCGGGAATAATTTGGGAGAAAGTTCATGCTTTCTCCCATATTTCTCCCATGGCGTCACGTCCCCTTAAAAGATGACACTATTTCTCCCTTCAGTTCTTCTTTACAAACAAGGAGATAAGAATACAGGTTAGTTTAGAACAGTTAATCTAGAACCTCGCCTTAATAAAGCTAAGCAATCAATTAAAATAAAATGAGGTATGATGAGACGTAAAGGCCTATGTATGCGCGTCTCATTCTGCCTCTCTTGTAAAATAATTGCATCTCATATCCCAAATATCTTTCCTTATAGTCGAAGCGTTTAATTTTTATAGCACACATATCTCGTAAAATAAGACTATTGTTCTAAATTTCCTGCATGTATAGCATGATCCATAAGATGACCTTATATTAGACCTTATATATGACCTTATTTTATTATAATTATAGTTCTCTAACCAAACCGCATGTCATTATCGTTATACAAGGGTATATATAAATAAATATTAAATAGATAGTTAATATCTAATCCTGCAAATGCCAAGATGCCTATGAAATATTTACGGTTCATTTGTTCCTGCCGAAATGAAATTGCATTCCACAAGTTAATACAAGCAGAAAAGGACACACGTCCCACTTTCACCCACCAGCAGAACCACTATCCATTCATATCGTCCTTCTCACATTACAGCTTTCTCCCAGAAAATCGGGGCAACTTTCACTTGCTCTCTTTTCCATGTCGTACATATAGTAAGTAGTCGTATTGGATCGATATGCTCTGCTGATTACCAAGTCATCATCTCCTGATCTATGGCAAATGTCATTCGATCCCCAGGAGCAGCAGAGGAATAAGTTTTCCCCCACCCAACAAAAATTTCCCAGACCACACCCCACTTAATTTCCTCCCCAATTGTATACGCCATGCTCATAACGATCTGCTACTCCGTCCTGACATGGATGCAATCTCGCCAGAGGTCGGAAATTCAGGTCTGGGTGAAGGAATACCTCCTCCCCCCGCGTGAGGGTGAAAGTGGCCCCTCCTGCAGCCTCGTCTTCATTCGAGGAGAAGCCATTCCTGATAAGAACAATTCCGCTGGAGCGGACGAAACAAGTGACGACCGTTTTCAAGAGAGGGAACGCCCAGCATCTGCTTCCTCGTGCTACTACTCGACCAGAAATGGGGGCAGGGATTCCGTCTATTCAAGGTACATATGTGTTTCCTAACAAGAATTTCGAACCTACTACTAATTTACTTATTAATTTATGTAAATTGCAGCGCCTGGAGCATGGATTCGCGTTGTTCGAGTGTATATTCCACACCGCGTCATCAACCAGCGACCCCCACGACGGACTACCCACCACCTCCACAACTAGCCGGAGATCTTACCCCTCAGTCAAAATTCTTAAAAACCCAGCAAAGTTTCGAATCCGCTGGAAATTCTGTGCTGATTTCACCCCTCTCCTTCAACCACTGCACTGTTATGTTGCGACGCCTCCTGTGGGTGGAAGAGGGGGCAAGGGCATTAGCAATTTCACCACGGGTAAGACAATTAAGGAACATACAATTAAATATCGAGTTTAGTTATCGTATCTTCTAAAAATGTTGGTTATTATGCAGCAAATTGTGGAGTTGCATGACTGGACGGCTTTCTCCAGTACCGGAAGTGAACAAGAATTAGATCCGGGGAGTTTTCGGATTTTAATGGAAGCAGAACCTGGTTTAGTGAAGAGACATCAATATCGGAAGGTTAGACAAATTCAAGAAATTAGTCTAAATATAATTAGTTATATAATTAATCGTCCCATTAACAGTTGACAGAGTATTTTGCTCATTTAACTCCAATCCAACCGGGAAAACTTCCGGTCCAGAAGTATTCCTGCTGATTACAATTAAGCTCGCACGTGGTTATCCTTATTCATTGTTATTGTTGGTCTGTGTTGCAGTTTACTTCTTTTGGATCGGTGGTAGCATGGCGGTGGTGTCCTGACCTTGCGCTTATCTTGGAAGTAATCTCATCCACGCAGCTGATTGAACTCATGCACATATTCAGATTGGGAAACATTGTACTCGAAGGTGGTTGGAGGGTCTATCGAATTACAAGTAAATCTTTAATAAAACCAGTTTTTTTGTACAAAAGTCTGCCTGTCTGTGCCTTCCGGCAATTCTGCATTCCACTTCATACTTCTACTAACATAAATTTTAGTCAACAATAATAAATCTGATTTTGTTTAAGCTCTTAAAACTAATAAATAATACTTTGTGCAAACTCTTTTCTAGCAATTTCCACTGAGGGTGCTGTCGGAACATTAATCTCACGACCTGTCCTCGACCCCTATAGTTCATCCTCCCTTGAAAAATTCCACCACCTGCTTCTCAACAACCTCACCCCTGCCGAACTACGCCGCCTGTCCTCCGCCACGGGAGGAAGTAGTTGCAACTTTTCCACGTCCTCCTCACTACACTCTGTGTATCGCCCCTCCTGCGTCTCTGCCGTCCCCATCCCCCCCACGGGAATATTCGAACGTGTCTCCAACTTGTCCAACCACACCTCCAAGCACGACATCACCACCATCGCGGAAGAGGGTGGCGAGAGAGGGATCGGAAGTAGTGGAGAAAGCATCAACAGCTCTACAACAGCAGGAACGTCGACGAATAAACCTTTGTTGAATTGGTACGAACGTTCTCCGAGGAAACGATCCATTGCTAACCTTCCAAACTTTGAGGTAAATCCTCCACCGGCAATAACTAATAATTTATTACGTACTTTGAGAGCAATTTGTTTACCAACAACTTATTATGTTTGCAGAAACCTGGCACATCGCACACCGTTCCTCGTCGTCGTTCTTTCTGTCCCGGAATCCTGTCCTCGTCCACCTCCAAGTCTTCCAGTTTGGCTTCTCTCCTCTTCAAAACACCGTCAATCTCTGTGGACGAGCAGGACGAAGAAGGAGCTGATGAAGTCGCTGTACCATTGACGAAGCGACGATCTTCTGGCGGTGTCGTCACGTCAAAATCACACGACTCTCTGTCCTCAGTAGCTAAATCTAGTCTGACTCCATCAACAGCAACACCCCCGAAACAGTTGACGCTTCCAACAACTGCAAGTGGATCGTCGTCATCGTTGGCGTGGTCGTCGTCACCTCGAAGGTCCAACATAATGCCGGGGAGGAGTCCTCCGGGAAAACGGGTTGGGAAACCGCCCAACATTCTCATACTTTGCGACGACTCTGAGAAACGGGAAGAGATTGGGAAAATACTCAAGGGGATGCTGCCCAATGACAGGTACATAGTACGACGATTGGAATGGTAAAGTGGGGGCAATAGTTACTTACAATTAAATAATTGCAACCTATTCGACATGCTGCAGGTACGCCATTTATGACATTCGCTGGGACCAGCTCGCTGTGGGAGGTAAATTATCAGGTTACCTACATTTGATATCAAGTTCATGTATTAATTTTTTACACGGTGGGAAACAGGTTGGTCTGAGCAAACGGCTCTCCTCGTCCTCTCGGGTCACATTCCTCTCGACATTGATTCTCCCTCTCCGTCGGGAACGTCACTCCTCCTCCAGTTCCTGGGGGATGGAGGTCGTCTCTTGGCGTGGGCCTGTGATTCTGCCCCCTTCGGCCCAAATAACTCTGTTGGGACCACAAACTCCAGTACAAATAATAACAAGCACATCTTGGAGTACGGGGTAGGGCCCAGCTCCTCCACGAAAGTGACGCCACGACCCCTGCCACTCACAAGGTCACTCTGGCCCCACAATTTCCCCAAGATTGTGGAGACATCGGACTCTGAAGGATACTCACGCCCACTGACTGCCTCCGTCTATGCCAAACTGAGGGATGCGAGCGGTGTAGGGGCTGTCCTCAATTTGGACGGGGGTGCATTGGGAGGAAAAGCCGTGTTGTCTCAGGTGACGATTACAGAAAAGCGAGAAATTATTTTTTTGACTACTTAATTAATTTGTATCTGTTTTGGTGCAGATTGAATTTGAGAAATGTTCGGACGAGGAAGGTGCCCTCAGCCTCTTATCAACATTGCTGAATAATTTAGGCCTCGATTGTTCCCGATCCAAGGACCCCGAGTACACTTTTGGCTATCTGCTTGGTGATCACAAGGTAAAAAAGATTTAAAATAGAACAACAAAAGTCTTAAACACTAGCGGATTAAAAAAATAATGCGATTTAATGTAATGCACGATTTATAGAAAGTTCAAGACTTCCTTTCTGCCGTTCCTCCCACTCTGAAGCAATCCGAACTGACGCTGGAATTCACTCCTCGTGGAGGAAAAGGATCCCAGCCGAGTCACACGCTCTTTCCAATCCATACTTTGGAATGTCCAACAAACTTTTCTACACTGGATTATTACGAGGTGAAAAAGCAAATCCTTCATAAATCCGTGTGCCATGATGGACTAAATTAAATTGTTTTAAAATGCTTGCAGAATTTGGAAACCAAGGACCTCGGTCGTCTCATAGTTTATACTGACACGCTCACCTCAACGACTCACGTTTTTGGTGGCCCATCAATTCAGCATGGACTTGTCGTCATTGCGAGAAGGCAGACGCGTGGAAGAGGTGTGATTCTGAAATTTATTTTATGACCCTAGTGCAAAGTTTTTGCACTTTGGGAATTGGGGGATTACGTTGATGCGGTTCTCGGCTTCTGTGTCATGCAGTTAATTAATTTCTATGGAACAACTTAGGTCGTGGTCAGAACGTGTGGCTAAGTCCGGAGGGGTGTGCCATGTTCTCACTCCAGCTGGTCATCAGTATGGATTCAGCTCTAGGACGCAGGCTATCCCTGGCTCAGCATCTCGCCGCCTTGTCCGTCATCCTGGCCGTGCCCAACCATAAAGTGAGCCATATACTTTTAGGAAATAGTTGCATTGTATTGTTATGCAAACTTGTAATTTACTCCTTGCTATTTTAGGAGATCGATCTTCGTGTCAAATGGCCAAATGATATTTATATAGGTGAGCAAAAAGTTGGGGGAGTCCTCGTCGATTCGAGACTGGAGGGGAAACGGGCCGTGGTCAACATGGGGATTGGAGTGAATGTGAGCAACGCCTATCCAACCGTGTGCCTCAATTCGGCCCTCTTTCCTGACTTCCGGCCTGTGAATAGTGGTGACGTCACGAAATCAAAGAGTACAAAGGAGACAGTCAAGAAGAATAAGGCGCACTGGACGACGGAGAAACTCGTGGCACGAACTCTCACGGAAATTGAAAAACTTATCGAATCTCTGGAAAAACACGAGGTCTGTTTTTCATCACATTAACATAGGGCTCGATGACTCATCACGAAAATCATCAAAATCAATACACATTTTTAATCATTTCTCGGCTTTGGGAATTTTTCTAAAATTCTGGGCGACAAATTCGTAGTCAGTACGTTGATTAATAGGATGGACTTTTAAATTAAGGTCAGCGAGTTTGAATGAGTTCTGAAGACTTCTTCGATTTGAGAACTCCTCCTTCGAAAACTCTCAAAATCAGAGTGTGTATATATTTTGTTTTAATTGGTGCGATCTGCTCTACAAAATTGTCGCCCATAACTTTAAACTAAATTTCCAGACCCGAGAAATGATTAAAAATGTGCAGATTTTGACGATTTTGGCGATGAGTCATCAAATTCCTCGTTCTAACCATTTCCTAACCTTCAATTTGGTTAATTGATTCTTCAGGGGCTGGAGGACTTTCTTCAACTCTACGAAGACAACTGGATCCACCACTCCTCCCAAAATACGCTGCCTCCAGAAGAGAATGACGTGGAGACGGATTTGTCTCTCGTGTCGGTTGAAATCTCTCCAGGAGCTTTCACTCTTTGTCGGATTGCTGGGATTGATGAGTACGGATTCCTCCGCGTGATTGACTCCAACTCCGGAAGCATGTTTTCTGTTCGACCGGATGGAAATTCCTTTGATATTGCAAATCGACTCATAGCACTCAAGCCAGACTAACACTCCACCACCACCTTCTTTTTCTATACATGATAACGCTATACAATAATTTCTACGCATGAAGGAAGATGTGATACTGATGAAACTTTGATGACGGTGCTGCACGAATTTTCGATTTCCAAAAAAAATACAAAATGTAGTTTTTCATTAGCTGAGTAGACGACTGTGAGCAACCAACACTGCTTTAAATCATGAACAAGGTGCACAAAAACAAAACATTAGTCTGATCATGTATGTAGTTGAAGATTGGAAATGTTTATAGTATTTGTTATAAAATGTTTACATACGTTATAAATATTCACATTGATTGCTTATCTAATTTCTACATTTTGTACAAATAATTATTCATGGATTTGCAAACAGATCATCTCCCCAACTTTCCCAATCGCTTTCATTCGTTCGAACTGCGTATCGTAGTTTACTCGTGTAACTGCTCGAGGTACTTCTTGTCCGTTCCGTTGTGGTGGTTGCGTAAGGTTTTGGTGTCACAACGGGATTTACCATTTCCGACTCGTTCTCGACGATTTCAATGTCATAATGTTGTGCTGGAGGAGGAGGAGGAAGGGGAATCCACTCGCCATAATGTTTCTCAACTCCGCCATTATTATTCTTGCTTTGGTCTAGATCCTGAATTATGAGTAGCGTTTTCTGTGTCCGCTGCAGCTGAGGTTCTGGTGTCATCTCGAGTCCCTGCGTCCGCTGCAGCTCAGCAGGTTCTGGTGTCATCATGGGAATGGGTTTGACCCTGACGAGCGGCCTCCACCCACCCGTCCTCTCCATTTCTTCAAGAGAAATCCAGTTAGTCTGCGTTCTCAGGTTGCCGTACGAGTCGTATCCACCTTGATAGCGATCTCTGTTTTGTTCCAGGGCGGCCGGGCGTTGAATGGGGAAGAAGGAGGGAGGATTTGGATTATTGTTGTGCCAGACGGGCGGTCTGAGGGGGACGAAGAGTGGGCGGTGGCGTCCCCACAGGTTGATTTTCTTTTTATTATTCTTCACCTTTGGAATAAAGGGGGCGTGCCGGGGATGGCGAGCAAGCAGCCGAGATGGTTTTGTGGGAAGAGGCCATGCAGGAAAATGGGGACTGCGAGGAGACAACCCATCGGAATCACGTTTCGCAATCGGGTACCCCGTGGTTTCGGCTTTGGCGTCGTCGGGGGTGGTTTGATTGTTGTCGTGGATGGAGGAGGAGGTGGAGGTGCGTGGTGGATGTGGATAATGTCGCCGTGATGGTGGGGGTGTAGTTTCCCGTGGTGCGATGACGATTCTTCTTGTGAATAGTAATCTAAGTAAACCCAATTTCAATTTAACTAAACACCTCGGTTTAGCATTATTGCGAACGAACCGTACTCGTCGTCCTCATTGCGATCGTCTTCTCCAGCATCGTAGTGGTCTTTAAAGTTAGAGTCGTCCTCTTCCTCAATAAATTGATGATGATGTTGATGTCCAGATTCGAGAAGGTCGTCCTGGCTGGTGTAGCCCAATGGACTGGACTTCACACTCGTCACAAAAATGATGAGAATAAATCCCTTCAAGATAACGAAATGTAGTCGAAGCTACCAATTTGTCAAGTCCATGCATAATACCCACAAAGCAAAAACTTACCCAACAGGTGGACAATCTCATATTGCACACAACTGTCTCAACTTAACAATGTTTCTCAGTCCTCCAAGGAAGATGGTCAAGTGGGGAATGGCATAAGAAATCATGCTTCGAGTTGGACACAACATATTTTGCATTTCTTATTGTTATTTATAATGATTGGGTGGAATATATTTAGAGAAAGTGAAACCACAGACGTCATTCTTTGTATTGGTGTCATTTTCCATGAATTTTTGTACCCCAACTCCACACCATGCACATTCCAATCTTCCTTCTCCGTTGGGTTCCAAGCATGTCGAGACGCTGGTGACTGATGCTTCATCTCGTTAAATCCCGTTAAATCCTTCTTCTGGCAACAAGTCAACTGTGTCACCTTCATTATTGTGTCATAGGCGTACCTATTCAGTAGTTTAGTCACTAAACTTTAGTGCATACATACATACTCGCTGATAGGATTATAATAATATCCCAGTAAAAATAAGAGTGGGATGAAATGACCCATCCACACCATTTATTCCTTATCCTTGATTTCATTCTCTAATTTCAGGAATCTTATCTGCACTCGAATCTGGATCTAGATCAGGGGCACCATTCAATCAAACCGGGAGGCAAAATATCGCAATGTGGAAAATTAAAACCGAGTGTTTCAATTGTATCCGGAAGTAAACATCCAGAGACTATTATCTCATTTTTCCCGGAAGTGTACATGCTGCTTTGCATACGTTGTATGTACATGTATTTACATGCATTCAATTCACCCATTCGACTACCGCACCAATACTTAACAGTTTTCTTGTAGAAATTTGCTCGTTTTTTTGCTTATCACATCTGCTTCTCTTAAATCCACGAGAAACGGAATTGGCAAACAATCCGGCAATATGTCTGTCAAGAGTTGTATGTTCATGTTCCGATTTTCGGGTTGCGAGAATTGCATCACGATCTCTTCTCTCCATGCTTCATTAGACTTGCGAAGTTCGTTATTTCTGGTTTCTGCAAAAACAAAGTTGCTCTCTCGTTCAGTCATCGTTGCGCTGTGAAAGTGGTCACAGACGATAAGATAAGGCGATAAGATGCGGTCTCTCGTCATGCTGCCGTCCTTGTGTCTCCTCCTCTGCCTCGTCACATTTCAAATCGACGCTAAACCAAAGATCCCTTGGTGGCAGCTTAAAGTCACCAGGGCCCAAGGGTACGAATTTCAATATACATACTTTAATGTCGTGTGTACCTTCTATTTTTGCCTTCTGAATCCACAATTTTCGTTAGAAAGTGCAGTTCATATATATTATTTTCCCGTTTTATTTGCGTATTCCGATAATTTTCAGACCCAACGCCTGCATCGTGGAAGAAATCCCAGACCTTGGGAAAAAGTATTACACGGAATGCAAGTACTGGCCAGAACGGAAAGTTTGTGGGCGTGACACGTAATATTTTTATGCGAATATTTGAAGAAATTAAAAATTTTGAGCCCCCTTAATTTCTGTTATCTATTCGTTAGCGTGATCCGATACGAATGTTGCGAAGGGTACAAGCAGCGTCAGGGAGAAGAGGGATGCACGGGAGTCAAGCCACTCAAGAACGTGCTGGAAACGGCACGAGATTTGGGCGCTACGCGATTCGTGAATTACTTGGAAGAATCAGGCCTCGGTCGTGAGCTGGCCCAAGAGGTAAAAAACCACAAGAACATGACTCCATAAATATGCAAACAAGTATGTACATATTGTGACTCAACTAAATGCATAGGGCACCTTCACGCTCTTTGCCCCCGTGGACGCCGGCTTCGAGGGCTACTACGGGAATTCAGTGGCCACCAAGATCCAGTCGTTCAGAAACTCGGGCTACAACCCGGTGCTCAATTACCACGTGTCGGAGAGGAAACTCCCCTCGAAAGACTTTTCCGGAAACACTGAACTCAACTCCATGCATGAAAACAGAACTCTGAGAATTAGCAAATATTCAACCGGGGTACGTATTTCGGAGCTACTTAGTTGTCTGAATATGCCTTTTGTGTCAAGTTGTCATATAATGACCATCTGCCTAAATATTTTAATATGCAAATATTAGATGGAAGCCGTAAACTGCGTCCTCATTTCACGCAAGGACCAAGAAGCGTCGAACGGAATTGTGCATATGATAGATTCTCCTCTCGATCCAACCCTGTGGATGCAGCAGGATGTAGTCCAAGTCATTGCTCAGGTATTTAAATCCGACTTTTAGCTAATTTATGAGCACAAGGCTACAGTTTTTGTGTGACTGCAGGATGGACGCTTCGCCAAAATGTCGCAGGCCATCCAGCGTTGCGGTTTTGCTTCGCGGCTACGCGAGATTGGGAAAACCTTCACCGTTTTAGCCCCCAGTGACGAGGCTTTTCTTAAAATTCCACCTGCACGATTCGAAAAGATGGTCAACGATCGGGCATCCTGCATCGGTGCGTGCGTACACATAATTTCTCGAGTGTAGTGCAATAATAATAATAAAGTCTGATGCATTTAGCACTACTTGAAAACCACGTGGTTCCACACGTAATGTGTACACCAGTGATTACGGAAGAGTACAAGGCACGCTCCATTTCCCCGTCGGGTCGTCTGACCTTTGACTGCGACGAGAAGGGTCATTCAGTGGAAGGGAAGAAACTCAGCGGAGAATTCATCCTGGGCCAGAATGGGATCGTTTACATGGTGGACGATGTTCTCATCCCGGACAGAGGTCAATATTTTTAGTAGAACAAATTTCAGCAGTAGTTTAAAATACAGTTTTTTCTCTTTAGCTCGCACGCTTCTCGAACTTGCTGAATCTCGAGGAATGACGACTTTCGTCCATCTCGTCCGCGTGGCAGGATTGGAAGACACGTTCAACACTTTTGGAGACTACACGCTCTTTGCTCCCAGCGAGTCTGCATTTTTAGGCAAGGCAGCTTTTCTCCTTCCCTGCTCCTCCATTTATGGTGTAGATTAATTAAGGCTGGTAATTGATAAAATATGGATTTGATGTCAGAAATGGACGGTGAATTGTTGGAGGAAGCGCGACGGAACTCGGACTTGGCTCGAAGCATCATTCTCTACCACGCCACCCAGAGTCGCATACTCTCAAACACCATCAAGAACAACCAGGTACAAACACAGACGATTCGTCTCAATAATAAATTCCTTGTGGCAAATTAAGTTTTGATGACGATGTGAATTGAACAGAACGTCATGTCTCTGGATGAAGAGAATCCTCTCCGCCTCATCGTCTACCGGAAGTCGTACGGAGTGGAGGACGCCGTGATGGAGAAGACGGATTTGGAGTGCATGAACGGAGTGATGCACATCGTGAACAAAGTCCTCTTCCCGGCTACGCAATCCGCAGGAGATATTCTGCGAAAGAGTGCAAATTACTCGTAAGATTAATAACCCACAGATTCCTGATTGCTGATAACGTGAGTGTATAAATGTGGCTGTGTGGGGGCAGGATGTTTTTGGAGGCGATGGAGAAGGTCATGATGTCCGAGCCGAGTGCGATCGACCTTCGCAAGACGCAGGAGAACTCTCACTACACATTCTTCGTCCCCAACGATGACGCCTTCAGAACGCTCGGAGCTGCTCGCCTGCGCCGCATGCAGAGCGACTCCACATACTTGACAAAGGTATTCCCTGGAGACTTCTAACAATGGAGGTCTTCCAGCGTATGCTCTCCGATTTTGAAAAAAATAGTGTCAATCCATGACAAATTTAATTAGTATGAAATTTTAAATCGATTGACACTAATTTGGTTAACATCGGAGAGTGTACGCTGGAAGACCTTCATTGTAAGTGTGGATGACCTCTTGGTCACTCATGATAACGAGCTTCCTTCCCATGCAGGTCATCAAGAATCACGTCTCGTCTTCCATGATGGCCTCCAATTCGTTCCGACCCGACCTCACATATGACCTCCCCACGCGACAAAATGCACTCGGTGTGTGTCAACGGAATGGAAAAATAAAGGTGCCATGGATTGAACGAATTTAAGAAATTCTGCTCAATTTCAGAAATTCAATTTCGTAATTTGAAATGCAACGTATTTTATTCCTTTAGGTGAACGATGCCAACGTGTTGAAACGAGACATTACCAGCTCCAACGGAATTATTCATGTCATTGACAAAATCATGCTGCCAGAAAACGACTACTAAATAATCGCATAATCGCTACTATTTAATTAACATGCTTTTTGATGCTGAGATTCCTTATTATTAATAAAAAAAATGCTTCAAACTGAACAATATTTTAGTTTCATTTTGTAAATTGAGCAGTTGTGGAGTACACGTTTATTTCAAATCAATAAGTTTGGCATTGGAAGCTTTTGATTTATAAAAAATTGTAACATTTTGTTCTTTGCGTATAAAAAAATAAACTCTGGGACGAACAAGTCTGGAAAGTAAGATTAGTTGAAGGCAGAATAGAAGATAACAAGCAAACAGAACACAGAAGTGGGTTTGATTCCACTCAGAAACAAGGAAATGAAACAATAGTTAGTTAGTCAAGGTTAGTTAACGAACCGGAAGTATTAGCGGAAGAAGTAGGAAAGATAAGGACAAGAAAAAGTGTCAAGATTCGAGACAAGAGCGCAGATTGGTTATCAGACTAGATGGCAAAAATATCAGCATTTAGGTAAAGATTGGATGGCAAATGGCTTAGAAGGCACCCCCGAATCCAGCCCCACCATCGAAACCACCGTCGAACCCGGCTCCTCCGGCTCCTCCAAGGCTCGACACGGCGTATCCTTGTCCATGTCCGAGAGCGTATCCGTGTCCGGCGTCATAAGCTTTCTTGGCGTAGACGGGAGCGTGGTGGGCGTGACCTCCCTTGTTGATAACCTCAGCCTGGAATCCTCCCTTTGGGTCAACGACGTAGTTCACAGTTCGGAGAATGCCGTCAGGTTGGAGGACGGAGTAGCTTCCCTTCGTCACGTGACCGTCTCGGTATTCTGGAAAGATTTTGATAAATTTTTGGATTAGTTTGATTGGAAATAAAAATGTATAGTTTTTTTTTCAAAATCTAGTCCTCAAAACTGTTTGAAAATTATTTTGAACTTCGATATGAAAGATGTCAAAACAGATATCAAGACTTTTTGGTCAAATGGGCTGAAAAATTGGAGATTTTTGTATAAATAAATACTCACCATGAGCGGTCTTGTAGTCGCCAGTGTGCTTATCGTTAACACCATAACTGTACTTGTATTTGGGGTGGGCCTGCAAAAGTTCACCAAAAAATGAATTGTCAGTAAAACAGAAATAGGGAATGTACGAAAATATGCTTGAACTCACGTAGTGGTCATGTCCGTGGTAATCTGGAATACCGGCGACAGCCACGCCAACCAAGGCCAAAACTACGGCAATCTATGTAAATCCAATAAATAATAATAACTTCAATTTTTACTCAGTAATTAAGATATTTTTCAGAAATTGCAAGAATTTTGATATATCTTAATCTTACCGTGAGTCCTTGCATGTTTAGAATAATTCGCTGTTTTTTACTGGAAAGGAAAGCTATGTCTTTAAAGAACGGCTTGATGAATGTGAATGATACTTGATGAAAAGGTGTGGACTTCTTTTATACCAAAATTACACGGCATCACGGAGACGTAAAGTGACGTAATTTTAATTAACAGTTGCCCCTCAGTCAACCCCATTAAGTAACTAACACTCACTCTGCCTACGAAGGAATTATTCTTACCAAACCAGTACGATTAAGGTTTAAGACTCCATTTGACACGGTTGACTTGTCATGGTCGATTTTTTGGGGGGGGAACAGATCAGATATTCGTAAATGATATATGTACGATTATTGGATTACGGTGTCTCTCGGTCAATCGTAACAACAAGGTAAAAAAATTGCAGAGTTTTAAGGCTGACTCAATCTGTGGAATAATTTCGATATCATACTTTTAATTAATTGTTATTAAATTAGCTTTAAAGCAAATAAGGGCTGAAATATTGTTGCGATATTTACTACCACACTCGCTCTTTCAATTGGACGCTTTGCAACAATGGCCAGGTTGTTGGCAATGTGTCCGCCTCAATAAATACGCTGCAGGAATGAATGAATCCATTGTTTTAATTAATTGTGCATAACAGTGAACTTTGTATTAAAAATTGCATCAAGCCTTAGACCATACATATGCATTTCTAAATTGTGCATGTATCCAGGTGCGTGGTACATAGTAAAATTAGTAACAAGTTAACAAGCAATTTTGGCTTGGTTTACGTGTGTAAAGTAAAACTGCAGCATAATTTACAAAGTAAATTAAACGCAGCATATGTAACGACAATGTTTGGCACACATGCACTTATTAAAATGCACGTTTTTTATTTTAGATTAATGGTTGGATGCGTTAATATAGTTAATTAAAAGTGGTTGCATTTTATGAGTCGGACTCAGGCCATGAATGAGTTTAGCCAATGATATGCTGTCGATATAAATATGTAAAATGGTACGGGAACATTCCTCCACTTTTCTAAAAACTTTGACCATTTCCTTCATTATATGCCCTGATCAGTTTTCGATCCATGATGATATATTATAGGTATATCTGCTGATTTTGTAATCTTTGCTGATTATCAATCAGTGCACATCAGTCTTAAATAAATGCACACGTGGTAAGGTATCCGTTTAATAGGCTGATGTAACGCCGTCATAATTCGTTCCGGTCTCCGCTTTTTTGGGCGATTGTGGTGGTGGTGATCACTTGCACCATTAATAATAATGATGTTGTGCAGATGTAAACAACCTACTTTTTAGGTATACTAGTTTAATAAACAGTGTCACGCTGTGAGTTGTCTGATCAATTTGAATGAGTTCACGGGAACATATACTAGCTGGCACTAGATGAAATTATTAGTAAGACTTCAGGATGGAAATCATCAGCCATGTGCGTACATATGTAATTTAGATAATGTAATTATGCGACAATGCGACACAAATTGCATTGTTAGTATGCGATTTAGTTCATAACCACTCAGGGTTTCCCTGTGGTTTTAACCAGTTTCCAAAACTGATTTTAACCAGTTTTGGAAACCGAATTTTATTTAGACGTCCAACAGTGTCCAAAATAGAAAATGGGGAAAAATGTTGTAAGGTCTTGATTATTGAATCTTTCGATAATCCGTGGACGTCTAATTTCCCATTAATTTTGAGCATTTGAGTTTGTAGTACGACATGGTTTAGAAAATTTATTAATTTATCCCAAGAAAATATGTTAAAATAAAATTTTTCCAAATTTCGTGATATTGCACACGAACCAAAATCCTCGAAATTAATGGGAGATTACATTTATGTACAAATATGTTGATTACAAGTATGAATCTGTGCATAGATTTACAAAAAAATCGTAATAAAGAACTTTAAACATTTCCAATGTTAGACGCTTTTGGACGGTGTCCAGTTTTAGACGTTCAAAAACACTGTAACCTATATTATCTTGTTTCGCCGGATGCATCGTCTCATGTACGCACTACTTTTAATTCAATGAAACCATTTGGCAAAATTTCTACCCTAATAAGTCCAGCATTCTTTGAAATGCTCCAAATTATAAATAAATCTGGACAAGTTACTCGAACATGCTTATCTTTTGCCTTCGTCACTCTTGACAAGTTATCGCAATTATGACGAACGCGAAAGAAGAACAGGTTCCATCACGATCCTTGCCAATATTACGCAAAGCAAAACTTGTCAAAACGATGCTCCGACCGTGGTGGGATTTCCACTTGATAATCAGCAATATTAATAACTAGCGTATAGCCCGGCCAAGGCCGGGTTCTAGAGTTCCAGTGGGGGGTGTGCCCAAAGCGAAAAATCCGTCATACTATATTTTAAATAATTCCCAGTGGAGACTTTGTCATACTACATACATACATCAGACTGAGGGTTTGCCCAAGTCATACTGCATTTTAATTAACCTGGTCACAGTAAAATTTGATTCCCCCTGTGGGAGTAGTTGAATAGCTAATTACTTAAATTCCCGTCGCGTGGGAGTAACTGCATAGCTAACTATTTAAATTCCCACGCTTCACGCTCCCGTTAAGTTCCATAAACCCCGTTAACTTCTACAATTAACGCCAAGCTATTGACGGATTCGGATTCAGCGTCAAAAATACATTCGAATTGACATGCCACTCGCTGTGGGTAGAGTTTCTCAAACTAAAATAATTAATTAATAGTGTTTATCACGATCACTTATCATGATAACCACTATTGATGAGTGATGTATGTATGTGGGGTGTACATGTTCATGTATTCATTTATTCATGCAGTGCAGTGCATGCATGCAGTGGTTGCTCCGCTTCCTTCTTTGTCTACTGTATGGGGCAATTTGCATTGCGAAGACGGACCCAGGGATCATACTAACACTTTATTAGAGTAGATGAAATGAATGGAAATTAAAATCCACAGTTTTTGGGTTGTCATTTGAAGCCCTGACTAATTTGATAGATTATAGCTAATTGTATACATACTATATACGTATTGTTAGGTTAGTTAATGTAAACTAATTTAGCTTTTAATTTATTATTATTTAATTATTTGTAGTAGTTTATTCCTGTTTATAAGCTCATGAAAATAGGCTAGTATTCTATGCTAACTTTGCATATGTTGATTCGCTAGTACTAGTAATTGAGGATAATAAAGGCTACTATTATTATTATATGATCACGATTGTTGCCAATATTACGCAAAACTTGCCAAAATGATGTTCCGACCGTGGTATATATGATTTCCACTTGACAAAATAAAGTACAAAATGAACATAGTTATCAACATGGTTATCCAATCAAGGCTACACGTTGCCCATATAAGGTAGATAAGAATAACTCTTATCGAGTATAAAACGCCACGGGGTCCGTGCCATCTGACATTATTGGAGAAATATTTCTATCCGAGTCGTTCATCCCGCAGTAAATTGGAAGAATGGGAACGAAATATATTTTTGGCGTGGCGGCCATCCTTCTGATCGTGGCTATTTCGGGAAACCACGCTCAGAATGGGGCGCCGTGTCATGCGAGCATTTTCGATTTCACACCACGCCATACCCTCAACATTACCAGGGTGAGCACATCATTATTTCTGCATGCTGACAATGGAGGTCCCCCAAAGTATACTCTCTGATTTTGGCAAAATTCCAAATTTTGTCAATCGATCACAAAAATTCGTATGAAATTTGCAAAAGACACGAGTTGACAATACTCAAGTTTGGCAGAGATATTTTTGTCCGATGAGGAGAAAATGCGCAGTTAATTTGGAAAATGTAAAATTTGTCAACGTCTGGGGCTCGTTTTCTCCTCTTTGGATGCAAACATCTCTGCCAAATATCTATGACCATTGGCAGATCATGCCTTTTAAAAATTTCATACGAATTAGATTTGTGATCGATTGAGACTAATTTGCTCAAAATCGAAGAACATACGCTGGGAGACCTCCATTGTTAGTCACAAATAAATTATTGGTCGCTATAATTCTGAGTTTATATTTCCAGTACATGGGGAAATGGTACGTGCACGAAGTTGCCGGCAGCCACATTGGCAATTTTCCTCCCCCAGTTTACAAGTAGGTCCAACTTTTTTTCCATTTACCATATTTGTAAAACCTACTCTGACTTGAAGATCGTTTGTCTTTGTCTCTGCTGCAGATGCTACACGATCGACCTCAGCCTTCCCAACCCGGACGATGTTCTCAACATCGAAGGGGTCGACAAGTAAGTCACAAAACAATTCCAATTATTTTGCCGTTAATACCTATGATTGACTCCCTTTGACCAGTTTCATTAATCTGAGTGACGGTGAAGCAATCCAGTTTCGTAACACTTTTGCTGTGAACGACACGCGCAGTCCGTTGAGTTCGATGTGGACGTTGACAGACGAGGAGGGGAGTGAGTGATGATAAAACCGTATCACAATGATAAGGCTAAATTTCTGACCAATTTAAATTATTTTCAGCCAACGCACAAGTAATTATCATGTCGGCTGACCTCGAGTTCCAAGCTTGGACGATCATCTACTCCTGCTCGCACCAGGGACCGGACAACTACCGCTACGAAATCCTGATGGCCATGACCCGCACCCCCAACATCCCTCCAGACCTGAGACAATTCCTCAAAGCCCTCATGGTCGGGCAAGGATTCAGGATTGGAGACCATCACTCCGTCAACCAAACGGAATGCTGAGGCCAAGTTGTGACAATGTGGAGGAACGGGTTCAATTCAAAATTCTAATGATCGACTTGTCAGTTTTTATTTCGATTCGATTGGAAATATATATATACAAATTTTATCAGATTGATTGATCGTTAATTGATTAAGTTTTTATTAAGGGTGTCGATCAAGCCTCACGGTTTTTCAGCTTTGGACACCACTGACACCAGATACACTTGAATATAAATTTCTATAAATATGATGTTTATAACTAGGATAAGTAATATCAGTTGAGTAATGATAATTAGCTCAACATAATCCCCTTCATAATTTCGTCCATGCTTTTGCCAGCATTTGGATTTTTGTATCCCTTCTTCCCACTCCTACATAGAATCAGCGTTCATAGATAATTCAAAACTCGGTAAATTTTCATGACAAATGGTGCGATTATAAATAGTCTGATTACGCATGTGCTGAGGCGTGGCCGCCGTGACTCACTGCTTTCGCAGCCGCATAGCTCTTCTCCCCCACGAACGCATTACTTTTGGCGCCCCCGCCCCCCGCCGCGAGCGAATTGGCCAGCGATTTCCCCGCATTTGTGGCCACCGACTGCGAGAATGCGCTCCCCTGATGGTTCGAGAACGAATTAGAGAATGAATTCCCACCAGATTTCGACACGGAATTTGCAGCAGAATTTCCTTCAGGTCGAGTATATATATAGTTATCCACGGATTAGTAATAAGAACTAGATAATTATGCATATTTAAATACCCCCGCCCCGCGCAAAGGCATTTGTGGCAGCATTTCCGGTTTTGGAAAGTGCCGTAGCTCTGGAATTTCCAGTTCCGAGCGAATCCGAATTTCCGAGGGCGGAACCAGTCCCCCTCGAAATGGCGTTGGAGGTGGCCCCACCTGCACCCCAGGTTTTCGAGTTGGCCTGCGAGTCCCCACAACCACCGGCAGTTAGCGCATTGGAGACAGCGCGCGTGCCATTTATCGAGTTTGAGATGACGCTTCCCCCGCGCGAGGAGGCCGCGTTGGACGCGTGCCAAATTCAGAGGCTGAGTTGGCCACGACCGTCCCCACGGAGGGGTTGCAAGGGGAGGGATTGTCACCCGGAGAAGAATTTCCATTCATATGATGATATTCGTCCTCCTCCGATTCCCCGATTCTCCTCCGATACGCACTTAATTATGTGTTATTAATCGTCCCTTTCATCTATTATTTCCTCCTCACCCGAGTGGTTGTCGTTGTCCTCGTTAGAATTTGAGCCAGATGACGGTCTGTCATGTCCTCTCCAATTTCTGGGTGCAGATTGAAATTCACTCGGGAGAAGGAGAAGCAGAACAACAACCACCACTTTCATGCCTAATTAATATTTTGTACTGTGAAGGGACTTAACTAAGGTCAGCCTATATATTGGTTAAAATTAAATGGTTAATCATAATTCGTCCACCGATGTGCAATTGTATAAACAATATGCTCCTAAAATATTGTATTGTTCCATGCCAGTCAACATCACATGCGTACAATGACATGAATGGAAGACAATTGCCTTGTTCTAATTTGTTGATTTAATTCTATATTTTGTCATTTTTTATAGAATCGAGCAACACACAACGCTCGGGCCAACTCAATCAAAGGGTCGCGTACAGTAGAGAAAAGTTCGTCTAGATGAAAAATTCGTCTCGTACAGTTTGCAAATTATTGTCTAAATTTCACTCCAAATCTTGGTTGGACTACTCGCAATATTTGCGATGGCGTGATGACTTGTTATGCAACGTCGGTCGGTGTTGTTGATGAGTTTGTTTAAATATTTGATGAAGTCAGTATCATCCAGTTTTTGTGTTTGAGCAACAACCCAATACACGAGTCCAACTGGGGGTGACGCAAATACCGATTTATTTATTCAATACACAAGATTTCATCAGATTATTTTTACGCCAATTTTATTTGTCATTCCAATTAGCTCAATAATCTCCTCGATTGAATCACAGCACGGCACTCTCTCATTCGGTCGGATAATGGAGAAACAATGGGGATTGCTCACTTATCATTAAATATTGACTTGTACTCCCTTCTTACCCTGAAATTTTTTGAGTTGCCATCTGCGATGCGGCGTGCTCTCGATGTTTGCCCGATAAGCGGACGAGTAATTAGGAAAAAGTGCTTAATTATGCTTGTATGTACCACTTGACTCTGTATTAAACTCTTTAAAAGTGTAATCTAATCATTAACCCAGGACGGATATGTATTTACGAAAACATGTTGAAATGGGTATTTAATATTCACGAAAAAAACGGATTAGCAAAACATATTAGCGAAAAAGTGTAAAATTTCCGCAAAATTTGTATTTCTGAAGAAAAAAAAGCTCTACATTTTTTTTGTGTGACCGAATTTACTTGAGCAAAACAATTTCTTCTCGTGTTGTGCGTAAAACACGGAAATATTTTTAATATAAAAACAAATGCGCATATATTTTAAAAATAATATCGGAAATATTTATACCTGTCTGAAAATCTAAAAATATGTAACAATATGTCAAAATACTTTGAAATTCTTGTACCCTATAAGAGTTAGGGAACGCACCCACAAAATTAGACCATCGGTCGTCATCAAACGGAAACCTCTGAAAATAAATACATATCCGCCCTCTGATTCTAATTCAGATTCATTACATAATTGGACACAATAAGTACTCGAGAAGAGAGATGATGCGACTATTTAAAGAGCTGGACACCACCACCCACGCGTCAAATAGCCACTCCAACCATTGCATTCTACACACTTGACACCGGAAGATAGACACACGACCTGGAAAGAATGGGTCCCACTTTAGCCGACTCCAAAGCCACCACGGACCTGGTGAACATTCCACCCCGACAAACTGGACCCAATGTCTGGTACGGTCCCCAAGTTGCCAGCCAAGAGTCGACCTGGCTTTTCATCCTCACCGCCCAAGAATTGGCCGAGCTGGAAGTCGCTGCTGACCGGATCGTGGAGGACTCGGCGGTGTCATCGTCATCGTCAACCTTGTCCCTCCGCCTCCTCTCCTCTCTGGACAACAACTTCAACTTGAAGAACCTCCGAGCTAGGATCGACTCACTCGTGGCCAACAACTTGAACTCTGGTTTGGGCTTTTTCGTCTGGAGAGGGATTCCGAACGAGTGGAGCCACGCCAGAAAATGTGCGGCTTTCCTCCTCATCGGAAAATGCATTGGGAATCTGCGCCAACAAAATGGGAAGGGGCACGTCCTTGGTAAGTCAATTAAATGATCAATTAACTTGCAAAGTTTGGGGGCATTTAGGGTGGTTTTTATAAAACACCTTTCAAAGTTTTTTTAAACTAATTAATTGAGAATCGAATTATTTTAGAGGTAGTAATTAACGTAAAGTTTAGTTAAGACATGCTAATGAATTGACTAATTAATTAGAAAACTCTATATATTTAATACATGCATGTATCTAACCCCCCTTTTCATCCGCAGGTCATGTGAAAGACCTCGGTTTAGACTCTTCCGACCCAAACGTTCGTGTCTACCAAACACGAGAAAGGCAAACGTTCCACACGGACTCTAGCGACGTGGTGGGGCTGCTCTGTCTTCGAACAGCGGCATCCGGAGGTCACTCCTCCCTCGTCTCCTCGGCCACCGTCTTCAACGAAATGCTGGCCACCCGACCCGACCTCGCCCATCGCCTCCTCCTCCCCATGGCGAAGGACCGAAGGGGGGAAATTCCCTCAGGGTGTCTCCCCTACTTCAACATCCCCGTCTTTCACTGGTACGAAGGCCACTTATCTGCAATCTACCAGCGCCAGTATATCGACTCGGCGCAACGCTTCCCAACCGCGAAGCGACTGACGAAGGAGGACGTGGAGGCGTTGGACCTTTTTGACTCGCTGTGTGACGACGAAAGGCTAAATTTCACCATGGTCCTGGCTCCAGGTGACCTTCAGTTTTGCAACAACCACGCCCTCCTCCACGACCGGACCGCGTTTGTGGACCATCCTGACGATAAGAGACATTTGTTGAGGGTGTGGGTAGCTCCGGAAGGGGCAAGACCACTTCCCCCCGTGTATGCGGAACGGTACAGCAGCATAAAGGTGGGGGACAGGGGTGGGGTTTATGTTCCTGGGGTGGAACCAGTAGCCCCTCTTCATCCGTAATTATTATTTATTTTTGTCAATGAAGTCAATTTAATAAACAAATAAATAAAGTTTGATTCTGAATAAAAGTGCCTGCATTTTCGATGTTATTTTGCACAGGCTGAAAAAAGCGTCGCAAATGTCGTAATGTCAAAGTTCTCTATAAAAAGTAATACCCGAATCCGGAGACCAGAGTAATGTATTCCATATGGAGAGGAGTCTGGCGAGAAATTGAGACTGGTTGAATGAGCCGAGGTTTATGCCGGGTTGAGAAAATGAACTCTTTTTTACCTCAAATACAGCTCCGTCTCATCCTCTCATCATCACCACCCTATGCATCTCACCCTAAACATCTCACTCACTTTTACGCACTTACCTTTGCTCCTCTTCACAATAATAACACCACACCACACATGGTTCACTTTCATCGGTGAAATTAATTAACTAATTAATTGGTCAACATTTACCGTCAAGCGTATTAAATTCAGCAAAATGGAGAACACGAATATAAATTTTCTAAGCATCTTCCGAATCGCACATATCCAAGATTTAATTAATACTATGTGATTTGGGTCAATTGATTTCATCATCCGGTTGTAAATATGTCTCGGTCAATCAAGAACATGACCGTTTCAACGTCCACTTCTGAGGATGACAGTGAAGCAACGGGGTCAGAATCGGAAGGGGGGACAGTTGTCACAATTTCCTGTCAAGAAGAAGAATGTGACACTTGTGATGCTGATATTGATGCTTTGCCCGTCTTCTTGAACGAGTTTGGTCGATCTCACGATAAATGTTTGGTTTGTGATGGGCAGATAAGTGGAAAAGAAAATGGGGTGGACTTGGGGACTATTAAGGTAAGTATAATTAATTAATCTGCTTTTTTTGTCAGTTCTTTAAATTCGAGTATGGCTTAATTTCAATTCAACTTAAATAATTCGCAGGCGCATAAGGAAATCTGCATCAAAAGTATTCTTCCTGATGTTCAAGTTCAGAGTAGCGTTTTGGATAAATCTTATCCATTTTGCAAGGACTGCACAGACTCAAAAGTGGCACGACTGACGGATCTCTATCGACAACTTTTAGTCCTTCAAGAAACATTTGACGACGTGAGATTTCTCATCGTTCAAGGAATCATTAAAAATTTCGTCAAAGAAAGACCAACCGGCGATGAAGAATCCGTTGGGGAAAAAGATAATCACAGAGACAAGACTGAAAAGAAGACGGATAAAAAACGACACGGGGATCGTGATGGGGATAAATTATTTCAATGTGAGCTTTATTCTGTAAACTTGTAATTGTTAAGTAGTTAATCAATTAATTAATGGTTTAGACTGGAAACGATATGCCACTTATCCAAAAAAGATGGACGAGGAGGAAAACTTTCCAGACATTCAAATAGGAAAAGTGCAAAGTTATTACAGGGGAAATGTCATGTTCGTTCCGCTGCCCATCCCCACCAGTCCAGAGACTTCGGATGGAGAGGTCAGAATTAAGACGGAACCTGTTGAAACATCCGACCAAGAAACCTTCAACGAGGTACGTCTCACAAATTGCGGACTTAATTGCCATTAAAATTTTTGATGAGAAGAGTGAAAACATGATATTACTGCTCTATGACCACATTGTTATAAAAAATAAAGTGGCAGTTTTTGTTAACCTGAACGAAATTATTATTATGTAAATTAACTAGATACAAATATTGGTCTTGTTTTAGTTACTAAATGGAAATGCTGTGGAACCACCAAGCAGCCCCATAATGCCCTCCGTAGGCGTGAGAGACGCCTTATTGTCACAACACGAGGCTAATTCCCCTCCTCAATCCCCAATGATTGGTTTCTCAACCCCTGGATCCACATCTCCCTCGTCAGAGTCTGACGATAATCTGGGATTATCAACGCCAAAATCAAAACCGGCAGGAAAGCAAGTTTCTTCAGTTAACCACTCTTTCCTTCTACCCGACGCCTCTGCCCACTCTCTCACATCTGGACGAAACAAGAAAAGATCTCTCACTCGAAAGGTTCTACTGGATAGCAAAACCCGACTGGAAATCCTCCGCCAAAGAAACAAAACCAAAAAATACGGCAACAACACCTCCACAGATTCTGACTCGTCCAGTGGATCGTTTTTCAATCGAGCTCTGAAAGCGAAACGAAAAGCCATCCGCACGTTGGGCAGTTTGGGTATCGACCACGTCAGCAAAGTGAAGAAGAAGAGGAAGAAGACTGGCAAGAAAACGAGGAGGAGAAGGATCGGTTTCACGACTGCACATCATCACAATCATAACATTGCTCCAACTTGTGATACTACTGGAGAAGGACCAAAGACAGCGACGACGGCGGCTTCTGACCAACTTTCCTCCATGCCGATACTGATGAAAATCAAGGAGGAATTAGCCAGCTTCTCCTCCTCCTCTTCTTCCGGAGGTGAATCCCCCACATCCAATAATTATCCAGAACACCCGCCAACACTCAGCATCATCAGGAGAAAGTCCACTCGGACCGTAAAGCGAAAAGTGAGAAATGACTATGTCACTATAACAAAACCAGCAACTCGTCAAGGGGGTCGGAAAACCAGAAAATCAGATAATCAAGCAGCACATCCTACGGCTCGAAAATCTACCTCCAAACTTCCACCACGTATTCGGAACGGGAAACTGGGAATGGGAAACCGGACTCCTCCAAAAAAGAAGAACAATGTTGGAAAGAAGGAGCAACGACAACACATGTGCTCGTCCTCATCTGGGGAGGAGGTGGAGGAAGAGGACGATATGCTGAATCTCTTCAAATGTACTCCCAACATCACAGAGGGGAATCAGAGAGACGTCAAAATTCCAGACTTTAATCGCAGCGGATCCAAAAATATCAGGACCAGGAAGAAAGGACCCCATTCCAAGAATGTGAACAAGTTTGACGATGATGACCAGCCCAACATTTACACAGATGAAGATGGCACTGACTACTATGGTGAGTGATGGACTTTCTCATTATCAGATATTTATTAAATTATAGCCATAGTTCTCACATTTTATTTGTTTTGTTCACTGCAGAAGTTCCACCTCCGAACTACTTCATAGACGACGAAGAGAACTCTTACTCAAACAGCCGGTCTCCGTCTCCAAGAAAGAAACAACGCCGTAGTTTTCAATATACTCAAGAAGCAGAAGCAGAAGAAGAGGAGGACGACGAGGAGGAGTACGAGTCTGAAGTTGAAGAGAAAAACCCACCCGACGGCGACGAGGATAGCAGTGACGACTATGAGATTGGAATCGATGTGGAAAATATAGCGGCATTATGTGGAAAGAAGCGAAAGAGGATAAAGTCTGAACCTCCTCCTCCTCAGCAAAAGTCGAAAAGGAGCAGCAACAAAACCAAACCTACGACGACCACCATCACCACCACCAATGCAAAGACTAAAAATAATGATAACCAGCAAAATGGGAAGGGCCTAGGTCGAGGTCGACCAAGAAAAGTGTTGACGCCAGAAGAGGAAGAGAAGCACAAAAAAGATGCTCTAGAGAAGAGGCCACGAGGTCGGCCCAGAAAGAATCAAACGCCATCATCTGTGCCTACCAATACCACTCAGCAGGAGAAAGTTAAAAAATCTCCAAAAACAATAAATCCTTCTCCAGGCACGACGAAGCAGAAAATTAAAAAGGAAAGAGTGAGTGTCAAGTCTGAACCAAGATTACCTCCTTCGCCGCCCATGATTCCTGGAGATGATGTCGTAGATTTGACCACACCCACAAACGTGTCCGCATTCTCCACTCTCCTCACGCAAACTGTCCGCTCACTCGTGCAAAATGTGGATCCGTCCCCATCACCCACTCGAAGATATGGGAGCAGAAATCTGGGCGGTGCTCTTCCTCCGTATTCCGCACAACTGAAAACATCGCCCAAAGATGAAGGCGCACTCTTCTCGGATTATGATGATGGCGACGATTTCGCTCCCGCAGTCTCAGACGCGGAATCTTACGGTTCAGCAGAACGAAAATCACGCTCCCGCACGAGAAAACCGCGAGTGAAGAAACCCAAGGCTGACAAATCTGCAGATTCTACCGCTGCTGCTTCCTCCACTTCTAAATCTCCGGGCGGAAGTGCTGGCCGTCAGAAACATCCAAAGATGTGCTCAGTCTGCGGGAAAATACTGGTTTCCAGCTGGAATTTGACAGTCCACATGCGCACCCACACGGATAACCGACCTTACCCATGCACTGAAGCAGGCTGTACTCTTCGATTCTTCAAACCCGAGAACCTGCGGACCCACCTTCGCCATCATACGAAAGAGCGGCCTTATCGCTGCGAGCTGTGCAACGCCAGATTTTCTTATCGCGTCGTCCTCCGAACTCACAAGGCTGCGAAGCACAAAGTATACGATTGCGAAGGCGTGTTTGAGTGCGTGTGTGGCGAGAAGACGATAGCAGAAACGTTTCTGAGGAAGCATTTCCGATCTTGTGAGAGGAAACGCAAGAGAGAACAAGGCGATGATGCGCCCAACATTCGTGACAAGTTCAAAGTTTACTGTAATTATTGCGAAATCCAGTTTGAAGATGGCGAGGAGTTCAAGACACATCAAACCACGGATAGAAAGCACATTGATATTAAAAATGTGAGTTGTTATTTTTCTTTATTTTTTATTTATTTCCTCAGTCGTCTTGAACCAAACGAGGTTTAAAGTTAATTAAAAAATTTGCTTTGCAGGCCAAATTAGCGATAGCTCGTAAGGAGCTCGGGGAATACGAAAAGAGTAAGGAAACTCCTGACGCCAATAACAGTACGGAAGTAGAGTGTCAAGTTTGCGGCGAAAAACAGCCCGACAATCGTCTCCTCCAAATTCACATGAACAAACTGCACACGCAGAAAGGGCCGTTTAATTGCGATGTAAAGTCATTGTCAATTTATTGCTCCTATTAAGCGTTAAGCAGCGGATTAATCAAGAATTTTTTTGTTTTCTTTGCACCCTAGACGTGTGGTAAATTGTTTTCGTCCTTCAGTAATCTCAAGACGCACCAGGTCATTCACGATCAAGATAAGCCCTTCGTCTGTCCAACATGTAATGAGGGCTTCAACACGAAAGTCTCACTGACTAATCACACAATCAAGAAGCATGGAACGGGGAGCCTGTCCTTCTCTTGTACCTACTGCACGATAGGGTTCTCGGGCTCACGGGCGTACCACAAACACATGGTCATCTCGCACAAGGAGCTCCATTGTGTTGACAAGCCACACATTTGTACCGTCTGCTATTTCATTTTTCGAGAGGAGGGACAGCTCGATCGTCATTTGAGAGAACGTCACGCTGATTTGATTTGCTTGGTACGAGGATTTTCCAATGCTTAATTACTTACAAAATTTGAAACCATAAATTGACATGATTTCAATTGCATTTTTCAGTCCTGTGGAAAAATGTTTGGTTATCGGCGTGACTTGAGGAAACACATGGAAGCAATGCATCGCTCATCCGACCCACTCCCACCTCGAAACGACGGGAAGGCGGAAGATGACGACGAAGAATATGGGAGCGATGACAATGAACAACAACAACCCAACAGCACACCAGTAACAGTCATAGTACAACAACCGATAAATCCAACAGCAGCAACACATTCAACACTTCCAAAAGTATTGATTCCTCCCTCGCTCCCGAAACCAAGAGGAAGGCCACGCAAGACTTCAAAGTCATCAAATAAGCTGGTAACTCAACTCGAAAGAAATATTTCAAAACTTGTTTACTTAACAATGACATTTTCTATATTTAAATTTGAAATCATTTTGTAGTTTTCCGAGGAAGCTGGACCTTCTTCAACGACTGCGAATGCACCACGAAGCTCATTTCAACCTCCACAACATTGCACATCTTCCCTTCCACCCAATTCGGACCCTCCGTTCAATATGGTGATGAACATGCCTGTTGGACCTGGACCACTTCCCCTCGTCTCCAGCAACTTTGATCAGCAATACGCCGCCATTCTCTCCAGTCAAAGACATCACAATCAGAGGGATGGAAGTCGTGACGATTTTACAAATAGCAGCTCTGGCAGCTTTCTCTATGAATGAGAGATCATCGTTTATCTTCTAATACATAATATGCGTCCTGCCAAGATTTTAGGTTACTTAACTCCTGAACAGTGAAGACAAAATTTATTAACAATGTCCAATCGCGAATTTTGCAGTTTTATGCAAAAAACTCAATAACATTAACTTAAAATTGGCTGTGTAGATTATTTTTATATATTGAATTGTAGTTTATGCAGAGTATGGAAAGGGCAGCATGACTTACAGCTGTATTCTTATCTTGCCTGATTTTACATATATTCCGAATACTGAAATACTACACTTACCCTGAGCAATGCAATAGATGCGATGTACTGCCTCTCAGATTACGATGCCAAACAGATAACTTTACTAATTTATATTATGTGTTACCCTTTATGTTATTTCTATTGAATATTTATGTAGGAATCCTTAATTCGAATCGAGCGTGCTATCATATTGAATTAACTTACAACATTATGCTCTTCCGTGTTTCTTTGTGTAATACTGAAATTACTCAAAGTTAATTATTTTGTATGTGAATTCAAATTTTAGTAGAGAATGTAAAGTTTCAAATTTATTATGCCACAAACAATATATTGTTATAATATAAACCAACTCTTTACCCTATTCGGGATTCCGTATTTAATTCAGTAAAAATATATTGAGTTTATGTTGAGATTTTGTACGCTTTTCTACCGAAATATAACCTACTTACATAGGCGAATTTAGAAAAAAATAAAGATGCAACATATTAGAATCGTATGTCAACACTAACTCGTAAGTACAATAACATTTACATATCCTATGGTGCGACCCTGTTTACAATTTGGAATCAGGGCGAAAGGACTGTACTCGTAGGTGTTCCTTACTACCGATGTATCGTGGTTAAAAATATCGACTCTTTCTGGACGTCAAAATAGTATTATTCTTGGTTGGTCATTTCACCTGCCTGTAGTTTTCTTTCCCTGACCTGATCAACTGAATTGACGATCGTAGTGGTGGAGTTTAATATTGGTCTTTGTTGCAGTTTAATTTGTAAAATTACAATATAATTTCATAAACACTTAATGATTCTTATAAAGATTCCAGAATTAAACCATGTAAAATTTTTTTCTTATAAAGACATGAAATTTGGAAATATATAAATCTCCCAAAAATGTTCCTACCATGCATACGCTGAAGATGAACATCCGATATGAAACGAGCCATACTTTGTTTAAATACAAAATTCGTAGTAAGCGAATTGAAAAGCTTCTTATAATTTTCTCAAGAAATTCTCATCTTTTTTTCGTGACTAAAGTAGTCCATATTTCAAGAATAGAGGGGAGCTCGACCTTCCGGATTAAAGTAGTTCCAGGCTCTTCGTAGATGGCTGATAGATGCATCGTATGCTGGAAGAATTTGCTCAAGTCAGTTTTTGCAATTCTCACGACTCCAAATCACTATAAAGTTGATGAGTTATCAATGTTATCATACCACTGACAATTAGTGTTTGAAGTGTTTCCGTCATATGATTAGTTAATGAAATTTAATTACGTACAGTATAGGCAGAAAGTCATTATGCCCTCATACTTTTTGCACATAATGCCTCATATTGTTCGAGAAGCTTGAGAGCATGAAGTGCAATTTTGCACAATTACTTATCATGATGCAAGGTTTCCGGAACCATACTTTGGATAACGGCGTGGCACAAGCAACGACACGGTGGAATTATATTCAAAATTCCGACTGGAAAAAAGTCTTTATACCCCAATTAATTTTTCATGAAAAATTTGGTCAAAGTCTGCTGTATTAAATAACAGTCAAATTAGCACCTGGGATGTCCACCTCGATCCTTTAGGAAGGTAAGGACACATCTTGGAATCGATCCAAGAAACGAGCTGGTGAAGGAAGCGTCCAAATTCTCCAATTCAAGCTATATAGCGTCGACCAGTCTTTTAAGCCTGCGTTATATTTTTTCTCGTCGCTCTATTGAGCGAGAAGAGCTCTCGCTCTGCATTTCCTCTCCATGTTACGCATGGGTCCAGAAATCTGATCTGATTTTTCACTTTGCGAGTTTCAAAGTGCACGCAAAAGTTTGAAATTTTCACAATATAATTATCAATAGTTTTGCAACAAACTACCTTGGACCGATTAGCAATTTTGATGATAGTTTTATTTATATTAATCAATAATCCCAATATCACAGAAATATTGATTAATATAAATAAAACTATCATCAAAATTGCTAATCGGTCCAAGGTAGTTTGTTTCAAAACTATTGATAATTATATTGTGAAAATTTCAAACTTTTGCATGCACTTTGAAACTCGCAAAGTGAAAATAACATCAAAATTTAACCACTTTTTGTGACTCGTCTCAACTGGTCATAGAGTATGTGTAGTGGGAAGTTCCTACCACACATACTCTTCCCACTGGAAACCACTAAAAATGTAAACAACTCCAGATGATATTTGCAGTTTTTTGCAAAAAATTCAAAATTCCCACCGAAACTTGTGAACTTTATACCCCACCGAGTTCATCAGTTTCGCCACTATGTGATTTATGAGGATTGGTTTAACATCAAATATAGCTAACTCTTAAGTTGGATAGCGTGTGCTGAGAAATTTTGGGCTTCACAATTGACCATAAATGTTCATTAACATGCTGTCCAATTATTATGGATGGCAATTCAACAATTCAATCTCCTTTGTTTTAAACCAAATCTTCAATAATTTTGACGTATGCTTAGGATCGCCTTAGTATTTGAAAATATAATTATTCCCAAACAGTTATTTCCTCACGTTGCAATCAAATTCCAACTCAGAACGTCGCAGTAGTAGTTAGTGTACATTATTACTTCGATTGCATCAAAATTTTTGACGCCCATCCACGACGTTACGCCCAAACCCTTCGATTTTCCCCATGATCCGTAATGGTTTGGGTACCGTAGTTTTTTTATCAGCGTCTTTTTGCTGAATCCTTATCCCACTGGGCAAATTTGAACCAAATAGGTCGATGTTGACGTCGCCTAGCAATATCAGGAGTTTCTAACATTAAACCGTCCAATGGTGATGCTTTTTGGCCCATTTAGAGTGGTCTTCCATATAGACCTAGCGGAGAAATTGATTTCTCCATGTTGCTAGCTATTCAAATCCATCTTAAGCGATCCTACTCTTTATAATTCGCACCAAAACTTGGAGATAATATTCTTCCCTAGTTTTCAAGTTGATTTTTGGTCAAGATAACCGTGAAGTGTTTGGCTTTTGGAGAAGTTGCCTAGAGCAGTCCATGGCCGTGTGATCCATAACTATGAAAAAGATGTTAAATTCCATTCCATCTCAAATTTTTTGCACTTTTCGACTATTCTGGCAACTGTACCATTATTAATGGGTGGTTAATCGGAAATTCTTTGGTGTCGAAGACTTTTATCATTCAAATTTACGACTTTTTGCCCGAGGACGGGGCTAATGTATTTTTGAGTGATTATGACCTAATATTGATAACAGACAAGTAGTTCAGCATTAGAAAAATGTTATATTCCAAAGAATAATTCATCCACTGGTGCGTAAATAACGATTTAAGAGGATGTTTTTAAAAATTACACTAAAAGTACAACAAAGTCAGAGGGTGTAAAGACTTTTTTCCAGTCGGAATTTTGAATATAATTCCACCGTGTCGTTGCTTGTGCCACGCCGTTATCCAAAGTATGGTTCCGGAAACCTTGCATCATGATAAGTAATTGTGCAAAATTGCACTTCATGCTCTCAAGCTTCTCGAACAATATGAGGCATTATGTGCAAAAAGTATGAGGGTATAATGACTTTCTGCCTATACTGTATGTGTGAGACTCCGGAAACTTTGTTTTCCTATATTTTGGAATTGCCTATCTGTCATCACTATCTTTTCCGTAGCCAAAGTGTGACCAAACGCAACTTGCGCCATAGTTAAATTATAACATTGGCGTAATAACTTACCAAAGAGCCCACCATTCTAGACTAATAGAATTTGCACATAAATCACATCATGATGTGATCCTTCCTGCACCATTGCATTGCATATTGCATAGACTAGCATTGCAATGCTAGTCTATAAGGCCGAAAACGGGCAATGTGAGACATATGCAAATGAGTGACTAGAAAACGATCTTCCTTCATGAAACTTCATGTTTTAAATTATGACTATTTGGAAGGTTATTTTCAAGGACACGAGGTCAAACAGCAGATTTAGCAACCTGATATTCCTCGCAAAAATGCCCCATGTTAGATTCGCATGCTTTTGCAATTGTCCTTCGCCATGGAATGCATGGAATTGCATGGAATTTCGACGCAATCTTTTTTCTCGATGTTATCGCCATAACCGTGCTTTTGATAAATTTGCCTCTATGTCATAACTTATATAGTCATTTCTCCTCTGTAAAAATTTGAAAGTTAGAGGATTTTGAAAACTCTAGGTTTTGATCGGTAAACAATCTAAAACCTCGCGACCAAATTAGAGCATTCTGAATTCTGAAAAATAAAACACTATGGCTAGGGTTATGCTTTGTGATGAACAAATAAAATTGGTGTCATGTAAATCTGAGTTTTACACGTGAAACACATTATCACAAATTTCCCAAGAACATAGTTCACATTACGTTGGAAATTGATTGAAATTTTTGACTACTTAAAATTCGCATTTTTACATAACCTTTACAGAATTACATATGTTCGCCATACCTCAAAAACACAATCTGTAATTTCTATCTGTAATAAATGGTATCAAATAGCACAAAATAATAGCACAAAAACCTATGATGGTCATTTATGCATTTCGTGTTTATTTATTTAGGTGAAAGGTGGAATAAATACGTAATGAGCAAGTTCACCAAATTAACCTTTGCATATCAGTTTCATTCTTCGCTAATGATACATTTCATGATTAGAAATATGTATTTACTCGTACGGCGTGACGTTGGATACATAACGTAGCGTAACGTACGTCTGGGTACGTGGCGTTCAGGGGGTGTTCTCTGCTGGGCGTCCTATTCAATTACAATTTCTTCATCTTATATGCAGCTTTCTTTTTATTACCTGGCTGAATGGGTACGGATGATAAGACGAGGTTATCATCCCTACATTATAACATGATGCCTACTTCGCCTTGTTGTTTTTGAAATTATCTCGATCAGATATCATCAATTGATATGTTAGCTGAAGTTCAAGGGAGAGAAGAAATTGTAGTTTTTCACAACCAATTCAAGGCCTCTGCCTGTATCGAGATTAGGTGATAAAAATAAATAAAATGCATCAAAATTATAATGAAATTTCGAAGGTGTAATAATTAGCAGGCCATTAAAACCTAATGATCCCAAAGGCTGCACTTTTCCTAAAATTCACTGACCTTTAATCATTCTAATGAGCAGTATAATGTCTTAATTAATAAATTTTGTAATAATGCAAGCGTTCTTTACTACATATGCATTATTTATGTGTATTTAAAAAGTAGATCAATTTTGTGTAGACATATTAAGAGGCAGATTGCATGCCATTATTATTACCAGAGGGTGGATATGTATTTGCGAAAAATCGCTGAAGTATGCATTTAATACTTGCGAAAAAATGCCAAGATATTTTCGAAATATGTACGAAAAATATATAAAATTTTCGCAAAATTTGTATTTCTGAATATAATGCTCAGGATTTTTTGGGGTTCAATTTCTTTGAGTAAAAAAATCGTCTCACATCGTTGAAATATTTTAAAAATATGTATATGTACGTTTGAAAAAATATCTAAAAGGTTTGCCTATTTTAAAAATAATAGAGGAAATATTTATGTATAATTATAGTTATGTATATGTCTGAAAACCTAGAAATATGTGACAATGTGTGAAAATATTTTGAAATTTTTGTGATCTAAAGACAAGTTCAGCTGTCGATTGTTATCAATGAAAAAGTTGAAATAAATACATAACCACCCTCTGATCATTATTAAAAATTGGATCAATTCTGCGGGTAGACATTAAGAAGCAGATTGCATGTCATTAATATTATTATCATATGTCACAATTGTTTGCGGTGTATGAACGAATTGGCACAAATTCGCATTCGCAATACACACATACAATTATTACGGATTTTGCTATTATTTGGTCATCATCCTGTAACTTTTAAATGCTACTTGACTTATTCAATGCTGAAAAACTTGAGATTAATGCAATGCACTCGCAATATTTATCCCTTATGCATTATGGGACAGGAAATGCGTTTTAAGAAAAACATTACACAAAACGTCAAAGGTTTCATTTCTGACATGAATAAAGTAAAAGTAAATAGCAAAAGTATTTATGCATTTATTAGCAAACTTCATGTACTCATAATTCCTTCAGATTTGTAAACTGCATGCTCACTTAAACTTGCTGTGTGATTCCCTAAATAAGTAAAATGCTACAAATTGACAAGTCTATGTAGGACGGGATGCATAATAAATAGCACGTGTGGTTATTATGCAGATAAACAAGTAAGTACGTCCGCTAAGCAATAAGAAATGTACACAGAATTCCAAAAAAATTGGATCAAAACGAGGTACACAAATGTAAAATTGCGTAATAATCATATGAAAAAGTCATGAAAAGTTGACTCGCTTTGCGGAAGGTATAAAGCACTCGGCGATGTCCATGCTTCGATACATGCACATTAATGCATCGACTCGTTGACTTACGAACTTCACAGAGTCACATAATAAATAATAATAGCGCATTAATAAATCTGGCAAAAAAAGTAATTTGCAGTTCTGAATTGGTATTTAATAAGAGTTTTTGAGGATAAAAAAAGTGTGTTTGTGTTGTGATTGTGCTGTCTGCTGAAACCGCTAACAAGAAAGACTTTATAATTCCTGAGAGAAGGAGTGAATGAGTATTATGCATTATTATTATTGAGTGGTGTTACGGAAGGCTGCCCTTTTTGCAGTGTTTCGACTTTGTATCAAAGTGCACCCAGTTTTTGGACGCTTAGATGAGGAAATGAAAACAAAGTGAGAGTCCACTACGAACGAGGAGAGGATAACCAAGTGCAGGTCGGCGATTTAAAATAGAGAGACACGCATTTGCTTCTTGGTTGGCGAGGGATTGAGTCAGGACTCGAGTGAGTGAAGAACAGACGCCGTGTGCAGTTCGACCAGGCACGATCTCTGAAAGAGTGCAGTGATTTATTGGAAATTAGTTAGTGTATTAATTGGAAATTATTGTTGGACAAATTGTGAATGAAGATATTTTTGTGGTGATCTGAAAACAGTGGGAATTATGAGAAACGCCAAGGGGAGGAATAAAGAACGTCGGACAGGGGGACGAATACTGGTTGTAAGTTATAATTTTTATGATTTAGATATGTGCAAATTGCAATTGATTGCAAAAAATACTGAAAGTATACACGAATACTTATTGAAGGTTGGAGTGGTACTCTTGACCCTGTGTATCCACTCGAGCGACGCATTCATCAAGGTGAGAGATCAATCTACTTGTTGTATTTGAATATTTGAATACATTTTTGTCCTTAATAATTTATTAAGGCCGCGATCGGTCTTCGGATCGGGTACAGTCCGACTGAGAAAGGTTACGGCCAACCCCTCCAACTTAACGGCCTGCACTCGAAGAATCCTGCCATCAAGGGTCAGTTCCTGACTGGGGTGCATGACACGCCCCCACATGGAAAAAGTGCTGGAGTTGAGGCTAGTCCGGCACACGGTGGTGCGAGAGGGAGTGGATTGCTCCATCACCTCAAAATCTTAGGGGTCAATTTGTACCTTGGTGGGCCCAAGCCGTCCCACCACGGGGGAGGAGGAGGTGGAGGTACAAATAACGGGGTGCATGGTCACACTCATCCCGTGACTCCACAATTTGTTGGACGACCTCCGACAAATCTGCAGCCTGGAGGAGGAGGTCTGGGTGGAGCACAACCACCACCACCAGTATTCCCTCCGCATCATGGAGGTCACCAAGGTCAACTGGGAGGAACATCTCCTGAGGAACGCCACCGTGACCTTCTGCGTGGTCAAGGTCCACGAGGTCAATATTCTTCGCTGCCTCAGGTTGGAGGAGAGCTGAGGGGGATCGATGAGCAGAATGAGATTGGTGGGGGGTCCGGCTACTCCTTCCCCGCTGGTGGTGGTGGGGGCGGCAGTGCTGAAGTTTTCCAACCTGCGGCCAGTCAGGTAAGTTCACCTATGACGATTATTGTTGAATATAATTGAGTAAAAGTTGTGAACTTTTTAGTATCCGACGTACCATCACAATTTGAACGTGCTGCAAAATCCGAATCAGAAAGGCCCCTTCTTCACCCACGCCACTCCTCCACTTTTACCGCATCAACAGCAGCAGCAGCAACATCACCATCAGTTGGGACCACTTCAGAATGTACAACACCAACAACCACGCCCACAACATGCAGGTCCTCCTCCACCCCCTCTACGCCAAGGATTCTCGCTCGCCTCCCTCATGCGTGGGCCCCAGTGGACGTCTCGACCACGGTACATACACAATCTATCCTGCATTCGACTGATAAAACATAGTTGGTCACGCAAATGTATAATTTTTACAGATTATTCCGAGTACCCTTGGTGCAATTTGGCCGGTCGCATCCACCACCACCACCGCAAATGAGTGGTCCCATGATCCCGGCGCAATCGTCCTCCTCCCCCAGAGTCCAGTACTCGACCCTGTTCTCCACCAACCCCACCAACGCACCCCCACCACAACATCAACAGGTCTTCGTCATGCCCACGTCCGCCTCATCGATGCCCCACTTCATCCATCCCGCCCCCCAACAACACGACCAACCACCACGCCCCTTTTCCACGTATCCGTACGCCCCACACCCACAAATGCCCGGGTTTCCGCAGCAGCAGCAACAAATCCCGATGGGCGGAGGAGGTGGTCAAAGTTACGCATCTTCCAACTACTTTCCCACCACGCTCAACTCATCCCCTCAAAACATGAACCCTTTCCTCCAGCAACCACACCCACAAGCGCAAACCATGCCCAACTTTGGGCACCACCAGAACGGCCGACCTGAATTCCACCATCAAACTCCACCCCAACAAAATGACTTCTACCAACAACAACCTCCCCCTCAAAACAACAACAATAACGAGTACAATGATGAGTACTCTCGTAGACCATCTGGGATGCCGGACGACATGCGTCCCCCGCCCGGCTTCGAATACTCGCATACCGACTCCTCTCCCATCGTCTCGATGGGAATGACGTCCTATGACGACCCACCCGTCATGATGGATGACAACAATCGTCCAGGAGACCACAAACAACGAGAAGAGGTTGAGGCGTCCCCACCCCGACAGAACAACAACCACCAGCAACAGGGTAACCACAATTTTGAGAGTGCTCTTCCTGAAGGGATGCGAGAAATCAGTCAGGACGAGTACAATGCTTTCCTCACCGCACCCACAAATATTCACACGTCGCATGTCTCCACCCAAGTCATGCCTCCAAGCCCGCCTATTCAACATCCAAGGAGCTACGACCCCTTCCTTCAACAACAACAGGGTCACAAGGTGGGACAATTAATAACCCATGCACGCCAATCAATCAATGCTTCCCAAATTGGGAATTCCAATACGAGCTAAAGACATCCAAAATTGATTTTTTTTCTTATACTGCTCAATCCCTTGCAGCTTCCATGGGCCAGTATATACGATACGTGAACGATGATGCTCACTATATCCAGGGCAGGTGCACTGTGGGCGGATCACCAAAAAAGCGGACAAATTATTTTCAGGTTCGAGCCCCAGTCGGGACATTAGTTTTGTTTGCATTTTTGTTGACTTTTTAAGGGTGGAGGGTTCAGAAACCACCATCCCTTTGAACTACGATGACCTGGTGACCGTGTAGACGGGATGAAAAGTGCGAAAATTTGATACTTTTCACTTTTCATCCCGCCCACACGGTCACCAGGTCATCGTAGTTCAAAGGTATGGTGGTTTCTGAACCCTCCACCCTTAAAAAGTCAACAAAAATGCAAACAAAACTAATGCCCCGACTGGGGCTCGAACCTGAAAATAATTTGTCCGCTTTTTTGGTGATCCGCCCACAGTGCACCTGCCCTGGATATAGTGAGCATCATCGTTCACGTATCGTATATACTGGCCCGTGGAAGCTGCAAGGGATTGAGCAGTAATGAGACGTTTTTTTCTTAGGTGAAGGAAAAGTAACCATAAGGTGATCATGTTAAAAGATCACCATGGTTACGGCGAAGCCTAAGTATGCATTCAGCTGCAACCTTGAAAAGGTCGCACTGAGATTTCGCCCGAACCGTTCGTTGCATGGAAAACATGTTGAAACAAAAAACTAGAGAATTCTGTTTTACAGAGTCATTTTTCTTATTTTTCCAAAATTCTAATTCCTTCAGGTAGAAAGTCCGATGCCTAAAGTTTCAAATCCATTTCTTGGCATCAAGGAAGTGTTTCCGACAGGGGGCTTGCCATTTTTATTATTCTCCAGGATAATACGCACATTTTAAGCCTTTGTTCGACTTAATCGGATTAAAACTCAAGGAATTAGAGCTTTCTGAAATATTTTCATTAAGCAACCTATTTACGTGATAGGTTACTGGTTGCCAACGTGCGCAAATAGTTTATTTAGCATCGATATTCAATACTCAACATAACCAATGTTGCTAGACAATCGAATTACGTTATTATTAGATCTCTAACTGTCAAGGCATGTTGCAACAATCCAGAACAATCCTTAAAATTCTGAAACTGGGGGATTAAATTGATATACCACGCATCCACCCACAGGAGAATTAACAACGTTTAAGATTTTATAATTGCATATGATTTAATGCATTTAAGTTCACAAATCACTAAAAATAATTAAATAAATAAATTTTAAAAAACAAACTTAGGTGAAGGACGCGCTTAAAATATTAAAACAAGAAGCGTTAAAAAATGTCATAATATCGTTTAATATTTATTAATTTTTTCTTCACCGTGGGCCCAACTAACACAGTTGAAAAATATACTTTCAAGCATTTGGAACAATTGTACGAAATACTTAATTTTTGTATAATAAACTTTGAATTTGATTCAAAGTTATCAAAGAGATTTGAATGGTTATCTTTCAATAAATAGTGACATCTCTTATAGAGGAAATTTGCTCATGTTCTGGCGTATTTTAATAATTCCCCCTGAAACAGGTACACTTATTGGTTAATCAAGTCGTTGGTTTAGTTGCATTTAATGTTAATTATCATTGCTGTGAAAATAAAATAGTTGGGCGCACGGTGAAGTAAAAATTAATAAATATTAAACGATATTATGACATTTTTTAACGCTTCTTGTTTTAATATTTTAAGCGCGTCCTTCACCTAAGTTTGTTTTTTAAAATTTATTTATTACTATTTTACGTTCACCTCAATGGGCTAAGCATGGGAATATCTGTTAATTTGACCATACCAAGTGACACGGTATCTTTTTGGGAAAATAGTAAAGGATAAAAACGTTTCATTTTTTGATGTTCAATAAGAAAAATCAATTTCAGATATGGCTTTAGCATGTTGTTTTTTTTGGGGAAGCCCTGATCTCAATTTTATCCTTTGTGTCACTGATTTTAATGTAGTTTTGATTTTGTAATTCTTAGAGCACGCCTCGAAGTGGGCACTTAACGCGAAGTCTGCTCCACTGGAACTCCCTGCTGGACAAGTATCCTGCAGCAGGGGGCATAAAGAGGGAGATTTCTCGCAGTTATGAGATGGTGGATTCCGACACGCAGGGAACGCAAGCCAGCCCCACCATCGCTGTCCCCACCGAGAAGGAGAAGGTGCCCCCAAAGAAAAGACTCGGCGTCCATATTCGAGCTAGAAGGACGACCACGACGACAACGACGACGGCGGCCACACCAACCAAGACGACAGCCAATAATATTACCCCCGCTCAACTGACAACTAATTAATTAATAAATAGTATATGTATCAATTAATAATTAATTCCTTCTTACTTGCGTCCCTCTATTTAAATTCAACCTTTCCTCGTTTTTTTATTTTGCTAAATTGTCCTTCACATTTATCGTAAATAAGCTAGTCATTCACAGATTTACTACTTAACTAAATCCGTTGTATGCATAAAATTATGAGTAAATATGTACGTAAGTTGCTTATAAAATAATAATTAAACCAACTTTTACTTTTTTTACTCGAATAAAGAAAAAGGTGGGGAAGCATGATGCCATAAAATATTAAAATTTTCACTCCAAATATTTCAAATATCATCCATCCTGCAAATTTGATTCATGATGCAGATTTAAATTTATTTATTACGCATTAAGACATATTTTTACAATAAATATGTAATACAACAAATATGTAATATTTACACGCCGTTTACGGAAAATATGATATACCTACACGCCATTTGTAATATTAGGTTACATTTGTAATTATTAAAGGTTGCAAGTTTTAAGCCAAGTTTCAATTCGGTTGACACAATACAACTCAAAAATTTCGGGATTATAGCTGACCGTGGTCCCTTGTTTTCAGAAATTTTAGTTTAAATGGTGATTTTTAAATATGCTGCTCCAATCTACAAGTCATGAATTTATTATTATTATAAAATCTTGAGAGAGACTTTTATTGTGAGGAGACGCTTATATCTTGTGGGAGTAGAGAGACGAATAAAATTTAACCGGTGCATCTCTCGGGATCTGTTAAGATAAAACCCCTGGGTTTTGGGAGTATGTCGAATGGATAATTATTACTACTACATATTTACATTTGAATCAAATATATACGAATAAAAAACCCACTAGGGGATGAACAACGGGATAAATATATTGTAAGGGGTTGACTCAGAAATGCGAAGGGAGGGTGAAAAAAGAATGGAATTTCCGGGTTGAGAAGAATCAATCGATATTCTTCCATGCGGATGGAAACCACGTTTTTCAATGATAAATAAATGCATGAACCATTTTCGATTTGCATATTATCGGTCACTATATTTATACTCAAGTTTCATATATACGTACATATTTCATTGTTTTTAGTCTGATTTAGTGTGATTTGTTCATTTCAATTTCATCTTAACTTATCCACTTACAATGGAAGCCTCCCAGTTATGCTTTCCGATTTTGACCAAATTAATGTTAATCGATCACAAATTTAATTAATATGAAATTCTCAAGATCTCCCAATGGTCAAGTTTTGCCGAGATATTTGCATCCGAAGAGGAGAAAACGCGCAGTAAAGTTGACAAATACTGCAAAACTTGTATTGCATTTTAATGGCTTTGACGCATTTGTAACCAATTTTAATTTGATCTAAGTTCAGGAAATAGAAATACATGAAATAGTGACGATGTCAACTTTCTTCCTATGGGACATGGGGTGTGGTCACCTGATAGGTTCAAATCACCATTTTTATCCATGGTTAATAAATAAATGTTAAAAGTCGTCATAAATTTTTGTCTTTCTATATTTGCTTTATTTTAACTCGTCATCGCTCTTTTCACGTGTTTATAAAAATAGAACAGTTTTATAAAAATATAAGCTTTTCTTTGAGTAATAAGGGCATACAAAAGTAAGGTTCATAAGTAAGATTTGAGGGTACAGTTTGTTACGAAGGCGTTGTTTTACTCTCCGGATGGAAAGTGGAAAAATGACCAGAAATTACAAATCCTTTTCAGATTCTATGTATGGTTAAGGAGTTTCTTAGTGTTTCTCCCACCCTCCGTGGTGATTTGGGGTTCGGTGAACGTGGGCCTTGAATCCCCCCTTGTCGGCGGTGTAGGTGACCGTCCTCCATGAACCGTCAGGCTCCAAAAGGCTGTAGTGTCCCTGTTGCAAAGTAGTCAAAATGTTAGAAAAATCGAGACGAAAAAATAAAATTTTATGATTTTTGGTGAATTTTACCTTGACGGCATCTCCGTCCCTCCATTCGGACGCCTCCTTGTGGTCCTTGGTGTGAGAGTCCTTCACGCCATAGCTGAATGTACAAGTAATATTAGTTAGTACTAGTATTAACACTAATTAATAGTAGTTAGTAGATCACCTACCTGTACTTGTACTTAGGGTGAGACCATCCCCAGCCTTCATGGTGACCTCCGTGACCTCCAACATCCCCACCACCACCACCACCTCCATGACCTCCGGCCTCATGACCCCAGCCGTGTTCCGCCATGACGTAGGCGACTCCGAGGAGGATGGTTGCCTGTTAATAAAGTCGGTATAAAATCTCAAATTCTATTGCTAAAGTGTAACGTGAACTTGTAATAATTAGGAAATTGGGGTTTCAAAATAAAATCTGACGAGTGAATAAACACTGCTAATTTTGATTTTGAAGTTTTTACTCGGAAACGGAACACTTTTTGAGGAGGAAACTTTAGTAATTACCAAAAAGAGCGTCGTGTTTGCCATTTTTCCTGAAGGGTTCTCTCTCTCGTGGAACTATGTATGCAGAGAAGTGGATGAAGGTGAAGTGATACTTTGTTTTGAGGAAATTGGTCGTTTTATACGAAAATTTTAAGCCTGGCTCAAGCACTCGAACTTATTATTGATTAAACAAATAAGACGCGTAAATCAAATCAGTCAGGCTACAATTCATTTGATTTCACGTTGGCAATTCAGGTAGTGAAACGTACACACACATGGCGCACGTGGAAATCACTTGTTGTATGTACCTCGATTATTATTTAACATTGGATTGCTGCATATTATTGCGAATCTCGTAATATCTACGTACTAATCGCAATTCGCATAACCCTAATCAATAAAATGGAGTAAGTATAAACCTCTGGCTTTTCATGTAACAGGAAATGCATGCAATTGGTGCAGCAACGTATGTATGGCAGTATACATACACGCGTAGAAGAGATCATCTCATGCATGCAGTTTTTACTTCCATATTTATTGCAGTACAATAAAACGCATCGACACGTAGAGGAGCAAAAGTTTTTGTTTGCAGCCGTAGCCAACCAAACCAATAATTATTATCTCATAATAATAAAATAACAAGTGGTGGTAAATCAGGAAACCGTGAAATATTGTGGGAACGAAGGATAGAGCAAAATCTTTGCTTAATTCTGCACTGTTTAAATGGGTAGAAATACGTATCAGTGAAACCGTACATACATTTTTACGTATATGCATATGTATTTACAAGGGATTGAGTCAAATAAAGTTTGAATGGCCACTTCCTATAATCATCTCGATAATCGAATTTATTGAATTTTGTGCCAAATGAAAATTTTACAGTTGAATTAATGTCTAATGTCTTGGTCAGTTTTTGGCAGCAATTTATTTACCGTGGTGGAAATGATTTTATGGTATAATTTAATGTAGGACTGGAATATTTGGGTAAATCTTTAGATATGTGCGGACATTTGACTTGACATTCACTGGCGATAATGTCATATTTGTTAAGTAAGCAATAAAAGTTTTCCCATGCAGCAGGTTCAAGTGGACTGTTACGTGTAATATAATATGTAATTGCTCTCATTTCATAAGAAGTACATAAATATTTATCTTATCAACAACTATGTAAGTACATAAGTACCTCGCATAATATCTTAATCTTCCTAATCTTATAATTGGCACGAATTTGTCGTCGTATTCGTCTGAATCTCGCATCAAGAAGCACATGGGATTAGAAAGTTATCTATCTTTTGTTATTCAATTTTCTTGATTTTTTCAGATAAAAATGAAATTCAAGTGGTGAATGCGAGTGCATCAGAGGTTATTTATTATGCGAATAAGTATGGATGTATATGCAATTAACCTGCTATCCGTATAATCATGATTTTTTTATGTATTAACATTGGATCATGATGGATGATGTTGGTTGTGTATCAATTTGTGTGTGCAATAATCCTGACAAGGTAACGATTTTGCCAAGATTTAGACATGTGTATCCAAACAATTCCTCACTGAGAGCACAACAATTAAGATTATTTAACATTTAACAAACAATTAAATAACTGCGAAATTGAAAGTTTGTTTCATGCCCAATTTTACGGGTCGTTTAGTCCGGTCAGCACATTTACGTGGAGGCTGACACCTTAATTAAATCAAATCTTATGCGTATCCTTACATTAATAAAGCAATCAGTGAAGTACAACAATTAGAGACATAACAATAACAATGAGGCGTTTATTCTGCAATGTTACGCAATTATGATCTCATTTAATTTCTCATTATTCCTGGTTTATTAATTAGTTTAAAAACCAACACAAAATTTCACAATACAGACAGGGAAGTTATAAATAAATTAGGCTGAAACACCACCACCACCGACACCACCACCACTCCCACAATTACATTTTATGTACTTGGTCCTATATGTTACGGAAAACTGGATAATTAATTTATGCCGAAATCGTGCGGGATTGGAAACGGGCCGATGTCATAGTTGGCAAAGTGAGACGCATAATTTACGCCGTGGTTGGCACCATGTCCAACGTGTTTTTGTCCGACTAAGAACCCACGCTGGTGGTCACCGTACCGATGGAAGCCATCCTCGTATTGAGGCGCCCAACCCTGTAGGTATTATTCGCATATGATAATCCATGTCCAAATTTAACGTAGGACTCGATGATTCATCATCAAAATCGTCAAAATTAACATATTTTTAATCATTTCACGGCTTGGGAATTTATTTTAAAATTCTGAACGACGAATTTGTAGGCAGTAAGTTGATTAATGGAATGGGGAGGAATAATTTTATGCCAATTTCTATAAGTTCCGATTCTTCTGAAGACTTTCTAAAATTGAGATCTCCTTCAAAAAGCTGATCTGGAGTGTATAGTTTAAAAAAATTGGCAACAACCTGCTCTACAAATTTGTCCGCCAGAATTTTAAAATAAATTCCCAAATCCGAGAAATGATTAAAAATGTGATGATTTTGACGATTTTAGCAATGAGTCATCAAGCCCTAGGTTGAATAATTTGCTATATTCTCACGAGTCCATTGATCTCAAGGGCTGGTTGAGGGGAAATCCCAACCCATCCCAGTGGGGGACCTTTTTTCACCGATACGGAGTTCTTGCCATCTTGAAAGGCTGCAATCAGTTTGGGAATGAGGGTGGGTTTTGGCAGGACGATGACAGGCGGTGGCGGAGCGCCCCAGCCAGATCGAGAGGCACACCCCTCAATCCCCCAAGGTAGCGTCACCGCCAGCAGAATAAGCACCTACTCGTCAATAAACAATGTGATCACATAAATTGAATTGGTATCAAAATCAGTGTTTTGTATCTTGTGGTTTGCTACATTTCTTGCACTGCAAAGCAAGAAACGCAAGGTGCAAGAAATATCTAGCCACGCGCCTTGTGAACTAAGGCGCCGGGACTTAGTTTCTTGCGCCTTACATTTCTGGCAGGTCAAAATAGCTGCCAGAAACCACTTTCGTATCGTTATTTCTTGCAACTTGCAAGAGGTTACTTGCACCCGAAACACTTATCAAAATAAAGGTAAACCACTCACAAATCCAACCGTGACAAGTCTTCTTTCCATTCTTGTAATTAGTCGTTGTGTTGGCACCATGTTTGCAGATTTGTTTGGACTTACTCTAAAAATAGCAATTTCACACTGGAGTTATGTATTTATGAGATGCTCCCAAGTCGGGTCTCATTCCATAAATGACGACACGACGAAGAATTCCTCATAAATTCTTTGCATCTCTCTTTAATTGGATTGCATCATTATAAATAAAAATGCGTACATAAATAAATAAGCTTAATTGGTCTCATTCACGAAAAAAAGTAAAGGATGGAGATGCAATTCAATTGTGCGACGCGTGGTTCCTTTGTCTTTAATCTTTCGCCGTCCTGATTCTACACGCGAATAATTTATCATAATAAATACGAGTGCAGAGATAATTACAAGGATTACAAGGTGGCTAATTTTGGCGTTGGGTGAAGGACCCTGACCCTTCTGCCCCAAAAGTATTAAGACGTGCCACCCTCTTCAACTCGTACTTATTTATTTACACACTCATCATTAAGCCAGTTATAATTGGCATCATGATAAGGGACAAGAGTGCAAAAGGGGCGCAAAATTGCATGGAAATGCATAATAATGATAAGGCACGGCGTCCTTCTGTGCCAAGTGTGCCGGCGCCTTTATGCAAGTGCCAAGTGAATTGCACATCCCCCATACTTAAGTAACTTAATACACGTTTAATTGGAGTGCATTTAAATGTATATCTTTATCTCAGGAGAGTTATGCGATAAGGATGCTATAATAAGAAGACAATTATTATGCAATTGCTTATCTTCTTGAAATTGAGATAAGCACATGACAAGCCTTCCCAGCCCACAAATTATGGGATAGTTGGATATTAATAGTAAATACTGATGGAATCAAGTCGAACAAGTGTCATTTTAGGTTAAATTATGCAATTATGAAATATGCATGGAATTGGAACATCGCAAGTACGCCATCATTTTAGTATTTCTTCATTATTATCGAGTGAGACTGATGACAACTCAAAAATTCTGAACAAAATATTTATGAATCGTTCCAAAATTCCAAAACTTCGGGATCGAATAATATAAAACTTGTAATAAGTATTTTGCATAATATAGTTTATCCATATGTAAATATAGTTGGGTCGGGTGACATGTAAATACATATTTCCATTGCTCAAGAAAGAAGCTGTTATTTATTTAGACGCCCTGTGACATACGCAATAATGGAGGTGGGCCTTATCTTGAGGGGAAGGCGCCGATAAGTGCCTGTCTCATCACCCCGACTTGGCCGAAGCGGCGGACTCCTTCGTATTTCATTGTTGAGAAACTCTCTCTGCTGCTGACTTTTCTGAGCTGCCCAGTTCGGAGTTTATTCAAATCAGACGTGTCCCTCTCGTCATCAGCATCACCTCTCCTCTGTAACATAATAATAATAACAATAATAGTAATAACAATTAACTTTAATTGTTGTTGTCAAACTCGTGTTCTTCGTAATAACTTTTTCTCTCTTGGTGTTGTTCATTGTTGTTGTTGTTGTTTTGTATTTTATTTCCACACCCATTTGATAACGCGTAAAAGTAGACCACCAATAATTTGCAAAATGTAGACTGACACACAAAAACGACAGAAATTAATAGAGTGATCAAATTCCAAGATTTCAACAAGTACAAACAAACCAAGCGTATAATAGTTAGCTGTTTTATTAAACTTATGTTTTGTGGGTTGGTAAAAAAACGAGTTCAATCATCAGTTCAACTTGTACTAGATTTCATATCAGTGTTTGGTTTTAAATAAATTGTTGACTGGTGAATATTCAAAGCAAATAAAGGGTGGGGGTGTGACCTGTGTGGACGCACTGGTCATCGGCTGGTGGCTCGGTCGGTGCATAATAAGGTCCCTTGAATAATAGAAAAGTGAAAAGTGACAATTATTTGGGACAAGCTAAAATTTTTGATAATGTGTAAATTTACAGGATTGATTGGACGCAGTATCGAAGAGTATTATTTTATACTCTTCATTTATTGACCCAATTTAATTCAATGTGAGAGGAAAGCAAAAACATGTGATTGTGCAAAGGACAAGTTAATTTAAAGGGTGGTTGGTAAGTACTTATACTTATTGCCGTTTTGTATACATATCTATATGCTGAATTGTTTCTGTTTGCAGACCAAATGCAGATTCTGTCCCACCCACTCACACCTTGTATTTCTTCAGTGTTCGGTGCAGGAGAGAGCCCCCCGCTCCTTCATCGCGTCGAAATTGCGCACCAACTCTTCAGCCCGGTCTACAACATCCTCTTAGACGACAACGAGGACGACGAAGGGGACATTGATATTGATAATTACAGCAACATGGAAGGAGATCATCACGGTGGTGGGATCATGGAGTCACTCGAGTTTGATGAAAACGGCATCCCGACTGTGTTCTATCTCAACGTGAGCAAAATAGCGGATATTCGGTGTGACTAATTAAATGGAATTTTTCATTAATAAATTATTTTGTAGGTCGACAACTTGGACAATCATGTGAATGGTATAAATGGAGCCTCCAATAACGGGATGGATGATGTCGGTGAGGACGACGAAGAAATAATGGGACTTTCTGATAATCATCACAACGTCCACCTCGTCACATCGGACGATGAGCCCTTCACCCATCACTATTCTCTCCAAGAGGATGGCACGATCCAATACCACCATCACAACCAGAGCAACAGCAATGGGATAGATTTTTCACGGTTCTCAGACAATATGGTAAATACGAATAAAAGTCGAAACTATAATTTATTTAATCGAATCAATAATTAATCGTATAAAAATCACTGAATTAGTTGGACGATGATGACCCCCCTTCCGACGAAACTGAACAAAATTTTGAGTTTGAAGAGATCACGACGATGCCAATGTCAGATTCTCATTCCGGTGACTTGTCCAGTTTCCAATTTCGTCTGGAACCGTCCTCCTCCAACTCCACGTCGCTCACATTTCCATTCACCGTTGTCACGAGTTCGTCCTCATCGCCCTCACAAAGCCTGAATATTATCAACGCTGATTATAATAATAGTAATGGTAGAAACAATGGCACTCTCGTCTTCCGACAGCAGCAGCAGCAGCCGAGACTGCAATTTCAATCAACCAATTCAATTTCTGGAGCACAAAAGCGCAAACTTTCGGCTCAAGATCCACTCCTCACAACGACTACGACGACATTATCGGATTCTGATCAAGCTGATCCCCACATCCCCACGATTAGTAAAAGACCAAAACTTGTGATTAATTTGTACGAGCCTGAACTAGGTTATGAATTTGGCTGTCTGCTAAAAGATGACGTAACCTCTGTACAAATGTCACACATGATCCCGTACGAAGAAGACTACCTCCTCCGCGCTCTGGACAGGGAGGAAATCCCCTTCAAAGTACTTCACCACTTGAGCCCCTTCCTGAAATGGAAGAGAGGACATTTACTCGCCCAGATCCGAGATTATAGAAGATTTTCTTCCGGCCTTCGACCACAAATGGCTGCTCAACCTATTCAAAAACGAAATTCAATTTCATCCCGAAATAATAATAATAATTCTCTCGCCACGGCCGGCGCGTCACGTCGAAGTGCGCCCGTCATTACGGAACTGACCCTTCGTCCCACGACACAATCAATTCTCTCCGATTTTGAGGACATTGTTGGCACTTGCGTGAAAAAATGGAGGAGGAACAAATCCACGCAGAGCGGGTCGGAAGATGAGGAGCAGCAGGATGATACGGACGACGAGTTGGAGGACTCTGATTATGACATTGACCTCATTGATGGTGGTGGTGGAGATCCTGAAGACGACTGCAATCATCTCAGCTATGAGCAAAGATTAGAGCTGGAGAAGGAACTGATCAATAAGACTTCTGGTCCATTGTGCCTCGATCCAAGTCCAAAAGTTAATCTCATTCAGAATAGAATCCAGTTTGAGAGGTAATCATTTCATTTTGTATTTGTATCTATTAGTGTCAAGTTTGTTGTCTCTAAAATGTCAAATATGGTAAATTTCAGACTGAAATGGCGCTGTCCCTCGCTTTTACCCAAGCAACCGCAAAAGTTGATGCTTCCGTCGTCATTTGTTGATGACACCGAATCTTCGTCCCCATTCTTGTCATTCGTACAAAATATGAAAGAGAAGAGTCTCAGCAACAATAACAACATGAACGGGATAAGCAACCGAAAGGAGGACACCCTCACCAAATTGCTCCCGGCTTGTTCCTATCACCTCCCATTCATGGAGTATCCTCTCCTCCAACCGCCCACGAGTATGGAGGAAATTAATAAACTGGCCCCGAAACCGGAACCCTGCATAATTCGACCACTACCCATTGACAACTTTGTGAAACGGATTGAAGAGTATACGCTGGAAACGGAGCGTCGAAAAAGACCGCACACAACGAAACTCAGTATATTTCAGAGGAATGGAATGGACGCGTACTTTGGGGAGTTGGAGATGGAGTCGATTCAAGAGGGTACATATTTTTTGATATCTTTGACATATTTGCAAGCGTTTTTAAAATTGCGATTTCTTATGATGTAGGCTTACCAACCACTTCAAAACCAGGTGGTGGCCCAGTTAATAAGGACAACTCGCTATCCACTACGTCAACGAAATGTCAATTCGAACTCGGCTCAAGTCAGTCTGTTGCACTCTACGTGAAACAGTTTTCCGACATTTTCACCGAGGATGGAAGACGCCCTTGTAAAATTACGTATCAAAAAGTTGGTCATCCAAACCCTCAAGTTTTGTACACCAACTCGTACAATAAAACCACCACTGCCCCAGCAAATGGTACGAATACTACTCCAACGTCCACGACTATGGCGGCAAGTTCGTTCATAACCACTCCTACCTCCACAACAACGACTACTCCAGTCTTAGTTGCCACTCCGCAGCCACAACAGCCACCTGTTCAAATTGTTCATCCCCAGCCTCGCACGATACCCCCACAACAGCAATCTGCAATGGATGGGGGGGCTTCTCCTTCTTCCACAATGATTTCCTCGTCCGGACAACAACTCACACAACAAATTTTGACCCGACCCCCACAACAACAACAACAGCCACAACTCGTGCAGATTCAGGGGAAACCTCTTGGTCCGACAAATGTCCCCACGGCGTCAGCCTCCCACCAACAACTCCTCCAACAAAGACTGCTCCGACTCAAACAACAACAGCAGCAACAAGCTCAAGTCCAAGCGCAACAACAGCAGCAGCAACAACAACCACAAACTGTATTGGCAAAACTGCTCCTTACAAATACGACGACCCCGATGACGACCGTTCCTCCAACTCGACCCATCACAGTGGCTGTGCAACCACAACCGCAGAAAGTTATGGCGTCACCGACCACATCCACAGCGACGGCGGCGGATCAAGTCAATGCCTTAAATAATCAACAAAGTCATGTTAGCTTAAACCTGAATACGATGATGTTGGATGGACTATTGGGACACCAGCAGATTGGTCAGAATCCGCAAATTATTCGCAGTGGGAGTGTGGGTCATCACCAGGCCGTCAATATCTTGCGGGTCAATCAAAATAATCAGGTACGGAGATAGACAATTTTAGAGAATATCTAATTTTAGAGGATAAATAAAAGTAATAAATATATTTGTCCGGTTTCTCAGGTCGTGGTGTCGTCGTCACCAACACAACTGGTCACCTCCTCCTCGCAATCTCCTGGAATTACAGGGATTCAACGGCACCTTCCCCAGCAGCAGCAGCAGTACACGGCGACAGCTACGTCGACCACTACAAATCTGTCCTCACTCCTCCAACAACAACATCACAACAACTCACAAGTCGGCCAACAACGCATCCTCATCAACAACGGGCAGCAACTGACCCTCTCAAACCAGCACCATCTTCCTCAGTATCATCACCACACGTCGACGCCCTCTTCCTCTGCTGCGTCTGATGGTCTAGACTCTTCTGACCTCTCCGTCCCTGATCTGTCCTCCCTCCTCGCATCCTCCGCAGCTCCAGGCACTACTCACCATCACCACCATATCCTCTCCTCTCCCCCCACCCAACATCATCACCATCAGGACACGCACAATCTTAATTTAAACCTTAATCTGAACCTAAATTCAGGGACTTTGGACTCGTCCTCCATCAATCCCCAACCTCCACCCTTTCTCGTCTTTATTTCTCCGCTCCGCTCCGTCCCCGTCTCAATCAACGCCACCACGACCACCACGGGCAACCGGCCACAACAACAAACTCCTTCACTTTTACAGCAGCAACTTAACGCTGGCCCACAACCTCTCAGTTTAGATCACCACTCAGGACTGGTCACATCTTCATCCTCTTCCACCGGAAATGAGCTGGACCATCATGTGACTGGGGGAAGTGGTGGTGGTGAATTGTATGCTACACTGGATACTGGTAGTGGGGATCAGGGTAGCATCATCAAGTTGGAACCCGACCTGCATCGGAATACGGTTATGATTGGGAACACTGCCTATAGTCTCAATGTGTCTTCATCTTCATCGTTGTCATCTGGAGCGTCTTCCACGTCTGGGAGCGGTGGTGGTGGTGGTGATAAACAGGACGTAATTACACTCTCAAGTTTACTCGGATCATCCAACAAACCATCTCAGCAGCAACCAATCCAACTAACTTCCACCCCGACGGGACTAATTCTTCCACAGCCGGGTGGCGGAGGAATTGTGGTATCGTCATCATCGTCTCTCTTGTCATCAACACCACGACTCTCGGCACTTTTGGCTGGCACGCCGTCTGCTGACAGTGCGAATAATAGTAATATTGGGGGGCTAATGAGTCCTGGGGCGGGGAATCGGGGCGGTGGGTCGTCGTCTGGAATCCCATTGCTCAGCAGTGGAGCCGGTAATTAATGATTAGTTATATATAATACACTACTCAAGGAAGAGATGACTTAATTTTCCTCTTTAACTTGTAGCAGCCCATCTCTCTCCGACCAAGGAATCCATCAGTTCCGCATCCTCCCGAACTCTTTTGGACCGTTTAACCGCCTCTCTTTCCAGTCCGAAGCATAATTCTACTTCCGGTGTTCCAGTCTCGCCATCGTCCACCTCCACGTCACCCTCTATTCGCTCCGGACTCAATCCAATCGCTTCTGCCACACCAAACGTGGTTCTCGACCATCCCGTTCTCGCCGCTACACTCACTGGGCAACAACAACAGCAGGCCTCGCCCAAACTCGTTTCCGCATATCGACAAATAGCTCCAGCTCCACAAGCTGCAAATTCCTCCTCCAGAGGCAAACTCCCATAAAAAAGCTATGAAACACCATCTATAATATGCAATTAACCAAAAAATAACTCTTAAAAGGAGATCCAGATTCACTGACTCTATATTTTTGGTGATGGTTTGATGCAGATTCAGTGAATTTGGACCGCCCTTTAATCACCTACCTTAATTATTAATTATAGTTTTGATGCTATGTCTGGGCTGTGAATCAAAGGAATTGAAAAGTGTTCACTGATATTTAACTTGACCCGTGTATTTATTATTTGATACTTGAATTACTGATCCTTATTGTGATGTGTTATTATTTATTATACGCCCAGAAAAAATGTGATTGACTTATTAAATACTATTACATATTCTTCGCCTCATTGTTGTTACATAAATATTTAAGAAGGACAAGAAGACAAATTACATTATCGCCTTTGTTGTGGTGAGCGAACCAAAAAAAGACAAAAGCTCTGCAGAATACTAAGACTATTTAGTCAGTATTCAATTAAGTGTTACAAATGTGTAAAAAAAACTGGGGAAATCCTGTCATTATATAATTATTTAACTATTTATTGTTATTGTTATGTATTAATTAAGTAGATTGGAAATGTGATCCTTAACCAATAACAACTCAATATACGTACGAGGTCGGATCGTTTGTCGAGTCAAACTTAACGTAGGACTCGATGACTCATCGTCAAACTCTGCACATTTTTAATCATTTCTCGGCTCTGGGAATTTACTTGGAAATTTTGGGCAAGAAATTTGTAGGTTCTTACCATTTTTTAAAGAATATACAATACACTCCAGAGTTTAAGAGTTTTGAAGGATGAAATCCCAGGTCAAATTGTAAAAAGCCTTCAGAAAAATTGAAATGAAACTCTCATAAAAAATACAGCCCATTCTATTAATCAACTCACTGACCACAATTTGTCATCCAGAATTTTAAAATAAATTCCCAGGGCTGAGAAATGACGAAAATATGTTGATTTTGACGATTTTGGTGATCCAATCCTACGTTAACTGTATGTATATATACGACTACAAGTGAGTATTAAGATAAATAATTATTGTACAAATGTTCATGAAGTAGAAATTGATTTGATCTAAAAGTACTGAAACCTTCTATGCACACTGTTTGTCAACCACTCATCATCTCTCTCCGCGAAGACGACGAGGAACGAATGACCATAATAATAATTATCTAATGCCTTGTCCTCACATGAAAAAAGTGCTTAATAATAATATAGTAGGCGACGAATAAGACGCCGGTGATGATGGTGACGCAAAACTATTTGAACCCTGTATGCAATAACCCTCTGATGCAATTAGTGAGTATAAATATGTATTTACGCGAAATCACGGCGAATACGAGTTGTTTAGAGTAGCAGGGATGCGGATTGATTGTACATGTAAATTTGTGGAATGCACATTGTTAGACAGATCATCTCATCAATCTCCTACAAACGTTAAATTTTGTTTTATAATGTAAAAATAAATAGAATGGAAATCTATAAATCAGATTATGCACGTTTTATTTGCATTTCCTCCCATCTTGACAATTGCTGCGTGTCGTTGTATGTATTACATGTTAGCTTATCTTGGTGTCAACTTTTTGTCACAAAGTGGACAAATTTGAGACAATTTTTTTTCAATATATCTATTTAACTTTCATCCAAAAAAGATAAATTGAATGTTAGTTATTAAGACTACTTAATGGCAATAGCGATACAGTGAAGTAATCAGATTGCAATACTCATCAAGGTGGACATATTATGGATGGGGCCAAAAATCAGTAGAATATGTACAAGGCCATGCAGCAATTGCATATCAACATTCCAACAAAAAGGTACAAAAAGTTGATACATATTGCTCAAAGCACAGCTGAATAACACTGTCAATCAGTGCTAATTAAGCATTATTGCAGGTAGTGGGCAATGGAAAATAAGCCAGATTCCTTTGCTTTATTAACTTTTGCGGACAAATATCTCTCTGCCTTTCCCAGGATTTCGTGTCCAGTTGGTGCCCAACCTTTCCCCAAAAAGGGCATGACAATGTTTCCATTGTCTCCAAACTTTCCATCCCGTCGCCCCTTCTACTACAATCGGGCGAATCGTCGAGAACTTGGGTCAAAGGAGGAACTCTCGCCCACGACGATGTTACCTCGTGGGCTTGCGCTTTTCTGGGCGGTTGTGGGCACCCTGAAGGGATTATTCTTCACAATGGCGGCATATTTACAACATAACGATCCCGACCCACACCTCTGGATTGTAAGTTATGCATATACATATTTAAAACTTATTCGACCACTATGGAAGTCTCCGAGCTCATGATCTCCGATTTTGACCAAATTAGTGTCAATCGATCCCAAATTTAATTAATATGATATTTTCAAAAAACACCATCTCCCAATGCTCACGTTTGACCGAGGTAATTGCACCCGAAGGGGAGAAAACGCTCAGTAAATTTAGAGAGCTTAAAATTTGTCAATTTTAGGAGTAAGACGCGTTTTCTTCTTTTTATATGCAAACCAAACCTGAGAATTGACAGATACATAATATATTTTGCAAATTTCATAGTAATTAAATTTGTGACACTAATTTGATAAAAATCTGGAGGCATACGCTGGGAGACCTCCATTGTCAGTATTACTTTTATCTCACACAGCCCGTCTACGCCATCTCAGCCGTCACCAGTTTCCACCTCACCTTCCGCTGCGGTCAACACCTCCAGAATTTGTCGCCCCATGACGTCCTCCCTCCTCCTGCACGTTGGACCTGCCCCCTGCTCTTGGCTCACCTGGCCTACTCCACCATTCTGGCCATCCACACCCTCTTTCTGGCCAGTGAGGAGGACAGAGAACGCTCTCCCACTTCCGGTCAGCTCATGGTTCTGGAGGAGGCGAAAGAGATTTTGGGCCTCGCCATCGTCGCCGCCTGGTCCAGCCTGCTCCTCTGGGACAACTTCCTCCGCATCGGGAGGAACAAGTCGGTGCTGGCGGGTTGTCTCATTTCCGCCGCACCCCTCCTCGCTTGGATGCTGATTGGGGACGAAGCGCAGTATTGTTGAGTTCAATGACACAATTTTGGATTTATTTTAATGATTTTTATTTTATTTTCCTATCTTTTATCTTAAAAATATAATAAATCTTGAAGAGGAACAACAATGGGGGAGAGCTGACTGACTCCACGTCTACTGCTGGACGTACTGTTGTGGGGCCAGTCTGTGGGGGTAGCGTCGTGGGACGTATTGTCCTGCAGTCGCGTACTGCACGGGTGTCGTGGGTGCATACTGGTACAATTGCTGACCAGGTTGCTGCCCTCGTAATTTACCTCCCTCAGTTTGTTCTGGAGCAGGTGTGGGGACGGGAAACTAAATTTAACAAAATTAGAATTGAAAATGTTGTGAAAAATTTATTTAGTACAATTTGTCATTATTAAATACTTACCTTAATTTTAACGTCCGTTGGCTCTCGCGTAACTTTAGCTTGGAATCCTAAAAAGATAAAAAATTTGCATGTACATATTTCCTAAAAATGTGGTCTCTTATTTTGTATGAAAAGCTAACCTCCCTTTGACGAAGCTTCATACGTCACGGTACGCACATAACCGTCTGGATCTGAAAGTGGGAATTAACACTTTTATATATAAATATGTATTTTTGGGTGATGGAGTTTGAATTTGAAGAGTGGCACGCACCCACGACCGAATAGGATCCCTTGGTCACACCCCCGTCTCGCGTTTCTTGCCTATTCTGGTAGTTCGTCAATTCATCGTCCTTCACGTCAAAGGCAAAGTTGTACTGAGGGTTGGGCTGCGAATTAAAATAACGAAATTTAGTCTGGTCCCCAGTGTTTCGGAAGTAATCACTTGGAAGAAATAATTGCAAGAAAGTGGTTTTTGCAGCTATTTTGACCTGTAAGAAATGCAAAGCACACGAAACCGCGCCCCGCCGCTATACTTCATACGGCTCGTGGCCCGATGGCACATATTTCTTGCACTATCTTGCACCTTCCATTTCTTGCGCTTCTTACTTTGCAGTGCAAGAAATATAGCAAACCCGCGAGCAACGAAACACTGCTTGTCCCCTTTTAAAAATCCAGAAATCCAGAATGTGCATAAACTTACATCTGAGGCGTATTCCTCCTCCTCCGCTTCTGCATCCTTCACAACCTTTTGCGCCTTGAGGACAGGTCGTGGCGCAAGTTGAACGACTTTCTGGCGTGGGGCGGCTGCCACCTGTGGTGCTGGGGCTGCTGCGTAGTATTGTGGCTGTGGGGCATACGCGACTGGTCGATATTGACCTGTGACGTGGTGCTGTTGTGAGACCTGCGCTGCTGGCGAGTAAGCAGCTACGGGCGCAGGGCGATAAGTCGCCACTGCAGGAACGGTGTGCGCATACTGAACGGGAACGCCTTGATATGGCGACGTCGCGGGAGACGCATACGTCGCAGCTGGCGATGGATTATTATTATTGACACGAATCCGTCGCACAACTGGAAGTGGGTCCCCAGGCTGAAATTATGTAAGTTAATTATCTTATTTGCTACACTATTTGATTAATTATTAAATTATTAGTTAATAATAAATTGATAGTTATTTTCTTCGTGCTGTCCTAGTTCATGCATCACATAAAATTATTAAATATTTCACTATCTCTGTCATGATCGAGGACCAATTACGTGTCGCCTCTCGTCGTCATTTGTCATTTACTTATTATTATTTACTCGGTGAAGGTAAAGTAAATTGATCGAGTATAAATAAATGTAGAGCGATCGACTGACTGACCATGCCCCACGACGATGATCTCCCTTTGTCGGCAGGAGCGTCGTGTCTTTTCCAAATAACAAAAATAGCACTCGTCGTGACACAGTGATGCTAATAAATTACATAACAATCGAGATTGGTTACTGTTTAGTGCACGTCATGCAGTCACACTTTCCATTTCATTAGAGTCGATCGATCGATGAAATATTTATGTGTACGTCTCGGCGGAATTGTTGGTTAGTGATCTAATTTATCGTTTTGTTGCCCAATCCTGAATTTTGACCACACCATTTCTGGTCTTGTGTAATACCACCACTAACATCGCCAACCACGCCAAAAGCCACGCACTAATCGCGTCCCAATCATTTCCTTCTCAAAGATCTCAAAGCTGTCGTCGTACGTGCAGAGGAACACAAAGCAATAATAATTGGTGGGTCTAATCAACACCTCCTCGCTTACATCATACAAAGAGAAGCCAATCTCTTTGTATTTGTGAGTAAATAAATATGCATGAGACTGATTGCCGCACTATAATTGCTGTACTCCATTGAGAAGTAAATTATCATCTCATTATTCACAGGAGTTTAATTTTTTCCCTCAAAATTCTAAATCGACCGTATGAAATGCAGTTACAATGGAGGTCTTCTAGCGTATGCTGTCCGATTATTTTAACCAAACTAGTGTCAATGGGTCACAAATTTAATATGATATTTGCAAATGACACCTTCTCGCAATGCGCACGTCTGGTGGAGATATTTGCATCCGTAGAGGAGAAAATGCTCCTAAAGTTGACAAATTTTACACTTTCCAAATTTTCTCCTCTTCGGAAATGTGTCATTTGCAAATGTAAAATTTGTTATCGATTAGCACTACTTTTCTCAAATTCGGAGAGCTGGGAGACTCCATTTTTAAAATGTCGAGTCGGAATATGTATGTACATGTGCAATAAATAACTGGTATAGGAAGATAATAATTGTGATGATAAGCGAAAATAAGTCAATCGTCACAAAGTAACTATGTGTAATCCTACCTGTTGTACATAAGCATACGAGACAGGAGATGGTCCGCCTTGCCCTACGTCCGCAAGACCTGCACTACCACCACTCCCACTCCCACCGTAGAACACAGGTGGTCTCGCCGTAATGCGGACATTTCGTCCCTCCGCACCCACTAAATACTCGTCGCCGTCGTCATCCCCTACCTTCACCCCCACGAGACGGGGAATCGCTCGATACGCCGGCCCTCCTCCTCTCGACGCCGTGTACGGGCTGACCTGCTGCTCATACTGGCACGACCCCAGCGAAATCATGCCCACCGTCAGCACCAAAATCTGAACAAAAATTTGAAAAATCACAAAATTTTAAAATTTTTCAATATTTTGTAATCAATTTGTTCAAACTAAAAATGATTGATTACCTTTAAACCGGATCCCATTTCAAGTTATATTTATCTCCAAAGGGTAAAGAAGTGTTTGAAGTCAACTTGGGACGTGAGTGTGTCGTGTGAGAGGTATCGTCGTATGTGACGAGCTAGCTGGTCTCGAGGTACTGAAGGGAGTGCGAGAGAAGGGCAGAGATTTATCCCACCACGAGGAAGTCGTCACCAATTCCTCCACAAAACGCGGCCCTCCTCTTGCCAAACTTATTTATTAACTAACTACCCAACTAATCACGTACATATTGCATCCACATACGCGAATGTAGACAAGTGACGAGATGACCACCTCAGTGAGTGGACTTTGAAAATCTGGTGGCGACGATCTTGCACCAAATTTTATCCCCCAATCCATCATCCCTCAAACGACACACCAACTCATTAAAAGTTATATGCGCAGCGTATATTTTTTCACAATGAAACTTTGTCATCCCTGTGTTTTCATATTTTCTACGAAACAATAACAATTGGAGTAGAATTAAAGAATTATGTAAGAGCATGCTGCTGCTGCTGCTAATTTAATGTTTACGAGTCTCTCCACCAAAGTAAAAAAAAACAGAGAGGTGTCAACGTCAATAAAATAATTAGTGCAATTCTTGACCAATAACATTATTTTAATGAATAAAACCATTACTTTTATTCACCACATTTCTCACTCGTAAGAGCAATTACACTTTTATTTCGTGTAAAAAAATAACCACATTTCAAACAAATTCATTTTTTTCTTAGATTGCGGAGAGAACTTTCAAAAATGCGTATGAAAAGTATGGATGCGTGTCTTATAATAAATTCTGCGCTGTAAATGTCAACGTGCCATTTACCCATCAAGATCATGTCCACCATTTGAACATTTATTATTACGACACGCCTCGAGCAGAAAATGCTTGCATTTCATGTCTGTCCTTATTATTATTCAAACTAAATATTTCACCTTTATCAGTGTCTGCATTATTTGAATTCCAAAGTTTATGGCTAATTGTTTGCTACAATATTTAAATATATACACATCGTTCTATTTCGTGTACATACACAAGGTGCATAATTATTCCTCCTTTTCATTACATAAAACGCAATAAAAATGGCATAAGAAACAGGAGCAAGTGCATCCTTACAAAAAAAGCGAACCATCACGAAAACCTGCTGCTGCAAGGTGCACAATACAATAATTACGACGCGTAATTAAATATGTGCATCAATTTGAATAACAGAAAGGAAAGAGATATTATTCAGGCGCATTTTTTCACCTTACGCAACGACAACATGAAAACAGCGATATAAATAAAATAGTGTAGAAATTGTAACATTTTAAAGTTTTTTCAGCGTATGAATTACTAATAAACAATTAATTTTAATTTTTTATTTACTGTTAATTATGACTCCGTAATTAACGACGACTCGATGCGTTTCCATCTCGTAAATCATGTAAAAGCTGTAAGGTAAGCGTTACGTATCCTGCTTCTTCTCCTTCGCTAATTAGTGCAGGAGTCTTATCTTTTCAAGAAAGTGAGAGTGCCACCAACAAGTAAGGAATTATGCGCATCTTAATCTTGAAAAGAACGACGCGATAACTTGTTATCTAATTCTTTGCGTAACAAATTCTGTATGTACATATGTGTGCAAAAAGTAAGAAAGTATGGGTCTAAAACGCATGAAAAATGGGGCAGAAGCCACGCGCATTAAAATCAGATGCAGCCATGTATGTAAATTAGGAATGCAGTGGATTTTATATGTAAGTACAATGCAATAAAACTGGGCCATTTTTTGTACGCAAGAATGTCATCGCCACGTTGACTGGCTCACTCACTTTCATTGTTTTCGATCTCTTCAAGAGCCACCACAATACTTATGATGCTTGAGGGGACGATGGCTATGCCTGCACGAGAAAATATGTACGTAAATATGCGGTGAAGTTGCGGGATGAGGATTGAATTGACCAAATCCTTGACCGCAGTAATTTTCCTAAACAATGGCGGCTCACCGATTATCTGACGATGAGTGCAGTGTCGTTTCCGTGTTCACTATTTGCTATCAAAAATCTGTAACTTGTGCTCAAAAGTGGCAGCGGAAGCTGTGGGGGCATGTGGGGACATTATCATTGTGGGATAGGGGAAGGAGGGGTTTATATAATATGGCCAGATGATGAGGACATCGAACAACCGTGGGGACATTTTCCCTCTGTCCTTCAGCGGCCACTGCTTGTGCTCCACAATAGACAATTTAGTCGAGGGGGAGCTTCTTACAGAATCACTATCAATCAATTAATTTTCGATTACTTAATAGTAATGTAAACAATGGATCAAAGATGAAACCGATTTTCATACAGGAAGTGTTTTCATTCCTAAAAATTTTAGGCTAAAATTCCGAAAGTTATTGACCTATAGATGGACCATAATTATATTTAACAACCCCTCGTCTTCTCTAATTAACAAGTAAATTAAGCGTATTAACCAATTAACTGGATTAATGAAGTGTCACTTATTTATGTATAATAAATAACAACCTTTCAACTTAATAAACTTTCTCTCCCCAATTAATTAAGTCATAGAATTGAAGGCAATCCGATTAACTACTTGCAATCCAAACAAGAATAAAATCAATGAAAGGAGAATCCTTCAGGAATATTACTTTGTCATGATGCATCCTCTAATCTTCCCAATCCATCAACACGCGTCTTCTGTAGCTGAACTGGACAAGTACATATTTACGCGTGGGAGTCTACACAATTAAATCAAACAAGTTATTCCAGGTGGTTGGTTTTTGGAGGAGGAAATGCAACTGAAAGTGAATCTGCATTATTTTCTCGTCTGGACAAGAAGTAAAGTTGAGACGAAGACTGAAGGAATGGCAACAATTGGGCGTGGGTGCACATGCATCTCGTCCAAAAAAGGAGAGATCTTGCTGAGCCGTTCATCTCCTCGGGTTTAGGAACCACACCCAAAAACAGTCCACCAGCCCAGACTGACCATTCCTTTCTCGAAGCTCTCTTCTTGGTCAAATTCATGGAGAGTTGGTCATCGCCCGGACAGAGGAGTCCAATAAATATCCATCTTTCTCTCGCTCCTATGAATAAAATGGACAAAATAATAATAATACTGCAGCGATGGATTGTGTGTGGGGATGAATTGTTGCGGTGGTGAGGAAATGGGCTAAGTATAGACATCCTGTCTCATCTCCTATACCAGCCAGCCAGCCTCCATTAACACACAAAAATTGTAGCATACTCACCCTTCGTTTTGGATCATTCAGCATAAATGACGCCATGACCCCTGCAAAATTACCACTACGAGGAAAAAGGTCATATTTTCTGAAACAAGTAGAAATTAGTGGACAAACTCTTAATCGTTATCTTTTCCCAATTTTTCAGACATTGATAAGTAGTGAATTTTCTCATGTATGTACAAATTAATGTTGCAGTAAGTGACAAATTGTACACGGTCGACTTAAACAAGAAGGTCTGATTAAGGGATAAATGGAGGCATCTTCTTTCCGAGAGGTACTCACATAACATAATATCCTGCTAATCGTATAATACCCTCCACCACATACTCTCAAAGCTTCGACGATATTCTCTCTCTGGTTCAAAAGTTACGTATTTTCTAGCAATGGTTTAGCTTGGATGGAGGAGTGTTGGCTGCTGTGTCATGATCCCATCATCATCATGGACCAACCAATTCTGTCCTTTACATACATATTTTTCTCCTATCCTCATCTGACTTCAACAATCACCACTAAAACCTATGCATCCATGTGTACCTACTTTTACGAGGCAGTCGTGTTATGAGTCTCACCCTGTTTTCTCCAGTACTGCTTTTGAGACTGGATACGTAACATCACCACCACCACCCAACAATCAGAGACGCTCGTCTCATTCTCCCCACAAATTATCCAACCTCAATAACACACTAAATCACAACATTCCGACAATTCTGGTATCGAAAAGTGACAAGGGAAACTTAATTTATGACGCACATGATTCCTCCTCGTTATCATGATGCGTCTCATCGCGCTGTGTGGTCGGATTATTGCTATATCAGAAAGTAAAAGTTGTGCATAATAAAAATTAAGTTATTACATTGTTTAATCGCGAGGAGTGATCAAGGTTTAGGTTAATTCCCACCGTGTCGAAGTAATAATGCCATAATTACCACTATCTACATACACACATTCTTGCTTGCCATCCTCATTAGCAAGAGATCTCAGTTCTGATACACATATTTAAGACGACAATCAACATGTGAGTGAGCGTTTGTTCAGTGAGACAAAGTTTCTCTTGGTGTGATCCCATCTCGTTATTATGATTTCCTCCTCGTCCTTTTCCGATGTCTCGTTGGAAATGAATCCTCGAGTGGGTGTGGTCGTCTAGATTGTGGTGAATGTGCAAAAAATGTGGAGAACTCGTCCCCGCTTGGTGCAGTCTGCGGTCGGGGTGACGCTGCTGCTGCTGCTGTTTCACGTGGACCAAGGTCACCTCCACCCCCACAACGAGGACAACAACGAGAGCGACAACAACGTTCTGGGGAGAAGGGGGGCAAGTAGTGGTAGTAATAGCAATGACAATGACAATCAACTCGTTCGACGGGAGCGTGGTCACTCGGCGGATGCCTCCACGTCTCAACTCGTCACTAATGTGACCGCCCTGGTGGGGTCGATCGATCGGGGGTGTGCCACCTACTGTGGGGATCAGGTCCAGGTAAAAAAAACGCATTAATTTGGCATCAGGAGATGAAATCTGTGCAAAAGTAGGATGATTTTTTGTGCACATTTGAATCCCACTGGTCCAGCCTGCCAGCCTTTGTTATTTGTTACCTGGCTGTGTGTGGGGGAAGAGAGGGACGACGTGAGCGGAAGTTGGCATTGTCAAACCGTCGTCGTCCTCATCATCATCATCGTGAAACCACTTGTTGCTCAATAATCGCATCACTGCGCTGCACCAACCGCACAAAACTGCGCATTGATCCCAACCACAAAATGGACAACCTTGCTGGGCCATGGATTCATTTATTTATTTCTTCAATATTTACGCCTTTGTCGAGCATTTATATTGACGAAAATTGTGAAAATTATGAAATGTTTGGGCAATGACAAGGAGGATCGTATGTACACATAAAATCTGTCTGGGCTGGCTAATTATTTGAAATTATGATCAAATTAATCGTGACGAGTAGTTGAATAAAATTGGATGGGAATAATAAATAGGTCTGCATCTACGTAATCCACCAATTTCCACACTGTAGTAAATTGAGTGAGTGGGCAGTGGAGCCCAGGGTCGCGGGTAGGTCACACACACACAGAGACACATTTCATTTCATTTCATTTTGTGGCTGGTGGATGGATGAATCAATGAAAATGAAGCCATCCTACATATTTCCCACACATTTATTAGCCAACAAACGACAGTTATGTGATCAGGAGTTGTCAAATTTTGGGTAAATTCTGCTAATCCTACAAAACCGAATACCTATAATTTTTTCTCGGAATCGGAAACATGCTCACATTAATTCAATGAAGCCATCCTGCATATTTCCCACACAATAAGATATGCATATTAGCCAAAACACAGTTGCGATTATTCCGTAAACAAGGAGTTGTCAAATCCTGGGTCGATTCTGCTAATCCTACGAAACCAGGTATAATTTTTCTCGGGATCGGAAACGTGCTGGGTGCACTGTGTCCATACTTTCACTCCATTCATGTGTCCGACCGGTCAGGAGGATTAAAGGACTCTCATTCACAAATTTGTTTAGGTCAATGTCAGATTGTGTCGGTATTCGTTTCTAGCTCTCTCTCAACCTTTGCATTTTCACGTTTTCAGGTAGAAGAATTTCCGTTCATAAAATAAATCCTTGTTTGCTCTTCTCCACTTGACAAACAAAACAAACGACCTGCTAAATCTCTACACAATTCGTAGCATCATATCCCACATTAATCTCCTCGACAAATACGAAGTGAATGAGCCACCCAGCCTACTAGGCAAACAGGACAACCTTACACTGCATACATATTTGGTTGTTGAGAGTCTCAACTTGAGACAAGTTTCATGAATGAATTTCATGAAGAATGTGACTCCTCTTAATAAGAGTGAGACGATGAGACTCGTCTGAAAATAGTAGTATTGATTGAGAAATAAATAGTTGTTCGATTCGTCAATCGGTATTTTTTTATGCATTTGGTTACATTGCGTCATGTACGTTTTTGAGAAAAAGTTAAGAGATGATCCGTCTTCTTGAAGGAGTCATGGGAGGGCGGAAGTGGGGAAGGAAACTCGTCTTCCTGAGGAAAGGTTACATATGCGTGTATTTTATGTGAACACGACAAACACAAGCACGCGTAACAAATCACACATCTTTCTCTCTCTCTTCTCAACAAGTGCTAAGACTTCCGGCTCACAGGAAAATTGTACTTGTAAATTTTGTAACGAAATGCAACCTTTAAATAAGTAAAAGTAAAATCGATAGTTTAAATACGTGAGGGGAACAATGGGTCACAAACAAACCTAATTCTTCTCAATAATCAATCAATGAAATGAACCTAATTCTTATACTCCACCCGACGGAGTCTTATTTTTCCCCCGTCCCTTCATAAATACACATAAATAATCTCAATAATCTCATCCTCTCTCCGGGTGCAATAGTAAATCTTGAAAACGCACCTTTAAGTTAATAATCCGATTATCTCTCTCGTTTGCCTTTGTCCATTCGCAGTATTGTCACATTTTACTATTCGAGTCCATTGAAGCCTTAAGTGCGATGCTACGTGAGGTGAAGAGAGCCCTTCAGATTACATGTGCCCGGCACCATAGGGTCCCTTCCTTCCTTTCCCATACTATTTTACGCTCATCCTCAGGAGGAAGACAACTTCCGATCCCAACAGTCACATGCATACGCGTATGTTCATATATGTACATCCTTGATTTGACTTACTTGGAAGGGTCTGCTGAGAATCTGACTAGCAGACTGCAGCCCTACCCTCCAACCAACAACCAGCCCAATTTCTGAACTTCCTGCCAAACTAAAATTAAGGATCGACCCCTTCCTCTCCCAATATATTAGAAGAACCTCAACTAAAAAATTTACTACTTCTGACACACACAGACTGCAGCGAATTACGACATTATTTATTTCCATTCTGCTGACACGGGGAATTTGGGCTGAGTGTGAATAATACAATGGTCACAAATTTCCATTCATGATGAAACACATAAAAATAGGGGGGAAGAAAATGAGATTTCTTCGTGTAACAGGTGGTTGCACGGCTTTGGTGTCCAACCAACCCACGCTACCGGCATTTGTTACATCCATCGCTCCACAATTTTAAGCGAGATTGGGTTGGCCTTTATTCCTGGAGTTGAAATTAGACTATTTCAATGATGGAAGAGATCACGGCAAAACTGAAGCCAGCACTTTTTTCCCCATTGTCTGCCTGCATCGTCCGTTGTGCTTCTGTGTGTGTTGTTTGAGCTCTGAATGAAATTCCTCCACTTCCGTTACACACAGAACGAGCGAGGGGAGAACAATGGGACGTTTAGTGGACGACGACGAGGACGACAAGTGTATTTTATTCATCGCGAACGAGGGATCCATGCATTTCAATTTCATTAAAGTCAGATCTGCACTTTTTTCCATTCCTGTAACAATTCAATCATATGCAGAAAATTTATGAGTTCTGAATCAAGAAACAAGGCTGTTAACGTAATTTTGGTAAAATTTGTGGATTTTAGGTCTACAGACTTAATTGGAACAATTTGAAATATAAAGTCGAAATTGGTTCAAATATTCCGCATATTTTGGTTTTGTCCACATTTTTCGTTCGCATACTTATCACTTGCTATTTGCATATATAGCGAGTGAGTATAAAAACTGAGGCTATTATGAAACGCGATCTGATCTCTGTGTTGGATTCCACATGGATCTCCCATGTATATAAATAAATTGGGAGAATTAATATGTGCAGGGCAACAAGTCCTCTCCAACCAATTTAACTCTCCAACTAAATCACTACACGCTCATGGCTAACTAAACCCCGTAATGAAGAGTTCAACTTTAGACCCTACATATCCACCAACTCATCTTTTGTTACCATAAAACAATGCTTCAAGTATTATTCGCAAATCCGACTGTCCATTTTTGCATATTTATTTAGATATGCATACCAGACAAAAATGTGTAATGCGCAAAAAAAAACACTTGTATTAGACACCGCAATTCAGAAATTGATACTTAACTTCTGTTACTTAACTGAATTTGAAATTCAATACGGAGCATAATTCTTGATCGGGTGCAATAAATTATTCAGAATTTCAGAGTGATACGTAATAATGCCAAAATAAATGCAGTCCAACATTTTATTGTGCAGCCATGCAGCGCAATTTCTGGACTTTATACACGTATGTAAATATACGTATGTACGTCGATAGCAGACCAGACCACCCACAAAAAAGATCTGCTTTCTCTCAAAATGTCTAAAACAGGGTCCCTTTTACTTTACACACTCTGCGTTTCGTTCTTAATCCCTTGTCGCAAACAATGTCAGCTCTTTTGACTAACAATGGAGGTCTCCCAACGTATGCTCACAGATTTGGACGAAATTAGTGTCAATCGATCACAAATATAATTAGTATGAAATTTGCAAATGGAACTATCTGCCAATGCGCAGGTTTGGCGGAGATATTTGCATAAAAAGAAGAGAAAACGCACCAAAAGGCTGGCATATTTTTCATTTTCCAAATTTCCTGCGCATTTTTCTGCTTTGAATCCAAATATCTTCGCCAAACCTGCGTATTGGCAGATAGTTCCATTTGCAAATTTCATACTAATTATATTTGTGATCGATTGACACTAATTTCGTCCAAATCTGTGAGCATACGTTGGGAGACCTCCATTGTAAGTAACTTTTTTAGAGTAGAGTTATTGAGAAGATTTGTAATTATTTCACAATAAATAATGCACTTGACTCCGAAATTCAAGAAGCCCTTTACGGCTTGTTTATTTTTTTGAATAATCACCCTCCACCCTCTTCCTCGCCCTTAAGATTAGTACATAAATACACTTTCTTAATTTATGCATGCATGTATCTGGTGGCATAATCTCAAGTAAATTTCATAACACAGATAACTACAACCAAGGTGCACACTATGTATACGTAAATATGCTACTTGACTTCCATACAATCTCTCCAAAAATCATTCTCCACTATCCATAAGTTCATAACGGAATATGTAGTAAGGTCAGCGGAAAGGTTATCTTGCTGCTGGTCTCTCGTCCACTTCTTGTTCATCTCCTCCTCCACTCGATGATAAGTTCTCTATTTGGGGTACAAAATCTCAAAATAAAACCAATCCAATATCTGACCCAAAAGTAAAAAAGTAAAGCAATCTTTGTGTGTGAGATTATTTATTGATCTATTTTTGGGCCGCATAAATACACAGAAAATTTTAGAAATACTTACAAATCTCAACACTTTGTGGATTTTAGTTTTGAAACATTTTTTACAAATATTGACACAACTTTGAGAATAACATGAAAATATTCGGTATATGAATGTTGGTAAAAAGGGTTGATTGTGTGTAGCTATGTAATTATTTTAGATTATTCAGGGGAGTTCCACTCCATTGCCCGGCTTGGACTAAATTCCACTTGTTGCTCGTGGGAATAAAGTCCCCTTTTTCTAATAAATAAATAAATGGCGTGTCATCTCAGTCAGTGAGTATTTGTTGTAGGCTGGTAAAATCAAGTCCAGTTTGTAACACAAAATGCACTCTGGCGATGACAATGATGTGCTCCACTGACCCGCCAGCGTGGCTTCTGCTCAACCGGATGTCCTCATCGAACTGGAGAAAAATCCTGTAAAAAATCTTGTCTTCTTGAAAGAAACATCATTGCGAGAAATTTGAAAAAATGATGCATTTCATTCTCTGAACTGGAAAATTTCAAAATTTGTCAGTTTCAAACTCGTCTCATTTTTTTTAGGTATGAGTAAGAAAAGTTTGGTTAGTTTGTGCTGGAGGAAAACAATGAATGAATGAAAACAAAGGCACGAAACCGAAGGGGAAGTGGAAGTTGGGTAGGAAATCTGTTTTTAAAACCGGATGGATTTTGTAAAGTCAAGTGCCTGCCTGCCCTGCCCTTCCTTCCGCTAAAAATCTTGATACGTTCTCGTCTCGCATGTCGTAATCCTAAAATTCAATCCATCCACCCACGGCGACCCTGCCTTCCCTTCAAAAGATAAGAGTATCTGTAGTACACACAGATTGTATTTATCTTATCCAGTATCCGAAGACATTGAGCAGCACCGCCATAAGCAAACTGTGTACATTAAGATATTCAGCCATCGAACCCGCATCCTGATAAAAATCCCAGCTAAGAAATCCGTTTATGTAAGAGTGGAGAGATCTTCTTCCTGGAAAAGACAATGAAATGAGTCATCCCTTCCTATTTTTCACGGCAGACAGAATCAGATCATAAACGTTCCAATTGTTCGTGTGATGACTATGTGTCAGAATTAAGTATGAAAACTGAACTCAAGTTCAACAATTATTTTGAATGCTGATAACGTCTAAGAATTATTAACGAATTCAATTTCTATCAACAAATTTTCGAAACTATTTCAACGTTTTCATAAACTGTTGAAAATGAGTGAAGAAAGATTGAGAAAATAAAATACATCTTTTTCTTCAAAATTTCCACTAAATATGTACTGCGTTCGTGCACGCATATTATGCATATTTAACGCTTTATTTACTGGACTCTTCATTCTATGATTGCAGTACAACGGAATATGCGTCTCGAAAGGATGTGGCGAATGGAAGGCGGCCCTACGCGATGGATGTTTCACTACTTGTGTAAGTCAAAAATGCACAATTTTTTATGCATCCCGTGTCATCCTCCAATTTATTCAAATTTTATTCGATTAGACTGGCGTTATAAACTCGTACCGAGAAAACTACGCCTGTCAACTGGGCTGTTCTCGAGCAGTGGAAGACTACAATTTGCGCTTATCCCGCCTGCTGACCCCACTCGTAGAGCCCCCCGCTCTGCTCTCGTCCTCCTTGACGTCCACCTCCCTCCGCCTCCGTTGGGACGGCGCCCCCCTTCTGCCCCTACTTCCCCCCACCACCTACTCGCTCCAACGGCGAGAGAATGGCGGCCTCTGGGAAACCCTCAACGCCTCCCCCACCAACGCCACCAACTTCTCCGTCATCAATCTGAGACCGTACTCGGTCTACCAGGTGAGATTTTACTATTTATGTTTTACTATTTTTATTACTGGATCAAATCACTTTGTAAATGCCGACACGGTGAAAATCGAGGTGTTGATCTCTGCATTGTTCATAAATCACTCTCGTTGTGCGGCGCATCTGTCAAGTCATGATTTATAATAATAATAATAATCGATAATCAGTGAGTCCATCAATCAGTCCGTTTGGCATCAAGCACACTTTTTAGCCTGAACCAGGGCTTACGTAATCGTCATGTCAGTCCGTCAGTCTTTCGAAGAAGGTGACCGATTGACTTCGAACTTTTGTCGATACACATACTAGACAAAGTTGAGAAACGAGTTTGAAGATGGGCGAAATGCGCTTGACCGGTGGGGGTCATCTAGATGGGTGGGATATTATGCACCAAAATAATTTTATAGAAAACTCGTGACAAATATAGGTTAGCTTTACTAGTAAATCCTGGTTCGGGCTAAGCAAAGTTATATTGATAGGTTTTCATATTTATGCATCATCTCTCCTCCGCAGTTCCGCGTGGGGTGGATTTTGGCCTCTGACCACGCCCCGCTCTACTCCCGGGAGAGCAACGCGATGCAAACGCTGGCGGACGGGTTGCCCTCTGCCCCCGCCGTGACGAGCATCCAGCCCATTAGCAACACCAGCGTGGCCATCACGTGGAGCCCACCCTCCGCCCCAAACGGACAACTGGTCGCTTATCGTCTCCGACTGCGACCGCATGGCGGCTTGGCGGTGATCAAGGAGTTGCCAGCATCACAGAAACCACGTGGCTACACTTTCTCCGGCCTGCTCCCCACGACCAACTACTCACTCGCTCTCTTTGCGGTCAACTTGGAGGGCGAAGGGGAAGCCAGCCAGGTCACCTTCGTCACGCCACAGTCAGTTGGACCGTTGTCAAATGGTGAGCAGCTTTCTTCACTAGACGAAAAATTCTTAGAATCGGGACCCAAACCATGTTCAACCCAGATTATTTTTGACCACCTCAGTTTGAAAGACCAACTCTTTATGAATAATATTTACTGCGGCACTTACGCAAAATTCGTAGGCTTGGTCTCAAACTGAACTGGTCAAAAAATAACTTGGGTTGAACATGGTTTGTGTCCTCATTGTTAGAAAAATTAAATTTTGCTAATATTTTATGCGCAAATTTGTCCAGAAATTTCCAAGAGTCCGGAAGCCCGTCTGATAATTCAGGGGGCGAAAGACGTCTACATCCAACCACTCGACTTGCTCATGGAACCCAGCAGCCCCTTCTTCACGTCCCCACAAAATGTAACAGGTTCGTGATTCTTGTCTGTTTTTTAACTCATTACATATGCATGAATATTAATATTAATGCAGGAATTGATGTCCATGTCAAACGAGGCTGGGTTTTTGTGGCCACGTCGGACGGAGAAATCCGTCGTATTTCCCTCCACCGGACTGGGAATGAGAGTGCCGTGACGGTGATCATGACGAAGGACCTGCTCGACCTGGCCGTCGCTCACCTTTCCGTTGACTGGCTGCACGACAAGCTCTACATCGTGGGGAAGAAGAAGCGAGGGATCAGTTCGGGCTGGGTCATCAAACGATGCGACCTGCAGGGGCGGGCCCTCACCACGATCTACTCAAAGATGCCCACGAGGTGAGTGTAGTGTTTCGTTTTGCACGTCCAAACTACTTTTGGACTGGACACCGTCGAAAAGTGTCTAAAATGATGTACAAAAGCGTCCAATATTTTGGTGTGCAATACGATGAGATTTGCGAATTATCGAAATATTAGATAATGAACTTGTAACATTTTGCCCCATTTTCTATTTCGGACATTTTTGGAAATTTTTTTGACGTCCAAAATTAGTTAAAACCGGGTTTGGACCACTGTTTTGGACAGTGACCAAAACCACAGCGAAAACCTTGGGTGAGTGACCCAACACGTCTAAATTATTTTTCGTATGCAGACCGCTGCACTTTGCGGCCGACCCATTCACGGGCTACTTGTACTGGGTTTCGCCCGCCTCGCCGCACAGTGCGGGTGGGCTGTACAAGTTGGACCTGATTTCCGACCGATTTCCCGGAGTGTACCCAACGCCACCCCTTCAGGCGCAGGCCGTCATGGTAAGTTCATTCACTAACAAGATTTACAACGTCACTGCCACGATGCAGAACTTTTTTCACGGACACCGAGTATGTTTGTACCACGTAGCGCCCTATTTATTCATGTTTTTGTTGGAAATAATAATAGGAGGAGAGTGAGCTGGGACCCTTCGCCCTCGACGTGGCCAACTACCGCATCCTCATCATCCACAAGGGACGCAACAAAGTCCTCTCCGTCTCACTCGATGGGTAAGTTCCACAATTTCCGCAAATTCCATGAATAAATTCACCCAATTTGTCGTCACAATTGAAAACTCGTCGTGTCCTTTCCTTTTTGTGCAGCGACATTTCCAACATTCGTGAGAACACACAAAGTCCGCAGTGGTCCGACGCCGTGTCGCTGTCACTTTACAACGGCGTCTTATTTTGGACCACGACCACGTCCGTCGTGACGGAGGAGTACAACACCGTTGCAAATATTTACTACCAGAACAGCTACGACGTCCCGAAATCCCTACAACCACTCGGTACGAAATTTTTATAAATGGCTCTCTCCGTCTCTCTTATCAAAATAATTAATTTACCCCCGCTTTTGTATTGCAGGAAGCCTGTTGGTCCTGCACTCCTCCGCCCAGCCGACCCCCATCCCAATGGCGGCACCTCAACAACTGCAAGTGTTATATGGACAGACACGTGCTCGAATCACGTGGCGTCCACCGCCACCCATTTCCGCCCTAGGTAACCTCTTTCTCGACACCGTTATCGAACTTAACCTTATCATCCCACACTATTATCCGTACCGGCAACCCTACCTCACCGAGGATAGCGATCCATAAAATATACATGAAAACTTTGCATCAAAAAAACTTCCAAAATTCCATCCATCATAATTTTTGTTCAATCCTTAATTACATTCTTCTTGTTAGTGGTGATACCATTTTGTGATTCTCGTGTACTTGCACTGAAAATATTTACGACGGAGATGAGAACTTATTGATTGGTGCATGAATCCATTTTGACAAATCTTACTCATTAATACAAACAAAAATAGGCAGCTGAATAATTATTTTATTTATATGCTTAAGAAATACTTGATTTTACTCAGTCGGTTGAGCAGAGGAGGCTACATACTTACTTTAATTTTATAATAGTACACAAGTCGAGTTGATAAGTACATAATTTTTGACGAGGAAGCAATTTCGAGAGGAGGACAGCAGGCAGCGTCTGCATGGTTCAAAAATTGCTTCATCTTAATGATGAGGTAGTAACCTTTGCCCCCTTAATTTCCAACGACCACCACCAACCACACGACCCAAGATAACTGGTTGTCTTGTGTTGCTCGACTTGGATGGATGTCAACTCGACACTTTTCCCTTCAAAGTCCAGAGCAAAATAATAAATTATTCAATCTGCTTCATGATTCCTCTCTGGCAAGAGAAAGAAAGAAACCCTCATCAGCAGAATAACTTAGTTGCCAATTAACTTAACTACATACATATTTAGATAGATAACAGTACAACAATTAATCAGCAATATAAATAAATATGCAAAGTATATATCAATCAGTTTTCTAGTAAATATGCTGCTAAAGGATGCAATCATTATGTCAAAATGTTGTGGAAAACAAGTATCAGGAAACAAACAAGCTGAATAAGAATAAAATTCGATGCAAAAATGTGGAGAAGAAGTGGAATAATAAAATAAGAAGAAAATATGGTCTAAAACCCCACTAAATTTCTTGCTCTCTTAAATTTCTCATAATGGAAAAGCATACCTGTGCACATGTAATAAAAAGCCGTCCGCCATTTATTCCGTAAGAACCTTAGTTAAAAAAAGAGCGTCGACAAGGTGACCCTGTAGGCCCACGACCCACCCACTAACCCACCCCTTGAAATACATAAGACTTATTGTGCACAGGTAGGCTTCTCTTGCTGAACTCCTTTTTCCCCTCTTTTCCACCCCTTTCTAAATACTTACCTGTGTTACAAAGCAACTCTTATTGTGATTTCAAGGGGTTGGAGCCTGGGCAGAGTGGGTCTACACTCTCCGACTCTCCGATAACCGCTCCTTCACCAACATCACCACCACCGACTTCACCGTCGACACGCTGCGACCCTCCACCTTCTACTCCGTCCAGGTCGCGGCATACTCTCCCACCGGAAGAGGACCCATGTCGCAGCCGAATCGGGGGAAAACCCTGAGTCGTACGGCCTACAATATCTCTCTCATTTGGGGCTCGGGTGAAGGTCTCTACACCACGGACACGCTGGGAGAGGATGTCACCTTGCTGACCTCAACGGGAGTCACCACGTGGTCACAGCAAGCCACGAAACTTCCCAGGATCCCGGTCGTCACGTCGAATACGATGAGTTCTCTGACCTGGTTCGAGTCCACGGTCTTTTATGCGCTCAGCAACGGGAGCGTATTTATCTACGTGTAAGTATTATAAATACATAAATGCAGTCTCATTTAGACCGAGTCAGATTGCTGGTAATAATTGACCACTACAACTTTTATGGTTTTCTACACATTTTGCTCAACTTGATTCCTAATTTTGCATATTTTACGTGTGCGCAAAATATCGAGTCGATTGGATAAGTTTTATGAGCGTAATCGATAGACAGGCAGACAGGTAACCATCCATAAGTCCTGACTCGGGCTAAAAATGTATATAAATATTGCAGTGGACGGGACGAGTCCTCTTCAAAAGTCTCCATGGTCAAAGATATCGATACTGTTGGGGGAACGATTGGGGGAACCGGAGTGTCGCTCATTTCCGGAATTTCCTTCGCCCAGTCGATCGCCTTCGACTACATCGGTCAACGCTTGTACTGGTCGAACCCAAAAGTGCAGACGATCTACCGCTGTGCTCTGACCACGTTGATCACGACGAACACGACGTCCTGCCAAACGAGGGAACCCCTCCAAGTGGTCACGATGGCGAGGGAGATTGCGGTCGATTCGTACAAAGGCCTCCTCCTCTGGAGTACTGGTCATTCGATCGAAATGTCCCGAATGAACGGATACGCGCACGGGACGCTCGTTCAGAACGGGCTCTTTTCTGGGAAGCAAATCATGGGGATGACGTTGGATACGGAGCAGTCGAGAATTTATTGGATAACTCGGTCCGCCTCGGGCTCCAGTCTCCAACGGCTGCAGTACAACATTCGGGGGGCGCAGATGCCCATGGTCATCGCCAACTTTGAGGACACCTCCATCACAGGACCAATTCGATACTTTAATGACAGGCTCCTATGGCTCCAGGTGACTAATGATAAATATATTTCAATTCAACCATGCAATGTTTCGCGTGCAACGTAACCACTTGCAAGAAAGTGGTTTCTTGCAGCTATTTTGACCTGCAAGAAATGCAAGCAAAATAAACTACTGTTGACTGTAATTTCTTGCACCTTGCATTTCTTGGTATGCAGTGAAAGAAATGTAGTTAGGAAGCACCCAATCAACGAAATAGTGCAATTCGCAATTATATCAACTTAAAACTCACAATATGTTTTAAATCCTACAGGGATCGTCGGAAGCCGTAATAACGGACCTTTACGGCCAAGGTAAATCCTCCCTCAGACTCGCCACGATTCCGAACATTACAAATGTGCACGTGAAGGATCAAGGTTCCCTCAAGTACCCCGGCGGCCTCGCAAAGTCCAGAGTGAACGTGAATCCTGACCCTGTCTCAAAATGGTCCATCGACATTTCCGGCCAATGGAACAATTTCACCCTCTCCTGGCTGCCCGTCAACAATACAAACTATGGCAAAGTTTTGTATGAAGTTATCGTCGAGGGCGTCATTTCACGAGTAAAATTCAAAATAATTAATTTAAATTAAATACACAATTTAATTATAATTAAAATTCTTCAGATAACGGAGCATCCCAACATCACGATTGACAACACGTCTCCCCTCTTCACCCCATATTCTGAACTGTCCATCTCCATTACGGCGTTGACTTATTGGTCCTCTGCGAAAGCGACGCTGGCCAAGAAACGCGTCCCACCCGCGAAACCCTCCGCTCCACGACACCCCCGCGTCTACTCGTCCCCGTCCTCACAGTTTCCATACGTTTCCACGCTCCGGAGCAATCTCACCCAGTCCGTGGAACTCCGCTGGGACGCACCCACCTCGCCCAACGGCGTCATCCTCGGCTACATCGTGTCCTGCGGGAACAAAAAGGGGGTCAAAGGGGTAGCGGACAGCAACTGCATTTGCGACGTTGATCTGGATTCCCTTTCCTGCCGGCTGAGACCGTCGTCCACCCTGCAACTCGACCAGTTCCAGTTCAGCGTGCAGGCCTACAACAGTGCAGGTGCTGGGCCTGGGTCTAAGCAGGTGGGGGCTTCGTCGTCTGGCCACGTGGCTTCCCGTCTCCTTCTCACGTGTCCGGACAAACTGGAACTTTTGGACGTGGACAGAAACGCCAAGGTGGGAATCAGCCTGGGATACGTGGCTCCCATTTCGGCCGGATTTTTGGGGGTGGACAACGCCATTTATTGGTTCAATGAGGGGCAGGATCTCATGGTGGCAAAGGTGCGGTTAAAATCAGCTACTTTCTGAAGGTGTCCATGTGTAAATATGACGCGTGATTTTTTAGATGGACGGATCTCCCGGATACAACAAGTCTCGCCTACTCTCACTTTCCGGGGGCTGGGAAACCTCACACTTGACGATGGACTGGATCGGACGGCGTCTTTACTGGGCAGTCGAGTCTGTTAGTAGCGGTTCAGGTGTGGGGATTAAAGCCTCCCAGCACGAATTCAAGTACGGGATCATGTGCTTCGACCTGGCCGAGATGGAAGGACATCGTAGCGGTCACGGGAATAAGATGAGCAGACAGCAGCAAAACTACGCGCCATCGGTACGGCTTTACTTTTACGGTAAATTAGACTTTTGCCTAAACTTTAGACCATGTTTTTCACAGATTGTGATCCACTCGAAGACGTCTATCCGCTCGGTGGCCTTCAACCCGTTCCGCAATGCGCTGTACTGGACGACTTCAAAACGGTTTGGAGCCACCACGCTGTACACGGCCGAGGGTCGCGACAATTTTACGGTTCGACCATTCCTGTCCAGATCACTTCCAGAGGACTCCACCTCCTCGCTCTGCAACTGCTCACACGTCGTCATTTCCGGTGACCCCGTGGCATTCGACCCTTCCAGATATTCAGCCTCCATCCCAAGAGCGGTTCTCTTCTTGGGACAGGACGGCGTTATTTGGGCAGCCGACGAGACGGGCTGCACGTGTCTCAAGGTGACATTTCCGTCAGAAATAATACCACGTGACGGCCAGAATTCTAATTTCAATTCTAAATATTTTTACAGATCGCCAACACAACCCACGCCTCCCTGAGGTCGTCGACCACTTCTCCCTCGACGGACACCACGATCGTGGCTTTAGCTGGTGACGCGTCCCACATTTACTGGTCTGGTGGTCGGGGTTATGTGACGGCTCTGCAGAAGCATGGGAATGAGACAGTGGTGACCACTTTGGTTCATTCCGGGGTGCGAGAAGTGCGTCCTTTCGGTCCAACGGCGCAACCTTTTCCAGGCCAGGAATGTCTAATTCCGAGAAGAATGGTGCCCGAGGAGCCGTTGCTGTTCAACCACTCCTCCCACTCGCTCCATCTCGACCTTCCGCTTGGAATCAGTGTCAACTGCTCAATGGAGGTACGAATAGGCTCATTTAATTTAATTTACATTTACATGCAGTGACTGGTACTAATATTTGTTGTATATTATGTGCAGGACCTGTCCCTGCCAACTCCACAGTACGCCGTGTACTACGGAACAGTGGACGAGACTCTCATTTCCAAATGCACCCCGACAAGCTCCTCCCACTGTAAAGTGGTCCACACGAGGGAAAAGTCCCTCCACATCACAGACCTCCATCCTTACACGACCTACACCGTCTTCGTCACACTGACCAACGCCTACTCTACAAGAGCCGGCCTTCCGCCCCTTCTCTGCACCCCAATCATGCTCAGAACTGCTCCTGGAGGTAACGCTGAAAAATATTTACCACCGCTTATTAACATTTAGTGTTTCATTTATTACGAGTTTACTGCATGAACTGTAGCGTCGGGAAGTAGTTTCTTTCGCTGTGCATTTCTTGCAGGTCAAAATAGCTGCAAGTCTGCTAGAAACCACTTTTTTGCCGCGATTGTTGCAAGTGGTTACTTTCCACCTGAAACACTGGTGACGTTTAATGACTATTTTTTACAGCTCCGATGCCACCGGACCTGCCCTCGCTCCAACCTCTCACGCCCACCTCGGTCCGTGTCGAATGGACAAAACCTCTGAAGCTGAACGGTGAGAAAGTGTGGTACGAAGTTCACTGGGCGACGGGTGATTCGTCCTCCTCCGCAAAATGGGCCGAAACCGAGTCTACCCGACTGGCCACGATGACCACTGACCTCCATGACCTCGCCCCCTCGACCAACTACACGATTTGGGTGAGAGCCTTCTCAGAAAAGGGGGACGCCTTCTCCGACTCGCCCAAAAAGAGCGTGGTCACTTTCCCACTTCCAGGAAACGTGAGTCTCATCAAAGCCACACCACATGAACTGCAGCTGAGATGGGTGCCTCCTGGAGATAACACCATCATCATGTAAGTGAAGGATAACGAGGGATGATGATAACCTGATCATGATAACATCTTATCTTGCTCATCCTCAGGCACCAACTCCTTCATCGCGAGGCTTCCTCCCTCCTCTGGACGGAGACGCGCATGGAAAACTTCACCATTCCGGGACGAGCGTACAATTGGACTTTGAGTCGACTGAAACCCAAAAGTTTGTACATTGTCCGACTCCGCACGTGGTTTTCAGGGGACCCGTCCTCACCCTTCATCCACCCCGCAAAAGCTCCCTTCCACTTTGAAACCAAGGCGGATAAGCCGTCCCCACCACCCGGGGCGCCCATCGCGAGAGGAATTGGCAAGGCCTTGTACGAGGTAAAGTAAATTCCTGATATCCAATGTTTCGCATGGATAAAACCTTATCTAAATAATTGATGTGCAGGTCGAATGGAAAGCTGCAGATGAAAACGGAGCCGTAATTGAAGCTTATTCCTTGGAAGCTCGCCTCGTGTACAGCCACGCCACGACGGATCGTGACCAATCAGCCAATGTCACGACCACCATGAGCATACTTATATCCTCAACTCCATCACCCTCACTGTCTCCAGCCACGATAAGCACAACCGGGCGAAGGAGAGTGGTCAAGAAGCGGGATGTGGGTGGTGATGGTGGCGCAGCGGAGAAGAGGGTCGCGTCATCCCACCTCTTTGCTGGAGGTTACGACTGGAATCAAGTCTACTCTGGAAAAGGTACTATTTTTTGGATGAAATTGAAATATTAAATACTTATGAAATTGGATTTTCTATGTAGAAACGCGCTGGGTGGTGGAAGGTCTCGACTTGAAAAGCTATTACAACTTTCGCGTCCGAGCCAAAAACAGTTACGGATGGGGTTCGTACTCGAATGAGAGCGAGGTCGTCTCCTTGGCCGAGCTAACTCTCGTCGCGGAACCGCAAGGAGTCGGCGTCATCATCGGAATAATTTTCTTGTCCTCCTTCATCCTCGGACTCTTCGCGCTCCTCTTCATTCTCGGTAAGTCCGATAATAATCTCGGTCAAAAACAGTTAATGACGAGTAATTTGCATGTTCTCAGTGTACCGTCGCCGCCTGTCTGAAAAGCCCTCGCTCCACGGAAGTCATCACGCTTCGGAGCGACGTGAAGTTGAGCTGGCCACGCTGCGAGAACTTCCCGGAGGTTCGTCCTTCATCCACCAGAACAATCTCCTCTACTCGACGGGACATCACCACCAGACTGCAGCGGCCGACTTGCTCCTTGACCTCGACCTCGCCGGCATCCCCAAAGTCAATTGGCATCAAATCATTGTCACCAAATTTCTTGGGAGCGGAGCTTTCGGCGAGGTAAGGACAATGTGATCTGGTTTCTGACCCAGAAATATTAAGGGTGCATGTACTTGTAGGTTTACGAAGGCATCGCTGCAAATTTGGGGGGACATGGAGATCCAGAAATACGTGTGGCCATCAAGGTATAGTTATATTCGTTCAATTACTTAATTTTATTTGGGGGACTTTTAACAATATGTAGACACAAAATGTGAACCCAAAACATTCAAAAATTAATACTAATTGTAAACCGTTTGTCAAGAGGAGAATTTATTTATGTTTCTGGAAAATGTGTTAGTGAACTTATGTATTGTTTTATTGGAAATATGACACCAACTAAACCTGCATGGGCATCAAATTAATCCCGTTATCAAACCCCCACCTTTAAAAGCCTTGCTTTCTCGCTTATATAAACCAACATTTATCTATTTCTAGACCCTCCGCAAAGGCGCAAATTCCCTGGAAAAACAAGAATTTATCCAGGAAGCCAAACTGATGGCGCAGTTTCGCCACCCGCACATCATTCAATTGATGGGCCTCTGCATAGACACGGACCCGTGCTACCTCCTCCTTGAACTGATGGGTGAGGGTGACCTGCTCTCCTACCTCCGGTCAAATCGACCCTCTCACGGAGGTCAGCAAACCACCACGCCCATCACGCACGACGACCTCACGACGACGACGAGTGTCCCCCCTCCACTCAATTTGGCCGACCTTTTGAGAATGTGCGTGGACGTGGCGAAGGGCTGCGTCTATCTCGAAGACTTGCATTTTGTCCACAGAGACATCGCAGCGAGGAATTGTTTAGTCAGTTTTGTGTCGGAAGGGAGTAGCGCTGGGGGCGACGAGAGAAGGCTCAGGGTCGTCAAAATCGGAGACTTCGGTCTGGCCAGAGATATTTATAGGAACGACTACTACAGGAAGGATGGGGAGGGGTTGTTACCAGGTATGAGCAGATAGGATAAGTACTCATCATCTCAAATACAAATGGAACATACGACTCGATTCATCACTAAAATCGTCAAAATAAAAGCAGTTTTAATCATTTCCCGTCTCTGGGAATTTATTTAAATATTCTGATGGGGATGACGATTCCCACTGAGTTATGTTTTTGTGTGGGTGAATTTAGTGGGTGTGGCACTTGGTGGAAATGTGGGTGGATATGTTAGAATTGTAGGTTGCACAATAAATGTAATTGAAACAGGACACTTGGTTTCAGTTGAAGTCAATATATTTTACATTAGGAAAATTGAGACGAATTATAATTGTGTTGGTCAGAAAGATAATGAATTTGAGTCAAAATAGATAAAAGTACATTGAATGAGAGAGGCTCAAGACTGACAAGAAATCACATAAGAGAATCACCCGAGAATGGGTATTGCACCCTTATTTATAGTTTTAGTGAATGAGGAAAAAGGTGCACGAAAATTAGTGTACATAAATAGACTTCGTGGAAACATGTTACAAAACTTGGTTCATGGAAAGAAAAAAGGTTCACTTAATTGTTAAATTAACTTAACCAAAATTGTTGTGCGTCAGCAAGTTAAATGCATTAAGATTATAGAATGTTGAACTTGAATGATAATTTTACAAAAATGACAAACTGAACATATTCTGCCCCGACAAATTTGTAGAGCAGGTTGTTGCCAATTAAAAAAATATATACTCTAGATTTTAACACTTTTTTAAGGAATCTTAAATTTAAGAAGTTTTCAGAATTTAATTGGAATTCATCAAAACTTACTGATTAAGTGATTACACATTTGTCATGTAGACTTTTAAAATGAGTTCTCAGAGGCGAGAAATAATTAAAAATGCATTGATTTTGACAGTCATCGCGTCCAACGTTAACCATTGAACTTAATTAACTTCATGCATTTTAGTGCGTTGGATGGCTCCTGAATCTCTCGTGGACGGAATTTTCACCACGCAGACGGACGTCTGGTAAATGGTTTTAATTATTTTGTATTGAGATTAATTGGGCATTTAATTACAAAGCATGCAGCAGCAGAGCAATGTACTAAATATTTTATGAAATATGGATTTGCAGGGCGTTTGGTGTCCTCCTCTGGGAAATAATGACGCTTGGTCAGCAACCATACCCCGCACGGTCAAATGTCGACGTGCTCAACTATGTCCGAGGTGGCGGAAGGCTTCAACGGCCACCACATTGTCCGCACATCCTGTAAGTCTAAAAAAAATAGTGTAAAAAAACACTTTATTGCATTTATTTCTTGCAAACGATTACTTGCACCCGAAACAAAAGAGCAAAAACACTGAAATTCATCGCTATGTCCATTTTTCAGTGGAAACCTAATGCTCCAATGTTGGGAATATGCTCCGGAAAATCGTCCCTCTTTCAAGGACTGTCTCTCCCAACTGGAACTGATTCTGGGCGACTTCCACCTGGAATCTGGTCGCGTCTCGTTCCCACCTTTGCACGACATCCACTTTGATCCCTACTCGTATTCTGAGGGTGGAGCTGGTGGTGGTGGTACACACTACGCGTCCCCACAACATCACCTCCGTTCTGAGGACAACGGTCCAGATTCTGTCTTCCCAGACGACGAAGGTGACGATCTTCATCGCCATCATCATCATAATTGTCATCATCATCGGAGGATCCCCAATTATTTGGAAGTCTTGAGTGAAGAAGAGTTATCCTCGCAACGGGGCTCAATTTCACTAACTGATCAAGGTATGCAAAAAATTGGGGTTGACCAACTAGGGTTCGCTGTGGTTTTAATTAACCACTGTCCAAAACCGATTTGAACTAGTTTTGGACACCGAATTTTGGACGTCAAAAATGTTCAAAAGAGAAACTAGGGCAAAATTTAACAAATGCTTCAATGTTTCCATTGACCGATGAGTATTTTGGTACATAATATCACATGGTTTAAAAATTTTCTTAATTCCTCATAAGAAAACATGGTAAAACAAACGCTTTTCCAAATTTAGTGGTATTACAGATCAACCCAAATGCTCAAAATTTTTAATGGGAGATTAAATATCTGTGCATAGATTTGCAAAAAGTCGATAATTAAGAACTTGTAACATTTTGTCCCATTTTCCAATGTTGGACAGTTTTGGATGTCCAAAACGAAGTACTGATCCAAGAAAAATTCCTACTACTTATCGATCCAATTAATTTTCCAGGGTACGAAATCCCTCTACCGAAACGTCCCCCACGCTCCTCCTCATCTCACCCATCCACCGCCTCCTTCGGCCTCCCTTCACCTCCCCCATCCTACTGGAACGCTGAAACATTACCCCTCCGACAGCAGCAGCTTCCACGCCCCCAATATCGCAACCTCCTCGCCTCCTCCACCTCAGAAGACGCGGACGTCGAGGAGGACGAAGATCGTCACGAGGACCACCAGCAGCCCACCTGCTCCATCCCGCACCACTACTTTTCCAACAATATGATGGGACGCCCCACCCACTTGAGGGGACTTCCCTGCCAATACGTCGACCCATCCCCTGGGGAACGCCGTTCAACCGACAATCCGACTCCCGCAATGACCACGCTATTTAACAATCACACCTACGCCGCCCAACATCTCAACGGAGGGATGATGAATGGTGGGGGCAGCTCTTCCACGAGGTCCGGAAGTGGTGGGAGTGACGGAACTCTGCTCCACTATTCCCACACCAACAACAACAATCATCACAACCAACCCCCCAAAAAAACCAAGGCACATTCCGCCGCTTGACGTAACGACGCCACGAATCTCACGCCAATAAAAAACTATTAAGAATCAACCAATACCAATCACAGTCAGTAATCATCATCACAAGTAGAATTTAGTTTAGTAGCGTAGTTAGTTCCATATTTATTATTGCTAGTAAGTAACGTACATATATTTGTACACGTATAAAACAGTACCGCATCGTTGTGTTCATGATTGTTCCTTTTACATAGTTTCATATATTTGACCCATAATGTGGTTGATTTTACTAAATGTTATACTCATTCCGCAGGCAGCTATTTCTGAATGTATTGCGATTTTAAAGAACTGGACAGGGAGAAGAAGATGTAACCTAATGTATAAACTGTTAAATATTATTAATCTTTATAAATTCGAAGATTAAGTTGTAGTGGAAAGTGATGATCAACATTTAATTTCTGAATTCCGTTACGACCTATTTCCTCCGTGGTTTGATCCTTGTTCCCAACATTAAAATAGTTACATATAAAAATACTTGGAGAGTCAAGTGCACAACCACTACTGGTAAATTTCTATATGTGAGTAATAAAATAATGGATAAGCGCAACCAAGCTTGGCCACACCATAAAATTCAATGCAATTACTATAACGCGTTCGTTCTCCCCTGATTACTCAATTTCCATTTAATGGCTACGATTATGCCCAATTTTGTATTGTCAATATAATTAAGGTAATTTATAATTAGTCACTCAGGGCTATTATTATATACTAAATGATTAATTACTGTGTAGTATCAAATGATAAAGTTATGTAGAGCGCGTAAATGCAATTATCAATGCAATTTTTGACTGATTAAATTATTAGAAAAGGTAAATAAATAAGTCACATTTTGACCAAAAATTACCCATTTACTACATAAATGATTACGTCACTTCATAAAATTAGCAGTCATCCTACAAAAGAGGGAAAGTCTTGAGGAGGTAAATACATAAATATTTGATAGAAAGGAAACTGTGGAAAAAAATTCGTCTAATTTTATTGAATAATCAATCCCATGAAATTGCAAAAGCAACTTCACATCTCTCTTCTTTCGTTATCTGCAAATAAATCTGAGCATCTCTAAATCTTCACTTATCCTTTTTCTTCGCAAATATTAAACAAATACTGCACACACTTTAATGTTGCACTATTTTAACAGAGAATAATATGATAATGCTGCTAGTGCATCTTTCTTTGTTATTGAACTTTTTTTTATAAAAATGACCATTTTAGAGGTAGATATTTCCAAAAAATCGATTGATCCATCCAATGTTTTCACACCGTGATGATCTTACTTTAGTTCAAGTTTCATACTTTTTATGTATACGTGCATGTGGAGAGGAGCCCTTTTTTTATTCGAATGCATATACATCCAAACCACCACATTTTCTAAACCGTTCATGTATAAAATTGAAAAGTGAAGATGTTCAAGTGCTATTTATAAGAGGCTTCTCCACTCTTCGACACGCTCTCATTTGCTCAAAGTCATCCATCCTCGTGCAAAGTTATCGCAGCAATGCTCTCTAAATCGGTAAGTAAAAAATTTGAGACGGGTTTCAGAATTGTAAATTTCAGTGTAAAAAATATTTTCTTAGTCGTTCCTCGGTGTGTTTGTGGCGGTGGGGTTGGCCGTGGTCGTGGCACACCCACAACTATTTGCCCTTCCAGACAATTATGACGAGCATTCCGAGCAAGCCCAACCACAGCGAGTGGTTCAACAAGGTGAGATTTTACAGTTTGGTTTTGGGGAATTTGAGACTTTTTGAGAAAAAATAACGACTTTAATACAATGAGATGCACACTATTCAGCACAAATAAGTGTACATTTGCGACGCATTGATGTTGACGACAATCTGAAACAAGACTAGTAAAATTTGAACAAATTTTTAAATATTTAGTAATTTGTTGTAGATTATTGATTGATTGGAAATTAGTAAAATGTAGATTTGTCCTGGAATTAATTAAACTGTAGCAAGTTTAACGGTTTAAATAACTTGAGCCTTGATTGATTTTAAAGCTTCTTAAAGTACTATAATTAATGAGTAGTCTTTTAGCAGTTTTTAATTATTTACTAAAAATAGATAGAGATATTTAATTATGGCGTAAATTAAAAATGTATGCAAATTAATGCTTCGTAGCTGATCCAGCGAGTCGTTATCGTCGGGACTCGCTCCCTGCGGCGGACCACGTGCAGGAGCATCATCACGGCTGGCCTCAGAAGGGGTGGGGCTGGCAGAAGAAGGGGTGGGGTGGCTGGCCTTCAGTCGGCCCTGTCTTCACGTACGTCCGCACTGATGGGTGGTGAGTGATGATAAGGTCAATACTTATCCAGCATAATTTCCTCAGCCTTGATTTCCTCCTTGATTCCAGGTCAAACTTCCAGTGGGGAGTTCGACACAAAGTTGGCGGAGGGAAGGGCTGGGGCAAAAAATAATTAGTTTTTCAATTTCCTAAACGTACTTTAGCTAGTTAGTGACGACACCTGTAACATAATTTCACCTATTTAATAATGTGTGACCTTAACATAATTAGTGCAATTAATTAGCCAATCCTTATCAAGAGCTTGTACTGTACTTACCACGTAATTAATTAATTGATGAGAGCTGTACAAGTAGAGCTGTGGAAAATGAGGCAACTTCCATTGAGACCCGACGACATGACAATTTTATCCCGATTTTTTTACGACTGACGACGAATTTTATACATAAATTGACGAATTGACGACCTTAATAAAGTATGAAATCGAGTCCGAGTATTTTAGACCTGCAAGAATTTATTCCTTCACACAGCAGTTCCCATTATAATTGAGGACGACGATAATGGTAATAATTCCAATGATGGGGATGCCGTGCGACTGGTGCGAATCCGGCGTGGCGACGAGTACTATGGAAGCGGTGGGGGTGGCAGTGGGGGTGGTGGAGGTGGTGGAGGTGGATCTGGTGGGGGTGGTGGGGGCGGAGGGGGATGGGGTTGGGGTTACCTTGGACCAGTGTACACCTATGCCAAGACCGACCAGTAAGAAATCCATAAAATTTTGATTTCGAATTATAAATTATTAAGTATAAATGTTTTCATTATTGCAGTTACGCCAATTTCAAGTGGGGGGTGAGGCACCATGTTGGGGGTCAAGGATGGGGACGTTAAAGCTGCTGGGACAAATTAACCTGCCGTTTTTTTAAGGACTCTTCTCCCTGTTGTTATCCTATTTTTATTTAGCCATCGTTTTCAAATTGTGACACTTGTTAAGTTGTATAAATAAAATATAAATAATCGTTAAAACTCTGGAGCAAATTTTGAAACCCCATTTTCCTCCATGTAAAATTCATGATACCTTATCTACTGTACCTCAGATTACTGCATCAGCATATTTCATAAAATATATTTTGCTATCCGGCATCAAACTCACAGATTTGCTAAAGTATTGAAAATAGTCAATGAAAGTCATGGATGCATTGGGATGGAAGTTATAAACTGGATAAAAGAGTTATAAATTGATAAACGGCCGGTATAACTGCTAATTATAATTAACTAATCATGTTGATAAATTAACTAGGGTTGATACACACTTCAAATTTTTTGGGTGCTGGTCGGTCGGTTCATTGACCTGAATCGTAAAAAGTTCTCTGGGCCAATCAAACATAATTCGTTTGGTTTGGATACAAAGCAATAGAGACGCTACGTTATTGTTTTTCCATGTAATTAATTAATTACTGGTAATTATATTATTCAGATAATTTATTAGTGTGGTAACATTTTGTGGGCAAGTTAGCAAAGGCAACCTTTAAGTTAATAATTTGCTTTGCAACTGTTTGTTTTAGAGGAATTTTCTAGAAGGTTTTTAACTTTAGCGACTGGTCGTGGGTCGAATTTCGTGAAATGAGGCGATTTTACGTCTGTGTTCTTCTCGTGGTGGGGACAACCGTTTCGACCGGACGAGGAGAGCTTGGGAGGTGAGTGACAATATTTTAGAAGTATCGTGGCATTACATTGTACTTTTTTGTCCTAAAAGTACGTCGACGTTGGAAAAGGGCGAAATCGTGACTTTTACCTCGTCAACTGTGAAGCGTGAAGGGCTTTTAAACACCCACTACTGGACGGAGAAGAACGAGCGAAGTACGAGCAAAACGTACACATTATGGGAGGAGGCGGATGTCCATTTGGTAGAGTGGCCAGGTCAGTTGTCAGCACAGGATTAATTGATCATTTAATTAATTAATAACACCAATTAATTATTTAATTGACCGTTTTTTATAGGAAACGTGACCGTCCGCGATCCCGACTGGCCTTTGGTATGGAGGAAAATCCATATCTTTGTTCTTCTTTGGTATGAATGAAATATTGTGGATTTTTTTAGCTCAAGTGGGGGAAAATTCGGGCGAAATTTGTTGTGAATCGATGCTGCGAAAGCTTTGTAGGGATCCAAATGAGGGCATATGCGTAGTAAGTGTGGCTAAACAAGTTTGTTAATTTATTAGAGGTACATCTAACAATTTGTATACATTTTTTTGCAGTCGCTACTTGTTCTTGACGTGGGGTTATCACCGCTTTTTAAAAACAGTGACACCACCGCTGACATTTCCGGCCAAGTTCATATGGTCAGAGAGGCGACGACGACAACACGTTGCGACAGAGGTGACCGTGTCGGATTTCGTCTTTGTGCACGACGCTCTAATCGTAGTGTTGGGGGAGGACGGCGGTGGAGTTGTTGTTCGCGTGGGTGGGCTAGAGTTGGCGTGGGCGATGTACGAGAGGGAAAAGGGAGAGGAATTGGTCTACTCTGTGGCGAAAGGTACATACGTGGGGATGGTTCTCTTCTTAAATAATTAATTTACTGGTTATAGTTGATAAGGATAAGTAATTTATTTGCAGGTATTTCTTCTCCCGTCAACAAGTTAGTGGGCCAGTATTGTTGCGAAAAGACTGACAAGGGGGACTTTTGTCCATGGGGGGAAACCGTGGTGGCATATAGAGAAGGAGCATGGGAGGAGAAAATTGGGTAAGTAGTGGTTCATATTTACAGCAAATTGCAAGATAATAAAGTTTTGGTGGTCTGAGTTTTACAGGATTTTTGTGTCTGTGGATGGTGCTGTCACGTTTCGTCTCCTTCTCCCTTCTATCCCCACAAGCTCCTCGTCGACACGTCTACACGCTGTCCTCGCATATCCCGACGTGGGAAAAGTGTTCCTTCTGCACGGGACTCGAAATATCGTAAGTGCGACAGATTTACTACGTATCAATGCAAGCAAAATATTTTTTCCGTATTAATAGGGAAGACTGGACGCGTATTCAATTTCATCTGGAGTGTTTCTAGGAGGAAAAAGCGTGACCGAGTTATCAAGATTTTCAGAATCTCTACACGCATCTCGAATTGGGGAGGACATGTCGCTCATCGTCTGGGACAAGTGTAACGTCTGGTACTCACCAAGCGAAGGTCCCATACTGCCAGCCACTAAGCTAATATGAACCTCGATTTGAAAGACTTAAATTCAAGTTTGGTTTGGATTTCAGGTCGAAATCTGACCAAGGCGACACATTACGTCCACGGTTTCATTCGAGATGGGCGCAGCTGGATTAATAAAACCAAGAAGGATAAGAAGGGAACACATTACATTATGGAAAAGTACTGTCGATTTGGGCGGAGGGCAAGTTTAGCGATTTGTAAGATTATAATTAATTACACCCAATAAAAAAATTTTTTATGAAGTGTGACACGTTTTGTAGCGAAGTGGGGCAAGATTGCGCTGCTGGATGAGGACAATCACTTCCATTTTGGGGTGGACACCAAGGAGGGAGGAGATCATGGGGTCGTATTCCCACTCGTGGCGATGGCAGTTGACATGAGTTTGGTGGCGGAGGAGGAACGCTTCTCAATCATACCGCATTTCGATCGGAGTAATCATCCCAGTAAGTGAATCTAATGGAGGAGAGAAAATTGAAGGACTAAATACACGCATTTTTAATTAAGATTAAGAAATTTTCTACATTTTTTCAAGTAGTTTTATCATTTTTATTCTCCTCAATAGAATTGATCTACCCTCCGCGCTACCTGACTCTGCCTTCTCACATAAATTTTGGGCCAAGCTACGCGACACGCTTGGCGATCCGTCTTCTCCCAAAGACCGTCTTCCCGTCTGAATTTATGATGCCGTTCTTCACCAATAATGCTGACCTGCCTCTCAAGTTTGCAAATTATGCGCTGCCCCCGTGCCAGGTGAGTGCGAGGAAAGAAGTGGACACCTTTTTGGTTTGTTTTATTTCTTTGCATTTTGTAGACGTCAAGCCTTTCGATAAACGGGTCGATCACTCAGAAGGCTAAGTACTACATGCTCCCGGCCTGGGGTCACGTCAACTTTACCGTCAGATTCAAGTCGTACGGAGAACGAGGGGAAGACTTGTTGCAATGGGAGGGTGCGGGTGAGAATGTGAAAAAGTTTTTGAGGGTGAGGATGAAGAAAAGGCACGAGGTCGAGATGCACGTGGATGGCGACGCGTGGGTCAACTATGTAAGTGAATGTGAGATGTGGCGTCTCTCTGAAAAGTGATTCTAGTCTCTCAATTTCATAACGACTATCACTGTCCATATTTATTTTTTTAATCGAGTTGATCAAATTGTTCTCCAACTTTGGTATATTTTTTGGCAGGAGGTGGTGATTTGGCCGAGAAGCGTGTCCGGATCGAGGCGAATCTTCATGCTCAATTTCTACACGGAAAGAATGCTTCGCTGCAATATTCAGCCCTCCGTCCCCATCCACCTCAGAGTCCTGGATGCCTTCCCTCCCTCCGGGGATGGGAAATACACTCCGCAAAATGATGATGACGATCAGTATGTGAAAGGATTTTTTGTTGTGCACATTTTAATTTTTTACAATTATTTACTTCTTGCACAGTCAAATAATTAAACACATTTATTGTGCACATTTTCAGGAGGAGTTTTCTGCGGACGGATGCGACGCACATCCAGTACGGGAAGCGATTAGAGAAAACAGAGGACACGCCTCGGACATGTTCCTCTTCTTCGTCGAAGAAAGGGGGCGAATCCTGTGGGGCGAGTAAAGGGGCGACTTCTGGCATGAAGGAGATGGATATGAAAATGGCCCAAAACATGGATTATCTCCTCAATTTGGACCTCCATAAGAACGGTGATGGAATCATAAATCATCATCATTATCGTGGAGAATTGTGAAAATACAAAAATTGAAATGTATTCGTTCCTTGTTTTCATTATGAAGATGTCTTAATTTTAATTAAAACTCACTGTTTGTTATTGTACCTCATAATAATTAAGGATAATAATAATACAATTAGTAGATGGTTGTATTGATCTTATCGTATGAAACATTTGCCTACCGATCCATATCATCTCGTGATTGCAAACGAAATGACCATCATTAAGGTGGTCAGATTTCCAACAAAAACATGCATTATTCCATCCACATATTTCCCAGGAACGCAAATAAATTCCACTTTTGACAAACGGTTTACAATTAGTGCCAATATTTCGAGTCAATATTTTCTAGAAACATTTGACGATCATTTGGTGCATTGTTAAATTACTTATGTATTAGTTTCAATAATAAAACACTTGATGAGCAGAGCCAAATTGATGGTATACTGTGAGTCATACATAATGCACAAATGATGTAATTTGAAATATCATTAACTAAAAAACTACTTACTTAATAATTAGATGATATAAATCGCGACAAAATGTTAGTCAGGTGTACGTACACACATATTACCATTTCCTACTTACTTACTTTTCAAATTCATGCACAATCTATTTTTTCAGATTGCAAATTGCGTAAAGTGAGCAAGTTCTTGGGCAATCATTTCTCTCGTCTCACATTCTACACTTGATAATACATAATAGGTTGATATAATATTAGTTAAACGGAGACAATCTATAGTAGTAGCATTCACCATTTGGCCAAGACATCGCACTCACCAACAAGTAAACAACAATTAAATAACCGGTTACATGCATAACATCAACGCGTCTAAATTGGGGTCAGAATTCCAGACCAGAATGCAAAAATTGTGATGCACATGGTTGTAATTTAGTGTCAATACGCACACATGAGATGATCTTTTGTGTGTGAAGTGTGTAAGAGAATGGTTAAAAACTTGGCTTGCAGCAAAGTGACATGTAGTTCACACGTTATGGGAAATGCAAGTGAAGGTGAACCAACAATCTGACCTATCGATGTGAATATGTGCCACTCAATTATGGCATTTGTTGTGTATAATCGTGTCGTGGTGTTGTGCACATAGCAAAATTTTTGCCATTTTTACTCTCATTTCTTTGGTGGCATCATCGTAAAAGTTTTTGTGTGTTTTTGTGTGTTGGTTGAGCTGAGCTTGTTGTCCACTGGGTCGAATCATACTTTGCACGGCGTAGGATAAGCAATTTTTAAGTCTCACTTTCTTACCACATTTACATCAAAGCATGCGAGTTTTATTTTAGCACCACTCAAGTGTGGTCAACTTAAACGGAACAAAACGCAAGACTCGCATTAAACGAATCTTTTAAGCTATCTATCTACGCAGATTGTAGATACGCATTAAAATAATAATAATAATTAGTTACGTGCACGTTTTGTTCCGGAGTAACTTATCTTCCCAGAGAGAGGCAGAAATCTTGAGGAAAATATTAAAATGAAGCCGAGTTGTTGCTTCCCGTTACGTTTTGTCATCAAGGCGGTCGCCATCCTGGACTTTGTGAGTGGATTATTGCTAAATAAAAGTGGAAATTGTCATAAAAATATTATTTGTGGTGTAATATGCAGATAGCAGCATCTCTCATCGTACTAGTCACGTCGGGTGGGTTAATTTACATATATCTTTTCCCCTCCGAAGTGGACGCGTGGTTCCGTGACGCTGGTAATAATGTGACCACGACCAACAGCAGCAGCAGTGATTTCATCTCAGCTGCAGAAATTCAGACACGTTTATCAACCTTTGTAAATTTGGACAAACTTTGGAAAGATGACGGCGGAATTTTGGCGACAGCGTTGCTTCTACTCGGTCTGATCTATTCCTTGCAAAAGCTCGTGTTGGCCTGCGTTTTGATTATTGCTGTGTTCCAAGTGAGACGAAAATATAACTAGCAACTATTTAATAATGGAGGTCTTCCAGCGTATGCTCTCCGATTTTGGCCAAATTAGTGTCGGTCGATGACAAATTTAATTAATATGAAATTTGCGAAAGGAGAAAAAGCGCAATAACTTTGGAAGGTGTAAAATTTGTCGACTTGGAGCGAGGTTTGGCGAGGCTTCTTATCTCTTTGGATGTAAATATCTCCGTCAAATCTGCGCATTGGAAGATCGTTGTCCTTTGCAAATTTCGTATTGTGATCGGTTGGCACTAGTTTAGATCAAAATTTGTGAGCATACGTCGAGAGACCTCCAAGAGCCACTTGAAATGTAAATTTTTGCATGTTTCATTTCTAGGAACGGGTAAAGCTGTTACGAATCTGGGTGGGATACAGTCTAGTAATTCTGGTCTTGTCGGTGATGGGTTATCTGAGCCTGCTTTTGGCCGGAGTGACGGAGCCCTGGTCGATCCCATTTTACGTGGTGGCCTTCATCTCGAGAGAGTACGTCATCTGGATCACGACGGCCTTTCTGAAGAAGGTGCAGTCGCAGAAGAGTGACGACGCCTTCTTGATACGCGGACGCGGAGGAGGAATAAATAATAACAAAGTTGTCTACAAACTGTGATAAGTGAGAAGAGATTGAAATAGGCTTTATTATTTTTAAGATTTTTGAAACTACGACTTAAGTACAATTTTCTACATGTTTTGATAGATTTGTAATATAGATTTTAGTTTAGGTTTAAAAAGATGACTAGGTTGCATGAATTCCTTGCGTGATTATGTAGACCAATTAAAGTTTAATAAATTAATTGCTGAGAAATGGAGTAATTATGATTAGACATATTCATCGTGGGATAGTGATGCTCCTGCATTTCAATAGGGTTAAGGTCAGATTAGGCTGTATGGTTTTTGAAGAGGTGGTCAAATGTCAACCGTGTTTCGTGTCGACTGTTGTGGGAGGTGTGCGGAAGGCGAAATGACGACATGCATGGGTCGATGAAGCTAGGCTGTAGATATGTGTAAGGTTTCATGGGATGACGAGTCACCCGAGAGAAAAAGTAGGCGACGTGTCATATAGAGCTGTGGCACCAGAGCGTCGTTTTTGGGTGGCATGATTTTGTGGGGAGAAGTAGCGTCCCACCTTCTGCCTCGGACTGGGATAAATGTGTCCATCATGTGGGGGCGTGGGTGGGTCAGAAAATAGCTGCATTACAATTTATAATTACTAAATATTTAAGGTCATTGGTTATTTTTTCCTTACGATATGGCCGCCTTGTTGGGGCGTTTGGTTGCCAGACCAAAGAGTCCATAGGCGGACCGTTTTCTGAAGGAAGATGTTGTGTGAGGGGCTTGAGAAAGTGGGTGGTGGCCAAATTGGTCTACCCCCTCTTCTCCACAAACTATGGGCGAGGTCAATGCCAAAACGAGGAGAGTGGCCGAAAGGACAACTTGGAAGGTCACCATTGCACGTCCTCCTGACTGGACTGCAATTGCAACCAGACTGGCACCACGGAGGCAGAATCGACTGATCTAATATGTACCTCTGGTGGGACAACTTGATTAAAGAGAAAAACAAGACAAAGATGGATTGGAGAAGTTTAATTAAATTATGGAAAAAAATATACAAAGACGACCCCGTGTCTTGTCCTTTTCATGAATACATTTCATTTTATTCTTCCCATTACTTTCACCGGAAGTATAGAAGAGAGAACAATTACATAAATATGTCATTGTCACCGACTTTCATCCATCAACATGTATCAAAAAGAGGAGAAATAATTAAACGACGACATTTGACTGCGATACATAATTATATAATGACTGATTTCTCAAATAGCTAACTAAACACACAAATTAATTAAGTAACAAAACCCAGCAGTATAAAAAAGGACGTGATTTATGACAAATTAATAATAAATGCTTCTTCTTACATGAATAAATTACAGTATCAAAATCCAAACATAGTATGTTTTTAATGAGTAAATTAAATAAGTTAACTAAAATTAAATGAGATTCGTTAGCAGATCAGTTAATTAAATAGTGAGTCGGAGAGGAGATAGATCGAGAGTAGAAAATAGATTGCATTAATTCTTCTTGACATGTTTCTCTTACTTCTTTCTTTCTCTTATCTTCTATTTCTCATCGTGATGATTATACTTATGTAATTTTTACAACTTAGAGTTATTTATCTTGGTTTTTCTTAAAGAGATTTCACTTTTCCTTATATTTAATGACGACGACGACGATTGATTACGGAATAACATTACGAAACATAAAATCACAACAACGAAACTGAGGAAATACAACGACAACAGACTTGCTTCGCATTAATTTCTAAATTGAATTGACATACACGACTTGAAAATCATTGGATTTACGACGCGATCGTGGTCTTCAAGTGGAGACGAGAGCACAAAATAATAAATTAGTATACCTACTTAATTGAGTCCGATTTTAAAACTAGACACGTGGGAATAATAATTAGAACAATAAATAGGAGTTATTATGTCGTTTTTAGTGTTCGGTTGGTCAAAAATACAAAAAAACTAATTAAATTGGTTGACTTAAAACCTCGGAGGATATCAGAAAATTGGGAAAATTGTTGTTTGGCATTTCTTGACATTGACCGAGATTCTCGGTCAAATATGGTAACAAAAACAAATGCGAGTAGTTAATATCATGATCAATTGAACGGAGGAAAACTATAAATATTTTTTAAGATAATGTTGTTTTTGGTTGGTTGGTTAGTTAATGGATAGCATTAAATTTTGGACGCCGGTCCCTGTTTGATTAAATATGTGTGGGGCCGGCCCCTAATTGTCAGCGCCACTTTGATCTCTGGGCAAAAACGTCAGCTCGTAAGTTCTGAGCGAAACAAATTCCTAAAATTTGTAGAAACGCGGTGGCGACGATGGCAGCAGCAACCATGATTAGATTTCTTTCCAACCAATCTTCAGCGGAGGAGAGGCAACCCGTTTCGTAAATTACTTTTGACACGTCCAAGTTCTGAATCAAACCAAAGTTTTTTTGAGTTTTATATTTCAGACACGAGTTAAATATGTAGCTGTGGGACTCGATGACTCGTCACCAAAATACCCAGAGCCGAGAAAGGATTATTATTGACGATTTTGGTGATGAGTCATAAGATTTTATGTAATATGTACTCACATATTCAGGTTTTCTCACGTCATAGCCACACTGCGTATTTCTAATCCATAATTGTTCCATGGGTTGTTTGCAGCATGAAAATGGAACGCCACAAGCTTCACGCGCGGTCGAGTTGCAATTAAAATATACATTTTTATCCCAATCACGTGCCCCCTCAATGCCGCAACACTGCAACCATCGTTCTTGAATCCAGTCGATTAAATTCTGCTGGTCAGGGTCCTCACGGTATGAAATTATGAAGGATTGGAAGCCCGAAGTCGCTTCACCCTTTATCCAATCCTTAAACATAAACCTGTACGAAAGAAAATGTTTAGTTTTGGACATTTAAATGTTGGTTAACTATATACGCACCCTAGAATTCCGGCAGATATTTCCACAAGTAAAATTGCAGCGAGAAATATGGCGTAGACGGCAAGCAAACAAGTATTTTCACGGAGGGCTCCAACACATCCTGTGAATCTGTCGGAAAATCGTTCCCATTAAGTTTGAGTAGTTTTGTAAATAATTTTGAGTGTAACTGCGAGTTGAATTAATTACCCGATAACAAAGGTCATGGATCCGACAAGGACGAGGATAAAGGCAGGGTCCAACGCTACCCCTACAGTAACAAGAAATATTAACGTTTAATAATTAATATGCGATGAAAAATTGAAGCATTTTCACAATTGTTTTATCAACTTACGAGTTAATTTAGACAAATTGGAAAGTGTTTCCTTTTCACTCCAAGCCCACACACCGACGCCCAATATGAAGAGACCCATCAACTAGATTAATAATTAGCAATTAGATATGTAATGGGTCCTTTGACCGACGTTTAATCATTCTAAATAGGTAATAAGCATACCCAAAAGATGACATTGAATCCAAAAATGAGATATTTGAGACAACATGACACCTCGGATTCATCTCGTCGATATTTTTTCAACCTGGGCGGAGGTCCAGCCATTCTCCGAACTTGGACTAAATCTCCTCCACCGCTGTCGACCCCACCGCCGCCGCCGCCCTTGAGCAAAGGGTGATCCCACGTACGACCTATTCTGACTGGTTTCTCGTTTGCTCACTCACAGACAAAATGATAATGTGGAACTGTTTCGACTCGTGGTTTTCGCGACGTGAAAAAAGGTCCACGAACGTGTCGTATGTGTATCCAAGTATTTTGGTTGTAGCAGTTTTTGTATCTTGTATCTCCAATCAGTTAGGGTAGTTATATTGTCGCCTTCCAACTCATCATGCTTATCTTCATAGTTCAATTAGTTTGGCAGTGTAGTTTGTAAATGTAGAGATTCGAGCAAATTTGGAATGTATGTATCTAAAACCAAACCACAAGAAAATATTGACAGTGAAATTAGCAACAAGAAAATATTGACTTGTTAAATATCAAACTGTCAAAACAGAACTTACGATAAGCTCTTATTTAATGGAACAGCTAAATTAGTAGAGTTCAGGGTTTATCAAAACCCCGAAACTTTTCTCGTCATATCAATATTATCCACATTGATAGTTCGATAATCCAATCTAATTAAAACTGTCGTCGTCGTACGTCGTCAACCTGAACAATCAGACCTGTCCACTCAACCCACCTGCAATATTTCAAAAACAGACCCGAGTTAAATTATTTAATTTTGACTAGAATTATAATTTCTCAATCTCAATCTTCTTTCGACACAAGTATGGAATTATTATTGTTCAATTAGTAAACCCATGAGATTGGGCAGGGCTAGAAAAAGAGTTGTTCAAGATAATTTGGAAATTCACAGTTACCTTAATTGGACCTCTCTCTCTCGCCTCTTTGTTGTCCTCTTTTGTTCAGGTGACGGAAGTCAAATCCCTTCACACTCGTCCACCTAATAACACTGACTGCTGGTTGCTGAATACTGGGCTGACTATAAAAAACAGCACCAAATAAATTCCTGCTCTCCTTTAAAAAAGTGAAGAATGAAATCCATCCCTGTCTATGTATATGCTGAGCTGCTGGTGTGTATTAACTAAGGGTGCATCCGTGTCTTCAATCTGCATAAAAATATAGCTCAAAAACAGACAAAAGTCGTAAAATTGTTGGAAAAATGGAATGTGGCGAGTTTACATGAACTCGGAATGGGTGGAGGGACCGCACCCCCTCGCAATGCTGTTGCTTTGCTCTACTTCTTGACTTATTGAGAGCACGAAACCATATTCGCCCAACTTGCAGCGTGCCTTTCATCCATTTGCACCGTGTTGTACATTTCCAAGGAGTAAAGTGGCAGGTTTCAGCAGGGTAGTAGTGACTGTAAACTGCAGCCAAGTATTTAATGTACAGTTATCCATCTATGGATTAATTAATTGTTTAAAATTAATTAAATTTGTGACCCAAGATATGACCAGAATTTGTTAATTGACTTACCAACATGTAAACCGACTACGCGACTGGATTTCGACGGAAGGCATGTGACATCACGACGCGGCTGCGAGTTAATAAACAGCTTTAAAGATGTTGTATTTTAGTTTTAAGCTGTAAAAATATTTTGTGGGTAAAACAATTATATTTTGATAAAGTTAGTGAAAAGAAAATGAAAAATATGGAATAAATTTGAGTGAAAATGTTAAACATTCTAAATATATGGTGGTGATAATAAAAAGAATTTAGAAAACAAATTTGGCTCTGAAGTTGTACAATTAAAATTTGTGATTTGGAGAGTACTTGATAAATGATAAGTATGGGCGCCCCACGAGAACAGGAAGAAGTGAGCAGTGGTGCGTCCACGTTTCGTGACCAATTAGTTCGACGACGATCTAGAATGCGGATGGGCGACAATCAAGACGACGATGACGACGAGGAGGAGGACGAAGAAGAAGATGAACAAATTGTCCACGAAGATGGAGATTGGGCAAATTTGCAAATTTTACACCACACAGCCAAACTTTTAGAGATATCTACGAGACAGTCGTCAATTCAGATCAGTGGGGTGGGCATATCTCTGCGTTTAATTCATAACATAAGGTTAATTATGAGAAATAGAGTTAAATATGTTTAATTATTTGTTATTAGTTACGTCAAAGTTTGGAGGAGAAGGAACGCGACCTGTCCCAACTGAGAGATCAACTGCGCCAACAAGAAGAAAGGGAACGTCATTTAGTCGAGCAAAATCGTTTACTACGTGTCCAACTACTCGCAGCGACGACAGAGCAGCAGCAACAGTCGGCGTCTACGCCATCCTCATCTGCTGGCACTGGTGTCGACAAAGAGGTTCAGGTCGAACATTTCGACATGGTCGCACGCCCACAAAGATACAATCGTGGTGGGGCCGCCCTGCCACCAGAGCTTGTTCCACATCCTTCCCTCGCAACTGTTGCGCCACGCCAATCTTCGCCACAGCAGCCACGATGTGAAAGTGGAAGACGTGGAAGCGAGGGGGTCAGATTAGAAGCGCCCTCGTCAACCTCACACCTTCCTGATCGACGTCCGGTTCGAACACGAGGCTGGAGATCTGCTTCACCACAAGAAACAGACGATGGTGACATTGCAGGGGACGCTATAATCGAGAGAGACGAATTTTGTGAGTATTCACGTTTTTTGTATTGGGTGATTATTATTGTTATTTACTAACCTTGTCAAGAGTGGGGGGTAAGTGTGTGGAAATGTGGAATGGATTAGCTTCTGCTTGAATGTGACCATTTTGACCCCGATTGATCTCCCATAATAACAAGTTATGCTGACTTGAAATATCTCAGCTCCATATGACGGGACCCGTTGGGGTGACCCATACCGATTTTCAGAAATCGTCGTAAGAAGCTGAAATTCGGCACGGTGATAGTTAATGGATTCCCATGAAATAATATGAAGTCAAATATGAATTAAAAGCAACCATACCAAAAGGGGTGACCAACACCGATTTCTAAGAGTTTATACATTCAGCTCAAGTTTAGTATGGAGTCGAAAAATAACTTACGATTGGAATTTCGGAGGGTTGGATTTCGAAATTTTAAATAGAAAATTCTGACACACATGATAATTCCTGGTTCAGGCTATTAAGCAAAGATAGGGTAGGACTGATAAGTTTTAAAAATCACAAAACTCAATAAAAGGAACACGAAATAGAATCGGAAACGTCGATGAGTGATCGATAAGATTAAAGAGGAGAAAGTTGCATTCAAATCGAATGACAATGACAAGTGACGAAATAAAATAATACAATCGCCACGTGTTGGCAGCAGACCACCCGGGAATTCTGCGATGAGAAATGGGAAGATCACAGAGTTGAATATTTACCTAGCTCTGTGAGTGAGATTATGATTTGCAAACAAATAATTACAGCTCAAAGATGAGGTCTTATCGCACCACGGTCATGAGGTATGACAATTTTGAGGTGTTTCTCGGATTTTGCGACCACGTTGCCTTCAGGGTCTCCTCGCCGATTGGCGATTAGCTCAAATCCATAATCCTAAAGTTCACAACCCCCAAATAAACATTGCTGGTTGTGAGGAATCGTTAGAATTGGGGCCAAGGCGGTCACATTTCGAGCAAAGGCAATGCATCGTTCCACCCACACATCCTAAGGAACATAAATATTTCCACTTTTGGCAAGAGATTTACAAGTAGCACCAATTTTTCGAATATTTCGAGCTCGACTTCAAACATTTAAATAAAGTAAAACAATTTCGCCCCTTCAGTAGCAATCCGATTGTCGCAATCGACATAATCTTCTTTTTGTTGTTTGCAGTGGCGTCTCGAAATAATCACGCGATCCGAGTGAAGAGTAGAGCTTATCATGGACTCGCTGCCGTTCGACCCCTCGTTCAACGACGAAACGGGATGAAGTCTGGTGGTAAAGTTGTGGGGTATCGGTGGCGACATTTTGCAGAACACCCATTCTTAGACGAAAATGGTCTTCCTAAGGACAACCAAACACAAGGCGAGGATAATGATCAACAAGATGATGATCCGCCTCCAGTTGGAGAGCAGCAGGATGATAATGAAGGAGACGAGGAGACCAGAGAAGATAAAGAACAAGAAAAGGGTGATGATGACGATGATGACGAATTGCCCCCAGAAGAAGATGACTACGAAGGAGGTTGGCCATATTCTTTTAAATAATTAATTTTAATTAATAATGACTGACATTATTTATCGATTTATTCAAAGTTGGTGAAGTTCTTGCCGTGATTGATCTCGTTGAGGACGAAGATTGTGGTCGAGTTATTCAGGAGTGTGAACCAGAAGCACAAACGAGCACGCCTACTCCCAGCACCGCAGAAGAAGCGAAATTATCCGACCAACCGGCACCAGCAACCCCTTCTACTTCTGCATCAATACCAACGTCGTCGCCACCAGTGACGAGATCCACCAAGAGGAAGGTTGTCACGGACAAAAACATAAAACCAGAACTGGGAGGAAGCATGCCTAAAATCATGAAAGTGGGGAAAAATCACAAGGCGGATGATGGGGTAGAAGTTCCAAAGTGGCGAGAACTAATTTTTACCCACATCGTCCGAGAAGACGAAGAACCGAGGGAGTGCAATGAGGAGGACGTTTCAGAAGCAGCCCAGCTACGACGACATGCCAAACTCGAGTTGGACGAGAGACGAAGAAAACGTTGGGATTCGCAGAGAGTTCGAGAAGAGACATATTTAGAAAAGTGAGCTTTTCTCACACAAGAAAATCCGTAATATTTTATGAATGTAAATTAATTGCGTTTGTTTTTGTCCAGATTGAAGCGAAAAATGGAAGAGAGAGAACAGCAGCGAGGCAAAAGGAAGAAATCTGGGACGGGGCCTGGACGAAAAGTGTACGTATTGACATTTACACATGTACATAAATATTTAAGACTTGTAATTGTATGCTCAAAAACTTGGGGTGTGTTTCACAGGTCGGGAGTTGTGGCGACGACATCATGCAAAGGAACAAAGGGAGCGACAACGTCTGCCGCGTTGGCGTCGTCGGCTTCTGGAGGTGCTATTACTTCTGGTAAAGAGATGAACAAGTCGTCATCTTCCAAGTCGACGGGAGGAATGGGTGGAAACAAGAACAAAATTGGTGCTGGAATGAAGGAGAATAAACCTGCTGGTGGGGACAACTCGGATGACGAGGATGGTGATTTGGACGACGGTGACATTCTCTACATTCGTGTGGCGGATGATATTCCAATTGCCGTCTTTGGTCATCCGATCCCTGTGATTGAGAAGGCGTAAGAAGACTCTTCTCTGTCTCTCTCTCTAATCCCACTTGCTCTCTCACACACTCTCTCTCTCTCTGTAGTCAGCTCACTCACTTTCGACAATCAAATGAAGCAAGCGAATCATCTGTTAATTTCTCCTTGTATGTAGTGAATTTCAACTGCCCTGGGTGTTCCATGAAGATGACGAAGATGGGATTTTTGATGATGATGAGAGTCCACCTCCATCGCCACCGGAAATGGGAAAGCATCCCTTCGAAGAACCTCCTCCTCATCTCACGAGTCCTCAGAGAAGAATGGCCATGCTAAAGCGGAAGATTTTGAGGAGAGCGATGAAACCACTGCAAGCACGAGCCATGAAGAATAGAATGAGCTTAAACAAGACGACCGGAAGTGTGTCGAATAGTGTGACCGCCACTCCTCCTCTCGTCAGTCCGGTGGTGTCATCCTATTTAGAAAATATTAACTCTAATAATGAGATTGGAGGAGGAAGAGAAGAAGAAGAATCACCATCATCGTCCACTGCTCCCACTTCCGGTACTGGTGACGATCTTCCCCCCTCTTCTTTAGCAAAACTAAGTGTGACTTCTTGGCTGAGATGATACATATATCCTAATTTATAGTAGTAGAATGTTAGATAGTATTTAGAATGTTAATTTTAATTTATTAATTTTAACGCTTTATTTTTTTAAAGATTTGACAAATTAGTGAATTGAGGTTTTAATTTAGTCTTGAAATTTTTTAGCAATGAAATGAAGATGTGATCTCATTTATTTTAAAGGGTTTAAACCCGAAGGTAATTATAATAATATTTTTGTACGTATATTGTACCTAACTATGAAATAATGAATATCATGGATCTCTCTATCTCTTGTTAATCTATTCTTCGTTTGTGACAATGAAGAATGTTTTTGGAAAATATATGTCTTATCTAAAAATTTTGGCCGACTTAGTTCTTGAAGCGCTACTTATTTTCATATTTAAGGTTGGCTTCAAGATTCCTAGACTCTTTAGCGCGTGTTTCCGTGAAGTGAATTATATTTGTAAGATGCACATACAATAATTTTTGTTGTGAGGGGGTTTGTCTGCTCTTCTCAGGGCCAGCGACAGCTTCAGGATATTCACAAGAAAGAGTGTTGGGATTGGGAGTCTTTGGTTGGCTTAGAAATCAGACATACGTTTCCGAAAAAAATAGTTGAGACTACTTAGTTTTCCACGATTGCTTGACATTTAGTATCTAGGTAACTCTTGGGTCTTTTAACGGTTGCGACAAATGGTGGAGTTACAAATAAAATAATTATTTTTTAAATCGTTGGTACACATCTCCTGGGCCTGTGTACCAACGACTTTGACCTTTAATAACTTTTGAATGGGCAGACATAGAGACTTAATTCGTTAAGATGAAATCATCGTAATTTTCAGCTTGATTTTTTAAGATCAAAATCTCGAGGGTACTATTTTGAAAACTTGAAACAGTGTACAGCGTTTATTTAGCCCGAGTCAGGGTCAGTGTCAGCTTCTAACTTTTAGTCAGACGACCTGCACCAACTACTATTCGTAATCGGCAAAAATGTTCCCATAATCCAGCATGCAAAATTTCAGCTCATTGACCAATTTTAAAACCAATACGGGTCTCAGTCTTCTGAGACTCAGACTTCTGAGACTTTTCTGGGCTGGGCCCACAAAAATATTCATATTCAATGAATATGAATATTATTCATATTCTTTAGTCCGATGTGCCCTTACCCATGATACCGAATTTCATTTTTATTCTACTAATATAAAAAGCAGTGTGTCACCTTGTTAAATCTCTGTGGAAAAATCTAAATATTTATTTCATTTTTATTCTACTAATATAAAAAGCAGTGTGTCACCTTGTTAAATCTCTGTGGAAAAATCTAAATATTTACTTTATATTTTTCAATCTAGTCTACCCCCACGGGGTCATGCCAAATTTCAGTCTTCTACGAGTGTCAGGAGCGAATTTCATCTTTTTAATACAATTTTTAAAAATCGATGTGGGTCACCCCCTTAAAGGTCTCTCCACATAAAAATGTTACCAATTTCAATTCGCATATTCTTTCATCAGGGGCCATTAGCAATCTCTGCACTAATTTCAGCTCGATTGGATAATTTCCAAAAATCGGTATGGTATCGCGTCCCTCCAGTCGAAAATTTTCCCAATTTAAATTCATATTCTTCAATTAGACACCATTAGCAATCTCGATGCCAAATTACAGCTTTCAACGAGGATTTTGAAATACTTCACCCACCCAGATGACCACCACCGGTCAACCACTTAATCGATTTCGCCCATCTTCAAACTTAACTCCTCATTTGTCACATACTACATGTATACCAAATTTAAAGTCGCTAGGACGAGTTTAAGGAAAGTTATCGTAAAATGATCTGACGGACAGACAGACGGACATGACGGTTCCATAAGCACTTTGACTAAAAATCACATTTCCAAATTTCCCATTGTAACCAATGACATATTTTCAACAATTTTTAGTTTTCTAAAAATGAAAATTTATTTTGTAACTCGGCCATTTGTCGTAACCTTATAGATTGATAAAGTGTCAAATAATCTTGTTAGTTTTCATTTGCTGACAGACCGCACAACGAGATTTTGACGCTGCACAAAAGTCGACTTCCGTTTCTGAGATTTCATCATCATGGAGGTCCAAAATGCTTGGGAAGGATTCAAAACTTTGAAGTCAGAGTTGAACCATGTCCTGGCTTCCGGTCTCTTCCTCGTCACGATATCGCAGTTAACTCATTTCACGGGTCACCACTCGGAAAGCACTCAGCTCCTCGTCGCCACCCTGATCAACTTAGGCTTCATTTGTTTCGCACAGCTGAAAAGTAACGGGATCAAAGGATTGTTCAGATGGGGGGACGTTTCAGTAAGACAAAGTGCTCGTACAAAGTGTATTGTTTCTTGCGGATTTGCTTGTTACATTTCTTGCACTGCACAGCAAAACACGCAAGAAATGCAAGGTGCAAGAAATATGCGCTACCTAAACCTAAGAAAGGTGTAATTTGTGTCCATTTAGGTCCGTACCTTGGCATCTTTTGCAGTCCTTCTCATGTCAGCCGTCATAGTTTCGGCCGTCGTGAAGTCGGATTTCCTTTCGGACAAGATGTCAGTCTCGGCAGAATTGGAACGCGTGATTTTGTCGGGGGCGACGAATCTGGGGCTCTACGCGGTGATCAGGATCGCCACGAACTTCTTGGTCGCCTTCGCCATGACCTTTTTCACTACAGGATTTATTTTCATCAACAGATATACTGAGCAGTTTAAGTAATTAGTGAATATGCGCCTAAAAAATAAATACGTGTACATTATCGTATTGACTTGATTGCTAATTGTGATTATTATTTGTATACAAAAATAAATATTTTCAAAAAGTGCGGAACTCTACATATTTTTTTAGAAAATGGATCAAAAATATTTTAGCTGATTACTGGTCAACTAGTAAAGTTTCATTTAAAAGAGTTATGGAAGCGGCTGGACTCTCTTTTTTCGGTGAGGTCGGTTCTGGTTCTTCCACAATCGTGGGAAGCGTGAGGAAGCGAACCTTTGACTTTCTCGCCGTGGGAACATTGTCGCCATCCATGGCGGCCCATTCCTCGTCGTCGGATTGTTCGACGACGCTTTCTCCACCGCCTGCACTCCCACTGCTCGTGGTGGACGAGCTGTTTTCGAAACCCAGGCTGGAGCTGGAGTTGTACATGGGGGGCACTGAGCTTATTTGGTCCGAGTAGTAAACGACAACGGGTGGAGGCAGAGAAACAACGTCCAATTCGGTGTCATGCTCGTGGATCAGATTGATCGCGTTGGTTGCTTCGACCGGGATGGGGGCGACGTCCGGCGGGATGTTCAACGTGACGGAGGTTGACGTTGTGGGAGGAGATTCGACGTCAAGGTTGGTTTGTGGTGGAGAAAAATTTATGTCAATTTCTGGATTTGGAGGAATCGAGGAATCTTCAGCGAGTTGTGGTTGTGGAGCGATGGAAAAATCTGGGAAGCGCTGTGCCGCGTCGTTAGTCGCGGAAGAAGTGAGCGTATCCTGGTCAATTTGTCGAAGCGGGTGTGGCAACGGAGGTTTCGTCGTTACGATCTTATTTGACGGGGGTGTGACGAAGTAAGATGTCGGGTAGTGGGTTTGATGGCGCATGTTATGAGGCAAATGTGGGACGGAGGAGCAGTGGCTGAGTGGGATCCCCTTGACACCCTTATTTCCTGCCAGTCTTGTGTTGATGGGAGGAGGTGGGGGTGGCGTGCTGGTGGTGGTGGTAGTGCAGTTGTTTGACCAGGGGAAGAAAAGGGAACCTGACGGATTAGGTGTCGTGCTCAGAGTGGAGACGTTCTTGTCCAAGCCCTCGTAAAGCATCTCCACTAATTATAACGAAAAAAAATTATTAACAAAGCTTATTATGATATAATTATAATCCGACGGCGGACAGGCATATACGGAAAAAAGCCAAAATAAATGACACATGTGACATGTACGAAACAAACTATAAACAAAAATTTGTATTTAACAAAAATATAATGCTCTGGATTTTTTGTGATCCAATTACTTTGAGCCAACAAATTATTCCACCTGAAGTTGTTGAAATATTTGCAAAATATATGTATTCTTGAACAAACATGCAAAAGATTATTTTTCAAATAATAGCAGAAGTATATGTATGTCTGCAAACCTAGAAATATGTAACAATATGTGAAAATGTTTTAAAATTTTTGCGATCTATAAGAGTTAGGGAACACATCCATAAAATTTAACTGTCGATCGCTATTAAATGAAAAAGGTAAAAATAAGTACATATCCGCCCTCTGATTATAATGCATAGTCGACTCACACTTTTGTAAAATCATATCCGACTTTGTCCCGTTATTATTATTCCGCGAGGGCGACGAGTTCTGATTTCTATTCATTTTTTGGACATTATTATTGAGCATGTTTCCTTGATGGAGAGCCGCCTTTCGACTCTTTTTGGTGTTTCCATTCGTGGTCAAGGACCTTCCAACGACGTCGTCTCCTCGCAGTCTGGCCCTTTTCGAGCGTCCTTTACTACGCGACGTCTCCTCGCCGACGACGCCACCCGTGACTCCCGCAGGCAATTGCTGTTTCCCAAAAAAATACTTTCTCTTCTGCTGCTGCTGACGTACTTGCGCCACGTGCTGCTGACGATGAGAAACAACACCTCCAGATTTTGACCTTGGTTTGGCATCACCCACAAGAATGTTTCCCTTGGAGTCGATCCCCACGTGCTTATCACGACTCACACGGCGCTTAGTTTTTCCACCTTTCTGAGCCTCCACACCTGCTCGTTCCTCGTCCGTAAGGGCGACACAGGCGTCGTCGTCCTCACCCTCCTGATCGCTCTCGAGGTAGATGGACGTCGTGGCGTCACCATCCGACCTTCTCGCTCCCCGTGCATCCCGCTGCTTGAGGCAGCAGAACATCTCGGTGGCTCCGCCGTAGAGAAAGATGCAGACAGAAAGAGAGACGATGGCCACAACCAACATCTCGATTCCCAAAGTGACCAGGGCTTTCCGGACGGGAGGGATTATCTCGGGACCGCAGGGCTACATAGATGTGCAACAAATCCGATTTTATTACCTTGTCCGCTGTCCACCCAAAATAATTATGTCCACAAAAATGTCCAAGTGGACAAATGTCTATAAACTACATACGCAGCAGACAATCTGCATACCCTGCATTTACCTTAACGTAAATCTGGCTTGTAAAATTTGCATATTCTTTTTCCAGTAAAATGTTATGCCCACACCCAGACTTTTTGCAACATGAGGACGGTAGGGAGTTCTTGTTAAGCTTGTAACCTTTCCCAGTACCGTCAGGGTTTACTTTTCCATTTATTCGTTCCCAATTTAAATACGAGTCGACGCCGCAACATTTGTGCTGCCAAATTAAATACGTGTTACTAAAATGTGGTTATTATTATGTAAATAGTGAGTAAAATATGATGGTGTAGATTTATAAGTACGTTTTCCTGAACAGAATCGAACCAGTCGAAGTCGCTCCACTTGCCCTTTTCCAAATCTTGTCTGATTTTCATCTCAAAGTTCGTCATGCTCGCCCGTACCGTGACGACGCCAAAGATCGTGAGGATGATGGAGACGCCGAGAAGGATGAGGGTGGCCCAGAAGTAGGAGTTCCTCTCATCCCTCCACGCCCCCCTCCCTCCAATGAGGACCGCGACGAGGAGGAAGGTTTGGAAGATGATCAGCGTCGCTTTTGCTGGGCGTGAGTTGAACGGCCACGAGCCGTGAGACTCTTCCACGACGAGGTCGTACGACTGGAGAGTGATGCCCACCAAGGCGTAGATCTAAAAAGGAATAAGAATGGCGTCATAAACTTAATCCTGACGTGGCATGGCTGAGCTGAAAGCATGTGCATCGCTTATCTTACTCCTAGAACGGAGAGGGCAGCGAAGGCGAAAATGCGGAAGTAGAATTCTGGCCGTGCCACTTTCATCGTGCCGTGGTCTTCGCTTACTTACAGATATTTTCTATGAAATACGGATGCTTTTGAAATTTGAAATATTGAAATGCAGAATTTTGAAAGTTTTCATGTAAAATTTTATCATGGTTATTGTTCTCAAATCGCATAATTAAAAGTAATTAACCTTTTAAAAACGGATTCCACCAATAAGGTGGAGGGCGATTTCGATCTCTTGGCGACGGACTACACCAATAAGGTGTAGGCCAAATTTTTCGCCTTAGCGACGGACTACACCAATAAGGTGTAGGCCAACTTTTTCTCGTTGGCGACGGATTCCACCAATAAGGTGTATGGTTACAGAATTCCGTTGAGACCGGGCTACATCAATAAGGTGTAGGAAAAAATAAAAATAAAATGACCGAGAAAATTTTCTCAGTTCCATTCTTTCCTCCTTATTTGTCGTTGGTTTTTCTTCAAGCCTGAACTAATTTTTTTAGAGTTTAGAGTTGTAGTTGTAGTGGGGGGAGGAACTCGGAGGAAGTGCATCAGAGGTCACGCCGCCCCCCCGAAAAATTATCCAACATTGGCGCCGCTAATAAATTGGTCGGCGTTGACCTCTGACCTGTATCATGTTGTAAATATGATACAGTTCATATTTTTTTAAAATTATCACAACGTTCTCTTTAGCTAATATATTCGCAATAGTGTCACCACCGATCGGAACAAGTCACAGAACACTGAAGGACAAAATTATAGCTAATAACTTGTTTAATCAATTCATCCACCCCATAATCAAGACTTTGGACACAGAGCTAAACGCATGGTATCTCGACGACGGGACTATCGCAGACACCCCGGAAACGGTACTAGCAGCCCTTGAGAAAGTTTCCAGAATGGGTGAAGAAGTGGGGCTTTATCTCAACCACAACAAGTGTGAGGTTGGATTATTGGGGGCGGATGACGACACCATCACCCAGATTTTTCAAGAATTTCAAAATTTTGCCCCAGGAATCCAACTGATAACTAGAGAAAATGCAACATTATTAGGTTCTCCTCTTACCAACGAAGCCATGGAGGCGGTTTTGGCTGCCAAAACGGAGCAATTGGCAACTTTCTCCAAACGTCTCAAGAAAATATCTGCCCACTCAGCTTTCTTCCTCCTCCGAGCTTCTATCTCCATACCTCGTTTAATATACTTTCTCCGATGCTCACCGTCGTGGAGAAAAATGGAGGCCCTCGCTCTCTATGACGCTACACTCAAGGACGCCCTGGAGGGGATCCTTAACTGCTCACTCTCGGAGGCTGCATGGATGCAGTCCTCTCTACCCGTGAAAGAAGGTGGCCTTGGGGTCAGACATGCTGAAGATGTAGCGATACCGTGCTTTCTTTCGTCAGTCTACAGCACCCAACCCCTAATGGAACAAATTCTTCCGGTTTACCTACATGGTTCCGATGCCGCCATTGCGGAAGGAGAGGAACGATGGACTTCTCTTGGCCCAACTAATCTTCCTCCCAACACAGTGAGAGGATTACAGACAGCATGGGAGCGCCCCATCATCGACATCACAGTGTCCCACTTAGTCGTCGCCGCAGCCACGTCTGAAGATACGGCTCGCCTATGTGCTCTTCGCGACAAATATGCAGGAATATGGCTCAACGCTCTCCCATCTCCTCAAATCGGCACCCTTCTCTCGAACGAGGCATTTCGCATCGCAATTTCCCTCCGTTTAGGTTGCGATGTTTGTCAACCCCACACTTGCCCGTGTGGAGCGCAAGTCAGTTCACGAGGATATCATGGTTTATCCTGCCGACGAAGTGCTGGTCGGTGGTCTCGCCACGCAGCCGCTAACGACGTAATCGCGAGGGCGCTTCGATCAGCTGATGTTCCCTGCATCCTTGAACCACCCGGATGTTCACACCAAGACGGAAAGCATCCAGACGGGATGACTCTCGTTCCGTGGGCAAGAGGAAGATCCCTTGTGTGGGATTTTACCTGCGCTGACACCTTCGCACCTAGTTATCTCCCCGAGACAGTCCGCCACCAAGGAGCAGCAGCAACAAAGGCAGAAGATAGAAAGAAAAAATTGTACGCCTTTCTCCTGGACCGATTCATCTTTATGCCCGTTGCAATTGAGACGACAGGTACATGGGGTCAGGAGGGGTTATCCTTCATTAAAGAGATTGGACAACGGATCGCTACCGCCACTGGAGAACCACGCTCCACAACTTTTCTCCTCCAGCGACTCGGCATTACAGTTCAACGTGGAAATGTAGCTTCAATCCTGGGGACACTTCCACCAGGAAAAAAGTTTAATGAAGTTTATTATATCTAAAACTACCATGTATTTTACAGACATTGTTACTCTGTACAGAAATAAGTGTATTTTAAATAATAATAATACTTGTTTAAAATATAAAATGCATCCCAAAATCAGTGTCATCAAATTGATGACATGAATGATGACGATTTATTCGTTTAGTTTATTTTTGTAGTACTATCAAAATCAAATCCGATCTTTTTATCAAAATTAATATCGTGTGTTCATTTGGTTCAGTTGCAATTTCATGTTAAAAATGTATTATGTTCTAATTTTTGTTGTCGAATCAGTTCCAGGTCTCTAATAAATCATAACTGCATCAGTAGAATATTCAAAATCGGTTTGCATTAATTCAGTCCCCAACTGATTTTATCACCGCCCCACAAGTCGGTCTCAATGGTATTCTGCCCCCCAGTAAATCCGCCCCCAAATGCAATAGAAACCATTTTTAATTCCGTTTTTAAATGGTATCCAGGTCAAAATTAATTAGTTTTTATAAGGTTAAAAGCGAAGACGAGGCTTGACTTGGGTATCTAAGGTACATTATTGGTCAAGGTCTCATGTAAATTTTCCATTGCACGTGTACAAAATTAAGGTCCAATAATCCAGCCATTTAATCAGGTTTATCGTCAATTAATCATCTCCGGCGAGATTGTGCATATCAGTTTTGATTGAACAGATTTGTCAAGTGTCACTTGAAAATGATGGCGTACGTGTCATGATCAGCAATATTCAATGTCACGCGTTATCAGGGAAGTAAAATCGAGATCAGTGTTAAAATCAGTCCACAATTCGTGTTTATCAGGCTCCATTAGTATTATTTTAAGTATATGACAAATTAAATTGATGATGCAATGCGAATTAAAAAATGACTTGATAATTTACAGGAATAGAAATTTCAATTTATTTTTCCAACTGCTCATCATGATCACAAACAAGCAAAATGGAAAGTAAGAAGTCAATTGTTGAAGGAGTGGACAATGTTGAGGAGAATTAAGCTCGGCTACCAGCGATCCAGTCGATGAAGTAGCTGACCTCGGTGTTAACTCCGGGCCTGTTGGGAAGAGCGCAACCGTCTACACAGAAAAAAAACAGTCATTTATAAATAGCACCCTACACGATAATTTGTCTCGTGGAAATTTGACTTACATCCCCAGCTGACCAAACCAGCCAAATATCCACCAGTGACGGCAGCAAGTGGACCGCCAGAATCTCCTTGGCACGAGTCCTTGCCTCCTTGAGGAAGGCCGGCGCAGAGCATGGAGGCAGCAATGGTTTCCTCAGGGTACATTCCTTGGCACGTGGCGTCAGCGATGGTGGGGAGTTGGACGAACTGGAGAATGTTGGCGAGAGCTCCGCCCTGTCGGGTGGCTCCCCATCCGGACACAATGATGTCCCCGGTGGTTTGTTGTTGAGAGGTTGGGAGGGCAATCTGGGCGACAAAGTCGTTGTACACGAAGGGGTTGGCAGCCTCGAGGTGCAAAAGAGCAATGTCGTTGATGAAGGTGTTTCCGTTGTATTGCTCGTGGACGTGGATGCGGTCGACGTTTCGGCCTTGCTCGTTCGGGCTCGTCACGGTCCTCTGGTGCTTGCCGGCAATGACTCGGAGGGAAGATGGAACGTCACCCTCGACGCAGTGAGCTGCAGAAGGGATAATGGATTAAGTCAAAGTTAATGTCTAGATTTGGCTAGTTTTTGAGGTATATTTTTTTACCGGCGGTGATGGCGAGGTTGGGTCCGATGATGGAAGCACCGCAGATGTGGCTTCCGAACCAGTGCAATGAGAGCTGGTAGGGGAACTGACCAACGGCGGCGTCCTCACCTAAATTTTTTTAGACGATTAGATTGGCAAAGGGACAAAATAGAATAAAATGCGGTCATACCTCCGACAATCTTTCCACCTCCGGGAACCCTGCGGCTGGTCCTTGGGTAGGCGGCAGCCGAGGCGACGAGGAGGGCGACAATAGCGAGCTTCAACATTGTGTAGTAGTGTTTGAGAGAGCAGAAATGGATCTGATGTCCAAACGCTGGTCTGGCGTCAGATTTTATAGCAGAATTATTATCTCCAAAATGGGAAGCCCGGATTTAAGATGGATCGAGTCGACTTTTACATCGGATCGTGGATTGGATTGTTTGATAGGGTTCAATTATTCTTATCGTGTCACATCAAAATTAATTACTCGTGACGATACGCGCTTGTTATTGAGAGTTCACGGGTACATATCGGTTACATTACGCAGGGTGACCAGCCACAGAGAGAAGATTGATTGCTTGGGTAAAAACCGACTATTATGCATTATTCTTTGGCAGTACAATTACTGTGCCAGATGTAGAATTATGTGACATTGGAGAAGAGTTACATCTACACTTGACGAGGACATTGGATGATAAGGTGGTTGGTTATACGATTTGCGGTGACATACGGTTATCCTCCTGCATCAATGAAATTAAATGCACCCAACACCAGGTACATCGAGCAGATAACACACACACACATAAGCATAACTTTATTGCGCAATGGAGTGTGCACCTATTTTTAAACGGGTCAATTGGAAATAAATTGGAACAAGGGTAACACATGCATGCAGAGGCAAGGACACTGTTAATTGTCTATGGTACAGGGGATTGGATAATCGAGAATGATGATAAGTTTGGTAAATAGACACCGGATGATGATATTGTTGATCTATTGCATGGAGTGAGTAGATTTTGATGGATTGATTTTGGCGACGCTGTCAGGAATTTCCACCAATTCGTTTCGAAATTTCCAAATTCATACAAACTCAAGAGGAGAAGTTAGTTAGGTAATGTATGAATAATTACGTAATTGACGGTCTCTGAAAATATCTCGTGTCAAGTGTTGGGCACGTGTATACGGCTTTGAAATCTATTTTTGGATTTTCATATTTATTCAAGAAATAATAATTAATTTGTTAAGTTTTTTTTGCAGAAGAAAGAACTGCACATTGGAAGCTAAATAATAATTAGATAATTCATATTGTCCGTTGAAAACGAATTGTTTATAATATTATACAGTCGTTGGTGGTAAATAAATGTCACAGCTGGTAAAAAAATTATTTCCTCTCGATAAGCGAGTTTTGTTATTAGACATCAAATAGATCACGAAGAACGGTAACTGCATAAGGGCACATTAACGACCACTTGGTCCAGCGGTTGTTCCTCTCAGAGTTCTTCAACTGCTGGAGAGAGTGACGAGCTTTGAGCAACTAAAATGAATGACAAGAATAAACTAGGATTAGAAATGATGTTATACATTACATTTTAGTAGTTCAATTGAGGTCGGATACATATTTAGAAAAAATCGCTGAAATATGTATTTAATATTTATGAAAAAAGCCAACCACAAAAATAAAAATTTTCGCAAAAAAAACAATGCTCTGGATTTTTTGTGGTACGATTTCTTGGAGCAAAAAATTTCTTCTCGTATTGTTGAAATATTTACAAAATATATTTCTTAATATCTAAAATATTGATGTATTTTTCAAATAATAGCGGAAATATTTATAAATATGTGACAATATGTAAAAAATATTTTGGAATTTTTGTGATCTATGTGAGTTATAGGGAACATACGCCCAAAGTTTGACCCTCGGTCGTCATCGAATGAAAAAGTTGAAAATAAATGCATATCCACCCTCTGAGCTGAGAATAATGCACATGTACCTGTGAGTTGGAGAATCTATCCATGGCATTTTTTATAAAGACCGACTTGAAATCCTCATTTGGAATTCCGAGCTCTGCCAAATCATCTTGAGAGTCCTGACTGTCCTGTGAGCACTGACTGCTGGCGTCGTAATTGTCCTCAAGAACTTCCTACATAAACGTTATCAATTTAAAAATCGAAAAATTAGTAGTCACCGCCAAAGTGTGTAATATCCGACCTGATTCCGATTCATATTTGAAGTTTTTTGTTGGCCGTTGTCCGAATTTGGCAGGTCATCTTCAGGAAACCGTCCACGATTGGGTGGGGGTAAAGAGACATCTTCACCAGGCCGTCCTAACCTCCGATGAGGAATTTGTTGAGCATTTCGACTCTGCAGTGGCGATTCGTTCTGTTGATTTTGGTTTGTCGGAGGGCGGATTGGGGATGATGATGACGTATGAATAATTCCAATTTGCGGTCGCAATGGTGCTTTAGTTGTCTGACGGCTGGTTACTGATGAAACGGAGGGGGATGGCTCACGTTTCGGCCGTTTAGCGTTCGAGCTCGACTTATTATTATTGCTTGGCGGAGTCTAAATTAAATATCCAATTAATTACCTTAAGTAATTAAATTTTTACCGCTACATTATTATGGTGAAAGCGAACCTTTCCCCTCTTTTTCCCATCTCCAACGGGCCCATTGATGTTGGGTCTCTTTTGTTGGCTGGCTGGTGCTTGTTGTTTATTATTTGTTGGTGTTTGCTTATTATTTGGACCACCTCTTGTAGACGCAGGTTGTGGGTTGCTAGGAGTAGGCCGAGCTTGAGGAGCAGCGTGTTTCGTTGTGGTTGGAGTCCTGCGTGGACCAGATGGATTTTCGAGAACATGAATGACATAGACCTTTCTGAGCTTTTTGAACTCGCTCATCCAATTGCGAATCTGGAAATTAAATTTAAATAAAAAAATACTGCTTGCTATCTCCCAACATATACTCACCAAATTACCAAATGACCAAATTAGTGTCAATCGATCACAAATTTAAGTAATATAAAATTTGCAAAGGACCCGATCTCCAAATGCACACGTTACGTTTGCATCCGAAGAGGAGAAAACGCGCAATAAATTTGGAATGTGTAAAATTTATCAACTTAGAGGCACGTTTTCTCCTCTTTGGATGCAAACTGAGCATTTGCAGATAGTGTCATTTGCAAATTAATTTAATCTGTGATCAACTGGCACTAATTTTGTCAAAATCGGAGAGCATACGCTGAGAGACTTCAAATTGTTAGGTTACTTAATTATTAACAATATACAATATTTTAACGCCACGTGTAAACACTTACCGGTTCCGTAAGGTCGTGTTTTGGAGCGTTTCCAGTAGCCCCTCTCACAGTGTATTGTTGGGGGTCAGCCACAAAGTTAAGCTTGGAACGAAACATTTCGAACCAAGTGCTGTTCACGTCAGCCTCAATATTCTTCAAATGGAGCTTCTCAAGTCCTCGGCATCCATTTCCTACAAATTAGTTTGACCGGGTTAAAGAAATTGTATGCAGCTTCAAACTTTGACTTGACCGTTAATTTTAAAAAAGATAACAACCTGCGGCGCCAGCTCTAATAAAAATGTTGACTGTAGTATTTCGTGCCCCTCCACCACCAACCTAAGCACCATAAATCAATCAAAATTAATTAATGTTGCATTAAACAAACAAGACAAAAACAAGTTAAATTATTTTAATTTGACGAAGAATAGATGGATTCTGAGGACATATTTATTGTAAATATTGACATTAGCTTTTGGAATACTTATTCCGTCATCAAGTCTATACATTTACAAATTAGATAAATTAAATGACAACTTGTACATTTACGTGTATGTATATTGATTTACGTTTTTTTAGAATTTAATTAAACTACTACTATTTTAAATCATTTTATTATTATGAGGCAAAATAAAGTCCAAGCCAAGAACCTTACCATTTTGATTATTGCTTGTTTGTAAGGTTTCCTGTGACAAAGAAACTCTTCTCCCACGACTCAATTTCGAACAGGGTGGAAATTAAAATTAAAATACTGGAGAAGGAATAAATTTTGTTTTTGAAGAGAAATCGTGTGAGCACGTTGAAGGCTTCTTTGCTGACGTTCGTTTGTTGGTACGAGTCCCACCACCACCATTCCCACTTCAAACTCCTGTTTGTTTGGTGCAATGAGACACGATTTTATTTTGGTGAAAGGCATTTTTCCTTCAAAATTAGCAAGAAATCCACGATTTAAGAGAGAGCACGTCAAAAAATGTATACACAAGATTGCATGTTTTTGTTGTAAATATTTATTATTCATTTTATGCGTAACTTTTAAGAAACACTAATCAAACCGGTTTAGTTTACGTTGACGGGTGAAAAACGAAACAACCTAATTATGTAACACCAGCCCAGTGGTAGCAAAAATGAAGAACAAATTTTATGTTAGTTTGATTAGTTGCTATTAATTAATACTTAATATTTAAGACCAATTAATCGTAGGTATGTGTGTGACAAAGGCGAAGCATTATATATGGAAGAGAAATTCATGTAATACAAATTAAATTTAAGACATATCCTTTTACAATTGTGTGAAAACAGGGTAAATAATATAGAAAAGTGAGATTGATTAATGATTCCGTAATAAGTAATAGACAAATTAAGTTAATTACATAATTAGACAACAGTTTTAGATCACATTTGATCTGCTGGTCCTCGAATATCATCGATTTTAAGAATCATTTTAACCAATTGGGTCGCAAGTTGGATTTGCTGTTTCTTGGAGTGAAGTGGTTCGAGGACAGATTGTGCGAGCATGTCGCTAGTCCCATTTCCCATACAGTCAACCCCTAAACCTGGATTGTTCTCGGAGATCTGACGAGCCTTCACCTAATATTTAAAGATACAATTCAGTTAACTCTTATTTAAAACTGGTGGAGATTTGAGAAACTCAGTTGCAAAATTATGGTGGTCATTTATTAAATACCTCGGTCAAAGTATCGATGGGTGAAAGTCCCGAATTCTCGGCTAGTGCGAGTGGAATGCTCTCCAAGGCCTCAGCAAAAGCACGATAGGCATACTGTTCCAGACTCGAGATCAAATCTGCCTCCTTCTGGACATGGACGGCGCAGGCAATTTCTGCCGAACCACCGCCACAAACCACCTTGTTGTCCCTGATAAAGTTGCGAACGACGCAGAGGGCATCGTGCAGGGAACGTTTCACTTCCTCAATGATCATCTTACTTCCACCTCGAGCCAGAATGGTGACGGCTTTGGAGTTGGGACAATCCTCAATTACCAACATTCGATCCTTCGTTGTCCCAAAGGTGAGTTCCCGAACGATTCCGGCGTGACCAAGTTTGTCTGGGGTGAGTTCTTCAAAACGGGGAACGATTCGACCACCCGTGGCAATGGCAATGAGCTAAAAAGTCATTGTTAGTTAGTTGAGTAATTTAGTTTTCGATTAAAATTATTGGGAGGACTTACCTCGATTTCTGGCCCACCCACCCATCGCACGGCTGGAAGATTGTGATGCAACAGGAGGTGATTGGCCTCGTCGTCGAATCCCCACTGACAGATGGCCAACGTCGCGCCAGCCTCCTTCACTCGGGTCACAATCTCTACAAACTTGTCTTGCTCGTACTTGTACAATTTTTTGTAATCTTCCACCGAGGTGACGTCCAACTTATGCTTGGTCTTGGGCTTTGGTGGTTCAAACGGGCAGGTCAGGATGGCCAGAGAGACGTCTTTCAGGGTCTAATAACGAAAACATTAATTAGTTAGTTAAATAGGTCAACAAATAAATACGACTGGGATTGTTTCTCTCGGAAAGTCGACTAAATTTCCTAATAGGAAATTCCGTTATGTAACTTTCCCCAGAGAAAGTTGCTCTTGCATAGTTTCTGATTTGTCTGGGATATAATTTACCCAGCCAAGAATTCCTCTATGCCCATTATCACGATTATCACGACAAGATAAATATGAAAATTAAGCAAAAGTTTCTCACCTTGGGCATCTGAGGATGAGAAAAGTCCTTGTCAATGATGACTCCCTTGACCAACATGGTATCTTCAATCCGTCCTCCCGTTTTCCCCTCGACTTTGATCAGCTCAAAGTTGACGTCTTTCGTTTTCAAGTCCGCTACGGCTAGAACGGCATCTACAGCAATTTCCGCCATTTGCTTGATGCACTTGGACACCACTTTGGAACCCAGCACGGTTTCAGCCGCCTTGACAAGAGCGGCACGATCCGTAACTTCAATATCCTTCGCGATCGATTCCAAATACTTGACACAAGATTGACCAGCAAGTTCAAATCCGTCAGCAATTCGGATGGGATGGATTCCTAATTAATTAATTAATCAGTAAGTGTCGCGCATAATGTATTAATATATTTGTAATTTTAATTTTTATGCAAAATAAGTCCTCACCCTTATCCAACAATCCTTCCGCTTGCTCTAACAGAGCTCCAGCCAGTACAACCACGCCCGTAGTTCCGTCCCCAATCTCATCATCCTGACTTTGGCTAAGTTCCACCATCAATTTAGCAATTTGATGTTCCACATCCATCATTTTGAGAATTGTTGCTCCATCATTGGTAACCGTCACGTCCCCATCAGCGGAAACCATCATCTTATCCAGTCCTTTCGGACCGAGGGAGGACCGCAGGATTTGAGCGACAGAACGACCAGCCAAGATGTGTGACTGGAAAATAATGATATTATAAAATTACTAATTAGCTAAACAATCAAACAAAATAATTATTATGCAGTAAAAGCCTCACCTTAATCGCCTCGGAGCCGGTGAGTCGTTTCTGCTTATCCTGATCCCGGATGATGATGAAGGGTCTGCCATACTCGTCGAAGGCTAAACTGCCCGGAAGTGACATTACCACTTGACTGGATGAACCAGTAATTAAATATTTAGTTAAAAATAACTAAAAGAAGGCGAGCAATAATGATTCACTCTTCTTTCTTATTCAGCGAGATGAGAATGAATGGCCGAGTGGAATGGAAGGCACGAGAACAAGAGATGCATTGCGGGGTTCAACTTTACCTCGTCGCAGGTTGGGGCAAAGTGAAAATCATCTCAACGTAAAATCACCAGACTTTCTCCACAACTTTCTCCACTAATTAACTAACTATGAATTTGGATCATATTTGTGCAATCATTTTCTGACAAATTAATTCCATTCAATTTTTATTTTCATTTATAAAGCATGTGTTTTATATAGTATACATTTTCTTGTGCTGAATCTAATACTCGACTGTGATGGTTTTGGTGATCAAGTACTCATTGAGAGCTTCCTGACCAAGGTCCTTGCCAAAGCCGGACTGTTTGAAGCCACCGAAGGGTGCGGCCACGTCCGTCTTATTGTAACAGTTCACAAAACACGTCCCTGCATGCAATCTCTCCGACACTTTCAACGCCTTTGCTAAATCTTTGGTGAATACGCCACCAGCGAGTCCAAATTCGGTGTCATTTGCGCGTCTCAGAACCCCATCCACGTCACCGTCTCGGAAGGAGGAAATGATCATGATGGGACCGAAGGATTCCTCCTTTGCAATGTACATGTGGTCCTCGACATCTGCAAGTTATGAGAATTATAAAGTTGTAAATTATAAAGTTTATTTTAGGAAATTGTAACCACTTTTGGAAATATTACACACCTGTAAAAATTGTGGGGGCGAAGAAGAGTCCTTTCCTTTTGATTTGATGCCCCCCATGGACAAGAGTTGCCCCCTCTTTCACCCCAATCTCGCAATATTCTACCAACTTTTCTAAATGTGCTCTGTGATTTTGTGGTCCATGTGCCGTAGATCGATCGAGGGGATCACCAATCACCATTTTCTTGGTCTCAGTGAGGACTCGACGCACAAATTTTTTGAGAATTGACTCCTCCACGAACAATCGGCCTGCAGCGATACAGTTTTCCCCCTTGTTAAAAAATACGCCAGACAACGCGCCCCGAACGGCTTTGTCAAGGTCAGCATCCTTGAAAATTATGAGTGGAGACTTTCCTCCCAGTTCCAAACTCGCTTTCTTCAAGTTGCTCTCGGCGCATGTTTTCATAATCTGCTTTCCAATCGGAGTGGAGCCAGTGAAGCCTAATTTGCGGACGAGGGGATGTTCAGCAATGGCTTGACCGCAGACTGATCCAGTTCCGGGAAGGATGTTGATCACGCCGGGGGGAAATCCGGCCTGAATCGCCAGCTCGCCAAGTTTCAGTGCGGTTAGGGGACAAACCTGTCAGCAGCGAATTATTTATACTGTGCACATACAGTCAAGAGCAAAACTTTACGACATATGGAAGAGACTTTTGGGACATGTTATTCAAATGGGGAATTAAAGGCCGTAAAGTTTTGCACCGCGTACCTTTCCGAATAATTTTTTTAACGCTGTGATATAATTTTTATTGAATAAAGCGTGCAAAAGTAGGGCGTGACGTGGTAAATTATTTTTGTCGCCGAATTTTTTTCAAGGAACTACAAGGAATTGAAAGAATTAATTTTGGAAGAGACTTTTGGGACAGCCATAAGCACAATGTGTTGTCCCAAAAGTCTCTTCCAAAATTAATTCTTTCAATTCCTTGTAGTTCCTTGAAAAAAATTCGGCGACAAAAATAATTTACCACGTCACCCCCTACTTTTGCACGCTTTATTCAATAAAAATTATATCACAGCGTTAAAAAAATTATTCGGAAAGGTACGCGGTGCAAAACTTTACGGCCTTTAATTCCCCATTTGAATAACATGTCCCAAAAGTCTCTTCCATATGTCGTAAAGTTTTGCTCTTGACTGTATTCGCCAAGAAATCAAGTTTTAAATTTTTACCTGAGCTGGTTTGAGAACAACGGTGTTTCCAGCTGAAAAAAAAACAACAAAGAAAAATTCTAAAATGAGTATATTGATGTTGACATGATTTCGCATTTATCAGGCAATTCACAAGATTTCGCATATTATGAAATGAATTTGTGCAAGTTTTCTTACCTGCAAGACACGCTGCCATTTTCCAGGAAACTATAACCCAATTGCATATTACAAAATAATAATAGAAATTTGGGAATTGTTGTTTTTATGATAATTGCATACCCATCATTAGTGGATAATTCCACGGAGTGATTAGTCCACAAACCTGAAATAATATTAGTTTGACAATTAATGTAACATGAAATCATTTATTCTATATTATTAGCTTTGGCTAATTATGAGTAAAGTGATTGGTGCCTTACGCCAATGGGTCCCCTTTTAGTGAAGCTCAGATTTTTGTTAGGTCTCGCATTGTTGATTGGAATGGTTTTGCCTTCTATCTTGTCACACCATCCAGCAAAATAACGCCACTGGAAACAAAAACAAGGCAACTTATGGCACGTGTATTATTTTTTCAATACTTTCTTCATAAAATCTTACCGTGTCGATACTCATCCCAATGTGGGTTTTTACTGCGAGAGTGTAAACTGCCCCAGAGTCAAGACTTTCAATCGTAGCGAGTTCTTCTTTGTGAACTAATAACAGAAAAAATATATAAAACACATTAAATCACATGAATTGTCCTTGCTCACGTTCCATCAGATCTGCCAATTTGTTGAGCAGCTTGCCACGATCCCTGGCATTCATTTGAGACCATTCGCCACTCTCAAAGGCCGCCGCGGCAGCTTTAGCTGCCTTGTCGACGTCCTCAACCGTTGCAAACTCGACTTCACAAATCACCGATTCGTCCGTCGGATTAATGCTCCTCAACTTCTTGGCTGGGTTGGAACTGGGGACGAATTGATTATTGATTAAAAGTTGGTGTGGGAAGCAAATGTCGCGATTATTGGCGTGCATCTGAAAAAAACCAGTGGTCACTTTAATAATTTCTGTACTTTCTGCAATGTAATCTTGAGGGTGTGTGTACCCTGACGTAGTCGATGACGAGTGGAGCCTTCCCTCTCGTCCCCCTCTTGGCGAGAATCAGCTCCTGAGAGAATTCCTCGTACGTAGTGGCCATGTAAACATCTGTAAAATTGTAGTCAATTTAGAATTTTACTACTCGTTCTTTGTTCTTTTGACTTACCGGCCGTTTCCAAATCGACCTCAAACTTTTCTCGAACCTCTTCCACCATTCTTGTGACGTCCATGGAACCGGCACCGGAGGCGAAAAAGTCGGTCGAGTCCTCCACGACGACTCCAATGATGGCCTCCCAAATGGTGGCAAGTTGTTGGAGCATTTTCTTTTCTTCGGGGGTCACTTCACCCAGGTCGGACTTGGAGTCGTCCGCCTGCACAGAATAAGTAGTTATTACACCACATTAGATCTAGCACGAGATGACCTTACCTGTCCGTACTTTGCTGCCACGATCATCTTGCCCGTGGGAAGTCCCAGTTTGGTAATGTTGACCCCTTTGTTATCCAGACCAAAGAGAATCATGCCGCCAGAGTGGACGAGGGCGGATCGGTGCATCCCTTCCACGAGGAACTCAGAAACGCCGTCTCCTTTGGGAAGCTCCTCCCTCCACATCGTGCTCCCATAGCATTTGACCTCCATTCCCTCGAGACACATCCAAGCACCGGGAACCTTGTCACACCCGCGAATAAAGTCGTGCAGCTGATGAGCCCCTAGTTCTCCAAATTTAATGCGGGCGGCCTCCTTCGTGTTGAGCATGGGTTCGTAGGAGGCACCTTCTTCTGGCTGAGTTATCCTAGGGGCCGTCCCTGCATCGATCCGCGCCACGGCTTCCGCCATCCCGTCAACCCCTTCCGGAAATAGGAAACGGTTGTACAAAGTCTCAATTGTGTCATTCTCTTCAATCGTGGTCTGGATAATATGCAAATATATGTATGTTATAGCTTTGTGGGAGTCATATGTAAATGAGTTGATGGCACCTCTTCTTGGAGGAGAATTGGTCCAGTGTCCAGCCCATCGTCAGCCCAGAAGATGGTAAATCCAGCCTTCTTGTCACCTGTCCATTATTATGTGGAAATAGTAACAAAAACATAAATACAAGCACGTGGATGGATTCACATGATTTCTACGCACCGTGAATTAGTGTCCAGTTGATGGAGGCAGCCCCCCTGTGCTTGGGGAGGATTGAGGGATGGTAAATAATGCTCTTGTGCACGGGATGATTGATTACTTCCATCGGAATGAATTGCGAGCAGTACGGAAGCACGTTCAATTCCGCTCCAATACTTTTGTAAAGTTCAAACACCTCAGGAAGAATTTGGCCTTTTAGTCGCCATCTGAGAAAATAATTCCATTCTATTACTTACATAATTTTTCTTATGGAAAAATATCTCCGGCGAACGGTGGAATTTTTGTTTATTTATTACTTACCTCGGGACTTTAAAGATGGGAACGTCGTCCGTCTTAGCCGATGTGGCGACATGGTCCTCCCTCCCACCTTGATCCGGAACGGTGAAGACGCCCACAATCTCGTGTCCCTCCTGTTGCAAGAGCCGGTACACGTTCGTGGCGAAGATGGACTGACCGATAATGGCGATTTTCATCTTGTCCTGTAAAGCGTACAAGTCAGTGGAATGCGTAAAATATGACACGTGTCATGCAAAATTTGCAAATATTTCCTGAAAATAATGTAAATGAATAAAGTGTAGTATAAATAATAATAATTGCCTTGAACTCGTTGTTATTGTATGCAAGGTATTTCTGCTTATTTTACAGTTCAGTGACACAAGCCGGTTGAGTTGACATGCACTTTGATTGAGCTGCTCGTCTTGTGAATTTCTCCCAGGGCTGACATACACCGCGTCGTTCTTTACAGACGACTGAGCACAAGCAAATATAAAACTCGACTAAAATCTTGTAACCTACCAAACCACTTTTTCAGACGAGTAGACATTAGACATATTCAAGTCCAGTTTAAACCCAGTTTATCTGCATATAAAAATTGTACAATGCGCATATTACTTACAACATATAAAGAAAGACTGTATTCTTATGAATTTCAAATATTAATCCAATCCAAGTTCTTCTTATGGTAAAGTGTATACTTTTAGTTGGATGATGACTGACTCACGCGATTCCTCTCGGCTACTTTTCTGGGTACTAACCAGCTTAAACACATCAATTAATAAGTGAGATTACATAAACATTTCTTTCCATATGCATATGTCAACTAAGAGTATGAGATAATATACATGGGCATAAATCCATTAACTTACTTTGAGGGTGAATTAATCGAATTCGACTTTACCTAAGTTATTAAACTTGAGATGATAAGGGAAGGAGTGAGATGAATCCAGAATTTGACTTGTTCTCTCCTCTGCATTGCATCACTGGTTCTTTGAATTAATTCAAGTTCAGGTCAAAAATCCAGTCTATAAATAAAAACACATAAATAAATAAATACACAGTACGTAGTACATATCACTTTATCATACATCTGTCAAAGAGAGATTGCATTTTGGACATGGAAATGGAATGTAGCAAAGGGCTTACGCATTGAAATTGCAATTTGTATTTGATACAAAACAGTGAAGCATATACTTAAATATTTAAATATGATCGACTGTTTAACTAATTTGCTATAAAATTAAGTAATTAATACAGTTACCGGTATTATCAGTGGTATGTAGTAATTATTATATTACAGATAGAGTTGGAGATAACCCAAAGTCACCGTTCCAACTATTTTATGACTGAAATAGATTATTTATCAAATTATTACGACTGAGAATTATTGCACAAACTTGGTCATATATTTCGTGGGCATGTTAGGGGGTTGGTAGTAAAGGTCAACAATGATGGGTGGCATGATTTCTTTCTTGCAAGGTTATCAAAGCAGGAATCGGATTATTATTAGCAGATAAAAATGACATTAGACACCCACACCGAGCACCGCTGTACAAGAAACTATTCAGTACATGAATTTGGCGTTGGTTTAAGCCAGTAAATAAGTGACACGCAAAGCGAGATTGTAACTAATTAGGTTTGTTTAACCCCACCAAATTGTGGAGTTAACTGGGTCGGGTCCACCAATTCGAGGACCACAGGGACCCAAATAGCCCTGTCCACACCAAAGTGGCGAATCCTTCCAAACGTTCTTGAACTCATGGCGGGTTTGATAATGGAGAGGACGGTGGAGATGAAGGATGAACAATTGATGTAGATGCAGTTGGCCAAAGTCTCGGGATAATTTGACTCGACAAGCGTCGTTATTTGCACCATCCGTTTATCCACTAAATGAGAATCATGTGCTTAGTTAATAGATAAACTATTATAAATAAATAAATTTGCTCATCTTCTTTACGTACGGGAAATGCTGAGCATTGGGCGGCATGAGAATCCTTCCCAGTCGTAGATGACCGTGTACTGTGTAATCGGAACGTGACCCGTTTGTTCGACATCCGCTCGTCGAATCTCCGCCATAATACGTTCACACACTTGGATATTGTATCTTCGAAATTCAACGGCACGCTCATCATCCGTGTTGGCTTGTTTCAAATCCCAGCGTCCCATGGGCACAGTCACCACTGACAATGAGGGGAATTCACGATTAAATAAATATGCATTTTATGAAATTCATGAACATCATTTTGCTTCTTACATGGTCTTCCAACACGATCCCTCCCCTCGATCGAGACAGGAAAGTTGGCATCACAAAATGGGCTGATAGGCTCGCTTGCTAAGGTATCGATCCCGTTTTCTCGACGCCAAGTAAGAGTCTGGCTGGACAAAAATTCAGCAAATGTATGCACAAAATATATAGCTCAAACTGAACAAAAATTACTTACGGCTCGAATCATTTTTTCAGCCGCGTCCACATTATTCTCACGTGCTGTATAGATAAAGATGTATAAGCGAAGTATCACCGATAAGTTTGATTTTATGTCATTCTAAAATTTAAATTGCTTGTATAATATACACTTAATTACCTCGAAGAAATCTTATGAAAAAGCTGTCACTTTTGAAATAGTCGTCGCTAATCGTTGCGAGAATATCCTTTAATTGGTCGCGCAACTAAAGCAGTGCCATAAAAATCAAATTATTTTACAGTAAATCGTTTTCGAATCCGACTGACTACGAATAATCAAATCAGTTTTACCTTATCCATCGCCACCCTTTCCTCGGCAGACGGTGCACCCATTTTTCGTTCTACTCACCCCACGATACTTGTGTTGCTAAAATTTAAAACTTTTCCTGAAAATTTGGACGTAGATTTTTTTAATTGCAGGAAATCTCATTTGAGGCGAAATCACGCGCTCAAATTCGCAAAAAGCTGCACCACACATTTCATTTCAACGGCAACTCACTTGCCATTTATTACACAACTTTTGACTTTTAAATTTAATTGCAATTTGCAATCACAAAAATTCTTGTCCACTAATTGCGCAACACGTACTTATTGACGACTTAATCATAATCAACATTCAGTTTTTAAACGCTATCAACATTTCCAGAATAAAGAAGATGGACTTCAGGGTTGAGGTTGGTTATTTTTTTAAATAGTTGATGTTTTATCATCTTGACAGTTCACAGTTTACACTTCCACAGGGGACGGCGCCCAGCTTCTATGTCAGTTGTTTGGAGGATACGCACTTGGGGAGTGGCGAAGGCGAAAAGCAGCAGCGCGGCGACAAGCTTTTTTGTTCGACAATGATGGAAACCGAGGGTGGAGGTGGAGTAGGAGGCGGACGCGGAGGTGGAGGAGGGGAAAATTGTGCCCATGGTGGATCCTGCTATATCTGCGCCCCAATTCCGGAAGGAGTTGTTGCTCAATTGGAAAAAGTGACCGGTCTGGACAAGACAATGTCCCGAAAGGCTGCATTCACTGTTCTGAAGTATCTCAAGGTACAAAAATGACTAAAGAATTGAACATTTGTTCGCTAACCATTATTATTGTTAACTATTTGTATATTTCCGTAATATAGGAACACCGTCATACAAGTGGTTTTCAGGAAGTAATGAAATACATTCAGCCGGATATTTTCGAGGGACGATACCGACCCTACGTTCCGGTGAAAAATGTGAAGCAAGTTCTCCTCACTAGAGCTGGTTCATTTGCTCTTGGTGGATCATCTGGGGGATCAATGAATAACAATGCGGCCATTGCCAGTGGAGCCCTGCTCACGACCAATATGAAGTTGACCTCTGCCTTCGAAATGTGTGAAAAAGAGGTGGAGGATTTCGAAAAGCAAGAGGCCTTAATTGCCAGCGAGGATGTTATCCGACAAGAAAGTCCAATTACGACAAGCGAAGAGATTATCCGGCCAGAAAGTCCAATTACGACAAGCGAAGAGGTTATTCGGCCAGAAAGTCCAATTACGACAAGCGAAGACGTTATCCGACCGGAAAGTCCAATTGCGAAAGAGGACGTTATTCGGCAAGAAATTCCAATTGTTACGAGGGAGAACGTTATCCGGAAAGGAAGCCCAATTAAGACGAGCGGGGGTGCTATTCGGCATGAAATTCCAGTTGCGAGCGAGGACGTTGTCCGACAAAAAAGATCTTTCGTGAAAGACGGCACTACTCAGCAAGAAAGTTCATTTAGGAGCTTGGGCGCTATCCCACGAGAAAGTTCAATCGCGAGTTTGGGCGCTACAAAGAAGAAAAGTTCATTTAGGAGTTTGGGTGCTATCCCAAGAGAGACCACGAATTTGGGCGCTACCAGGCAGGAAAATTCGTTTTGGAGCTTGGGCCCTAACCCACGAGAGAGTTCAACCGCATGTTTGGGCGCTACCAGGAAGGAGAATTCATTTGTGAATTTGGGCGCAATCCCGCAAGCACTCTCTCTCTATTCGAAAGAACAACAATTGCTCGCCTTGCTCCGTTTCTTATCCAGGCAGAACGGGGCATGGGGAATTTTCGAAGAGGAATACTTCGTGCTATCCCATTTGTTCGAGCTCACACAACTTCTGGTAGGCCCGATATAAATATGGTGCACAGTTGGTTAGTTACACTAACTCGACTCATTGTGTTTTTGCAGACCGTGCTGGACTCTCCCTCCATCAAGAGGATTGCCCGCTGTGACCGGTACACCAATGTGAAGGGACTTTGCCTCTATTTTGCGCTGGAGAAGCGTTGGCTGATTCGTTCCGAGTTGGTGAACGCATTGGAATTGCTCGCAGTGAAGGATAAAAGCTCCACCAGCGTCATGATGAAGTCCGATCTTCCCGCTGATTTGGCCAAGTATGTAAATATACTATGTAAATATGTCGTAATTTCTACTCAAGTATTTTTGATCATCAGGGACATTTATCGAGAGTACATGGACAGCAGCGGTGACCAGAGCAGGATCCTGTCCTGTTGCAATCTTCTCGTGACGCTTCTTCGGGGGGAATGTAGCCTCCGGTTTGATCATTTTGGTGAAATTAGATTATGCTCATGTTCCCCCATCACATTTCAATTCCATTTCTGCATAAATAATGATTTAAATTTGTATTGTCAGATCGGATGGATTCCAAATTTGTGTTTGCCCTACTTCAAATAAGCGAGGGACTGATGCAAGCTGAAGTGGGGGACGAACTCCGAGACGCCGCGGTGGCAGTAATTTTGGCGTACAATACTCACTTTGAACCTGACGATGATATACAGGTGAATCACGTAGTGAGAGCTATTTCTGGTCGGGAGGAAGAGGCCGATTATTTGAAACAGAAGATGATGCATTTGCTCCTTAATCGAGGTCAACATTTTACTCATTTTTATCACAATAAGGGGACGTTCATAAACTTCATAACGCAAATTTTGCCTTTTTTGGACACCCACCCTCCCCTATGTCACGCTGGTGTCACAAAAAATTGGTAGCCCACCCCCCCCTTCCGTTACGTAACGCAAGTGTCTAATTGTGCAGCCTTTATACAAGATTAATTACCAGTATTGGTATGGATGTGGGACTCCAAAATATGAAAGAATTGATCTTCAAATTTGAAATCAAAAATTTTAATCACGGAAACTCCAAAGTTTATTGGAAGATGAAAATGTTTGGGTGGGTTGAAACAAAACTTCCTTAAGCTGCATCCTGACCAAAACTATAAATACCTAGTAGTGGTCGCCGACCACTGGTCGGAGTATAAAACGTAGAGTATAAAAAGGAGTTTTATAGGGTAGAGGGGTCGCCCCGGGAATTGGTGATGTGAAATTTGTCCCTAAAAATGGTCAAAAAATGATTCCAAAAATGTCAAAATGATGAAGAATATTCGAAATGTATCTATCGTTAGATATCCGTAATCAGAGACGACTGAAGTCCATTGTCCACCTTGTATTTAACTTTTTTTATCACACCCACCATTAGTACTTTTCTGGAAGACTTTGCAACTTCATTGTAAGTTTTCACAGAACGGAATATAAATATTCTTAAAGTATTGAGATACAAAATGAGCCAAAAGTGCAAGTCTTTTTCGCATCGATTTCACCAAATTGCACATAAAAAATTACAAATTCAGTTTTGGGTGGGGGGATTAATATAGCATAGCTGTTTTTGAATTATATTCAACCACACCCCCTTCAAAAATTGGGGAAGAAAATTGGGAAAAATGAGAAGGTCAATGTACACTCGGTACAGAACGAAGTAGATACCAACTTGCATTTGACATTTGACTTCCCTCATGAATATGAACATTTTGATGCATCAAGACTTTCAAAATTCGAAAATTGGCGGTTTTTCGACCTACATATAAATCGTTAAAAAAGTGACCTTAGCGGTCATTTCGCGGCTGACAACCTGATGCCAGATTTTTCTTCGTCAGAAGTGCCACATTTTCCGCTTTTGTTGTCCGCTGCGAAATGACCGCTACCATGACTTTTTTGGGGTCAAAGTTTCTGAGGGAGGGGCTTATACGGCAGGAGCCGTAACAATGTATAGGTATTTATGATATACATAAAGGTAATTACATAGAAGCTATTAAAACAGCCTCAAATCGCCCCAAATTTAAAACTTAAGCTTTTCTGAATTTATAATGATGATATGCATTCGAAAATTAACGCTATGAGGCTTATCAACGAAGTTATCAATTTTTCAGATAAGCAAATTTAGTTTATCCAAATCGCCCCAAATTTAAAACTTAAGCTTATCTGAATATATAATGGTAGTATCCACTCGAAAATAAACGCTATCGGGCTTATCACTGCGCTTATCAGTTTTTAAGATAAGCAAATTTAGTTTGTCCAATTCGCCCCAAATTTAAAACTTAAGCTCAACGATTTATCAACTGAACCAACTCGTGTAAGAGATGAAAAGCATCTCAACACGAGTTGGTTCATAATCCCGGTAAACAATTTGAAGAGAGTGAGAAGTGAGACGGACCACCATACGGCACTGGAAACGACAGTCAGCGGTGGTGGTGGTGGATACCCACCAGAATCCGAGTCTCACTCTGCCTTTCGCTAAATAATGGAAACTGCGTTTGTGAAACGGTTGGGCTGGTTCAGCTCTTGACTGTTTCACAAAGCAAGAAGTAAATATTTCTTCTTGGATAAAGTCTAAATTTTAATTTTGGGGTGAAGATGATGGGCGTTTGAGAGATTTCCATCTTCCAACCCCAAACTGACATTTTTGTCAATTTCTTCCTTGGGATTTATTGCATGGTGGATGATCGCAAAGGTCAGACAAAAAAATTACATTTTATGTATTTGATACTCCTTGATGAAAGGAATCAGACGGTCTATCTCACATTTCTGAAAATAAACCTGTTCGCCCGTACAGCCCTATTGAACTTAAGGGTCCCAAAAATGTCCAAATTGGCCCAACCCCTGCCACATTTAGGATTTCTTTGGAAATTTCGAAGATCATTTTAATTTCTCTTCGGTTTTCTGTTGAGGGATATATTTCCCATGCAAAAATTGCATTTCTGGAGTTTTTGTCACGTTTTCAAGGATGTAGGACTCATCATCAATAGCCAACCTTTTTGGTGAAATTTTGTTGTAAAGCTTGAAAGGGCTTGTGTTCACCATTTTTTCTTGACCTTCCGTATGTTTTGGTGCAGATTCTTTTGCATACGCTTTGACCCACACGTTATGGGCCTTAATATGATACACATAGTTGGTATTAATTATTGACTCCATGGCCGCATCAGGTACGAGGGTAGATGGGTATTTTTCAAAAAAAGATTCAATCGTTTTTAACCTTCGAGGGGTCGATATGATGGGTTTTTCTCAAGGTGATTATTTGAAGTTTACATTCTTGGATTCTCCATACTTTTTTATGTATATCTGAATTTTTGCACAGCCACTTCTTCTTCGAGTCTTTGTAACTCGAATTTTGGTTCTTACAAAAAATTCGTTTCCCGACTTCCTCGCTTTTAAGTTGCGTACGAAATTTGTCTTTCAAGGAAAGCTTATGAAATTTTGAGGGTACGTGGTGGAATATATTTGCAATATTATACGAAAAAATAAGATCTCCGAAACCATTGTTTACTACCCTGCTACTAATTACAAACCGATCACCACATCCCGGGGCGACCCCTCTATTTTGAAATCCGAAAAATGAATTTCAAGGATCATCAACATGTAAATTCTAGTTAGCTATTTGGTTTACATGTAAATAAAATAAATACTTTCGACTTAAAAGCAGCGTTTCTGCTCTTTTAAACTTTCCTCGTCATTTTTGTGATTCAGTGTCAAAAGTATTTCTATTTTTTAATATGAAGAATAGTTAAAAATTTGTAAAATTGGGGCAATTATAACTCTACGATTTTTATGAATGTTGACAAAGCAAACCCTTTTCGTAATTTTCTTGCCGAATAATAATTTCATGACATTCGATGTGTACAAAATTGTAGTCGCTAAGATTAGTCTTACCAGCGCAATCGATTGACTATTGGACAGTAAGGAATAACTGATCGCAAGTTTAAATTGAATTTCACCCCGCTCCCAATGTAATCAAGTGGGCACGTGATTTTCGCGCGAAAATATCCTGCGATCATTTATTCCATAATGACCAATAACAGAAACAGCTTTAATCATGGTTAGATAAGCTCCAACTTGGGCTATAAACCGGTGCTGTATGGCTTCGAAGCAGAACATGTCTTTAGATAGAATAGAAAGTAGATAGCTATCTGAATCTTACACGTTGGGAAAATATATTTAAAAAAGTATATTTACAGATATATTCATTTTTAAGCGTTTTTGTGCATTTTATGTACTTTTATATCCATGCATTTCTAAAAATTATATTGTGCGGACAAAAAGAAATTTGCGTTACAGTAACATGTGTCAGCTCACCCACCCTCCCCCCTGTCACGCTGCGTAACGGAATTTCTAGTACCCACCCACCCCTCTTTGCGTTATGAAGTTTATGAACGTCCCCTAAGTGTGATAATCGTTGTAGAATAACATTTTATTTTATGCAGAAATTGGACATTTCAACAACATGACCGTATTTTACCCGTCTTCTTGGTGCGCCATGGTGGTGAAATTAGGAATGGATTTACTTTGCTCTCAGGAAACGAGCGGATTCTTTATGGAGAATGATCTCAACATCTTCCTGGCCGGGTTGGGCGTTTACATTCCTGAAATTGAAATTGGTGACGAAGTAAGATAGACAATTTATTATTAAAATCATCACGATGCCTAAAATCTGACAAATGTTTGTATTAGAAACGAACAAGCGCTCTCCGTCTCGCTCGCCTGATCCTTTGTCGCCTGAACCATCAACACCCCGGCCTGCGTCGAATTCTTCAGGTGCTAAAATGTGTGCTCACAGAAACTGATGAGGTGTCTTTCACAGATCAGAAGATTGCTAGAAAAATTGCACGTGACATCGAAGGTGCCCGACTCCACACCACGTTCTAAACAAATCTCAAAATCTCTCTATAGTGTTTGTTTTAAAAATAAGCAAATTTTTTGGTGTCATATTTTTACGTTGAGTTAACTCGACATGAATAATTATATTTTTACATGCATCATGAAGAAACTTTATGAAATATAAACAATGGTGATGATCAATATTTGGTTGAATTTTAGTAACAAGAATGCTAAGTTTTTTAATAACGTTATATGCTCATGAAAGTTGTGAAATTGATGCAATTGTTGTATTAGTTTTAGTAATGAAACCGTGGAATAAATATTAGTTGACTAATAATAATAAATAAAGAATTGACCAAACCAAAGTTGTTAGTTCTTTCTATGAATTTTACTACACATTCGGGTTCTCTTGTTCTCTTTTCTTGCATGCGGTTTACAGTTTACAATAAAAGTCGCCCATTGATTATTATTACTTTAGCAGTTATTTAGATTAGCTCAATATTAGCACTCCTCTTTCTTTAGCTCGTGTCGATATCATAAGTATTACAGTGAAACACCATTATTATATTTAGCACACTAAATATTTAGTAAGATTATACCTCTTCTATTCACAACAGGTTTAGTATTTTTTATAAAGTGCATACAACGCAATCACACATTTTAATAATAAGAAAATATTGGATGGCACACCAGTGACAGTTGACAATTAGACCTTTCGTAGAAAAAGCTGTATTTTCTTCTACTCATCATCACGACATCGACATGCATTTATTTATTGCAAAATTGACTCTCTCATTTTTCATTATCATGATTGATTTTTACCTAAAAATTACTTTTTCTTGACGCACAATAATTTTTGCTTTCACGATGTTTCATGTTTTACTAATTTATAGGAAAAGTTGTTGCTGACGAGAATGAGACAAATAGTTAAGAATTATAGGGCGAGGGGTGCAAGATTAACAGTGAGAATAAAATGTTGATGAGGAGGAAACGGCTCTTCTTCTACACATGCACAGATAACATTTTTTAGTCGGCTAATTTAAAACGCCAACCCTTGATCGGCATAAGTTTTAAAGATCTTTTCAATCGAGTGAACGTATGCGGCAGTTCGAAGATCCAGACCCAAGTTGTACTGCATAGCGACCTTCATAATATTCTGGATTGGATAAAGAAAAAATTAGTTAATCATGAGTTTATTCATTAAAGTATTTATGAAGATTCTTATTTAGTTTGTGTAAATAATTACCCTTGCACTTCGCTCCATCGTGTAGTCCAGACCAGAGTGGACAATATCCTTCTCACTAGCACCACCCATCCTTTTAGCAAAAGCTTCTGAAGGTGTAACTGGGATTCGTCCCCCAACACGACCAAATCTCCTTTCCAAACTCTCTTGAACTGATTCGAGAAGGTGGTAGTTGGATTCTCTGTCATACTTGAAGGTGAGACGCCCGTACGAAACGTGATTCAAGTTCTTGAGCCACTCAAAGTAGGAAACAGTCACACCTCCAGCGTTGATGTAGAGATCTGGGATGATGAGGACGTTCTTGTCGATGAGCACTTTGTCTGCGGCGGGAGTTGTGGGACCGTTAGCGGCTTCAGCGATGATCTGCCGTATTAATTAATAATTTAATATGTAAGTAAATTACATAAGGAGATTAGTTAATTAATGGGACTCACCTTGGCCTTGATCTTGTGGGCATTTCCCTTGTGGATCGCTTTCTCTGTGGCAGCAGGAACGAGGATGTCACATTCTTCAAAGAGGAGACTCTCGCCCTTGTACTCTTCCGCTCCAGGGAAGCCGACGATGGATCCTTTATTGTGGATTTTAAAGTCTTCCAAAGCCTTGGGGTCAATTCCGTTCTTGTTGTAAATGGATCCGTTGTACTCCATGACTCCCACGCAGACAGCACCCGCTCGCACGAGGTAACGGCAAGTGTGCAGACCAACGTTACCAAATCCCTGAAATATTCCAAGTCAGTTAAACAAAGTGACTCAGGGTGGTCGCATTTCACAAATACTTTGCCAATAAAAACATATTTTCGCTCTTTACAAGACTCAAAATCAAGTGGAAATTTTTTGAATTCCTTACAACACCATTTTTACATATTTTAAACTTCACCTGAACAATGAACGTCTTATCCGCCCAACCCGGCGTTGTTCCAATCATTCCCATGTAGCTGGCTTCGTTGATGAAGTTATCCAGTCCGTGAAACACGCCACGTCCAGTGGCAGAAGTTCTCCCGTGAATTCCACCCTGATTAATGGGCTTTCCAGTGACGCAGGCATGACCTGGGAAATTTGTATCATAGTAAAAAGGGTCAAATATTCATAGATAAGTTATCCATGATACCGTTGATATCGAGATGTCCAATAGTTTTGGAGTAGGTGTCCGCAATCCAGGACATTTCTCGCTCTCCGGTCCCCATGTCTGGAGCAGGAACGTCAATGCCGGGTCCGATGAATCCCTTCTTGGCCAGCTCGAGGGTGAAGCGACGTGTAATCTTTTCTAACTCGTTGACCGTGTACTCTCTCGGATTGATGATAATCCCGGCTTTAGCTCCACCAAAGGGAACGTCGACACAGGCGCACTTGAAGGTCATCAAGGCCGACAGAGCTTTCACCTCGTCCAAAGTAACGTCCAAGGAGTAGCGGATTCCTGCAAAAAAAATATAATAAATCATAGTTGTGCATGGGTTATCAGCGAGATAAGACGCTACAAGTTCCTATTTTAAGAATCGTGTATGTATACGCTCTGTCTCAAAATGAAGAGATAGTTTTGGAAAATTCTAATATTTCTTAATAGCTTAGTCCTGGAGTCCAAAGTTTTGTTATATTATAGCTCAGGTATTGCTACAAGTTCATGCCAAGTTTCATTGAGATTTGACTTAAATCAACAAATTTATCTGCCATCTTAAAACATTAGTCAATTTCGACTGTCTCAAAAGTAAGAGATAGGGCATTTTTTTGAAATTTAATTATTTTATAAGTTAATTTGAAGGGGCTAACTACCTTTGAAACTTATTCTAGTATTCGGTAAAACCTTTCCTAGCTAGAATTAGCGCCCATATTCATCGCTTCATGGAGTCGTTGAAGTGCTAAAGGGTCTCCAGCGGGATATTTGCCCATCGGCCATGCATCATTTGCTATAATTCCTTTTTGGTTCGAAATTGACGTCAACCCGACGCGAGAAGTTGGCCCAAAAATTCTTCATGGGATTTAGGTCAGGACTGCTAGCCGGCCAAGCCAAGTTCCCGGCATTTTTCCTGGCAAAGAACTCCATGATTAAACGGGAAGTATGAATTTGGGCGTTGTGATTCTGAATATCCCATCTTATCAGCAAAATTCTGGGTCCCTAGCTGACCAGATTTGACTGGCGTACTCCCCGATAACCTTGTGAATCTGTTCTGGGTGTACTCGTGGGTGTTCTGGGTGTACTCGTGCTATTTCGGTCTTTCCACAAACCTCCCACAATATTACCAAATTTTCCATTAAAAATTACAAATTCAATATAAATTTGTGGTTCATATTTTTAGACGAATATTTTTATGCAGAATATTTTTCTAGTCCCATGCATCACCTATGTTCTTGTCTAGAAAATACCACATACCAAAATATGTGTTAATAAATGTGAAGCATATTTAAATTAAATTTGTAATTTTTAAGGGGCAATTTTGTAATATCTTAGGAGGATTTGGATATCCTGGAAAGACCGAAATAGCACCGATTACACACAGAACAGGTTCACGAGGTTATCAGAGAGTACGCCAGTCCAATCTCGTCAGCTTGGGACCGAGAATTTGCGGATGAGGTTGGATATTCATAAGCACAACGTCCAAATTCATGCTTCCCGTTTAATCATGGATTTCTTTGCCAGGAAAAATGCCGGGAACTTAGCTTAGCCGGCTAGCAGTCCTGACCTAAATCCCATGAAGAATTTTTGGGCCAACTTCTTGCGTCGGGTGGGCGTTAATTTCGAACCAAAAAGGAATTGGGGCAAATGATGCATGGCGGATGGGCAAATATCCCACTGGAGACCCTTCAACACTTCAACGACTCCATGAAGCGATGAATATTCGCGTTAATGCTAGCTAAGAAAGGTTTTACCAAATACTAGAGTACGTTTCGAGGGTACTTACTCCCTTCGAATTATCTTATAAAATGTTTAAATTTAAAAAAATGCCCTATCTCTTACTTTTGAGACAGTTGATTTTGACTAATTTTGTAAGATTGCAAATAAATTTCTTGACTTAAGTCAAAACTCAATGAAACTTGGCATGAACTTGTAGAAATACCTGAGCTATAATATAATAAAACGGTGGGCCCCAGGACCAAGCTATTAAGAAATAGTAGAATTTTCCAAAACTATCTCTTCATTTTGAGACAGACTATATATAACATGCATGTATTTGTCCGACCTTGATCTTGAGCGACCTACTTTTCCACATTTTCCTCTCTCCATTTTATTACCTCATCTCAAAGTGATCCGACAACTAATACAATAATAATCCAGCTTTACGAATAAGAGTTATGTAGGTCCGGTTAATAAAATTTCAATACGAGTGCACCACGTGCGTCCTCAGTAGGAAATCATTATCTGGTTTAAAAGGCCCTTTGAATCAATTATTCATTCAAAAATAACAATTTGTGAAGATGAAAACGATTGGTTTTTACATAGTTTGGCAACCATGAATTCGTGAGTTTAGCATGGAAGAGTCAATTATGGTCATAAATAAATTATGTGTGTGTGTTGTGTAACAGCCGACGAAGGAGTGGGGATTATGTATTTTTACTACTTTTGGCCATCCAATCTACACGACTGAATCGATAGTCGTACCACAAAGGTGGATATGGTCCGTGACCATGATATCATACTCTGTCAGAGCTACAGAATATCATTGTGCCTGCCTTTTAGTTTCACATTTCATGGGCTGACGGACGGACCGACTTGATCCAGATTTTGCATACATTCTGCTCTCTCTCATTTTCATCTCTGGCAAGTCAACAAGTCTGTAAGAGCTATAAAACTTAACACTCAAACGCTAATTACTTTATGACTTGAGTCAACTCAACAACAAGAGGTGGAGAGTAGTTGGTGGAGATGGATGCGCTGAAATTTAGGCATGCATTTAACTAACCCACTTATTATTTAGTGAAACTCCGAAGCAAATTGGTGAACAAACAAGTTAGCCACACACCACCTCTAAATCTCTCGTGATATCGTATCCGTAATAATTCTATCTACCTACACACACCTGCCTATACCGTTTCACCTTGTTCATCTTATCACCCGCAGTAGTTTCATGCTTATCTCTCGAATTATGTAACTGCTGTATGTACCACACTGCAATTTGAGTTCATAAACTGGTTATTTCTGGTGTGTATAAATGCCCATACATCTTAACTATTCTTAACTTTACTTTGATAAAAATGACCCCGGTTTTAATGTGAAAGGATGTTTTACCTCCCTTCGTGGGCGTCCTGTGGTTGGAGTGCTGCGCCCTGTACCCCGTGATCATCTCGTACTTGCCATTGTCCCTTTTGAGGGGGAAGGAGACTTCGAGAACGTGATGGCAAGGTTCCAACATGCGCATGATACCCTTGGCCTTCTCCCGCTTCTGTTCAATGGTCGCCAGTGGGCCCATGTTCAACCCCTCGACCAAGCTGGGGGAGAGGACAAATTAATTTTAAGAAGGTACAGATAAGGAACAGACGATGACGGTACTCACTTATCTTCCGACATCTGACAAGCCCTGTGGTAAAAGTACTCCACCATTTCGAAGAAGAGGGGGTCCTCCGCGTCAGGAACGGTCTTTAACCTGTCTGGGATTTGATGAGCCCCCGACGCCGGGCTGGTGGTCGACAGGGCCCGAACCGCGGTCGCCAACGCCTTCAAATTGCTGTTACGCACAATGCTCGCCAACATTTTGAAATAGTTGCCTACAAAGATTATTAATTACATGAGAAAACTTGAAATAACGTGAAACTATGATAGCACTAGTTATAATAGATTAACATCCAAAATTTGTGCTGTGTTAGATAATAATTAGCTAATTATAATTAACTTTTTATTTTACCTGGAGAAGAAGACTGGAGAAGAAGAGAAGAGGACGATGATGAGTTGCTGGCTGACTAGAAGAGAGTGCGGAGAACTGCCGGAGATGCGTACGTGAACTTGAGTTGTTGCTGGTGTTAATTAAATTTTAACTATTGTAGTTAATAGTCAGTCACATGGAGTGACCACCAATTCGTAGTTAAATATTTGCAACAAACTTATTGCGAGAAGAAGTGGAGCCTGGTTGGGATGGGATGGGTGAGTGCAGCGAGAGTAGGATAATTCTGAGCACGTCGAATTTTGCCGGCTCATACGACAAAATATATCTTGGAATAGACTGTTTCTTTCGCGAGGATGCTTTTTGGACGTGGGAAAACAACTTTTGAACACTCATCCATGCCCACTCTCGTTCTGTTTTTCTCTCCTCTTGTTTACTCAAGTCGAATAATTATACTGGAGAATTAATTATAAATTATAACAAATGTTCCAAATAATTAATAAACTTCAACCTTCCTTCTTTAATTTATTATTTTGAACTGGTTCTTATTCTCTTCTGTAGTGATTGGGGAGTGAATTTTGTAAATTATTTTTGGTAAAATTGCATTATTACGGCCTAGCTCGGATTTATTTCAGTGGACTAGCTTGGATTTGGCTGATAATTCTCAGTTTCCCACACGATAGGAATATTTTGTAGTAAAATCAGATTTTCGGGGTAAGATGAGATTTCTAGTTTCCAGCACTCCTAGCTAGCTCTCCCAGATAGCTCTCCTAGGTAGCACTACTAGCTAGCTCTCCTAGGTAGCACTACTAGCTAGCTCTCCTTTTTCAAAAGCCATTTTCATGAAAATCTAAGAGAAAAATTATTTTTATACAAAATTTCAAAAATTTTTAGAAATTTTATTTTTTGAAACCGCCGCGAAAAAAGGTATTTTTATGCATATGGGACCTTAGGGTATTCACACAAAAAATTTCAGTCAAATCCGAGCTAGGCCGCTGTACTGCAATTTTACCATAATTTCTATACCAAATTTCAAAAATTGACAACGTGTTTGTTTTTCGAGACCGCCGTGAAAAAATTGAAAACTTATTTCCGCTATTTTGATTAAATTATAACCCATAAAATGAATGATTTTCGTTCAGATCATTTGTTGTATTGTAATATGATGCACACTTTTCTGTGTGGACGTGCTCTGGTGCTAAGTGTGGAAGGGCCCGTGCACCGCACCAAGTTGAGGCAAGTTGAGCTATCTATCTAACAGAGCTACATTTCTTATCGTGTGTTGCCGGCTGGCCAGCAACACAATTCCACCAGACCCACGCCCATGCAAATTTATGCACTTACCCCTTTTTTCGACACATTCCTCCAGCATGCAGTCCCCAACATGAGAACAACTTATCGCAATTTTATTTTTTTTTTTACTATACAAGATTCTTTTATTAACATAAACATTGATAAACTCTGAAATACACTTAGTTGGCTTGGGGAGTAGAGGAAAAACCCGATGTTGGTGGGTTGGGAAAACCTTTACTTGATCCGGATAGGCGTCCGAGATCACCATTCGGCCCCTTACAAGATTTTTGTAAATAACATGACCTATCATTTAAAATATAAAATAATTCTTCTAATCCTCGTTGACTGGGGACAGCTCCCATGATTGATGCCGCATTCCCGCGTTGAACTGCCAAACTGATCCGTTGGATGAGAAATGTTGTTGACATTGGTCCAGTGACATCCTTCATCCTCCTCCCAACATCTTGGATGAACTTCAACCCTTCCATCCCCCATACTCCTGATGTCTCGACAGCCACCGGAACAAAGATATATTGTTTTTCAAGTTCAGAGTAAAGTTTGTGTTTTTTGGTCTCGGCTAGTTTTGCTGCTGTGCCAGCATGTCTAAGTGTGTGAGAGAGATAAGAGGGGGCAAAAGTGTCTGTACATGTAAAGTCCCATATTAGTGAGCGTTCCTGTTTGTAAGGTATTAGTGTTAGACCATCCGGTCTTTTTCCATCTGTCCTACAACACCCTAATGGTTCCCTAATGCTTGGTATGTCTGCAGAAATTAAGGCTCTCTTTATAATGTCATTGGCTTGCGTATGTCTAGAGTGCCTGCCAGCACTTTTTTTTACATGAAAGACCATGTAAGCCTAGTTCATCTACTTGTGCACCACAAACACATTTATGGGGGAAACACAATTTTAAACCTAACCTCAAACCAATTGCAATCCTAAAGGAATTATCGTCTAAAAGTGTGCCTAAATTCCTCGATGGTAAAGCTTGCAACCATGCACCTGACTCTTTTGACCGAGATGCCAAAATCCTAGCAGTATTTATTGGGGTGGCGGATAGTTCCAGGATACGTGAACATACTTGATTGAAAATTGGAATTTCATCGCAATTTTATTGTTATTCGCAAAGAGTTATTTACTATCATTTCCATGAAAACGTCTAGTCCACCAGTCAGGTTCCTGATTGATTCATTTCATAAATGTGCACATACATAAATCATATTTATGCGTTTGTGTAAATAAATTTTTCAAAATTTTGGGAATCTAAATGGCACATTTTGAAAATAATTTGAATTATTTACTATACTAATTTGGGTTCAAGGTGGGAACAGAAACAAAGGAAAGAGGAGGAATCTGGATGGATGGAGAGAATGCATATGTAGCATTATTTACCCAGGGTCGAGTTGGATAAGAACACCGTTATGTTATTCTTATTATTCTTACTTCCACTACCGGGTTGACGGTAGTCTTGATGTCCCAAAAATAGAACTAGGTCAGTCACAAGCCAACCCAACATTCGATACCACCTCAGAATATCACTCCATCCACTGTTGAACTGATTTCTAAATGTGTGAGAATTATGGAAACTCTATCGGATTTGGCTGCCAGTGAATGGAAGAATAATATGCATTTTGTGGGAATGAATACTGAATTTGATGAACTTTGAAAATTTCTGAAAAAAACAGCGAATAACTTTTAATTATTTTAAAGCAACTAAACTAAAGATAATAATGCAATATAATGCACTAATATGCATTTTGTGGGAATGAGTAATGCATTTTGAAAACTTCTGAGAAATAACCAATAACTTGTATTTATTTTAAACCAACCAAAATTCTACTATTACAAAAATTGTGAATTGTTTCTGCGCAAGTGATCACACTATTTTGTCCGTATTTCTTTAAACTGCACACAATTCTTTGAATCATCTAACACATAAATAATATCACAATTTCCCCTCCATTTTCCGGTCAGTCAAGCCAAGCGTTACGCCCCCAAAATGATCCCCTCCTATTAGAAGACGAGCGTTTGCAACAAGCTCTTCCGTCTCTCCGCCACCTTCTCATTTGTCCATTTATTGTCCTCCATGACCCTCGATAAATTTAGAAATGCATAAATTAGCTCAAATTAATCCCACCACCAAAAGCAGCATAATCAAAGTAGAAGCAAATCGTCACTAAATATTAAAATTGAGCGTTGACTAATAATTAATTAATTTTGGTCAAAGCGACAACGTCTCCATGTTTAAGAAATGAAAGTCTAACTGCACATTTTCCTCGGAGGATGTGTCACCCGCGTCGTCATTCTCAAAGCCAACCTCGACTTCTTTGTCGTCTTTATTGTCCTCGTCCTCAGACCGAAGAACGACTCGGTATTGCACCACCTTGGAACGCCAGCGGCTGAACGTGTTGTCAAACACGAGCACGTCTACGAATAAAATAAATATTATGCAAATCGGTATGAAATTTAGTTGCTGTAATTTAGTTGCTTACATATTCCGGAATGTTGGCACAGCACAGATCCGCTTTGTAGTTGGTCGTCTGAGCCTAATCTCGAAAATGGGACGACGACTTGGGTGGCGTCGTACAGAATGGAAAAACCAATATCCCATCGCTCAGTTTTAAAAGTCCAGCTAATTTAAATGTCAAAGCGAATTGAGTAATTTGTTGATTGACTTTAAATTAATTGTGATGCATGCACTAAATAGTATTTAGTAAATACCTGAGCTGTGTACGTGGGGATGAGACATGGTATTCGATGGAGATGCTGTTTCCGGCAGGGATGGTTCGACAGATAAAGGCAGCACTGTCCCCACTTGGGACACGTTGCAGGGTGGAGGCTGGGCTCGTACGAAGTCTCGTCTTGTTGAATATCTGCACAAATACAAAAATTGTATATTATTTTCCAACAAAAAACTGGCGAAAATTGATTAATACCTCGCATTTTGAGACGTAGCTTCCGCCCAGACGGGCTGGGAGGTTGTGAGGTTCTACAAGGTCGTGAAGCACGGGAAGCCACTCTCGTGATCCTCCCGCAATTAGTACTTTTCCCAAAGTTTTAGAATTTATGAAAGGTCGGATCCCACTGAAGATGACTTGAAAAACCTTCGGAGCTGGGGATACATACGAACAATTACTCATTGAGAGCTTTCTTGATTAAAAGGTAAACTCACTACTCACTGTCAATGACAAAGGCACGCTTCAACGTTTCTGGATGATTAGCTTCGAACCTTCGGACCGTTTCTAGCACGGCATCCACCGCTGGAACCAAAACAAAGGGCTGTGAAATGTTACTATCAATATTTTTCGCAAACGACGCATGTCTACCTTGTCTGCAGGACATTTGTCTAAACGCGGCCAGATCGTCGGGAACAAAGACGATGATAAATTGGGAGATAATATTTGATCGCTCTGCTGAGGACGCGGCCATGGCTTGGGTGACGTTGGCGAAGAGTTGGTCCACGTACCGGATGTACTCACTCTTCACCCCCAGCTCACACACTCGTCGAATGTCCCACTGACCAAAGGCAACGACCAGGACTGTAATTTTACAAGGACATGTTAATTTTAAGGAGGAGAAGAGTTGATATATTTGATTACCTGGACAGCCTTCCTTATCCACGCCGGTGATCTCGTAAGGATAGTTTTTTCTGGAGAGAGGAGCAGGCGGTGTCCACGCGTGTAAAGAGTCGATCTCGTTTTCCTCTCTCCATTTCAAATACTGGAGAATATTTATAGTACAAGTTAATTTTCTGTTATTATTATGCATGAGTGATCTTCAATAATTTGCACACCTTGGTCAACATTTCTTCAGCCTTGTTCAAGTTGAGGTCTCGAGCTGAATTATGGGACATAAATTATACAATTGAGTATTATTGCAAAGTTTTTCACTGAAAATGTTGTGCTGGCTGACCTCTGAGAAATCTGAGGAACATCAAGTCCACCAAGGCGGCGTCATCACCAAGCTTGAGCCAACTTGGTCCAACTTGGTCATTGTTCTCCAGTCTCGCCTTCAACTAGATGATTAAAGGAAGATAAGAAATTTTCAATTTTCAAAAAATGATTTTCAATTTGCAACATGTCAACCGAACCTGTGCTACCATTTCCATTTCGTGTTGGCTGGCTTGCAGCGACATTGCGACGACGCACTATTTGATAACCACAGATTTTGAGTCAATTTGTCCTTCAAGTATACGATTAAAACAACGGAGACACTTTGGACACCTCACTTGCTACATAATATTTACCCATAAATGAATGCACCACAAATAAATTAGTACGTCAAAGAAGGTTGTTGTTCCATGCAAATCTCGAACCCCAAAGATTACTCAGCTTGAGTATCTCGTATTTTCGATTAAAAGATGGGTTGTGCCTCTGCTCAATGAGATCTCCTTATTCAAGAGAAGATTGTAAAGGAATGTGTGTGAGGAAGGAGTTGTAACTAAAATCATGGGCATAATATGAATACAAATTCACAGTTACTTACATACGACGTGTGTATATGCCGGACATCCTTGGTTAAGTTTTTTGGAGGACCTTTACCTTTCCCTGCTAATAAATGCTTCATCTCTCAACTACACGAATCTATAAAGAATGCAATCGTTAAAAAAAATACTCATCAGTCAATTTATGCATACAGAATAATAATTGTGTTTATGTACGTATAATAAACCAGGAATTATGTGTGTATTAAATCGTAAAAGGTATGGATTTTTTCGCAATAAAAGCAAAAGAAGAGGAGGTTTTGTTTCGTATTGTTGCGGTGTGGTTCATAAATAAGTAGTTGAAGTCATTATGCAAAACCATGATAATTCGTCCCGTCAGAGGTCAATGAGAGTTGGTCAAGGTGAGGTGGTTGAGTACTGCTGCTGAAGATCTTGGTAATTATTGGGGAGCTACATGCATACATTCATCAATGGATATCATTGCAGTGATCGCAACGATTGGCAAGGGTGGATCGTTCTCAGAAGAAGAACGTTGTGTAGTCAACACTATTAATTGATTAGGTATTCGTTGCATGAATTGATTCTTGATGGGCATAAATAAATAAATATGTGCATATTAAGAAACTATTGGCTCCTTTATGCATGAGAGGTTTACTATTACTTGAGGTAGTTCCTGGATTAAATCCGTGTATTTACAAAATATTATGACACTGTATATGCGATAAATGACATTGATAAGTTAATTAATATGTACATCTGACAATGGTTTGTTTATGGAAGGAGAAAAATGCATGTTTATCTGATACGTTTCCTTCTTATTTATTATCAGGGGCAAAAATTTCTTCAATCTTTTGTATTTGTGCGGCACGTGTTTTTCATCGGCAACGCTTGCATAAAATGTAATACGTACATACATAGTTTGCTGATGTATGTTACACTTTATCATATTTTGTAACAAAAATTATCATTTTTTGCATGAAATCAGTTTTACTTCCGCCCAGATTAATTGACAACTGATGTCTTTATTTACGAGGGTTCGTGTAATTACAGATGTTCCAGCGTTATCCAGATCGAGCTTTGTTGTGTAATTTTTAATACTTTTCCCTATTACAGTATATCAATCAGAAGAGGAACGCCTAGAGCGTGTGTATATGCCTCTGAATGCATGGGAGTTATTGGGAATATGTAGGTACATATATGTACATATATGATGCACGAGCAGAAAATCACTTGCCACAAAAAAAAATAATTGGTAGCCACACAATTTTTAGTAAAAATTGGTCACTTTTCATATTTGCGCTGCGCTGCATGGCGTCAGCACTGGCTTGGAGACCGATAATTAAGGTCCATGATGATACTTTGTTAACAATATGCAGCGAAAAACAAAGGCTACATATGCAAAATGGTCAAAGTGCAAGTTGAAGGTCCACTTCTGATCTGTGAGTAATAAATGTGTGAATGCACGCGATTTGCATATCGTTGCTTGTGGGCTTTCCACTCCCACAATTCTACGTACTTGGCAGAAATATGATGGACACAATTAATAAGATCCAGAACCCAGTTGAAAAAGTTTGTTAATTTGTAGTTCAAGTTTTTCTGGACTCCAATTTTCGAGATATCAACTCGTACACTTGCATTTGAACTGGTTTTGTTTGATTGAGGTATGCGCATAATCGCAATAATTGTATTCTTCATTTATTTATTCTGTTCGAATCAATTCTAAATTTTTATCCTTATGCAACTTTTTATTGTATATTTATGTAACTTATGTATGTACATAAATATGCGAAGTTGCCATTCCTCTTGCTTGTTTATAATACTGTCCTGCAACTATAATTTTTGTCGCCCCGAAGCCATAATTAACAGGGTCACAGTATTGTTTCAAATGCTTATCCTGATTTTGACGACATATTCCTTGTATTTATTTTGCATACAGAATTCTGGCAGCGTGTCAACAAAATCTTATATCAATCTAATAAACAAACGTGACAAGTTCCACTCTTCATTCTGAAAAGTGAAGAAATATGAGTTGCAGCATGCAAATAAATAAATATGTTGATGTATTGCAGTGATGTACTTATCTGTCACATCGTACGTGTGTACATATGTATATATGACATGCTTCTTAGTTAGCACTACATATGCAAATAAATTGAACTAAATTAGTCAAGAAGTCATCACGACTAGTTAAGTTGATATCTTGAATAGGAAAATATGGTTATTATCAAGTAACTAACACGTTAATGGTGGTGCGTCATGTAAATATATTTTTCACCTCATTACACAATTACGCAAGGCAGAACTTCAAACCATTGTTCACAACAATTATGACATTTGCATACACATATGACAGTGATACACAACAAGTTACGAAATGAATAATATTTACCTCAAAAATCTAAAGACATGGGAAAATTGGACGGAAAAATAAGTATGAAAACATAAAAGCAACACAGTGACGAAAGACGAGTCAATTTCTTTGTACGCAAATTACATATGTTATGATTGGTTTCTGGAAAAATAATTTGGAGAGAAATAATTGAAGTCCAATGATAATAATTATTTAACCCCAGTTGATGCGATATGACGTGAACTGCACAATAAATAAAATGCATTTTCCTACAAATTCCCAAAATCTCGTCAAGAATACATCATAATTTTGTAATTATTTAGCCTCAGTTGATTGATGCGATATGAACGAAGTGAAAATAAAATGCATTTTCCTACAAATTCCCACAATCTGGTTAAATACTAAAATCTCATCAAGAATGCATCATAATTTGGAAGCTGAGAGTGCATTCAATATTCGCGTGTAAAAACCAGTTTCAATCAAAAGAAGTGCATCAAATTTAAAGGAGACGACGCAAGAAGAACCACTTTACACGAAATAAGACACTTGAACCTCATGTACAAACGAATGCACAGAGATATCCCAATCTCGCAGTGCCCAAGCAAAGTTGACCAATAATAATTGTAGTTCAATAATTATGTATTTATTATATGGATCGAATATGTATGTACGACTCTCTGGTACCCGAACTTCTTCATCCCCACGATGATGATGAATGGATGGACGCTTCTTCTTCTTCTTAATAACTAGTCAACTTTCGTGCGAGAGAGGACATTGTGATTCCGAAGGTGACTTTACACACAACAACCTGTCCTCCTCTCATTAAACGACGGACGACTCGACCACGATCCACAAGAAATACTTAACAGATAAGTTATCCATCCAGTTTGTGCATACATATTTTCTCCATAAAAAACCGTACCCGGACCACTACAGGCTTGTCGGATGCCTTAATTGCATACCGCAATGGTACCAGTCTTACCAGAGAGATTTTATCGGAGGAACGAGACAGTCGATTTGGCTGTGTGATATTTTTTTAAAGTGCAGAATAAAAAATTAATCTTTTAACAAAGTTTTTCCATTCTGCCAAAAAAAGTGAAGCAATCGACTTGCCGGCTTGATAATTTTTAAAAAAAGGAGGAATATTACAAAGATATTGTAATTTGATTTTATTCTTTTAACAATTTTTGTTTGTTTTTGCACTCAGCCAAAAAAAGTGATCTCGAAGCGAGTAAATAAATTGCATAGGTCACGGACGGACGACAGTGGGGCAAGTTGAAGGTGGTATTTTTATGTAGCAGAGTTAATCGTGGTGTGAAAAGTAACGCATTTTTTAACAAAAGTTCATGTCTTCTTCTTCTCATTCAAAAAGTGAAGAAGGAAATTAGAAAAGTTTACGAAGAGTGGAGGAGTTGTTTAGTCGTCAGTATTAAATATTTTGAAGTTGAGGTGGTTGATTCAGTGCAGTACAGTGATCGAAGCCATGGCGAAGCCGTCACCCCATGAACTTGAAATCATAGGAGAGGTACGCAATAATGCCTCCACATCCGGCTAAATTGTGCCAAACTTTCTAAGAAATTTGTGGCTTTTAGAAATCGGAAATTTTAATATTTCTGTTTTTAGGTTCGAGAAAGGATTTCCGACCTGCGTTTAAGCGACGAGTATTTGCAACCGAAGAATTTGGTGAGATTTGTGCGAGGTGAGGAAGCAAAACAATTGACATTTGAGCCGGTCGTGATTTATATTGTGTTTTACGTCTCAATTTTTTTTAGCTCGGAATGAACAATTAGACCAAATTGAGGACATGATTCGTAAGGTGAGTTGTTTCTTTAATGAGGATAAACTGCTCTTGAAATGTTTCCGTTCCTGGTTTATTGTGATTTTATTTTACATAGACTAATTTGTCTGGATTGTTTTATTATGATTGCTAGCTATTTTTTGGCTGCGGTTAGTTATTGCCTTGTTAAATTTCATTACGCGTAAATAAGATGATTACTACAAACTACGTATGTACTACACTTAATTGGAGCATGTAATTTCCTCAAAGTTTGGGAAGCAAAGTATCACTGATTTATATGTATGAAACTTTTGTATTTGAAATTAATGTATGAAATTTTTATTTTAAAATAATAATTTGTTTTATTCGAGACATTTTTCAAAATCTAAAAGAAAATCATTCATAGTCTGCGAGTCAGGAAATATTTATTTACATGAATTTAGTCACAAGTCTGATTAGTGTATGCGTGGACCATGAAAACATGCGGTGACAAAATGTGAGGCAAGTAGAGACTCGAATAATGCATATTACACATATTTACTTAGCTATGTCGTGATTTATTTACACTGGATGTTAAGGTTGACCTAGGGCAGTTCCAGATAAGCAATTTGTCCTCGATTTCACAATTTGAGACATAAAGTATATGGACAAAAAAAGTATATAGTGGACAAATAGACTTTTCTTTTATAACATAACCGACCTTGTCATATTGGAAAGTTGGAACATCGTATTAAAACAAGTTGAAGGCCGGCAGAGTGCATATTTTGTAAATCTCTCTTCACGGATACATAAAAATGGGTTACATAAAAACGGCCCATTCCAAATTACTTGGAATGATTCTTACGTATAACCAATTTTAGAAAGGCATTTAGAAAAAAAATGTATAAACGAGGAAAATCGTAAATCTGCTTTTTCATGCTACATTTAATTATAGATGTCTTGCTGGAAAGAAAGAAACGTGGTGTCGGATACATCAACCCAATTATTTTAACTATTTATAATTGCTACTTTAGTTGATTGGTTTTATGCAATTCAGCGAAAATTAGTGTGTTTCTCAGGCCTATTTTCCTATATGGTTTTCTGTAAATGACGATTCCTTAGTTTGCTGACGCAGAAGACTGGTAATTCTTATCTTTGGTAAGAATTTCTTCATTGACGATGCTGCTGCCCCAGCATGTTTTAATTTATATAAGAAAAAAATACATGCGCGGATAACTGGTTGGGCGTACGTATAATCCCCGAAAAATCAAATGATTAATGACTCCCCCGACTTGAGAATGTGTCTGCATCGCATAATTCGAAAAAGATTTACAACTTTTGAGGTTGTTAGTAAATAATTGGAAATCGGTGTACCTCTAGCATCATTTTTTTGATGAGCATATATAACTAATTATTTTTCATACGTATGAAGTACTACTGTATTTGTTGTTTGGCAGAATGCGTGCTACCACGACACCTACGACACGGAGATAATAATGAGATGGGTACCACTCAACAGTATTGTTGAGGGATTTCCGTACCGCATTGTGGGCTTCGATAACCTCGGAGGTCTTGGTAAGTAGTCTCATAATGGAGGTCTCCCAGACTTTGAGCAAACTAGTCCCAATCGATCACAAATTTAATTAGTACGAAATTTTCAAAATTGCACGATCTGCCAGTGGAGATATTTGCACCCGAAGAGGAGAAAACGTGCAGTAAATTTGGAAAGTACAAAATTTATCAACTTAGGGCGTGTTTTCTTCTCTATGGATGTAAATATTTCTGCCAAAACTGCGAATTGGGAGATCGTGTCTTTTGCAAACTCCATACCAATTCAATTTGTAATCGATTGAGACTAGTTTGACCAAAATCGGAGAGCGTATGTTGGGAGACCTCCATCGTCCGTAAGAACACTGGAAAATTGTCGGCTTGTTAATTATGATGCTATTTATGTATGTGCAGTGATAGTATTTCCAGTGGGGACCTGGGTGACTGCAGCGGTTTCTGGGAAACGGGAGGAATTCACACGATGGGCGATTCAAGTTTTAGAAAAGACGTGGGCCTTGATGCGTTTTAATTCCAAGGGAAAAGACTATATCCCACAATTTTGCGCCATCATTGACCTCGAAGGCTTTGGGTGGAGACATTTGACGTGTTATGACGGTGAGCAGGAAATAATGCACAGTTTTATGACAAGTGTTTGTTTCTTGCGGGTTTGCTACATTTCTTGCAATGCAAAGGAAGAAGTGCAAGAATGCGAGGGGCAAGAAACTGGGAGAAAGTGCAAAAAATGTGCGCTATCTAGCCACGCGCCGTATGAAGTATAGCGGCGGGGCGCAGTTTCTTGCGCCTTGGATTTTTTGCAGGTCAAAATTCATAGCTGCAGGAAACAACTTTCTTGCCGTTATTTCTTGCAAGTGGTTACTTGCACACGAAGCACTTATTATGTCAGAGTTTATTAATTTGTATTTTACTGGCGCAGCGATTCAGGGGTTTCTTAATATGTTCAAAGTCTTTGAGGCCAACTATCCAGACACGTTGAGGTCGGCGTTTATCATAAATGGTACGTGTGGAAGGATCGCTTTGCATGGAATTTGGTTAATGAATAGCTTTAACTATGTTAAATTGAACAGAAATGCCGATTTTTGGAACGTTTTGGCGACTCTTGCGACCCATCATATCGGATGTGACGCATGCTAAAATCTCATTTTTGGGGTCAGACAAGAGCCTCTGGGCAAAGTCGATAGGTCAATTGGCAAAACGGGATCAGTTTCCGGAGAAATATGGGGGAGACCAACCACCAAATTATACTGTATGCAAATACATATTTAGTATACATAAGAAACTAATTATGCAGAATTTAATTTATTTATTTTCAAATTTCCAGGTAAATCTGGATGAGATTGGACTGAACGAATTTATCTTTCAAAATGGAAATGGGGAATTTTAATCGACTCTTGCTCAGCTTTGATTTAATTTATTAGGTCTCATTTTAAACTTTGGAAGTATTTTCTCATTTTCGTAATATATAATTTGATTTTAATGATTTTTTGCTCAATTTTAATGTTCCATGTTGAAAATAAGTTCGTCATAAATATTTTAGTGTTGCGAAATCTGATCATTGTAGTAAAGATGAAGCCCAAATTATTAATATTTTAAATATGAAGACTGGAATTTTGAACATCATATTTTATTTAAATGCAAGATATTTTGCAATTTTGACTACTGGAATACAACTCAATTAAAGTATTAAAAAATAACATAAAACTTGTTTACGTGTAATTGTAATAAATATGAAAATAAATATTTCTCTGGTGCGGAAATGTTTATGTGTACAAATTCATTCATTCATTTTACTTTGGAAAACTGCGAACTTTAGACAAAATTATCAGCAGATCGCTTTGTTTTTGCGTGGTCTGGTGTTTATGAATGTATGTCATGAAATCACAAGTCAAATAGAAATCAGCCAATTTGTGAATTAGTTAGACGGAGAATGCTTGTCGTTAAGCCACGAGCTGAATGGTGTATGTGGCAGGTATTGTTATTTGGAGGTGAGGAAGCAGCTCGGCGTAATTGATCCCTCAGTCTTCATAAACGGTTATCGTGAGAACTTCTGGACTGGATTTTGGAGAGATTTAGAGGCGGATAAAATAAGGAAACTGGTTGATTCATGCACTTGATTTGATCAGCTCAATGTTTATTTGTCCAAAAATTATTAGTGGAAACTTTTAGCTGTACAATTTACTTAAGAAGATTATTTAGTTTATATTTATTTGCATTGAAGTACATAATTTCGTGTGTGCAGCTGTCATATGCAGAAAACTGTATAGATTTCGAATTAAATAATAATAAAATATTTACGAATTATATTTCCTAAGAAGGAAACTAAAAATGTGGAGTGACCATCGAGACGCTGCCCCCTTCTTGCCACAAGCACCATCCTTGCCGGAAAAGGAACTAGTTCTCCAGGTTTTTTTGTACTTTTTGGAGCTAGGAAATTGCATTGAAATTCTAAATTTTTATTTGGAAAATAAGGTTCGGGACCGTATTTCTGACCTGTTCCTGAGCAATGAATATCTCGAGGATAAAAATCTCGTCAGGTTCATTCGAGGTGAATAAGAACTTTTAGTTAAAATCATTATCATTCAAAGTATGATAAGGATTGATTCCTTGTTTCAGCGAGAAGTGGGAGCATAAATCAGGCAGAACAAATGATTCGTAAGGTGAGAGTGGAAGTTTAGAAAAAAAAATAAGAATTTCGAATGTCTTTGAGTATGTTTCCTTCGACGCAGAATGTGGAATGGATGGCCCAAGAGAAGATTGATGAACTGCTGAGATGGAAATATCCACCCAACTTGGAAGACTATTTTCCTTGGTGGGTCTGTGGTTTCGACGAGTTTGGCGGACCTAGTGAGACGAAAATTTTTAAATTTGAGGCGATTTTCAATTATAAGTCATAAATATGTGGTGATTTTGCAGTTGTTGTGATACAGACGGGTTTGTGGGAGCCGGCACATGTTTCCGGCATGAAGACTGACCTCGTCCGCTACTTGCTCTTGATTATTGAAAAGTGTCGCCGAGTTTTGTACGCGAGGAGTACGAATCGCGACTACATTCCACAATTTAGCGTCATTATAGACTGTCTCGGTCTGGGGTGGAAGCATTACTTGTCGTACGATGGGATTCAGGCGGCCATTTTGGCACTCCGATATTTTGAGGCTAACTATCCCGACTCGCTTCGACTCGGGGCGGCTGTGAATTGTGGGTGGGAAGCATTTTAAGTATGACAATTTTTTGTTGTGAGGGAGATGACCTTGTTTTGACCTACAGGTCCCTCCGTGTTGAACATGATGTGGAAGATGGTGAAACCATTCGTGTCGCCAGCTACGCGCTCAAAACTGCGCTTTTTGTATGAAGATGATCGCCTCGTTTGGAGAGAGACGCTCACTCGATACTTTCCAGAGGACAGATTCCCTGCAAAATATGGGGGAACGCTGCCAGATTCGTATAAAGTATGACTTACTTATTAACGTATGACTCGTCACCAAAATAGTCAGAATCAACAATTTTTAATCATTTCTCGACTCTGGGAATTTATTCTAAAATTCTGGACGGCAAATTTTGTAGTTGAATAATTGAAGTTGAATAATAGAATGGCTGAGTTTTTAAAGCCAGTTTCGATGAGTTCCAATTTTTCTTAAACTTGTGATCTGCTTCAAAAACTGTCAAATTTGGAGTGTATGCTATTTTTTAATTGACAACGACCTGCTCTATGAATTCGTTCTCCAGAATTTTACAACAAATTCCCAGTTAAAGTGTGATTGTTTGACGATTTTGGCGAAGAGTCATCAAGTCCTATGTTAAATTTTGGTATGAATGAGACTTGTAATTTTATGCCCTTATTTAGGTGCGGATGGAATTTAAGGGCCACAATGCTGGAGATGAGAATGGAAATTAAACTACTTCCGGTCTTGAGTTTTACAGGATTTTATTATGTCTCTTCTCTACCCGCATATTCATCTCGGTACTAATGTATTTCTGCAGTATTATTATCTACCTGTTTTTTGTAAATATTTAGTTGATAAATTATTTCTCTCAAGTTTTGTAAAATTATTTGAAGTTGATCTTTTCTGTCTGTGTACGTTGTACTATGATTAGATTACTTAATTCTACACATAAGTATTTGTAAAAGTGTGTGATACAAAAATATAAGTGGTACATATAAATATTTTAAAGGCTATACAGTTTGTTTCTAAATCTAAATTAATTAGGCTTTGCCTTGAAGTAATTCATTAGTTAATTAATTAGGCTTATTGCATATCTGACCATCATCAATCAAATAAAGATTAGACCACACCTAGAAACTGGTGGAAAATTTGATAGATTGAAAGTAAAAAAAAAAATCTGGCCAAATTATTGAAGTAGGAAACTAGGAACTAAAATGAGGAAAATATTGGAATAAAACTAAATAGTATAATGATCTGTCTAATGATAAGAATATCTAGATACATATTAATAAGCAACGACCGGACGAGAGCTATTTTGTACATGGAAATTCAATCAAAGATCAAAAACTTATTTTATACTTTAAGTACAGAATATTAACGAAAATTAAAGATATTTCCAGAATTCATATTTCCGAATTTATGTACATAACAATAAAATAAATACGTATTGGATTGAGCGGCGGGGACGAGAATTGTAAATCTCGTGACTCAATTCAATGTAGCACTCAAAAATAAATAATAGAGAATTTTTAAACAACATAAATTTGGATGGGTTGATCTGATTGTTCAATTGCTGTCAATTTTGTAGGAGATTATAGACGACTATCCAATAAGTCATCACCCCCACTTCCATTTTCACTCTTATGTCCGCCCCCAAAGTCCTTGACTGCAGCTTTTGTTCGTAAACTGGGTGAGAGTGGCATGGACATGAGCGGCGGTGGGGGTGGAAGTGGCAGAGTTCGCTTTATGGGAGTAGTTTCATGATGGTGGTCACCAGTACTTTTGTACCCGTCGGGACGGACGCCTTGATTCAAATGGTGGGAAAAGTTTCGAGGTCCTCCTCCTCCGTGGTGTCTCCGCGTCTGATTAGAGTAAGGCGTGTCTTGACGTTGGTGGTGGTGAGATGAGGTGGATGAAGAGGATGATGATGACGACCAGCCTGATCGAGGAGTTGATCTAGAGAATGCAGGTGGTGGTTCGTCGATGGGATCGCGGTCACGTTTTATTTTGACAATGGGTTCGCGATCACGATTATAGCTCGCAGAAGATGATCTTGAATCATGGCGATCTTAAAATAACAAGGTCATTCAGGTTAAATTTCGACTCTTGCTAATTAAAATTACGTAGTGAAAGAGCAGCAGAGTCACTTACCGTAGCGATGATTGTCTCGCTCATAGTCAAGGAGGGAAGTGGGTCGAGACGATGGTTCCATAATAATTTCAGGAAATTTTGAATACGATGATCTCCTGTCTATGATTTCTAGCTTTGGAATTTCACCTTTCGTGGATCGTGGGGGAGAATTCCGCTCAATTTTGAAGGATTTAGTGACATAATCATTAGAAGAAATCGGTGGACATGGAACATTTGAGGGTGGGTGAATAGCAGAAGTTGGAGTGGATGGAGCAGAATTAGTTGAAGTGGGGGGAGGAGCATTAAATGTTGGAGTGATTTCTGGAGGAGACCTCTCAATTTTACGGGTTGCATAATCATTAGAAGATGCGACAGGTGTGGCCGGTGTGGGTGAAGGGGCAGCAATAGTAGTTGGAGTGGTAGGAGCAGAGATTGTTGGGGTGGGTGGATCAGTAATATTAGTAGGAGTGGGAGGAGCAGACGCAGTTGGAGTCGAAGGAGCAGAAATGATTGGAGCTGGAGCATCAGCAGTAGTTGGGGTGGATTGTGGTGGGGAACTGTCCTCAATCTTAGCGGATTTAAGTGCACACTCATTAGAAGACGTGGACGGAGATGGAAGAGATGTTGGTGCAACATCAGAAACCTTAGGAGTGGGAGGATCAGAAGTGATTGGGTTGTCAGATGGCGGCGTACTTGCTGGATCCGCCGAATTCTTATTGAGCGTGTCTGGGAAGAAGAGGAGATCGGCTTCTTGGATTTTCTTCCTGTCCTTATCCTTCAGCTCTTTTTTGACCAAGCTGGGATCCAGAACCAACTTGCGAGGTCGATCTCGCTCAACGTCACGCTTCTTTGTTTTCACGTGCTCTTCACGATGGCCTTCGGGAACGGTGAAGCGTACCTGATCATTCACAAAGGCACTAATTAATTGAAATGCCTTAAAATAAATCCCTTCACGTAAGCTTATTCCCTTACTTTTCTTTCCAATTCCCCTCTGAGCTCGTCGGAGGCCTCTTCATTTGGAACGAACGCTCCTGGACTTGCTTTCAAAATGGGGATAAACTTGACCAATTTTGCTTTCTCAGGGTCCTTCTTCTTTGGAATTTTGAAACTTTGGAATTTCAGAGAAACTCCGTCGACTGAAGATCCACCGGCAGGTTCTTCCTTCTCTTTCACCGGGTGCTTGAGTTTGAGGGTCACCTTGTCCATGACTCGTTTACTTTGAAGGAATTTGTTCTCCTCATCATGATGGTCTTTTTTGGGTCGCATGATTAACGGTCGGTTAACCTTGTGATGGGTGCGATCATCCTTATCCTTATGCTTACTCTTCACCTCGTCACGGTCACGGTCACGCTTGGTGGATGATGACGACGACGACTTGTGATGTGACTCAACCTTACTTTTAACTTTGTCTCGGTCTCGGTCCCTTTCACGATCAGGCGCAGGAGTGACACGTGACTTTCGGTCGTCATCTTTGTGATGTTCGCGATGGCTTGACGATTTGGGACGGGATGAGTGGGATGAAGATGATGACGATTTGTAACTACTCCTGTGTCGAGACGATGAAGAGCTGCTGCTTGAAGAATGCGAAGAGGATTTCGACTTTGTTTTGTCCCGGTCGGATGATGACGAAGATGACGAATGCTTTTTTGAGTGACTAGAACTCTTCGTACTAGAACTGGAAGGACGAATTTCTTCTTCTAACTTTCGCTGTCGAACACAAAATAATATTAGTAAAATATGCAAACTGCGTAAATATTGGTACAGGTTTCATTTAGGTACAATTAATTATTACCTTTTTGGATTTGATCAGTGACAATTTTACGAGAAGGACACGTCCGACTCGTGGAATTTTTGCAATTTCATCTTCGGAGGGGAACGATCTCTTCAAGTAGCGAGAAAGGTCTTTCTCCTCGTTAACAAATCCGTCGAGGTGCACGGCCAAGATGTCTTTATCTGACCCCTCCCCTCTGCCAGTCTTGAGGGCTGTGAACATAAACACACATTTTTATGAGTACATCACGAAAATAGGATCCACCAACTATGTAAATATGTACAATAAATATATCACTCTCACCTCCGTCGCCTTCATCATCTTCCATCGGTGTGCAGCAGTCGTAGCGCGTCAATACTGGACAAGGCGGATCTTCCTCCTGTTCTTCCTCCACAGACATCGGAGTCGGTGTCGCCGGTGCGGGCAGCATGTCCATCTCCATCTCCGCATGCAAGCCAGTTTCGTCTAAAAAATTGAATATCATATTTGAAGTGGTCACAATATGTGACTACAAATGTTATTTGTGGGGTTGTATACATATCGTTGCATAAATGTCGATTCACTTTATATTCCGATTTTATGCAAGCGTCTAAAACTATTGAGTAATAAATAAAATTGATTACCGGTCGACCCGACTCTCGCATCTTCTTCTTCTTGTTCTTTTTTAATACTCTCACCACTTAAGGGGGAAAATAGAGGCGGCTCCTCGTCGGAGTCATAGGCAAGCTCAGCAGCAGCATCATCATCAATTTTAACCGGAACTGGAATAAAGTCAGCTTCTACCTCGTCACTCATAACTTGGTCACTATTTTCTTGTTGAACTACGAGCTCTTGCTGAATTACGGGCGAAGGCACCACTTCGTTATCGTCGTCATCATCCAGACTAAAGTTTGGTTCAGGAGTGGCTGGTTTTTCAAGATGATGGTCGTCGTCGTCGTCATTATAATTATGGTATTCTTCTAGCACTTCGACCACCACATTGGGAAGTTCGGAGGGTGGGTCCAGCTCAGAATCGGAAGAACTGCTACTACTACTTCGACTCCGACCAGAAGAAGATGACGAAGAGGATGAAGACGATGAGGAGGAGGATGAAGTTGACGACGGCATTATTTTCCTACCTCCTGCCATTTCACATGAATAATTATGACAATTAATTACCAATCTTACATCGCAAGCTTAAAATTTTGTTGAAATTGAACTATTGGAATACTACTTCACAAAATAAAGTAATTAAATAACTCACCAAAGTATTTTAAAATTGAGTATCAATCAAACAAGCATAAAGTTTAGATATCTTTTTGGGTCGCCTCCTCTCTGGTTTTGCTCGCGGCGTCGGGACCCCGCCGCAACGGAATTATTGTTAACTTTGTGCACTATTAAATTTAGTTTGTCGTCAGGTTGGCCGACTTGGAGAGTGGGTTTGAGGAGGAGGAGGAATTGACACGCTGCATTGTTTTGAGAGGGAGCAGAAAGCAGTGTAAATTCATGTGGATAGAAACTGGAGGCTACTTCGAGACTCGCGCCCACTCGAGCAAGCAATCCTGAGACGACTCCCGTGAAACTCTCAGCGTCTCATGGAAATCTCATCTTTTTTCATGAAGTTTTTGAGACTTGAGACGAAACTTTCATGAAACTTCGAAAATTGTCTCAATTTTGTCTCAATTTCCCCACAAAAAAAATTATTTTAGGATAAAACTGAAAAATCTACAGTTCGCAATGTATAAGGGTGTTCTAAATGAGGGATTTTGAGCAGTGATGAAAAACGTTCTAGATTGTTTATTTTGTTTTAATAAAATGAAATTTTCATTGCATTTTTTCATGACGGTTTTTGTGCTGCATGTAAAATTCTTAAATGACCAAAACTTTGATAAGATCCTGTCTAGCCTTAATTTGTTATTTTCTGAATTGTGTGCAAAGAAAAAAATAGTCAAAACTGCATCATGTACAAGAAATTAGTTGAATGTATATATGTAAAAAAAGGTAGCATATTTCAATCGTGCACATTATCAATGTAATTGTCCACCTAAATATGACATGTATTGGGCCCATTATCTTTTGAGGAGTTGGAATAAAGCATACTTGAATGAATACTTTAACAGCACCAAGATCAATTCAAGGTTAAACTAAAGTAGTAAGTATGTATATAAGCAATTATGTACAAAATGCTGTACATCAAGGTATATGTAATAACACAAAAATACAAGGAAAGCATATTAGAGGATAAGTAGAAAAAAGTAGGGTTGAAAAGGAAAACTAGTGTGTAATCATGCATCATAAATTACTACACGTGTACATGTTTAACATTTTTAAGTATAAGAAGAAGACGTATCACAAATATCGGATCAGATCAAGGTGACAACTGACCAGCCAAATTATGTCCGTAACTTACAACTTTTCTGGAAAGAGGGTCCTCGTCACGGGGGGAGCAAAGGGTACAACTTGACTACTTTTTATTGACAAAGTTACCCTAATTACAGTATTTTTAGCTCTACTCTTCCAGGGTTTGTAACTTTTTATCGCTGTGAATTGTTCACGATTTTTTTCAAGTATTTTGAAAGGGATAAAAAGTTTATTTCTTTACAAAACCTGTATTTTGGTAGGACTGGGAAGAACGGAGCTCAAAATCCTGCATTTTGACAAAGTATTTTCCCCACCTCTGCTAATTTATAAAATTTTCAGGACTTGGTAGAGGTGTCGTATCCAAGTTTGTATCCTCTGGAGCCAGCGTGATCGCCCTTGACCTCGACAAGGACGCTTTGGCCGATCTGAAATCCACGCATCCCTCCGTGACCACGATTCATGCGGATTTATCCGACTGGGAGAAGAGCAGGGAGGCCGTTCTCGCCCTGCCCACCGGTCCAATCCATCACCTCGTCAACAATGCTGGAATCTCGGAAGTCGTCGAGTTTAGCAAGATCACACCGAAAAATGTGGATACCATTTTTGGGATCAATTACAAGGCCTTAATCAACATGGGGCAAGTGATGGCAAAGACGTTGGAACAAGGTGGCGTCACGACTGGGGGGACGATCGTCAATGTGTCATCAATTGTGAGCCATGCATTCGTAAAATGTGCATTTGTAGTTGGAATAGCCCGAGCCAGGCATTTTCTTAATTTGCAAAACCAGTGTCTTTGGACAGTTTACAAACGTGACAGTACTTTCCACCTTAAAATTCAATTTCAAACTTTCAAAATTTCTACTTGAGAATTTCAAAATTTTATAAAACAGACAGACGAACACTCCGATTCCATCAAACCCCACTCGCTAAAAAGTTGAAAATATTTGCAGCTGGATAGTCGCGTCGTGCCAGGCGCAGCTTTGTATTGCAGTACGAAAGCTGCCGTGACCATGTTGACCAAGGCGATGGCCGTGGAGCTGGCTCCCCTCAAGATCCGAGTGAACGCTGTGCGACCCACCCTCATGGCCACCGACATCCTTCCCCTCGACAACGAGTACAGACTCCAAGTTCGCGACGGTCTGGTCAACTTTTGCATGGAACGTCAACTCTCGAAGCGTCTCTTGACCGTGGAGGAAACTGCGGACGCGATTCTCTTCTTGTCCTCCGATGCAGCCGAAATGGTGAATGGCTCCGATATTTTGGTCGATGGTGGTGTGTACACCGTGTAAAATTAAATATGTAAATATGTCAATGGAACCGAAATTTATTTAGAAAATATTTTACGTTCCCAATAAAATTATTTGTTAAAATTCCTACATACATATTCTATTTACACTATTACACATTTTGCGCAAAGTTGACCTGCGTCTGGTATTTCGGGAGGTGCGATGTCGATTCCTTCGCCCGCAGCGAGGTCACCGATGGCATCCAACGCGGCATCTTTCGCCATATCGGCCGCCATGTCGCCCAATTCGTCGCCGATTGCTTCACCCAGTTCGTTCCCCATTTCTTCATTTCCTAGCTTCTTGCCAATTTTTCCTCCCAGCTTGCCGCCTGCTTTGCTGCCCAGTTTCCCCCCCATTCCTGCGATGAAGTCTCCCCCCAGAGCACCAGGGTCAAGTCCGCCCTCCATCGCGAGGTTGGCCAAACCCTCCTTCGCTTGATCCTTCGCCACGTCGAGGGCCATTTCTTGGAGCATCTCCTTCTTGCCAGGTTTCTTCTCCGCGGCGGCTGCTCCTCCGGCCGAGGTAGATGGTCCACCGGCAAGGACCCAGTTTTGCTGGGGGGATGCGCTCGCCTTGTTGGACGCTTGTTTTCCGGCCTATGAAAGTAGCATATTTGTTTAATTACAAATAATTATCGCTGCTAAATTAAGTGTTTCGGGTTCAAGTTACCACTTGCAAGAAGCAAGAAAGTGTTATTTTGCGGCTATTTTGACCTGAAAGAAATGCAAGGCGCAAGAAACTAAGCCCCGCCGCTATATAGCCGTACGGCACGTGGTTTATGGGCATTCATGGGGCATATTTCTTGCGCTTTCCTGCAGTTTTTTGCACCTCACATTTTTTGCATTGCTTGGTCTGCAGTGCAACAAATATAGCAAACCGCACTAAACGAAACAGTGTGTTAATTATTTTTTATTTCTTAATTGTTAAAACCTTTTGTCCAGCTTTATTAGCAGGAACAGGAACCACTCCCACTTTTGCTGCCCCCCTTCTGTTATTATTATTATTGTCATCGGTGAACATCTCATTTGCCCAGTTTTCGAATTTGTTTGCATCCCCATTAACAAAATCGACTTCGTCCTCGGCTTCCATAATCATGGCGGAAGTTGAAGCGACTGCTAAAGGATTTCGGTTATTTCGATTTCCCACATTCTTGGCATTATTATTTGCATTATTGCCCAGTTTTCTACTATTGTTCTGCTGGGGACGAGGAGGTGGAGGCGCACTTTTGTAATTTAGTGAGCTGGATCTCGCCAAAGGGACGGGTTTCGTAATAATGGGCTGATTTGGGTGGTTAGGATCATAATTTCCTGAATAGAGGAACGAACCACCACCATTTGCACTGGAAGGTGGTCGTGCCGGCGTTGTTCGTCGAAATGCTGGACTTCTGACTTGCTGTTGTTGTGGTGTGACCCGATTCGAGTATGAGCGTCCTATCCCCCGACTAACGGGGAGTTTTGGGGTCGGGCTATCCTGCAGGGTGGCAATGTCGATGGGTATCGTTTTAAACTGATGGTTGCCATTGTTGGTGGCAGGGGACATGATGAGGCGTTTGTCGAGGTAGTTTTGCTGTCTGTCCAGCCCTTTCGTTGGGTGTCTGGCACTAGCGCTTCGTACGAGGGAGGAAACGTTGGAGGGGAACCGTTTCACATGGGCGCGGGGAATAGCGACTTCTCTCGAGAAGTCGGTGGGGCGGAGGATTTTCTGAAAAGAAGGTAAATTTTTAAGGGTAATTTTTATGAGAAAATTTATAAGTTTAGTAAATTAAATACCTTAAGTGCCCGATCCTCCACTCGGATCGGGTCCATCATTGGCTGCTCCGTCATGTTTTTGTACTTTAAAACTCTCAGGGGTAAAATTTAAGAGGTACTTTTCTGGTCAGTTTTGCATATTTAGCAAATATCCAGATATTTGCACACTATTCGTCAAACGGGACAGGTTGGAGTTTGCAATATTAGTATGGGCCGCATAATTGTATCGGTGATGTGATGAAAAATAATCAATTGATTAGTTGGTTACATAAATAATTCACGGACAAGTTTCCATTCCCCTCTTCTGACTGCATGGTTAAATAAAAGTTGAATATCTGAAGTATGGACGTAGAAATAATTGATAATTTACATATGTATCTATGTATGTATGTAAATTACACGCGTGTATGTATTATGTAGATTTGGTTAGGAATGCTTATCAAGACAATGGAATTGTGATGTTATCATAAAAAATGGATTGGCTGGAAGGTTACCAGAGCAGGGTAAATATGCAACTGGACGCCACTTATCTGCACAAGTCGAGGCGTTGATACCATTGGTGAATCATCGCCCGTCCTCATAATCTCTCATAAGTAATTCTTACTTGGCTCAAAGTTAGACATATTTTATATACATGGATTTATTAATTTTGATTGATGAGATGGTTGATTTATGAGTTCTAAATATGCACAACAGTTATTATGCAAGTATAGCCAATTATCCTTACCCTTAGCGGATTTTTTATGTAATGTGTATACTCGACCAAACAAATAACAATGCAATGATGCATCATATTTTTTAATGCAGTTTGAACAATAGTATGTATGTGAAACAGCTTAATGCGAAAAGTGCATTAAAAATTTAATTGGCAAACCAGTGCGTATGACCATCCCGTCATTGGAAACATGTCATTCGTACCTGGATCAACATTGGTTGACGCCAATTACAACTGGGGCAATTTTCTGACGACATTTTTTTCCCAGAGGACGTAATACGATGTTGACACGACGGGATTATGAGCTGAGCATTAGCAAAACATAACTATTTTGAAGCTTTTATTAATCTTGTCGTCCGGTAGGTATGGAGGATTATTATTTATCAATCATGAAATGGTGACGCTGACGGTATCAAAAGTTCGAGTGCGTCTGCATCTGTATGTACACTACCAGTGATTAGGATTTGACATTATTATTGCCTACGAATCAACAATGTAGGAGGAGAACGAAGGGCAAAAGAGGAAATCCCCGATGCGCAGATAATACAATCCGATATATATATCTCGTACCTCGTCCATTCTCCTCGTTAGTATTAATTTGGACCAGAATTCTCATCCACTTTGTCCATAATTATGAACTTTGTCAACTTTTTGATTGGGGTGACGAGCTTTTGTCTCCTCCTCCTTCTCACACATTCTGCCAGCCTGAGTGGTGGGGACGAGGTCAGAGCACCAGCCCCACAATGTCCCACGGACGGGTCGTGTCAATTGCCAACTTGTCACTGCGCCAGCACGACGCCGCCAGGGGGACTTTTCGGACCGAACGTTCCACAAGTTAGTTTACCCCGAAATAAATGACAAATTAACGGTTTAGTCCGTTACACATTTTAATTTGTCTTTTTTTCTAGATCGTCTACTTGACCTTTGACGACGCCGTGACGATCGTGAACCACCCGTTTTACGCGAGTGCCTTATTTAACCGGAAGAACCCGAATGGAGCCTCCATTTCGGCCACGTTCTTCATCACGCACGAGTACTCGAACTACTCACTCGTCCACGACTTGTACCGCAAAGGACATGAGATCGCGCTGCACAGCATTACTCACACGACGACGACGCAGTACTGGGCAAACATGAATGAGTCCGTGTGGAATGCAGAAATCATCCAGCAAGGGGAGCAGGCCTCACATTTCGCACGATTCGACAGAAACCTGGTCAGTATTTAAAGGCAGGCGCACAGAGTTGAGTTAGTTGGACGCTTTGTCTGATCCATCCGAACCGAATCCGAATTTCTCGGTCAAAAAATGTCTAAATTTGACCGAATGATTAGGATTCGGTTCGGATGAATACTTAATTCGAAAGTCGGATAACCCAGGCGCATCTAAAAATTTGGAAGAGTTTTAATGTTCGCTAATTGTGATGCCTAGATTCGCGGAATGCGCGCCCCATTTTTGCAAACGGGAGGGAACACGATGTACCGCGCGTTGTCGCAGGGCGGCCTCACGTGGGAATGTTCCAGACCGACGTATACATACCGGAAGCCAGGACTTTGGCCGTACACAAATGACTTCCGTTCGATTCAAGATTGTCAAATAGCTCCGTGTCCGGACGAAGCCTTCCCAGGATTCTGGACCGTTCCAATGCTGGATTTTATAGGGGATGATGGCTTCCCGTGCGCCATGGTGGACGAGTGCACTCCAGTGTAAGGAATTATTTAGTTAATTATGGACTTATTGTTTATTTATCAGGACTAATTAATTATTGATGTTAATTATAGTCCAAAGACGCAGCAAGATACGTTCTCTCTCCTGCTGCGAAACTTTAACGACTTGTATACCACGAATCGAGCCCCGATGGGAGTTTTCACCCACTCTGCGTGGCTTATCGGACCTGTGGACAGGCCAGAATTTGCTGAAAGGATGGCAGGATATCTTCAGTATGGAAATTTATGAATAAATGTGCGTTTGAGCAGCACTGATTAAATGTCTGTCCAGATTTTTGGACCATTTGGGCTCCCTTCCCGACGTTTACATGGTGAGCGTGTCGCAGGCGTTGGAGTGGGTAAAAAATCCGACCGGAGTCGCGGATATTGACACGTTTCAGCCATGGGCTCCAAAACCAGAGGCGACGAATAACTGCGTATTTCCGAGAAATTGTAGATATGATAATAGCACTTGGGAAAGGTATGAAAAATTCAGGAAAATTTCAAAAATGAAATTTATATGATTCTGAACAACTACTTGGTTTAATTTGTCAGATTTATGAGCGCCTGCGTCCCCTGTCCCCTCAACTATCCCTGGGTTTACAATAATCTCGGAGTTAATTAAAAAATAATCAATAAAAAAACTTGTAAATTTTAATGAATAAATTGATTTCTATGTATTTCGACTGCATTTTTATGGGAAAAATTATTAGCTTTTAAATCTCATTCGATTCCTGCTCCTGGCAAAATCTTGTCGTCATTATTCCCATTGCTGCTGTTACTGCTGCGACTAGCTTTAGTATCCTGCTGCTGCTCGGAAGAGTTTTTCTTGTTGACCTCGTCCCCGGGAGGAAGGGCTCCCTCACTCCGACCGACCGATGGATCCGGAAGTTCTTCCGGCATGGAGTTGTCCCAAGGCTCGGTTGGAGGTTGTGGTTGAGGGGATGGTGAAGCGTCATTGTTTTGGCCAGGCGGGGATGATCCTGTGTGAGAATCTGGTGATGGTGGGGGAGGAGGTGGATCACTGGGTGGGGCTGGAGGAGGAGGAGGTGGTGGACCTGAAAATCAGATAAATAGCGTGACCATATTTCCCACGGGAAGAAAGATTTATTGACAGAGTAACCATTTGCAAGAAATATAAGTAAGTAATACGATAAGACAGTGGTTACTTGCAGCTATTTTGACCTGCAAGAAATGCAATGAGCAAAAAACTACTCCCCGATAAGCGCGTGGCAATATGGCGCATATCTCTAGCGCTTTCTTGCACTTTCTTTGACCTCGCATTTCTTGCGTTTCTTGCTGTGCAAGAAATGTAGCAAACCCACAAGAAACGAAACACTGCATTTTTAACCTTTTGAATCTTTGTCATCTTTTTCATTCTTCTTCTTTTCCTCTTCCTTCTTCTCCTCGTCGCCTCCTTTTTTCAGGGGGACGTCTGTTATGGGGGTGGCTTTTGGAGTGGTGTCATGTTTTGGAGGAGTTGTCACCTGATTGATAAAAATAACTTGATCTTGATCCTGTCCAAGCTGCTCCATGGCTTTCTTGACTTCCTCCTTGAAGCCGAGTTCCATTCCGAGGAGGAGGCAGTAGTGGTCAAGCAAGGAGAAGAGTTCTTGTCGCCGTAGCGCCTTCGCTTCCCCACCAATCTTAGCGATGGACTTGGTGTCAAATAAAAGCGTGTGGATCGGATCGCCCACATAGTCACCCGCTTCACGGATGGAACATTGTCCCAAAATCTGTGTATATATTTAAACGGGGACAAATATAATTCAAAGACTTGGAATTTTATTCAGTAACCCAAGTAAAAATTCGAGTGGATTTCCTGCAGAGGCCAAATTTTCGGCAGAAGACTGTATGCGGAGCGATATGTGCAGAAAACTATGCACACAGAATTATGCACACACGGTTCTGCAGAGTAACACCCACAGAAATTGCGTGTAGGATTATGAGAAACAAAATTATGCAGAATATACATGATATGCATCGACCTTTGTCCATTACTGCAGAATTCAACACATTGACTTCTTACCCCCAAAATTAACCCAATGATCATGCAAATCGTTGCCGAGAGACGATATCCATTGATTTTGTCGTAATTTCGAGGCAGCCCCACGTGTGGACGTTTGTCGAGGAATCGTTGACGCTGACTGCTTTGTAGCAGAATTTGTTCTCCTCGCCGGAAACGCAACAGCTCGGGGGAACCGTGGCCAGCACGCCGCCGATCTCGAGGAGGGGGCCGTGACCACGCCAATCCTTCCAGGACTCGATCCCGCAACATTTCATCTACACGTGTAAGCAAGGAGGTAAAATATGATAAGCGATAGGTTATCGATTTCGACATACTCACGGAAGACTGGTAGCGATCCCAGCCTTCTTTAGAGAACCAATGGTCCGTGTAGCCCTTGAGATGATGCACCATCTCCCCCTGAATCCGCCAATCCTGCGTCGTGTAGAATCCGATGGCTGAGATGAAGATGCCCAAAAGTGGGAACACCATCTCGTACGGCCAGGACACGTGGACAAACTAAGAAGGAAATTGATTAAATATTTATGCACCATGGTTTGTAAGGATATTGACCCACGCCGATGAGATAGGGTCGCATGGAGCGAAGTCCGAGGCCCAGGATACCCACAAAGACGTGTTTGAATCCCTGGAAGAGAAGGAGGGCGACGAAAAAGACGCAGAATTCGGAGCTTTCTCGTATCGCGGGTACGAATGTTTTTGGAAGGAGGGTGAAACCAAAGGCGACGAGGAGTTCCCAAGGTCCGATAACCTGTAGGAAAATTTTATCAGATTTTCTACACTTATTTTATAATGCACTTTTAGAAATGTACGTGATAATGGAGGTCTCACACTGGTCAAAATTGCGTATGCCTTGATCATAGGGCGGATCTATTTGCATTGAATTTATTCATCATGACCGGATTTCGCCATTTCTAAATGGATTCTGGTGAAATTAGAACACAATGTTTCCAGCCATAATGCCCTTATGGGTGAAAGGAGGCAATGTGAGATTTATGTAAATGAGGTAATCGGAAATAAAAACGGAACTTTCACGAAGTCCTATATACGTATAAGTATAGGACATGTTGTCGACATGTCGTAACTTCGTAATGCCATTTGTCATATTAAGATTCATATCATGATTTCGTCATGCCGTAATTTGCATGAAATTTAGACACAATCTCCTTACCTTAGCCTTTTGCTCAATATATTGTAGCCATAAAATTTCTAATGGGATGAAAAATTAAGAGAAGCAAGCAAACAGAGAAATTTAGGATTATGCATTTCTCTATTTTTCACCCGATTTGTATAATTTTTGGGTCTGGAGAATTTTGGGATCTTGAGACCTCCTTCATCACTACCTATATCTACATAAATCTTTACCAGTGCCAAAATTGTGCAAATGTCGAGGCACTCCTTGGAGTAAAGGCAGGGCCACTTTCGTCTCTTCATGAGCCGACACTACATAAGTTAAGTAATCATGAATTAAAGTACAGCTAAAAATGGGCACAAATTACTATAAATTGTAACATTTGTAACCTTCTCGAAATCTTTTGGGGGTTGTGGGGGCCATGACCATCCATGTTCTTCCTCCAGTTCTCGTACAATATTTTTAATTCTTGGTCGTGGGTCGAGGTAAATCTCAGACTCGGGAAGTTTCATATACTTCTCTAAATTTATGTCCGACGGGACAATTTTCGAAGAGGATGCATCCGCCATCGTCGCTTTTTTGAAATTTGTGTAGTAATTTTTTATGAATTTGAATTTTTCTCGGTTCGAAATAAAAATGAAATTTGAGCCGTGGAAACTTTGCGTATTCTTATTCAGCTAAATTTTATTAGCCTATTTATAAAATTAAAAACAATTAAAATTAACAAAGCACGCAATATTATTTGACACTTTATCATTCTATGGGGCACCACCCCATAGAAACGATGTCAGTTAATCGTGCAAAGCACGCGACTAATTGACTAAATCACAATTTCTTGATCGGCTGCATCGTGGAGGCGACAGCGTTTTGCAGCCTATTTAAATTTTCCTTCATCTCCCCCAGTTTTGCGGCGATGAGAAGCGTTTGTGGTGGTTTTGTATTTGTAAGTTGTGGTTGTTGCAGTGGGGCTGCACTCATGCCTTTCGTGGACCCCAGAATCGTATCGGCCAGGGTGCCCATCACGTAGGACACGTAAGGATTCGTCTCCGCGTAGGTCAAGGCGTGGTCCACTACATCCACGACGCCAACGGGAAAGTACAGGATTTTTCGCCCAGTTTCCAAAATGTTACTGATCCTGGTCACAATGCCGGCAGGATTTCCCTGAAAATAACGACAGATTAATTTAGGACATGATTTACTCTGCGCAGTATTTCTTTCTTGCTGATGATCCTAATTTCTTGCACTGCAAAGCAAGTAACGCAAGAAATACAAGGTGCAAGAAACTGCAAGAAAGTGCTAGAAATATGCGCCATATTGTCACGCGTCGTATAAACTATCACGGCGGGGCGTAGTTTCTTGCGCCTTGCATTTCTTGCAGGTCAGAATAGCTGCAAGAAACTACTTTTTTGCAAGTGGTTACTTGCACCAGAAACACTGACTTTATGGCGACTAACCTGCTGATTAAGCCCCAGAAAATTTTCATCTTGTTCCATAACAGGAAATAAATTGGACGCTTGGGCCAACTGCTCTCCTGGTGGATTTTGTAAAGGTTGCTGGTTAAGGTGTGGCTTTGCAATTAGAATGTTGGGATTGAGCTGGTGTAAAGCTCTGGGGGGCGGAAGTTGGTGATGGAAGGAGCTTGGGGCGGGGACGCGTATGCCAAACTGCTCAGAACTATCGTAAACTTGACGAGCTGGCAGAATTTCTGCGTTGCTTGAAGTAAAGTGGGGCTGGGAGTGGGGATGAATGTGAACGACTTGTGGGGAAGGAGGACTTGGATGATAAGCATGAGCAGAATTGTTGATTTCTTCGTCGGAATAGTCGTAGTAGTCGGGAGCTGTAGTGGTGGTGGTGGTAGGATCACTTGGAGGTGGAGGAGGTGATGGTGTGGTGGCATTGTTTTGGGTTGAATTGTCCAGTTTTAACGTGGTCGTTACGGGTGTGGTCGTGGTTGTTGTCGTTGTACGGAGTCGCTTCCTTTTATTATTAAGAAGGGGACGCCTCCTCTTTTTTGCCTGCTCCGTGGGGAGTGCGTTGGCATGTGGAAGCATCACCATTTGTGATCCAAAGGGTTGTTGGGGCAAATACTGAGAAGGTGTGCCCTCATTGCGCACAATTTGTGGGCGTGGTTGTGGGATTTGAAAGGTTTGCGTGGTTTGGAATGGGCGCGGATTTCGGGGATCCATCCACGTTTGGTGCTGCACGATGTGAAAGGTTTGATAGCTTGGCGTTGCTATTTGTGCTCTTTGTGGTGCTGGTACAGTATGTCGTGGAATTGGGAGTGTCGGCTGTTGGGTGAAAATAGTGTCCCGGCGTCGTTCCGGCGCAATGGTGGCGACGAGTTGTGTTTGTGGAGTTGTCAAATAGTCTGACAGCGACGCGAAAAATTCTGGTTCGGCCCAAAACTTTTCATGATTTTGTGCAGTGACGACGATAACGCTGATAAATAAGACGATGCTGGTGGCTGTCTTAAACACCATTTTTATATTTCCCGTAATTTATCACTGATGTAATACGTACGACACAAATTCAGATGAATCGAGCCCCCACAAATTCACTGCAGCAGGAAATGGTGTCCTCTTCTCACCTTTGGAGGAAGGGTGATGCAGTCAATGTCATTATTCTTGTCTTCGCATGATCACTGCCACAACACGACTGCGACTGAAAAGTTGACGAGACAAGTTTCTAAAATGCGATAACTTTCAATTTCATTATATTTACGTTCACCTTTTTACCAAGCCATAGTGCAACATGGCAAGTTTGCATAAGGGTACGCACATCGTACACAGCGTTAATTGTTGCGTATACCGGATGCACGCCTGTTATCGTAATGTGTTGTGATTTAAAATAGGTATGAAATGCGGAAGGAATAAATTACTCGTATCATCATGAATCTAACCTCCTCCACCCCACAATAAAATTCGTAATATGCAACCATGTGCATATGTACATCTCAATTAGCGTGAGATCTTATGTATCAACCTGTTACACGGAAAAGAGTTACAAAAAGTTACAAAAAGCACTGCTGTCAAATGTGGTTACGAGACGAAAAAGCCTAACAAACAAGCCAAATAAGTAATGTTCTACCGTAATTTTGATGATGATCGAGTATAGTAGAAAGTACTGTCAAAAAACAAGTCTTGTTTTCGTAATGTGAAAAATATGGGAGAGGAGTTATTATGACTTTAATCCTGATAAAAAAATGCAGAAGTGAATAAAATAACCAAGATAATTATTTATAATTCCGAATCATTTCTTTATTTTCAAAATTCACATTAAATTTTCCGCAAGCAATGATAAGATCAATGCACTCGAATCCAATACAATCAAATTTTTTACGTGGCTACTACATAAAATTGGTTATACAACAACCATGAGAAGTATACGCTAGCCAAATATTTGTGCATGACTACTTCTGTAGATTTCTGGATATATTTTTTTTTCCTGCTGCCGAATATATAAAACAGCAGTTTTGAATTTTCGCCAAAAGGTTTGGTTCATCTTAAATTAATCGTATTTATCAATTAAACTTATCATTTATAATATGCTACACTTTTTTGACTATACATATTATTACGCTTCCTTAAAATAGGTAATTAGTATTTGCGAATATTTTATACATTCACCTGCGAAAGTCTAGCTTTCCGACGACATAATATTCATAGCGAAGGATTCATCTGCGAGAAAATATGTAAGTGACATTCACACCCTGTGGTTACTTATATTCTCTCCGAAATAAAATCTTCTAATTACCAAAATAAAATATCGGGAAAAACAATATCTCTTCTTCAGTTTGACTGAGCACAAAATACGGATAAAATTATATATATATCGAGCTATTGTGAAATCCAACAAAAAATAAGGAAACAAGGATAGACCAGCTACTCAAACTCCTAGGTAAGTACTCCATCACCCCGTAATAAACAGTAAGTCGTAATTAAATTAGTAATTATTAATTAAATCACAAAAACAAAGACAAAAATAAGTAATGTCTCCATAAATCAAGTAAATATATTATTAGAGGAATATTTTGAAAACAGAATTTGTACAAGAATTTGATAATTCGAAGGGCTTATGAGACAAGTGTGTCAATTAAAGTAAGTTAAAAACGGTTTGTTTACGTTAAATCCACCCACACAGCGATTGTTTAAATTTAGTAATTAATAATGTAATTAATTCAACCCTAATTATGATTATAATTTTACAAACATTGTGATGTTTAATGTGATAGACAACGAAATTCACTAGGAAATTTCAGTTAATGAATTTTACATGTGACTAATAATTATTTTACTTTAAATTTAAAATGTTGTTTTTAGAATTATTCTTCTATCAAATTATGTTATAAGAATCGTGGGAACTAGTTGAAACGTGGCATCAATAATCTTCCAGCGTTGCCATTCTGTGGTCACGATTCTTTCCACGGTTGACCGAGCGAACCTTGAAGTTCATGGCGTTCAAGTATTGACGATCTGATTTTGCTTGACGAGCATCGGAATTCGGACTGTTGACCACGGCAGGTTTTGGGGAACCGAGCTCCAAAACTTGACGTATCATCATGTTCTAGATCAAATAAATATTATTATTATTTATATTATTTGTTGTTTTGTTAACGTGATATACTGAGAGAGTATGTGTCGTATCAAATCTCACCTCGACAAGGTGACGATTTATTCCAGAACCGAGGACTTTACAGATGGCGTCGTATTGCCGTTTCTTTGCCCAAGATTCAATCTCAAGGACTTCACCGGACCCAAATCGCATCACGAAACCAGGTCCATCTCCATCCTGTAAAAAATTGTGGCGTATGTTTAGTTGGAATTCGTGTTATTAACAATTATCTCCCAGTCTTACCTCAACAGCGTGCAAGTAATCACGGAAACTGTGATGTTGCTGACGACGATCTTTCTTGGCGCGATACTTGTGTGATTCCACGGACAACTCTCGAAGTTTCTCAATCAAGACCTGAAAATATAACATGAAAATAATTAGTCAAGTCTGTTATAGCCACGTCATGCATTCAAACTAGGTTAATTAGTAAAATAGTGATAATAATAATTACCTTCATGTTGGTCTTTTTGTTGGAATGTCCATTTCTCATCTTTGAGATATCGTCCTCATCCGTTTCCTCAGACTCGGAGTAAGTGTCTTCAGAATCCTCGGTTAATTCACACATTTCTACCAAAATCGCGAGTGCTTCTCCAGCACAAAGTCGCATTTCAAGATCGGGATGGTCCAATAATCCTTGAAGGATTCCGGTCCAACGGTGAACTCTGTTTACATATTCATCAAATCAGTTACTCTATATAAAAATACTTCCACAGAGATTAATATAATTAGATAATTTGTACCTGGTGGATAAATAGTCCGGCGACATGATGGTCAAAAGCAGAGACCATCCTGAAATTGCGGTTGCGGCTAAAACGCTCGTGCTCGCCTTTGGAATTTTCACCGATTTGGCTGGGCTTGCTCCAATACCGAATGCATCGCTCTTTTCGACCAGTTTCTCGACATCCTTGTTGTTCACCAATTTCTCTCCCTTTGCGCCAAACAGAGGTTCCAACAAGGTGATTAAATTTGCCACGTCTTGAAGACATGTTTCTGCCAACAATCCACCAATGCAGAGGGCTTCACAACACTAACAACAAAATTAATAATTAATTAGCTTGTCAATCAATAAAACACTTGTTGAATTAATTTAGTAATGATAACTTACCTTTGCCCGAACCGAAATTGACGCCGTGTGATCCAACATGAGGCTTTGGAGACATGGTTTAATTGCGGTAAAGTCTTCCGTGGCCAGATCCGGGTCCAAGGCACCCACTTGGATGGCGGAGAGTGAGTAGACTTGTGCAGCGAGGGCCTGCTCGTTGGGGGCTCCACGCTTCAAAATTCGTTCCAGATTATCTCTCAACGTTTCCCTTCGTCCGAGCATCAGATCCGGGCGAAAGTTTTGGCTGAGTTGAGTGACCAACAAGTTGAGTGCTGTGGTTCGCACGTTCGCCGACTTTTCCGTGATTTGGTCAAGAGCTTCGACAAATTTGTCTTCCAATGTTTCGCCAAATGTGGTGACGTCTCGGGACGTAGTAGTGGAATCTTCGTAGTCATCATTTCCGTTGTCGATCCCATCGTCATAACTGCCACGGTCAGAGTTGAGGCTGACAACGGAAGCCGTGTCTCCCACGGAATCCTCGTCCGACAAGCCGCTCCTTTTTCCCTTGGGGCCTGGAAAGCACAAACAACAATATTCCGTTGTTAATCTAAGTTTACTTGCATCCTTCTCATCATAATTATCTTGTGAATATACTGCATCATCATCCCATGCAAATCAACAATTAATTATCAACCTCGTCCGCACATTCTTATCATAAACCATTTATTTTATATCCTCTCCTCCTCACTTATGCAAAACTTAATCATTCAGCAGCAGCAGCAGTTCCAGCTGTATCAATCAAATATTTGCAGAGATCAGAATATTTATCTCTCTCTGTATATTTACTTATTTATTGTGCTGATGCCACCATGAACAAGCAATATTATACATAAGATAGCCATAAAGTATATACATAGCAGATTTTTATGCAAGCAATGCCATTCAACCATCAAACCCACACATAGCCAAGATAACACTACATTACATATATACTTTGATACTTGATTTATTTCGCTCTATGCAAAAACTGTGTGCAAACTCCAAGGACGAAGATGAAAGGATGGAGCAAATTTACCCAACAACTGCCCAACTAACTAACTCGATACTCCAGCAACCAACCAAACCAGCATGCCAACAATAATAAACACAGATACTCTTTACCAGTACTACCATTCATTACATAAGCTCGAAATTCACTTCACTTATTTTTAACCAAGTGCAAGCCTGTTAAATAAAATGGCAGCAAGACAGAGGCGAGACTAAATACTTGACGACCTCCATAAAAGCAATGCAAAGTCAATATTCAACATTGGACTTGACTTGGCTCCTTTGTTGTTGCAAAATATCGAGCCAAGCCAATCCATGCAAAGTATAAAATTTCAATGCAATTTGGCTGCAATGCAAATTTATCCTACCACCGAACCAGAATCTTACAAAAATTGCTCACCCGTGTGAACCTTTTGCTTTCATTTCAGTGTCATGAATGCTAATAAACGATCTGATACGAAAATATGTGCCTACCTGACCTAGCTCATTTTGACAATGTGAGTATTATGACAAACTTGTGAATTATGTAAGGAAAAAAAAAACTTGTCACTCATTCAGCCAAGAGTTAGCATAATAATAGTGAATGTAAATATGACGAAAGTGGTTGAATAAAATAATAAATATCCTCATTTTGCTCCTACTTACAAATACGCCAGACTTAATACCTAAGCAAATGTCCCCATTTTTTCTTAATCTTGCTCAGACAATGCAACAATACATGCATAGAATACAAGTGGTTGGTTGGTATGTGGTGCATGATGATAAGTACAGCAGGTGTTGTACAGGTGACAGGTATTTACGCTACCACGTAAAGGTAAAGCTCCTCAATGCTACCGTGTCGTCGTCGCTGTATAACTTTCTCATTATATTATTCGTTCGTTAGTTCAGCTGAATTTTACGAGGAACAAGGAATTGGCACAAAAGAATGAGAATTCAACGAAGCAGATAAACTATGCTAGCTCGCTGCTATTTATATTTACCTCCTTCCGTATTCCTTTCTACTCGAAGTTTCCGTTTTTCTTGACCCATTGTATGTAGAGCACAGTTTTTAGTTAAATGTTTCCAGACCAAGATCTAGTTTTCAACTGAAACGTCCTCCTCTCGCAAACAAATCTCGTCTTCAAAACAAAACAACAAGTCGCTGACGCTGACGCTGCAAAACAACTTCCTCCAGAGTTCTGCAGAATGTGGTGTTTGTTTACCCACATTTTACATAAGCAAGCATACGCGACACGCGTTCGGATACCTATCCACTAATCGATCTGTTTACACCAGCGAAAAGTTCCACGACTTCTACGTGCCTACTGGAACGTTTCCCAGAAAAAGAAGGGAACTTTGCCCTTTCATTTAATTCTCATCGCGTGGAAATTCCCTCCCTAAGGACTAGTCGCCCACACCATTGCATTCATTCAGCTCAATATGCTCCTTAGCTTGTCGAAATTGGGAAAGGAGCTGACTTTCTCCACGAGCTACGTCACATTGTGCGAAAGAAGATACTACGACCACGCCAAAATCAATTCTTTTGGGTCTAGAAGTTTCAAGAGGCAAGTTTCTCCTCGTATGTACGGACTCCTCATGAGAATGACTCACCATCACACAAGGCCAAATAAATACTTCAGACGTTTTATTTTACGTAATCATTCATCGTATATTGGTTCTAAATTTGGTTGCATAATATGCTTCATAGCTTGCTTTTTAGGCTGATATAAGCCAATTACTTTGAGAATATTGAGTTGAATGGATCGATCATTTCTCGACTTTTCCCCGTCTTTCTCCATTGACTGATCATTGATCTCGCCAACATTTGCGACGTTACGTGGTGTGCACGTTTGTTTTTTGTTATGGATATGGCCACGCTGGAGGACATTATTCTCTCCTCGCTCCTTCGTGGGGCCTTGAACCCACGACTGCCTACTTATCTCCTACAAATCTGGGAATGATACGTGTGAGTTGTGAGTTCGTTCAACGCGCAAAGTTGCAGAAACGGAAAAGCTAACCAAACAAGGAAAGAACAACGCAAAATAACGACCTTTAATCTACCATAGGGAAATTGGGCACATGAACTATTATTCGTTCGTATTACTTTACCTGGAATAAATTATCCAATCCACCCAACAAACAGCAGTCTATCTACCTCCTGTATATATAATATTGAACTTGTCAATCATGCTGTTAGTTGGTGAACATTATGCTATTTACAGTTTCAATAGTCTCTCGTATTTTTGAGGGTAAGCTAACTAACAATAATAATAATATCTCCCCTGCTTGGCGTATTATTATCTTATCTCCAGTTTTATGACTCGCTACTTGACAAACAAACAACGTCAAGTTAACTTTACAGGTCTTTTATATTTGAACAAAAGTTCAATGCAACCGTAAAGTTTTGAAGTTTAAAAATCATCATAAACCTTCATTCGTGAGCTAAGAAGATGAATTATTGCGTGACTTGGAGGGGGTGGAGGTCACCCTGGCATTTTGTTGACACTGACGTTGGCTGGTATCTACACGTACGCACACATCATCGGGAGAAATGTGACGTGGAGTTTGGAACTGGCTGTCTGAGTTGGAGGATGCATAAAATGACGACAACGACGACATGACATCATCATCATTCATGAGCTAAAAAACGATTTCATGGGATATGCATGGAATCCATTGTAAATAGCACAAACTAGCAATTTATATTACGTTACAATACAATGCACAATGTTTATCCTGACCAGACTATGATTTTTGATTGCGAAATTGTTCAAGACATTGCATTGAATTAATAAAATTGCATCTAATTTCTTACCTCGTTTGGGAGTGCCCTTGGCAGACCCAGGACCCTTGGAACTTTTTCTTGGCATTTTGTATTTCCGCTTGTTATATATTACTCGATAAATTTGGTTTCACTTGAAATTTTGAGGGGGTTTCACAAAAAAGGAAATTCAATTCAGTAATGAATGAATTATCAACGTTGTTGGGGACGAATTAAATTTTTTTAAATAGTTCCTTCGACGACGACGAGTGTATGAAAAAGATATAGGAGAACCCACAAATTTTACTATAGTCAGTTTCTGAAGAGTTTGAAATAAAATTTAATAAACTGAAAAAAAGTTAAGAGTTGGTTGGTTGATCACTGAATTTTTTTTAACTAAAACCTACACTGGGAATTTATTTTTTTGACTAAATGGAGGACTCCCCAAGATCAAGAGAGATTGGGGTCTAGAGTTTCTTTTCGTATACTTTTAGGACCACACCCTTTGACACAATGTTTTTGAAAACTACTGTTGAAAAACCAAGAGTAATTATCTTTTTGGATCGTTGTATTCGTGATTTCTTCTTGGGTGATCAAAACCATTGCAAATATATCTTTAACGTCGAGGTGTCGATTGGATTAAAAAATCCGTCGTCTTGGGTTTTTGGAAAGTGGAAAAAATATTTCCAAATTTCGACAAAAATTTGTTCTACTTTCGTCGAGAATAATTAAATTATCAGCTCTTCCTCAATGCTCGTACAACTCCCAACTGAAACTGTGCTCGTGCTCCACTCGTTCTCATAATCTAATCTCTCTTGTCTCGCCTGCCACCCAACTCTCAGATTCTTATCCACACAAATGATCAGTCCCCACCAGGTCGTAAATTCTGCCAGGTTGGGGGCACACATTTCTCAATCTTCCCACCAAACCGAGTCTGGTTGGGAAATTCAAACTACATTGTTTTGTGACGACCTATTCCAAAAAAAAGAAAATTTTGAATAAGTTTTGTGGAAAATTAATTAAGAAATTTTGAGTGATTTGTTGTTTCCATCATGTTACGGAATCAGAAGGAGCTGGATAACGTGAATAACATGGCTGCCACTCCAAGTCCGGGGCAGTTGTCGTCCCTGCAAATTCAGCAAATGATGGCGGACGCGAAACGGATGATAAATGTTCGAAAGCAAGCTTTGGAAGCGACCGGGATAACTCTACCGCCGTCGATGTCATCCATGGCGTCGTCGGCTTCTATGCCCCCGCCTGGGGTTATCGTTCCGCCACCCATTGCTAGAAATATGCCGTCGATGATGATGATGGAAAATAATAATGATGTAGTTTCCTTTGATGGTGAGTTAATTGGTTAATTGGTTAAAATTTTACTAAATGTCATTAAGTATTCATGTTGTACTGTTGTGTTACAGATAAGAAGCGGAAAATAGCAGAGCTTCAGGCACAAATAGCTTCGAAACTAGCGTCTGGCGGATTTAAACCGGATGAAGAGCCGACGAAACCTATCCCACTTTTGCTAGATAATGAAGGTCGGGCGATTGACGTGTCGGGAAAGCAGCTTCTATTTCCTACCAGGCAGCCGACGTTGAAAGCCAATATCCGAGCACAGAAAAGGCCGGCGACAGATTCTAGACCCATGGGGAAGGATGGCACCAGAAGTGTGGTTCCTGAAGAGGAGGATTTTATGCCGCCAGGTAAGGAAAACTAATAATTAGATACAGTGTAATACCAGTTATTGAACTATATTCGCTATTTTTCATATATTTGCTATTTATCATTCGATTTGAGTTCTGTCGACATGTCGCAGTACGGCGCGCATCTATCTCCATAATCCTGTTGTCGACCTATCGTGTCGAAGTCGACCGAAAAATAGCAAATTATAATTATTAACGTTGATACAGTCATAGCTGTATTGCATAACCCCCTAATAATTTATGGTTGACTATAATTAATGGTACTTTTATTACGATACAGCTGGAAACAAATACTTTGATGACCGACTTCCCCCCGCCTCCGTGATCAAGAAGGGTCTCGAACGAAAGAAAAAGTCACTCCGCTTCAACGATCCTGGAAAATACGTAGCAATCGCCCAAAAACAGAGGACAGAGGCTCGACTGAACAACTTAAAATCAGAAATTGCCGACAAAGCTAGAAAAACGGGGATTGCGAATGCGGCCCGAATGGCAAAATTGTCCGGGACTGCAGGATCTTCGGACAAATCAGCGGAATATATTCCTCAAGTAGAATGGTGGGACACGCTAATTTTGGAAGAGGATAAAAAGATCAAGGACCTCGTCACTTACGACTCTCCCATCAAACAGGACGCTATTACGAGTCTGATTGAGCATCCGACCCAGATGCGATGTCCCACCGAGCCCAATGAGCCCCACTGCACTCCAGTCTTCCTCACAAAAAAAGAGCAGAAAAAACTGAGGAGGCAGAACCGTAGGGAAACTTGGAAAGAGAAGCAAGAAAAAATTAGACTTGGTAAGAAAATTACAAAATATTTCAGTTTCAAACTCATTTCAATATTTATTTATCGCGAGTTTTATTTCATACGTGCAGGTCTCGAGCCACCACCTCCAGCAAAAGTGCGAATTTCCAATTTGATGCGAGTCCTTGGCACGGAGGCGGTCCAAGATCCTACCAAAGTTGAAGCTCACGTCCGGCAGCAAATGGCAAAACGATTGAAAACACATCAGGACACGAACGCAGCGAGAAAACTGACCCCGGAGCAGAAAAAGGCCAAGAAAATCAAAAAGATGCAGGAGGACGTGACTCTCGGCGTGTCTGTGTCTGTTTATAGGATCGATTGTTTAGGAAATCAGGCCAAGAGGTGAGGAAAACTTGATTTAATTGAAATTATAAATACTTAAACTAAGAACTCGGTTCTAAACGAAACCTGAATTGTGTAAAATTACAGATTTAAAGTTGAGACGGTTGCACACCAGCTTCATATGACGGGTGTGGTCGTAATGTATCGAGAATGCAACATTGTGGTGGTCGAGGGAGGTCCGAAGCAGCAGGCCAAGTACCGCCGCCTTCTCATGTCGCGTGTCAAGTGGGACGAGGACATGGTGAAAGACAAGGAGGACACACCGAACAAGTGCATCCTCGTGTGGGAGGGGATGGTGAAGGAACGGGCATTCCCTGACTTTAAATACAAACCCATGAAGACGGAGGAAATGGTTCGCGAGTTCTTTAAAAAGTATAGTGTCCAACATTACTGGGACGCAGCGCTAAGCGGAACAGTGCTAGAAGCGGTGATAGCGGACGACTAAATTTAATTGTAAATAGGATAACAATTATGTAAGTTATGTTCCCCCAGTTTCTTATGTGATTAATAAATACCATCATAATTTAATAAATGCATCATCTCCTCCACATTACATAGTTCGAATTATTGTCAATATTGTGAATTTTTAGACTTGTTCTTTATTATGTGAGAGTCACTATGATGTGTGCATGTATGTGAAATTAATGAATTGCCTTGACCGACTGCGAAAAGAAAATAAGATTTGATTTTTACGAAGAAATGGTGAAAATGTCATGTTTTATTCCACAATTTTGTGTCCAAATATTCGGATTTCTTCTGAATTGCATTACACTTTTCTTGTTTGCTGTATGTATTTACAAACATTTTTTTGCAATCAGGGTTCGTATTGCATAGTTGGCGAAGCGTGACAACTCGGATAACTTGAGAGCGGATTACATAATGCGATTCGTTAATAGGAGTCTCTCCTCTCGTTTCTCGTTAGAGAGATATTTGTAGATGCAGTTTTTTGGCTCATTCATTTTCCCAAGGTCTTCCAGTTTGATGTGTTTTCACTCTTTTCTGTTCCTATTCCTATGCATGCCAAAAGCACGCCAACTGGATACATTTGTTGTTGTTGTGCAGATGTAATCCTGGCTTTTAATGAGTGGTCGGCAGCTTTAATGTAGCAAAAACTTTCATACTACATATTGCACAGTACATATTCTTGCAAATTTCTGTGCATGCAAATGTCCACCAGAATTAGATACAATCAGCCAGTTAATCAAGTGAGCTATGTATTCGTAACCTGCATGGGCAATACTTAAGGTAAGAATGGGATTTTTTGCATAATTTTTATATTTGGATGGAAAATAGTGATGCCGTCGTGACCACCGGGTTCAGAGGATTTAACTGGTTTCCCATGCAACTTACTGATATCAATATGATATCAAAATGATACAAAAACTTGGATATGAACATATCCACACGACATCAGTGAGCGTCAGAACTACATCAGTGTATGTCTAGATTGGATCGCTATTTCCCAACTTTTGATATCATAAAGATGTTCACTCCGACATCGCCACGATGTCAGACTAAGTCTAACCGCTGATATTGTTTAGATATCGTATTGATGTCTGATGGATGTCATGCGTTGGCACAAAAATGACATACACTGACATGGTATTATTTTCTTCAAAATTTATTTATTTACTTAACATTCTACAAACAGTACACGCATTAATGATTTTAAGCTAAAAAATTATTTAGTATTGGATTTTTTAGTAGTTTGCTCAGCCTTCAGTCGGTCACCTGCGTGCTGGAACCAGGAAATTACAGCTTTAGCCAATTCTTTCTCTGAAATTTCCGGTTTGGCTTCACCTATGTAATCTATGGAATGAGACATTTACAATCAGTACATATTTATACTGATTGCAATTACTATATACTATAATATTATGCATACGGTACCTGACATGACAGTCCAGCACGTTGTTGATGAAAAATTGTAATTTTGCTTTAACCCTTTAAAGCTAATCCCAAGAGCTAAAAAGTTAGTAAATAGCTTCTTTAGGATGTCGCCAACGACTTCCGGGACTTTTGAGCTACCTCCACGAGAAATGTGACGCTTCTGTAAAAAATACATGATTAATATTTAAATAATTCTCTCAAAAAATAGTTCATATTTATATATAAACAAGCCATCTTACAAGTCTTAGTTGTCTTCCTTCATTGTGCATAAGTGACTCGTCAAATGCGAGAAACTCAGCTAAATTGTCAAATGGTTTTTCAATTATTGGCGGTTCCTTGGATTTTAAATCCTCCTTGCAAAAATTTGTGAGCCTCTTATTTATATTATCCAAGTTAAGTTTAATTAATGCCACGTCCGTAAGAAGTTTGCTCCACTCAGCTAAATTTAATAAAATCATAAAAGTTACAATGTTTATGGAAATAAAAAGTGTTACGTCCACCAAAAAATGTTACCTTTTGGAATATTGGTCACAAATAATGGCTGTGAGGCTTCAGCTACTGTCCACTCCATGTTCTGCCGTAAAATTTCAGAACCTTCGGCGCACTCAACGGTTTAGTTTTCCAACAACGTTCGAAGGATTTTGACTACTTGACCCAGAAGCGCAGTTGAGCTGATCCATGTTTAGTTCACCTATTTTTAATTAATAATATTTTAATACAACAAAAGGAACTAAGGATAAAGTAAATGGGAGAAGATAAATGATAAATGCATTGTATAATTTTTTACTTACCCACGTCCAAATTCGTCATCACAATTTGTGATGATGACGAATTTGCTAGAATAGCACCATCTGCATTCTCAAGTACGACGTCCGCGTTTTCTAATGAATCCGATGTTTTATCATCGGTACAATGTCCAACTAGTGCAAGACTAGGCATTTCCGGAAGGTGAGTTTTGACGACCTCAGTGGTTATTTTCGAATGTGCGGAAGCTGTTGAGAAAAATAAAATTAATGAAATATTAAGAAGGAGATAAGAGAAGCGATAAAACAGACTTTTATTTACGTTTCTGACCTCTTAAATCGTGTAAAACGTTGTCGTCATCTGAGTCCTCTACGTCATTATCGCTTCCAGGAGATGTGAATCGTTGCGGTTTTCTAGTCCTTTTGTGAGGTAAATCATCCGCCTCGGTACTAGATAAATCTGAAGTCAACTCGGCTTGCACAATTTTCTTCCGGGCCTCCTCGTATGTGGCTGAAATAATAACAAAATAACTAAGAACAAGGAACAATACCAACGCAATTAACTAAATCATAAAATATCACACCATATGCATGAAGAATCCTAGCGGCATATCGGGGAAAGGATGATTTTGGGGGGCGGCCGGATTTTACGACTACTGCTGCATTTTTTGAATTTGGCCATGCACACGTCTGGTTGTCGAAATATGATTGTGGCACCACTGCAACCCATTTCTTTTCGTCCTCCTTCATTTCAACAATGTAGAACATCTTAAAGCTGGTGAACTAGTGGAAAGACGGCGATAACTCCTGCAGAGATAGGAAATACTTGGCATTTATATACAACCTCGGAAGCACGAATTTGACAGAGTTTATAATGATTTTCGTCAGCTCTATAAATCTGAAGCACTTTTGACGAACACGGCTGGGAAAATAACGAGTCCAATTTACTGTACTTATGTCCAACTAAATAAATCTCACTGGTATCATTGTCTTGAAGAATGTTAAGAATCCGAAGCACTGCGCATTCACGTATTAACACGAAAGTATCGCGGCGAAGCCTACAGTTAATTGTATAATTCGGTGTAATTAATACGTGATACTGAGTAAAATTTCCAATAGATTCTTCTAGATGTGGTCCATTGTTGTGCTGTGAGGATGGCCCGTTTATTTGAATGTTTCGCGCCTCCAATTTTAGTTCCCTCTCCAATAATCTTTGTTTCAGTTGCTCCAGTGGCAAATTGGGCGTCCTAACTAATTTTCTTAACTGTCCAAGTTCATTTTCAAATTTGAATGTGCTAAATCTGTCCAACACACCAAAATTTTTCACGTCTTCCGCTAAATGAATGAGACCGTGAATGTTGTAAGACACCTGTTCTTCTCCATATAGGATTTTGAAGGCTTGGACAAAGTAAATTAGTAATGACTTTGCATAATTGTTAAGGGAAATATGTAATGTTTCAGAACACAATATTCTAATCGCAATGGATAAACTTAAAAATAAATTGTAATTTTCGTCAGTTATAATATTTTTCAATACCACAGGGCCACAATAAAGTAAAAAGTATCTCAGTTCCGTTGCCTTCCATTTGTCAACTTCTTCTAATGATCGTGGTTGACGGGAAAATTCAGATGAAGTAAATTTTTTGAATACTTTTAATCTTGCTGAAATTTGAGATATCTGGAAAGCTGACAATTTTTGATGCTTTGGTTTACCCTTTATCCACAGTTTCAAAAGTTTTTTGACTACCCCTAAACAGACTAAGTGCATGTAGTCGATAGGGAATGAATTAATCATGTGCAATCCATCTATCTTCGTCAATTCCGTTGTTCCAATATGATGGTCTTCGTCATTTTGTTGGCGAAATTGTAAATCAGTTCTCAGTTCTTTGTTAATTTCGAAAAAACTCATACGCCGATTTATACTCCTTCCAACCGCGCAGCACTTATCACAACCATGGTAGCCATTATGCCCTTTAATTGCCTTCACAAACGACTTTGCCGGCGCGTCGCAAACAAAACACTGTATTTTAAATTTGTCTTTTGTTGTAATTTGTTCTGCATTGACATCCGCAACTAATTTTTGAAGGTATAAGTTGACATTCTCTGGTTTCTTATTTCCACTATAAACTCCAATCACAAATGGATTGAAATTTAATCCACCAAAATATCCCAGTATTGGCCAAAATGATAATGAACAGCTTTTGAAAACTTGAAGACCATCAATATTGATTTGAAGGGGGATTGAATTTAATGTCGGGTGTAGCTTTGTGACCTGCTGAGTATATGTCTTCAATCCAAAATGCACATATTCTCCAGGGACAACTGTTTCTGTAGGGGCGTTAAACTTCACGGGCTTGATAAGAGTTCTGCTGTCTGACGGAAAGGTTTTAAAACAATCATGGGTACCTAGGATTTTTAGAAGTCCAGTTAACTGACTGTGATTAATTGAGTAGTCAAAGGCCCAAGATTTTATGCTTTCTAGGGTTTCAGTAGAGGATGAGGTCACTTTTTCACAATTTTTATAATCACTTTCATCATCACAATCTGAAAATTGGATGGAATTGTCACTAGAACTTGTGGAATTAATATAACTTTCCTCGTGATTATCAATTCCCTCCTCGGACAAACTATTTATTAACTGATCTGGTTCGTGTAACTGACTACTTGATTGATAAGTTATACCAACAGATATTTCGTTAGTTTCTTTTTTTGCAAGTTGTTGTAATCTCTTTTTACCTACTATACTTTTTCTCATTTTTATTGTAAACAAATTCTACTTAAAAAATTACCTTTTTAACAGAACTTGATGTCCACGCCGCTACACTCCAACTTGCACTAATTGAATATTGCGGTTCAGTTTCAACTTGGACCATATCCTATTCATGTCATATCTCGTGATATGTCAACGACATCATAGTCTGATGTCGTTACGATATCATATAGATATCGCAAACTGATGTCGTTTTTAAATCATGTAAATGACGTGCTGGAGACATGATCACTGATGTCGTTCCGATATCAATATGACAATCGATTCCTGATATCAGGCAATATCTTAGAATGATCTTGTTCTGATATCAGATCGATATGGAATGTTGCATGGGTTGTTTCTTCATGCAGAATATGAGAAAATTATTCCATAAAGTTAAAGGTACTTAAAAATTCTTATCAGTTAAAACGGGGGACTAATTTTTATAACCTATTTACTTAAATATTTTAGAATAGCCATGTCCTTCTCACCACCGGAAAATATGGAGCCCGAAGCGGACCAGCCTCTCAATGGGGATGCTGTCAAAGGAAAGCGCGTCACTTTCGCCACAAAATTTAAGGCGATTTCCGTCGAGAAACCCCCGAGCAAGGAGCCGTACAACTTTGTCCTTGCCGTCCTTGGTCTCTGTTGCTGCTGTCCTATCGCTCTCTGCTTGCCTTGCTGCTACTGTTTCGCCCTCGTGTGGATGTTCGTCCCCATGGCGGAGATAATTATTGGGTGGATGTACTACGATAAGGTATACTGTCCGCAGGAGGACGTCGCCCTCCTCCTCATCATCGGAGGGTCCATAGGCGTCCTGGCTGGTTTCATTGAGTGTTGCTTCGGAGGGAGGCAGATTCGACAGCATCAACAGGAACAACGACAAGGTATCAAAGTTGTGGATCTCTGGTATTGCAATATAGTGTTTAGTCTTTCGGGCGCAAGTAACCACTTGCAAGAAATATCTGTAAGGCAGTGGTTTCTTGCAGCTAAATATTTTGACCTGCAAGAAATGCAAAGCGTAAGAAACTACGCCTATAGCTCACAGGGCGCGTGGCGCGATGGCGCATATTTCTTGCACTTGCTGTTGCTCGCAAGTTTCTTGCGCCTCGCGTTTCTTGCTTCGCAGTACAATAAATGTGGCAAATCCTTAAGAAACGAATCACTGATTACATAAATTTTCACATTTTATTCCTCATCAGGAAAAGAATCATCGGCTGAAAACGGTGGTGTTGCTCCTCAACAGATTCAAGAACCTGCTCCACTTCTGACCCGAATTGTACTCTGGATTCTAAGAGTGGCAGCCATCGTTTGGGTCGGTATCGCAGCCAGTGTCGTCTACTCATTTTATGAAACCGTATGTTTTAAATAAATTCGCATCGTGGGTTGAAATTAAATTGAATTATGTAAATGTGCAGGTGAGTTACGAGGAGGGGACCGAGACGTACTGCCACCCGTTAATGTACCGTTTCCTCTTCTGGGTTGTTACCGTGTCACTCGTGCTCCTGGCCATGACGCCAATCGTGCTTTTGTGCGCGTGCTGCTTGGGGCTCTGCGCTGCAGCGGTCGGAGCGACGGCGGCTGTTGGAACGGCGGCGTCGGATTGAAAATAAAATATCTCAGACCAATTAATAACTGGTGCTTTTGTTATTTAAAGTAATTAATAATAAAATAAGGGTTTTTGATTTCCTCATCGTTGAAATATGGGCTGAGTTAAAAATGCATGCACATACATATCCGGAGAATTTATTCCTATTTTAGGAAATGAGTCCTACTCTATAGAAAATGAGTCTTATGCGCTGAATGAATTTGTGAGTAATGAGTGACAACTCGGGACAAGAGCTCAGTCAGTCACAAAGGAGAGCAATAAGTTTCTAATTGGCCTCCTGTGACGATTAAAACGGAGTGGATTGCTCTTCTGCCCCATCAATTAGTCTGATTAAAGAGTTCTTCACACTTCCCATTTCACCAGATAAACAATATAAATGCCCTGGATATAAATAATTTCAATCAACTAAATGCATGCAATAAACAGGATTTCATATTCACCAAAATTCTTTCATTTATATTTAAAATAGAAATTCGTTAGCATAAAAAAGATCAACATTGGGTTATATATGTACATGTATATTTATATTACACGTACTACACATTAATTAGGTAGGAATTTAAACATGAAATTTAGGATGAGGTTGTACATCAGGAAATTAATACTTTGTTTAGCGGTAGGTCGAATCGTTCGTCGTTTGAAGAGATGAAATAATTGACTAGAATTTACTCCCATACAAAAACGGTTCTTAAACTGGATCCCCACGCCCACCACCACCACCTCCGCTGGAACGAGACGAGAAGAGATGTTCGTACAAGGAAGGTGACAATTGACGCAAGTCCAAGTCTACGTCCGAATTCGATTCCAAATTTAAGCACAACTGTTCAATAATGCTGGTTCGTCCCTGTTTCGCAACGCTGTTGTTATTGTAACCCAAACTTCTCGGGGTTCCTGTCTGGGCGGAGAGTTTATTGAGCAACAACTTCATTTGATCTTCCCGTTGCAAATAGCGTGTATTCAAGTCTTCAAACTTTTGCGCGAGGACTGCCAGGATTTCATTCTCCTAAGTAAACAAATCAAAATTGAACAATTGGACATATCCAGTTTCAAGTTTCTTAATCAATTGACAAGCACTCACGGGTCGAGACATGGCTTGTGCAATCTGCAATTTCTCCCGGAGTTGCTGAATTAGTGCGGACGCTTCTCCCTGTTCTCTCTCGAGACGGGTCATCTTCTCCTCGGAACCTCGCAACTGGGTGAGATGCTCCTTGAAACGGATGATCACTTCGTTCTGAGACGTGACGCGTGATCGCAACTCGTCCAAAAGGGCTTCCTTCCGGTGTAGTTCGTCAGACAGAAGGGCTTCCTTGTCACTCGGGGAGAAAGAAAGGTTGTGAAAGTCACTTTTTTCTTGCGGAGTCACAGACGCGAGTTGCTTTCGAAGTGATTGGATCTGAAAGAGAGGAGAACGAAAAAAGTGGACACATAATTAACGATAAGTGGAAAACAGACGACACACGATTAGAAGCAGGTCTCTATTTATTATCGTCTCTCATTTATTTGTATCGAGTTGTTGCATAGGCAAGTAGTTTATAAAGTATACAAACAATAGAGGAGGAAAAGTGTTAGTCAATAAGCAGGCGAAGCACTAAAAGAGAGCATGTAAAGATTAGATTTGGTGAAATCTGAATTATTCATTCTAGTCGCTTGGCCAAGTCTTGAGTAGGGACGAGGAAAGAGAGTGCTGTGAGAACTCCAGTGGCTGCTAGCTTTCCAAATCGCCCCCCACTTTTGGCCCCTTTCGTGTTTCGCTCCTTTTCTAGTTGTTTCTAGTAATTGAATATTTTCACTCGAAAAAGGAAGCAGAAATGGAAAGCGATAAGCGTTTGGGTAAAGAAAAGGTGGACTCACAATTCTATCCCGTTCCTCAATCTCTCTCCTTTTATGTTGGAGGAGCCCCTCAAACTCGGCTCTCTCATAGTCCAACGTGTCCTGGAGGAGTTCCACCGTGGCGTTGATGTTCGCAGAACATTTTGCCCCTGTTGAAAAAAAATGAGAATGGAAATTATACGACCAAGAGTGAATTAACATAGGACTCATAACCAAAATCAGAAAAATTATTAAAAATGTGCTGATCTTGAGGATTTTAGCGATGAGTCGTAAATTACTCACCACCAGTGTTTATGTTGTCGTCCCCCTTTTTCGACCCTGGTCCCAATAACCTCCCACCAACGGCGACGTTTCCCACTCGGCCCACGATCCGTGGCGGTATCATGACATTATTAGGAGCAGCACTGCCTAGGTATCGTTCCCGTTCCCTCTTCAACGTGACATTCGTCTTGTTGAGCTCACCCAGCTCTTTCTTGAGACGAACAATGTCCTTCTCCTTTTCGGCGAGCTCGACTTTAAATCTTTTAATGGCGAGGGACAATGTGCCAGCGTCCTGTTGTCGGTTCGGGTTGGGAGCAGTGGTGACTCTCTGGGCAATTTCGAGATCTCTCTTGGTTCGAGACAGTTCCTGCTTCAAGTGGCCAATTTCACCCATGGCGCGATCCAATCGCGATTGCTGTTCGGCAACAGCGCCCACCGAGGCAGCACTCTCGGCTAGCTTGAGCTTGTTGAGATATTCTTCCAAGCGAGCCTCCGTTTCCTTGATTTGATCCTCATATTTAAGCTGCATAAATTAATCAGCTTAAAAAATCAGGCTATTTTATAAGCTTTATTTGTAGTTGTAACCTTTAAAGAGTTTAATTTCGCCTGAAAATCTTTTAATCTGTCTTTCGCATCGGAATCTGCTTGTTCTAAATTTCGTTCGAGTTCTACAATGCGTCCCTCCAACACGGCAACGTGTGGCTCATCGTGCAATCTCTTCTCCCCGTCGTCTGGATGATCCGAAGAAGTACTTTTGTTCGGCACGGCGGCCGGATTGTGAGGATCTTTGTTGTACAAAATCTTCTGCAGCGTTCTCACTTGTTGGTTCAAGCCTCGAATCTTCTTTTGCCAGTCCTTCTCCTTCTCGAGGTAAACAGATTTCGCCATTTTGGCCGGATTTTTAACCTTCTGTTGCTGATGGATCTGTAAATTTGTGGAATTAATGAAATTATATTGCTTAGAATTTGAATATCTTATGCAAATATGCAAACCTCGCCCAATCTATTTTGAAGGGAGACAATTTCCTTCCTGAGTTCCATAATTTGTTCGGATTTATAAGCGGATTCTTCCTTGTAGCGTTCCAACTCCTTCTTCCCCTTAGTCTGGAGAAGGGCAGAGTTTGAGGAGGATCCCGCAGATCCAGGCCGAGAGGGGGACTGGACACCGACGAAGCGTTGAATCTTTAACGTGGCCATCTCCGTCTTGAGAGAATTGAGGAGTTCCTCCCATTCCACTTCCTTCTTGTGAATCTCGCTCTGCGTATTCACAAAATTTTGAGAATTTCAAAAAAAAATCTTTCCCGTTTGCTTGTTCAAGGAAAATTCTGAGAATTTTAACAATAAAGCTAGACCAAGTTCTAAGTAAGTAAGAGAACAATCGGTGCGTGCAAATGGATTCCAGGAGCAGAAAACCTTTTAATTCAATCTCGTATTGGGGATTCTGTATTCTATTCTATCAATCAATCTCTACTGAGGCAGCGATCCATAATTAGTTAATTAATGCGTAACCTAAACCTAATTACAAGAATTAGGCTGGTATGGCGTAACTGAAAGTCTGTATGAATATCGGTGACAACAATGCACTGTTAAATCTGGGCGGATGATGATGCGAGTCGGTTAAGGTCGCAATTCCATTCATCAATCACCACAGGGAATTATCTGGTTATCAAGAATTCAGACGCCGTGACCTGAAGGGAAAATTTTGATGGCCCAAATCCAGACGAAACTTGGTACAATTCAGGGTTTCGTTCGCTACTGATTGAATCCAATTTAACTGCCTATATTGAAATTGGGATAAAAAGCGAGTCGACTCCATATTTCGACAGTCAATTCATTCACACTTTTCTGGTGAAGGAAGTGATCCGCCAATTTATTTATTTATTTATTTATTGTCACTTAATTGGGGACATTTTCGGATTATTATTCACAGGTAAAGTTTCCAAGTTTACGTTTCATTCTTCTCCGAATTTGAGATGGTGGATTGTCGCAACAATTAATTAGCGTCCAAGCAGAACCCACTCACTCAGAAAATGAAAGTGGTCGTTACTATTTAAATTATTTATCCATCCATATTCATAAATTGCTGCAACGGAACGACCACTTTCTTTTCTTGCAGGCAGTCAGTCCACCCCGTCGTCACTTTTATCATGATGGGGATGACATGGATATTCGTCGTCGTCGGCGTCCTTGCCTCCACGACGAGTGCGGTGCCATATCCGGGCGACTTCCTGCCCACGCCAAAGTCCTACTCGGGCTACTCCCTCCTTCGCACGGAGCCCCTGTTGAGGGAGGACCTCGCCAGATCTCTCCTCATTTTGGACGGGATGAGAGGCATCCACTTTTGGAAGTACCCCCTCGTCAACCGCTCCTCTGACATACTGACCTCTCCCGCCCAACTGGAGCACATCCAGGCCCTCCTCGCCACACTGGGCGTTAGTCATGACGTCATTATTGATGACGTGAAGGACCTCCTCGCCAAGGAGAATGATGTCGGAGTGAACGGATACTCGGCGTTGGAGGAAGAGTTGGAGAGAGCGGTGCCAGATAAATCCTTCTTCCAACGGTATCAAAGATACGAAGGTGAGTGACTCGTATTTATGGTTAAGTAATTTTCAGGGGTGGGCAAAATATTGTTAAAAACGAAAATCTACAGAAGTCATAAGAACATACAGGTTTTGTGAAGAAATTAACTTTTTATCGCTGTCAAAATAAAATGTCTTCACGATTTTTTTCAAGTATTTTGACAGCGATAAAAAATTGACTTCTTCGCAAGACATTTGTATTCTTGTATGTAGATTTTCGTCTTTTGTGGGTGTGACAATATTTTGCCCACCTGTGGTAATTTTGCACAACTCTACGATTTCTGTACAATATGTAGCGATCAAGAACTACGCGAAAACATTGGCGAGTCAAGATTCGCGTGTGACGTATGAAAATATTGGGAGTTCGAGTGAAGGGAAAGAGATCGGACTGGTCAAAATATCCTCGGGAGGTGGAAACAAGCCCGCTATTTGGATCGATGGTGGAATGGTAAACCCAAAAACTAAATAGATAGCGGACCCTTGGAAAAAAATCTAATTTTTGAAATGCACAGCACGCTCGGGAGTGGATTTCGCCAGCCACTGCGACCTACATAATGTCCAAACTGACCAACAAAGAGCCCGCGTCAGAGTCTCTGCTCTCCTCCTTTGACTTTTACATCGTCCCCATCATCAACGTGGACGGGTACGAGTGGACCCACACAGGAGACAGGATGTGGAGGAAGACGCGATCCAGGAACAATGGGCGCTGCATTGGTGTGGACCCAAACCGGTAGGAAAAAATGGCTATTTTTTTATTCGTACTTATGAATCCAACTTTTTGGGGCCGATAGAAACTGGGGATTCCATTGGGCGGAGCAAGGCTCTTCGACGGACCCCTGTTCTGACATTTATCACGGACCGAGAGCATTCTCCGAACCGGAAACGTTATCCGTCGCCCGGGCCATTAAAGCCAGACCAAACATTAAACTCTACCTGACCTTCCACTCTTACTCCCAACTCTGGCTGGTGCCCTACGGTTATGCGAGAAACACGAGGCCTGTAGATTACAACGAGCTAGTCCGTCTCGCACAGGTTGGTCGGTCAGAAAAATTAACTAAGGGACAAGACGTAAGGCTAATTTAATTTTATCAGGTTGGAAAGAACGCCCTGTCGGCGACGTACGGGACAAGTTATCGTCTCGGAACGGCGCCTGACCTGTTGTATCCTGCAGCTGGAGGGTCTGATGATTGGGCGAAGGGAAGCGCTGGGATAAAATATGCCTACTGTTTGGAACTGAGGGACACTGGGCGGTACGGATTTCTCCTCCCAAGCAATCAAATTGTGCCAACGGGGGAAGAAACGTTCAATGGATTGGCCGCCATGGCGAAAGAGTTACACAGAACGTTGAAGAAGCAGCAGACACGGCCAGTGGGAGGCCCCTACGTCAATGCGGACAAAGAGCTAAACTCGCCAAGTGGTGGGGAAGCGGAATATAAATTATAATAAATATGTCGATGGCTTGCTGTACACGAAATGCTATGCTTTCCTCTAAATTTTCTCTCTAAATTAGTTTTCATTAATTTTGGTTACTTTACTTACCTCTTTTTTCTTGAATGCTCCGTACAACTTTTGGTTATCTTCTTGGTACGCGGTCAAGAGGTTTTCTTGCTTGGTCAGTTCCGCTTGAAGGTGAGCAATCTTGGTTTCGTTGTCTAAATCTGTTAATTCTCTGGTGCTGATGTCACCACCACCACCACGGTTCTTCCCTGGTGAGGATGGGATGTCACTAACACTTCTTTTACCCATTGTCTGCTATGGATAGAAAACAAAGTTTTATTTTGAAAAAAAGTCCTTATTATTTTTGTAATTATTGAAATAAAATTTGACGAAATAAATTGAATTTTATGTCTTGAATACCTGAATAACTCGTTTGTTCGCACTTGTTGGAGTTTTGAGTGAAGTTGTGCTTTGTGACTCAGCCATCTTCCGACCTGTTGGAGGGGATGATTTAGTCTTGGGGGTTGAAACTGATGGAGCAGAGACGGACGTTGTCACCGGTGGGGGTACGATCTTCTTATTTTTTTGTATGGTTTTCGTACGAGATCTCTCTTCCGGAGGAGAATCATCACCAATTGTTCCTCGTGGTTTCATTTTTGTCGCCATGAATTGCGAGTGGTCGTGATCCATCGGGAAGGTGGTGAAATCTTGTTCGCGTTCTTGTTCTGAATCTTGCAATCGAAACCTTTTTGGTTGGAAAGTGGTTTGTTGTTGTTTTTGTGGTTCATCAATTTCTATTGCACGATTTTGATTTAAAATTTGTTGCTCATTTCCGGTTGTCTGGTTATCTTCGTTATCATCGTTACTCCATGGAAATTGTGGTGGGTGTGGCGTTGTCGTAGGATTCGGTGCTCCACCACCATCACTGCGTAGAGATTCCTGCTCGTCACAACTTTCACCACCAAGTCGACTGCTGTACAAGGATCGCTCCAAATCTTCGTACTCTTTCAAAACTTGATCAATTTGTCGTTGTCCTTGTTCCCTTTCCGATACGAGGACAGGAGCAGCAGCAGCTTCACCACCGCCTTCTTCTTCTGGGAGGGAATTATCCAATAATTTTTGCAACGCTTCCATCTCCTCCTTGAGTGAGGAATCGTCCATCGTTGCTGTCTCACTGACACTGTCGTCACCACCTTTGCCCTTTCTGTTAGAGGCCAATTTTAACTGTGAGAGAGCCTGTTTTACGACGAGTTCGACATTGTCGTCATCCCGTCCTTCGTAATTCGCGTCGAGAACGTTTTCCAGAAGGGTTTGGGTGTTTTCGAGCAGTGCTAGTTTTTTCATTATCGCATCCATACTCGAGTCGTCGTCTTCCTCAGTAGTGCTGTGATGATGGTGAGATTCGTCTGTGTTTTGAGGACGAGATCCTGCAGGTTCCTCATGTTCTGAGAAAGTTGTTGACTCGTCGTCCTCGTCCCCTTGAAAGTGATGGGTCAGACCTCTCAGTTCGTCTGGTATTCGAGATTCTGGGTCGTCATTTGTACTTGTAGGATCAGCTTGGGAGATGGCTGGGTCAGAAGGAGTGATATGAGAGGAATGATCTGAAAGTATGCATGGAGGTTTAAGTGTGTGTTTTTCAACAATTAAAAATATGATTGATTGACCACCAAAAAACTGACCTTCACTGGAACGTTCTTCATCAATCGTAGACATGATTGAGAGTTGAACGGCAGCGTCCAAATCGATCGCCGTGTCGTGGTCATCGCCCAAGAATGAAAACGGTGCCGTTACGTTTGCCCCTTCTTCTTCCGCCTCTTCAAAGTCATCGACGTACGAGGATTGTGGGTCGTCGGCGCCAGTGGTGTCCACCGTGTCATCATCCTTCCCGAGCAATCGATCCTCTGGTTCTGGAGATAACATGACAAATGCTCAAAAACCAACACTTCACACCTGGTAAAAGTCTCAAATTAGTCAGTCACAGTTTTTAACAGGTGTAATTAATTATTAAATTTCGAATGTAACTCAGAAAAATTTAGGAACCCGTTTTTTGTCCGTTTTATTATTGTTTGTTGTGAATTCTGTCACTCAGATACCCGGGTTTGACATTTGGATCGCGGCCACAAAAATTCAAAATGTGAGAGATTTTGGATTCCAGCAGAATTTGTACTTTTGCATTCCAAAATTTAGTATTAATTAATTGATTAAATTACTTACTGTAAATGTTCTGTGTAAAATTTACATTTGCATAAACTTTTCCTGTGATAAGTACTTTAAAGATAGGTCCTCCAAGTGAATATGTACACAGGGTACACGCCTACGGCATGATGTCAAGAATCTCCAGATTGAATTGAAACAATTTTGCAAATTTGTAGTTTTGCGAAATCGTATGGCGCTGCTGAAATTAGGGTAATATTTGCATTTTGCATTAATGCATAACCAATTTAGTAAATAACAAGGCGCAATCGAGGTTGTGGAACACAATTGTATTTCATTTAAAAGAACCATAAAGATGACATTAGTTCAAGATTGGATTTTTTGAGATTTAACTATAAATAAATGCACGTTCATTTATCAATTATGTTTAATGACAAACAGTGACATAATAATCGTAGTGCATGAAATAGAGTACATAATTGGGTTAACGAGTGACAGTGATTAAATGATAACCTTTAATCGTTTATTTTATTCCAGATAAGATTACTACTTCACTGGGCACTGCACAACTTATCGACACCACTGCCAACAAAATTGCCTCATGTTCTCCACAAGTCTGATGATTACAAACATTCGGAGGTAGCAGACTGGAAAATCCCTGTTAAAAAATGATTGAGAGCGCGTCCCCTTGGGTCCAGGCGTTCTTGGGAACGTTGCTGACATGGTTCTTGACTGCGCTGGGGGCTTCCGGCGTATTTGTTTTGACTGGGATTACAGGGTCCAATCAGGTATTTATTTTTATTCATTTGTTTTTAATTTGTGAATTTATGTGAATTTTGTTGCTATTTTTGACGTAGCGGAAGATTCTCTCGTCTAGCCTTGGATTTGCGGCAGGGGTCATGCTAGCCGCCTCATTTTGGTCTCTCCTTGCGCCCGCTGGTATTAATATTTGTACAGCATTTTTTATTAGAATAATTGCAAAATGTAATTAAATGTATAGTTGAACTGACCAAGTCGAGTGACGTTTTCGGTGGCAACGCCTTTTTAGAAGTTATTCCTGTGACGATCGGTTTTCTGTTGGGAGCACTATTTGTATATGTGGCGGATCGTATTTTAGACTCGATGGGGGTAGCTAGTCCAGCGGTGGCTTTAGGTCAGTTTACATTTCAGTTTTCAGTTTCGATGGATTACAAAAGGTTGTGTAGTTTTAATATGTGAAACGCTTATTTATTAAATTTTATAGCTGTTGCGACAGAACGGTATGGAATTAACCCGTTCCAAGTCCAGAATGGATTTCACAATGACCATAGAACGCCACCAGACTATTCGGGGATAATGGAATCAGGAAATCAGTCACAGTATCAAATTGACACTACAACTATGAATAGTAAAACTAATAATACTGCAGCTACCTCGAACGCACAATGGAAGAGAATTCTCCTCCTAATTGTGGCAATCACGGTGCACAACATTCCAGAAGGGTTGGCTGTGGGGGTGGGATTTGGTGCTATAGGAAAATCACCGCTCGCTACGTTTGAAAGTGCTAGGTAAATATTTCTTACATAACAATAGTACCTTATCTCACGTCTGACGTCTGACTAATATAAATAATATGTGAAATGTAGGACGTTATGCATAGGAATTGGAATTCAAAACTTTCCTGAAGGTACGCATGTGGACCTAATTTTTTGCAAATATTTGCCAGGTGTGTTTAATTGTGGTTAATGTCTAAAACATTTATATTGAAGGGTTGGCTGTAAGCTTGCCTCTCGTAGCAAGTGGATTTTCCACGTTTAAAGCTTTCTGGTTAGTACATAAATTCAATTTATTAAATTGGTATTTACTTTTGTGTATGCATTGCTTACATGTTTAATAATATTTTTTAGGTACGGTCAATTGAGCGGAATGGTAGAACCAATAGCTGGGGTAATTATACTGACGTCAGTTTCGTACCTTAATTACCGATGACTAACTTATTTTTCTTGACAGGTTCTAGGCGCAGTTTTGGTCACGGTGCTGGAACCAGTGTTACCCTGGGCTCTCGCGTTTGCTGCTGGTGCGATGGTTTACGTCGTGATAAGTGATATCATTCCAGAGGCTCATCAAGGGTGAGTCAAACAACTAATAAAATACGGGCACATTTCCATTCTAATAATTCTGTTCTTTTGTTTCAGGGGTTTTGAGAAATTAGCAAATTGGTCGGCCATGGTCGGCTTCGTGGTTATGATGTGTTTAGATGTTGGACTCGGTTGACACAGACTTTCCAAATTTTTAGGCCTTATAATTATTTTACGACTCGTAATTTCCAACGACTTTACTATTAACTCGGGTTTACAATTTTATAATGATATTATTATTATGATGATAAACTTATATTTAATTAAGAGAAATATATATCTAAGCATTTTACATCGTCGATGTCTTTCCTCACTATATTTTGTGACCGCAACTCGTGCGTTACTAAGATATGTATATTGCATTTAATTTCCCTTGAACCCTTGAACTTATCCCCGCACTAACAAAATCAGCGATGGAGGGCAACGCAGGGGAGCAGCTCCTGGTCGCCTTCTTGTTTGGCTGGGGCGTAGCGTTCGTCGTATTCTTCTTCATCCTCCTTCTCATTGGCATCGTCTACATACTCTCTCGCGTCTTTCGAGTCCTCATTTCCTGGTTCCCCAACATCTTTGTCGTGATGACGGTCCTTTGCATTGTGGCCTCCTTTATGCTGATGAGATATACGGCCACCCCAGATCCTGGAAAAGCTCGTCCAGTTCACATTCCTCATCAAAAGTTACAAAGACGAGGTGACATTTCATGACATTTAATTGAATCAGTGGCCGCGGAAGGTGTGGGGACATTAACATTGTAGGATAGGGGAGGGGTTTATATAGCATGGGCAGATGATGGAGACATCGGATAACCGTGGGGACATTGTCCCCACGATTCAGCGGCCACTGAGAGCATCATTATCTATCAGAGATGAGTTTGTGGATAAATGTTGCTTATTTTGCCGTGGTTGTTTGAAGTTGCAGATTATTGAGGGTGCTGGCGGACATAAAAAATCTTATTATTCATTATTATCAATTATGTTGTAGAAAGCAATATTATTTAATGCAATTGGAGAAAGTAAAAGGTTCCATTCTCAAAGGACCCCGTCAACCTTGAGGCTGAGATTTATTTATAAAGACGACGCTTCACCAAACCAAATCAGGCAGACATTCTGCTCAACGTGCTCTATTGTGACTTTGCCTTTCTTAGTTGTTATTAATTGAAATATCATGATAAATCGTAGTAATTACTTGTAATAACATTTAGTGTATACACCGCTAGAAACTAGGTATTCATTGGTAAGTGTTAATTGTCGTGTTCAAATTCTTGTAAGTAGAAGATGATGAAAATTTATTGTGATAATATTTTAGTGTTGAAAAGGCACACTACATATTTCATATTTGTTACTGGAAACTTTCATTCAACAATTGGTCAACCCTTTGTTTAATTAAGGGCAAAAACTAAGGCACCTTCTTTGTCTGAAAGGCAACAATTACAGGTAACTCTTCCGCCAGACAGAGTTACAAAACCGACAATTAATTATCAAACGGTGTAAATATTTGTATTATTGTTCCTAGTTTTCGTAAGGTTCCAAAACATTGCAAATTGGTTGACAATATCATTACAATGGAGTTTTATGGATGGGAAAGTCCGAATATGATGGTACAAACATATCATCATCATCATTCGCCAATTGAATCGATTTCGCCGGATGATCCTCGCCTCACCCCCACGAGCTACACCCCCACGGCGTATCACCACCACTACCTCGGAGAAGGAAGAGAGGAGTTGGTGATGACGACCACATCACCGTCTTTGCCTCCAGAACTTAATTCTTCTTCCATGATAATCCGACCCGACGCGCGAGAAAGAGTTGTACACCAACAGTTTTCGAAACAAGTTGAAAAGTTCTTACAAATTGATTTTGCTGCTTATGAGACAAAAATGTGGAAGTCTGAGCTATCCAAGGTGCTGAATATTGTGCGGAAAAATTATTCAAAGTTGCCCTCTTCCTCGTCGATTGAAGAATTCATAAAAATATTGCTGTCAAGTCAGAGTCAAAATCCTAGTAGTAAGGTAAATAATGTGTAGGTTAAAATAAAGTCGAAGACCTGTTTATTTGACTTAGCTTGGATCCGTTTTACAGAAAAATGCTGCCGAAGACATGTACATCATGGCCCTTCGAGCCTGTGTGGAACTAATCTCTCTTCCTGAACTTCAGCCTGTCAACCTCTCTGAATTTATCGACCTCTTGATTCGAGAAATGTTGGATGAAGTTTTGCGACAGGTAACGAATGCTTAGTCGCATAGATTTACTACGTGATTAGAAATTAGATTTAAGGATTTAGCTGTTACGATAAGATTGATTTCTAATTTTTTGGGTCTGCTTCACAGGCTCCTCAACGCCAGCCACAAATTGAACAAATTCGACAGGACTACTTGTACCGAAATAATCAAAAAGCCATGAAAATCACACCACCGGCGGGTCCCGTTAATTATGACGTTTTAGAAATCAACATTCCCACTTTTGTATCTTTGCAACATCAATTATTCGAAGTTGAGGATGGCGAGTATTTACAACAAGTGCAGAAACAGACCGAGCTGCTTCTCGTGTTCTCCTACCTTTCAGACGAACAAAAATTGGATTGTTTTATGAAATTCTGCTCAACTGAAGTACCTGTAAGTGCATAATACCTAATGATAAACTAAAGCCGAAAAGACCGATTCATATCGTGTTATTAATCAAAGGAAGGTCAACAATGGTATTATGAATGATTTTTCTGCAAATTTCAGGAGGCTGGTGGAACCATGTGGCAAATGAAGCTACTTTTGTGGGTCCTTTCCGAAATTCTGCAACGAATGAGCGTTATTCCTCCCATTGTGCAACCAGAACTGGAACGACTCTTCAAAAAATTGATAAACAATGTAATCTTTTTCTATTCTAATTTATTTAGATTATTGCACAATTTTTGATTTATTACAATTATTTAGTCTTAAAATTATGTATCCTTTGCTTTTTCAGTCTTCCAAACAAAACTTACTCGAGTTGATCTCCCTTCGACAACAGTTCAATAAATTACTGCCCGACTTTATCTTCCAAAGTATTGATAATATAGCGAAGAAACGTTACGCCGCGTGGGGACAGTTGGTGGCATGTACTCCAGAAAAAAATAGGTTCCACTTTCTGGAAACATCCGTTCAAGAGATGTTCCAAATTCAGAAAACCCTCACAGACTTTGATGCATATTTCAAATACAGACAATCGCTGGTAAAGATTACAATTTTAGTTTAATATAGGGCTTGGTGATAGTCATCGAGTCCTACATACGTTAATATAATTGAATATAATGACAGAATGGAAAAAATCTATATAAAAAATTACCATTCTTTTAGTTGCAGTACCAGCAAAGTGAATTCATCCAGGCATCACCGTTGCCCATGTTGTCGTCCCCCATTCAAGAAGTAGTTCCTCTGCCATTATCACCATCCCCATCACAATTCCGCTTACCAATCATAGAGTCGAAAAAGCCTGTCATGCGAACCACAGACGATCTCAGAATCATAGATGACATTCCTGACGACAATGAAAACTGTGTAGATTATGACCACTTTGATCGAAACATATTGTTTTCCCCAGTCCCTCGAAATCCATCCGACCTAGAATTCGATGCTCACCGCCATAGAAAGGTGAGGAATTCTCATCCTAAAAGAAAAATTGTCGTCCCACCTCCTCGATCCGATATTGCCGAGTTTCTCAAGATGTGCAGAGAGGAAGCGGTTCGCATTCGGGCGGAGGAAATTGCCCCCCAACCCAAGAAACGGAGCAGTGATGATTCATCAACTCGAGAGGGCAAACGATCTGATGATGCTCAACCGGACGGTGGTGCAGCCGTGGTTGCCAAGAAGGTAAAAAAGAATGTGGTGGGCGGCGGCAACCGAACAAAAGGTATCCGATAAGGACCCGAATGTCTGACACGAAGGTCCCTAAAAATTGTAGAATAAATAGCCAGTAAATAGAATATATATACACATTTTGACTTAACACAAGACAATGCAAGACTGTAACCCATGCGTAATATGCATTTATATTAATCGCGATACAATTTTAATCATTTCGACGAATGATGATATGATAATTATAATGATGGATTTAGCGCAGCAGTGAGTTTTTATTATGCTTAAATAAATCTCTCCAATTTTTTTTGTTACTTAATATGTGTTCTAATTGTGTTTTGTAGTGGTCGCACATCATCTTTCTTCCACATTTGTTTCATGACAAAGATAAAAGTCTGAATGACACGCATCAACATTTTAGTGCATCTTAAAAGTAACACAATTTAACCATTCTTAGCCAGAGTTGATACAACTGCTGCATGTGATGCAAGCAATTTGTCAGATTAACCAATAAATAATGACACAATTTCATTATGTAACACATAATACTAATAATTCTGGCAGTGGCAGATGTTCCATTCAATTGGTCATGTCATGATGATGCTTATGAAAAGCATGTTTCAGTCTGTCTGCGTACAAGGTCAGTGGTGGAGCACATTTATTCCCGTCATAAAAATCATATCAGAGTTAATACTGACCACATTTATATTTTAACAAGCATGGAACTCGTTTTGGGTGGAACGGCCGCAGTTTGCGCAGCATTTTGGACTAATCCTCTCGAAGTGGTCAAGATCCGGATGCAACTTCAAGGCGAGTTGCAGGCCAAGGGGAATTATGCAGTCCACTACAGAAATGTTTTCCATGCGGCGTATACCATTGCGACGAAAGAAGGTGCAACCGCGATCCAGAAAGGACTCGTCCCCGCGCTCTGGTACCAATTCGTCATGAATGGGATCCGCCTGGGTCTGTTCCACAAGGGAGAGAGCAGGGGGTTCACGAAAAACGGGGCGACTGGAAAGGTCGACCCTGTCCGCAGCGTGATGGTCGCGAGCGTCTGCGGTGCCACGGGCGGCGTCATTGGGTCACCATTCTGTCTCGTGAGTAACATTTCGGTTAATTTTGGAGTGTTTCGGGTGCACGAAAGTGGTTTTTGGGGGTGGATGGGGGTGGGGATGGAATTATAAATGCCGCATTTCTTGCGTTTCTTCCTTTGCAGTGCAAGAAATGTAGAAACCAAACACTGATTTTATATGGCGTCTGAAATTCTTGTTGTAGATCAAGACGCAACTTCAGTCCAAGTCGAACGCGTCCGCAATAGCTGTTGGGCATCAGCACAGTGCGAGTGGAATGTGCGCCGCGGTCAAGTCGATTTTTCAGTCGCATGGCGTCCTTGGTTTGTGGAGAGGAATGTCTACCACCCTGGTGAGAGTTGTCGTCGTGTCAGCCGTGCAACTCCCCACTTTTGCCAAGGCGAGAGGTGTGTGCATGTTATGAGGATAAATATTTCGCTATGTGCAATTACGTAACTAATTTATTTATGGGCAGAGTATGTGACGTCGAAAGGGTGGTTTCCCGAGGGGAGCGTGATCAACGCGTTCATCGCGAGTTTACTCTCCGGAGTGCTGGTGTCCATCGCAATGGCACCGCTGGATTTGGTCTCCACTCGGTTTTACAATCAGGGCGTGGACGCCAAGGGGAAAGGTGAGGATTTTTTCTACTCTGGGGGCTGGGGGACTGGGGGCATAATGACATTATAGTTTGTATTAGAGCCTTTGTATAAATATGAACTTGAAGGACCTATTCGAAAATTGGTACTATTTGTAGAGAGTGAAAATGGGCGTACTCACGACAACTTTTTATTTCGCATCGCAACTCATTTAGCAAATGAAAGAAAGGCGAAGATCAAAATATTTCTGTCGTGAGGGGATTCGCAAAATATGAGTTCGCAACAAGATTGCTTGACAATTATTTATCATAATACAAGGTTACGACAGTAAATTATGAAAAATTGAAGTTTTTTCATCATCAAAGTAAGCATGAAGACTGTGAACTTCACAGTGTGAAGAGAAAAAGTTGCAGTTGGCATGTAGATTGGGTATTACAAAAATTATCACATAGTGGCAGAAGTGATGGGTTCCCAAACGTTTCACTCTCTGATTGACAAGAGTTACATGAATTTATGTCAACTTTTAATTTATTCATCAATTACTACCAAACCCAGCCTTATATTTGCAGCTTTATAATTTTACATGTTATTTTAACATAATTAATTGGCCCTGTGTCCCTTCCCATGATGTCGCAATCGAAAAACTGACCTCAGATTCGAAATCAGCGACTAAAACCTATCAGTACAGCTTTGCTTAGCCCGAACCAGGAACGATTAGTAAACCTATGTTTGTCAGTAGTTTTCTATGAAATTATGTGCTACTATTTTGCACTAATTTTTCCATCAATCCTTCGTATTACTAGGCTCCAAATTTTAAAAATATTTACTATCCTTCCCTTCCTAGTGGAGGTCGTCTCTATAGCCCCCCCTGGTCAGAGCTGGGTGATTATTGGTTTTTGAGGGTGGATTAAGGATTATGATTAACCACAAAACAATGTGGATTGTGATTAAATTATTTTCGTGAGATTAATTCATGTCAGGATTAATCCGGATTAATCCATAAATTCTTAAAATTTCGGGATTATGGATTATGGATTAATAATCCGGATTAATTTGGTGATTAATGATTTTTCACTATATCTAGCGCAAAAAATTTCAACTACGTGGTTTTATATAAAAATGACGCCAGTTTCAATTGATATATGTATGTAGCACAGGGCAGCGAGAACATGTTGATTCTTCAAATGGTAGCTGACAGAACAACATTATGAGAACTTGAGACTTCAAGCTACACTGTGGGATTAGGAGTGGCAATCCGATCCGATCCGAAATCCGCGGATCAATCCGAATCGGATCGGATTGACTGTTTGATCCGAACACCTGCTTAATCCGAACCGGATCAATCCCATGGCGTCATAATCCGATCCGATCCGACGGATTGCCACTCCTATGTGGGATGAATGGAACTATGGGAATTGAACTGAGTAATCCAGATTGAGAATTAATCATGAATACGTAATCATGATTAGTAATCATGATTGGGATTAATCAGGATTAGTAATCCGTAATCACGATTATGGATTAATGAAATCAAATGGGATTATTCCCGGATTAATTCTAATTCCAGAAAAATCGGGATTGTGGATTGGGATTAATCTACAAAAATCTCACATTGCCGGATTAGGGATTATGGATTAATAATCCATAATCCGGGATTAAAATCCATAATCCTTAATCAGGATTATCCCAGCTCTGCCCCTGGTTAATTTTTGTTCATATTTAACTTCATGTTATTTCGTGAAAAAGCAGTATGGATCTCTGGTCCAAATTTCAGCTTTCTATGTTAATTTCTGAAAATCGGTGGGGGTCACCCCATAGGGTCCCTCTAGATGAAAATTTTACCAATTTCACTACATATTCTTCCATTACGGGCCATTAGTAGCCTCTATACCAAATTTCAGCTCGATTGGATGATTTTGAAAAATCGGTATGGGTCACCCCCTCGGGTACCTCCAGTTGACAAATTTTCCAATTTCATTTCATATTCTTTCATTAGGAGCCATTAGCAACCTCTGTACCAAATTTGAGCTTTCTATGACGATTTTGAAATTTTGGTGCATAATACCCCACCCATTCCGATGACCCCCACCGGTCAACCACTGGACCAATGTCATCCATCTTCGAACTCGTTTCCTAACTTTGTCCAATATGCATATGGTAAAAATTTCAAGTCAATCGGTCAACTCGTTCGAGAGCTATCGAAAGACAGACGGACAGACAGACAGACAGACGGATATGACAATTACATAAGCCCTGGTTCGGGCTAAAAAACTATAAGAATCATTCGACATTTACCCAACCTCAACAACGTTGAAATAATTAATTATTAATGATGAATTACTTGTAACAATTGTAAACACGGAACATGTGAGGCCGCTTATCTCAGGTGCTATGAATATACATAGGCTATTAATAGCACCCAGTCGTACAGTATGACAGGGTGCTATTTATAGCAGAACTTTCACCGGGTCTATTTATAGCAGAACTTTCACCGCCCTCCAGAGGGTATAAAAGGAGCTGCACCAGAAATTTTTGTCAGTCTGCGGGAGGCGCTCGTGGGGGACGTGTCCCTGGGTGAGCTCCCCATTGTAGCCGCGCCCCTGGACCGCCCTGCCTCTCTGGGGAGTCGGGTCCACCCGTGGTTTGTCCCACAGCCCCGACTCTCTTCCCGTTGGAGGGGTGGTCCGGGGGAGCAACGCTGCAAGGGGAGAGCCTTACGGGAAGGTCCCCCTCCAATGCTCCTCCCACCAAGCAGGCTCACCGGGTGGGGAGCCGGCGGGGCTTGCCAAAAGTGCGGGTGGCGCTTGGCAAGTGAGAGGGGCTCTCTACCTCCAACCCTTGGGTGACGCCGCTCTTTAGCGATACCTCCCCTTGGGGCCGACCGGGTTCCCGAGTTCGAAGCCTTAACCTTTAGGATCCCATTTCAAAATTGTTGTCACGAAAAAACGTATCACTAAGTCCCTAATTAATCTTCAATTAAATGCCCTTTAAGGCCCAAATAATTGTCAGCTATCTGTCCTCACGCACCCAAGCTGCTGAATCTTTTTCGACCACACCGACCCGAATTTTATTTTCAAGAAAAAACCAACGGAATATATTTGTATTATCATATGCAATGATAATCCACAAAAACTACTTCCCATATACATATAGTTTTACCGTGATGAAAAACCTATTAGTACAGCTTCGCATAGCCCGAACCAGAAATTTTTAGCCCAGTGAGGCCTTATGTATTTGCCATGTCTGTCTGTCGGTCCACCGATACCATACACCCAAAACGGTTTGCCTTCAAATTTTGCAGGTGCCAAAAATAATCAAGTTAGCAAGTGAGCCAAATCTGTCGAGTGAGGTCATATAAATAGGTGGGTGGAATCGACACCAAACTTGAAAATATCGTTAGAAAGCTGAAATTCAGCACATCGAGTGCTAATGGCGTGTAATGAAAGACTCGGGGAAATCTAAAAATATTTAACCAGAGGGGCAATATGGGGTGGAGGAGGGGGGTGACCCATATCGATTTTCAAAAATAGCCACAAACCTACATTGTCTGCAATTATACAATGTCCTTAGTCAAGGACGGACCGCTCCTAAATTTTTGTCCGAATTGACCGGACTGCGATTACCACACCCCGTGTTGGGAATGGTCGAATGTGTGCAGAATATTTGTTATTTTGTGGAGTATTTACAAATCCTTCCTTACCAGGACCACTGTGACTTGCTTCTTTCAAATCTTCCAAAGTTTTATTTGCTATTCGGAAGTCATTATCCTAAATTCCACCTGAAAATAGCAACTTTTAAAAACCAGTATGGGTCACCCTCTAGGGTCACTAAGGTTACACATTGACCACTTTGAACTTCATATACTTTCATGAGAACCCATCCAGTATCCCTATGCCGATTTTTATATTTTTAGGACACTGTCTTAAAACCGGTATGGGTCCCCCATAGGGTCCCCTCAGTTGTAAGATTTTGCAATTTTACTTCATATTCTTTCAATAGAAGCCATTAGCAAGCTCTATACCAAATTTCAGCTTTTTATGACAATTTTGAAATTTTAGTGTATAGTACCCCATCACTCAGACGACCCCCACCGGTCAACCACTTGACCAATTTCGCCCATCTGCGAACTCGTTCTCTAACTTTGTCAAATTTGCATACACCAAAAATTTCATGTGAATCGGGTAAGTCGTTTTGGCTCTATCCTGTTCACGGACAGACAGACAGACGGACAACCATCACGATTCCATAAGCCCTAACTCGGGCAAAAAATCGAGCACCATATCAAAACCCTTCAATTTCATGCAACGTTTCCACGGTCGCCAAATTTGTAATTTTTTGAAAATACACGTATTTGTGTATACGGGATTCAACGCATTTTGTCGCGTATCCATGATATTCATGTATCTGGGACACACGGTCAAATTTCAAAATTCCATGACATTCGTGGACTTGGGATTTATGGGATGTTTTACAAATTCCATGACACTCGTGTACATGGGATTTAAGTGAAAATTTAATAAATTCCATGACATTCGTGGACTGGGATCCTAAAGGTTAATGGGGGCCGATTTACGGGTGCGCTCCCACCTCGTAAGGCGAGGGTCAGACGGGCCCCCTAGGGGAACGCAGTTGCAGAGGCGGTGACGTGGGCAGGGCTTTCCCGGTCGGTGGAGGTAGACCCCCCTTGCGCCTCAGGGCGCGAGTGGGGGCCGACCCGTGTGGAGCACGAGGGAGCGACGTCCTCGTCGTGTGCTCTGGAAACGCCCTTTTAAGGGCGGCTAACAGCTCCCCCCTTATAAATGCAGGGCATGGCGACAACCTTTGTCGCCCTGCCATAATTTCGCCATTTCTCGGCCGATTGGCATGAAATTAGGCACAACGCTTCTTATTGGTGTTGTTCACATGTCGCAAGGCCCCAACCAACGCCACCCCCTTGTTTTCGCCAAATATCGTCGCCATGCCGTAATTTCGCCATTTCTTGTCCGATTTCCATCAAATTTAGACAGACACTTCTTGTGGGTGTTATCGACATGTCGCAAGGTCACACTCATCGCCACCACCTTGTTTTCGCCAAATTTCGTCGCCATGCCATAACTTCGCTACTTCTTGTCCAATTTCCATTAAACTTCGACAGAGACTTCTTTTTGGTGTTATCGACATGTCGCAAGGTCACACTCATCGCCACCCCCTTGTTTTCGCCAAATTTCGTCGCCATGCCATAATTTCGCCATTTCTCGTCCGATTGGCATGAAATTTGGCACAACGCTTCTTTTTGGTGTTATCGACATGTCGCAAGGCCACACTCATCGTCACCACCTTGTTTTCGCCAAATTTCGTCGCCATGCCATAATTTCGCCATTTCTCGTCCGATTTGCATGAAATTTGGCACAACACTTCTATTTGGTGTTATCCACATGTCGCAAGGTCCCACCCACCGCCACTACCTTGTTTTCGCCAAATTTCGTCGCCATGCCATAATTTCGCCATTTCTCGTCCGATTTTCATCCAACTTCGACAGAGACTTCTTTCTGGTGTTGTCGACATGTCGCAAGGTCCCACCCACCGCCACCCCCTTGTTTTCGCCAAATTTCGTCACCATGCCATAATTTCGCCATTTCTCGTCCGATTTTCATCCAACTTCGACAGAGACTTCTTTCTGGTGTTGTCGACATGTCGCAAGGTCCCACCCACTGCCACCCCCTTGTTTTCGCCAAATTTCGTCGCCATGCCATAATTTCGCCATTTCTCGTCCGATTTACATGAAATTTGGCACAATGCTTCTTATTGGTGTTGTCGACATGTCGCATTCATAATCATACCCATCCTCAAATTTGACAGGTACAGGAAGTCTATCCTTCAGACAAGCAACGTCAACCGGTGCACAACCAGCGATGTTGTGCAGATAAAGATCCATTGCCTTCTTAATCAGCACGGAAGTCTGATCCACCACTGGTTCCAAAAGGTTTTCGAAAATTGAAGTTTTTTAGGCGTCGAAGCAATTTTCGCAACCTTGTAATTATTACTAACGTTGTCAAGCAACCTTGAGTTCGCAAATCTATCTAATCTCGCAAATGTACTGAAAAATACCAATTTTGTTATTGTTTCCATAGATTTCTTTAATTTCTCCTGCTGGAGATGGTGAGGATGAGTTTGCGAAGATTTTTTGCGAAGTAAGAACATACCAAATTGCTGGGTAAATTTACGAAAAAAATCCCATGGTTTTCCAGCAAAATTTTTGCGAAATCTCGCATATCTCGCAAAACTTCGCAAGTTATATTGCAATATTGCTTGACAACTTTACACTTCTAACCATGTTGCGACAAATGAATTGTTTCCAATACAAATTTTCATTTTTGAAGAAATTATTATGTACTATAAAAATGGTGTGAGTGGACCGTTGCTAAGTTGGAGGATTGAGATGACCCCCTAGGTCAAATCTGGATCAAATTATCTCACACCCTCCAGTGGGGTGTCAATCGATCGGTCTAGATCATACGATCATTTTGGTATATTATAGAATTTTGTGAGATAAGAATTGACTGTAAAATTCCTGAAAAACTTAAATTTTAGAGATATTCTTCGAAATAAACGTTTTAATTTTCCGAAATAGTGCACTCGAGATTTTTAGCTTAAAAAATCAAGCTAAAAATTAGGATGATTTCATCCTTGAGAAGTAAGTCCCTATCTCTGCCTATTGAAAAGTTATTCGAGGTCAAACTCGTTGGTACTTTTTTGTACTTTTTACCATCGCAAAAGTACCAACGATTTCAAAAATGATTTTTTTTTCGAAATGCTTCATTTGTCGCAACCGTATTACACTGCTAAGATACTTATTGTCAAGCAACCGTGGTTATATTGCTATGCTCAATTTGCGAGATATGCGAGATATGCGAGATATGCGAAGGTTGACGTGAGTACGCTCTGTGTATAATTCCATCTACATCTTTATCAAGCTATTACATAATTGCTACTAATATTACTTTCAGGTCTGATGTACTCGACGGTGAGGAACTGTGCATGGAAAATATTCCGAGCGGAAGGTGTCCTTGGCTTTTTTAAAGGGTGGACCGCAATCTACTTCCGGTTGGGACCTCACACCCTCTTGAGCCTCGTTTTCTGGGACATTTTAAAATCTAAGTATAATAAGAAGCACTAATTGATTACCACTGGACGACGTGTAGATTTATTTATATACAATTAAAAGTTTTTGTACAATTAGAATTTTACAAAATTAAAATGATCTTGTTATTTTAACTATAATAATCTGTCGTGCTGAACTCGGTCGTGGTTGTGGTTGTGGTCGTGGTCGGACGTTTCCTGACTTTGACCCGTCTCAGGATTTTATTCGGTCTTCTTGTTGAGATTGGTGGAAGGGGCTCCTCTTCAGACGACGCACGTGGTTGCATCGTGGTCGAGATTAATACTGGGCGCTGGTTTCTTGGACGTGCTGGCCAGGGTGGAAAGGTATAGTTCTTATTGGAGGGTGACAAGTGGTATCGCGGAGTAGCGCTGCCAGGGATTATGATGACGTTCTCATTTTGTGGTGCTGTGGAAGTGTGCCATGAAAATTGGTGTAAAGTTTTGTCATTCTTAGACCGAAATCTAAACGATCTGGGTGATGTTGAAGGATGGCGATCACTTAAGGGTGGCGTCGTCGTGGGGAAATTGTCTTGGTCGTATTTTATTCTTCTCTGTTGTGCGTACGATGTTGGGCCCTCCGTCACAATGATCTTGGTCAAGGGAGGCGGCTTTCTTGTTGACACGACTGGCCAAAGTAGTTGAGGAGGATTATGAAACGTAAAGTTCCAACCGGGCGGCGGTAGTGTGGCGTCAGGGAAGCGTACTCCATCCTTGCCTTTGACCATGATACGAATCGGCGGAGAGACAGTGGTGTTGGAAAGGATGATAATTTTGTAATTTGGATGACCATCATCACCACTGTCACGTGCTTTATTGTCTACACTTTTTGGGAGTGTGACATCTTTGACGGTCCTTCTCGTGGAGACGAGTAGCGGTGGGGTTGGAGGAACAGAGTGGATAAATCGGAGCGTGGACTTTGGTGTGGTCTGAATCTGGAAGAAATGGTCATCCTTAAATTGGCGAAAGTGGTTATCGTGCAGGTCATCTAACGTCGTCATGAGGGGAGGTTCATCCACTTTAGACTTTGGATTCCGATTGCTCAGCCCCCTTGATCTTGGTGGAAGTCCGTATCGCGTATCGTAGTGAACTTTGTAAACATCGTACACTCCGCGATTAAGGTCAGGATTGTCTCCCTGATCATTCTGCTCGACCCGATACGAGTAGAATTTGTCCATGTCCGACACACCGCCAGGCTGAGCATAGCGTTCGTATCCCCACGCCCACGCAGGACCGCCGCTCGTGGGAGAGGAATACTTTTTCTGTTGAAGGTTAAACCACTTTCCAAGCGGCGACTCGGGCTCGTCTTGTTGAGATTTGAGTTGAGATTGTGGTGACGGCAAGGTTGGACGAGGGGACGATGGTCGTTGTTGTGGGGGTGCTGGATATGTCGTCGTGGGAGGAGTTTGGAGGGGAACAGCCTTCCAAAATCGGAGTGGAAGAGGAGGTTCAGAATTTTGGAGGTTTAAAGGTATCGAATCATCGTCACGTGGGTATGCAAATTGATTATTGAATAATTGAACGGGTGGGGGTGGTCCCTCAATGTCTCGAAAGGCTGGAAAGTTGTTGTAGGGGTGAGATTCCTGTAGATTATAGGGAATGGAGACAGGGCGATAACGACGTATTTCGTCATCTTGTCGATATGCGTTTGGTCGTGGCGTTGGTCGTGCTGCGATGGAATTGTGGTCCCAGACATGCTCCGTTCCAGAACATTTCATCGTGAATGCCATGGATTTGAATAAATCTCTCAAGTAATCGACCACTCCGTGGTGGTCACAACTTTTCGAGTCCGTGTAAAATCGGGCGAAACATTGCTGTACTGTGTAAAATTGGCTGTAGGGAAATAATAAAATTTCATTTTTGATATCTTTATTGTCATTATAAAATAGTTGAGGGAATTAATTAGTTTGTGGTGTCTGACCTGCACAGTGAATCTGCATAAGTATCCACTGCCCTTGCTTTGACACAATTCAAAATTCGGTCCTGTAGTTCCGGGAAACATTTAAAAACGCCAGGCGACACGACAGGCGCGTGTCTCCGAGTGTGAACTGCTAATTGATCTGGAAGATACAATAATAATTGCGTAATTAGCAGAGGGCGAATATGTATTTACGAAAAATCAGTGAAATGAGTGAAATGCACTGGATTTTTGTGGTCCAATTTCTTTGAGGAAAAAAAACTCGTCTCACACCGTTGAAATATTTACAAAATAAGTATATAAATTTTGAAAACAAATATCTGCAAATTTTACGCAAATAATAACGGAAATATTTATTATTTATATGTCTGAAACCTGGATGTAAAAACATTTTGAAACTTTTGCAAGGTATAAAAGTTAGGAAACACACCCACAAAGTTTCACTCATCAAATGAAAATCTTGAAAATAAATACATATCCACCCTCTAAAGATAAGTTAATTGTCGTTAACCATTGCTGGGTGGGGTCTTACTCTCCGTGTCACGGACATCACGACAAGCAAAATTAGCGTAGGCCTCCATAAATTCGAAAGCATCCGATCCCCTCGTCCTGTCCAAACACTGGTTCAAATCACGACCAAAATTAATATTGCAAACATGATTCCTTCTCCAATTTCGACACATTTTCTCGAACGAGCCTTGTGGCAGAGTTGCGTAATAATCCTTATCCGCTCCTCCTCCTCCTCTCGTACTCATGCATTGGGAGCGATCCTGCAAAAATATTTCTCAAAAATGTCAAGAGTTTTTGCATACGAGTAATATGCAAATATTTATGTACTGACCTGCTGGATAGTTTTCCAAAATGCGGGATTCCTATTTTCACACGCTACCCCCAAAGTGTGGAAGTAGTGGTCCACGTTCATCGCACCACTTCCGACCACGTGCGCCATCACGGCGGCGTCCTGATGGTCTCGTGCGTTCGTGGGGGTGAGCAGTATAAATAACACTACCACAAAATTATGAGAAATAAACGACCTCATTTTCAAGGAATTTTACGAATCAACATGATAAAATTACAATAACACTTTTCACTCCAATCAAATTAGTTTGCACAAATTATTTAATGCTTGAAAGTCTTTAATAAATAATTAGCTGTAGCATTTTGTTAGCAATTATTTAACTGTAATCCTCTCCAGTGGCAAAGTGGCGACTGGAATGAAAAATGCTAAGATTGTTTGCTTGAATGCTTCCATAATCATGCTTAAACGGCACCCATACCTAATTTTACCAGATCCACAAAATACTATTTTAGGTACCTCACTCATCTCATCAAACGTTTGGTTAAATATTAAGAATTTTGTGTATGTTTCACGTAAATGAATTGTTCACTGAATTGGATCAATCTTGCCAGCAATCTCTTCAAGGTGAGTCAATAAACGAGTTTATGTATGCAGTCTTACTTAATAAGGCGTCTGGCTGTGTTAATTATCTTCTTAATACAGAAGAGTCCACGCCAAACCAAATCCAATTTCCGTAACGAATCTGAGCTGCTGCTCGAGTGATGTCTTCCTCTTTTAATCGTCGTCGTCGTTGCCATTGTTGTGCTGTTATTGTTGTTGGGATCATCACAAAGGGGAAAAAATACTTATGCTAATGTTAAGATGATTATGTGTGGTTTGTTATGTTGCTGGAAATGAGCAAATTAAAATTTAACGAGCTTATTGAAATTAGCGAGAAGGAGATTCGCTAATCTCCCACGTCTTGAGACGACGTGGAACTTATTCTCAGACCAAAAATGTACTGGAATTGAGATGGATTTTGACTCACGAAACAAGTGGAGACAATAAAATATTTGTGTAAATCGCAAAAAATGGATTTCTCACCCAACCGTGAAAACTTTTTGCTCTGGATTTATGCACTTATGCGACGACGTGGAGGTTCACTTTTTACATGAAATCATAAGAATACGACATGGCAAGCATGACAGGAAGATGAAAAATATGTCGTAATCGTGTCAAACCGTGCAAGAATAATCAAGTTCAAGGAATTTTAGCCCGTTTTTTTATTGTCGTGAAATAAATAAATGACATAACAATTGAAATATCGTCTTTTTTTCTTTAGAGTTCAGTTTTTTCGCGATGAGGAGGAGTATTAGTTTTCGTCTTGTTTCTTATCTTTTGCACCTTTCCGACCTTCTTATCCGCTCCGGGACTAACGTCTTGGCACTCGATTATGCAAAAATTCTCAATCACGTCCAAATCCAGGTCGTCATTGCCGTCATCCTCATCTTCGTCCCTCCTCAATCGGAGGAGGACTTGGATGCAGTCCTTACTCCTGAGAAAGGTCTTACCCTTTCCTGCCTTCGGGTCAAAGATGGAGACGGAGGAGCCCCGCTTCTCCAGCCCCACGACGTCGACAAACTTGACGAAACCCTTGGGAAACTTGACGATGGTGAAGAGCCCATCGCCCCCCGTCTTTTTGTAGGCGACAAAAATAACGCCAAACTTTTCGTAGCCGCGCAGCTTGATGGAACAAACCTCATTGGAATCCTCCCCTTGGAACGGGGACAGTCTGAGGGCGATGATTCTTCGCGTCAAGGAGACGGCAAAGTCTGAGTGGGAGTCGTGATAGAGCGTGAGCACGGCGTGGTCTTTGGTGAAGGAGCAGTTCACGGATTTGAGGAGATCAGTCTGGGTGGACTTTGTGTAGTCTTTGCCCTTATTGTAGGACGACTTGATCATCCCGTTGAAGAGGTTTTTGCCACAATTGTGTCGAATTTGGGAGGCCACGTCGGGCAGGAGGAGGGCCCAGGAGAGCTTGAGTTCTACAATTTTGTGGCCTGGGGTGCCCTTGAATGTTTGTGAGGGGGAGGAGAAGGAGGACGAAATGGTGACGAAATCTTGGATTGTGACGCCAATGCTTTTCGCCAGTGGGGATGAAGACGACGTGTAGGAATGCTGCGTGGGTAGGAAGAAGAAAGTGGTGACGATCAAGGTCTGTGTTAAGGTATGGATTCCCCTATTTTTCGCCATCCTAGAGGAGTGATTAATGTTATTTTTAACCGTGTATGGCCTGAAATGGGTAAATAATAGAAACAAATTCAGTACAGTTTGTGGAGCAATAAAGTAATTTTGGGAATGTTATTATTATTACGATTGTAATCAAAGGTGGGTGAAAAGATCACGAGGATGAAGAAATGTGTCCTCCGTCCTGTCCTGGATACACACACGAGACGGTTGGATCATGATGTTGTTATGAAAAACACCCGGGTTTTGGATATACCTTCAGTTTCGTAATAGAAGCACGAGCCTTACGTGATCCCTATATTCCTTCCCCTTCATCCAGTCCACCTTTTGCATGCATCCCATTTTCAGACTCTTGCCTTCTGAAGTACCTGAATCCTTTGCATGCATTTCTACTCGCTCAGTCCCCCTTGCATGGACTTGATTGAGTAAAATGCTGTATGTAGAACAGCCCGTTTTTCATTCTCACCATGAAATATTAACGCGTACTTAGTCTAAAAGTACATGCACATCTTATCTTCTCTGAGACAGATCCATCCATCAAGCTATGTAATTGCATTGCATAATCCATAATTGATGTAGGAGCAGTTCTCCTCCGTACGAGAAGTTCTGTCCTCGTGTACAGACATTGCATTGCAGACATACTTTCTCGGAACCCAGTTTGATTTTCATGACTGGATTATCTGCACGAAAGGCTGATGTAAGTAGGTAGATATTCGCAGTAAATCAGTCTCCTCTTTATTGCACACCACCACTTGATCTAATTTACTTTCTCTACAGCCTCCGAAATGATATTATTATTATTCCCGTGCGTCTCTGGCTGGCTGGTTGACTGGCAATTCAATTCATTTCGCACATAAAACGTGGCAAGCAGCAGACCTACATAATTTGTTGTATTTGTTCCACGAACGCTGGTGGTGAGCTGCCTGCGGATCTTTTGCACTGCAGGAGTGCTTATGCTTTGCTGGATGGATGGATTCTTATTCAGTCTGCAATTGCGAATAGATCGATATGCTTTCACCAGAGAAAAACACACAATTTGGGACGGTGCAGTTACACAGTTGGTGAAAGTGGAGAAAGCCTGACGAACACAACAATACACGTTCCGAGTCGCAGAGACGAGGAGCAGCAGTTGCAGCAGCAGGCCGTTTAAAAACTATTTACTCTCTGGTCTTGGTGTAATTCATGAAAATATTTAGCTCCAACTTATATAAATTACGCAGCTGGGTGAAAGTATTTTTAGCGGAGAAAACTATCTAAGCTCTCTCTTTCTCTCTCTTATACGTACAATTTTACGGGCTTCATTATCGACATAAATATTGCCACATTTTTGTATTTACGACGTAAAATTATAATTACCTGATAATAAAATGGAGTCGAATGACTACTTTTCTGTGGAGTCGTGCTCCTGGGATTTGACGATGAACATGGCCACGAACGTTTTTGGGAAGCTGTTTCTCAGTATGTCATCCTGTTCATTTTGGGAAAAGATAGAAAAATTTCATAACAAGTTTTATGGGAATGTTAATTTTGAAAAATGTGTCCCCAGGAAGTACGAGCAGTTCGTCGAGCACGATGCCAGAAGCGATTGACCACGTGGGGATCATTGTGTACAATAGGTTGCTGGAATATGGGCACAGCGGAGTCCTCAAGAGCTCGGTGAGTCGAACTTATCAGTCGAATATTTTTCAATGTGACCTTATTTATTTTGGGGTCAGATTCCACGCAATGGGGAAGACCCCATGCCCCAGTATCCCGGATGTAAATTGAGAAAGCGAGAATTTCTGGGAAAGACGTCTAAAAAACGACACGAGTTTGTCGAGTGGTTGGTCAACATGAAGTATGAGAGGTTCCGGTGGGTAAAATAAGTTAATTGTTGGTTAATTGTTATCACTAAATAAATAATTGGAATTGACAGAGGAATCCATTACGACATGATAAACCACAATTGTCTGGATTTTTGCCAAGCCGTGTGCAGATTTTTGGGTGTACCTCCATCTCCAAATTGGTCAGTGTTATCAGTGAAATGCATATAAACAGTTTGACTTATTAGATTGTGCCAATTTTTAGGGAGAAAGTTAGCAACTGGGTGAAAGCAAAGTAACTAAATAATCACAAACAATGAATATTAAGTAATTAGTGCAAGATTAAAACTGTTTAATTTAATTGCAGCCAAAAATTAGCGGACGTTTTGACGCGAGGATTTCGAGCTCCCCGACAACTGCGAGACTGTCAGAGGTCTGCGTCCCTGCAAGATCCGCGACCCTCTCATTCTGCCGCTGCCACTAATGGTGAAGGGGACAGTCCAGACTATGCGTCCTGCACGGCAGGTTCCGCGACCACGAGAATGGCTCCTCCTCCCCCGAGAACGAGGCGATTCTCTATTTGCAGCACCCCAATGCGGCTGGGTGGACGGGGAGGCAGGTTCAGGTCGGCATCGATGGAGACGTGTAAGAACGATTTCTTTAAGAAATTTTATCAAAAATTGTGGGTGGAAGTAACCACTTACAAGAAATAGTGGGAAGAAAGTAATTTTTTGCAACAATTTGTATTTTGACCTGCAAGCATAGAGTTTTATTAATATAAGCAGAGGGAGTACCATTGCTCTTTGTTCAGCGAGAATGCAAGCCACGTGATGTTTTGATTTGGTTGAGAACATAAACATTACGTCATCACTCATCACCACCATCACTAGAATGTTATATACAACACATACAAGGCATGTATTTTATGTATAAAATTCTGTGAGGTTGTTGAGACTCAGTTTCAACGTCAGGTACAGGTAGCATGTTACCAAACTTGTTACCAAATTACGATAACCTTCAAATTCTCATTATTTCTTCATGACAAATATTTTCGAAATAATTTTTAAGTAATTCTTAACTAATGTTTCTGACCACGGTCAATAAACCAACTTAGATACACATTGTGGTTGGATGGACCCCACTCCGATCTGCTTGTTTTTCCCCAACATGAGAGCCATCATACAAGAAGTAAATCGTCATTTTAGTCTGTTTAGTTGTGGTTTAGTTTGAGGACTGTCGGTATGGTGGCTCGTTCGCATGCAATTTTAGATCACCCATTCAATTAACCTGCTCCTGTCAGGCCTTGCCTGCAAGAAATGCATGGAGCGAGAAGCTTCACTTTCTTGCAGTTTCCTGCACTTTGCATTTCTTGCATTTCTTGCTTTCCAGTCCAGAAATGTATGTAGCATTGCCGCAAGAAATGAAGCACAGATTGTGTTATGTTAATAATTTGTGGCAATAATTTCTGCAGTGCCGCCGACGTATGAAGAAGCACTCGCCATGACCGGGCCAGCACCAAAGTATGAAGACCTCAGCAAACCGTGAAAACTTATGCCCTCCAACGAACAACGTTGTGCAGACGAAACAAACAAATTACAATTTACTTAAAATACTCATTATACTATCTCATTTACATAAATACTTATGTATGTACATAATTACATCTAAACTAATTAATTATACAACTGTAACTACAGGGGTGGGACAGAAGAAGGAGCCACTTGAATTTTAGGGGTGGCGTGTGATGCACAGTCGCGGCATTTTCAAAATTTGCATATGTCATACCCAGATAGTTAACGAAAATTTAGCACTATTCAGATTTTCCCTACGGTTAAAAATGCCCCTGCAGCACCCCCCAGAGTGCGAGGCACGCATAAAAGTGTTTTCCAAAGACATACTGAGCCAGAGAGCGATTGTTAGAAAATTTGCTGCAAATGGATTTATCGTCGATCGAAAGTACGTTTCTAATGTACTTAAAAACGTTGGAATCAAGCGGAGGGAAAAAGCGGTTAGAGCTCCACCCCCACGGAAAGGATCCCCAAGATCCGCTTGAACCAAAAAGTTTATCCGGAAAATCAATTTTTCGCCAAAACGGTAAATCCACCAACTAAAAGTTGCATGGCGAAAATGTTAAACGTTAGTAGGAGAACATTTCTAGAGTCATTCACAATGACCTACAGCAAGTGACTCGTAGGAAATCCCGAGATCATGCTCTCATCCCAACTTATTTCTCACAAAATATCAGCCTACACGAAGGATTTAAAAAAAAGTTTGGGTATAACAATTATTCCTACTATAGAAACTCTCGTTAGTTCCTCTGATATCAATCCGATGTTTTTTTTTGGATTCGAGTACTTAAAACAGAGCCTTCTTGAAAGGAAAACGCGTGCGTTTTGATGCACTTTGGAAAAGTGTTCAGGACGAGTGGTGCAGAATCACTCTGAAAATTGTGTCAAAGGTCATGACTGGTTGGAAAAAGCGACTGAGGCTCGTTAGATAAACTAAAGGGCTTCACACTGAACCAATTACCAAACTTCACAAACGAATAATAAGGCCGGAATAAATTTAGGCAAAGTGGCTCCTTCTTCTGTCCCACCCCTCTGTATTCAACAATTAAAACTTCTTATTGGGAAGACGGGTATACGAATTGTTTTTAATTTTGAGTCAGAGGTCAACGCCGACCAATTTTAGGCAGTCCCAATGCTGAAGGGATAGGAAATCAGATTTATCTGGGTAAAATGGCGGCGTTGACCTCTGTTTTTAATCACGCCACGTGGGAGTAGTTCTGATGTGAAAGGACGACAAGGTCAATCCACCCCCGGAAAAATGGGACAGATGAAAAATAGTCAAACGTGCCATTATTAACGCCAGGGTTGCAAATTTCCTGCTCCGCGTTTTCTGAAACGCCATAGCTAACGACGCCCACCACGTGGGGAACTTGGTCCACGTAGACGATAAGAGCTCCGCCGCTGTCTCCCTTTCCGGTTGAGACGGGCCGTTCATCATTTTTTGTGGTGGGGGCGCCGAGCGTGCAGAGCGTGGACTCAAAGACGCCTTGGTATTTGAGGTAATGCTCGACACTGGCGGCAGAGGCGGCAGAGTACTGTAGAAGGTCTCGGGCATTGCAAACGGTCCGATTTTGTATGACGAAACGTTTCGAGGATTGTAAAATGGTGGGGGTGTCAAGTTCAAATTGTGTAACGGGGTCGAGAAGGAGGGGTGACACGGTGTAAGAGGAAGATTCCATGAGGGGAGTGGTTGGTGGGGGCGGTGGTGGCGTTGTTGAGGAGGGTGGAGAAACGGTGATGTTCTCGTAGTCAAAATCGGTGGTGGTTTCGACAGTGGTGGCGGCAGTAGAGGTCGATGTGGTAGTGACGAAAGTTGGAGGAGGAGAAGGAGGAGTGGTCGCCGTACTTGTCGTCGTCGGCGTCGTACTTGTCGTGACTTCTGTACTGGTTGGGAAAGCAGTTGGAGTCGTCGGAGTCGTCGTCGTGCTTATCGTCACTTCCGTTGTGCTGGTCGGAAAATCAGTCTCATTTTCCTCCGATGCTTCTTCATCGTCCTCCATCGTGTCGTTCTTCTTCGTACTGACGGGCCTGAGGTAGTCACCCCACCCACTCAGCAACGCCTCCCGCTCCGAAAAGTCATCTCCTGATGTACGTAATTGCATACATTAATAATATTCTCAAAATTAATTAAGAAAGTTGAGTCGGAAACCTGTGGCTGCGAGCAAGACGGGCGTAACGTGGTCTTTGAACTTAATCCGTGTCTTCAGCTTAACGACGGCAATGTCATTGATGAGCAAACTGCCATCGTAGGCGTAGTGCATCGTGACGGATTCGACGTCATGGTCGGAGGAGGTAGGACTGTCATCACTGCACAGATTTGTGTCACCCACGACCGCCTTGACGAAGGGGAGGTGCAGCATGTCACTCGTTTTTGACCTGATATATAGGAATTTTATCCAAGGCTTTTGTACAAATTAGCGTCAATCGAGATTTCCAATGTGCAGTTTGGCATTTGCATCCGAAGAGGAGAAAACGTGCCAAGTTTTGCACTTGTAAAATTATCTGCACGTTTTCTCCTCTTCGGATGCAAATATCTCCGCTAAACGCGACCATTGGGAGATCGTGCCTTTTGCAAATTGCATACTAATTAAATTTGTGACCGGTTAACACTAATTTGGTCAAAATCTGATCGCATCCGCTGGGAGACCTCCATTGTCCGAGCGCATGCAAGCATTTATAAACGATTAATTCCCCAATGCAATGTACTCACGTCCCATAAAAGCAATGGCTGGCCGTTAGAATAAATTGGTCCGCGATAATGGATCCACCACAAAAGTGGGAACCCTCTCCGGGAGAGCAGCCCTTGTTCTCGGTCTCCTTGACCTCCTCCCCACTCAGCGACTCTGTTTTGTAGCGGAAACTGACTTGCCAGGGGACTCGGGAAATGTGGGTCTCCTCTCCGTTCAAGATCATCCTCCAGTTCGGCCCACTTAAGAGAAAGGAATTAATTTAATGGATGAATCGATCGCATTTAAGAGGATCTCATGAATTGCATATTTACCCTGCTTCGTCACTCAATTTGCTCTCCAAATCCTCGTTCGAGAGAGATCTTTTGCCTTTGTTGAAGACGGGCGTGTCATCGTGAGCAGGAGGAGTGGAATGATAAACGGAATCTGCGGGGGGTGAGACATGCATACATTTGTACATGAGCTGATTTGGAAATGATGGAGAAATCTGTCTCACTTTGCTTGTCCTTGGACGAAGATGACTTTGTCTTGACGAGCTGCACGACTCGGATATGCCAGCGGTAGGAGGGACTCGCCATGAGGGCTAAAATTGACAGGGAAGTCATCCCCTTGGCCTGCGGGATGTCTCGATCGATGAGAACTGGAGGAAGAGAAGGATTAAATAGAGGGTAACAATCAATACACGTGCCACCTTGTCACGTGTCACCTACATGAATATCCACTAAGATTTCCACAACGTGGAGGTGGAGCCCAGGTTTCGAATCCGCGGAGGAAAATCATGTCCGCTTCGCACTGACCGGATTCATTGTCCCCCTCGGCGAAGGCAGGACCCTCCATGTTGGCTTGGATAAAGTCAACCCTGCCAGTGAATTATAGGTGAGAAATTGATTGTCAAAAAAATGCATATATGTAAACGGGCGGACCAACCGGGTGGCAACGTTGTCCTTGAGAATGTCAATTTTGACGAGACAGGTTAAATCGCCGGAGGAGGAAGCAGGAAATTCTGGGGATTTGAAATCTACGATTCGTTGCCCTCTCTTGACATCCCCACATTTCGCTGCGGAATGAATTAGTGCTGAAAATGGGAAAATTTCACACTATTTTTCATGCATACTACATATGTTGGTATAAGTGTAGGTACGACATACGATCACAACATGCCAACGCATTCGTGCAAAATCCCATGATTCTTCCCCCACGATTTTTGCACTTTTCGACATCGTCCGTACAATACCCGCCGCATTGTGATCCTGTCAAATATGACAAGAAATCAATTTCTGTAATAATTGAAAATGATCTTTCTTACCATTTTGTGCGGCGGTGGTTGTGTAAAAAAATGTGACTATTTCAAGATAAAGGATGCAGAGACATGTCGTCTTCCAGCGTCCCATTATAAATTCCGAAATTATTGGCGTCAAATTTTTTGTATAATTTGCCTAGCCCTTCCATGACCATGAGACGTGATAACGAGCCACACCCACGGTCAAGCTATTGAGAGCCGAGATGTGTCTATCTGAATACGACGGAATTTAGTTACTGACCACTAATAATAACCACACCAAATCCATTGCTTGACACGGCAAAAAACGAGAGCGATTAGTTTTGAAGGTGAACCATTGTGAACTGATTCAGATTTTGTCTAAATTATTTACTCAATGAGACAAAATAAAATAATGCAAATTGTGCAATCTTTTTGTGCAGAGGCTGGACTATGGATGGATTAAGCAATTTCCTCCTCTTATTTTTAGGGACCTTCTACTAAATTACTAACTAAACTGTGTATGAGTATTACATTTTCATTTAAAAAATGAAGCTAAATGCAAACTTCCAAAATTATTCATTAAGCACGTGCATGTATGTAAAGTATGTAATGCAAGCGTGTGTGAGTGACAATAATGTTATCCTTTTTAGTGCTTAGAACTATGACATTATCACTATTGCATCGTTATCATTGTTGGTGGTATGCATAAAAGTAGTGCAAAACCACAACAATGCTGTCGTCCATATATGTACCACATTCAATATTGTGGTTCGCATTGTATTGTTGTTTGTCCCGTGATTATTTCCGGCTAGCTAGTTTGTGGATTAAAATATGTATTATGCAACCGGAAACGTGCTTACGTGGCCATTAGAGAATTATTATATTCTCGCTGTTATAACATGTGTGTTTACTTGGTTGTGAATAAAATGAGATGATTTTTTATTTATCATTCATGATGGTGGATTATTGGGTATTGTTAGAATGTGCAGGTTTATTGAAGGTGACCACTTCGAACTTGACGTTTTTATTAGTATTTTTTAGGTAATGAGGTTTTATACACATTTTTTGCCTTGATAAAAGAATTAGATGTTAATTGGGCTGTTGTAAATCGACACTGAGGAACATGAGACTTTTTTGTGGAGTAAATTGGAGAGGAAAATGAGACTGGAAATGAAACTGAGGATCAAAATGCGAAATGCCCCATCGCCGTGCGAAAGACGGACTTTATTTACAAACAAATTTGATTTAAAAAAAACAAATTATGATTTGTTTTTAAATGTGTTTGGTTTTAAACGTAGTTAACGAGTGAATTAAAATAATGGTGATAAGCCCCGATAAAGGAGATGGGTTTCCTCCTCCAGCAACAGCAGGCACAGTCCTTCCGCCAAGTTCCCCCACGACACGGTCACCCAATAATAATTTGGCCGATTCGCCCGGAGGACTGGCAGCGACGGGGTCGGACACCGTCCTTGCAACGGCTGGATATGACCACACCATTAAATTGTGGCAAGTGGGGACGGCCCTTTGCTTCAAAACGTTCCAACATCCTGACTCGGTGAGTTCAAGATTTAATTGTGATTTGAAATTGTATTTTGACTCATAATTTGTTAATATTTATTACAGCAAGTAAATGACTTGGCGATAAGCCCAGACAGAAAGTCGGTCGCTGCGGCGGGTAAGCTACTTTTTAATTGGATTGATTCAGTTTGTAATTATTTACTAACCGGGATTAATTTAATTGTTTTGTTAAGGTTTCCAGCATGTTCGAATTTATGATGTTCAAGGATCAGGGCAAAGTATTTAGTAAAAGTTTCTGATTTTTAGCCAGTGAAGAAACTGACCAAATTTTTGTTTTGTATAATACAGGTCCTGCCGTGAATTTTGAAGGGTTGACGAAAAATGTGACGTGCATAGGATTCAATCGAGATGGGCAGGTGGGTGTTAACTTGTCTTGCGTGAAATATTAATTAATGTGATTAATTTGTTTTGATTTGTAAACAGTGGATGTTTTCCGGGGGAGAAGACGACAATGCAAGAATTTGGGATTTAAGGTGTGTATCAAGTTTTGGAGATAAGTTTGATACTTTGGTGTTAATTTGTGTCAGTTAGTTTACTCACTTGTTTTTATTTTATAGGACAAATGCCACACAAAAAGTGTTCCAAACCCACTCGTCCCCCATCACGTGTGCCACCCTGCATCCCAACAATACCGAACTAATCATAGCAGACCAGAGTGGAACGATTCACTTGTGGAATTTAAAGAATGACAAAACTGAACAATTGGTAAATATTAACTGGCACTTATTAATTACAATTAAAATCAAATCCACGATTAAAACTGGAATTTTTTATATGCATATTGTAGATTCCTGATCAAAGTGGAACCGTTCCCATTCAGGATGTTGCGATTGACCCGTCAGGAAAATTTTTGGCTGCTGTAAACAACAAGGGAGACTGTTACATTTGGACCTTGGACGGTATTTACGAGTAATTACACTCTCCTTGTCGATTCTATTATGGTGCAATTTTTTTAGGAGGAAATGGTGAAGAAATTCGTCTCAGCCCGTTCCACAGGTTAAAAGCTCACTCACGATACGCTTTAACGTGCTGTTTTTCCCCAGATTCGAGGTAATTAAGAATATAATTGAATTAAACGGAGCAAAATTAATTTGAGAGGAAATTATGGAAATTTTAAAAACATGTTTTAAAATTTCTGTAACTTTCTCTATCTCTTGAGTTGGGTTAAAATTTCTGGAGGCAATATGAAAAATGTTCAGAGGACGCACAAAAGTGATTTCAAGATGCTAATACAATTTTCACCCAACTCAAAAGAGGAAAAGCTTAAAAACGTAGTTTGCTAACTGCCTATTATTAAAATTTCCAGTCTTCTGGCAACCACTTCGGCCGACCAAACGTGCAAAATATGGAAAATGTCCGACTCTAGCTTAGTGGCGGATTTGCATTGTTCTGGTCAGCGATGGGTGTGGTCGGCCGCTTTCACAGGGGACAGTCAGTACATAATAACTGCTTCGTCAGATAATCTAGCGAGATTGTGGTCCTTGGAGACTGCACGGACAGAGCGAGAGTACAATGGACATCAAAAACCGGTGACCTGCGTGGCGTACAGAGATCCGAGTATCCTTTACTAGCAAATTTTTATGTGAGTAGCTTTTTAGTCAGTTTTACCATATTTTACAAAATTGCCAATTAATTTTCTAATAAATTATATACAGAGTCGTTTATTGACTTCCGGTATTCAAAAATTGGTTTATTATTCATCCCCCTCCTACATGTTTACATAAGAAATATTTATGTAAGGTTATTACATACATACATACTTTTTTTCGTGACCAACATTTATTAGTGTAAAGGAGGGGACATTATTGGTAATCAATTAATCAATCGATTTTACAACGTATCGATCGATCATCGATTTCTATCTAGAACTCATATCCCTTAAATCTATACATGTTTATGTATGTAGAGCACTTCGTTGTTTGAGAGTCGACGTATTTCTTATTTACGTTAACGAATCGAGGTTATTATTTGCACAAGATTTTTTAAGGTAACTACTGTAAATAGAAAGAGGAATAAAAACGTAAATGAGAGGCAGGTAATATTTTATTGTTATTGTGAATGATTGCATCAATCATCGTCGTTCATGTCGAAGGATGATGAGATGAGGATGAACTACTTTCTTTTCTTCTGATGGAGGGAGAAGGATGAGTAGAGTTCCATTTAATTAACTAACTATTTATGTAGCTCCGTTTTTCATGTATGTACATACCTATTTCTAGTCCAGTATTAAATGTACATCTAATTTGGTATGTAGGTAAATATGTAGGAAGGAGTAACAAATACTATTGCTATTTTTACTTATTACTTATTACGCAACTGTTAACTTATTAAGTAAAAGACTGGTCTATGTACATATTTATGTATATACTCGCTAAGTCAATTATAAGGTCAACACGGTTCTCTGTTTCTTATTGATGATTGGCAATATATAAATGCGCGGCGTCTATTTAACTAAATATTTATCTACCTACGACTCAAAATTATGTCAGTATTTACAGACTAGTAGTACGTTTGTAAAGGTGGTGTCGGTGGTGTGGTGGTGGGTGTGGTGATGAAAAAGTTATGTGCACTTTGTCATCCATCCAGTTTTTAAGTAATCGTGTCAATAATACTGATGATTTTCACCTTAATTCTTCTACAGCTAGCTATCTACTCGTAACAATTAACGGTACGGTAATTCCAACATAATTACTGAAAGGCATGGCAAAAAGGCTCAATTTCATGGACATTACTCATCGTTTTTTTTAGACATGAACAACAACTATGAGCTAAGAGAAAGTATAAACTGGAGAGAAAGAGAGAGGATGAACGAGTAGTTGGTTAGTTAGTTAGTGAGAGAAAGCAGTAATATTTAAATAGTCAGTTAGTAATTAATTATTGGAAGGGATGTGAGTTGGGTTTTTGTTTTGTAGAATATTTACACGTATTTTAATTTGTATTAAATTTGTTGTATTTTATAATCGTAGAACGTTACGATTCTAGTAAATTGTAGTCTCGAATGTGAAAGATTGGGTTTGTTTTTTTATCTGTAACTATTTAGATTTGCCTAATTGTAGTCCAAATTGTAAGTAGAATGAAAGCACGCACTTTCACTAATTGACTGTGGTGGCGAAGCGGACATAAAAATGGTCTCTTTCTCTTTTAAAAAAATCCTGTCGTGGATGACGAAGAACTTTGTACATACGAAATATTTAGAGATTTAGGACTTATTTACTTGGCTTTAAAATGTTTTGTCTTTCTTGTCATCAAGGTAAACTTTTACGTCGTGGTGATTGCTGAGTTGTATGTATTTACACGGAGTGTGCTCTACATAAAAGTGAATTATTAAGCTAGTGGAGGAGGAATTTCTTGACTAGAATAATTATACTGAGCAGGTTTAATAATGCGAATGAGGGATTTAGGCCAGCAGCGGCTCCACAATCGGGGCGCAGGTCTTTCTCCTGTAAAAAAATTAAGTGTGAGTTATCGAGAAGTGATGATAAGATGCGTATGTAATCTCACATCCTCATTGAAGAAAAGGCATCGGGACGAGGGTCGTTTCCTCTCGAGGGGAATGTATGGCGTCCTGCAAATCTGGTTAATCACGTCGTTGCTCGTCGCCAGCTTTTCTATCTCCTCGTCTATCGTGTATTGCACCTGGGGGAATAAAATGAGAATTAATTTAAAATTTGTAGTGAAAGTTTTGTTATTTCAGCAAATTCGCGAATATTCCTGAAAAATTATAATTCTGGAGTTATTTACCTCCTGGCCCCCAACGCCCTTCCGACTCCGCAACGCTGGACACTTGGCGTCGATAGCGATCATGATGAGATTCGTTCGGTTGATGAGATGGACCCCGTAAAACCTGATTTGACGAGATTAGACAATCGTGACCAATTTTTTGAGGAATAATATAATTACCCGTTGTGCCCAAAACCATCGCAGTCTGCGAGGATGCCGGGGTGGTAGCCTTTGGTGTAGAGGTCGGAGTAGTACTTTTTGCCATAAGTGTAGAGAAGGTACTCCTTGTGGCAGGGGCGGAGACGGGTCTTGTTGATGGACGCGATCCCAAAGAACGGGTGCCAATTCGGGTTCTTCTCCTGGTCCTCGCTGTACTCCTCGTCAACGTAAATTACTGCAAAAAATTGGCAACAATTGACACCTTTGTGTTACGGACTTGAGTGAATTATGAACTTACTATCGGCCAAAACAGCGGAGAAATCGGGAGAAAAGTACGAGTGCAAGTTGACCTGTAACATGAGCCAGGCCATTCTCCCGATAAACCATTTCACCATCCATTGAAAGTAACGGAATGGCTGCGCGGAATTGGGGAAAAATTATTACAATTTAGAAATAAATTCGACGTTAAGTATTTTAATTTCTCACATTTTGTAAAATCATTCCAAATCCGGACTTGCTGAAGAGGTGAAAGCAAATGGCTTGATAATCCACGACGTGGACGCGCTTATAAATGTCATGGTTTACGAGTTGCTCTAAAATTTCGCCGTGGACTTCGCCAAAAAATCGACCTGTAAAAAATAATTTGGCGAATTTATAGCCGTCATAAATAAATAAAATTAATAGGCTTTTGCAAATTAATATGTATGGAATTTTTACCTGTGAATTCGTGCCGCGCCGCCACGACGATGTAACCATTATCGTCAATGACGTAGCAGTCGAGTTCATCTCTGCATTTCAGACAGCCACGTCCGTCACACTGCAGACAATAAGAATTTCATGATAACCCTGATAACCCAGCTTTTGACCTATGTTGACCTTACCCTGGAAGCAATATCGAAAAATCTTTTGGCCATTTTTTCATGTTCGAATTGGACACCGGCCACCGCGACGGGTGCGGACTGTTGGACGGGTGGGGCTGCCCGATTCCCACCTCTCCCACCACTGCTCCGGTGGACAAATATGGCCCGGGTCGCCGTCACGTAGCTGTCCCCCCGCGTCCCAGCATCGTACGGAACTGAGAGGACGTAGGACAGCCCACGGTCAACATCGTACCTGTCCACCGCCCGTTTGTACCAGAGCTCCTCCGTGGCTGCAAAAAAAATGGAAATTGAATTTTGCACGTGCCAAAAATTAATTACTTTCTTACCTCGAATGTCACTCCGGCTGAAGGGCCTGCACATTGAAAACATAAGTAATTAGTGTGCTCATTAGGATAACTTAATTAATATTGATCTTACGTGAAGGGGGTCGAGTCTGTGTAATTTACCCACCGCGTCAACCCACTCCTCGTCGCGATGAACCCCACCAAAGGTCCAAACGGGTTCATGATCTGTCTACCAAAAAGATTTTATTAAATGGCGTCCTCCTTTTTTAGTGCTCGATTTAATTAATAGTGCATATTTATGTTTATAATAGCATTGATAATTTCCATATCGTCCGTGTAAGCAATAAACGCAGCGGACATTTAGACACAGAGAGAAGGAGACAGCACACCACGCCGAGAGTTGACTTTTCAACGTCAACCCTTGGCTGGCGACTGTCTCATTAGATGACGACCCATATTTTGAACCGTGTACGATTACCTCTTCATTATAGCGAATGAACGCTTTCGTTAGTGGTCTTGCAAGAGAAAGAGGAGGAAGAAGAAGAGAGGACACAATTTAGTAGTGATTACGTGGTTGGACGTGCTCACTAATTGACAGGTCGGAGTGAGCACGCCCAACAGTTGTAAATAAGATCATGTTACGCAACAACTTTCTCTGGTGGGTGAAAGCGGTGCAGTGAAAGTGAGAGAAAGCACAGAGTTGATCCTTACCCCATGTCCTTCTGGTAGGAGCGATACCTTTAATTAATCAAAAATTAATTAATTAAAATTAATTTAGACAGATTATTTACTAGAAAATACTATGAGACTGGAGCTATGTGCGACTTATGGCTCTTCCATCTTGAGATGGAAAAATCAAATAAATAGATACGGCAGGAATTTACTACATATGTTGGTTTACTATTCTTACGATTAATGTTAATTAAAAGTTAATTTTTTGTGCATACACTTTGTACTTTAGTTTGGTTTGGCTAACAATGGAGGTGGATGAGTCATTTTCTGAAGACGACGACTTCGTCACAACGCAGAAGAGGACGACACCGAAGGTGGTTAAAAAAAGGCGAAATTAGTGAAAGCCGGTCCATCTACGCCTGCTGCTAAATCTAACCTGTTAGTGTTTAGTTTCTTCCTCCTCCTCTCCCCACTAACTTGTACTTAATATTTACTCGAATATTTTTATTTTGTGTTTTTAGTTCCACCGCAAAGACTGCTACAGCCGCCCCTGATCCTAGTAAACATTTGGCCGTGGAGACTACGAGAGCCCCCAACTGTGATGAAGGGGAATTAAATCCCCGTGGTTCGAAGGATAAGGAGAAGAGAAAGTCGGAAACCGCTACAAGTCTTGCCCGTGAAGACCAGACTTTCCAACCCGTCCCGTGGTCCTACATTGTTGATGAGGAGGAGATGGAAGTGGAGGAGGAAGAAATGCGACTCAGGGATGGAAGGGGGATCATTTATAGAGATGGGGATTTGGATGAAGAATTCCAAATAAGGCACGTGTCTTTGTTGGATACGAAAATTGACACAACGGTTAAAGGTAACATAATAATTACCACTTGTATGATAATGATTAGTGCACACTATTTAGTAAGGTTGTCATGCTATATAGGTGAAGGGGTCGATCAAATCAGAAAGACGATTCTGCGGTTAGTTGGACTGGCTGAGACTGAAACCACTTCCCCTGACCTCGATGTTTATGAAGCCTCCCCACAACTTGTTTTGACCCAGGAGGAGCAGGGATTGACCGCTGCACAGAAGGAGGTTCTCTTTCAGGAGATTTTCCGCAGAGGAGGTCGTGTTGTCGTGGAAGACAAACCAGGATGGTTTTTAATCATTCACAAAGCCCCCACCACCGGGTTAATTCATTTGTGCTTAGAGATACCACGACAAGTTAGAGGAGTATGGATCTATGCAGCTTTCAGGCTTTGTACGAAACCAAGTAAGCATAATTAAGGTGGATGATTGTTGTATCTTTGATACATATTTAAATAAGGTGTCATTCTCATTAATCAGAGTGTTACCAATACAACTCAACATTCTCGAGTGATGTCTTCCCCAAATGCATTCAACATCAATCCAATCCCATCTATACCGTGTCAAAAGTGACTGATTACAATCGAAATGACGTTGTGTTGTTTCTTCACATAAGGGGTAGAATCTCTGTAGCGTCGAATTCATCCGATCAGACGAAAGATGAAGAGGCCGAATTATATATTAGTCAGATATGTTCCTCTTACACGGGGTGGAAAAACTATTGTGCCACGGAGGGCCTAGCAAGTCGACCAATCCCCAAATCCATATCGCGACACCATTTTAACAACGAAGGCGAGGCTCTAAGGATGCTGTCATTGGAATCAGTTAGTGAAATTGTCTAATATCTTGAGTAATGAGTTGTGATTTCATCATTATTCATTTCTAGACAATTGGAATGTTTATGAAACTCGCTCCCGGATCTCAGCCCATCATAAGTTTGGATGAACTCATCCCCTTGTGTTATGGAATGGAGGATGAGATCGACGCACGACTGAAAGAGTTGGGAATGGAACTCAAGATTCGTCGCCATTTAACACCAACGGAGAGGAAGAAGGTCAAGTACCTATTTCCGGGAGAATATCTTCTTGGAGCAGCAGCAGCAGCAGCAGAACAACAACCAAAGAAAGGGAAGACCTTTTTGTACACCATCATGAGTCGGAATATGTGGTATTTTGGGTGGAGCAACACCCCCGATTTCAAGGGCCGTTTGAACGAAAGGGGAAGTGATGGTGCTAGGGAGTACAAACGCATAACCGAAAAGAGACAGAAGGGTAGGGAGTTAGAGATAGAGGGACTGAAACAGAGAGATAGACAGTTAGGTAGAACAGAGGAGTTATGTATTTATCCACCCCCACTGAAAGCTCCCACCATGACGTGCTACCTACTCGCCAACTGTGAGGATGATGAAAAGAACACCATCAAGACCAAAACCATCGAGGCGAAGATGATAATAGCTGGATATGTGGCATATTTGTTGGGATTCCGTAATCCTATTCGGCCTAATTCTGACATCGGTTACTCTGCTAATAAATGTGTTTCTATTGGTTTAGTTGATTCTACTTCATGGGGCGAGATTTGTGAGTTTGTCAAGTTGTTCTGGGGATTTGAGCCAATGTTGGCGAAGTATGAGAGAAATTGAAGTATGTAGAGATTTTTTGTATATGTAAAACTAGGATGAAATAAATTGAATGCGTTTTGCCTTTCATACCACTTGAGGTTGAACACACCGGTCACGTTGGCTGCAACCACAAGGGGAGGAGGTCACATTAGAAAATAGATCGTAGCGGGGCACGTAATTTAATTATGTAGCAAATGTTTACCATCTAAGACGAGAGCTTGTACCAAATGTTTGTCACCTGGAAGAAATTAGGAAAAAATGAGAATTTGTGTATATTTTGATTGAGAGAAGTATATGGACTAACAAATGTAGACTTGGCTGTCTAAAGTGGGCTGCCTTCGGGTGATGCCGATGCCCGTATTTCTCCACGGCCAGGAGGTATTGGCCTGCTGGATTTCTCGGAGAAAGTGCAAGATGAGACCTTCCTTGTTGTCCCGAAATTCGGGGTGAGCCCCACGAATCTGCCAAAATAGAAAATTATGGAAATATGTAGTTAGTGTTTCGGGTGTAAGTAACAACTTGGGCAAGAAGACAGTGGTTTCTTGCAGCTATTTTGACCTACAAGAAGTGCAAGGTGGTGCAAGAAACTCCGACCCGCCGCTATAACTTATTGGGGGGCGTGGCTAGATGGTGCATATTTCTTTGCACTTTCTCGCAGTTTCTTACTTTGTAGTGCAAGATATGGGGCAAACCCGCAAGAAATTAAATAGTGAAAGTAAGGATTAGAGAGTAAGGTAATTTGGCTTTAAGTACGTACATATTCGCAGTAGGTCCAGTCTGGATTAACCCTCCAGCGCCTGGGCTCATCGGGAGCTTCAAAAAAGTGCGTGACATTTCTGCCCTGACCATCCCTCCGGATCTCCATGCCCCCCGTGAACTCGTACTGTTGCGACTCTGGTAGCGTGATGGCCAAGGTGTACACCGTGTTGGGGATTTTGACGTACGCATACTTCTGCCGGCGGAGGAGGACACGTCTCTGAAATCAAAATCATCGATGAAAAATAGGAAATTAATTTCGTTTCTTGACTCTGACTTACAAACTCGTCGAGTGGAACGCGAACTGAGATGGTTTTCATGGCGGCTTCAGCCCCCATTTCCATATTGATCATTTCTCTCCTCATCTGAGAAATTGGATAAAATATAAATTATTAAAGGCGGATTGAGGGGCTGGTGGGCTGCTGGCACCCACCTCCATCAATTTGGGATCGAAATTCCTCTCGTAGCGATCCGTATCTGCCAACTCGACTTTGGACAAGTCGACCGAGTTGTAATTGGGTTTGAGTAGGTCGGTGAACTGGAAATAGGTACATAACGTGCATCTTAATTGCAAGGGTATACATACATAAATAGAAATCGAGTTAAGGTGTAATTTCCTTACGAGAGGTCTCCAATCCGGGTGAAATATGACGTGACCATTCTCCGTCAGAGCCAATGCGTACCTGTTAAAGTGGAGCCATATATGTATACAAAATTAGACAGGTCCAGGTTTCTACCTGACGATGGAGATCTCCCAGCGAAAGATCTCCAATTTTGGCCAATTTAGTCTCAATCAATCACAAATTCAGTTAGTATGACATTTGCAAGAGGCACAATCTCTGAGTGGGCAAGTTTGGCAGAGATATTTGCATCCGAAGAAGATAAAACGCGCAGTAAATTTGGAAAGTGTAAAATTTGTCGACTTTAGGGCGCACTTTCTCCTCTTTGGATGCAAATATCTCTGAAAAATCTACACATTAAGAGATCGTGTGTTTTTGCAAATTTCATACTAATTCACTTTGTGATCGACACTAATTTGCCCAAAATCTAAGAGCATACGCTGGGAGACCTCCCTTGCCAATCGACAACGTACCCATTCACCCCAATTTTGAAGGGGGTCGCAATCTTGAGAAACTCCGATATAGGAATATCCGTTCCAACAACGCCCAAAAATATCGCAATTTTCTCCTGTAACGGGCAATTTGTAACTTATTTAAAATTTCCAAGTTTTCCAAGTTCTGCGCCAATTCTAAAGTCTGTAAATACTTTTCAACACGACACTTCTCATGCGAATTAATAAGCACATACATAATTTTAGGTAAGACAACGGCATGCAACAAATTAGTTGGCGACACGAAACTAAATAAGTGTAAATACGATACGATAAATACGAGAAGTATTTGTGTGTGGAGAGAACGCATCAATAATTCACCTTGGTCATTTCGTCTACCGTTTGCGTCTCATTATTAGCTTGAGCTTTAGTAGTCACAGGCGTCTGAGAGAGAGAGAGAAAGAGAGGAAGAGAAAGTAAATAGCAAACTTAGTCAAACTTAATTAAAATTAATTAATTAATTAATTAATTAATTAATATTTCAACATTATGATCACTTCAACTCATTTTAACAAAAGCAGAGCTCATTTCTTGGCAAAATTAATTAATTATAGCGACATCCATAATTCCATTCCTAAAATATATGTAATTAGCGGGGTTGAGAAGACGTCACAAAATTTGGAAGAAGTAAATTTTCAGAGTGAAAGTAAATTTGTAATAATCAGCAGCACTGAACGATATAATTATGAAATTATGTAAATTGGCACACGTCATCAAAATGAGCAAAGTTTGAAATTAATTTTGAAAATCTTTCGGAGCAGAAGGATACGAAATTGTGTAAATGGGCACTTTTTGAAAGTGAAAGTGAAATTTGTAATAATCAGCAGCACTGAGGGATGTAATTATGAAATTATGTAAATGGATACACATCGTCAAAATGTTGAAAATAATTATGAAAATTTTCTTATGAGCTGAGCATGAAATTGTGTAAATGGATACTTTTTAAAAGTAACCTTTAACAAGTGAAAGTAAAATTTGTAAAATAATCAGATTATGAAATATGTTTGTGAGTATATACACACATCTTCAGTCATCTGTTAACAAAACGAGTTAAGAAATCTGAAAATTATTATGAAAATCTTCTGAGCTGTATGAAATTGTGTAAATGTACATTTTTTAGAGTACAGAAATTGTATTAATGTTTGAAATGAGTGATATGTAAAACGACATGAAAAAATAAGTGGGAAAAAGGCCGCACCAAGTGTTCCGTGGTGTTCCGCTGGTCGAAAACGGGGAGGGAGACGGACACCATGAATCTGTACTTGCGAGGACTTGGACCCCATTTCGCCACGTTTTCCTGGAGAAAGCACAAATCAATGAAGTTAATTTTTGCAAAATACATAATAAGATAGCAACTTTATCAGATAACTTAAATCAACTTAAATATATTTTTCAGAGGTGGGTAAGATGCTTTATCAAAATACTGTATTTTGACACAGTGTCTATTTTGCCCACCCTTATATATTTGTCGCAATGTCGATAAGGTCTCAGCCCACATGTTTCATTATAAGTCTCATTAACACCATATTTTTTGGTAAGATTACCACATTTTTTCAAGAAATGCATTCTTAAATATTCAGCCATCACAGTAAAATACAGTAGACACAGCAAAATGCAGGACATAGTCATCCATCCATAAATACGTACATATATAGCACATTTTGCAGCTTACATAAACACACAAAGAGCAATTATGTTGTATTATCTGGGAGGAAAACAAGAAGGGCAGAATAATTCATTTACTTAATTCTCTCCTTCCGCTTCAGCGTCCTTATAAATAGTGCGCTCTTTGTATTTATGTAAATATGTGTGACTAGCAACGAGAGGACTTTCTCCTCCTGTTACTGCCTCTTGACTGAATTTGAATGCGCAAATAATTGAATAATAGGAAACAACAGAATAATTATCATCTCTCGACCGACCGTGTTCATGGAAGTGGAGAAAAAGCGGATTTCGAGTGTACTTTCTCCTCGAGGACATTCATCATCTCGTTGGCATTCTTCATCAAGTATCAAGTGAAAATGCTCTTTTACTGTTTCTTTTTTTTAAAAAAGTGCTCCACATTTTATGCATGACGTGCCATGGGAAGAGTAAAGTTGAGAGAGAGTTGGGAAGGAAATTGAGTTGGAGAAAGCAGCAGCAGCAACAATAGAGATGGATTACTGTTTTTTTTCTTTCTGCACAAATGGCACACAAAAAAGCGAGTCTCTCAAGAGAGGGATATCATGCAACACTTTTTTGGAGCCAGAGCTTATGAAATCGGCGTGTCCGTACGTCTGTCGCGTGGACGGCAGACTAAACCGATTTAAGCGAGAGAAAGTAAGAGATACAATTTTGCAAGGTGACAATTTCTGTATAAGAAATATTTTTAGTATTTATCCTTAGTTGGAGCCCAAGCTTATGTAAACGGCGTGTCTGTACGTCTTCCGCATGTTAGCGGACGGACTGCTAAACCGATTTAAGCTGGAGAAAGTTAGAGGTACAATTTTTCAAGGTGATAATTTCTGCATAATAAGTTTTTTTTTGTAGGCGGAGTCAGAGCTTATATAATCAGCATGTCCGTCCATCTGTGACATGCTGCTTAGGGGACGAATTATTGAACATATTTTAGCAGGAGAAAGTTGCAAATAAAATTTTGCAAGGTGAAGATAGATTACTGTCTGCATAATAGGCATTTTCCTTGGCTCGGGCTATACCAAGTCTGCATGCATAAACACTGCCTGCATGTTATTTAGAAAGCGACTCATCTCTCGTAAATTTTGTCACATGTCAGCCAACCAACTCTAGACTATTTCAGGGAATGAAATGGGAGATACCCATTTAAACAAATATGTACTTTCCCTCCGAGAAAAGCGATACTCTTGCATTACGTATTATCTTATCGGGCAGGTTAATACATACATCCACAAGAATTCGAGATAAGAGTATAATAATAACAGATGACACATCCTTTCACTTTCACTCTCACCCAAGAGATGTTATATTTTGGTTTGGAAACCTAATATCCTGTCGAGAATGGAATGGAGGATTGGATTTCAATCTCAGGTACATATATCCACCAACTGCTTGCGAAATGGTCTTTTATTAATAAAGCGAAGAGGAGCAGATTTGTGTTGAATGGAATTTTCTCGTCATCTCATGAGCGATGAGAAGAGAGAGATAAAAGGTTATGGATGGATTTTGGGAGAGGACGACTTGCGAAATTTACTCCCAGATCGATTACGTACTCGTACTCACTCATGTGGACGGACGGAATGGGATCCACGCTCGTAAAAACTTTCACTTGCTGATGAAACACAATAATTTTCATACACACAACAACTTTCACTCTCGGATTAGTTCACATCAAAACCGTTCACTCGAAATTGATGGGTAGGAGGAGGATATTTTAGTGCAAATATTATATTCATGCAATACTTATGCCTAGATACATGTGCGACTAATGACTAATGGCATGTTAGCAGAGGTTAATTATTTGCCATGCACGTATAAATGTTTAAACTATGTATTTCTAATCTAAGAAAAATTGGGTATGGAAGCTACTTAAAAGGAACGGGTTAAGGTAAGGACACAAATATCTGACTATGGGTTGACGTAAAGACGAGACAAATATGTGTAAAAATGGTCCCAAAATACATATAATTATTATCGCGGAGTTATTAACAGTGGGCGGATACGTATTTATTTTCAACTTTCTCACTCGAGGGCGACTGACGATCAAACTTTGCGGGTGTGTTCCCTAACTTTTATGGGTCACAAAAATTTCAAAGTATTTCTTCGTATTTTTATATATTTCTTGTTTTTCAGACATTTTTTCGCTCAAAGAACTTGGACCTCAAATAATCTAGAGCATTAAATTCAAAAATAGGTACAAAAATTTATATTTTTGCGATTCTTCATAAATACATATCCGCCCTCTGGCAGTTAGTTAACTAAATTATTGCTAACTAAACTATTCGACCGTGTTGAACTAACTAGGTGGCTACACACACCGAGGAAACTGACCTTTTTCGCGTCATGCTTAGATTTTCTAGCCAACAAGAGAATTTTTTGGTGATCATGCTCTCTACTGTTGGCAGCGAGGGCAAGTGAGAGCGCTTCCCCCCAGGGTAAAGGGTACGGCTGGTGGTGGTAGTTGTGGTGTGGGAGGTGAAATGGTGAAAAATTGGTGGAGGTGACGGTGGTGGTGGAGTCGCGCTTCGTGCGACGTGGTCCTGCTGGCAGTGGAAGCAGTGGTGGAAGTGGCTGTGGCTAATTAATTAATCAGTTAGTTACATAGTTAGTAAAGGTAAATAAGTAAATATTAGTTGTGATTAGAAACTAGAGGTGCGCTACTGGTGCTAAAATTAGTGAAAATTGGGTAAAACTTTTTACCTATATCGAAGAGTTTTTACAATGCTCGTAGAAGGTACAAAATGCAAAATATCGTAAAAAACTGACTACCCACAATTTAATTCTAATAAAACCTACGGAAAATAAGTCAAGAGAGTAAAGCCACAAAACTAAAGGTCAAAATTTTAAAGATTTAGGTACAAAGTTAGTTAGTTGGTTGGTGGTAAAGTGCATATACACATGTGCCTTATTAATTGTTAGAGTCTGCCGCTAATTACTTTGGAGTACTGTACTTTATGGCCTCGTGGAGTGGAGGTTAGAAGTTTAATCGCGTAATTAGCACTTGAACTTATTAGAGTGTAAGTTAGTTAGTTAGTTATTCTGTTAGTGGTGAGAATGATCTTGGTTGGCTTTCCGCTTTCATGCATCGCCTCACTTTGAACTTTCTTCTCAAGTGACTAATTTCTGGGAGGAGGAGGAGGACCGAAATATGGAAAAGCTCCCACGGCAAAAACTTTCCCATTTGAAAGGCTGTGGTCAAAGAGAGGCCAAAACCAGACGAGACAACTAACTCTTCAACTTTCCGAGGACTTGTTTGGTTTTGTGGCTGTGAGAATTCATGAATTTTAATACTTTTCCAAGAAGGAGTTTAGGAGTTTGGTGGTTTGGGTGACATATCGTCCATTTCTTGTTGGCTTTTGAGAAATGGGACAAGTTCTGTGCTTGACTACTTTCTCTCCACTACTTTCTCCTCCTCCATATGCACGATATTATCTACGAAGGAGAAGTGGCTAAAAGTTAATAAGGAGAGAAAGAGAGACATTTCAAAAGATTATGAAGTAAGAATAGCGTCGGATCGATAAATGTACAGTTTTGTGAGAGAAGAAAAGGTCACCTTTGGAGGCAGCAGCAGGTGACAATAGTGTCCAGAATTTACTTACTCCCATTTAAGCCCAATATTTGAGACAGATTTGACTTTTTCACCAGACCAGACCAGGAGCAGAGAAAGCGTGCTATGCATAATTGATGGAGAGGTAGCTATGTTATTGCATACGTGGGTATTATGCCCGCTGCAATGTGCACTATTGGATTATGTACACATATATAGTGACGCGGAATGTAAAGGTTGCCATTTCTGCATAAAATATGTACAATTGCACAATTTACTATTTAGTAGGTGAGCGGAAGGGAAAGTAGTAATTTTGGACGCCTTTCTCTCTACAAAGTGCGAGGATCGGTGGGTACATATGTATTTATTTATGATCAGTGTTACGAAACCTGTCGACCCAACAACCCATTATTCGTCATAAGCACAAAGGTTTCGTTGTTGCTGTCAACCTATTTTCTCCATTTATCAGAGAAAACAGTGGAGAGATGCCATTAATTAATTTGGAGGAGAGCGGACCTAGTGGAAATCAGGGTTCGGAAAAACCCAGGGTTTTATTCAAAAAGTATCGACCCAGGGGTTTTAATGGGTTTTAATGGGTTTTTTGGGTTTTAATGGGTTTTAATGGGTTTAATGGGTTTTATTGGGTTTTATTAGGTTTTACTTAAATAATACACTGAAAAAAATTTTCACAACTATTGCAACCCAATTCCAGTCATACATATGCAAATCCTTGTCCATGTTAGAATATGTACGTATCTGTTCATATTAACTGATGACAATTTAATACCATTTGGGACCATAATTAATTCTTTTTCCTGAATACTACCTCTCATCATAATGAAATCCAAGTTGACCAGAACGGCAAAAATCTTGTCTTGTAAGCAGTTCATGTGAAAATGTCCCCCATACGACACATTTCCAAGCATACATATTGAAAATTAAAATATAAGCTTTTTCTACCTCCAACAGAACCTAAATATGTCCCTATTAGAGAGAAATTCAAACCAGCAAAAGCTTCCAGGGCTTTTGTGGTTGAGTAAAAATTCATAAAATTTGTAAAGTTTTTCAAAATTTAATGTTTCCAAATTTAATAGTTTTTAGCGATCTCAAGGTGCATTATTACTTCTGGAAAAAATCGAGTATTTATGGATAACGAAATACATTATTATGAGCAAAAAAAGTATATCCGTAAAAAGAACTTGTTATGGTCTAGAGTAGTATTAAATAATACATGATCAGTTAACCTATTCCGAAATTACTTTTCTGTATCACTTGAAACCTGTGATGGTAAGGGATGGATTCGTTGATTTATTCCTGGTTTCAAAACGTACAATATTAAAGAACTAAACTGCTTAGCTGCCGTAAAACAACTTCGTCTCACGTATGATAGATGTTTCCAGCTTTTAGAATATAGTTTTAAGGTAAAACCCAGTTAAAATCCATTAAAACCCGAATAAAACCCATTAAAACCCAAATAAAACCCATTTAACATGGTAAAACCCAATGGGTTTTATTCATTAACAACCCATTAAAACCCATTAAAACCCAAAAAACCCAACCCAATAAAACCCTGGGTCGGAATACCCTGGTGGAAATATGTATATACAAATTTTGACCCACCCTGGACTGCCGCTCCCTGTGGGCGAACATCTCCCTCAACTCCTCCTCGCTGGGATTGATGATGCCGTAGTCGAGGAATTCTGCCGCCCTTTTGGCCGAGTAGGACACCATGTTCTTCTTCCCTTTGGGGACGGGGCGCGAGTCGTCGTCGTCCCCCACGATGTAAAAGTCCTGTTTCTCCGTCTCGTTCTTCAACTTTTTGAGGAGGGCCTTGTACCGCTGAGAACGAGATTTTTGTTCCGCCCGGTTCTTTTCGTCCCATAACCAGTCCGACTCCTGGATGTCGACAATGTCCGCGTACACGTTGGTCCACGAGACGGTGTGGACATTGGCCATGACCATGGGTCGAGACATGACTGCCAAGTATTTCACTACCTGCTCCTCCACCTGACCGATTGTCGTCACGTGGGCGAAATAGCCTAGAGAGAGAGAGAAGTAATTAAGGCATCAGTTTTTTGGGGGATGGAAAATTGACGAAATTAGCGTGCGTACCTTTATTGGAGCAGGCGATGGACAAGATTTCCGCCGTTTCGGTGACATCGCGGCCAATGAGATACGTGAAGACGCGCGTCCGTCCCAAGAGCTCTTCATTGTGGGGGTCAAAGATCTCGCTGAAGAGGTCGGGAAGTCCGTCCGTCTGTAAAAAAATGAGTTATTAAAGGGTGCAACCCTATTAGCGAGGAGTTTGTCTGTCTGTCAGCAGGATAACGCGAGAACGCATAGAGATAATCGAGATATATTTGCGGCATCATACATACGATCCCAGGGGGAGGATCCTGTCTATTTTGGGGTTAATGGGACCACCGCCTCGAGGTCACAAGGCCACATATTTTTTGGGGGAATTAATTGCTTCATTCTATTGCTACATTTCATTTGGAAAGGTTTATTTTCATGTCCATCTTAGAAAAATTGTGTAGAATAGTGCTTACTATGAGCATGATGGCTTCGTTACAGTTGGCAGAGTCGGACCGGTTGAGATCTCGGTGCTAAAATTAAGGATTTGGTCATAAAATGACTTGATTAAAAGCGTGAGGGAATTTTTGGGAAGGGAAGAAAAATAATACCTTCTCCAACATGCTGTAAGCTGCGTTAAGAGCTGCGGTAAAGTTGGCCATTTCTCTCGTCCTGTCCTGATCCAAGGCCACTTTGAACTCGCGAACATTTTCCAACGTGGCCTATTAAAAATTCATACTTTAATAAGTAATTGGATAATTGGAATTATCGATAGAGCAGGCATTTATGCACTGTTAAAAATCTGGTTGCGTCACAAATACTCCGCACCGGTATTGATTTGGTAATCACTTTCTACCGGATAGGTTGTAGTTTGTGCCTTAGTGGTAAGTTTCTCATTATCACAACATTACTAAACGGTAATGCCCATTATTACCAGTGTCGGTAGAGTAATATATGTACGTACTCCGGCCAGTACTGATTTAATACCAGTTTTCCAAGACTGTGGCATAATTGGGACTGACCTGAATCAAGCCGTCCTTATAGCAGGGGACGAGCGGAGACGTCTTATCCGTAAAGTTAAGCACGTTGACGTAATCATTTTCCGTGAGAGTATCTAAAATGGTTTGAACTACGTGGCGCCCAATTTCCCTCCGGAGTCCCATCATTGAGCCGGACACGTCGTGAAGGATGACAATGTTCTTGGGACTGTTGGCCGCCCCGGTGTACCAGGGACGCAGGCGACAGTCAAACATGTCCGGCTCCTTCCGGTCCGTGTTGTCCTTTGGCCATTTCATTGCTGAAGAAGGAAGAAACTAGTTAATAAGAGTTTCAGGAGGGGTCAAAGTTAAGGTCAAGGTCACGGATTCTGACCTGGATATTGTCTAAAAAAGCCTAACGAGCTTCCAAAATATTGCCAAAGCAGGGTCGGATTTTTGGCGTAATTCGACCTAAAAACTTCATCCATCCCGCTCGTCCAGTGCACGCCGTCCAAAATGTCCTCCCCTGTGAGGAAAAATTTTAATTACGTGAGGTGACGAATATTTATGCAGTGTTTCGAGTGCAAGTAATCATTTGCAAGAAGTGAAAGAGGTTTCTTGTAGCTATTTTGTACTTACGCCTGTCGTAGACGAACGAGGGAATATGAATTGTACTCGTGTTGAGGTTGACGTTGACGCCGAAATGCTCGTCCATTTTGAGATTGAGTTTCTCCAAGATGAGTGGATCTGGTCCTTCAGTGCTCCGTTCGGAGGAGCCTTTCGCACCCCCGCCCCCCGCGTCCAATGGAGCCACGAAGTTTATCTTCTTGGCGTTTAAGTAACTCTTGGGAGGTTCTTCGCGAAAGGCTTCGGGCTTCTCGAAATACTCCAACGCCTTCTGCTCAGCCCAGTGGCCCAGTTTCTGCACGTGCGAAAATAAGAAATTTTTATGGATGATATTTTTTGCCATGTTCGAACAGCGAGTTTCTGCACGTGCCAAAAATGTAAAAATGTATTAGTTTGAGGATGGCTTACTCGAATAGCGTCGACTTTCTCCTTGAGCGACACATAGGTCTCGTTGGCCATTTCTTCCACCACTTTTTTAAGGTTGACCGGATTAACGGCGGAGTTCGGACTGGACTGAAACCTCTGAAATCGTCGAACATAAACTTGAGCGCGTGGCGATGGAGAAAATTTTAGCCACAAATTAAATTACTCACCCTCTGAATCTCTTCATATTTCGTAGCGACATTACCAAAGTCGAATATTGCATTGCCAAAAGTATCCGTCCAATTTTTCAGCCTAAAGAGTAAAATATAATAAATTTCCTCAAAACAAAAGTACGAGTATGAAATCGACTAACTGATTCTGGAGAAGGTTTTCCCTGCCCTCGATAAGCAGAGGGAGGAGGATAAGACATGTCCACATGTCACGGAAATGCCACGTGCCCCGCTATCCCCTTGTTGAGTCCCAGCCCAGGTTGTGACCTCTATAACGTGGTCACATTGACGTGACACGTGTCCATTATTCACACCACCACGACCACCACCACCACCACACCCCCTGCGAGAGAGAGCTGAGGACCAAGTCACGTACAATTTGACCCCATCAAGTATTTCGTGGTTTATTTATTTCCCTGGTCGCAGATGGGAGAAGAGGGTGGATGGATGGGAAGAAGGCAGCGGAGAGGGGGACCCGACGACGAGGACGACGATTCTGATGCGGACTTTTCCTCTCCTTACACGACGAGCACTGCTACTCACTCACGAGAGAAAGTTGGAGCCCAACCTAGGCGTACGTATGTAACACGGGTCTCTCGTGCTGGCTGGCTGCTGTCCCGGGATCAATAGAATTGGGAACGACTGAACTACTGAACGGTAAGAAGAGTCGGACTATACTGCTCTCCTCCGGCTCCCTCGCCTCCCATGTTATACCTTCCGCCGCCCTCCGCTTTCTCCACCAAGTAGCATGCACACTGCTGCATTTTCCCAAAACCAACTTCTTATCAGCAGCATAAGACTTTCCCTCCACTTTTTCCTCTCTCCACACATGCAGCCACGAACTAATCAAGGCCTGTGTGGAATCACATAGAGAGAAAGTGTCCAAATTTTGAGTCCATGGTTTTGAAAGTATGTATACGTGCCAATTAATGACTGCGGGATATAATTACTTTTTAATGAGAGGATTCATGCCCCGTGGGTCGATGGGGAATCATTCATTGGACAGCATAAATCTTGGCGTGGCTTCGCATTGACTTTTCTTCTCGTCGTATTAAACGGTGTGTAACGGCTTGTGCTCTGATTCTGTCCGAGTGAGTTGTGGTTTGGTCGGTCGGTGGGACAAGATTCTTTGTTCCGTCGTCGAATGGACGGTGGTGGTGGTTTTGGGGAAGAAAGAAGAAGGAGACCCTATAATAAAATAATATCTCTGAGGAGAGGAATGTTGCTGGGTTGGTTGTTGGGGTATGAAATCTGCCTATGAATCGGTCTATTAATAAACACGTTACATCCATAGAAAGCAAGTTTAGAAGAAGAAGGTCTCTGTTCTTTCTCACTCGGTTTCCTTCCGCCCTAAGTAAAATGAGATATACACCTTGAGGAAAAGACGTCGACTAGTCAGCAGCACCCGTCGGACTGCGCTACCACTTACACGACGTGGGGAAGGATAGCAGCGAGTTTAATGCGTTCAGTTCAAGTATGTGTCAAGCCAGCTCCCTTTTCCGTGGACATTTTTTGGAGAGAAAAGCCGAGGAAAATGAAAGCGGGTATGGAAAGCATCGCCACGTAGGGAAATACATACATAAATGTAGAGTAGGTAGAGAGAGCCCACCTTTCCTGCTTACTCAGCCAGTCAGTCAGTCATGCACTCCTTTTGCAGGATTTGGAACCATGTAGGATTTGGAATACTGTAAAAATTTGTGTTCTCTCCAAATTTGTGTAGAAATGCGAGTGAGCAAACATTGCCCTGCCTGCCAGCCAAGCCACGCGATCCTCGTGCTGCATGTTCAACCAACTTGAATTCTGACAGAGACTTGGCACACGGTGAGATTTCTTCATGACATGACGACGACCAGGACGGGGACGACGGTTGTGGTTTAATGGAGGGGATTGGCGGTGCGGTGCGGTGCCCATGCGATTTATTTATTTTTTCTGCCCCTGTGCAAAGAGCCGGCCCAATTAATTTCGCGTTACTACATTATTCGCCGAGAAAGAGGAAGCAGCTTATCTTTGTTTGTTTGGGGAGGAAAATGCGACCCTTTTGAATGTACGTTTTTTCCAATAGTGGAATTTGCACAAGGAGGAAAAAAGTAAGCTTGGTAGATATTTTTGTCGATGCATTTCATCCATTTTGTACGAGGAGGAAGCCGTAGAAAGCGCTGGTTCGTGTCGTCTAGGAGGAATTGTGTGTGGGAAGAAGAAGCCTTAATAATTACTCAACTGCGATGCTTTCTCTTTCATCAATAAAACCAAAACCAAACCAGTCAACCAAACAAACCAAACCACACAATTGACAAAAACTAGGAAACTGCTTGTATAATAAATGTGGTCGCTGGGGGAGAAAGTGAGACCAAGTTTGTGTATATACGTATCAAACAAATCGAGTTTGATTTTGGAGTCATCGAGACATTGGAGACGAGGTAGGTGTCGAGAGAAAGTTGGAAAGTTGAGTCATCTTCAACTCAATTATGACTCATTTTGCATGGATGGATGGAAGCCAAGCTTGTTGTCTTTGTAATGAAATTAGGGCGCTCGTCCTCCTACCTCGAATCACTTGATTACTTACTTACGGAGGGAAGTATGTATACATAACTTACTTATTTTCCTGTTAGAGGAGACAGGGTACTACGTAGATAAATGTATATAAATTAGCAGTGACAATTGCATGCATGAGTGGAACTGAGGAAGAGAACGAGCAGGCGTCGTATAATTATTTAATTCGTATCGTCGTAGTCTGAGACCACGGCCAACTTTTAATGGGCCACCACCACAACCTACTTCTTCTTCTTCTTCTTGTTTGGCTCAATTAATGCCAATAATTGTGCCCATCATTACGATAAATCGAGTTTCTTCCTTCCTAGTACGTATATATGCAAATTTTGTGTATGAATTCGATTTTTGCACAACTTTCTAGGAGAATGGCTGGTCTTTGTTGTTGTCATTTTTGGCACGGATTATTGATATTTATTTCGTCCAACTATCTACTTTCTTCTCAGGCTTCTTCTCGTCTGCACGGAAGGTTTTCATAAACCAAACATGACAGAATATTCGGGAAGAAAGTAACCCGACGGGAAAACTTGGCTGGTTGTTGAATTTAATAAATCCGTTGTTAATAACTGAGAGTGAGGAGCAAAGCAACGTATCCTTCACGATACCTTCATGTCATGTAACGCAAAACTAAGCCAAAGCTAATCTAAACTTTTCATGCTCAGCTAAAGATTAGTTGGAGGAGACTCATGTACGTGTGTAGTTGCATATGCCTCGTATTTAATCACCATGTAAAAGCCAAGCCTTCCTGACGGAGGAAAACAAAGAGGATATGTTGCGAAGAACAACACGATAAGAAGAAGATAAACCCTGAAGCGAAGGCCATATATTTCGTGCAAAATCTCGACTTGCCATCTCATCTACCAAATCCGCTGTTTCCTGGCCTTATGCAACGTCCTCTTTCCTGTCCAAGGCAGGATTTGGGGGACTTCTTTTTTATTAAAAGTACGCAGAGAAAAATGGGGGAAAGTGTAAGCAGTGTTTCGTTTCTAGCGGGTTTTGCTAAATTTCTTGCACTGCAAAGGGAGAAATGCGAGAAATGCGAGGTGCAAGAAACTGGGAGAAAGTGCAAAAAATATACGTCATCTAATCACGCGCAGTATGAACTACAGCGTAGTTTCTTGCATTACTTGCAAGTCAAAACATCTGCAAAAAACATTTTCTTGCCGTAATTTCATTCAACTGGTTTCTTGCACCCGAAACACTGAAACCAAGTGAGTAATAAGAAAACCATAAACTTTGCACAACCTGTATAAAAATCAGTTAATCTTTTTTTTCGCCGACCTCTTGACCTCTGGGTAAAGGTTGTTTATTTGTCGTGTCATATCCCATCGCATGAGGGAAGGGAGAGAGGTTATCAATTTTTTCAAGTGAGTTGAATGATAACATGAGTGGGAGGGAAAACATGTCGGTTATGATCCGCAGCGTCCTCTTTCCTGTCCAAGACAGGATTTAGGGGACCTTTTTTTTATTAAAATTGCGCAGAGAAAAATGAGGGGAAAGTACGTAATAAGAAAAGTAAACTATGACCTGTAAAAATAATATCGCTTAATCTTTTTCCTTCGCCGACCTCCTGACCTCAGGGTGAAAGTTGTTTGTTTGTTTGTCGTGTCATGTCGGACGGAAGGAATGACAGAGGTTATCAATTTTTCGGGTGAGTGGTGAAATGAATGGGAAGGAACACGTGTCGCCTGTGATCCGACAAGGGAGCGAAATTATTACGGCGTTTTGGGAAGGAAACTCTGAGGATGGGGACGCCCTGAGGTGAGGAGTGAAGCCAATATGTTCCCTCTCCTAAAGTTTGAGATGTTTCGGGTTGACAGGTTTCGTAAACATTGCGGGTGGGAGAAGAGAGGAGGTTTATTTCTTGGGAAAATAAAAGCCAGGATTTATGTACGATGAAGCGATCCATGTGATGTTTGAGGAGCAAAAGTAATAAAATAAGGGTTTAAAAATATTGGAAATTCTGAGGAAATTTTGACCCACAAAATCTCAACGTACTCGTATTACGCGTATATACATATGCACATGTGTGCATATACTTACTATTTAGCTTTCATCAATTATAAACCATAAATTATCATAAATTGCAAATTTATGAGAAAATTTGTCTCACAATTCCCCCAATGGATTTTACAACTTCTTACCACTCTACACCATTTTATCACTTTTGAGCTAGTAGTAAATACTGATAAATACCACTTTAAACACTGGTATTTCGTGTAGTAGGCACTGCTAGTTAGTTAACAAGGATTCAATTTGGCATGAAAATGAGACGTACACACATGCATAGTTTCGGCCAGGTTAGATTTCTCTTCTCTTTTCTTTCTCAAGTCGTGTAGCAAGTGGGGAGCGGAGAAGTATTGATATTTATTTTGGCATGTTTGACACTATTTACATTTACTTAATTCCTAAACCCAGACGTGTGGCCTGGTCTGGCAGCTACATACTTATTAATCCTGACAGAGAACGTGAGACTTTTAGCACGACCAACATCAGCGGAGTTGTGTATGTACGTACCTATGTCTACTCTTAGGCGAGTACATATTTATTTTGTGGAATAGTGTTCCAGAGATGGGCAAAATATATTATGTGGAACTGCAGGATGTTCCACCCGCAAAAAGACGAAAATCTACGTAGAAAAGACGTCAGCTCTTAGGAAAATAGTGGTTTTGTGAATAAATCAACTTTTTAATATGGTCAAAATATAGTTTTCAAGATTTTGTATAGATAAAGTATTTTAACCCCATAAAAAGTAAATTTCTTCATAAAACCGGTACTTCCGCCCTATTCCCAATGCAGATTGTCTTCTTTTTGTGGGTGTAACAGCCCCGGAAATCCAAACCCTGGGAAGAACTTGGTTCAAAATATTTACTATATTTTGCCCACCTCTGTGGACGGAATATGTACCAAGTTGCCGATATTTTTTGAGTAGAGGATTCTCCGTAAAATAAATTGAGATGGGAAGAAAGAAGGAAGTGAAAGCACCTCCACCCAACAAAACGACACTCACTCCCGTCTTATTAATCCCACATAAGCCGTGTAACGCATCCATCCAACCGTGTTCGCTCCTTCTGCTGCTGGAGTGAAATTGTAAAAGATTGACCATTCCTGTGTTTACTCTTTCTCTGCCACTGCCACGATTTACTGCCTCGGAGTGAAACTACTACGTGTATTTACGAGGAAGGAGGATGAAAAACAAGCCACTACCACTGAACCGAGAGAGACGTTACACATGTACATAGACAGATGCCACATGTAAATACTCGCAGAAATCAATAGTTAATCCGACAGAGAGTGTGTTATGGCATCAATATCGGAAACACAAAACGCGTTGGGTGAGGTGAAAGTATGTATGTGTCGGAGAAAGTGAGACGCAATTTGTTACCTGATAGCCCCCAATAACAAAGATATTAATAATCGGGGTGACACTGCAGGTTAACCAGGGTTTCGTTTCTTGCGGGTTTGCCACGTTGTTTGCACTGGAAATCAAGAAACTGCGAGAAATATGAGCCATCTAGCCACGTGACGTATGAAGTATGACGGACGAGAAGTATTTTTTGCACCTTGCATTTCTTGCAGGTCAAAATAACTGTAAAACCCCACTTTCTTTCGGCTATTTCTTGTGCTGGAAAGCAAAAAATGCGTGGTGCAAGATATTGCAAAAAAGCGAAAGAAAGATGCTCCAAGCAGCCACGCGCCGTATGAAGTATAGCGGCTGGACGTAGTTTCTGGCGCCTTGCATTTCTTGCAGGTCAAAATCCCTGCAAGAAACCACTTTCTTTCCGTTATTTCTGGCAAGTGGTTATCTACTTTCACCCGAAACACTGCAAGTTGACATGTTTTTCGGATGGATGGAGAGATACATTACACGGGATACACAAACAAACGACTACTTGACATTTCTGTGTATGTAGCTCTCTCGACTGATTGTGAGTGGGACGTATCGCTTTCTCCTCTCCCTTTGCCTGATTAATAATGTCATGTCGAAATTATATCGAGGAGCCGGTGGTGTGTGTGCGGTTCGGTAATTTAGTGATTCGACTTGCTCCTCCCATGTTCAATTATTTAGTCTCAGGTTGGAGGGAATCAATGCAGTTAAAGTGGGAGACCATCCCAATTTATTTTACTGTCGTGGACTGCACGACTGGACTTTTGTGTGCACTTATTACGTATGACATGACCGACCAGAGGGTGGATGTATATTCATGAAATTTTTTTAAAAAATGCGAAAAATGCAAAAAAAAATCGGTCTCATGATATACCTTTGTACTAAGAAAACTTAAAAGATTTAATATTTTATAGCGGAAATATGTCTTGAAACCTAGAAATTGGTAAATATGTAACAATATGTTAAAGTATTTTGTAATTTTTGTGCTGTGTTTGAGTTAGGGAACACACCCACAATGATCATCGTAAAATGTTGTCATAAAATGAAAAAGTTTAAAACTAGTACATATACAATACATATCCACCCTCAGGTGATGCAAATAGCAGACAAATTTGTTCTCGAGACGTTGAGAGCAGGGTTGCAGAAATCTCATCTCACCTTCACAAATCTCATCTCACTGAGATATAATGAGAAATAATGAGATATGAGAAATATGAGATTTAGTGAGATTTATGAGCCATGCACTAGCGCCACCTAGCGGACGGGGTCATTAACTACATATTTATCTCATTATTTCTCATATTTCTCACTCAGCCCCAAGTGAGATAAATGATATAAATCATTAAATCTCACTAAATCTCACTCGGTGATATATATCACTTGTAACCCTGGTTGAGAGAAAAGCTGTAAGCCCGTTTCCCCATGATAAAAAAGAAGCGCAATACATGTACTTTACTTATCTACTATCAATTTATTAAAGTATATTGACATTTACATAATAACGACAAGATATCCATACAGGTACAAAAATCCTGTTACATATACATTTTACATAAGAACTTATCATCCAAAGCGCTCATATTTTTCTGAAGCTCACAAGAAATTTCTAGAAAATTTTACTTTGTATAATACACACTGAGAAATTAAATTGGACTATTTTCTGCCCACGTTAAATAAAAGCAATATATTTTTACTTGGCGTCGTCGTTCGTTTGTCATTAATTTGATCACGAATAAATCCAGCACCTTTCTCTGCGATTGATTGATGAGCAAGCGTCGGTATGCACGTAACTTGGAGCTCTGTGGTGGTGCAGACGTGTGCATTGTAATTACAGTAATCAATTAATGAGATGAAATAAGTCAAGAGAGTCAGTCATTAAGAAGGGGAATTATTATGTACGTTACATGAGCTGGTGGCGTGGCGTGGCGTGGCGTGTAATCAATTCGGAGTAGTATGTATGTCGTCCATTGTTATTTTAGTTTGCCAAAATTATGCACACGTGCATATATACGTACGTACATAGGTATCGTATCACAAAAGATTTCATGGTTGCTTGGCCGGTCATTGGTGAGCTATGGAAGTAAGTAAAGTTAGCTAAATAGACAGACAGATGAGAAGAAGAAGTAAATAGGTCGACAGAGTTAGTACGGTTCAGTTCAATCTGCTAATTGGCTGGCAGATCATCACGTATGTATAAGAAGAATTCATCAGATGAGAAATTTTTGAGCAAAATATTCCGAAATTTAATGGAAGAAAGGATGCAAATTGGAGGAAAATAGGTAAATATTTTGACTAACTATTTCTAGTGAAATTTTGTGATACCTCGCACAGAAGAAGAATAAATGAGACATTTTGAGCAAAACATTCACAATTTGATGGAAGAAAGTATGCAAATTGAAATGTCTGCATGTCATGTTTTTACAATTAGTTTGAAATTTTGCAACATCCAGTACAGAATAAGAATAAAGGAGACATTTTGAGCGAAATATTCTCAATTTAGGTAATGGAAGAAAGTATGCAAATGGAAGTAAAATGTCGACTAACTATGTTCTTAATTTGCAGTCGTCGTGAAATTTTGCAATATCTAGTTCACGGAAGAATAATAAATGAGACATTTTGAACAAATTGTTCACTGGAAGAAAGTGTCCAAATTGGATAAAAAACGAGAATATTTTGCTTTGTACTCGTCGTGAAATTTAGCAATATCAATCTCAGAAATAATGTTAGTGGGTGTTTCGTTTGATTGAGAAGACGTCGTCTCCTCCGTAAATCTCGGATCGGGAAGAACTAACTTTTTGTAGTGACGTAAAATCATCTCCTTTTCTATAAAGTAGTTCTACTCCTGATTAGACCACGTACCCCATTTTGTCCGCAATTTAGCCAGCACCTAAGCCCGTCTCAACTTTAATCCCCCTGGAAAAGACGGGTATTGCATTTCGTCTAAATCGAGATGATCACTCTCACTCACCGTAAACCGTGACCCTCGACCTTCCCTCGATGCAGCAATCACTTAATGACGGATTTTGTCAAATGAGTCGAATTTGTTTTGGGGTGTATTTACTAAATAGGTTTTTTTCAATCTGAGGAGTACCGTGAGCTTGTCTGGGATCAATATCTCGACAGCTTTTGTTATTCGAAGCTCGCTCAGGCGTCCCCAGAGTGATCCAAGTAATCTTAACTTTTGCCCTGTTGCTGGCTTGCCTTGCGTGTAAATAACTAACAGAATCAGATGCGGGATCAAGAAGGAGTGAATCCTAGTCACAAGTGGAGACGAGAAGGAGAGAAAGGATTGAGAAATGAGAAAGTCGTCTCTCTGACGAAAACTTTCTGTCTTTTGTTCGTTGGTGGATATGCAAATACAATTTCGAGGAGTTGATAAAAAAGTATACATTTTTTACACGGAGGGGAAAAAACACTTCAGTTTCGCCAGGGCTTCGTTTCTTTGCTGAATTTCTTGCACTGCAAAGCAAGAGACGCAAGAAATGCGAAGTGCAAGAAACTGCATGGGAGAAAGTGCAAGAAATATGCGCCATCTAGCCAAGCGCCGTAAGAAATATGGCGTCGGGGCGTAGTTTCTTGCGCCTTGCATTTCTTGCAGGTCAAAATAGCTGCAAGAAACCACTTTCTTGTCGTTATTTCTGGTTACTTGCACGCGAAACACTGTGTGATTTTTATTCCGTACAGAATTTAGCAGGTTGAAGATGAAGAGCGTCATTAGTTTTACCCTTTTTCCCACGTGGTACATACATCTGAGAGTAATTACTCGAATTGGTTGGCAGGTTGGGCATCCTTCGCTTGACTCTGATTGCTCCCGGGAAGAAGAAGAATTGATGTTCTGATCGGTTGGGTGGTTAGTTACGTGAGGAGAAACATCTTGGTAACGTCTGGAAGTGAAGAGGACGTCGTGGGCAACGGGGTTTTGGAAATGATCTCGTTCAAAAGGTCTTTTATTACGCCTTCCAACATGCTCGAAACCTTCCACTTGACACGGTTCCCAACTATTTGAAGGATCTGCAGAGAGAGAGAGAGAGAGAAGAAACAAATAAAGTTGTTGTTAAATGCGCAGATGGAATCATTAGAGAATTGGGAGCGAGGACAGGACAAGCACGTCAAAAACATTAGTGAAAGCACTTTTATCTTGAAATGGGAAATGGTAAATATAGAGGAAATTGGGATGGAGAAACAGTGTTTCTTTGCTTTCGGCGTTCCTACATTTCTTGCACGGGAAAGCAAAAAACGCAAGAAATGCGAGGCGCCATGAAGTATAGCGCCCTGCGTAGTTTCTTGCGCCTTGCATTTTTTGCAGGTCAAAATACCTGCAAGAAACCACTTTCTAGCCGTTTTTTCTGGCAAGTTGTCACTTTCACGCGAAACACTGTGGAGAAAGTTGGATCGAAATGGATGGTGATGATGATGATGATGATGAGTGAGCGAGGAGCTCAATCTGATTGAAATAAATGAGGAGAAAGTTTTGGTATGAATTTACTGACTCGAATTTAATCATATAAAACGCAACAAAAACTTTCTCTCTCCGGGCAGGTCTGGATTTAATAATATTTTTAGTCAACATATTTGCATGTAGGTACACTGTTAAAAATCTGATAGAGTGACATGTATACTCCGTACTGGTATTGATTTGGTAATAACTTACTATCCGATTGGTAGTAGTTTGAATCTCGGTGGTAAATTTTTCATTATCAAAACATCACCAAACGGTAATACCCGTTTATTACCAGCGCCGGTAGAGTCATACATGTACTCTGAGTTTAATACCAGTTTTCTAATAGTGTATTTAGTATATTTACGTACTCTGGAAGCCACAAAGTTGAGGAGGGATCCCAGCCCGGTCACTTTTGCGCGTAGGTGACCAATATCTTTGACAGTGAGTTTTTCGAGGACCACGTTTTCCGACCCGTGGACCAAACAGAGCTGGATATCGCACGTGATATGCGTCAGACTTCCAGTGATGGTCCCTCTCGGCCCGTGATTCATTAGGGTCGCGTGGACGTCATAGTTCAACCCTGTATTCATTATACCCACGCCAACGTCCACCAAAATTTTGTCCATCTATAAGTACAAAAGAAATTATCGTAAGACTCGATGACTTATTGTCAAAATCAGCACATTTTTTAATCATTTCTCGGCTCTGGGAATCTACTTTGAAATTCTGGACAACTTTGTAAAGGAGTTGCCAAATTAAAAAATATATATACTCAGGAATACTCCGAGAATGCTCTCGGGGAATTTTAAAATAAATTCCCACAGCCGAAAAATTATTAAAGATATGCTGATTTTGGTGACGAGTCAACTTTTACGGTAAAATTTTTGCACTAGTTATCCTTACGTCGAGCGTGATTTTGGCGTCGTCAGTGCGGTGGACAGACTCGAGGCCGATAAGAACCCCGTTATAAAGTTGGGCTTCCCCCTTCCAGGTGACGCCCAACCGCCGCTTGCAAAAGTTGACCGTTGTGTCGGGCAGATTGACGAGGCTCATCCCGTTGTCCACCATTTGATCGTGAAGGTTTTCCAGGACAGAGTCCGCGTAGGTGTTGATGTACTCAAAGTTACCGAGCTGCATATTTGGTACTTTTTTTTAAATCAAAACTTGGCCAGAATACTGATCAGTCTTATTAGTTTTTCGTCGTGTTTTTGGTTGGGTGAGCAGATGAGAAGTGCGGATTGATTGTGTCGGCTGAACAAATTGTGGAATAAGTGAAGTATCACAGCTGGTTATTTAGCAAAGAGAAGAAGAGAAATTGAGGACACAAAAATTGGTGGTTTTTGTATGTGGAGAAAGTATTTATCTGTATGTAGCGTCGGTCCCTCTTTCTTTAACCGGCAGAACGTCTTTCGCCGAAGAAGATACTGGATTTGTGAACGCTTTTTATAAAATCGTGTAGCTCATGGCAGCCACAAATTGCCTTCTTTTCGTCCTCCACCCACCACTCCCTCCGTGTGACAATAATGATCCTGGAAGTACGAGTGGCTCCTCGCGAGTGCATTCGTAATGCAGTAATTGGATCTCTTTAAACGTGCCCAGAATGAGACAACGGAAGCGACGGAATTGCTTAATATTTCCTAAAAAAACTAGGCTCGTATGCTTTCATGCATGATAAAGTAATATTCGGCCTGCCTTGCTTTCACTCGCTCGATGTCTGTCTGTCTCGATTACTTTTCTCGGAAATATTTCAATCAATTTCCACTTCTTTTCAAGTGGAGTACAGTAAAACGAATCCTTGTAAAAAAAAGAAGTAATGAATTTTCTCCTCCTCCAAACTTTCTCCTTGTTTGACAAGTGAATCAATTTCTAGGAAGGACCTGTTTGTGCAAGCAGATCTGGTGGATTGGATAGACACACGCTGCTTAAGCTACAAGTGTGACACCATCGGCCAACTTTTGCACGCTACTTTTGTAACTTTTGTATTTATTTATTATCCTGACACCAACAATAGCGAGTGGTTTGTTATTGTTCTCGCCATGTTTGGCAGCTTAGGATCTCGAGTGGATGATGTATATTTTCGTATGATGAAATAATATAATGTGTAATGTCCCATTGACTTTTTTCCGTGTGTGGGACGACACGACGAGGTGAAAGTAAGTATAGCGGAGAAGAGAAAGCATGCCGCATGTTGCATTGGGGGATCAATACTTTGAGTCGATAAGCATAATCTGGTGGGATATGAATGTATATATGGGACGACGGGAGAGGCTGGTCTGGTCTGGTGGAAGCATTTAAGGTTCGTGGCTGGGTCCGATGTAAGGAGCGGAAGGAGTCGGTCGCCTGCTTTCTTTTCCACTTTCCCTCCGCCCACATCATGTTCCATTCTTCATAAGAGGCTGCCACGTGGTTGGAATGAGAAACGGTGTGGTTTGAGAGAGTTATGGTTATGGTGTATGGGGCAGTTGCTGTAAGTAGTAAAAAAGAGGAGGAGGGTTTAATAGACTCGTTAAAAACGAAGGACATACATAGTTGGACATAATTATGGTCTTGTTTAAGGGGTTTAGTTGTGGGTTATAGATAAATTATGACCCCACCACTAAGTACGACATAATTGGCGACTTTGACTTCCTAACCAATGGCAAGATCATACCTGGAGATTGCAGACCATTCACCTATATCGATTCTGAGTGTGGAACACTTAAAAATGTGGTAGAATGAGATATATACTTCGTACTGGTATTGATTTGGCAAAAACTTCCTACCGGATTGGTAGTAAGTTGTTTCTGAGGGTTGAATTTCATCATCACCACAACATTATTAAATGATAATGCCTGTTATTACCGTGTCGGTAGAGTCATACAAATTTACTCCGGTTTGTAATAATTTCTGAGCAGTTTTCTAAGCGTGTGGGCTTGCACAACCAAGTGAAGGATGCATGCACAATAATGCATATGCATATACGTTTATGTATGTATGTATATGAGTGCCGTGTGAAGGTAAGAATGACACAAATTTTGAGCCGATTGATTTGAATTCTTGGACGACCTATCCTCTTAAACATCTTCCGTTGGGTGGGTGTGGTTTGTATTTACTTGTGCGATTCAAGTCGTATCTAAAAAATGCGTGGAGAATAAATGAAACAAGTTTGAGGCAAGTTGAGACTCTCGTGTTTAATTTAGACCAACGTTTCCTCATGATCTTTATTGCTACTTCTTCTTTTCTTCTCATGCATCTTTCTTTGTCCCTGTTTTTGTTCATGTCCCCCATTTCTTAGGAGAACGTTTCTCCAGAATTATTAAGGTCGCTGACGTAGCAGTGGCAAGCGGGTTGACATTTGATGATTGACAAAGCAACTAAACAATTTTATGGGGTAATTACTTACACGACATTCCACATTTTCTGTATCCCCACTGCTGCACTAAATACCCCATTCATTAAATATTGTAGCAGAAGAAAAGGCCGTATATTAAAGGTGAAGGACACATTTTGTTAGGTTCAATTTTTTAAGAGAACATTGTTCCATTTCAAGTTATAAATAAATGAAAATTTCCTTTGTTCTCAAGCGATTCATAAATAGCTCAACGGTTTCTGTGAATTGGGCCGAATTTATTTTGTCAAGTGCGCATTTTGGAATGTTCGATCCTCTTTGTAAAGCCATACACTTGTTTTGTACATGGTTCAACTGCTCAGAACTTACTATTATGTCAATATGTAGATACATACATATTTTAATACCGTATAAAGGATATGTAAATAGGTCCAAATTTTTGAATTATTTAAACACTAAGGGCATATTACGTTTCAGAAGGTGTCGTTCATCTATATGGATCATGTATGGTACATACTTTGGATAAGATGTCTGTAAAAGAATGAATTTCTCTGCTTGCCCCAAAAAAATTGATAATTAAAGTGTACACTATGTACTTATGGGTAGCATAAATTATCCAGATTTCTCAATTATTTAAAAATGGCATATTACATATGAGAACATGTCGTTTATCAATATGGATATACGTTTTGGATAAGATACCTGTAAAAGTATAAATTTCTCTCATCGCCCCTAAAATTACTACTTAAAACATACCACTTCCTTAGTGCATATGTACTTAAGGGTTGCATAAGTGATCCCCATAATTACTACGAAACATAAATACTTACTCAATTAGCTAACTATATTTCATACCCGTCGAATCCTGCACATATTTACGTCGCACTTTAAAGCAAAAGTATGTCGACCACTGAATCGATACTTGTCGTCGATTCAATTCCACCAACAACGCTACCGTCGCCCACAACTTCATGTTTATTGCAGTTAAAAAGCTCAAGTCCCGTGAAACGCGTATTATATTTATTAGTTACGCAAGGACAATACATCCATCGTTCTTCCTCCTCCACCTCACCAACCAACCAACCAAACCAACCAGCCCAACCAGCATTATTAGGACAATAGTAACGAGAATTGAACCGATTATTAAGAAGACGGATCGATGCGATAGGGACGAGAAGGATGTGTTCAGCCAACTATTATGTCCATCACACGGTTTAATCAGTGAAAGAGTAGGTAGCCCAGTGCCCAAGTTTGGCAAGGTCTCCCGGATTTTGTTGATACCATTATAAATTTTACACAATCAATATCAATATGCGACCACTTTTAGTGAGAACACGACCGGGTGCGCGTTGATAAGGTACGTATGTAACTTTTCGTGTTGTTTGTGTTGGTGCGAGAAAGGAAAAGATTATGGATTTTCATTTCATTTAGGTGCGATGAAACCTGGAATATTTAATATTTATCAATAACTAAACTATCGATTAGCAGGTTACTCTCGTTACTGTAATGCGAAGCGAACCCATCCATCGCGTATTACTGCGAAGAACGTGGAATATTTGCTCCAGTTTTGCTCATCTCACTTTAGCGTGTGTAACTCACTCGGTCTTATTGGATCATCAAGTGAGTAGTGCAGAATTGGACATTATTTCATATTATATGCATGTGTATGTACATACATAGTCAGGTCCACGTAGATAGGGACGAGATACATTGACACACAGATTACCATGAAATCGGCAGCATACATACATACATACATTTGTGCACATATCAGATACAGTGCATACGTACCGTCAACTGTATGTATGGGGCTAATAAACTTGTTAATTTTTTCATGCCCGTAATATGAGCATGATCACGATCAAGGATTTATTAAATAATGGAGAAGAGCAGTTGGTACACTGGATGGATTTGGATCCATAATTGGTATAACTGACTGCTGAATGGGACTCTATCTATCCATAATTTTTCCTGCATAACGACACAGTCGAGGAGGAAAAAAACGAGTGTAAAATAGCTATCAGCTCGTCCCCACTGCTAAAATTAGTTACATATACGAACGAAATCTCATCATCATCTGAATCCCAGCAAGTGTGTGATTGATTTGATTCTGTGCAATATTTTCCCCCTCCGTGCATGGCGTTGCTTGGTTTTCTCTACCTGTGAATTGTACTTACCAACAAAAAGAACAAGTGTCAAGTTACGCAGAGAAGAGATCTCATCTCATCTCTGATTCTATTAGATGTATATCCATCACCCATTCGCATCTTACTCTCCTCTGCCTGCCAGTTAGAGACAGAGTTAGATTTTTTACCATTTCTCTGCTCGTTTTTTTATCGCCTACAACAAATCATTACTAGGAGTAATTTATTTACTATATAGTCGTGGCCACTACTGCATCGTCTTCTTCAGGTGGGTAATTGTATGTGCCAAATCGTCAGGTAGGAAGAAAAGGTTCATTTCAACACCATACGGACGGATATAAGGAGTTGTTTTCATTTTGTAAAGAAGCGAAGCCCACCACGTGAAAAAGCTTTCCTGTTGAGCCAGTTTTATGACTCGTCTAGTTTTAAATATTTGTTTAAACTCCGTAGTGTCGTGCTAATGGGGGAACAACTGGGAAAAAAATCGGCATAACATAGGTAATCGATTCTTTTGAGTAGTTAGTTGGTCCCTCATATGAAAAAGAATCAAGTCGACGGTCTAGTTTTAATCGTAAGTGAGTGAGTGGCTCTCCTCGTTGTGAAGTTAGTAGTAAATTATTAATCAACTAAGGAGTTATTTGTGCTGCACACATTTATTTCCCATTTTTATATTTCTTCACAGTTTTGGCAGAGGCTACCAAACCACAAGCTTTTCTGTGTTACATATTATTGAGTGGTTGGTTGGCAGTAAATGATGGAAATGTGTGCATAATAATAAACGTGTTCGAGAGGAATAGGCAACCTGTGGATTGCGATATGTTTAGGATTCTCTCATGACCAGCAGCAGCACAGAGTTGGCAAAGAGTTGAGTAGAAATTTTATTGTTCAGCTTGGAAGCTATTATCATCACGGAGTGAGTGAAGGCTATTTATTTGCTGCTCGATTAAAACCTTGGTTAAAAATTAATTGTGGAAAAGAGTGTGGTTTTAAGTTTCTCATTTTTACGTATGCATGCATTACGTATACGCACTGGGCATTCAGTTAGTGAGGAAAAGGCCGTCCGTCCATGTGCATGCCGTTCCAGTGTGGTTTAATAAATTGCTGGTGCAGTTTTGTCACCAGTGTGATATAAATAAGTGAGTAAAGTGGTGGTGGTTGTGAGCTACAGCTACAGATAAATTTTGCATGCAACATAGTTGATTATTGAAACTGCGTTATTTACGCTGGGTGAGCATTTTTTTGGGGCGAAATGGTGATGATTACAGTAAAATAAGCCTTATTGAACATAATTTTGTAACTTTTTGACTTGCAGTTGATGACCTGGTCATCTTATTGAGTGAGAAGATTCGATTAGATATTGTTTGGTTAAGCAGATTTCGTGTCATTTTGCCCCCTTTTCTCGAAAAATGGAAACATACAACCAATCTCAGTACAATACTGGGTACAATCCGTACAATCCTTATCCGTACCATTACCATCAAAATCATCATCACGGTCACCATAATCTGGACTACGTTGATAACAGTCACCACGCTGGTGAAGGCTACGGCCATAATATGTACAATGCCAATTTTGACCATTTTTACTACCACGATCATGATCAGGATCTGACCCCACCGGAACCAATGATACTCCTCCCACAACAATTTGGGGCGGAGGGGCACCATTCCCCGGAGGAAGTGCAAGTACACAGTCCTCCTCCTCCACTGGCGGCGTATGAAATTGTGCTCTCCTCACCCAAGGCGAGTGTGAATTTTGCAAATTTTATATTTTTTATAGAAAATACGGACATTTTTCACTATTTTCTGTCTGGATATCTTTTTTTCATTACATATTGCACTATTTTACAGACAGATTACTAACATTTTGCCCTATTTTTTGTCCAGATTCTGTCAAAAATCCTGGTCCACTTCTCCATCCAAGAATTGAAAGAGAAACGCCACGTATGCAAAGTATGGGAGGAAGAAATATGCACAATTTTACGGGATAAATTGGTCATCCATTTCAACAACTATAAAGGAATGGTATCGTACGGGAAATGCATGGAAAGGAATCCCTCCTTCTGCTCTGTGTTCTCCTTCGGGGCGATAATTTCCCTTGATGGGTCTTACATTCAATATTGGATGGCCCTCTTTGGCCCCCACATTCGCTCGTTGGAGCTTCAATCGAGAAATTTAGGGGTGAAGACGCTCTCCCAAATATTGCAGCATGTCCAAAACGTGGAGCGATTGATCCTCCAAGAAACCGGGGACGAAGTAGAGGACAAAGAAGTGACCACTTGTTTGAACCAACTAGCAAAACTAAAATATTTGAAATTTCACGCCAATTCCCCCTCCATCGAGAAGAATCCTGCCAAGGCCAAAATTATGAAACGCTTGTGCCACGAAATTCTGAGAATTGCACCAAACCTTGCTCAAGTCGAGGTAAATCAAATCAAGGATGGGAACATTTTGTCCAGAAATTTGGAAATGATGAGCGACCTATCGAAGAATGCCGACCTCCTCAATGAACCCGCACCGCTCGAGATTCTCCTCTGGTCAACCCTTCTGGAGTCACAATTTGCTCAAAATATAGCCAAACTCGAGCTAAACGTAAAGCTCACGTCGGCCTGTGTTCAATCCCTCACGGACAAAAAGTTCCCCCTGAAATGGATCGATCTCAAAATTCTGGCGCAAGTTTCCAACCAAGTTTTGCACGGATTTCTGACCTCCGTTCGCGAGACGTTGGTGAATATAAAAATCCGTTACTGTGGGGGTCCCAGGTTGCCGTATGAGGCCGATTTTCCCCTCACGGAGTCGTTCGGACTCGTGAAAAGCGTCCATTTAGAGCGGTACGAGGGGAGTTTGTGGTTCACCGAGAAGACGCCAAACCTCATCTATCTCTCATTCGCCAAAATCAATCTGAACAAAGTGGTCCTCAAGGATGTCGACTGTTTGGGCGAAGGCGTACACGGAAACTTGAAAAGTTTCCGGGTTCATGAAGATTTCTCCAATAACGTCGGCCCCAACAGGCAAAGGTCCATCCAGACCGTGCAGAAATTGGGGATGCAGTTCCCCTCAGTGCGAAGGTTGCGTTTGGAACGACTCGTGGATGAAAGTCTTTGTCTCATTTACGCCCAGTGGCCAAATTTGGAGGAGTTGGAAATCGTGCACGGCCTATTTTCTGACGCCGGGACGACGGCGATGCATCCCAACGCGTACAAAGTGATATTGAGGGAGGAGGCGTACGATAACTTTAATGTGGACGCGTTAAGACAGGGCCTGTTTCTGGGGAGCTTGTCAAGTAAGTAGAAATTTAGACGGTAAATATATAGAAAATATGCTAATTTTTTAATGGAAATTTCAGAATTGACCAGGGTAAAAATCCATTCGCCCAACGTAACTGATGTCACTCTGATTTTGGGAGTGTTGCCGTGTCCAAATATTCGATCAGTGAGCGTCCAATCGTTCAAGGTAGAGGTTTCATGGCTAATTTAGTCATCTTCTGTCAATAATGCTGATCTGATTTTATGTGCAGATCACGGACACCTCGTTGTACCGGCTAGTCAACAAACCCAGCATTTTGAACATGTCGACGAAAAACTGCAGTCAATTGACGCCCGCAGCCATGAGTTATGCAGGGAAAGCGATGTCCCTCCGTGGGGGATCGACTAGTCTGAACAAGTCCAAAATCTCGCTGGATGTCAGTCAGACGATAAAATTCCTCGAGAGGAATCCCACGTGTCGGGTGCTATTGAAACGACTGAGTATATCGCCGCCTAAAAAACCTGATTTTGTGGAAAAAAGTTCAAAACATGATGTTCAAAATGAGGAGGAGAAGGCGAAACCTGTTGCTCTTGCGGACCCTTCTCCTGCCAAGGAAAAAGCAAAACGCGGTCGACCCCGCCTAATTCCTCGCCCTTCGCCGCAGGAAGGTCAAACCCAAGCGCCCCCTTCTGCGGCCACTCAAGCGCCCGCTCGAGCTCCCACTCTGGCACCCGCTCCAGCGCCTACCGTTCGACAGAGGAGAACCCGAAGTTTCAACAAAAGTGGTCAAATCGTACAAAACCCGACGGAAGAGAACGTAATCCTCGCTGCTGCTGATGTTCAAATTGACCACGTGGTCGTCTCGAGCGTTCCCCCGATGAAGGATGATTCTGTTACAGATAATAAATCCAAAAAGGCAAAATTATCTGCTGATGATGATGACATTCAAATTGTCCACGTGGTCGCCCCCGCCGTCCCCCCGACGAAGCAATTTTCTGTTCCTGCTGCTACAGAGAATAAATCCAAAAAGGCAAAATTGGTATCTTCTCGTACGACCCGACAAAGCCGTCCGATCCGAAATACGGGCTCTATTTTCCGAAGATTTTCCGATTTTGAATTATTTTAAGTGAAAGATTTTACTGTAATCCTTTGTGTTCAGATATTTACATTTACATATTTAGGTTGCTAGATTATGCATGCAGCGTGGTGGTCTGGTCACATTGACCCTTGAAGCAGGTTTGGATTGGGAAATAGATAAGAAGGATGTCAATGCCAACTCCCTCAATTTTTGTGTTCACTCAAATTATTTTTATGTCTGATGATGATGGGATGGGGACACACGGATCTGGTTTATTTGCACTTCTGTAGCCCCACCCATACCAGTTCTACAACAGCTCCTGGACATTTTTATGCCCTCATAGCTACTACACATTTACTTATGTATGAATCTACGTTGATCGGGTGTGTGCTTCTTTCTGCGAATGTATGAATGTGTGCAAATATTTGCTGCATTATGTAATCGGTAAAATGTGGCGTGTCTGGAATTTTTCCTCCCCTGAAAACAGGATTTATTGTAGAATTGTTGTCTTTATTGGGGACGATTTATATGTATGTATACGCGTCCCTGGTACTCGCTATCTGATAAAATCTATTACATGTACACAACACAGACCAAGGTCACGATCCGATCGTGAAATAAATTCAATTGTGTCTGCAGAGTAATGCATGCAATTAACTTTTTGCCAAGATTTGTTTAATACCTACAAATTTATGTACAAATGTATGTACGTACCCAGCACCAGATTGGTAGCTTAGCTGACTTTGTAACAATGATGCAAATCGTGAATAAATTCTGGTTGGTGTTGTAAACTGTTTTAGTTTCTGATGGAAGACGCTGTGAATACTCAAATTTTATTAATTTTTTAAAAAACAAAAATATCCCAGAAATCGGGAAGATGTCAAATTTAATAATATCATGATTTGGGAATTAATATTATGACCAAAAGTGAAAGAAGGTGGTTTATTTTTTAAGGCCTGATTTAATAAGCGATTTTGTATCCGTGTTGCTCAACTGGCTCGTGAGTCTGGATAATTTTGGGGGCCGTGGCGTATGCGACGGGGGCTGGGGCGGCGATCACTGCTGGGGCTGCGGCGTAGGTGATCTGTGGATAGAGGAATTTATAACGTTTGTCGAATCTGTGAGGTCAAGAGGTCAAACTTACTGGAGCAGCGTGGTGAACGACGGCTGGGGCAGCGGCATAGGTGACGGCTGGTGCAATGGCTTGGTGGACGACGGGGGCGGCAGCGTAGGTCACGACGGGAGCGGCAACGACGTGGGGAAGCTTGACGGTGGAAGCTGCAAAAAATTGGCAAGGTAAAATTTGCAAATTTGCAATGAATTTCTAATCCGCAGATTATGTACCTGGAGAGTGAGCAAGGGAAACAACTCCAGCAACTCCGCCATAAGCGACGGCGACGACGGCGAGGAAAACTGCAATTTTGGCAATCATTATGATTTTGGATTTGGTTTGGAAAACCGAGATGAATTGAGAATCGAGATTGAGAAGAACTTGTGGTGGTGACGAATGGCTTTGTGTTACGCCCTCCCCGCACCTTTTATACCTCTGTTCGAAAAAAGAAAGCCAGAAAAAAAATTGGTTGGCAGTGCTAACTAACGATGGACTGGGATTCATATTATCGGTAGCAGCAAAGCAACGTGGATGAGATCCATTATCCATCAGGTCAATCCTTCAGGACAAAAAAAGTTGAAGGTGGTTTGTTGCAGGATAAATAAATTGCATACCTGCCTGTAATTACTTAGTTGTTCACTGAATGAAAAGCCATAGGACACGGTCAAGATTGAAGTTCAAGATAGCAGAATTCTTAAGTGGCATCTTCACTTTCATAGCGTCATAGCGAGCATGTTTTCATTTACATAAATAAAATGAAATGGCTCGATAAGATTTCCGGGATCGTTTCATCCTCGCTTGAGTGCTCAAAGCCTGGAGTGGAGGAATTATTAAAAATAAGTTCTCATGATGAACTTAGACGGAATTTGTTCCTTGTTAAACAATATGAGCTTGGGATAAGTTCAATTAATGAGTGACTGAGTGATGGCGATGATTAATGAGAGAGGCTCATTAATCCTGCAAAAAATTAGCCTTAACATTGAACGAGCGAAATAGTGCGGTGTCATCCTCAGTCTCAAACCACAGCTCAGGTCTATGAAACAAAGCCATTGTCTCAAGTACTGATTTGCACGTGTGTCGCTACTTAGCTGGGGAGGCTGAGTGGGTGGGGACTTTGTTTGCACGCATGGGTGGACCTACATAAATATGGAGGGATGCCTACCTCCAGAAGAATGTACGTGTCGATACGTATGTTTGTACATCGTAGTGGCCTGTTAATAAATGCATACGTACTGCGCAGACCTGTACAACTTAATGCGAGACAAGGTCAACCTGTTCTCAAGTTGTGGTGTTTAATTCCTATTTACACACATCGCAATCTCTTCAGTCAAACCAAACCACAAATAAATGCAGCATGATTTATACTTGTGATCATACAATTTCTTATTTAATGATCCTTCCAGTTCACACGGAAAGACTTATTGCATCGCTTCATGCTTCTTAAATAGTCGTCATTCTTAAGTGAACTCTGTAGATGTGGAGTGGATTAGAGTGTCGTTATGTTGTATGTAGCGTCGCTTTAATGGTTATTGACTTTTCGTACTTTAAACCAAGCGTGGGCTGATGACCAATCTAATTTTTGAGAATGTTTAAATGTCCCAAAAATTGTTTGGAACACACAATTCATACGAGTTGCGATTCGATATCATGCGATCAAAATCGTGAAAAGTTTGGCAAAAATTTGAGGAGTGTCGTGTTATGAAATGAAATGCATGATTTTTATGTGCTGTATGAAAATCATCATTGCAATCTCTATTATCTCATAGATATGACTGTCCTGTTCTCTATGCGGCCTTGTCCTCTCCACCACTGTGAATCGGGAACGCACATTTTCGCGAATTGACGATCATGCTCGGAAAACGAGAAGCGGTAACGAGCGACAAAAGTCAAAACAAAGTTTAAACACCAGTTTAAAATATTTTACACGTGCTAAAAAATAATTTGCAAATTAACTTTGTGACATGAAAAGTAGTTGTAGCAGTGACGAAGATTGTGGCGAGTGCGAAAATTATGGTGATGGCTGGTGTTCAGAAGTTGAGAAACTCAATCCATTCCTTATACCACATGTAATAAATAAATGCGTATTAACTAAATACTTATTTTCACATAATTATGCAAATTATTGCACGATAAGAATTAATTGGTATATAATTACATAATATGCTAATTATCCGTCGTCTTCCAGATTGTCGAAAAAATTTTGTCCTACTGCACATTTTCCTCCCTGAAGGAAACCCGACTTGTCTGTCGACTCTGGTTGGACTGCGGAAGTCACCTCTTCTCCACGCGGAGGACCCTCCACCTCAAAAACTTTGAGCACATCGACGCCTTCATGCTCCACGCCGTTTCCTTGGACGAAGCGTCATCTCACTCTGCCAACAATTTATGTCGCAGTGTCCGCCTCCACGGTGAAGACTTTCCCTCCTGGATCGTCCTCCTGAAACCATTCTTCTCCAAGTTTGGCGCCTACATAAAATCCCTCCACATTTCCCACGGCCTTGGCGACGTCACGGAGGATCTTCTCCTCCAAATCGCGCAACATATCGACGCCCTCGAAGAACTCTCCATCAGTGGAGCGACCGTCGTCTACTCTTCAAACCGGTTTGATCTCAACGGCCTCGGCGGCCCCATTTTCGCCCAGCCCGTCCTCCCAACCGTGACGAGGATAAGTCTCAGCCTTCCAGTGACCTCTTTTAAACGATGGACCGACGTGAGGAGCTTTTTCACCGACTTTTTCTTCATCCTTCCCTCCCTCGAAAGGATCAAGTTTGTCGGGTGTCAGTTTCCCGAGCTGTTCAAATATCTGCCAGACTCGATCCGCCTCTCGAATTTGCGCCACGTGCATCTGCAACTCTTTAACTCGTCCGGACTGGATTTTTTCTTGAGGAGGGGATTTCCCCTGGAGGAAATTGTCCTCCAAGTCGAGCCCCTTCTCGGTCTGGCCCATCTCCACAATTTTTTGGTGTCATTCGCCTCCACGTTGAGACGGCTCGAGGTGCGATTTAATTATAAGGGAGCGTACAATTATTCCCATAATGCGACCGCGTTCCCTTCCTCGAAGGCGTTGGTGGGGCTGACGTCGCTAAGATTGTGGGGGTACTGGGGGCACCTGTATTTTCTGAAGGATTTTCCCAACCTGAAAAGTGTCACGGTGGAGAAGATGAACTGGGCGGTGGCGTTTCCATCCGGGACGGAGCAGGTGGGCCGCGATTGTCGCAGGATATTAAAGTTCTTTGATGAGAATGGAGCTTATCATGATTTGAATTATTGAGAGATTTTATTTAATAAAATTTTTTTAGTACTAAAATGAAAATTGGAAATTTAAATGGAGATTTATTTAAATTTTGCGTTTTCTGGATTCTGCTCTGTACGTGAGTGGGGCGAGGTTGAGTCCAATGACGGGAATTGGGCTGGGGCGTGGTTCACCAGGGACGGTGGAGAAGGAGAATTTTTGTAAGAGGTTGGATACCATGAGGAAGACGGACGTTTTAGCCAAAGGTTCTCCAGGACAGCGACGTTTTCCTGGAAGAATCTTAGCAATTAGTGGAGCTAATTTTTCTTATGGGGCAGTAGTTTGCAGGGTTGGAAAAAATATTATGTCAAAATACAGGATTTTGAGCTCTCCGGGCTGGTACACCCACAAAAAGATGAAAATCTATTTGAAGAAGGCAACAGTCTCACTAAAACGCAGGTTTTATGAAGAAATTAACCGTTCATCCCTGTCAAAATACATTGTATTCACGATTTTTTTTTGAAAATATGATATTTTGACAGCGATAAAAAGTTAATTTATTCCCAAAACCACCATTGTCGTAAGACATTGTTGTATTCTCGATGCAGATTGTGGTCTTTTTTTGGTGTGACAACCCTGGAAATTCAAACCCTGCGAATTGAAGACAAAATCATGATACAAGGTTGAAGGACAAAATCATGATACAAGGTTGAAGGACAAAATCTTGTATTTTGACATATTATTCTGTTCACCCCTAGTAATTTATTACCGGAACCGAAGGGAAGCAGCCACTCGTCGTTCGTAACGACTTTGCCGTTCTTGTCGAGAAATCGTTCGGGTCGGAAGGTGTCAGGGTCTCCCCAGTGATCTTTATTCCGGTGAATGCCCCACGTGTTGATGAAGACGAGAGCTCCCTGCAAAAAAATTTGCATAATTTGGTTACGTAAATTTAGTAAATGATGGGATGTTCGAACCTTTGGGATCTCGTATCCTTTATAGGTTACGGTTTCTGTTAGGGCGTGCGGTGTGACGATGGGAGCCACGCTGGAATATCGGTTCACTTCGAGGAGGAAGGCCTCAAAATAGTTCAACCTGACGAGAGAAGAAATCAATAAGCACAAATTTATGGTGGAATTTTGTCTACTAACTTCTCCTTATCGGCCAAACTGACGGGTCGGTCTAATCCAACGACGGACTCGATTTCTGCCTGCACTTTCTTCTGCACTTCCGGGTGAAGAATTAAGTAGAGCAAAGCCCAGCGCAAAGTGATCGTCGTCGTGTCACTTCCAGCAACGAAAAGGTCCATGCAAGTAACAACTAGCTGCTCGTCTGAAATTTAAGAATTGTCTCTCAATTAATATTCAGTTAAATATGCAAATACCATTTTATGTCGAAATTATGCAGGTTAAAAATAATTAAAACCGTGAAAATTTAAATTATACTGACCGAAAAAGTACGGATTTTCTGGATTATTTTCATGTTCCTCGAGATATGCGTCGATAAAGTCTCTGGGTTCTCCCGGTACTCGCGTCTTTTTATGCTCAGTTATGACTTTCTGCAGAGTTAAGTAACCCTTAAATTATTTTCATGAAAAAATTATTGGTCGTCTTTACCCTCATATTTTCCTTGAGAATGTTGAAACCTTCGATTTGTTGGGCGAACCCGCTCCCTTGAGGAAACAAGTGTCGAAGAGATTGGAACGACCAAAATATTCCGGCGCCTGTGAAACATTTTTTTTAGAAATTTGTGCTGGTTGCATAATTGGAATTTATGTACCGAACGCTCTCCTTTGCAGAGTTTCCTTCACAATGCGTTGCAACCTGAGAATGTCGGGGTCATCTAATTCCGTTCGAATTGAGGCCACCATGTTCCACAAGGTGCTGAGAACAGCGGGGCCAAATGTGCTTTCAAAGGACAAAACCTGCTCCTCATTGCCAATCTGCTTGTCCAAGCGGTCCACCACATTTTGCACTTCGTCCATCACTGAAGTTTCCATGTTACTCCGGCCGTAGCCAAAATCTCGGAGGTGGCGCAAGGAGAAGCGTCGCGTCTCCTTCCAGAGGTCACCGTCCGTCATAATGATCCCCAGCACGGCTCCGTCCCCTTTGATTTTGGCCATGTGGTCGTGTGGACGCCCGTTCCACTCGTCACGCTTCATCAGCTCGTGAACCACTTTGGGGTCACTGAGAACGACTGTGAAAATTATTAGTAACCATGAATTTGCATTTTACTGGATATTTTTGCATTCTTTACCAACGTATCTGGGTCCAAAATACATGCCGTAAATTTCCCCGTAAATTTTGGCGTAGTGATCAACAGCATGCCAAACTCGGGACCAGTTGACTTGCGCGATTTGAGGGAGATTCCCAACAATCGGCCACTTGAAGGGACCTGCATTTTTATGTTCAATGATTTTCTGGCATTTTTGCACGATCTATATTTGCAAAAATAGTTTCATACCTGGAAGCTCGTTGGGTCTTCGCCGCGTCGACATGAACAAATAGACGATCAAAATTGTGAAAAATATTAAAAGTATCATTTTATTTCAGGAATTTTTTCAAAATATGGCAAACAAATTGTGGTCAGAGCACTGCCTTAATGCAACTTCACGCGAGGTATTTAATTAACGAATAACCTGCTGTTCGTGGCAAAATCTGTGGATCTATCTGCAAAGCATGTGGATTTGTATATGTATCAGTATGATGTGCAGTATCTGTGAATATGTACTGAAGATGAGGATGAGATCGTTGTGCATACATAAAGTACTATAATGTAATGATATCAGTGACATAATTCGTGTCCACGCGGAAAGTAAACCCGTCGCTACAAGACCTAATAAAGCATAATATGCAAATGAAGCTGCCTTTTCTGTAAAAATCTTTTTGGTAGTTTGGCTTGTTCGAATAATACTTAAAAAGAGATAGAAATGCAAAACTGGATAGCCTCGTGTATGCATAAAAATTAACAAACTGCATGATTGTGTATGTACATATGTATGTATGTATATGTATGTACAGTGTAATAGTGTTTTTTCAGATTCCAAAGATTTTGACGTACGTATGATAGATTAAAATTTGAGTAACTTTGTGTACGTAAAGAATCCGCAATAATAATATTGGTTTAGCATAATGATGAACATGTTGATTTTTGCACTTTGTATGGTAAAAATCCCTGCAAAATGGAAACGTGAATACGTGCGGTGCACAAATATTCGCATACTTATATGTACCAATGTAAACTGCAAACATGATCTTTATCGCGTTGCAATAACTTTTTAACTTTTTATACGAATATTAAATTTTATGAACGGACTGAAAATAAAATAGAAAATTATTTGAATGTGGAAAACTTCGGAATTGTATTTTAAGTGATTAAAAAAATCCAGTAATCGCAATGAAATGAGAAATATACAATTCTTGCCACGAGAATTCGTATGTCACGAGAGAATTATGTATTCTTACACAAATTAAAAGGTCTACCGAATGGGGTCGACAAATTTTATAGTTCTTCAATGAGAATGAAGCTTATCGTGATTTGAATTTCTAAAATATTTTCATTAAAACTTTTATTGAATACAATTTGAGTATCAGATACATATTTCTGTGCACAATTTTTTCGAATTTTGTATTATCCAGCCCCTCTTCGTCTTGGAGTTGATTTTCGTAATCGAGACTGTGCTTTATAGGGAATTGGGGCGAGGTTGAGTCCAATGACGGGAACTGAACTGGGGCGTGGCTCACCGGGAATGGTGGAGAAGGTGAATTTTTGTAAGAGGTTGGACACCATGAGGAAGATGGACATTTTTGCCAAAGGTTCTCCAGGACAGCGACGTTTTCCTGGAAGAATTTCGGTAATTTTAGTGGTGCTAAATTTTATTCTGGATTAGTTGTTGGTTACCAGAACTGAAGGGAAGGAACCATTCGTCGTTCGTAATGACTTTGCCGTTTTGATCGAGAAATCGTTCAGGTCGGAAGGTGTCAGGGTCTCCCCAGTGATCTTTGTTCCGGTGAATGCCCCACGTGTTGATGAAGACCAGAGAGCCCTGAAAAAATGTAGCTCTTTCTTCATTATTCAGTTACATAAATTTTGTAAATGGCAGGATTTTTCAACCTTTGGGATCTCGTATCCTTTGTAGGTCACGGTTTCTGTGAGAGCGTGCGGTGTGACGATGGGAGCCATGCTGGAATATCGGTTCACTTCGAGAAGGAAGGCCTCAAAATAGTTCAAGCTGTATGAAACAGGAGTTAATTGCGAACAGTAATTTTTACATGACTATTGACTGACTTCTCTTTATCGGCCATAGTGACGGGTCGATCTAATCCAACGACAGACTCAATCTCCGCCTGTACTTTGGTCTGCACTTCCGGGTGAAGAATTAAGTAGAGCATTGCCCACCACAGAGTGATCGTGGCGGAGTCACTCGCGACGAAAAGGTCCATGCACGTCACGACCAATTGCTCGTCTAGAAAGTTACTAATTCGAAGTAAGAAATGCAAATTAGAATTTTAGGTTGAATTTAAAAACTGACCGAAAAAGTTTGGATTTTCAGGATTATTTTCTTGCTCGTCGAGATAGGCGTCGATGAAGTCTCGGGGTTCTCCCGGTACTCGAGTCTTTTTATGCTCAGCTATGACTTTCTGCAGAGTTAAGTAACCCTTGAATTCATTTCTTGAAAAAATATTTGGTGGTTTGTACCCGCATATTTTCCTTGAGAAAGTTGAAGCCGTCGATTTGCTGGCCGAAACTGCTCTGCTTGGGAAATAAGTGTCGAAGAGAAGGAAACGACCAAAATATTCCGGCGCCTGTCAAGCACGTTTTTTATTAGAAATTATTTTGGACATAAACTGTTAAAAATAAATAATTTTCATTTCAACGCCTAAACGGTCAAAAAGCGTTCAACATTGGAAAATGGAGCAAAATGGTCAAGGACTTTTTTATGAATCTACGCAAAGATATATCTAATCTTCCATTAATTTTGAGCATTTTGGTTTGTATGTAATACCACGAAATTTGGGAAAACTTTTATTTTAATATGTTTTCTTATGAGAAATTAAGAAATTTTCTAAACCATGCCTTATTACTTATTGCAACCCAAAATGTTCAAAATTAGTGCGAGATTACATCTGCGTAAATGGCTTATCCAAATATTCAATAATGAAGAAATTGGAATATTTTGGACACTTTTGAACATTATGGTCCAAAATTCGGTGTCAAAACTGGTTCGGTGTCCAACCGGTGTGTTTTGAACAGTGGGTGGTTAAACCCAAGGCAAAATTTTGGAAATTTACCCAAAGCTAGTATCGTACATACCGAAGGCTCTTTTTTGCATGGTTTCTCTCACGGTTCGTTGTAACTTCAGGACTGCGGGGTCATCTAATTCTGTTCGAATTGATGCCACCATGTTCCACAACGTGCTGAGAACAGCGGGACCAAAAGTATCGTCAAAGGACAAGATATGCTCCCCAATTCCAATCTTCTTGCCCACGTGGTCTACCACGTTTTGCACTTCGTCCATAACGGAGGATTCCATGGTGTTCTTGCCGTACCCAAAGTTTCGCATGTGGCGGAAGGTAAAGCGTCGCGTCTCCTTCCACAATTCCCCATCCGTCATAATGATCCCTAAAATGGCTCCGTCTGCCTTAAGCTTGGCCATGTGGTCGTGCGGACGCCCGTTCCACTCGTCACGCTTCATCAGCTCGTGAACCACTTTGGGATCGCTGAGAACGACTACATGTGAAAATTAACATTATCAATAATCATGAATTTCCATATTTCTGGATATTATTTTGCATCCTTTACCAACGTATCTTGGGCCAAAATACATTCCGTAAATGCCTCCATAGATTTTTGAGTAGTGATCAATAGCAAGCCAAACTCGGGACCAGTTGACTTGCGCGATTTGGGGGAGATTCCCAACAATCGGCCATTTGAAGGGACCTGCATTTTTATTTTGTATTTCTTTTATAGCATTTTTACAGTCACAATTTCATGAAATCTTTTACCTGGAAGTTCGTTGGGTCTTCGCCGTGTCGACATGAACAAGTAGACGATAAAAATTGTGAAAAATATTAAAAGAATCATCTTGGTTAGGAAATTTTTCCGAAATTATGAACAGCCGTGAGTAGTAAGCAGTAAGCAGTTGTTACTGGGAAAATAATAGCGTGAAATTTTGATGAGAATAAAGGCTGATTTCGATCAGTGTACTGATTAAGACAGAATTTCTAAATGGACTGCATCAACTTAAATAGGCTTTCGTGAGGGTACGACTTTTCTCAAAATAATTCGAAGGCCAAATTATATAAGATACATATTTTTAATGATATAATCGGTAAGATAATTAAATGGGTTGCATAAATGAGCAAAGTTATGATCCAGGGGCGCAGTGACATTGTTGGTAGGATGATTTGGCGTGGATATTGTGCTTTAACTTGGAAGTTCCATCTACACATGTCAACAAACCTTGTAACGTCTTCTTGCATAACGTACTCGATGGTAAAGAAAACACTATTTGTTTCTTAGGAAAAAACATCCAGTGCAGCTTTGTGTAGCCCGAGCCAGAGTATGTAGATTGTAAGTTTGGCCTGTGCATACATACCGATTCATGAGGTGTTTTCTTTGAATTTAAGTCAAATAATTCTACATATTCAAATTCTAAAAGTATTTAGTTATCATTTTGGAGAATCCGAAGATCTGAAAATCAAACGGTTTTTATTTTTAGTCAGAAAAACGGACCGGGTCAAGTGGTTTTTATTTTAAAACGGATCGGGCTGGTTTTCGAAAACCCATGACCTAACTTAATTCTGATAGTCTGACTACAAAAATTTCAAAGTCGGCAATTTTATCGTGTTCCAGACGGATGAACAGACAGAAAGGGCACGTGTGGCGCAGGCTAATAAAAGAATTGTTTTATGAAATAATAACTTGAGTTACATAATGCAAGTCCCAGACCAACAGGTTTGTTTATTGCTTTGGAGAGAGAGCCTTACTTTTTTTGGTACAGATTCGGTCGGTATGCAATACCGACCGACTGAGGTACAACATCGTATAACCATACTATTTTACATATTCTGTCTGGTCATATTTTAAAACTCGTTTGATCATGAACTTTCACAATACTGGAACACATTGATAACATTAAAGACACTATTTTGCGTAATAATTTTTAATCATGAAAAAATAACGTTTCATAGTACACATACATAACCTGACTTAACTAATGAGAAGTTGAGGTACTCAAAAAAGCAAGATATGCAAATGAAATTGTCTTTTTATGGATTTATTTTTGTTCATCCTCAGTGCAACTGCACTGCAGCTGCAGCGACAGACATAACAAACTCGCGGAAACGCACGGAGTCCTGAAAATACTGCACTCGATACGCATCATTTGCTATCTGACACTTTCTGACGTTTCTAATTTTGACGTTTGACATTACTTTGTTTACATGGGCATCCGGTCGACGCTGTGCTGTGGATCGACGTGGGTATAAGTACGCCGAAATAATGTTGATTTGATGTCTAAATCCATAAAAACTAATAACATTAGCCTTTGATCTCATCACCGTACCATGAAATTTTGACCAGTTAAAGATTTCCATCTCACTTTTAAAATTAGGTGTCCATATCATAAGACAGAAGTGAAAAATGTTGACTCATTCGAGAATTACGTATCGTGCTGACGGACGGACAGACAGACGGACAAAGTATATAATCGCAATATTTAACTCCGGGCCGCTTCACTTCATTGCGCTTGTTCGTTCATGTCCAATAAATTGTTTTATTTTGATGGTAATAAAAGTACAAGTCCAGAACCGGATAGCCTCATTTACAGCAGCCTCTTTAACAATATTACGATGAGCACTTTTGTTTTTCGTACCTTGAGTTATTTATAAAAATTCATGCAAAATGGAAAAAATCACGAATTGTGGCGCACCAAGTTTCTAGCTCCAAATTCAGAATATTATATATGCCACCATCTTTTGAATTTGAAAATAAATCTATGAAATTTTACGACAGGAAATATGAGCCATGTTACATACGCAGTAAATTTTAATTACTGCATTCTTTCTCAACCAGAAAAAACGTCTCACATCTCATCAAGAAGGAAGAATGAACATGAAAACTAGGCTTCTGACCAAGAGAGGTCGAACATTATTATTTATGACGTGAAAGTATTGGCTACGTGCTTCTCGAGGATTCTTATTGTTTAAAATTCCATGAAATTCGAAGCTGGTTCCAGTGGCGATGGTGGTGGTGGTGATTCTAATTATTGTTTTGTTTATTCTTCAGCTTCCTCGGACTTTGCTGCGTAACTCGCTGTGACATAAATAAATGGGGCGTTTCGGTTTCATTAACTTTGTGACGTGCGATTTGAGACGTGGTTAATTCACTGTCAACTGTCGCTCTCTGGATTTCGCTGGCCCCTTTTTGGCACAAAGGATGGAGAAGACCCCGTACGACCTCCATTTGCACCAAGTGCACGAATTTTTCCAGAATTTCAATAATCAGCCGAGGGATACTGACCAATTCACTGAAATGGTTGAGTAACACGTCTTATTTACTTATCAGTTACAATGGAGGTCTCCCAACGTATGGTCTGTATTCTCAGATTTTGAGAAATTAGTATCAATCGATAGCAAATTTAATCAATGTGAAATTTTCAAACGACACGATTTCCCTATAGACACGTTTGGTCTTTGGTGGGGATATTTGCATCCAAAGAGGATAAAACGGGCCCCAAAGTTGACAAAGGCTACGCTTTTCTGGGCGTTTCCTCTTCAGATGCAAATTTCTCTGCCCAACGTGGAGATGGTGTCTTTTTGCCAATTTCGTATAAATTACACTTGCAATCGATTGACATTAGTTTCGTCAAAATCGGAAAGCATACGCTGGGAGACCCCCATTGTAAGTAAATGAGTATGAATACTAAATGTATAATTTTTTTCTACAGATTTTGCCCCAAATAATCCCATACCTCGACACTCCCGAGATTCACCAATGTCGCCTCGTATCTCGCGAGTGGCGCCACGCATTGCAATCCACGTGGGAGCAAAAATCGGCCGTCCTTATCAACTCGGTGTCCAAAATGTACCGTTACATCGCCCAATTCCAACAGGAGAAGAAGGCCTTCAACGTCCACCCAAACTTTACCATTATCGCGACCTGCCCAATGATGGAGCCCATGGCGAAATTCTTCACCGTTTTCGGACCCTACATTAAAACCCTCGAAATTCGCAAGTGTTTTTGGATGGGGCACAATTTTCCCGTTATCATCGACGGGGTGCCAAACTTGGAGAGTCTCTCGTTCGTAGGCCGCGTCTCTGGCGAGGACTGCGTTTACCCGAACGTGGAGCGAGACGATGTCACGAGGCTGGCGACCATTTCAAAATTTCTGTTCTGGCCGAGGCTGAAATTCCTCTCGTTGGACGTGCGAAGCCATCCGGACGACGATTTCAGCTTCAGGCTGGATCCAGGGACCATACAACCGTTCCTGATTCAACTCCTCATCGCCTCCCCGAACTTGGAAACGTTTAATTTTCGCAGTAATCCTGAACAGAGCTTTGCACGCATGGTTTTTCACACGCTGCTCTCTCAAGATGAGATAAAATTGAAGAAACTAACCCATATTTGCGCCCTCCCGATCCGCCAAGTTTCGCCGAGTGAGGTGCACGCCTTGCGGATGAAAACGTTTCCCTTGACCGACCTGAGTTTGGACATTTGTTGTGCGAGGATTACTGTGGCGATGTTGCACGACCTCCTCTCCTCAGTGGGGGCCACGTTGAAACGGCTCTACCTCAAGTTCCTCCTTCCGGACGACATTCTCTGTCGGGAGTTCCCCTCTTCGAAACGTTTGAAGGAATTGAGGCTCCTCACGTTGATAAATTACAGAGGAAATTTGGGCTTCGTGGCGGATCTGGTGAAGCTGAAGGTCCTGCATTTGGACCAGACCTTGCCCAACATGGTTTTTGAAGGGGTGGGGAATGAGGGGAAGGTGTATGCCTTTCCGTTCTCGTTGAGGCTGGATCCGCTCCGGTATCGCAACGGCGTGGGGGAGAGGCGTATCTTTCTATGCAGCTAAATAAGTGTAAATGTTACATGTTTGCATATATGAATTTTGTAGGTGATGGATGAGCACAAGTTTAGAAATTGGCACAGCGACAAGTTTTTTTGCAAGAGGTGACGTGTGTACTTTTACTATGCGATTATCGTCATCATTATAACGTATAGAGTATAAGTTTATTGTAAGTATGTATGTAATGTGTGGGACTTTGTGAATTTTGCGGCTTCCAGTTCATGAAATGTTTGAACAGATGAAAAGTTTGTTTTGTTTATCAGTTTCTTTTTCATGTTAAGCGTATAATATTGCAGGATTTAGCTGTAATGTGTGTTCTGTATATACAATAAGAAGATGTACAGAGAGTGAATCAAGATACAAAACTCACTTTTATTTATTTTTCTACAGCTTTATTCCTCGTTTGTGAATTTTGTAAATTGCTTCAATGTGTAGCCCATTAGTTTGTCTAACGAGGTGCAATCGCTTTTTGTACGCTAGTATCACGTTTAACAATTTTTTGGAGTGATTTTGTTCCACTCGTTTTGAAAAGTTTTCCAAAACCCACTTAGCGCCCAAGCCGTCCGCTTTAAAATCTCTGCTTCAAGTAATAAAAACCAAAATAATCTATCTGAATAATGTCATTCGACTCGTCAAGAGCAATTGCAGTTAAAAATTTATTTCGGGAAAATAAGTTTTCAAACAGTTATCGCGAAGTTGCTTCGAAAAACTTGATGTAAGACGGCTTGGGGGCGTACACAAGGTCCTCCTCCGCGCTAATCTATTTATGTCAAATTGAATGATCCTAAAAACTATTGCCTGACTCAGCCCCAACATTTTGCGTACTTTTCTGGGCTCACGGATTTTCCTTATTGCTAGAATTTGCAATATAGTACAACTCATCCTCGATTCTGGCTGATCTTGGACGCCACTTTGGTGGAGGTGGAACCCTAGCCAATGATCCCTGCCTCTTCATGGCAGTGCCATTTAATACACTGGAAACATGGCTTTGACTGGCACTTGAATTCAGTTGTCGCCAGTTTCTTAACAATTTTTTATGGTACAATTTATCTTTGGAAAACTCTAATACGGCTACCTCGCACTCCGTGGGGGGGAGTGGGGGCATGTTGATGCACAGAACTAAAAGTTGTTTTGCGAACTGTTCCTTGACTATCTGGGTACAACACATGCAAATTCCAATAATCCCAGGTCTCTCTAACAAATGTTATATCAAAAATAAAAGTGAGTTTTGTATCTTGATTCACGCTCTGTATGAAATGAACTCTTTGGTGAGAATCATATAAATACGATGCAGTATAGATTTGCATATGTATGTATTTTCTTAGGATTAGAGGGTACGGAACAGGGAAATGTTCCCGTGTTCTTGTTACGTAAAGGACAATGGGACATTCGCCAAGAATTTTATGTTGAGAGGAAGAAGTGAACCGTATGCATTACACGAGATAATCTGCAATGTCCGTCCTGACACGTAGTTCTTATATCCTCGCTGCTGCTTAATTGTAAATAACATATCAAGATAAAAATATCGTATCCTATTTGTGACACTTGTTTCTTGTCCTGTCAAATTAATAAATACTTATTACTCTTCTTCTAAAGTGAATCTGTATCGTGTCTAATTATTTCGTCACATTTGACAATGGAGGAGGAGGAGGAGGAGGAAGAGTACGGTGAAGATAATGGCGACGACGACTTTGAGGACATCATGTACAGCAGTTACCTCAACCCACATCCAATGCTCATCCCCACGGTAAAAAATCAAATTTTTAGACTAAAACTGACCCTGTACACGGGCGCAGGGCTTGCATTTTTAGCAGGTCAAAATAGCTGCAAAAAACCACTTTCTTGCCGTCATTTCTTGCAAATGGTTACTTGCATCCGAAACATTATTGCATTCTCTGTATTTCCAGATTGTGAGCCAAATCCTTATGGAATTTTCATACACCGAACTGAAGCAGTTTCGCTTGGTCTGCACATCTTGGGAATTCGAGGCGTCCTCCATCCTGAAGAGCAAGACTCAAATCCGATTCGCCTCCCTCGCCCAAGTGACCGCTTATATCACCCAACTCGACGAAAACTACTGTTGCGACAGCTACGAATTTGGTCCCGACGTGCCCATGCTCTCCTGCAATATGCAAATCTTCTTCGATACTTTCGGCCCGGATGTGAAATGTCTCAAACTGCACCAAACTGAGTGGACGGGACCCGAATTGTGGGACATCTTATCGCGAAAACTCCCCTCTTTGGAGGAACTCAGTGTGCGAATCTTCATTCCAAGAGAGGCCAACTTTCTTCCGATCGGTTCCACCCGGGTTTTAGGAACGATCCGGATTTTAAAGTTGAATTTCTCCATAGAAAAACCATACAAGGCGTCCCCCCCGCCGCCCGAGGAGGTCGTGTGTCCCACCATTTTGAAAGAACTCCTCCTCGCGATGCCCTCCCTGGAGGAGATTTATTGCCCCAGTTGGCCCACCTACGTCCGTCCAGATAAAGTTGTCAGCGGGCTTTTCTACAACGTAATTTTTGCCTACCCGGAAATCAAGTTTGCGAAATTGTCCTACATCCACATCAATGCGGCGCTGGATAACGCCCAACTTTTCGCACTGATGGATAAGAATTTTCCGCTAAAAGAATTACGCCTCGAGCTCCACCCGGACGTGCAACCGTACGCGTTCTACTTTCTCTTGAAGAGTTTGGAGGCCACGTTGAAAACTTTGATCCTGATTTTTCACCCGGATTATGACGCGGAAAACTTTGATCAGTTTCCGACCCTGCGGAATTTGGAGTATTTGTCCCTCCACAAGTATTGCGGGCCGGTGGATGGCGTGGTGAAATACTTGCCCAGGTTGAAGACGCTGCTTCTGAATGATTCTTATGTGACGGATGAGTCGTGTGAGGATGGAGGCGGAGGCGATGAGGAGGCGAGATTTCGTGCCAATCGGTTGGAAGAGTTGGTCATCGAGGGGGTCACGTACTGTCCGCACGCACAGTTGAACGTGCTGACCAGGAAGTTTCAAAATTTGAAGAGGCTTCGTGTTCAGCATGTGGACGATGAGATGTTGAGGCTGGTTTTTGCGAGGTTGGGAGGCCTGGAAGAACTCGTGGCGGATGGGAAATTTACGGACGCGGGGGTTTGTGGGATACCGATTGACATTTGTCAGAATATCTTTGACGTGCCGGATATCGATAGGGTCCGGTATCACCCGTATATTGGGAGGCTACAGAGTAAGTTGGGTTCATTTTATGGAGGGATTACTTAGCCCTTGCAATCTTGCCCAAATCATCAAAATAATCAGCACATTTTTAGTCATTTCTCGGCTCTGGGAACTTATTTTAAAATTCTGGACCACTGATTTATAGTTAGTAAGTTAATTAATGGAATGGGAGTGAATTTTTTTAGTTTTGAGGAGTTTAAATTTTTCTGAAGGCTTCTTAAACTTGAGATCTCTTCCCTCAAAATCTCTAAAAATCTGGGGTGCATATTTTTAAACAATTGGTAACGACCTGCTCTACAAATTTGTGGTCCAGCATTTTAGAATTAATTCCCAGAGACGAGAAACGACTAAAAATGTGCTGATTTTTACGATTTTGGGAATGAGTCAATAGGTCCTTATACAGATCTTTACTTAATGAAAATGCAATGAAAAATGAAAATGATGATGAAAATCATAAAATATGTAGATTTGCAACGACTTTCCCTGAATTCGTGGGCGATCAGCTACTTATCCGTCCTCCTGGGAATAAACGACTGCAAAAAGTTAAAATTTAAGCGACTCGTGTCACCACAGGTGAGTTTATTAACATGAAGACAGGCAGATTTTTGTACATATTTAATAATCTCCTTACTTCATTTCCTGCAGATTATGGCCTCGTCTCGGTAAAATTGTGTTTGAATATGCATAGACGTTCTTTTACTCGGATAAATAAATATGTACCCCAATTTGAGACGGAATTAATTATTTATTTACAACTCTTCTGGCCACATTTATTGATATTTATTTACAAACATTCCGAGTACTCGAAATGGTATCAGTTCCATTCTGCGAAATGTCAATGTTTCCCACACCCAACGAACGACACACGCGTTGTCCATGCCATTCACGCCGTAACGAAGCATGTGACTAAATACATCCCATTCATAAAAGGAGGAATGGACAGGTAAATAGGGGACGAACTAATGTATCCATATTTAATGTCCAGAGTCGTCTCAAGTGGGCATGCAATTCGATAAATTCGGGATTTCTGCTGGACAACCTTGAGGAATTATTTGGAGGTTGGTCATACATACATAAATGTGAGACTGGCAAATTACGTATGTACGTAAAATGGAGGTCACCCAAAGTATGCTCCCAGATTTTGAGTAAACTAGTGTCAATTATCGATTGACAATCGATCACAAGTTTAATGGGTATGAAATTTGCAAAAGGCACGATCTCCAAATGCTCAGGTTTGGCGAAGATATTTGCATCCGAAGAAAAAACGCGCCTTAATGTTGACAAATTTTGCATTGCAAATTTACTGTGTTTTCTCCTCTTTGGATGCAAATATCTCCGTCAAATCTTCGGATACAGATAACTTTGCCAAACCTGCGCATTGGGAGATTGTGCCTTTTGCAAATTTAATATTAATTAAATTTGTGATCGATGGATACTAGTTTGATAAAAATCTGTGAGCATACGTTAGTAAACCTCAATTATTAGTTAGATATCCGTAATAATAATAATAATGACACACCACCACACCTGTGATCTCCCCAATAATTTGAATATCTACAATTTGTAAGTCTGTAATTTGGCATAAAAAGCAAGTATGTATTTGGTATAATCTGTGAAATTGAAGCATTGCTGGGTATTATCAGCCCATGTACATATCATGCCATGCATTCTGACTCTGCGTGGAATTACCGTGCAATATCATTCATTATTTATTGCTACTACTTGATGACTGATTACATGTCTGCCCAACCGACTGTCAACTGTGTACATACATACGTATCATCTCGCATTTTATATTTAGAAATATTCTGGAGGAACTCTTTATGTACTTACCACGAAATTATATCCGCCCATCATCGCCGCACAATTTTTGATGACACGACGACATGACATGTAACTTGACTTGACTGCTTGTAATGCATGCCTGTTCCTGCTTACTACTTAAAAACTAATCATAATATTAGCAACTAAATATTGAATGCGAATCTCCCCTCCAATTCATGAAATGAAACGAAAGACAACCTTGAAGTTAACAACGCATACGTAAATTACACGGTTTTAAGTTGACATTTGAGATGGTCATTAAATTTTATGTACCTATCTCGACCCGCTGAATGAGATCAAGACAAGATTGATCCAAAACTTGAGACATATACGAAACCAATCACGCACAAGTTATGTAAGTTCTGAACGGATAGTTTTTTTTTGCATGCATGAAAATATCCCATGAAAACAATAACATGTCCACTATTCGCACATTTGCTATACGTATGCATGCATGTAGATTGTGCCGAATGTGCGTCTCCCGATAATACGTAAAAACAGTACGCAGATTGTGCTTGGAAATAAATGGGAACCTGGTCGCATGGGAGAGACGAACACGCGGCCTTTCTCTCCATTTGTCTGGTCTCGTGCTTTCCCCGACAATGCCCGTGTCGTGTCTCCCTCCTTGGAGTGGGTTAGTTAGCCTATATCAACCCATATCCCGTGGCAGAAAGGAACCGAAAAAGCAATCCCACACCACATGATGATACGAATGCACGTACATACGTATCCCGATATGAATGCGAATACTACTACTGCCCGAATCCAGCCAGACAACTCTGTCCTCCGAATGCATTGTGTTGTGTTTCCGTTATTTGGAACAGAGAAAGAGATCAAAAGTCTGTAAATGTGTACTTTTCCACATGACGAGCATTCATTTCGTCATCGTCGCCTCGTAATATTCCTCCACTTTTGCTCAGCCGTCTCAAAGTACAATCGGAACAAGTGGAGTGTAATGTCTTGTAAGATCTCGAACTAAATATTTATTTACAACAATGTGGACTGAACAAGTGCTGTGTCAACGTGGGTGCTGGAAATAACTACAATTTCAGATTAGAATTTCTTCAATATTGTGTTGTAAAACAGTTATGAATAAGTGACGATTAAATTGAGATGGAGAACTGCAAATAGTGTAGTCGACTGCTCTCTCTTCTCGTGATTGACATAACTGTAACGATATTGTGTAGCACATAAATAATAATTATTATCTCCACTTGCAGCCAAATAGTGCATCATGCAATGCACATAGCAGTTCTTTGCACCAAATCACATCAACCACTATGTAAAAGCTCAGAAGAGAATACCTAACAATACACGAGCGATATTTGTAGCTTACAAATACATACATAAGTAGATCCCCGTTTCATTTAATAGTTGGCACATAAATAGCTTCATCCATATTTTAGTTGATATGCTCAATCATCAACTATTTGTGTGCGTACGTATTTAAATAGTTATTGGTTGGTGATGTTTGGTTGAAGGAAACCCTGCTTCTTCTTTTTCTGGTCGTATATACGGATAATTGGTCTCTGCTAGATTAATTTCAAGGTGGTTTGGTTGTACGTACGTGTTTTATAGGAACAATATTTCCATTTCTTTCACCCGTCTATACTTGTGTACATGGCATAATATTTCGTGTTGGGTGGGATGTGATGCTGCTGCGTGATTGAAATACTTACTTTGCTACTACGAGTAAGTAATGCTGAAAATTTGTGCTAAAAGTGCAACTCATCTCCAAATCCGGCTTCAATTCGTGTTCAACCTCAATCAGGCAGAGATCTCGGCACTAATTTCGTCTCATCGCGTCGTCTCTCCACTACACGCTGCTGGATAACTGGAGCTCTGGAGAATTTTGGACAGGTTAAGCTACTAATTCAGGTATTGCATTGTATTATTTGTATTGTTTTCCGCATATGTAGTCGATTTCCTCATGTTTGTAATCATAAGCTCGTTAAATCATATTTTTTTTAATGCTGCGTCACGATTAGCCCGAAATGTGTGTTTGTAATCTATAATATTTGGCTAATCAGTTAATGCTACAGGATAAATAATCCATCATGCACTGAGAGAATTGACATAACAATAGGATTATGTAACGTATTTATGACATACATATTGCATAAGTTAAAGTTTACTGTACATACAGATACATTGAATGATTATAGACTTTAATATTTTCTACACCCGGTTAATAACTTTGCATACAATATAATTACATATGCATGGATTTTTTTTATCGACGAGAGAACAATTACGGCAAACTATTTAAGTATTTATGCATTCCGAGAATTCGTAGAAAAGATAATAGGATTTTATTTCATGGTGGTGGTGGGCGTTATTTTACGATTTTTTGTATCGTGTCGTGGTCAATCTGCGCTTCAGTTACGTTACATATTTAATGTGTGAGTTACGTGACTAATGTTGTCACTCTAATTTTCCATGAAATTCACATGGGACTTTGAGTTGACCGTGGTCTTATCGTATATCTAGTACGCTTGAGGCTCTCGTTGATGATGATAAACATTAAATATTTTCACTGTCAGTACAATTTACTTGATATGATTATGTACACACAACGACTTCCTCTTTGCCATATGTCACATGCTGGTGGACTTTCATGTGCTCCATTGTCATCCTCTTTTTGATTCAGTAGTCAAAATTGTCAGAGTCAAACGGTGGTCTGCAGCATAGCAAATTTATTAGAAGAGAATTTCAGAACTTATTTGCCAAGTAAGTTTATGTACCAAATTACGTAATCGTTTAAAAAACCTGGAAACATGGGCACTTGAGTTTTCCTGAAACAAGTAAATTGCAAATTGCTAGGAATTAATTAAAGCGAACATAACAATTCAAGTGATTTACATATCTGGTAACAAACAAGTGGGCATTATTATTCAATCAATTATGAAATTGAGACCGCTATTCGATTCAATTGTCAGTGCTTTTAATGACGATTTGTTCAAGTAGTGACGTTTCGGGCTTGTGACTTCATCAATTGCTCACGTAATGACTTTGAGTGGTCATATCAATCACTGTTGTTGATAAACTTAGGGTATGTAGACTAATGTCCTATTGGAAGCTATGGTTAAAGGTTTATTGTACCAAGTAACTAACGTCAGCAAAAGTCACACAAACCGCCTGATTACACTCTAATTATTGTTTCATCTCCTGATCCATATAGTTTTACTTATGGAATTTATTTAGTATGGGTCTTATCTCCAGAGCCGGAGCAATGTTGATGGCTCGTTATCTTTACCCACGTTAATAGGCAAAGTCATAAATAACTCGGGATTTTGGTTAACAACGTCACTCTCAATAGGAGCAGTCACTCACCAATTTAATTTCACGCTGGTCCAGAGAGAAGTTTACTTACTGACCAGGTTTTATTTGTCTTTGGCCCCTCAGGTTTGAAATCGAAACGTCAGGATGAGCGTGCCCGAGAAAGTGGTGCAAGTTTGCGAGGAGTTGATCATTTCGGATGAGACGCTCCGTCGCGTGATGGACGCGTTGGACCACGGTAAGATAAAATAATCTTTCTGGATATATTATACCAAGAACGAAAGGAATTCATTTATTAATATATTAGAAACCGGAAATAACATTACATAGTTTAACAAGTACTCTTAACTCTATTTTTTAAAGAGATCAATCTCGGTCTCGGCAAGGAGACGAATTCCTCGGCGACCGTGAAGTGCTTCCCGACATACGTCCGCTGCCTCCCTAATGGGCAAGAGAAAGGCAAATTTCTCGCCCTGGACCTCGGCGGGACGAATTTTCGTGTTCTACTGATCGATCTGGAGGGAGGAAGTACAACGGCGAAGATGGTTTCCAAGATTTACGCCGTCCCCACAGCGGTCATGGTGGGACCGGGAGACGGACTTTTTGACCATATTGCTCAATGCCTATCAACCTTCATGCATGAACATAAAGTGGAGAATGTCAAGATTCCGCTGGGCTTTACGTTCTCGTTTCCTTGCAGGTAATTTGAAAAAATTAGTGTTTTGTTTCTCGCGGATTTGGTTTCTTGCGCTTCAAAGCAGGAAATGCAAGAAAGTGTGAGAAACTTTGAAGTCATGAAGTGTAGTGGCGGGCGTAATTTCTTGCGCCTTGCATTTCTTGCAGGTCGAAATAGCTGCAAGAAACCACTTTCTTGCAAGTGGTTACTTGCATTCGAAACACTGTTCGAAATAGATGAGATAATTGTGTTATTATGTGTCAATTTATTTATTTGTATTTATGTATGTAGGCAGGAAGGATTGACGAAGGGGATTCTGGTCACGTGGACGAAGGGATTTAATTGTTCGGGGGTGGAAGGGAAGGACGTCGTCCTCATGTTGCAAGAGGCAATTCGTCGCAGGGGGGATGTCGAAATTGATGTGTTGGCAGGTAAATTATTGAAAAGAAGAGTAATTTTTGAAATTTTGGGGGCAAAATTGTTATAAAAATATGAATCTGTCATAGTTTTGAATGACACGACGGGAACTCTGATGGCATGTGCGTACAAGAACCAAGACTGTCGAATTGGACTTATCATTGGAACGGGTACGAATGCCTGTTATATCGAAAAATTGGACAAGGTCGAACTCTGGAATGAGGATCATAACGAGCCAAAGCAAGTGATTATCAATACCGGTAAGAAATTATCATTTTTTGAGCTAGAAATTTTTCAGGGGCAAAGTTTTCATGTAATTTTGAAACATATTTGCAGAATGGGGCGCCTTCGGAGACAACAAATGCCTAGACTTTATCTACACCGGGTACGATCGAGAAGTGGACGAGACATCGATCAACCCTGGGAAACAGATATTCGAAAAAATGATTTCCGGGATGTGAGTCTCATAAAGAAAGGATTCATATCGATGGATTATGACTAATTTACATATTTGGCATGTGTATTTACAGGTATATGGGAGACATAGCTGGCCTAGTTCTCAGAAAGTTGACCCGTGAGGGTCACATCTTCCGGGGAAATGGTGCGGACGAGATTTTCAAGCGAGGAGCTTTTCACACCAAGTACATCTCAGAGATTGAAGGGGACAAGGTCGGCGACTGGACAAATTGTCGTCAGATCGTAAGCCATCAGAAAGTTTATAAAGATCATGACCTTAATTAGCCTGAAATACTTAATTTATGTATGAATTTCACAGCTCCTCGAGGAACTCGGCATCCCCGAACCCGTCACAGATCAAGACTGCATCGTTGTTCGCCACGTGTGCGAGGTTGTCTCGCGTCGTGCCGCCCACCTCGTCTCCGCCGGTTTGGCCTGCCTCCTCAACAAGGTAGGTTATCTAAATGTATTCGGGGAGTAGATATGGACGGGACTCCCTTCTTCAAGGTTCGGTCAAAATAATTTAATTTTGTAGAGCAATAATTTTAGTTTATTTCAATGCTCATTAAAAAGTACAAAATTTATAAAAATGTCGAAAACCGGTAAAAGTAGTATATAATGCATACTAAACAAGACTAAAGCTGAAACTAAACCAGATTAAACTTTAACAATCATAACCTCCACACCCCACAATAATTTGATAAACTCCACTATTTTACCCCATGACTCTGAATCAAGGTGAGCAATATTTGTGCATTTGTTTGTGCTCCAACCTCTGGGGGATTTGAAGGGACGTATGGGGTTTCGAAGTCCCAGAAGATAGGCAACATATCCAGCTACATGCAAGTGAGACTCAAATTTCCTCTTTTCCTTGTCATCACAACGTCCAATCAGTGTACGGGTAATGGCTACTGGTGGGTCTTTGTCCTTCACATTGTCAATGTAAAATGATGCTCCATCGGTAAAAAAACTCTATCCAATTAATTATGGATAAATATATAAAAGGTATTACCTGATCTTGTTGTTCCTACACGTGCAGTTAGGTGTACATAGCTGCAGGCTAATTCTTTTCTAAGAGGTCCGAATCGGTGGTGAATCCCCTTTCCGGCACTATTATCATCATCATGTGGTGGGACGATGTCATCATCTTCTGAGATGGGGATATAAGTCCACACCACAGGGAAAAAATCATCATCATCCCTTGCATCAGTCCTCTTTGTTCTCACCTTCTTTTTCTCCTTATCAACGGCACCAACTGGATTTAAGTAACCAGGAAGTGAGAGAGGATGTTTCAGTGTCTCCAAATTTCCCAGCAACTTGAGAGTCTTGCCTTCCACTTCCAATTTCTTCTTCTTTGGTGATGCAATAGTGCTGCACAAAATTGACATACATGTGACAATAGTAATTAATTAATCATACATAAGCAAATGACAAATAAACTTACTTTTTGGAGGAAGTGCCGGCCTTTTTGTGAGATTTTGGTGGAGACGATTTTCTCTTGGGTGTTGTGGGTTGTATGTTGTGGGAGGAACCTGGCCGGAAGGGATTCATGTTGTTTAGTAAAAAATGGGGGTGGAGAAATGCTCACAAACTCAGATTTTATTATTTATCTTCACATAAATTAAAGAGAGGACATGTTGGTATGTGGTGGTGGTAGTGGTGGGTTCAGAGCAAAGAGGAGAACAACGCAAAGGAGATATGCAAAGAGCTGTTACTACGTTTTTCCATAGTATGTAAAGTTCTTAATAATGATTATTATCAGATTGGGGAAAAGAAGGCCGTCGTGGCGGTGGATGGGTCGGTGTAAGTGAAAAAAACCTACAGTGCAGACTTCATATATAGCCCGAGTCAGGCAGAGACCAAGTCCTCTTCAAAATTTTATTCACTTTTAACGCATTCTTTCATGAGAAGCCAATCGGTCAAGCCATTTCGGCGCTATAGTTTCTCGGACAGACATGACAGATACATAAGCCCTGACTCGAGTTAAAGACTACCGCCTCCATTGACCTTCTATTAATAAATTTGTGGCCATATTCCAGGTACCGTTTCCACCCCTGTTTCCACAACCTGATGACTGCCGCGATTCAAAAGCTGGTCAATCCCGATATGAAGTTCGATCTGATGTTGTCCGAGGACGGGAGTGGGCGAGGAGCTGCCTTGGTCGCTGCTGTGGCGTCGAGAACGGCGTCAGATTGACGTCTTAGTGATACCGTAATTATAAATAGGAACGACTATCATCATCATCGATACGAAGAAGAGGATAGATTTACACTAGTTTTGGATAGATAGAGTATTAACAAGGTAATCAATTCCGTAGTCTGAAAATGAAAAATCAACTGTTGCCATATTTGTAATAAGTAATTTTTAGCTACTGATACAACAAAAAGGACTAATTAAATAATTAACTAATTAGTTAATTAATCAATACAAACTGATCTATGTAGAAGTGATTTGTAATTCAGAGAGAAAACAATAATGACGTCGTGCTCGTTACATTAGACAAAAATATTTAGATACAAGTTAACAGAGAAATTGTAACAAGTGTTGTTTTATACGAGTGCAAATTTAGCTGTGTGTGTAGCAGGTGTGGAAAATGGGATTATTAAATAACTATTGTTGATTGTGCCAGTTAATTGTAAGCATAAATAATTAACGAATCGGAAACGAACTTTATTTAGATACTAAAAAAATGAGTGAATCAATTGTTTTAAAATATTTTGACGCAATATTTGCAAAAAATAAGTGAAAAAATATGACAATGATGAAGCAGAAGAATCTTGAAAAGTAGAGTGAAGAATTATATTAGAGAAATGTTCAGTAAAAAATGAAATTATGAAAAAAAAATATGAAGACCTTTTGAATTTATTTGTGTATCCTATGCATTATTTTATGGAGTCAAAAATGCATGCGTGCTTTAAATCCGATCCCGTATGAAAATTTATCTGCAAAAAAAAATGTGCCAATTTTTCTGTAGGAAATTCAGTGGAAATTTTCTGCTCTTCTGCGGCAGAAAAATGCGATCCTGTATGAAAAATGAACGCATTTGGCCGTTTTTGTAAAACTTTCTGTATAAATAAGTATGCCGAGCTCTGTAGAATTTTGCATGTCTTTTCTACAGAAAAATGGCCTAATTTTGCCATGTAAATTTGCATACGGAATAGCTAGCTGACCACCACCGTCATTAAAAGTAACTCGTCATACATGAGTGTCAACACAAAATTTAAATGCCCATGTTATGAATTTTTAATGAGATCACAACAAAAGCACTTAATAATTACCAGGCAGGAATGGGACAAGTTATAACTGGTCGTACTGTGAATCGCTTACCGATTTGGGGTCACCGATATCCCGGAAATTGTAACAAACGTAAACAATTGGTACCTAATTGTAAACAATTTTGGCTATTCTGCGCCGTCTTGCCGTGGTGGGTGCAAGCAGGTACATTATTAAACAACCTGGAATTTGCATCCTACAATGACAAGGGTCGCATTCGTGCTGACAGCGGCGGCGTGGTCCATACTTTTGCTCGGTTCAGTTCGCACTTCTCACGTGGAGCAACCGTGGGACCCTTTGGACGCCTTTGGCGACTGGAAACCTGATAAAAACTACAAGAGAGAAGGCGTAAGTTGGTTACAGTGTTTCGTTTCTTGCGGGTTTGCTACATTTCTTGTAATGCAAGAAATGAGGGTAATCCGAGGTGCAAGAAACTGCAAAAAAGTGCAAGAAATATACGCTATCAAACCACTAGCCGTATGAAGTATAGCGGCGGAAGTCGTTTCTTGTGCCTTGCATTTTTTGCAGATCGAAACAGCTGCAAAAAACCACTTTGTTACCGTTATTTCTTGCAAACGGTTATTTGCACCCATGAAACTCTGCACGTGGGCATTAATTATTCGCAAATTAATATTTGTAACATTTTGTGATGGATTTGCACGGCATTTTTCTCCGTAGGAAGGCCCCAACAAGGATCAGGATTCGAATGGTGGGAAATAATTAATTGATTAAAAGATAATTTATTTTAAAAATCAAATTTTTCACCTGAAAGGACGCTACGTGGGAGACTTTAATTCTGAGTGTTCGGAATCAAGCACGATTACCAAGTCGAAAACGACGATGCACATCGAGCCGGAAGATGACATCATGAAAACGCCCAACACCAAGTGTCACTGGAACATTATTGTAGCCACCACTTTTTCCACATTTTTGCAGATGGAATTTTCACATTTTTTTTCTACAGGGAACGGACGACTGTTCTCCAGTCTTGTCGTGTAAGAAGTTCAAGTTGGCGCGTGACACGGGAACGACGAAGGAGGACAAGTGCAAGGACGAGTACCTCGAGGTCACGGACGGTGTCGGAGGTTACGACAAGTTTTGCGGGGACACCGGCCCCTCCGAAGTGTCGGCGACGAAACGCCTCAGAGATCTTTATGTCACGTACAAGTCGGGCGAAAAGGAGAACAAGAGGCAGCTCAAGTGCACCGTGACTTGTGCAGCACAGGGTAAAGTTAGCTGCGTTTATACTTACTAACTTGCGCCATGGTTAAAAGTTATAATATTGGGGCAAGTTGGGGAGAGAATAAGCTTTTGAAAAATGATTCCTAAATATTTGTTCAGGCTCGGCTCCCGAACTTCCAAGTACTTTCTCCGCTTCTGTGAGTGACACTTGCAGTAAGTTTGAAAAACTGCGTGATTAAGAAATTGTCATCATCTTGATAAGCCTCGATTTCTTATCAGACTGTGGCCGGAAACCGAACGCGGACCGAATTGTGGGGGGTGAGGATGCCAAACGAGGCGAATTTCCGTGGATTGCGGGGTAATTTAAAATAACTTGTTAATTAAATAAGTAAGGAAAATCTCAATTTTTCTCAATTTTTGCTCAGTTTGGTCACCGCCAAGACTCGGAAGCCGTTCTGTGGTGGGACCGTGATCAATGACCGTTTTATCCTCACTGCTGCTCGTGCGTGATAAATATTTCTGTATAAATTGCCCTTGCAAAAGAACGTTGCTAATTTTGGCAAATAATGTGTGCAGACTGTTTTAAGGGGCCGTACATGAAGAAGGACAACTTGCAGATCGTGCTGGGTGGTCATTTCATGGACTTGACGTCCTCCAAGGTGGCCTCCGGTCAGGGTGGGGATGAAGCCACGGCCTTCGACGCCGTCCAAGCGGAAGATGCGAAGCAGAACTCGATCCGTTTCTCGGTCGAGAAGTATTTCATTCATCCCCTCTACGTCAGACAGTGGGTGGAAATAATTGCATTCATAAGTTTGCAGACATTTTGTGTAATTATTCCTGTTTTTTGCAGGACGAATGACTTTGACGTTGGTAAGTACCATTGGGAGATTCGCAGATTACACGTGTCAAGGTTTTTGCACGTAGCAGGCTGTTTGTAGAATTAATTTTATTCGATTAATCTTTAATCGACTTTTTAACATGGGTTTGAGAATTGGAAAAATTTACGATTAATTTTTAGCGTTTGAAGTGTGCGAATATTCTGCTGCGTAATAATGCGGGCGAAATTAAACAGGTTTTGCTGGAACTGTGACCAGCTAGACCCACATTACTTTTCAGTTTAATCGAGTTTTTAAATATGCAAAAAAAGTGAAATTCCACTAGTAGAAAAATTGACACAGCTTATCTGCTCCGAAAGTCTAGAAGGTTGACACAGAAGGCCCAGTAAGAGCTGAGTTAAGAGAGGCAATATGAGACTTATGCAAATGAGGTGAACGATCTTCTTTCACGAATAAAGGATTTCGCTTTCCAGTCACCTCATTTGCATAAATCTCATATTGCCTCTCTCGAACCATTCATGAGGAGTTCATTCGGCGCAGATATTATATGCTGTGCCAATTTTTCGACTAGTGGAATTCCACTTTTCTACGTATTTTAATAAGTCGATTAAACTGACAAGACCTGTAATTACTGTAAATCAAACATCCCAAAAGTGAACAGGAAGCCCAGAATTGTTGACACTGGGCGGAAGCCGTGGGGACATTAACATTGTATGATTGAGGAGAGAGGGGCATGCGCAGATGATGACGGGGACATTGAATAACTTTTGAGACATTGTCCCTCTGTCCCCACGCTTCCGCGGCCACTGACTGGTAGCCTAACCCCTAATAATTATTCTCAGCCCTGATCAAGCTCACTGAACCGATTGACTTTGGGAAGTACACGCAAACGGTGCCAGCCTGCTTCCCCGACGCCGCCACGTACCACAACAAGCACGAGGGGAAGAGCGCAACGGTCGCAGGATGGGGGCTCAACTCCAGCAACGCCTCCGTCACGATGGGCACCTTGCAGAAATTGGACGTCAAAGTCTTCACCTTTCACGAGTGCAAGGGATTCTTTGAGGACAGGTTCACTCAGGTGATGATGCACATAACTTGCGCCAATGTTATAATTTTACTGTGGCGCAAGTTACTAATCAGTGAAGTGGAAATGTGGCCTGTATTATATTCAGTTTTTCGGGCCGAAAGTGGTTCCTTGCAACGCCGCAAGAAAAAGAAACACTGATTTTATCCGATTTTTTTTTCAGAGAATGATGTGCGCAGGATTTAAGGAGGCTGGTAAAGATTCTTGCAAGGTGATACATAAACAGTTCAAAATATGGGTAGTTTTGTGCATATTATTAATTACTGCTTAATCAGGGCGATAGTGGGGGGCCCCTCATCGCTGAGAAGAGGACGCAGCTGTGGGAGTTGATCGGGGCCGTATCGTGGGGGGAAAGTTGTGCTGCTAAAAATTCGCCGGGCGTCTATCTGAGAATAAATGGTGAATAATTGAATAATATTTTAGTCTTGATAAGTAAGTGTTTATGATAAGTGGGAATTATCATGTGAAAATTGCAGAGGTGGAGCAGTGGGTGAGATACATGGCGAACAATGAGGACGCGACGTGGTGTTCAGAGTAATAAAAAAGAAGCTGACTTAAAGATTGCTGTCCAATTTTAATTCACATTATGGCATCTTCTGCAGTGGGGAATTTGAGACTTTTAGGTTTGCTAGATTTTTGTCCAATGTATATTCGCTCGCATTGTTTCATCTCTCATGTACATAAATTGGAGTATAAATTGTATCAGAGTATGCATCATAAAACGATCAGCCTCGCATAAAATGCACATCTTATGTACATATGGAGGCAGTGGGGAATTTGAGACTTTTGGCTTTCCCATCATCCAAGAAAGCAGAGATACTTATGTAGGCAGGGTCAAGGGCTCTCCTAATCTCTACGTCCACCTACCTAGAAACACAATCTTAGGTAATGCACCTGAGTTTCTGAAATCTTTGTTACTCACCTGCCTCCCTCAGGCTTTCTTTCCTCCCTCGTACGACGTGGTAAAGTACCCAAGCTCTGGATATCCCTAACCTTGAAATTTCCTGCAAATAGACGGACGGACAGACAGGCTTAAAAAGCGATAACATAAAGCGGCTGACGCCACTTTATAAAAACGACACAACCATCGCATGCTCATTGACACTAGTGAAATAAGGACAAAACTATGTATTGTTGAGGATAAACAAGTTTATTTTTAGCAGTCTTATAAAAACGTTTCTGCTATCGCTACAAAAGTAATTTTGATCATTATCCTGACATGAAAATTTTTATGTCACTTACTCATTCATTGATTAACTAACCAACTAACAGGTATGTGCATAAGCATTCAATTATTAAGGGGTGAAAGCTCTTTATAAGATATGTCCATCTGTCTGTCCGCCAGTCCGTCCGTACGTCTGACGGTCTAACTGTTGGTTCAATAACCCGAGAACACAACGACATATATGTGTACCGAGTTGAAACTTTAAACCTAGCTCATTTAGGTCAAGAGTCCACCTGATTAGATAATTGTCATTGCAGTCCGTGCAGTTTACAAGGTCACGGTGCCAAGTCACAGGTCATGATTTTCTTAAATTAAAACGACATCATGTGAGGACTCAAATCGATAATATATTCAAAGAGTTGTCCAATGGAATAAGTCATTTCAACCTGCGCCACCCCAGTGACCGTGTGAGCGAGGTCAAAAGTCAAAAATGTCTAAAAACATGTCAGTTATGTCAGTGTTAAGAAATTTTCAACGAGCAAAAGTAGTAATTAGTCATTTTGACATAGGACACACTGCCTTCACCACTTGGTTACATGCGTTGTACTTATCTGAACTGAAATAGTCACCCTCATCCATTCACCTATTTTAAGCAATATCTCTTCAATCTATTACATGTATGAACCACACACGACAATCATGTCAAACATCTTCCCTCTTTGAACCTCATAATTTGCACACAAACAAACAAAAAATGCACGTCATACATATAATATTTAAGTGCCATTCAAACACTTTGTTTAGCACAACAGCTCACTCGCACGGGTTACGATTTGAACAATACCAAACTTATTTTATAAGAGAAACATATTAACCGGGGGGAAATTGGTGGTTGGGTGGTTGTATTGTCTTTTTTCGTTTCGTGCATCCTCCAGTAGCCAAAGTTTTGCACGCAATTTGTTACACGAAATTAACTACTGAACTTGAGGTGGTGGTGGTGTCTGTGCGATATAGTCGAACGGAGGAGGACGACATATTTATTAACCGAGAAAATGGAACCTTTCACCCATTGGCATTAACAATATTCTGGATGATTCATCATGAGCTGCTTGGCTTGTAACAGCGTAAAAACTGAAATTTTTGCAAGTTTGATTTGAGAAACCATATTGGCTCAAAAATTCGCAAGTATGCAAATTATTTGCCTTTAAGAAGCAGCATTAAAACCCACACATTTTTTGTATAAATTGAATTTGAGTTTAGGATTTTATTGGAATAAAATACGTTAAAATTGAAAATTTTTATGTATAAATTTGACAAGTTTGACCTTTGTTTATGGCTTTTATTGGAATAAATTTTGCCAAAAAAATTCGCAACCGTATTTTTTGCACTACAGATGAAACTATGAATGTCCCCATTTACATATTTACTCGTGAAGAGTGTCATCGACAAAGAGAAAACTGTTGCATGTCAGGCACTTGTTTTCTCCGTAAAGGGCGACATTTTACATGGTCGTGGGTATGTCCACGTACAAATACCGGGTTTCAAGTTAAATAAACTTGACGAGCACCATAACGTGTACGTATTATGTACTTATTATTTGATGTATTGGAGAGAAACAAACAACGGAGAAAATATGCATGCATGGAAAAAGTTGTCCTTTCTCTGGAGGCTATGAACTAGTCTACTTCGGGTCTCATTTGGACATGGGCGAGTTTGTCCGCTCAACCGGTGGATGGGTCGTCTCTCGTACATTCGTACCTATTAATTTGAATTTAATAGAGCGAATTATCAAAAATTACACAATAATTGACTAACTATCTACCTACACACAATTTTTGGAGCATATGTACCGCTTTAAAATTTCGTGGAATTGGGGATCAATTTCCTGTCACATTTACACAACCCACTAGCAAGCCGGAGCACATACTGAGAAAAAGGTGCCTAATTGAACCATTGATTTTGAGTGTGTGTTTATGAGCGAGTGAGTTATTTTTACTAAAATTATTGGTCATAAATATTTAATAAAAAATAAGTGTTTCGTTTCTTGCACTGGAAAGCAAGAAACGCATAAAATGTGACTTGCAAGAAACTGCATGAAAGTGCAAGAAATTTGCTCCATACGTTATATAAAGTATAGCGGTGGGAAGTAGTTTTGTGCACCGTGCATTTCTTGCAGGTCAACATATCTGCAAAAAACACTTTCTTTCGCTATTTCTTGCACTGGAAAGCAAAAAACGCAAGAAATGCAAGGTGCACGAAACTGGTTGAAAGTGCAAGGAATGTGCGCTATATAGCCACGCGCCGTATTATATTAATCCAAAATATGAGGCAGAGGGTAGTTTTTTGCACCTTGCATTTCTTGCAGGTCAAAACATTTAGCTACAAAAAAACCACTTCCTTTCAAGTGGTTATTTGCACGCGAAACACTGGTAAAAATGTTGACTTTACATTCTATTTTAATAAGGTGATGTCCCAAATAGTATAATTGGCCACGTGACCCGACCCCGAAAATGGTTGCAGCCATGCATATTACTACTCCCATGCAGGCCACGAACTCAACCATGAGTGAGTGCAACGTCGAATGCGTTCAACAACGTACGAAATTATACGTCGTGTATGGCGTCATCCTCGCGACATTCGTGTCCCTCGCGCTCTGCCATTTTCTCGTCGCCCTCTGCAAACGTCGCCGCATCAAAGAAATCGCGAAAGAGTACTATCTGCACAGAGAATCCTTCGCGAATCTCGCCGTAGTCGTGGCGGCGGCGTCACAAAAGACGGCGAACGGAGGAGAAAGCAAAGGCGGTGGTGGTGACGACAACGATTTCAAAATTACGACGGACGGTGGGTCCCAAATGGCCATTGAGATTCCGGACAATTACAATAATCCCTTCCCCCTCTTGAGCAACGGACTAGAGAAAAATGGGGGACCTAAAGCAGCCAAGAATCACGGGGATCGTCCCCTTCAAATGGAAGTGATTCGACGTTCTGGTGGGGAAAATGAGGGCGAAAACGTAACCACCACCACGTTGGACCCCACCGCCATCCTGTCGCACAGGAATATGAAGACCAACATTGTTCAGGTGGATGTCCACTCGGAGGAAGAAAATCGACGCCGAGGGGGCGCCAAGCTTTCCTCGAGTTCGCTCGATGAACCGACTCCCGCCCTCCGAGTGGCGACAGTGTCGCAAAGCTATAACAATATAAGACAAGCCCCCGTGGTCATATCGGACTCGATGAGTGGGATTCTGAGCCGCCCCTCCCGACCAACATCGGCCGTCTCGTTGTACGACATTTCCGACATTGTGAGCTCCTCGCCGGAAACGGGGAGGAAAAAATCCACGCCAAAAAAGTCGCCAAAGACGTGTTAATCATATATAAATTTACAAACATATTTAGTGGGAATTAAGGAAACGATGGGGGGAAAAGTGACATGAAATTTGTCACAGAAGACTTGTTAATGGTAATTAGGACTAAAAAAAACAAGAAATTTTTAGTGTGGGGAAAAGTGACATGAAATTTTTCGAAACTTGGAGATTATTATGGTAGCAGGGACATTTGTAGAGAAAAGAAGATAATTGCAGTTTTTTGTTCAGACACGCGATTTACTTGCATTTCTCTCGCTCTGGAATATTCATCCATCCGCTAAAAGGACGACATGAATTAATAATTAGGTTAGAAAGAAGCGAGCTGCTCATTTGGCAAAGTGTGAGTTTGCCATTGTACGTATTCGTAACACGGAAAATTCGTTGTGTGCAAAATAATATGTATGTAAGCTTGCAAATATTTTCTTGGAATATGTATTAGCCTTCTTGTGGATGATAAAGTTTAGTTAGATACTACTTATGTATCAATTTGATACGCCTTTGTTCGTGTGTAATGTCGTCTTTTACTGGAAGAATATTATTTAGGGTTAATAAATAAATTATGAAATTCTTGTATGTAAAACTTGAACTTGGATCTTTTTCATTTCGCTAAATGTGCTATAGGTATGTAACTGTGCGCGAAATAAGCACATATTCTTGGGTTTCGTGCATGTTTTTAATTAATGTGAGTAAGTTGAACTTCAAATCTGACCAGTATTTGTATTTCGTAGCTAGATACATTTGTATGCCTGAATTTTTATGCACAATGTATGGATTTTATTCTTGATTTGAAATTGACCCTTGATTTTTGAGAGTTTTTTTAGAGGGATGATAATCAATCAAGAATCACGGTGTGTGGGTTTCACTTATATTTTTAACCGCATAGATGGAGAACAAATGACTAGACATTGGTTGTAAATGGCAGATGAGGATATTTTTGAGACAAATTGCCCCCTCAACCAGCCATCCCAGTGACCCTAATAATTGATACTTTCACTCTCCTCCCATCTTATCATAACACGACGACCCACACCAATTGATTGCCACCAACAAAACGTACGGCATACATACCTATAAATGGTCATTTTCTGCCTTTAATTGAGCCAATTTTGGTTAAATTAGTGTATCAAATTTAACTAGAAGCCATCTGTTTCTGGCGGAGGAAAGATACGTATCAGGCACAAGGCAAGAAAGAGGTTTGAGCATCAATTAGGCAGATGTGATGATTAAGTCATTTATCACTGTGTCAGGAAGCTTGGAGGTCTCGTACCCTGTAATCAACACAGCACCAGCACGACAAGGGGGCCAAGCGGAACTGGAGATTTCCAGTCACTCGTATTTATGTAACGTGTGATAAAAATCGGACACAAGTTACAAGCAAAAATTGTAAACTTGATAGTTATTAGAAATATTTTTTAATTTCTGCTTCATATTCAAACTTAGCTGGAAAAGACTGAAGAAAACTGACTCAAAATTATACACACGCATTTGTTTATCTCTTCATCATCTTACATAATTTCATCCAGATTTTTTTTCACCCCATTTCTGTCCGTGTCCATCGTCTTCATTTCTTTCGGGGAGGATAATGAGTAAAAGTTGGCAGTAGTGATGATGATATAAAATGTAATCATGACTGACTGTGTACATGTCTTACATAATATTTATCTATGTACAGTAGGGTGGACGAGTAGTTTATTATGATCCAAATAAGCTCGTCCCTTGCATAATGTGTATGTACAAACGTAAGTAAGGAAAATACGAGTTTGTTGTAATTCAATCTCACCTTTGGAGGAAGGCGTATCATGTTATTTTATCGGTGCTGGCTACTTACCCACCTTCTTCTTCATCGTGTGTGATGATGATGATGGGATGGGATTACTTTACATGGTGAAGAACGAGATGTAATTATATTTACGACTTCCTCTCCAATAATAATTCCTCGCCAAGAAGCTTTTTTTTATTTATATAAACTTCATGTCTCACTCTTGGTCAGATGAGGCTGGTCAAATCAAAATTTTGCTGAGCATGAGTTCACTCTAAGATGGTCTGAATTATGTAGGAATTGTTTGTTACATATTTTTTTCATTTTACGCATAGTTTTTTAATGCACATTTCCAGTTAATGTAAAATACATCTCAAAACAGTTTACTCTGCATTATTACAGTACAGGCAATGAACTTAAGTGATAAGTAATTCCACCGTCCAATTGCGACTGTCAATTTTGACACTAAATAAATAATAAATATACACTTCTTTCGATAGAGAGAGATTGAAATCAATTATTGAGAGAATAAAGAAGAGGATACACTGTTACAAAATTGGTATTTAATCATTACTTAATAATCTGAGTAAATATATGACTATACTCGCACTTGTAATAACGGGCATATTACCGTTTAGCAATGTTTCGCCCTGGTCGAGTATTTAAGGAATTGTCTTTCCTGAATATCTCATCTTGTAATAAAATCTGTGTTATTATTAAAAAAACATAAACAATTTAAAAACGACGTTGCACCTTTTCAGTAAATATTTCGTAGCGAGAATAATTTTCACCACATTTAGTAAATGATGGACGTCTCAAATTACATGAAAACTCATGCACACATGCATCTACCTAATTGTGTTGTATGTACATATATGCTTGTTACTTAGGATTAGTGAGTTTATGTACAATTTGGTAATACCATTTTCTGGTTTTGGGGGTTTTTGGTTTGCGGCTTGAAAAAGTAAAAAAAATGGAAACTGTTCGACCCATGTGACCTGTCAATGGTATGGTGGGTGAGTGATTATGTTGCATAAGGATGGAATCCAATGGTGGAAAACATGTTAACTGGGAGATAACGAGAGTAGCAAAACCAAACCACGGACTTATTAGATCACAAACAATTAGGCTGAACCACTATGCACCACGGTGGAGATGGTGTAAAAATCTGGTCTGGTTAGCCGCATCTTTTTTCGGTCCAATATTCCAAAACGGACGTAAAAAGAGATTCATTGAGATTTCCATTCATGAAAGATTCCACCAAACATAAAAACAAAGCGACTAATTGTAATAACCAAGAGACCGAGTTTTCCCACATAACATGCATCCTTGTGGTGGCCGTAGTGGTAAAGAAAGAGGGACCTTTTGGTGAGAAGAATATTTTCGTGGGTGAAATGCTTCCCCATTTGGTATACATACATTGCAAAATATGTATATACTGATGATGAAAGGTGAGGTTTACCTAAAATTCGAGAAACATTTCGAAATATTTTGAGAGGTTTAATTTCAATATTTGGAAATGAAGATCCCTATTTCAGAATATTTGAAACTTCAGAAATCATTACCTATCTTGGTTGTCCGATTTAAATGCCAAATTTTGTAAAGAATATATTTGATGCATAAAATCCCTGAATTTCATCTTCCCCAAAATTCTGAATTGTTCATCAATGATTTCGAAAAACTTGGAGATTTTTAATTTCTATATTTGGAAATGAAGATATTGAAATTTAGATGCCACACAATAACCTGGCAGAGATCTAATTGCGAAGAGTGATACATATTTCTTAAAATTTTTGGTATAAAGTAGATTTTGAGACAGGTGGAAGAAAAGCAAAGCAACAAAATAATTTGTGGACAGCAGAGAGACGACCCTTTCCTTCAGTCTCATCATCTTCATCTTCCTTCACCATACCGAATTCAAGTTCAACACGTTGCATTGCATTGTACGAACGGACACTTTTTGGGAGGAACGGTCTCGTAAATCATCATTAGGTTTGATACCCCTTCGGCTTCTTTGCTTCCCTTTCATCTTCTTCCCAGGAGCATCAAGGCTTCTTCTACGTACACACATTTATTTACCTGTCTCCCAAACTCACACATAATTCTACTCCAATTTCTACAAATTTCTCAGCCCATTATTTACAAACCTTAGTCTCATAATTCCCATTTGAAAAGTTGAATAGATGAAAACATCAGTTTTTTTGGCTCAATATCTCCTTGAATTAGTCAGGATTGACGATGAGAACAAAATCAGGTAGTTTATCTACATATGTCTCATTCTCCCCCATCAATTAATTCGTGAGGTTGCTTTTACATACGTTTTGTCTAATTATCAGAAAATGAGGATGAATATTTTTTTATTGAGATTTTTTTTATTCGGGGGGTTGGCTCCTACATAATTTCGTGTTTGTCATGTCTCACTGCTGGGTTTGGTTTGGAGCCTGATCGATTTCGATTTCCAGGCTCAGGTAAGAAAATCAAGCCTGTAATAAAATGCAAGGAACCGACAGGTGCAGCAGAAGACGATTCCATGCCACTGATTGATTTGATACAGATTGGGACAAGGAAGGAGGAATGTTGTTTGTGGTTTGGACTCCCACCATCGAAGAAGAAAGTTGATGACACGATGATCAGACAGGTATCGGATCAGGCTGCACTTTTCCGAGACGGACTCCACTTTTTTTATGAGGGTGTTTTTTTGTCAGATCCAATTTCCAAAAATCTATCCTATTTAGCTTGTTGTCCAGTCGATGTAAATTGCCCAAGTATTTTCATTTCATGGCGTCTAGATTTCTAGATTGAGAATGACTCGAATTTGTGCATCATGGAAAATCTAGTGCATTATTTTATTATTTAGTAAACCGTTACAACGTGTGTAACAAAGGGGTGAAACAGTATTTAGTTCGTCAAAACTGGTATATTATTCGTGTCCATAACGTGGAAAATCTGTGATTGCAGTTCCAAATGACCTTTCAACATATCGACTTGAGTCCCAACGTGATGTCATTCTAATTTAAGAAATACGTAATCTTTGACCTAGTGCCGTGACCTAGATCGCTCATTTTCTCATCAGGTCTAAGGTCTGAGCCAAATAAGTTAGATTTCAATGTTCACGAGTTATCGGACCAACGGACGGACGGACATAACGATCTTATAAAAGGGTTTCATCCCTTTACAAAATGAGGTAGACCGTGTTCTCCGTACTTCCTGCATGTAATGTAACGTATAACGTATTTTTATGTCCCTTCTTCCCTTTGTGGTTGAAGTTAGTGGATGAATAATTTAGTTGAGAGATGGGGAAGAGAGAAGACGGGAATCATTGAGCTTGGCAATTAGTGCATGCATCATTTGTTTCTTCATCGTCACTTTATTTCTCGCTAAATGCTCTGATTCATCCAGCTTTCCTGTCGTGCATGGTGGTCCAACAAGACAGTTTTAAATTTCAAAATCTTATATTTAATTTATTTTCGTACCATTTTAACTTAATAATTTGCAGTAGACTACATATTTACAAAATCATAGGAACTTTAAACCGGTTTGCATTATAATGAATGAAAAAAACTGAATTTAATACATCATAGTGAGCAAAAACATATAGGCAAAATTAATGTAATTAACTAATCTTAGCTAAAAAATTATGACGAAAAATTTGCCGTTAAATTTTGAAATTTAAAGTGAAAAACAAAACACCGGTGAATTTGTAGCGCCTAAAATGAACAGAACCTAACCAATTTGTACAATATGACAAAATCTCCTCCCACTTTTTTCAGTAGGGTCGCCAAACCCCGACCGCATCGCCGGATTGACCACTTTGCACCCCTCGCACGTCGCCCGTCATGGCGTCATCTGCCCCGCTCGGATCACTGGACTGCTGTTGCTGCTGCTGCTGCTGGTCGTCGTCCTGCTCTTCCATGGGGTGATGGTGCTGATGGAGCAGGTGAGATCGGTGGTGCTCCAGCAAATTGTTGCTCGTCGTGGGTGTGTACATGGTGATGGTAAGGTCCGACTTCTCCACGACAGGGACAGACGACGCGGACGGGTAAAATGAGACTGCTCCTCCGGCAGAGGGATTGGCTTGGTAGAGGGTCGAGTATGGGGACGAGGTCATCTGCTGGCTCGCCGTGGTTGGGTAGTAGGCTTGGTGGGTGTGGTGGGGATGCGTGTAAAATTGGTGGGTGTGGTGGTGGGATTGACCCATGTAGCCCATTCCGTGGAGGGAGTGGTGATGCTGGAGGGCAGAGGGGCTGGAGGAAGTCATGTGGTGATACGTCGTCCCACCCGAAGATGTGGAAAAGTACTCGGAAGAAGCCATCGCCATGTGGGTGTCGCTGACGGGAATTAGCGCTACGTAAGGAAATATTTATGTGTTGTAGAGGATGGTGGTGAAAGTTGTAAAAATGTACAGGATTTTGAGCTTTTTATACAAGGTTTGGATTTCTGGGGCTGTTACACCCACAAAAAGATGAGAATCTGCGTTGAGAAGATAACAGCGAATCGAAAATGCATGTTTTTTTTTAAGAAATTACCTTTTTATCTTCAAAATATATTGCTTTCGCGATTTTCTTTGCATTTTGACAGTTTATTTCTTTACAAAACCTGTATTTTCGTAAGACTGTTGTATTCTCTGTGAAGATTTTGTGGGTGTAACATCCCCAGAAATCTAACCCTGTGAAGAACTGGGCTCAAAAGCCTCCAGTATTTTCCCCCGTTAGAAATCTTACCCGTGCTGGGATAAGGATCCACCACACCGGCGGATGGGTTGATATCATTGTAAGCGGAGGCAGACTGAGCAAAATTAGTAAATGGGCCGGCTCCCGTGGAGTACGTCGGCCAACTCGTCGTGTCGTAGGTGAGAGCGTTTGGCATTTCTGGAAATGGGGAAAAAGTACGTTGAATTAAAAAAAACAAGGATAAGTAAACAACAATTATTGTAACTGCGCGAACATAATGAAACGTTGACTGGCCACAAAAATGTCAAAATATTTTGACATTTTGACACCAGTACATAATCAATGCAGGGAAAGGTGTGTGTTTAAGGCAAATTTGCTCCAAACAAGTGGACAACGAGGGTTTGAGAATTGTGAAAAATAACTGCATCTGACATTTTGAATTGTTATGCGACCCGAGTTAATAACAATACTGGGTCAGTTTGACATGCGGTCTTTTGCAGTCGACGAGAAGGGTGAAACTTTTACCTGATCCGAAATCTATACGTAGTGAGTGACATGCTAACTACCAACTAAACCAATCAGAAATTGCACCAGGATCTAGAGTGATACCATTGTGACGTGCCTGCATGAAACTAAATTTTGTCCCCTGCTGCTTCACTCACGTCTGGAAATCTCTAAAGTTTCCAGAAGCTAAAGCCGACACGGGATTGTGAAGGAAGGAAGGAAGGAGTAGCCGAGATAATTATACGGTGTGGTCCTGTAATGATTGATAAGTCGGAGGGGGAGAATCTGACCGCAAAACGAGAATAATAAGACAGGGTCAATTGTACGTGTTCCCTTGTTCGTCGTCGTATGTATGTCGTGCGAGGCGAGTTTGACTGTTCATGTTCATGTCATATCAATTACTGGAGAGAAATAGAGACCCAAAATCGGTGAAATAATTATTATTGTGCATTTGGAAGTTTGGGAGTTGTTGAAATTGCATGGGTGCCTTATTTATGTACACTTTACGGAAAATGTAGTTTGCTCGTGAAATGACATTCTGTTTGAAATTGTGTAAATTCAACTGCAAACTTGAGACGATGAACGGTTAAAATTCAGAATAAAAATGCTGTTATCTGGAATTCGGAGAATCGGGTAGAGTACTGACAAAATAAAATCCGGATGTTGTTGAGGTTTCTCTGTATAATTCTAACCTGAATTATGTACAATGCTCCTCTATTAACTCGTTCACATAAGTATTTATTTCACTCATTGGAGTATATTCTGCGTTTAAATTTTTAGCCCAAGTCAGGACTTATGTACCCGTCATGGTTGTTTGTCTGTCTATCTATCGATTACGTTCATAAAACTTCTCCAATAGACGTAAAATTTTTCACGTAGTAGAATATTCAAATTATGAATCAAGTTCTAAAATGCTAAAACTGTTTTTTTAATAAAAAAGTTGTCGTAGTCGTAGTCTGAATTATACCCACCTCAATTATTAACAACAACCTGACTCGAGATAAAGGCTGAGGTTGCACTCTGGGTTTTTAAGGGTAACGTAGAAATATAAAATTGTTCCAAAAATACGAAAGCCATGAATGATCAAGGGCAATGATACGATCCAAAAGTAAGTATCGGTACTGTTTTAAGTATGGTGAATTTCAGCCTGATTGATATTTTTTGTCGCGTCGACGTAGAACAAATTGATGAAAATTACAGGTTCTTATTACTCATCATCAGAGAGGAAGTTAAACTCTCATCGTTCATGCTCAGCCAGCCAATAACACAGATAAACGCAATGCAATATACCCCAACTAAATTCACCTATACCTTTTACATGTACCACCCAGCCCTGTAAAACACATTGTGTTCTCATCCCTATTCCTTCTCTCTCTCGATCACTGGTAAATTATTTTCCCCCAAATTGCCCAATTTAGCCGAGAAATATCAGTACAAAAGTAAGTACTTACTAAAATGCAGGCAACCTAATCAGTGAAAAATCTCCGTCTAAATATTTATCGTCATGTTTTGCAAGTAGTCAAATATCTGTAATCTCCGTCTCCTTCATTTCAATTCAACCCTTCTTGTTGTGCAGTTTATGTATCTTTTTATCAGCAAACACAGTAGCAAATAACAGTGCATATCATCACGATGATGATCATCAGAAGAAACATGTATCACCAATTTTCTCGATAGAAAAAAAAACGGACGCACGTTTTGTTCCCGAACAATATGAGAAGAAGAAGATTTGAGACTAATGTTTCTTTTTCCTTCGGTTCATCTTTAATTTGAGACTTATTTTGTATATAGCATCCCATTTTACATGTAGCTCATCCCTATTACACTCAGTACCTAGCTCTCGGCTTAGGTATAAAATACGTGATAAAATTTTGACTCATTTTCCCACGCAATTTATTCAACACTTGAAGCCTTTCTTTCTTCACGATGTCTGCTCTTCACATCAAAAGGAAGAAGAAGAAGAACATTGTGTGAAGAAATTTGTACAGGTAAACTGACTGAATCGAGATGAAAATGAACCCTGCGATGAAGACGACGACGAAGCTACCGTGAGGTGAGGCTCAAATAATGTGATGAGTTTCTCACTTTAATGAACAAAAAGTAGAGACAGGTTTGGATTATTGGATGGGATTTTTGCCCCTGTACAGTCTCCATGTCGTCACGTGTGTATTTCGGCAGGATGTATGCTTTTATATGAGAAATTGGAGCAAGAAATGTGTCAAAATGCCCCAAAAAACGATTAAAGAAAGGTATTTAGATGATAAGCGATTGTGGAAAAAGGAGCAGTTGGCGAATTTACCATTAGGATTTGAACTAGTGGAAGAAATTGAGGTCGTGGGTGAGAACTTAATGGAGAATCCGGTCGAGTTGTTGTTGTTGGAGGCGGTCGTGGTCGTGGCGTTGGTGGTGCCATACTCGGAGGCAGACTTTCTCCGGTGGAGTTCCAACTCTGGGAAGAAACTGCGCGGTCCCAAGGTCAGGCCACGAAATTGGTGCTGTTGACCTGAATGGATCAAAAGCTACTTTACTCTTACGGTAGGATTTTTGGTATGTGATTTTGTAGGATGACAAATATTTGGGTTCCCATGTTTGGAGAGGAACAGTTATATTTTTGACTTCTCGGCGTGGCAAAAGAATTATGAACGCGTCGCTTTTATGGGTTATTAACACTGAGGAGAGGAGAGAGACAAAAATCTGCAGTTGAAACTAAGCCGTACTTTGTACGGGTTGTAGGATAGACTAAAAATGGAAGTCTCCCAGGGTATGTTCTCAGATTTTGAGCAAGTTAGTGTCAATCGAGGTCAAATAATTAGTATGAAATTTGCAAAGCCACAACCCCCCAATGGGCACGTTTGGCTGAGATATTGCATCTGAAGAGGAGAAAACGCGTCCTAAAATTGACAAATTTTACACTTTCCAAATTTACAGCGCGTTTTCTCCTCTCCGGATGTAAATATCTCGGCCGAACGTGCGAATTTTTGCGAATTTTTGCAAATTTCATAGTAATTTTATTTACAATCGATTGACACTAATTTGCTCAAATTGGGAGAGCATACGCTGGAAGACTTCCATCGTAAGGAGAAGTGACGAATAATAACTTACGAGTTTTAGATCTCGGTTCTCTCGGACCGTCGACCGTCACTTTAATCGCTTTCATGTAACTGGTAACTTGAACTGGTGCCGTTTGAATGGATATCGTCAAAGTGAAGCTTTTCCCTGGAATTGTGTGAATTTTTGTATTGGAGAAAGTAGGAAATTTTGTATGAATTTCTCACCTCTCCCAGATCTCCCTACGAAGCGAAGATCGTTAAATTTCGCCACTTGGTTTTTCATAATTGCGGTCGAATTTCTAATTTCGGCACAAAAATTTTCATCATTTCCAGCCCGGATTGTGACCACCGTACCGTCAATAACTTCACCGAGGGCGATTACCTAAATAAAGATTGGCGAAAGAAGATTTTATGCAAAGTGTTGCAAAATAGCATTTTTTTGCAAAATTATTCGTACTTTAAAAGCGACCGGTAGAGTTTTATTAGATCTCCAGTGAGACGGAAGTAGAGAGCAGAGAAAGTACGGGCTTCCCGTTCTCGTCAATTCGCCCGGGTGTTCCGCCAACGCTAAAGCGAGGGCTTGATCCGTCCACCAGTACTCGTTCTCCGTACCGGACATTTTCCCCAATTTTGGCGTCATAATTACCACTTTTTAACCGATTTTAGACTTACTTGAGACTAAATTACGAACTACGATAAACGCAAACTTTAACTCGCAATCGCACAGACACGTTTCTTCATATCTCGGAGTGAAAAGTGGTCACTTTTTTGATAATGATGATAATTAACAAACCAAACTTTCTTTAAACAAAGTTTTAACGACACAATTAAATAAAATAAATAATCCAATTTGTATTTAGCTTTCACTTTAACTTTCTTTATAATCTCTGCCAACTCGATTTGCCATTAAATACGGATTAGCATGAGGTGGAGGAGGATGTGATCACGGTGGCCGAAAGTGATAGACTGTAGCCAGAAACACAGGGTCGTCGTCGTCGTCCTGTTTAATCCTAATCCTAATCCCACGTAAAACGAGTGGTGCTAATCCAATCCCCTTCTTCCATGCTCAGTATGTAACTAACTAAAATACAACTTTTTATATGTAAGTGTGTACATATTATTCTCAGCCTCTCACTCGATCGACATGATACTTTGTGTACTCTCCTATTGTTGTTTTGTGCTGACTTGTATGTAAAATAATATTCATCTCAAAATCGTCCGAATGTTCAGGTTTCAACGAGAAGACAAAAACTCGGAGTAATTGGGATGATTTTGATGACGGAGATGTATCGATGGCAAAAGATTATGGACTGATTGGTTGCAAATTGCTCAGATCGGTGCGTGTTTCTTTCTTCAGGAAGAAATTGGGATAAAAATCAATCAATAATTTGTTTTAAATTGTGAAACAATTTGAAAAAATTTATTAGACACAATGGTATTTTACGTTGCACTTTACAAAAAAATAAAAACATCAGAATCTTTATTTTAAATCAATAATTCTGTAATGGACGAAATATTTAAGGTCGTCGAAATATGACCAATTAATTTGGATTTTTTTTACTTGTTTGTAACATAAATTGCTTAGATCGGTGCATTTCTTCAGTCAAAAATTGAGATAAAAGCGAATTAATATTTGTTTTAAATTGTCAAACAATTTGAAAAAATAGAAAAAAATAGAATAAAATAGAAGTAAAATTGGAAAAAAATTGAAAAGTTGTGTTTTACAGTACACTCTAAAATCTATTTTAGTTAAATAATTCTATAACCGAAGGAATATTTAACGTCGTCGAAATATGACCATTTAATTTATATTTTTGTGTACACACTTGTTCTTAATTCAAAGACAATCAAAACTTTCAAACTTTAATCTAATAAGTCTGTAATAAAAGGAATATCGAAATATGACCATTTTTCATTGTTTGTAGAAAAACACTTGTCATTCGGAAAAATCAGATTTTTTAAATCAATTCAAATTTTCAGACTATTCAAAATTTCAAATTTTAATTGAAAATTCTACAAAGAAATGAATATTTAGTGGAAAATATGCCCATTCTTCATCTCCTTGCAAAAAAAATAATGTAGGTAGTAGAAGAAGAGGAGAGATTATTACTGTTTCTCGTGGTTAAGTTTCATCTCGAAAAGCATGAAGAAATTTAGTATCTGATTACCTGCAATTTTCACGTTTTAGAATAAAATTATGTGTGAAATTCATGAACTTTGGGTGGCTTTAACTTAAACTATGTATAAAATAAAGGTTGTTTACGTATTATTTTATTTTGCTTGAGCTCATTTCACTGCAGGAGCAGTTTTATGTACATGTTTACTGGGAAATTGGTGGATGGACGTGATGGATTGCCATTTTTTTGTCCTCTCAAACAAACGCAGTCAACGATAATTTGTTGTTCAAAGAAATAATTTAAAAGTAATGTTTCAATTGCGAGAAGAGAGGCAGCTGTGAAAAAAACTGGGCTCACAAATTCATAAAATTTGGCTACGCGCAACCATACATAAAATTGTTTTGTATTGAAATTGTGTGATTGATGATGAGAGAAATTTTTTCTAAAGGGGCAAAACTCGTGGGAATTGGATCACTTAAATTATTACAGATATTTGCTAAACATTAACATGCAGAACGAACTGGGAAGAAAGAATTTCATTGCATATTTTTGTTTCGATAAGTCGTTATCACTTTTACATCCGGTGTGAAGGCGAAAATTTACGGATTTTTTTATTTAGCAACTCGTCTCAATCATGGTATGACAAAGTCTCAATCTGCATATGTATGAAATGGAAAAAGGAAGTGGTTTTTCCATTGCATCATTTTTATCGTAATTATTTTTTATGCTGGATTAATCACATTGAACAAATTAGCAATGATTGCTAATTTGTTTTGTGATAAAGTTAAAATAATGAAAATTATTTAGATGACTGATGAGGAAAATCCTGCAATTTTATTAGTCAACGATTTTCCTTGTGTTCCAATAAATCAGAAGTTATGACAAATTCTGTAATTAATTACTAATAAACAGTGTCGAGTCGACTGTGGAGTGTAATGAGATTAGATTTCTGGAACTAAATATTATGTACTTATAATTTTGTAGACATGCACACATTTACGTAATAAAACGGAAGCCGAGCGAGTATGTTTTAATTTTTTGTACAAATTTCCTTGTTTGCATAAGTAGTTTCTCGTTCCAAATATTTTTAAAAATAATTAGTGACGTAAGATATGCATGCAAATAGGTTGGAAAATTTTGCTGAATGATATATACATGCATGTATTTATTAACAGTTTTCTGGGAATGGTATATTTTTAGGGTTTTTAAAAGGATGATTAATTCCATTTAGCATTTACATACGAAACATACATAATTGTCAAAGCATGCCATTTCAGTGTTGTGTTACAGAAGAGGATATGACGAGGGGAAAGATTTATTGGTTCAGGTGGTTTGGTGACAATGGAGAAAACAGGCTGGGTACATTTGGCAATAATTGATTAATATTGCATACGTGTAATTGTAAATGCATAAAAGAAGACATACGCGTGGAACGATGTGAAGGATATTTCAAGCTATTAAATAAATAAAATCAACTGTGTACACAAGTTGTCTTTTATGGTAGATTTTTTTTAAAACTCTACTCAAGGAAATTATTTCATAGTGTTCAAGTTTTATTAGAAAAAATTGTAAAAATCGATTGGCAAATTTTTTTTGACTAATTGTGCACCAAAATCTTAGCTAAGTTGTAAAAATCGAACTTTCCATATCCAATAAAATTTGCACGTTAATTACAAAACTTGGCTAACTTTCTGCCCCCAAATGTAACCAAATTTGCTACCTGTAGCGATAAAAAGATGTCATGTTACTCATCTCTGTCAGTGAATTGAATGAATGTGGGATTCAGAAAAGCTGGCATGCATGTACATACATACGCTAAACTGATGACTGGTTAGGTTTTGGGGAAAGGATTTCGTCGTCGACATCGACCAATTTTTTCTCACCCGGTTTGTGGTATGGTTATGTTTGGTTTGGTTGGGTTGGGTGTGACCTCTTGGGTCAGTGGTAGGGTCACCCAGTCAAATAAGTGGTCTACCACACACCGCAGTCCCACCAACCACACCTCAGCCACACCACCGACCACGGAGTTTACACTGAAGATTTGTTGCCATTAATCCCGTGAGCCAGGCAGGAGCAGGTACATAAAAGTCATGCATTCATTGACGCAACCAAAACCAATCTCATCTTTCTCATCGTAATAAAATTTACTCTCCTTATGATAAACATTCCCCACTCCTGCTCATTCATGGAGATTAACAAAATCATACCGCAAACTTAAAAAGTTTCATGGAGGAATAAATCAACGTCTCATTTTTGCGAGTGGAATAAGGGTGCATTTTTCGTAGTTGGGATAAATTGTGGGATTTAATGGAATAAATTAATTAACGCCTCATTTTTACCAGTGGGATTTTTCGCATAGATAAACACGATAAATTATGGGATTTTGTGTTAATTCTTAGTAAGTGATTTTCTTATTGATTGGGAGAAAGTTTGAATTTTGCTAATTTTAATAAATCGTTAAAAAAGATTGCAGTGCGATCACAGACTTGAATGATATGATTCAGAAAATGGTATTCACACCTACAAAATTTTTATTATTAAATTAAATTTGAATAATGTTTTATTGACTCCGAAGTAATACAATTCGAGTTAATTTGTGAAAATTCTGGCTAGTCATACAATTTTTAAGAATTTAAGATTACACAAATTTGCTTCAAAATACGATGCATGGAATGATATGTATGAATTATTAATTCCATTAAAATTGAAGGGATTAGGATTTTAGATTTTTTTCCAATTTTTTAAATTTTTTTCCAATTTTTTAAATTTTTGCAAAAATCTGTTTGACGTATACGTAATATCTAAAAAAAATATTTATTAACTGCGTTAAAATTAATAGAATTAAAATTTTAATGACTCCGAAGTCATACAATTTTCAGTTAATGTGCAAAATTTTGTCTAATTTAAAAAAATTATTGAGAGTTTAAATTTGCAAGAAATTTTCACCAAAATATTTTGCATAATGTACTTACAGATAAAAAAAATCTGCTTTACAAAAATGACTGTTGCTCGGGTGGGATATGATATTATTTGGCTTTTTCTCTATTGAATGAAATGAATCTTTAACAGAAAAGTTTACACGTCGAATTTCCCATAAAAATTGGTGATAAAAAGGCAGATGAGAAAGTGGAAGAGAGAAATTGCGTGGCGTAACAGTGTGGCTTTTGTTGTTTGTCGACAAATAAGCTGCACCACCACAGAACAATCCATCCAAAACAGTACAACAATCAAGGCTCAGAGAAGCGTGACGTGAAAAAGGATGACAAATGGTCCAAGAGCCATTCTTGATATACACGCTCCATGCTTCATTAAAAACCGCTTTGGCTCCGTAAAAATCGGTTAAAGATGGTTGAACTGGCGATGGATGAGATAGTTACGTGAAGAAGAAGAAGCAATCTTCCGCAGGAGAAAAGTGATGAGGGACGAACAAGATAAATAAATAAATAAATATGGAAGGCAGACTATTTTTGCAGCTCGATTAAAACGCAACCCAATCCATAAGAAATTGGACACGAGACAATGGTAACGTAGGACTCGATGACTCATCCTCAAAATCAGCATATTTTTAATCATTTCTTTGCTCTGGGAGCAAATCTTAAAATTCTGGATGATAAATTTATAGAGCAAGTGGTAGCAAATTTTGTAAAAAATATACATTCCAGATTTTGACAGTTTTAGAAGGAAATTTCAATTTTAAGAAGCCTTCAATTTGAATTTATCAAAACTGGATTTAAAAACTCGCTGGGATTCTATTAATCAATTTACAGACTACAAATTCGTCGTCCAGAATTTTAAAATAAATTCTCGGATCAGACAAATGATTAAAAATATGTTGATTTTGACGGTTTTGGTGACGAGTCCTACGTACGTTAACAGGTCTTTCAATCTTGATGATGAAGTATTTGGAGCAACTATTTTGCAAAGATAAGATTGATTTCGGCGTTATTCCTACATACGTATTTCTGTATATGTACATATTCTGTGATATTTCATACTCACGTCACACATACATACCGAGTATGGATTTTTACTACTTACATAATTCTCTGATCTCCTCTCATAGGGACAAAAAATACTACAAATAGTGCACACGCTACACAGGTTTGATCTCATGATGCATAGCAAAACATCCAACTCTCGTGATACGAAATGATGACCTTGTTGTCTTCACTGTTGTGTTTGTTTGTTGTACACTTTAGAAGAATGACGGAGTCAATATTAAGCTAGATAAATACGAACTGATAGCCGCACAAAATAAATTCATATAACGCAAACGGCAACATACTGATGACTGATAAGCAGTGAAATAAACAAGTTATGTACATATGTATGCGTCATGTGTCATGTGTATGTAATTTATATATAACTAACGTCCTCCAAACTGTGTAGCACTTGACTCTGATTATTAGAAGTTAGTTCTCTTCTGCATTGCATCGAGTCTGAAAAGAAAAAAATAAGTCGGATAGAAAAATGTGGATTGAAATCTTATTATTCGTCGCACTTTTGGTGTACACCTTTTGGAACGTGTTATTTGGGGTTCGACCGAAAAATTATCCGCCAGGTAGACACATAAATAAATTTCTTGAGGTAAAGTGTCGAGATTTATGTATGTGCATGATTTTTGTGTTGATCAGGTCCTTTAAGACTTCCAATCGTGGGGAGTTTGCCATTTTTGGGGACGAACCCACTAAATACACTCACAAAATGGAAAGAAACTTATGGAAATGTAATTGGGTTGAGATTTGGAGACTTTAAGTGAGTCACGACATGATTATTTTATGGAGGGTTTCGCTGTGGTTTTAAAATCTTATATTAATTTTGAGCGTTTTTGGATATTACATAATGTAATATGTATATGCATAGATTGTAAAGATTGTAAAATTCCAGTGAAGCCAACCTTATTAGGACCCTTACGAATCTGAATGTAACCTAAAATTTTACGCTCAAATAACACTATAAATGCTACTCTAACCAAAACCCCAACCACTAAAAATAAATAAGAAAAAATTATTATAAATAAATTTAAAAACACTACTAAGTAAAATTTAATTTTATATAAAGATTCTAAATCAATTGCACTAATCTGCCAACTTAGTAAATAAATAATTTAATGCTTAATCCTTTCGTACTAAAACACTAAAATTAAACTAAAAGATAGAAACCAACCTGGCTCACACCGGTTTGAACTCAAATCATGTAAAAATTTAATGGTCGAACAGACCATCTAATAAAAATGCTGCCCCTCAAAGAATTTTTAATTCAACATCGAGGTCGCAATCTAAAGTGTCGATAAGAACTCTCAACTTTAATAACGCTGTTATCCCTAAGGTAACTTCTATTAAATTTTATACTAAAAGTTAATTAATTAAATAAAATTTATTAATAAGAAGTTAATTTTATTCTTTTATTGCCCCAATAAAATATACAACCTGGTTATTAACTAATAAAAATTTTAATACTTAACAGAATACATATATAAAGCTCTATAGGGTCTTATCGTCTAATTAGTCATTTAAGCATTTTCACTTAAAATTTTATTTCAATATATTTAAATAAATAAAACAAAGCCACGTTCAACCATTCATACAATCCTCTAATTAAAAGGCTAGTGATTATGCTACCTTTGCACGGTCATAATACCGCGGCCCTTAAATTTTCAGTGGGCAGGTTATACTTTTTATTTTATAAAAAAGAAATGTTTTTGTTAAACAATCGTGACTTAATTTGTCGAATTAATTTATTTTTATTTATTATATTTTTAATTTATTTAAAAAAAATTCTACTAATTGAATAATTATTAATAAATTTTATTAATTTAAACCGACAAATAAAATATAACTAAACTTTTTTTAAAAATCCCATTAAATTAGTTATTAAATTAAACTTATTATATTAAAGCTGTTCTTAAGCGAAAATTTAACTAAATAATATATAAAGATATAGATAACTAAATTAAGAGATAGCCCCCTTAAATTTAACAATCAATTAATTAAAATATATTTTTAAAACTCAATCAATAATACTATGATAGCAAGGATAAACCTTTTTAATTTAACTAGATATAAAATAAATCGAATAAAATCTCAATTCTATAAATAATTTTTAATGTTAATTCAACAACAAATACAAAATAATTTATTACTCTTTATTTTTCGAGAAAATTTTATAAAAAATTAATTAAACTCACACTAATACAAAAGGTACCTTTTGAGTACTTTTAAAATTTTTTATATTTAATGTTATTTCAACTTCCCCCTACGGACTTTATAAAATTAAATTTTCTTTACCATACTAAAAAATTAATTAAATTAAAAAGTTATAATTTTAAAAATCATAATATTAGAGTCAATTCTAAATAAGCTCAGTGTAAATGAAATGCTTTACTTAAGCTATATTACATTAATCAAGATCCTCCTTCCGGAAAATCTACTTTGTTACGACTTATCTAATTTTATAACTAGAGCGACGGGCGATATGTACATATTTTAGAGCTAAATTCAATTTTATTAACATAAAATTACTCTTAAATCCAATTTATCTATAATTACCAAATATAAAACCATTATTTAAATAAATGTAACCCATTGAACCATTAAAATTCTACACCTTGATTTGACTTAAATCGTATAAAAATTTTAGAAAAAACTTACAAATTAATTCTTAAGACAACGGTATATAAGAAAATTTAATGTTAATTATAGTGTAGTATCTTTTAACTAACAGGTTCCTCTAATAAGAATAAAATACCGCCAAATTCTTTAGGTTTTAAAAATTACTACCTTAGATATTTTATAAAATAAATAACTGGGTATCTAATCCAGGTCTTTTAATTAAAGTTTTAATTAAAATATAGGTTTACATAAAATAAAACTCAATTTCACCTAATTTTTTACTGTAAATAACTTTTATATTAAATTTTCTAAGAAGATTTATTAAACCGTAAGGTATAGCCGCGAATGCTGGCACAAAATTTATTCAGAATTTACATAAATTTTTATGCCTAAATTAGTTTCATAATATAAAATACTGCCCTATTACATGTATAAAATTTATAAAATAAATCATTAAGCTAAAATCAAACTTTTCTGCCCAAAGTATAAACCCCCATATTTTTTTAACTATTTTTTTAAGCATAATAGTTAAAAAAATATTATATTAAATATTTTTATATATATATGTAGATTTATATATATAATAAATTTAAACATATTATTATAGCCTTAATTGATTGGTTATTTTAGATTGATCTTTGATTATTTATTCGTTAATTTTTATTATTAATTTTAAGTATATTGATGGTTACGTTATTTTTTTTTTTTATACATATAAAATATGTATATATATATAGATATTTTTATTTAATAATAAATATATATATTTATGCATATGTATATACTAATATATCATATAAATAAATATATATAAATATATATATATATATATATAATTAACCATACATATGCATATAATTAATATATATATATATATATATATATATATATATATTGCTACACATAACCTCATTAACGCAAAAAAAACATTAGAACATCTTATAATGTACTAAGAAAAAATTAATAATGTGCCTGAAAAAAGGGCTATTTTGATAGAATAGATCATGTATTTGTACCTTTATTTATAAATAATAGAATTGCACTATTTCTGTTAAATTCAAAATTTAATGTTCATTTAAACTAATTTATAAATTTTACGAGCCTAGCCAACCACACACAATTAATATAAAGGTAAGCTAAATAAGCTAAAGGGTTCATACCCCTTCTATAAGAGTCAAATCTCTTCCTTTTTAATGTTCTTTAAAAATTATCAATTAACATTTATAACCACTACATTTTTAGGCACTTTAATGGCAGTATCGTCCAACTCATGAATTCTTTGTTGAATCGGCCTAGAAATTAACCTAATAAGATTTATCCCTTTAATTTTAAGAGACCTTAATTTTAAATCTACAGAGACAGCAATCAAATATTTTTTAACCCAGGCGGTCGCTTCTGTCATTTTAATTACAGCTGCATCCTTTACAGCCCTTCAAATAAAAAATTATTACTTAGAAAGAATAAACTTTTTTTTATTTTTAGCCCTGTCTATCAAAGCAGGCCTAGCCCCCTTCCACATCTGATTTCCTCAAGTTACTGAATTCATCTCTTGATTTAAATGTTTTATCATCTTCACCTGACAAAAAATTGCCCCATTCATATTAATTATTAATTTTAATATCAGTGTGTTTACTTATTTTATTATTATTATATCAGCAACTGCTGGCGCAGTTGGAGGACTAAACCAAATAAGTAGAAAAATTCTATTAACCTATTCTTCGATTTCACACTCAGCGTGAATACTCATACTAGCCTCTTTGTCTTTAAAATTTTGAACTTTTTATTTTTTAATTTATTTTTTTGTTTTATCACCAATCATTTTCGTTATAAATTTTTTAAATTTTAAAAAAATTAAAGAAATTAATTCCTCTAAGATTAATCTTAAAACGAAATTAATACTAAGAACTCTAATTATATCACTTGGGGGGCTCCCCCCGTTCTTAGGGTTTTTAAGAAAATTAATCGCCTTAACAGTAGCTGTAAAAACTTTCCCCATAGTAATTATAATTACATTGGTTGCGTCTTCTTTAGTTTCACTTTATTTTTACACTAAAATATTTTTTAATTCTTTAACAGCTAGCCTCCCTGAAAAAAAAATCTCATCGAGTAACAAAAAAATTAATAAATTCATCATTTTCTCCCTAACCGGAAATTTAATTTTATCTACGCATAGATTGGCCAAAAATCGAACTTGTAACATTTTGTCCCATTTTCCAATGTTGAATGCTTTTGCACATTTTGGGCGTACAGAATTTTTTTGACTGTTTTAGACGCTTTTGAATGGTAGCCGGTCCAAAAGTAGTTTTGGACGCCCAAATTGTTCAAAACGAAACACTAATTTTATTGGGAAACTGCTTATAAATTGAATTTTATCAGTGTGGTCGTGCTGAGCGGATATGAAACGATAAAGGAAGCGTATGATAAGCCCGAATTCAGCGGTCGTCCCTCCCTCGGCCCCATTCTGCTTATCGCTGGGAAGGAAAAAAGAGGTCTCGTGGCGTCCGAAGGGCCCCACTGGTCGGAACAGAGACGTTTTGCACTTCGGAACTTGAGAGATTTCGGTTTCGGTAAAAAATCGATGGAAATTGGAATTCAAGAAGATGTGACAGATTTGATAAGCAAGCTTAAAAGGCAAAACGGGAGTCCTATCACGACGGAGAGAATGCTCAGTTTGGTTGTCCTCAGCTCCCTGTGGAGTATCGTGGCTGGGGAAAAGATGTCCATCGATGACCCCAAAGCCACCGAACTGCTCAACACTTTTAACGCGTAATAAATAATGAAACGCCACAAATAATTAGATTATGTAAATTAGGACTAAATTGATGTATATATTTTGAAAAAGTGTAATCTCAACAACTTCCATTGCCGGTCCGACCTTTTTCATGCCGTGGATTGCAAAACTAGCCCCGAAAATGACTGGTTGGTCAAGTTTCGAATCTGCAATTATTTTGATAAAAGGTTTCATGAGGGGAAAAATCCAAGAGCATAAGGATTCTCACGTGGAAAACAATCCGAGAGATTACATGGACGTTTATTTGGATGAGATGAAGTCGACGAAAGACTCGACGTCATCATTTTATGGGAAAGCTGGAGGTTTGTGATTTTAATTTATAATTATTAATTAAGCTGGTTTATATTATCGCTTTGTCCCTCCGTCTGCGAGGAGGATATTCTCAGAACGCCTCAATATAATCAAACGCCGTTTTCTTCATTGTGCTTTTAATTCTTGACCCTGGTTCGAGCTTGAAAATGGGGGTTTGACCCTGTCAAGGTGACGCTGGCGCCAGGTCAAACGCCAAATTGTACCCTAATTTTCATATGTGGTGTCATTTTATGTTGATTAAATAGTTGATTAAATAGTTAACTTTTTAATTTATTTATGACTACGTAGAGGAGCACATGTTGGTTGGAATGATAAACTTATTCGGAGCGGGTGCCGAGACTACGTCGAACACTTTGAATTGGTCGTTTTATTTCCTTGCGGAGAACCAGCAAGTGCAGAAAAGGATGCAGGAAGAGCTGGACGCCGTCGTGGGAAGAAATCGGCTTCCGTCGTTGGAAGACAAAAATAAGTAAGGGAGGCAATGATCATACATACAACATATTTACGAAAAAAGAGAAACAATTAGAAATTTCGGGACTTTGTCGTCAAAAACTTGTAAATTTTTGTAGTTTGTTTTCTAACAAAAGTTTCCGTTTAAAAAATCGTCTAAATATTGATTGACGAAATTGTTTTCTAATTAAAACAAAATGAGCATTTTTGGCGGCAGAAAATTCATTTCCTTTTACGTTATGACTCTGAACAAAATTTTTCAATATTTATAATATTCAAGTACTTTCCAAAATATAGAATAAATTAGGAAGGAGAAGGGCTCACTTTTGTAGTACATCGAGGGTCAAGATTAGGCCATTTTGTCTGAGCATCATACTTCCTAAATATACAAATTTTGCACGTTCTTTTGGCCATTTTGTAAAAAAATACATTTTAGGAAATATTAAAGTTTTGTTAAAAAAATAAACTGCATTTTTTCTGAATTTTCTAAATGATCAAGAAAAATCTAAGGTGGTCAAAATGCTCAAGAAATTTTTGCAGCCTACTTTTACACAAAACGTTATCCGTCTAAATATTGGCGAAATTTATACAGTTTTTTTTACAAAACCAAAATTATTTGTAAAATATTTAGGAAAACTCTGAAATTTTGGAAATGTTTAAAAATTTTGTCAAGCGTCATCAAAACAAGAAAAAGCTTCAAATACCTTAAATAGATATCTGCCCTAAAAATTTAATTATTATGGAAATGGCGTTGAGCAAAACAAAATTATAATTTTATTTAGAATGGTATACACGGAGGCTGTAATGCAAGAAATATTTCGAAAATCGTCCATAATTCCGTTTGGTGTGTTTCACAATTTGATGGAAACGGTGACCTTTCAAGGATACGAGATTCCCAAAAATACCGCTGTAATGAGCAACATTTATGAAGTTCATCACGATCCGAAAACCTGGGGTTAGGAAGCATTTGAGTTATTAAAATTCTAAGACTCCATTTAACGTAAACGCAGGACTCGATGACTCATGTCGAAAATCGTCAAAATATTAATCATTTCTCGCCTCTGGGAATTTGTCGTCCAGAATTTTAAAATAAATACATTCCCACAGCGGAGAAATGATTAAAAATAGGCTGATTTTGGCGTTGAGTCGTCGAGTCCTTCGACGTTTTCCGAGTTAAATAACAACAAATTAATAATTAATTTGCAGGAGATCCTGAAGTCTTCCGACCAGAACGATTTCTCAGCTCGGATCACAAAAGTGTGATCAAAGCTGGCCCAGTGATTCCGTTTTTGATTGGAAAACGGTCTTGTTTAGGCGAAACGCTAGCCCGAGTAACTTTTTACCTCGTTCTGACCGGAGTTGTACAACGTTTCCGGATATCTTTCGACCCCAATACGAAAATTGAAGATAAGGGGATTCCATCCTTGATTAGGTTCCCTCCGAAAAATAAGCTGATCTTTGAAAACCGTTATGATTAGGGTAATTAATTACAGAATTAATTACATTTACCTCAGTAAATTTTAGGGGCATGTCCCGACTAAAAAATTCGTCAGGGATAAGTTTCCGGCAAGTATTCTGTGCGGAAATTCCGAAAAAATCCATTTTACTTGAGTTTTTCAAGAGAATCCTGTAAAAATTCTGGCTTATCATATACTTATTTACATAATTATGTTGGTCACATTGTCCAAAATTGCGGCAGAAAAAGTGGAATAATTTTTTTAAATTTCGGTGGTTTACATTTATTTATATACGATAATTTTATGCACCAATTATTAAAAAATTATTAATTACATAAAAACAAATTTGTCTAATAAAACACGTATTTTCAATGAAATCCTTTTTGATCACTTTTCCTCTAAAAGCATAAGCCACGCGTCTTTTCAGACTTTACGGCACTTTACGACAAAGTCGTCATCTTGAGTACAAGCGCAGATTAAAAATTTGAAAGGGATGTAGATGAAGAGACCCTTTCGACGCTGGACGCCCCCCTGATGACTTCTCGACTCCTGGCGAGGCGAATTTCGAAATTGAGCATAAGTTTTGGTGTAGTTATTAGTTCGCATCGTATTTTCGAATGAGATTCCCAGCAGAATTGTTCTAATTCAAATTATTTTTTAAATAAATCACGAATAATTTCTTGCATACTGCCGTATGTCAGTTTCGATCAATTATAAAGTCGTTACGTTATGTCCCCTTATCATCTCGTGATAGATATGGATTTAGACATTTGACTTATCTAACTGATTGATGAGGGATATTAGTTAATTGGTTAAGGTACACACTCTTGAGTGACGCTAACTTTAACGTATGAAAAGATGTGGCTATTTCTGCGAGTGCAATAAAGTATTGTTTGTGACCGTTGAATGAGATAAAGCTTTTAACTGCACAGAACGCTTTCAGTGTCAGTTCAGTATTCAGCCAGGACGAAGATGGGATTCGATAAGAGTTTTCTTTGTGCTTCAATAATTGCTCAACTTGTACTAGTTACAGTTTGTCAGCAAAATCCCGTCTTTCCAGGATGGTATGCCGACCCCGAGGCGATTATCTATGGAAATACGTACTGGATATATCCCACCTATTCATCCACGGAGCAGCTGCATTTTGATGCATTTTCCTCCCCTGACCTTGTCACGTGGACCAGACACTGGCGAATTATTACCAACTCGGAGGTAACATGGGCGAGATATTCGATGTGGGCACCTTCCGTATTTTCTCATTTGGGAAAGGTACATATATCAGTTGCATGCATATGTAAATAGTCAAGTTAACGTAGGACTCGATGACTTGTCACCAAAATCAACACATTTTTAATCATTTTTCGGCTCCGGGAATTTGTTTTAAAAAATAAAATTTAAAATAGAGCAAATCGTTGCTAATTTTTTAAGAATTTCGCTTCAGATTTTGACACTTTTTGAAGGAGGGGATCTCAAGTTTATGAAGCCTTCAGAAAAATTGGAACTCATCGAAATTAGTCCAAAATGCTCACCACGATTCCATTAATCAACTTGCTGGCGTCCAGAATATTAAAATAAATTCTCAAAACCGAGAAATGATTAAGAATGTGCTTATCTTGACGGTTTTGATAATGCGTTATCGAGTCATACTTTAATTGACAACGACAATTAATCATAGTTTACTAGGTATATAATTCTTCCTCTTCCACAGTACTACTTTCTCTTCAGTGCGAATGCAATCAACAGTGAAGATGAGTTGGGTGGTATCGGGGTCGCAATTTCGGATTTTCCTCAAGGACCATACCGAGACTTGTTGGGACGTCCATTGATCAATGCAATCGCCAATGGAGCACAACCCATTGACCAATTCGTCTTTAAAGATGTAGACGACACGTTCTACATGTTTTACGGGCTGGAGTCACTGCAATTTGGTAAAGCTGAACAGCAACTTTACTGGATTACTTCCTCTAGACGAGGATGGCACAATTTATAAAGAAGTAACTCCAGAAGGTAGAGAGAGAAATTAGACCTTTAGCGATCCGTAGCCGCGGAAGCCGTGGGGGCATGAGAGGGAGGGGTTTATATATGAGCATATGATGGGGACATCGAATAACCGTGGGGACATTGTCCCTCTGTCCCCACGTTTCCGTGGCCAAAATGCATTAATTTGTATGATTTAGGATTAGTATATGTGTACAGTATATGTGTATGTGTATGTATGTATGTATGTATATGTGTATACATATCAGAATTTGTTTCTGAATAAGGATACGTGGAAGGCCCATTCATGTTTAGAAGGAACGGGACGTACTATTTCATGTGGTCAGAGGGCGGCTGGGGAGGACCCGATTATCGTGTAGCTTATGCAAAATCTTCTTCCGTTTTCGGACCATTTGTTCGTGAACGAACAATTCTGGAACAGGTACATATATGAAATACGTATCTATGCGTATTCTTAATTCGTAATAGGAATTTCATGTTAAGCTACATATTGGTATATTTGTATAAAATTTGTGCTGTGTAGGATCCCAACATTGCGACGGGTGCCGGTCACCACTCGGTTATCAATCCACCAGGGACTGACGACTGGTACATTGTGTACCACCGACGACCTTTGAGTGAAACGGATGCCAACCATCGAGTTACGTGTATTGACCGAATGTTTTTTGACGACCAAGGAAATATTCTGCCTGTGCAAATGACCAATGAAGGCGTAACTGGGCCGATATTACCGTGATAACATTTAAAGTGTATACATACTTATGCATATTTTTGGAATGAGGGAGTATTGAATTACCATGATTTATGTATTACTATTACTGTAAATAAATCACAAATGCATAACGTATGGTTTTATTCACAAGACTAATAGCATTAAATAAAGGAACTCATGATTAAAGGATAATATGATAATCAAGGGGCGTATATGTATTTATTTTTATCTTTTTCGTTTGATGACGACCGACCGTAAAACTTTCTGCGTGTTTTCCCCAACTCCCATAGGTCAAAACATTTAAAAATATTTCCACATATTGTCACATACTTATGCATGAAGCTACAAACAAATACAAATATATGAAATAGTTTGTGGCAAATTTTTCAGTGGTAATTCTCTACAAAAATTCATTATATTGAGTTTCTCTGAACTAATCTAGCTTATCATACTTAAGTCAGTTACATTGTGCAAAATTCTTCCAGAAATTTTAAATTGAGGTGCTTTACTTTTATTCATATACATTAGTTTTGTGCATAAACTATCAAATAATCAATAATGTTCCGTTAGTATACAATTAATTAATACTCGTGTTCTTCTCGTCCCAATGAAATCCTCTTGATCACATTTCCTCTAAAAGCATAAGCCACGCATCTTTCCAGACTTTCTTAGCGGCGACATGTTTCAAAGTGTCGTCGTCCTGAATACAAGTGCAAATTGACAATTTGAAGAGGATGTAGGTGAAGAGACCCTTCTGACGCTGGACGTCCCCCTGATGACTTCGTCTCGACTGGTACACCTCCTTCGCGAGACGTACGAGCGTGTTATATTGTCCTTTTAATCGCGTGTCTCGAGGGCTTTGCTGTTTCGTGGCGATGAGCAATTCACAAATTCGCTTAATTGCACCAGTGTAACCTATTGGACCTCCGGAAATTAATAAACCTGGAATTTCAGTCCAGTTGATGCGACCTAAGAATTCAAATTATTTTGAAAAAATTAATTATTTTAATTCTGTTGTAAAATTACTGACAATTTTTTTGTTACCGTTCGGACTATATTGCAATAATTCATTGTACTTTCTCAGCCACTGTGTTCCTTGGTGTTTATCTAGGATTTTGAATGCAGTGAGGAAGAAATTCTGCTCTGTGGGTGTGGGCATATTTTATCTAAATTGTAATTTTTCTTCACCGGAATAAATTACTGGAAGGTGAAAAATTGCAATTTTTAACTACACTGCTTAATAAAACAGGTGATGTTCAATTTTTGCAATTTGCGGAACCTTTGTGCAAAATATTACATGCACAGCACTAACTAACCAGCAGCACGGTGCATATTTGTATACGTTTGTATCTATCTTACGTATCTAGATTACGTGTGCAATGCAAATCCTTTGTATTATGCGCAATATATTCTTATTTTACTTGTGCATGGTTTTTGCTAGCTGTAAATTGATGAAGATTGTGCATGGATGAAATTGAGTCGAATCAAGGTCAGAAGCGAGTGACATGAAATGGGAAACAAGCCATTTAACGTAATTATTGAAATATTGCATGAAACCAAAAAGATGTAATTCTATAAATCAGGAAAAATTCTCAAAAATTTTTGAATTTGACCATGCAAAATGCAATTTTTTGCAATTACTTGTCAGTCTCAAATAGAGTAAAAAAAATGTTACGCTTCTTCAATTAGTTATAAAACTGGAAATTCTTATTTTTGAAATACTCATTAAAATTCATTAAATAATTATTACTTATTTTTGGTTGGTTTAATTACAAGTGCCGTGATTTATAAGATTGGTAAAAGTAAGATAAGTTAGGATGGTCGAATTTGAGACAAATAAACAAATCCAATGTAAAAGTTTGATGCCAGAAATGATTTTATTTGTATAAATCGATATGATTCGGGTAGGCTCTATTTTAGTTTGGTTGCATTCAGTTCGGATATGAAGATTGGCAACACAGCATACAAGAAAAACAGCTTTTTCAGCATTGCAACTATTACCATTTGCAAGTGCAAAGCGTAAATTTTACTGAATAATTAATTGTTTGAGTCATTAATTGACGTTATAATAAATTTATAATATAAATATCACATTGTTTGGACTTTTGCTGCATCTGGAAGTATTAGAGATATAGAAGAAAGGAAGTTGTGCCATTTTTATTTATGTAAGTTTTTATAAACAAACGTTTTTGTTATTGTTAGAAAACGTTGCAGCTTTGGCCTGGTCTCAAGCTGGGCAATTAATTAATTAGTTCTGCAATTAATATTAATTATTGTGATTGATTAACCATATTTTTGTAACGTTTGCTGTGTGGACGAGTTTATTGTAACAATGATTGCGAATTAATTCAACACAATTTCTTTCAGAAATCGAAACCGGATGACAAACACTTGTGAAAGTCGCTTTCGAAGGTGGTCAGCTCGTGTGGATGGAACAAGGACGAGGAGGAACGGACCATCTTCTTCCCTTGAGGTTCCTGACGTTGGAACCTTCCTGTCTCCGACTGCTGCCTTGAGCCCGTGCCGTAATTGCGTGGGCGTAGGTGGGACCAATACAAATTTTTGATAGATTAGATAGATGCGAGTTAACCTAATAATTTAAATTATTTCAGTCCGTCGCCGACTAGTAGGAGATCTAAGATTCGTAGTGAAACATCGACAAGGAGGAGGAAATTATGGCATTATCAAAGTTCGACGAGGCCTGGGCAATTTTGGGGTTGAACCATCGCCAAGATGTAAAAATTTGACTTATTTATTAACAAATAGTGAACAATTGAAATTAATTAATAATTGAGAATGCAAGTTAATTAATAATTTAATTACTTTTAGGTCCTTGAAGCAATTTTTCGCGTCTCTGACTTAAAGTCTCTAAAACGATTCCGTCTCGTGTGCCACCTTTGGAACAAAGAAGTCCTACGCATTCTTCCAGAAAAATCGTACATTCGGACCAGCCGGGGATCCCTTTTCTTTCTCTACTCGACCCTCGAAACTTGTCCTACCCCACAATATTTCCTTACAACTTTGGAAATTCACTTTTCTGATTCTGGGATGAATAATATACTGAAAGAAATCCTGGAAAAGTATGGCCACCACTTGAAACATTTGCGATGTGCGGGAGATATTCGAGAAAATAGTATCAGCGTCGTGGAAAGAAACCGAAACGGGAACAATATACTTGATACATCGCCAGATGATCGCTCCCATATTCGCACAAATATTCAGATAACGTCCAACATGTTGACGGTATGGTGCCCAAATCTGACGTCTGTTCGGTTCTCGACCTCCATTCGAATACCCGATTGTTGTCCGACGATTGATTTGACGAATAAATCTGTAAAACCGATCGGCGGAGGAAACAACGGTAATGGAAATGGAAATCTCGTCAGTATAAGTCGCACCTCTCCGCCACCACCATCAGCTCTTCCTCTGCGCCTTACCAGTATTGAACTGGATGGCTATATGATCTCTTCTCTTCGCACTTACTGCCTTCAACTGCTCCACGTATCCCCTTATTTGACCAGATTGTCAATCACTTTTGGATTAAAGTTCGCCAAGGGTTTGCCAATCTGGGAACCATTACCGGAAGTCATTACTTTCTTCACAGAGCTTAAAAAGAAACCGGAAATAACGCGGAGATTGAAAGAATTTTGCGCGATTGGGTTAAAAGTTGCCCAGTTGACGGATGTAATTGCAGACTTGGAGTTTTCATCAGACCTCCTGCAAGGAATTGGAATCAGTGGAGCGACAAATGTTTCGGACCCAGAGTTTCCCAAATTTGTCACATTCCTGGAAAAGTTGTCAACATTTCAAAATTTGGGGAAGCTGACGATTTTCAAATGCTCATGTGCCTACTGCGAGTGGCGAAATTGGAGGGAAAAACCACGTTGGAGGGATATCGAACAAACGATTCCTGTTATGAGGAATGTCAAACATTTGGAAATTGCGACGAATGGAACGCATGGAATTGCTTCGTTATCCTTGCTAAATAGATTTCCTTCGCTGGACACGCTGGAGTTTTCCTTGTGTCGAGTAGGCCACGAAAATCCTGACCATCACATCGACAATGCAGCCGATTACGTGGATTTCGACTATTTCATGGCTGAATGGGTGTATCTCAGAATGACGGCGAAATATGGCGACTTGCTGAAAGCGAATTGTCAAAGTATCAAAAGCTTGACGATTCATCACACCCTTTTCCGACTGGAATCTCTGAAATGCATTCAGGAGGCATTTCCAAACCTGAGAAAATTGAGTATCTCAATCCGAAGTGGGGTCACGTATTGCTGGGAGGTTTACATGGAGTCGAAACTTTCACTTTCGTCGTGTTTGGAAGTTCTTGCCAAGCTTCCACGGTTGGAGGAATTGTACGTCATGATGCCGACGGGAGTAATCTATCCTCAGCAGGAAGTCAGTCGAGCTATTAAAATCCTGCGAGAATTTCCAGGTACACAAAATATGATACGTATTTATTTTCATCTTTTCAAGACGAAATTTTATTGCTCAAATAAATTCGACCGCAAAAAATCAAGAGCATTATATTCAGAAATACACATTTTGCGGAAATTTTATATTTATTTCTGGAATTTTTCGTAAACACATATCTGCCCTTTGATCATGAGTTATAATAATTAGTTGAAAATTTAATTATTTTATTCTAATTAATTATTGTAATGTCTGCATTTAGAGCTTCGTCGTTTCAATGTCGCATTGGGACCACCAGGTCACTCACGCCGAGCCCCGTTTCGATCTCGTGACGCATCTGACTCGTCAGTTCGTGACCTCTTCTCTGATTTCGTCCTGAACCGGGAAACCCACTTATTCCGCTCTTTGACAATCACATTTCGAGGAATTTGCTGCTGCAAAGTTACTCAACCAGACTTAGCGGACATTCGAAAAGTGCTGTCCTCCTACAAGCAAAGTTATCGATTTAATTGGTGCTGCCATCGGTGTGCTCGGATTCTTGCAAGATATGGAAACAAGCGCTATGAGTATTCTCCCGTCGTAAAATTCGACAATAATAATGCTAATTCTCAACCCATTTGTGAATCTAGTCATTATTCTGTGGATATTGATGCGCTATCTATTGTATAAATTGTTGTCATTCTAGTTTTACGAGGTTACACAATTCTTATTACAACTTTGTTATAAAGAGAGACGTGGCCATTAAATTTTTAAGTTATTGTACTATACTAGTAGCTATTCTCGACTGAATTGAGTAAAATATTGCCACGAACAGAGTTGTTCAGAAATCTGTGATTTCAATTTTGTACTTTATACATAATTGAAATGTTTCACTGTCACATCGATTTGATAAGCTTGTCATGCTATTTAAATATGCAGACTTTGCCGTTTCTTTAAATGGTAATAAGTATAAATTTCCATGTTGTATTATTATTAACCTTTTCTTGTACTCATTGTTTTGCTCTGTCATTGAATTTTGAGTCCCTAAATTTTTACCTGTATTTTTACGTATTGCAATTACAAAGGTGTATTTCTCCTGTTATATTTTATATCATGCAAAATTTTCATGAAAATTGTAATTCATAACTATTCTCTGTTATGCTAAAAGTTGTATTTTTTCCACATTTTATTTTTTATATCTTTGATATTTACTTGTATTTTAAAAAAATTAAACGTAATAAACTGAAGTCTGTATCTGTGATTTGTGGCTTCCGTGTTAAAAAGTATGACGCATTTGTACATGTCCTTGGAAGTTCAATGCCTTGGATGAGAAGGAAGGGTTGTGAGTGATTTCAACCCTTCATCTCACACCTGCTACACATAATTGCATTTTTGAAGGTCAGTTATTCGATTCGGTGTACCCTTCTTCTTCATTCCTGAATCCTTTGTTAGTCGATTGGAAATCCCATTCGGAATAAGACGCAGGAATTCTCACCTTCCCAATTTTTTTGTGATCTCAATTTGGAAGCTTTGAAAATTTGAGAATGTGGAAGTTTTTAATAATTACTATTATCGCTTTGAATTTATTCCATTGTTGTAATGGGTACAGTGGTGGTGCACCCGACTCGAGATGCGGCACCATGGTTCCAGGTCATTGGGTGAGCCCGCAAACGACGCCGTCCCCCTTTCACATCCTGCTGAGCAGTGATTCCGTCCAAGAAGGCGACAGCTTGACGATCAATCTGACATCCTCCAAGAATCAGCAAGGATTTAAAGGTGAAATTTATTTATCGTTTCTTCCGGGTTTTCCTACATTTCTTGCACTGCAAAGAAACGTAAGAAATGTGAGGTGCAAGAAACTGAAAGAAATATGCGTCGTCGAGCCACACGCCGTATGAACTACAGCGTCCGGGAGTAGTTTTTTGCTCATTGCATTTCTTGCAGGTCAAAATAGCTGCAAAAAAACCTCTTCATGCCGTTACTTGCACTCTTCACCATCACTCGACTAAATGCATGCCAATATTTTTTAGGATTCCTTATTCAAGTAAAACGCCCAGGTGAACAAGATGCCAAGAATTTCGGAACTTTTGACACCATCGGATCCGACAATTTCCAAAGTCAACCTGTCAACTGTTTCGGGCATGAAAATAGTGCCATGACTCATAAAGATCCAGTTGAGAAACACTTTGTCAATTTGGTTTGGATTGCTCCGATTGTGGAAAATGGGGACGATGGCGTTTATGAAGTCAGGTTACAGAAATCTATGTAAATAATTGTGTGGGGAAAAATGAGGAAATTTTAACTTGAATTTTAATGCATGAGCAGGGTAACGTTTGTACAAAATTTTTGGACAATTTGGCCGAATCAAACGCCAGAGAAGTTGATACGAGTAACGAGAAAAAAACGAGACATGATGACTCCAATTAATACACCTGACAAAACTGAAAATGGCATCAATACCACGTCCACGTCTACGTCCCCTCCATCCCCAGTTTCCATATTCGTTATTCCCCAACTTCGCGACGCGGATGCCCAGCCGACTGTAAAAAACACGAGCGCAAATAACTATAATAATTTGCAAGGAAGCTGGGATTACTTTAAAAAGTCTTGGATGAGTTTTTTGAATTATTTCGGATTTTGAAAATTGGATTCTTGAATTGATTGCATCTACGACTGGGACATAGACTAATAAAGTTATTAATCTATTTGTACTTATTGATAAAAATGTCGATAAGTCAACTGGGTCCATGCATAATGATGACTCATAAATAAATAGTCGTAATACTTTCTGTGTACATACTCTGACAACGCAAATAAAAGAAACCTAGCAGAAAATATCATCCTTCGGGGAGCGTCAGTGTTTCGTGTCTTGCGAATTTGCTACAGATTTTTCTGTACTGCACAACAAGATAAGCAAGAAATGCAAGGTGCAAGAAACTGCAAGAAACTGCAAGAAATCTAGCCCTATGAAGGAATAGTAGGACTAGGGCGTAGTTTCAAGCACCTTGCATTTCTTGCAGGTTAAAATAACTACAAAAATACCACTTTCTTCCCATTCTTTCTTGCAAGTGGTTACTTGCACTCGAAACACTGGGGAGCGTATAGAAGAGAAAGTTCGTCCATAATTAAATCACGGCAAATCGTGACGAAATGACTCCTCGCCCAATTTGTTTTTCTATCCTGTGTCGCAGTAAAAGCACGTTCTGAATTGTGTGTCAAATGTTTCTTCCATTCCTGTCTCTTCCTTTCCCTGATCGACATCATACATCGTCTGCCTTATCATTTTTCCCTTATCGAGCACAAGAATGGAATATCTTCCAGGAAGTTACGAATCTAAGTTGAGTAGTTTATTTAACAAACCGAGTAATGGGACATCTTATTCCTCCAATAAACAACCAGAATATCCGATTTATATCCCACCAAGCTTATCATCTGGAGATGAAAACGCTTTAGAACATTACACAACGACCCAACCACCACGACAAATATTCCCCCAATATCCATTTCTCTCCCCGACGAGACGTCCCACATTTTGGGATGACAAAACGCAATCCGAGAAAATCATCCAGGATGATTTTTCGCCCCCAAATTTCGGCAACAACATAGTGCTCGATCTGGACGGAAATATTGCTGCCGATGGGACAAATTTTGATGTCACAACTACAAGACCACCTCCAGATATTGAAAAATTGGTGAATAAAACCATTTGGAACGTGTCCTCAATTGTGAACGACTTTCTGACCACGACCACGACGACAACAACCACGCCCAGTATTCAACCTGCGAACGAGACCACCACTTCCTCCTCAGATTTGGACCTCATCGTCCCACCAAACGAGGCTCCGAATGACGACTTGAACAAGACAACAGCAACAACGCTGAGACCCCACATTTTTCAAGACTTGAGTCCCGTCGCGTCCACCGAACTTTTAATCACGTACGGATTTTTCGTCATATTTCTCGCAATTTTAGGCATCATTACGAACTCTGCTACGGTTCATGTCCTCTTCAAGGACAGTATCAATCTTCATATTAGAAAGCACTACACTAACATGACGATCCTCTCTTTGGCCGTGGTCAATCTTATCGGCTCGATCTTCGTCGGGTTTGGGGGAGGTTTGAATGTGATCTGTCTCGGATTTGGGAGCATTTCTGAGGGGTCGAATGTGGTGGAAATGATGGTTGTTCCGGAATCACCACCCATCGTCACGACTCCGATGACGATAAGGCCGACCAACTTCGACATGATGAATTCGAGTGCCATCGCCACCATAATTTCGGCGTATGCGAACGTCACGTTTGCCGACTTGGCAAGTTTGAATGAGGCAAAAATTGGGAATGACACGTTCAACGGTGCGCAGACTGTAAATGAGACGCAGATATTTCCATCGATCAAGAGAAAGGTAAAGTTTCATGTCAGCAGGAAACGTTGGGATCACAATTCACGCGGAGGACTTTGCCAATTTCAATGCTTTTTTAATAATGTTGCCAATTTCGTGACAATTTGGACTCTTGCGGTTATTTCGATGGATCGATTTTTTGTAAGACTTAATAATTTGGGGAAAAAATAGTTTAAAAATAGAGTTTTTAATTACATAATTTTTTTACAGGCTCACACGTGGCCCGTAAAATACAGCGAGTTTATGAGCCGAACAAAATTTGCGATTATCATGGTTTTCATTTGGTTGCAAGGTATCTTCGTGAGCAGTTTGAGCATCGAATTGTGGACTCGGGACAAATTGGTACTTTCCTTTGAGCATTGCAAAAATTTACCTTTCATAACTTGATTAATTTATGTGACAAATAGATTTTACAAAATAGACGTAGAGATTGCACAATTTGTGCGAATAAAGTTTTACCATAAAGATAGAGATTTTCTGCATATGTATGCATAATTTTTTTGTACTTTTGTACATTTTTTCCAGAAGATAGATGACGATAAAAACCCGTTTTTTTATTTTTCTGCTTTTTTAAAAAATTTGTAAAACCGGATTTCCGATATTTCCGACATTTCCGATTTGGCAAAGTTTTGTATTCGGGTTATCGATTTTTCAAATATTTAAACAATTTTGTAAAACTGATTTTCGGTTTTTAGAATTTTATAAAATTTTTAATATAATTATAAAAAGCTTTCAAGAATATAATTGTATTATCAAATTTTCCTGGTGTGTAAACCTTCAAAGTCTATCAGCCAAGTTTTGCATTTTACACAAAAAGTGACTTAATTTTCTACAGGTTAGATTGCTGTCATTGAAAATTTCAAAAGTACAGACTTTCTCTCATCATTATTAAAAAGAACTTTCTAAAAACTTTCTCTTGTTCGACTATGTAGTTGGATAAAGGCGTTTCCTCCGGACTTTGTCATTGTGCCGTAAATTGGCTCTACATTCCGAGAACTGCTCCCTTGGGGGTGGCCTTCTTGAAACTGATCGCCTTCATGTGGATGTCCCTCCTCCCCTACGCAGCCATCCTCATCCTCAACTCAATCATAATGATCCGGTTCGTTCTGGGTAGCGGAGACACCAAAGTGACCACGATGCCACCCGAAATTGACATTCAGGATCCCTCCCCAAGTGCACGAAGCTTAAACAGAACGTTCAGTTTTGATCGGGGAAATCCAGTGAATCGGTTCTTCCAGGTAATTGATATTTAACATAGGACTTGATTACTCATCATCAAAATCATCACATTTGAAATCATTTCTCGGGTCTGGGAATTTATTTCAAAATTCTGGACGACAAATTTCTAGAGCTGGTCGTTGTCAATTAAAAAAAATATATACTCCAGATTTTGAAGGAAGAGATCTCACGTTTAAGAAGTCTTCAGAAAAATTGGAACTCGCTGAAACTGGATTAAAAGACTCATCACCATTCCATTAATTAAATTACGACAAAGTTGTCGTTCAGAATTTTAAAATCAATTCCCAACCAATTCCAAGAAATGATTAAAAATGTGCTTGTTCGAGTCCCACATTTGCTAAGAAAATTAGTACTCAAAAAAATACAGAAACTTGACCTCTCGAATTTTTCTTCCAGTCCAACCCTCACCAGGATCAAATGATTTGGCGCGTGATGCCGCCCCCTTTGTCGCCTAATTCACTACAACCCAATAATCCTGCCCCCTTTGGAAATCCCCCCATCAAGGAACTCTTCTCCTCGACATTTGCAGGGACGCAGATGCGGCGTTCTCGACTTTGGGAGTTACACCGACTGAGCCAAACTCACGGGGGGAAAATTCCCTCGTCATCTCGCGAGGCTACGACAAAATCCGTCCTCACGTGCTACTTGGTCGTAATATTTTCCTATATTTGGCTCCAAACTTGGCCGACGGGTTTGTCCTTCCTCCTTTTTGTGGCGGATGGTCACGAGGACTCGTTCATTCTGATGGAAATGGTGGCATTTCTCTTTAAACTGATCGGATTTAGTGTGAACGCTGGGATTTATTTTTGGCTGAGGAAGGATTTTCATGACGCTTTCTCCCTCCTGTTTCGACAGACTTGCGCCTGTGAGATGGAGCGACGGGGAGGAGGAAGAAATGTGCGGACTGGGCCGCAGGGGGGAGGAGGTGACGTGCCGGGCGTGGTGGTAGAGGAGGACTGGTAAATAGAGAGAGAGAGAAAAAATTGAGAAAGTAGATAGAAATGCTGTAAATTAAAAAAAAACTTGCTAATGCTGCTGTATTTATGAACGTAAATATTTAGATGACTTTTTCGTGCTGGGTATGAGTGGACGTCGGTATTGCAATATTTAATAAATTGTTTATTATTTAAACACAAAGGTGGTTTTCTCTCGGCAAATTTCTTTATCTTGATTTTTAGGCTTTTCCAACATACTAATATCGGGGTTTTCATCTTCTGCCCCCCCAAAAAAATAACTAATTGTCTTTTGATTAATCAGCATGATATGATTTTAGTAAAGTATACGACATAATTGCATCACACCAACACGAAAGTCTTCGAATGCTATCTACAATTCATTATCATGACATGGGTCGAATTGTCCGAAAAATATGACAAAATTATCGCAAGGGTTTTGTATAGAAAATCATATCATTTTTCATAAAAATCAAGGTCCTGAATTTTACTTAGTTACGTGTCTACATAAGGTTAGCTCATTTGATGGTAAATTTTGTGACCGAGAGCTTGGGACGAGTTTGGAATTATTTTTGGAAAAAAATTCGTTGCTACACGAAGTTAAGGCCATTTTCATGTAAATTTATAAAATATTTATATAATTGACGCCTTTTCTATGGCACCGCGCCATGAAAACGGTGTAAATTAATCGTGGTCACTGCCGGCGATGACAATCATCATCATTATTTTATAAATTTACGTTAAAATGGCCTTAACTTCGTGTAGCAACGAATTTTTTTCCAAAAATAATTCCAAACTCGTCCCAAGCTCTCGGTCACAAAATTTACCATCAAATGAGCTAACCTTATGTAGACACGTAACTAAGTAAAATTCAGGACCTTGCACCGAACCAAACCACACCCATGACTACATTGTTCTAATGATGATGCATTCTAATAAATAAATTCGCACCTGAGAACGCGTTAATTACTCAGCCTAATTGCTCACCATATTTAATTGAGGCGTTAAAATAAAATAATGCAGTCAATCCCGATCCTCCTTTTCATATGGGCTGCGTATCCAACATTTGCCCAACTTGGCCAAGAAAATGATCCACGGTTTCGACGCTTGTTCGATCCAAGCTATTCGAAAACATTTTTTTCCATGAAAGACCGCATGGTGCTAACTTCTGGTGAAAATGCGACACTTATCGAGGATAATAATGACGAGATAAACCACATCATTTACCCCTTCGTGGATAAACCAGTGGCTAAAAAACATGACAAAAAGAAGAGGAGGAGGAGGAAGAAGAAGAGGAAACCCGACCGGAAATTGGAGGACGATTTCCCCACTGATTTAATAGGTGACGATGTTCACGTGGGGTCACGGCAGGTCAAAAAATCTCAAGAAATCGTGGGCCCGGATCGAAACAATAGTGGTTTCAAGGACGACGCTGTGACGATCGAGTATTACGAAGAGACCGAGGAAGAGACGTCGCCACCAACTGCGCCCCCGACAACGACCCCGCCGTCGACCGGATCGACCACGACGGTTGACCCGTTCTTACCGGATACGCATCACCTCCTCCCTCTAAAGCCGATCGACCCCTCGAAACTTTTCGCCGGCTGCCACAACGCGTCTGCCGGTCATTTTGTCTGCTTCGGTTATCCGGACGGGTGCATCTCGACGCGAACGTGTCGCATGGCCGCGGCACTCTCGATGTCGAAAGACGTCAAAGACTGGATCAGGGTCGTAATGGCGGCTACTGCGCCGAGGGGTTTCGTTGCGCTGGGATTTTCTGAGGATCGTTTCATGGGCGATGATACGGTCGTTCATTGTAATAATATTCCCAAATCGAAATATATGACGTTGCATCTTTCTCTTAATGTGGATTACCACAGTGCGATTCAGGTATAGAAATAAATATTCTTAGACTCGAGGTCTCACAACGTATGCTCTTAGATTTTTAGCAAATTAGTGTCAATCGGTCAAAAATTTGATGAGTATGAAATTTGCAAATGCCCAGATTCGACAAATTTTACACTTTCCAAATTTACTGTGCGCTTTCTCCTCTTCGAATGCAAATATCTCTGCCAAATGTGACCATTGAGAGATTGTTTCTTGTGGCATGCTAATTAAATTTATGATCGATTAACACAGCTTGGTCAAAATCGGAGAGCATGGGCTATAAGACCATGCTCTTAATTATTAAACTCTTAACTTAAGTATTTAATTCCACCAGAAAAACCCCGACGCTTTTCACCTCAACTTGAAACCCATCGCCGGGTATGCTCAAGATAATGGTGTCATCGCATGTGAATTTCTCATGAATACCACAATTCGTCCTGATAACCCAGAATCACAGAAAAAGTCACATTTGCTCAAAGAAACGCACCATCTTTTCCTAGCGTTTGGCAGACATTCAGAAGTTACTGACACGAATTCTTCCGAATTCGGTGTGTTCACTCCTCAGACTGTAATTTATGACCTCTTAAAAATTAAAATTTTTCAGGAGAGTTAAGATTTCACCACATGACAGCAGTCAGCAGCGATGATGAGGAAATTCACAGCTTATTCGAGCAAAGGAAAATTGTAAGTTTGAAAATATGGAGTTTTGCTATTTTTACCCTAACATATTTTGTTTTGTGCTTTACTTACAGCTTTCTCCACGCAGTACAGGGCTGCTCCTAACGCATATAATTCCGTACACGTTGGCTTTCTCTTTTTTCATCCCGTGTGCCATGTTCATCGCTAAATACGGGAGGGAAGCCTACGGCGACGAGGTGGAGGACTGTTATGGAATGCAATGGTGGCTCCTGGTACTCAAACTATTGAAATTATGTATTGATCGCTGATCAGGGGGCGGATATGTATGTATTTATTTTCAACTTTTCCATTTGATGATGACCAACGGTCAAACATTGTGGGTGTGTTGCTTAACTTTTATAGATCACTTTTTCAAAATATTTTTTTTACATATTTCGAAGCTTTCAGACACAAATATTTAGAAACATTTCCGCTATTATTTGAAAAATACGTAAATCTTTTAGATGTCTTTTCAAAAATACGTATATTTTAATAGAATCTCGAAAAACTTACATATATTTTATAAATATTTCGACGATATGACACGAATTTTGCATTGCCCAAAGAAATTAAATTGTATCACGAAAATCCGGGGTATTATATTCAAAAGTGTAACTTTTGAGAAAATTCTCATTTTAATCGTTTTTCGTACATATGTCAGAAACTTTTGGTGTTTTCTTTCTTTCGTATTGCTCATTTTTTTTCCAAATACAAATGCATACCCTCTGGTTGTCGTCCCCTAATTTGCATATAATTAATTTACATTTATGTCTTAACTAGATTCATACCGTCTTCCAAACGACTGCTGTCTTCCTCTCGATCGTTGGTCTGATCGGGATCGTGCAAGAGTTGGGCGGAGAGTGGCGAAGTTTTAAACTGGGGTCCAGCTTCCACTCGGTGACCGGCTTGCTGGCGACGGTTTTCCTCTGGGTGAACTTTATCCTGGGCGGAATGGGCTTCTCCTTTCTCAAGAAGAAGGAGAATGCGGAGACGAAGGAGGAGAAGCCAGGGGACGACGTCGTGGTCGAGACTGAGCAGAAACGCTTTGCTTATCATTACTTCAAATGGAGTCACTGGTACTGTGGGCAAAGTGTTTACTGGTTGGGAAGTGAGTTCAAAATGTGAAAACTATTTTGTTGAAATAGGGTTTTGAGCTCCGTTTTTCCGAAGGTTTGGATTTCCAGGGTTGTTACATCACAAAAAGACGAAAATCTACGGGAGAGGAGAACCAGCAGTCTTATCAAAACACGGGTTTTGTGAAGAAATTAACTTTCCTTTATCGCTTTATTTTTACTTTATTTTTATAAAATCATAAAAAATGAATTTTGACAGCGATACAAAATTAATTTCTTCACAAAACCCGTGTTTTGATACGACTGCTGGTTCTCCCCTCCCGTAGATTTTCGTCTTTTTGTGGGTGTAACAGCCCTCGAAATCCAAATCCTGCGAAGAACGGATAAAAATACTCTATTTTGACATAGCATTCTGCCCAACTCTGATGCGACATTATATAATTTGTTTTCTTAATTTGCAATTGTTGTCTGTTCGCTAGTGGGGGCACTTGTGGTGGCGCAGGAATTGCGTCGTGCCACCATACCCTGCATTTTTATGTATATCGTCCTCCTCCAAATCTTTGTGCACTGTGTGACCCATGTCGTCATGTCGGTAATGCGACGACAATAATTTATAAAATGTGAATTTTTGCATATCTGATTCGCCCACTCGTACGCATAGTTTCACACGTCATGGTTGGTCAAAATGCTGGATGGAAAACATTGGAAACGACGCGTTTATCCTGGACCAATGATTCCCTGGACGAGGGCCGACCTCCCAAAGAAATTTCCGAATCCTGAAGTGAAAATTGGTGAATTGGTGAGTGCAGACGAAATAAATGCTTATTTGTAATATTATTTAACTAATTTCTGTTCACAGCGACTTTGGTGCGGTCGTCGACGCGCAGTAATCTTCTATTTTATCACGTGTTTCTTCTGTTGTGTCGGACTTATCGGGCTTCTCTGCCTGCCGGAAGTGTTGTGTCGACAAGCATATTATCAAAATGAGGAATAAACTAAATACAATTTTTCATAATATTTGCAAATGATGCATGATATGAAATGGGGATGATTAATTTGCATAGAAATAATTCCTACTACGTGCGTAATCAATGTGTCCTATAAGTCCAGATGGTGAAAGGTTATCAAATCGGTTACCTTATCAGTAACTTATATAAAAATCATGATGGGGCAGTCTGCATGATTTTAGTCTCAGACTCTCAACTACTTCAACCGGTGTTGGACTTTGACACTGGTTCCTTGCATAACAAACTAACAACACAACTGTTGTTCCTTGTTCCACAACTTTCACTCTAAAATAATTAAAACAAATCGACAATTAAGAATTTAAATAGTTTAAACTCAATCATAAACTAGTGATCGGAGTAATCTAATTCTATGCATGTGATATCTAAAAATTAAAATTAGTCAAGTTGAATTTACGAACATATACATTTCTTAAAACTTTTGTTTTGATTGACAAATATTAAACTAGAAATGTCTGCCTTAACGAAAACTTTTCATTCTACGGGGCGATATTTCCTCCTAGCTACTCATCGAAGTAGTGGTGCATTAATTCCGGCGACAAATAGAAGAACAATTGTCGGAATGACGCCCGGCTTAGCGGAACAACACGAAATGTTACGTAAAACATGTCGCGATTTTGCGGAAGGCGAATTAAAACCAAACGCAGCAGAATGTGATAAGAAACATGTCTTTCCGGAGAAGCAGGTCAAAACTATGGGGGAGCTGGGCCTGATGGGAATAACTGTTCCGGAAGCGAAGGGCGGTTCTGGTCTCGACTATTTGTCATATGCGATCGCGATGGAGGAAATTTCACGGTGAGATTATCATCACGATAAAATATTTTCAGTAAACATGTTGAATAATTGATTAATTAATTAATGTTTAGTGGGTGTGCTACTGCTGGAGTGATTATGTCGGCGCATAACTCTTTATATTTGGGCCCTCTAAAGAAATTCGCCACCCCGGCGCAAGTAGACAAATGGATTAGACCCTTCACTACTGGTAAAAAGATTGGATGTTTCGCCCTAAGTGAGCCAGGAAATGGGAGGTTGGTAATTATTTCATTAATTATTGTACACGTTCTTGGTTTCGGGAAGTATACGTTGTTTTATTATTAATAGCGATGCAGGGGCGGCCTCCACCGTGGCGAAAGATGGGGGTGGCAAGTACATAATTAACGGAACAAAGGCCTGGATTACAAACGGGTATGAATCCGAGGCTGGAATACTTTTTGCCACGACGGATAAAGCAAAGAAACATAAAGGGATCAGTGCCTTTATCATACCAAAGCCGACAAAGGGGCTAGAATTGGGGAAGAAAGAGGACAAACTAGGAATTCGTGGGTCCTCCACGTGCAATCTAATTTTTGAAGATTGTGAAATATCGAAAGAAAATTTACTAGGAGAGCCAGGAGCTGGGTTTAAAATTGCAATGATGACATTAGACGAGGGACGGATAGGAATTGGGGGGCAAGCATTGGGTAAAAAAATCAGGAAAAAATACGATTTAACATAGGACTCGGTGACTCATCACCAAAATAGTCAAAATCAGCTCATTTCTAATCATTTATTGGCTCTGGGAATTTATTTTAAAATTCTGGACCACAAATATGTAGTGAGTCAGTGAGTTTATAAATCCGTTCCAATTTCTCTGAAGGCTTCTTAAACTTGAGATCTCCTTCAAAAAGTGTAAAAATCTTGAGTGTATACATATTTTTTTAATTGGCAACGACTTGCTCTACAAATTTGTCACCCATAATTTTTAAATAATTTCCCAGATTCGAAAAATGCTTGAAAATGTGCTAAGTTTGATGAGTTCTGCGACGGGTCATACACTAAACTAAGCACTCATTAGCACGTTATGTTTTTCAGGAATTGCTCAAGCCGCTCTCGACTGCGCCATGGAATACGCCGAAAAGCGGATGGCGTTCGGAAGTTCAATCCTGAAATTGCAATCGATACAAAATAAAATTGCCGACATGGCCATGCGAATCGAAGCCTCGAGATTATTAGTTTATCAAGCCGCCGTGTTACGAGATGCGGATAAACCTTTCACCAAGGAGGCTGCCATGGCTAAACTATACGCGTCTGAAACGGCCACCTTTGCGGCACATCAAGCCATCCAAATCCTGGGAGGAATGGGATATGTAACGGAAATGCCGGCCGAAAGACATTACAGAGATGCTAGAATTACGGAAATCTATGAAGGAACATCAGAAATTCAACGTTTAGTAATTGCCGGTCAAGTGACGAAAGAATATGCGAACAAATCGTAAAATGGATCGCGCATTCGTAGCATAAAATAAGGGAAGAACCTATAAACGTGTTTATTTTACTATTACCATGTCTCGAAACTGTGCGTAAGATCGAGCTTATTAAATAATATCAGTAAGAAATTATATACGTATGTATACATACAAATCATCAATAAATAAATCTGGATAATCATATCGCTATAAATTAGGTGTTTCTATGAATTATTGCTCTTGACCTTCGCTGCCACTGTACAAGAATCGTGTTCTACTCATTATATCACAAATTTCATCTTGGACTACGATGTTGAGATTGAATATGTTTCATTTATTTATAGACTAAAAGTTGGGGTGAAATTATCACTTGGTGCATTTCATATTTATTTATTTGTGTAAAACATGGGAAAATTCTCAATCTCCAGTATCGAAAGTCCCCTCATTTACAGTCGTCCCTTGTCCAAGTGCATTTCACAGGATGTTTTTCTGAAATTGGAAAATGTCCAGCCTACAAATTCCTTCAAAATTCGGGGAATGTCACGAGTTTGCAAGCAAGTAGGTTAACTCGTAATTGGAAATATTTGGTTACATAAATAATTTAATGGAATAATTTTCATGCAGAAAGCTGAGGAGGGATTTAAAGGTTTCGTAACCTTTTCCGGTGGGAATGCTGGGATTGCTTTGGCCTATGCGGCGAACGAGATGGGGATGCAGTGTCACATTATTCTCCCATCGTTCGTGTCACCTCGCGTCATGGGAAGGATGGCCGAGTTGGGGGCAAATATCCAAGTCGTCCCCACAAGTCGGGAAGCAAGCGATGCAGCCATCAAATTGGCAAACTCTGACCCAGACTTGACCTTAATCCATCCTTATGATGATGAAGAGTTGTGGTAATTATGTTAACAAGCGGAACGAAGTGATGCGGAGTTTTTTTTATCATTTTGTCCCTACGTCCGTAAGAAGGATATCTTCAGGATCTTCAACATAATCATACCCAATTTTCTCCATTGTTCTTCTAATTTTTGACCCTCTGTCGAGTTCGGAAATGAGATTCCTGAGGTCAAGGTCAAGTTGAACCTGGCGTGAGGTCAAACCCCAAATTGGACCTTAATTTTTATGTGTGGTGTCATTTTATAGGAAATTTCACCATAAACTCAACGCCGTCGTCAATATTTTTTTTACCTCCGACCAACCCATGACCGTTTGCACTCCGTTTCCGCGAGTTTACTATGTCATATCGATTGCTGGAATTTATTATTTTCATAAATTGACGGTTGTAAATTGTCTGATAATTTCATAGGGACGGATATTCCAGCATTGTTGGAGAAATTAAGTCTCAGCTGGAAGGAAAAATTCCATCCTGCATAATTCTCTCCGTGGGTGGAGGTGGAATGCTGATGGGGTTGACGAAAGGATTCGAAAAACATGGTATTTCAAGTAATATGAAATTATGTGAATTTGCATTGTTGAATTATATGCAACGATGTTTGTCAGGGTGGGAAACAGTGCCAATTTTAGCAATGGAGACGGAAGGGGCACATTCATTCAACAAATCTATAAAAGCAGGAGCCGTTGTTGAGAATGTGATGACGAGCATTGCAAAAACACTCGGAGCTCCGTCCGTGGCTCCAAAATTGATGGAAATACTGCCAAAATTCGACATTATTTCGAACGTCCAGTCTGACGCAGCGGCGGTTGAGGCTTGTCTAAGATTTTCAGGTATGAAATTATCACTTTCATTATCACACTTGAGACTTCAATATCTAATTAATTTATAGACGACCATGCATTTTGTGTCGAACCGGCCTGCGGGGTCTCACTTTCTGCCGTTTATCAAGGAATTCTTCACGAAATATTTACCAGTAACGGGCATGAATTGGGTCAAGGCCCGGTCGTTGTGCTCGTTTGTGGCGGGTGTGACAGCAGTGTCAAGATTTTGAAGGATTACGCAGAAAAATTGGGAATTGACATTGTTTGACATTTCAGTAAAATAAATAAATACTGTAATTCGTGAGACCAATATTTACCTACGTATTTTTGCATTTATTTGTAACTCTTTCATTCAACTAGTCTTAATCATGATTCGATGATACATAACAATAAATTGACCTGTATCTTAATGTGTAATTCAATTATAACTAGAATGCGTGCATGTGACCATATGCGCGTCCCTTTTGTTATGCAATGCAGTGGTACATAGATATACGCACAAGACATGCACACACTATTTACGACGCATCAATAGAATAAATAGGAGACCATTAAACCGAGAACGAGTTATTCATTAAATGAAACTTGTCAAAAATCGTGTCAAATGCAAACCTAGACCATGAAACGAAAAGCAGTCACAGATTTAGTAGGCAAAAAAGTAGCGAAACCTGCACACAAACTGAAACTAAAATAGTTGAACGGATTAGCAAATTGATGCAAAATCTGAAGTCTCGTAAAACAACAAAGTGTTGTCTATTCTATTACAGTAATAAGTTAGAAAATAACGGATTTCTTCTCCTTTTTGATTGAACCTGTGCTAATTCCTCCTCCGTAAAATAGTCATCAGTCCTCCCCAGTTGCTGGACTTGCCCTTGATGATACTGCTGCTGCTGATAATTTAGATTATCCTGTCCAATAAAATTATCCAGATATCTGGGTCGCGTTATGGCTGCGAGATTTTGCAGCACGGGCGCCATTTGATAATCGATGACGCGCAAAATGGGGAGAATCCGGTTGATGGAGGCGACCGCGATGTAAATGGGCGACGGGAGTTCGACATCTCCTGGCTGCGCTTCCCTTGGGGCGAACAATCTCGGGAAGAGGAACCGCTTAATGGGATGAAGGACTCGGCGCAGGTTGAAAATGTCGCCAGGTCGGAGGGGTCGTTGTGGGATCGGGGGACTCGCAATGTTTGCGGGGAGGGGACGAGGGGCGTGGAAATTGTTGGGGACGACGTTCGGATGAAGGTGCGTGATGGGATGCGTCGTCGTCTGTTGGGTCTGCTGCTGCTGTTGTTGTTGTTGAAGAGCTGGCTGCATAAATTGGGAGGCAGGGACAAACGTGGGTCTGGCCGGTCGGAAGGGATGGTTTGGATTCAACGGGTTGAGAATTGGGGGGATGACCTGGTTCACAAAGTTGGCGAGCGGACTGCGACGCGTCGTGGAAGGAAAACCATCCCTGTCTTCCTGCTCGAGGGGAAAAGTGGTCGGATTTTCGTCCACGTTTCCTGCCGGCGTGGTAGTCTGGACTTCTTCAGAAACGGGGACCATATTTTCATTAGAGACCATATTATCCGAAATGGGTGGATTTATGGGTTTATTAACAAAAATGATGGGACTGGGATCCGTCGTGGTCGTTGTTGTCGTTGGGGTCGAATTATTCGTCGCCAGTTCAGCCGTGTTAACACAACCGTACTCCATTTGCCAGATGAAGGATGAATTCGGACAGCGACACACGCCTTCCGAGCAAACGAGGCCGTTCGCCCCGTCGCAGTCGCGACTCTCTTGACACGTCCGCCCAATCGTGTAGCTGCAAATGTTGAGCTCCGTTTCGTAAAAGCCTTTCGAGCATTGACACGTGTTCGTGTCCGGGTTGCATTCTGCTCCTTGAATGCAGAGGGGAATATCTGGGGAATACTCGGGGACGCAAGGCTTCCCCGCAACGATGACGCATTGGGCTTCGACAGCGTCGTAAATTTGGTTTTCGGGATCTTCACAGTCGCACGAGTTGTTGAGGCAGGCGAGGAATTTTCCAGGAGTGCAGGTCTGGTTGAGGGAGGGGTTGCAAGGGGTGTGGAATTCTTGGGAGAGGATGAGATTTGGCAGGAAGAGGAAAATGAGACTGAAATGGAGGTACGGAGTCATCATGATTCTTCTGACTCACTGGAATTTCAGATGAAACTTTATTACACATGTAATTTTGAAATATGTAAGAAAAAGTGGAAATCATGTTACCAGATTTTCATGAGAAACACGCAACTGCACTGTCCAAAACCTAGTTTGAGACTCTGATGGTTTTGAAAGGTTGTGATCCTATTTTATTCAAATATCAAGTCATCCTCCTTCTCCCGACCAGAGACCAACCTTCTCGATGTCGAATAAGTTGTAGCTACAGATTCATGCACAAATTGTATACAGCAATGAAATGGTATTGAACATACAGTAATACGGAATAATATTTATCTGTATGTAAGGGCAGTTTTTGCGGACATTTGTGCAACAATAATGAGCAGTAGGTTTCAGGTAGGTTTCATCTCCTCGTTGTTTGCAGGTTTATATAATTTTTGCAACATATCAAGCAAGGAAAGGTTTGCCTTCTTCTTGAAGATTTGCAACCGGCTTTTGTTGGTTAGATTTCATTTCATTTCACTCCTTGATTTGTTTGCGAGAGAATGAACCAGATTTCTCATTTTGTTGACCAAACCGAAATCTACCTACTACCGTTATGTAATATTTTGAAGATTCGATTATGTCACCGTCGCATAATCGAATAAGCGAGGAAACCGGATTTGATGTGTGTTTAATGACTTTATCTGTTTACCACAAAATTGATATCAATGGCAATGAACATACAGCATAATTTGGCAGTTTCACCGACACTGGTATAAAAAATATGCAAACAAATATGTACATACTGTAAAGTGCATATAAGAAAATAGGTATAAATAATTGGTCAATTTATATAATAATTTGCATTCCGTCCGAGGAACTTCTTGAGTCCACTCAACTCCTGGAAATGAAAATTTTCTGCAATTATTTATCAGTCTAGTCTCAATTTCCCATAAGACCAACCATCAATGAACTTGGTCTTGTCTTAATTATCGGCAATTTATTATTTCCGGTTGTATAACTTTTTCACACTGCATGTTCTCTTGTTTGAGCAAGCAAGGAAAAAGACATGGCAAATTATGTAAGTTGATGATGCTTGAATCGTAACAAAGGAAATAAAATGCGATGTGCTTAGCATTTGATCTCCTACGAAGAAAACAAACGAGTCGCAAGTTGCGAAATTCACATACCTAAAGTGCTCAATTGTCGTTTTTTACATGTTCTACGTACTGCAAACAATTTAATTTAATTGGGCTTTCCATTCTCCAGCAGGGCAGATTTTTTTAGTCACCATGAGTCAAAGTGAAGAGGAGCGATGAATGATCAATCTTCATGAAATGAAACCTTGCACCTTTTTACAAAGTTAAAGATGAACAATTGATTTTATTAGAAAAAGTTGATGAAGAGTCTAAATTAATTCATACACGAGCCTTTTACGCTCATCAATCAAATTATTTAGCAAACCATACATTTCTCATAAAAAGAGTTTTCCTGAAATGGTGGAATTAATTAGTGCAAGTAGGAAATAGTACAAGCCATATGTTTGTGTATTTAAACAATTAGATTTTATTGTTTCTTAATAAACCATTCAAAAAACAGGGTAATGATTACAGCACAGAATTATATATGTCTTGTTGAAACACTATTCAAAATAATTTTGATAATAATATTTACTAGTTTTATTAAGTATGTAAAGCTAAATCTCTGGATGAGTGAGAGCACGTGGAATTGATCGATACTACTGATTCCTCAGAACTACTGCACTTTTTCGTCCCGCATGTTTTTTTAATACGCAAATCGTAATTTTTCTTCATACCCGAGCTTATCAAGGGCAGGAGTGCAGGCAAAATTGATCATAGGCGGGGGTCCTGAACAAACAAATACATAACCATGAAATAATATTAATTATAATTTATTAATTGGCTTAACGAAACAAAAATGAAGATTGCTCACCACACATGAGGACGAGCGTGTCGTTGGAAGGAGGGAAAAAGTGATCCTTGACCATTTCCGCACTTATGAAGCCAGTGCTGTACTTCCAATCTGAGGAAAAACACATGCATGTGTATAATTACCTGTTACATTCACGGTGAAGGATGTATTAAAATCTTGACCAGGAGCGACGACTCACCAGTTGGAGGACGGTCCAAGGTGTACCAAAGCTTGAATCGGTCTGGCTGCTCGTCACGAATTTTTTCCAAGTCCTCGCGACATAAAATATCCTCCTCGGTTTGATTGGCAAACAAGAGTGAGAGGCTAACGGGATCCTTAGAATCTTTGAATACGTGTTTCACAATTTGGAGCATGGGAGTGATACCTGCGACAATTAAAAACGAATTTAAAAAACTTACAAAAATTTAGATAAAATGAGATAAAATCAAACTTTTGTATAAAAAATGTTTTTAGCTATTTTTTCAATACCGCTGCCACCAGCAATCATGTTCACTTTTGTGACATTGACCGTCACGGGCTCAGACTTTTTATCGGCTCGAATGGCAAATTCACCTCGTCCGTTGTAAATCTTAAAGAAAATATACAAGAATTTGGATGTGCTGTGCTGTTGAATATTATGAATGATGATTAATAACTTACCAGTCTTCCAGATGGTCCTCTGCAGTCAATTGTATGCCCAATGGGTAGATCATTGAGGTACTGGGTGAGTTTGCCACCATCAGGAAATTTGGGGTGGACATTTCTAAAGTAGGTCTATAAGCGATTGGAAAAATTGGTGTTAATACTATCTGGTCAGAATTGTGTGCTAGTTCATATAGAAATTTACTTTAATGACCAAATCCATGTATCCAACATCGTCATCACTGCTCACTGGGAATATGATACGCATAATTAATTTTTTAAATAAACATAGGACTCAATGCCTCATCACCAAAATCGTCAAAGCCAGCACATTTTTTTGTTTTCTCGGCTCTGGAAATATATTTTCAAACTCTGGACAACAAATTTGTAGTCAGTAAGTTGATTAATAGAATAGCGGCACAAATAGCGGTGACTCTTTCAAGCCAGTTTCGATGGGTTCAAATTTTTTTGAAAGCTTCTTAAAATTGAGATCTCCTCCAAAAACTGTCAAAAGCCGGAGTGTATATTTTTTCAGAGAAATTATTAAAAATGTGTTAATTTTGACGATTTTAGCGACAAGTCGTAAATGCATTCGCTTATTCCCTATAAACGAAAATATTTAAATGTGAACCTGGAGTGTAGGGCCGCACAACTAGTGATTCATTAACTCTGCAAATCGAGATAAAATTAATAACGGTCATGAATAAAACTTTAGTCTTTCACTTACCGTGCCGATAAGTGGATATGTTGTCCCGTTGGAAGTCCAAGAACATGATTGTCTGATGGGAGAGCGAACCGATAGAGTCGAGTATCGTGAGATAAGTGTTTCTTCTCGACAAGTTTTAGTGGGTATTTGGTATCGGAATCTTGGAGGGCGACAGGGTGACCGTTCTTCATCTTTTTCGATGATTTCTTAGCTGATGACCCTCCATCTCCAGTCCCACTGGTCAATTTGTATAGGGTATAAATAGCAGATCCTGCAATTACGACTACACCAATCCAGAAGGCTGGAACCTGATTTAAAATAGAAATTGAGTTCAATTTACTAAATTCACTGACCGGTACATTTTTTGTAATGAATGCTACACAACTTAATTAATTGGTAGACACTAATTTTACGTACCTGGAATAATTCAGTAGTTATCGCCATATTAATACTCGTCCTTCTTTATCTGCCGTATACAACTGTCCAAATATTCTACAATGGAGAATAAAATCAATTAAGTTACACAATTTCCGTTATTTATGTCGTTAAAAACTAAACTTTATGCTTCATCATCACATTTACCAATTTCCACCTCCGTTTTCCTCCCCTTATAATTTCTAGTCTACCAACGTCAGTTCACCGACTAAATCTGGAATATAGCAGTTCCAAATTATGTAACTAATTTAACTAAATTTATGAAATGTGAATTCCAACAACTTTAAGCTTTTACCATTTACCTTGAAATTTTAGCTATAATTTTGGCCGGCTGGGCTGGGTTTTCGTTATACCAAAAACTAACCCGTGACAAAATAAACCTGGACTGGACGAGACTGCATATATTAAATTAAACGTTATCTATAAATGTTTAATTTAATTCAAGTTAGAACATTAAACCTGTGCCAGCCAGTAAAGTATGGCTGGAAAAACTGGTTACTTTTTTATTGGACTTGGCTTTGACCATGAAATGAGATGATCAAATCATCATCACATTTCTATTTATCTGGTGAAGAATTCCCACACACTCAAAGCACATGCATCTCGCAGCACCACTTACACGTTGCACGTATACCAAAAATGTCACCTATTTAAATGCAATGAGAAATCCATGCCGTACAAAAGATAAGATAAGTTTGGAACAAAATGTTTTAAAATGTTGCAATTTATGTATTTCAAGATTATCAAACAAATCAAAGTTCGGCAGGATCAATAATTCTGTTTGATTTAACAATTAAGATTTCAAGATTTGTTATTTAATTGTTATTTAATTGTTAAACATTTTAATAACACGGCGAATCATGGATAGATGGGGAGCGATTTAATAAAAACCTACTTCAAGCAACTTTGCGGGGCCTTTTAAGAAGGCAATATTCACGGAAAGCCAGACTCGTAATGAACGATAAGCACTTACATAGTACTGCCAGTGCCAATTGTTATGTTCAGTGGCCGCGGAAGTTGTGGGGACATGACTTTAACATTGTAGGATAGGGGAGGGAGGGGTTTGTAAGTATAACGTGGAGAGATGATGGGGATATCGAATAACTGTGGGGACATTGTCCCCCCTCTGTCCCCAAGCTTCCACGGCCACTGGTTATGTCCAATGCATAAATTAATATAGCGGACTCAGTTTATTGAATTAAAAAAAATAATGATATCACGACAAAGGGCATAACATTTTCTATAAGATATACCCATTGACTTTCCTAATTTCCTCATTGTTTTCCGATCTGTCATTTTGGCACATTGGGTAAAAAAAATTCGGTTTCTGACAGACAATTGGATGGACATTTCAGTAAAAAATAGTACAACTGTCAACAACTAGTATAACTGCTAATAATTTTTTTTCGCACGGAGTGTATTGGACATAACATATGGCAGAATATGTATGCAATTTTGTGGCTGGACATCCGTCCTTCCGGTTCGTCTGTCTGTCACCACGATAACTCTCGACAGAATAAAAAACCTACAGTGCAGACTTCATAAGTCAGAGCCCGCTTCTAAATTTTTCTCCGAATTGTCCGACGTAATATTACTAACCTCCGTGTTGTGAATGGTTAAATGTTTGTATTCGGCACCAAATTTTGTAAGTATTTACAAATCTTGTCCTTAACTACCATGACCTGACCAGTGGGGTTCTTTGGCATCTTGACTTGTACTTCCAGAGCTGTATGTGCTATCCATAAGTGGTTTTTATCACCCATATACCAAATTTCAGATAGAAATAACAACTTTCCAAAACGGTATGGGTCAGCCTCCATAGTCACTCTGCTTGCACTTTGCTCACTTTTAACTTCATATTCTTTCATGAGAAGCCATTAAGTTTCACCGTGCCAGATTTCATGTTTTAAAAGCAATTTCTAAAAATCGGGTCACCCTATAGGGTCCCCATGAAAGTTTTGGTCGGGTCGTTCTGGTTGAATTTTTTTAAACCCTACTTCAATTTAGTGTTCATGGAGGCTGATACTTGGTACATAATACCCCACCCACTCATATGATAACCCATCTTCGAAGTCGGTCGTTTCATTGCCCATATACATATCTCTACCAAATTTGGTAAAAATCGGTCAACTCGTTCGAGAGTTATTGAAAGACAGACGGATGACAATTACATAAGCCCTGGTTCGGGCTCAGGGTCCTTTGACTGTTTCCTTGGAGGATTTCTAGACAGGGTCATGTCAGTTCAAAAATTCTCCAAAATTTTTTTTGCAGATTTTAAAGTTTGAGAATACGGCAATTTTTGCTGGGAGAGCTTGGTTGTCAAGAAAAATAAAATATTCTATAAAACGTCATAAGTGCATGTGAAAAATTGATAGGTACCATTTTTGATACCTATTCTAGTTCAATTATTTTATAACTATTTTAATTTGCAATTAAATTAAATCGTTGTCATTTTACGACGGTTTATAAAATATTTTATTTTTCTTGACAACCAAACTCTCCCAGCAAAAATAGCGCATATTGTCTAGAAATCCTCCAAGGAAACAGTCAAAGGACCCTGTTCGGGCTAAAAACGACATGGGTCACCCTGCAGGTCATTCTGTTTGCACTTAACTAACTTTTAATTGCAAATTCTTTAATGAGAAGCCATTAATTGTAAGTATTACCATGCCGGATTTCATGTTTTTAAAGCAATTTCTAAAAATCGGTATGTACCACCCCATAGGGTCGCTCTAGATAAAAATTTTACCAATTGAAATTGGTAAAATATTGGCAAAAATATTTCATATTGTTCCATTAAGACCCATGTGCAACCTTTCCACCAAATTTCAGTTCGACATGACGATTTTGAAAAACCAGTATGGGTCCCCAGTCCCCATAGGGTCCCTCAAGATGAAAATTTTTCCAACCTAAATTCATTTTTTTCCGTTACAATCCATTAGCAACCTTTGTACCAAATTTCAGCTTCCTACGATAAATTTTAGAAATCCGTGGGGTCACCCTATCGGGTCTCCCAGGTTGAAAATTTCTGAAACTCCACTCCAATTTAAACGCTTTGAGGTGGCAATCTTCATACTAAAATTACTAAAAATTATTATTATAGATATTTCTCAAGTTACAAATATTTTACTTGCACTTATATAACCTGCTCTAAAGGTTCTTGTAGTTAAGGGCAACACATTTGGGTGGAAAAGACCCCCACCGGCCAACCACTTGACCGATCATGCCCATCTTCGAACTCATCTTTACTTTTTGCCCAAAGATGAAGTATGCAAAATTTCAAGTCGATCGCTCGTGTTTAAAGAGTTATCGTGCGTACAGACAGACAGACGGACAGACGGACATCTTGACAATTCTATAAGGCCATCTTAAAAGGCCTAAAACATGCAGCAACTTTCATGAAATCGAGGCGTTCCCCGAATAAGCATAGATTTTGTGTTCATGCAATGTTATATTTTGTTCATAAATAAACTTCTTCCTGTGACGTAGCGTCAGAGACCGTGGGGCTGGCTTCTGAAAGAAAGGAAACTGGGAACAGACTGATTTTTTCCATGACAAATAAAATGCGACAATTATGCATATATCCATTCCAAACACAGGATTGGCAAGATGAAAATCGTGCAAAAAAGTATCACCCTCTCTCAAAATCTCTTCTCGATACTACCATTATTTCCAGTGGAAATTTTCCGCTCCATTGTTGTTGCTGCTCGTCGGGAAGAATTTCCTGAAAATTGGAACAAAGTTTAAGTTCACACCATTATACATCTTCAACAGTCATGGCGCAATCACGCAGTCCAGCCGACGACGTAAGTTTATGTTTTATTTTAAATTTACTAATTCATTACGAAATTAACGAAATGACTTTTTCATTATTTACACAACGCAGATGGTGGAAGAGGAGGAGGAGCACGAGTTTTTTTGGACGGTCCAGACCAGTGACTTAAAAACTCACCCGGACAGTCAAAGCTTTGCCCTCATGGCGGGCCATGCCTTCGGCATCATTTGCAAATGGAAATTCTATTTCATCCCAGGCAGGGTAAGGTACCCTGTTCTGGGGGTGAAATTGGTCGAGTCCAATGGACCTGAAGAAATTTTAGCCAAAGTGTGGATCTTCTTGACTGGGAATGGGGGTTGTTTGAATCAGTCAGGAACGTGTGGTAAGACGGGAATCATTCATTTTTATCAGTGTTTCGGATAAAGCAAACTCGTTACCTTTTCAAATCGATATTTTACACATGTATAAACTACGTTTTTTTCACAGATTTTAAATACCGGAAGATTACGAAGGGTAGCAGTTTGGAATGCCCCTTTTACAGGACTGGCCAAGAATATCCAAGCGCATTTGGATCCATTGTTTCTAGCTCTTCGTCAGCCTGGCTTCACGTGAAGGTCAAAATTCGTGTCAAGGACTTCGTGGCTAAGCAAGATGAGGTACGATTGAAATATTCGAGCATCCCCAAAACATTGATGCTCGCCATGCTGGAGAATCGTGACCAGAAGGGCGACGTCACTTTCAGCACCAAGGATGGCCAAGCTATCGTGGCACATCGCAACATCCTGTCTGCACAGAGCGACGTTTTTAAGGCCATGTTTGCCAGTTGCCACAGAGATGATAGAGAACGAGGTGGGCGTCGTGGAATTGGCGGATCTGAGCGGGCCGGCCTTAAAGATTTTCCTGAAGTTTATCTATATCGGAGAGCTGGATGACACCTGGGGCGAATATTGTGACGAAGTAGTCTATGCTGCTAGCAAGGTGAGTAAATATATAAATTATTAAAAATAATAAACCGTGTTACACGAACATAGAAAAATGGCATCAGACGGTATTTGGACATTTTTGACCTTTCGACCTTTGACCTCGTCTACACAATCATGACGTCCTCGTGCGTCAAAACAATGTCGATTTCTGAAATCCCAAAATTACGATCATTTATTACGATTTTCGATATGAAAATTAGGTTAAATTTAATTTGAACCAAACCTCTGGTGCCAGGAGAGGGGTGGGTTGGTCGGTTCAATCGAGGGTTAAAAATAAAAAAAGCACAACATTATGCTTTTTTTTCTTTCGCCGTTTTCGCCATTTGGCGAAATGTGGAGTAGTTGTGGACCTCCTTGCAGACGGAAGGACAAAACGATCACAATACGTGGCTGATGCTATTTAATATTATGAATTTAATTTAAAGTTTATTCCTCACTTTCAGTACCAGGTTGCTCCTCTGATGGACGTTTGTGATGTCCTTCTCCCAACACTGATAACCTGGGAAAATTGCTTCCAACTTCTTGAAGTCGCCAGTTTGCACTCTTTGGCTGCTTCGAAGAAGAAGATTGAAGAATTTATGGAACGGTGGGTGAAACCGGTACACAAAGTGTACCTCACAATTGAAAAATTAATTATTGGACTTATGCCGATTTAATTTATTTTTTAGTGACTCTACGAAGTTAATGGCAGTGGTGAAGGGTTTTGTTGGAGGGCCACCTGCAAAGAAAAGTCACCCAAGCATTTAATTTAATTTATATATGTACATCGCATGTATGATTCAATAATTTATGTTTAATGTTCCGCTGGCTAGAAAAATGTTTATGTGGCGTCATAAAAATAATGACCCCTGCTCGTATTCAAAAAATAAATTGAATGTTTTTGACAGTTATCAGATCACTTCAATATCGACTTTCATGAAGCCGAAGCGTGCCCCGAATTGTTATAAATTGTGACATTTTTCCTGCCACCAATTCTGTAGGCTGTTCTAATTACTGATGGTTTTGCGTCATGAAAATGGTTTGTATGCAGCAGTTTTTCCAGTTTTTCATACGAATATTCTGGATTTTATTCCAGTTGCCCCAAACGTTCAGACTTTCCAGCACGTTGTTGATCAATAATATAGATCCGGCTTCTTCGAGTTGACATTCACAAATCAGTCAAACTCAAACGTTCAGTCAGATACTGGGTATACTTTAGAATAGGGGCGGATCGTTAGCGGGTCGGGTGATATGTCATTTTGTTAAGTTCCTAGAAGTGCTACCTAGAATTGCTACCTAGAAATGCTACATAGAAGTGCTACCTAGAATTGCTACCTAGAAGTGCTACCTAGAAGACGGTATATGGGAGAATTACATACGAAATATCCCCAAAAAGTCTCAAAACACCCCGAAAACCTTCCCGCCTTGCGGGAAAATGATTGAAATTCAATATTCTGCAATAAAACCTAAAATCTCACCTTACCCCAAAATCTCAATGTACCCAAAAAGTCTCAAAACACCCCGAAAATCTTCCCGCGTTGCGGGAAAATGATTGAAATTCAATATTTTGCAATAAAAACCGAAAATCTCACCTTACCCCCAAAATCTCAATATACCCCAAAATTTTTCCCGCTTTGGGGGAAAGTGAGACAAAGTCTTAGAATTCTTTGAAACGTCCAAAAATGCAATAAAAATTTCAAACTTTGACCCGCCATAACTTTCGAACGGAGCGTTTCCGCGCTTTCGGACTTCGATATTCTTGTTCAGCTCGTCGAACTGAACAAAATGACATATCACCCGACCCAATAACGATCCGCCCCTATTCTAAAATTTTTCCCAGATACTATATATCTTGCATATAACCCAAGTTCTTTAAAAATTCCAATCTGACTACAGTTTCTGCAAGAATGTCAAAATCGAAAAATATTTTCATCACCGGCTGCAACCGTCCAAACGGTATTGGATTTGGGTTGGTAAAACAAATGCTGGATCGGTACAATCCGGAACATTTGTTCGCGACTTGTCGAAATCCAGCGGATGCAAAGGTATATTTAATTATTAATTAATGCACTGTACAATTAACTACTACTCATTTTATGCAAATGATTCATAATTGATTTGTTCTGCCAGGAATTGAATGAATTAGCTGCCAATTATGGGAATTTACATGTCATTGAGCTTGGTAACTTGAATCTTAAATTGACAAATTTAGTTAAGTAGTGTTGAACCTTCTTTCCCTATGAAACAGATACTGTGGACACCGAAAAATTTGGCGACGTTGTGTCGCAAGTGGACAAGGTGACGGGTGGGGAAGGGATAAATCTTCTCATAAACAATGCCGCAATTTTGGAACAACCTCAAAGTTCGATTCACCAGCTAAACAAGGATTTGTTCATGAAGCACTTAGAAGTGAACACGGTCGCTCCAATTTTGCTGACCAAGGTAGGCGCCAGTAAATTTTAGTGTAACACAGTCGCCAAATTGTAAAGATAAGCAGTACGTATTGCATAACAATATTGCATAGGCATTCCTTCCACTCTTGGAGAAAGCAGCAGCGAATTCCAATTCGCCCTCGGGGATTCAGAAAGCTGCAATTGTCAACATTTCAACAAAAGTTGCTTCAATTGCTGACAACACGGGAGGTGGGATGTATTTGTATCGAAGCAGCAAGGTCAGGTCGTCATAAATGTGATGCATATGCAAAATAACTTATTATAACTTTATTTACGTTTTTAGACCGCTCTGAACATGGCGACAAAATGTTTAAGCTTGGAGTTGAAGAATAAAGGTATCGTGACCCTTATGTTGCATCCCGGCTGGGTTCAGGTGAGTTTATGGCATGTCATATTATTTTAGTATATACAAGTTGCAAGCCTTTAAATAATTATAATTTGACTATTTTCAGACGGATTTGGGAGGTCCCAATGGAACGTTGACTACTGAACAGAGCGTCACCGAAATGACAACAGTGATTGAAAAATTGGGTGCTGACGACAACGGGAAATTCTTCAATTATGATGGACAAGAAATCCCGTGGTAAAAATGTGAAGATTGATCAAGTCAGTAATGCTTGGTTCTAAAATCTAAAATGTGACCTAATTCCAAAGCATTGATATGAATGTCAATAAAAAATGTAACGTTTAAGTTTGACTCACGCATGAGCTACTAAATAAGTGTCATTCTGCTTTGTTCATTCAGTGAACGAAATTCAACTACGTAGAGATTTCTTCAGTTTAAGCAGACAGATTTTTTTTTGTATTCGAAAAATCCATAAAATTATGGGATCATTTCCAAAATCGTTCCTCATCACTGGTGCGAATCGTGGGTTAGGTTTCGAAATGGTGAAACAAGTTGTTGCAAAATATTCGCCAAAAGCTGTTTTTGCAACTTACAGAGACATCACAAAAGCTGAGGTAAATATTGAGAGAAATAAAACGCTGTATTTCCTTTGAAATTTGAAATGTGTCCACGTTTTGTTTTCCAGGAACTTATTCAACTTTCACAAATTCATCCCTGCATAAAACCTGTCTTGATGGGTAAAGGAACTCGCCTTTTAACATTCATATTTTTCATAATTTTGATTTTAATTATTTGTTGAAAGATGTCTCAAACCTGGAAACCTTTGCTTCCGTGGTGAAACAAATTGACGCCGAGATGGGGAACAGTGGTTTGGATGTCCTCATCAATAATGCAGGCTTCTTCATCAAGGAGAACCAGTCGTTGGACAGTATAACGAAAAATCTGGTGCTGGAATATCTTCAAGTCAATACTTTCGGCCCTTTATTCGTGACCCAGGTATGTGTCGTTACACGTTACACCCAGAGGTCGATGCTGGCCAATTTTCGCCTCGGCGACGTTTGGTGATTGTTCGGCGGCACCGTGTCCTAATGTTGAAAGAATAGGAAACCATCAACGGCGGCGCGTAAAATGCTACCGGCGGCGTAGACTCCTGGCTGCATGATGTCAATCTTGTGGTGATGCAAATATATATGTACAAATAATTTGTAACTAATTTAAAGGCATTCCTACCTCTTCTGGAGAAAGCTGGGAACAGCGAGTCCAAAAAAGCCGTCATTTTGACCTTTTCGTCTCGACTGGGTTCCATCGAGGACAATCAATCTGGAGGATATTATGCATCTCGGACTTCCAGGGTATTTATTTTATTTATATAAAATTAATAGTGCTAATAATTCATTAAAGGTTAGCTAACACGCAATTTTATATAGGCTGCTTCAAACGCAATCACAAAATCAATTAGTATTGACGTAAAAGATAAAAACATCCTTATCGCTGCGATAAATCCGGGCTGGGTAAAGACGGACCAAGGTGGTGAAAATGCTCCCTTAACGCCTGAGGAGAGCGTAAGTGGGATATTGAATGTCTTTGAAAATCTGACTCCGAGTCAATCTGGGTTATTTTTCCAATATAATGGAACCATCATTCCGTGGTGAAGAATATTTTATTACAAATATTGATTTACTATTGTTTGAAAATAGATAATATATGTCGGTAATATAATCAATCGGTCATTATTTTTTCTATTCCGGAGATTTAAACGATCCGTGTCGCCCAATTCCTGTTACGAATCGACCAGCACCTCCTACAGATTCCTGTAGAACAAGGAGCATTTAATTATTTGTATACTTAAAATACCAGTGTTTCGTATGCAAGTAACGCCTTGCAAGAAATAACCGCAAAAAAGTGGTTTCTTGCAGTTATTTTGACATGCAAGAAATACAAGGCCCAAGAAGCTACATCCCACCGCTGATGGTGCATGTTTCTTGGAGTTTTTTGCACCCACCATTTCTTTCATTTCTTGCTTAGCAGTCCAAGAAATGCAGCAAATTCGCAAGAAACGAAACACTGTTAAATTCATAAGTACACACCTTATGAATTACGTCCAGCCCCCTGTCCATCTCATTGTAAACCGCATCTTTCCAATCCTTTGCGGAAAACATGGCATAGTACGCACTCATTCTGTCCCGATTCATACATTCTTGAGGAAATTTTGATATTTCGACTGCTAACTGGACAGCGGCGGAGAGCGCAGTGCCGTCAGGGACTAGTCGATTTGCCAGGCCAATTTCGAACGCTTCCTTCCCCTTCATCGCCCTCCCAGTCAGAATCAAGTCCATGGCTCTGCTTAATCCTATCAAATGTGGTAAACGTAATGTTCCTCCATCGATTAATGGGACTCCAAATCTCCGGCAAAATATTCCAAACGTTGCAGATTGCTCGACAACTCGGAGATCACACGCGAGAGTAATTTCCATCCCACCAGCGACGGCGTATCCTTGTACGGCTGCAATCTTGGGGAAAACATAGCTGATTTCGTATCTACATATTGTCGTTAAAAGCGTAAATAATAAACTTACGACAGGTTTTTTAAATATTCTTCGAGATGGTCCCTGCACACAAAAAATAACAACATTTAGATACTTAATTAATTTAATACTTAAAATGCTACGTCTTTTATTAAATGTGTTACCAACCATTGGTCCGATTCCATCGTCATTTTTGGGGTCGTAATTTTTACTGGCGATAAAATCAAAGTCTTTCGGAAATTGGGAAACTTCTTTCAAATCTAATCCGGCACAGAAGGAGGCTCCTTTTCCGAACAAAACGGCGACAGGACTGTCGTTCTCGTTTTCAAACTCTGTCAACGCTTCATTCAATTCTCGAGCGGTTTCCAAATTGACACAGTTTCTCTTCTCGGGACGATTTAGACCAATTGTGGTGATATTGTGGTCAACTTTTTCTACGAGGACGTTTTTCCCTGGAGAAATTAAATTAGGTTTAAAATATATTGTTAATTCGATTGACTGTTTTACTATGAAACAAGTTGTCCAACTACCATAAGATCTTTGCTGGATTTGATAAGCACTGTTACAAATTCGGGGAGAAAGTCGGCTCGAGAAAGTAATTAATTTTGTAAGCGACATGATTACTTCTGGTTGTATTGTAAATTGTAAACCTTTGTTTGTAGACTTTGAACTAGGGGAAAGCCGGTATGTATATTCTGCCACGATCCATTGCTCATCTCATCTTGACTTGTTTCATGACGATGAAATGCTAATATTTTACCATTTTGACTTGCATAACGCAGTTCGAACATGACTTTGTTACAATATTCACATCATATTGTTTTATTATCTACTATTTCTTACACAAAAATAGTGTTATAAATTAAACCATAATAATATAAGTTTCCGATGACAAGTAAATCATCATCGTACTCAGCAGTCAGTATTACGAAGGAATGAATTCATATTTGTGTAACTATATAGCTTGTAATCCAGTAACAATATATTAATTAAAATAACTAATAACTAATTAGGTAGTCTCAAGGCTATAATATAATTAAAAGTATGATTATTTTTATCCCATTAATAATAACAGGTGAGGGGTCAATTACATAATATAACATTTTGCATAGTTATTGTTGATTGACGAAAATATTTGTGCAACGTAAAAGTAAAACTATAGTGAGACTAAGAATAGAGGTCTCCCAGCGTATGCTCGAAGATTTCGATTAAACTCATTCGATAATGTACTTGGGGAGCATACGCTGGGAGACCTTCATTGTAAGTAAGAAGAATACATTTTAAATTTTATATAGCTAAAATACAAATCAAGTAGTGATCCATTTGTGTCCTAAAAAGTGGACATAGTCCAACATATATCAAGTTTCTTTGAATAATTATTACGTTATAAAAGATAGGATGTAGATATATAGTTGTGGGTGAGGAAGGTGATGTATTTTTTATTCCTTAATATGTTCTGGCTCTTGCACGACTGTCGAGGACGAAGTTGAAGGAGCTTCATCAATCGTGATGACGGGCGCAACGGGCGCAGCGACTGATCCTGAAGGTACCAACTTTCTGACGCGCCCAGCCCGTGCTTCGTTGCAAACTGCGGAATTTTAAAGTAAAATTAGTTTAGGATGAAAACACTTATGTAATTGAGCACACAAACCTTGCCCGACAACCATGTAAATCTTCTTCTTTGTGTGATTCGCATCAAAGTCACTGTTGCAGATGAACTCTATAATATTTAAGACGATGATTAAGTTCCCACCGTGAAATTGATATTAAAAATGATTATTATGTATACACACTTACCGACCATGGCTTCAAGCGGCTCTGGAAGAAAGAAACGTAATTTATTTTCACCAAATACTTATGAGGCAAATAAAGAACAATTTTTTTTACCTGGTGGCAATCGCTCTTGATAATACTTTGTTCCAAATGGCGACGTATTCGCAAGCACTTGATCTTCAAAAACCAATGTTGTCAATTTCCTTGTAAGTCTTGTAGCCATTCCATCTAGAAAAAAAATTCCCATTGTACAATTAAAAACTTAAATACATGAATCAAATTTAATTAATTAAATGTATCCATACTTGATCTGAATATCACACTGATGAGTTGTTGCTGATTAACTTTCACGCTCGGAATGGGATCCCACAAAGTCACGTTCCCTTCGCTATCCACCTGTTTTCCTTGCACGTGGGCAATCAAGTTATAAACGCACTCTGGCCGAGTTCCATCCGCCTTCTTGGGCGTAACAATTTTCGGGGGAGGTTTCGGCTTGCTCGGCGTCTTGGGCTTGGGCTCCACAGCAATCTTTTTCACCTTTGGTGTCGTGTTGCCACCAGTTCGTTGTTGATTTTTCAGAATGGATGCGACATTATCATGACCTGCAAAGCCAAATTAAAACAAAGGAAATGAGGTGAATGATAAAATGCTGTCTATCTCTCCTTCGATATAATGTTATTCAATTCTGAACCTTCCGTCGTGTATTTGGCGAGTAATCATTAGAGTTTGCATAATAGATTGGAAAAGCCATAATAATATTTATCTATTTTAATCTGTATTGATTTTAATTACCAGTGAACTCTGCGTAACGTCGAGGCAGCGTGTGACGTCGTCCTCTCGTCGTGTACGTTACAACTTGCGGCTCCTCCTCCACAACATTAGCCGACTTTCGTTTCCCAACAGTTTCACGAATTTTCTTCTCCGCATACCGTCCAACTGCATACTCAATATCATCAATGTCAACCCTTTCTTCCTCCTCCTCCTCTTCTTCCATCTGTTCGTCATCCACTTCCATTTTGACTTCGGTTTTGACGTCATTCGACACTGAGGACGAAGGTCTCGATTTGCTATTGTCATCCGGAGTGGGAGCTTCCACCTCTTCCTCTGACATCTCCTCGTCATCTTCCGGTTCAGTTTTAATCTCTTCCAAAACTGGTGGCCTGTCTTTTTCTTCCTCTCCGTCGCCAGCCACTGCAACAGGTTTTTCAGCTTGGTCTGTTTTCTCAAGAGCAGGCACATTTTCATCCTTATCCTTCGTACTCTTAGCATCTGCGGCTACGCCATTTTCTGTCTTTTCTTCTTTAACAGCATCCTTTTCTGCGGCTGCAGCAGCAGCACTGGCAGCAATAGCGACCGCAGCAGCAGAAGCCATCGCTGTTGCGACCGGTTTTAGTATTGGTGGTCGTGGAGGAACATGTTTCGAGGGTGAAATAATGCTACGACGTCGAAGCACTGACGATCCATAACTTCTCTTTGGTGGGGATTTTGGTGATGCAGCAGAGGTTGCGATATGTGTATTCTTTTTCGGCATAAGTTGAGGAACGTCGATTCCCATAGATTGCAATTCATCCTCGATAAAGTTGACGCGTTGGTGGAGCATGTGCAACTCGTCTGTATAAAATAAATGTGATGAGAAACAAGGTTACAAATTATAATTAAGTGCAAATTTATGACGGATTTATGGAAATATTTACAGAATGGGTTATCAGCAGCAGCGTCTGCATCCACTTTTCTACAAAATAAATACACGATAATAATTTATCTACAATTGCAACGTTGTAACTTTAGCATAACTTGATAGAATTTACTCTGATTCGTCAAATTTGTCCATATCATCCTTCTTAGGAAACAGTTCAGTGCCTAAATGATGATTAAAATTACAAATAATTAATGACTAAAACCATAAATACTTAATAAAGACACTCATTGTATCAATTTTGACAATATTTAACATATTTTTGTGAAATCTCACCAAACATGCACTGAACCCATTCATCCAAGATTTTAAAATACGTCTGATGAATCATAACAGTGGAATATCTTTTCTCGAGCAGATTGATCCTGTCAGACAATTGTGACATCGTTTTTGACATTCCAGAATTCGCCGCACTTCCTGCGACACTGCTTCGCAACGACTTTGGTGGCATTTTTCTTCAGAATCTGTAAATATTTAATTAATAGTTAACGTTTAGTTATACCATTAATAAACAATCAACTTTAATAATAGTAAATTTCCGCTCTGAATGAAAAAAAATCACACATGGAAAATGCGTATGTTGTTGTTGGTGTCTGGAATAATATGAGATTTATATCATGGATGGAATCAAATGAGGAGAAAGTTGGTTTTTAGCATGAACATTTACGACCTAATTACAATTAACTAACTTTGGTTGAAAGTATGATGTAAATACTATTTGTAAATGTTGGTTGTTTGTTAAAATGAATGTTTTGATTGACTTTAAGTTTAATGAATGAATGCACCAGTGCATCTCAGCACTGGATTTTGTCATTTATTGGTTTGACAGAATTGATGTAGATCATGAAAAACCGGAAATGTAAAATGCTAAAGGAATGCATGATTAAAAACAATGAGACAAAAAGTCTCAACATTACTAAACTTTACCAACTTTAAATAATTATCGCAGCATTAAACAGCAAATACCGCACTATTTTTGTTGTTATCAAGTGTCTATATACACGTGTTTAAAAAACTTCTCGCCTCAAATTAAAACCATATCTATCTTCAAGATTTTGGAATTTTTCAAATTCCGAACTAGACATCCGGATTATATGCAAACTATTGCAAACCTACAATTTGCTAAATATTTTAAATGCTAAAAACCTAACACCATTCATCCACTAAATAGTGGACCGTACAGTTTACTTATCCACCAATTTATTTATCCTTCTCCTCTCAAGTAACAATGCTAAATAGTCACCTGATCAAAACTCGGACCTTATCGTGGCACCTGCTGTTTTGGAATTTTTTCAAGCTATATTAAATTAAACTGGTTTAATTTTTTGTTGACGGCAGATTTCAGACAAAAAACATCTAAAAATCGGACGAAGCTGGAAATGCAACGCAGCATCATCGCTGAATGGATTCATGCTCTTTTTTGGGGCGGAATGGAATCGGGAGGGCAAATCTCACTTATGAAAAGAAGCCGATAAAATAACGTGCTCAACACATTTTTCATTTCTTAAAAAAGTTTTGAAATACTTGTTGCAGTTATTTTAGTTTTTGAAAAAAGACGAGTAAAGATGTACTCCGCGATGGAGTATGGTTACGGGATGAGAAAGCGGCCCGTCGAAGAGGTCACGTTTTACCGGCAGAACAAGAAAGGGAAACCTTTAAAGGTATTTAGTTTTAGTTTTGAAAGTTTTAATTAATATTTATCATCTTGTTAATGTGTCGTATCTTTGTTGCCTGTTTTTTGCAGATATCACGAGAAAAATACCTTCGAACAGATATTTGTTGTGGGGTGAATGGATGTAAAAAATGCATCGCGACGGACCGGTCTTTATGTCGATTGGAAATTGCTCCTGCCATCAATTCGAAAAAGTTTGACTTTAAACATTTCATATTGCCAGATGCCGGTTTCATTATTCGACAGGTGAGCTATTCCTTAGAGAGGAGATGACATATGCAATTAATTTACAATGTTCTTTTTGCAAATAGACGGACGTTCTGGACGACTTGGATAATGTGATCCTTCTTCAAAGCGTGATGGAAGAAGTCTACAAGAGAAATGTGACAAAGTACAAGCGCATTCGAAATGGGGTGAAGACCAAGTCCTGGACCTACTTTTTGAACGAACATAGCAAGTAATGAGCTATTCAAATTAAAGTTCTGTTCTCATTCTGGATAATTTTCTATATTCGTGCAATTATTAGGGACACATTTGTCAATCGAAAACCAAATGAAACAACGGATGAAAGGAATACCCGAGAATTTGTCCAATGTTATAAATATTTCACCGAACACTTGGCATCCTTTGGGATTAAAGTAATCATTTTCAGTGATAACCCTGCCTTTCGAGAAGAGGTGGAGAAAATTCATGGGGGTGACGTTCTCCTGGCCTCGGCCGAAGAGTACGTACTAACAATGACAGATAAGTTCAAGGATCTCATGGATCGACTCTGTCTCATCCCGTACAATGAGGATGAAGGTTAACTTATTTCCTGGATTTCTTTTTGTTAACGTAGGACTCATCATCAAAATCAGCACATTTGTAATCATTTCTCGGCTCTGTGTATTTTTAAATTTTGGACGCAAATTTGTCGTCCAGAATTTTAAAATACATTTTCAGAGACGAGAAATGATTAAAAGTTTGGTAATTTGGACAATTTGTGTGAAAAGTCCTACGTTAACTCTCTTAATTTCTCTCAGCAATAATCATTAATTGTTGTAAATTTACAGCCGTAAAGAAGTATCAAGACTTCACATATCCACCTCACTTTGATTCAAACCTTCTCCAGGCTGGGATAAAATCTGGGAAATATTATCAAGGAGCCTTCCGCAGCTTTAATTTCTTTGAAGGATTCGTCCGCATTGAGGATGATGCTTCTGCAGCGAACGCAAAGTCAGGACCACGTAAACAGAAGGACGACTTGGCCTACAACGAGATCCTTTTGCAGGGCTTGGAAAATGTAAACCGAGCCTGCGAAGGGGACATTGTTGTGATTGAAGTCCTCCCCGAAGACAAGTGGTCCATCCCGTCTGGCATGGTCACCGTCGACGCGATCGAGAAGGAATCTCCTCTCGTGGCGGATAAGGTCGTTCTTGAAAATGTGGAGACCGACGTGGACGTTCAAGAACATGAGGATCGTCTCGAAGAAGAGGAAATTTTCGCCGCTGTGGCCGAAAGTGTGAAGAATGTGGGGGAGAAGAAGCGGCAGCGAACGGGACGCGTGATTGGAATAATTCGGCGAAAGTGGCTCCCCATTTGTGGCATGATTAGAAAGAGTTTGAAAGAAGGGACCAGTTTCCACTACTTTTTCCCAGACAATAAGAAAATGCCTAAAGTGAGGATAGAAACGAGAAACGTGGACAGGTTTGAGGGGCAGAAAATTGTCGCTCAGATTGACCAGTGGCCTATCTCTTCTCGGTTTCCCGTGGTACTTATTTTGTGACACTTTTTTATCGAGCTAATGACGAACAGACTATTATTATTATTATTATTTATTACGGATTATTATTTATTTAATCTCTATTTTAGGGACATTACATCAAAATCTTGGGACCCGCGGGGACTATCGAGACGGAAACTTCTGCAATTCTCCACGAGCACGGGATCCCTCACGACCCATTTTCTAAAGCTGTTGAAGCCTGTTTGCCCCAAATGCCGTGGACAATTGATCCTAGTGAGTACGCAAAACGGAAGGATTTCCGAGATATCATCGTCTGCTCGGTGGACCCTCCAGGATGCACAGATATTGACGATGCCCTTCACTGCCGACGACTTGATGATGGCATGTACGAAGTTGGTGTGCACATTGCCGACGTGTCATACTTTGTGCAACCGAATAACGCACTCGACGATGAAGCTGCCAAGCGGGGGACCACGGTGTATCTTGCTGATCGTAGGATTGACATGATTCCGCGTAATTAACTGCATTTTACTAATCTGCTACTCTTAATTCCCGTGCCCTTCTTAATTAGTCGGTCTACTCACCCATAGCTCTGATCAGCTCCAACTTGGCCTCTCTTCACTCTGGGACGGACAAACTCGTGTTTTCCTGCATTTGGACAATGACACCGAGCGCGGACATCTTGGACACGAAATTTTACAAGGGCATCATGAATTCCAAGTCTGCCATGACATATGCCGAGGCGCAGGCGCGGCTCAATTCTAAAACTACCGGAGATCCCATAACGGACTCGCTGCGAGGGTTGAGCACTTTGGCACAGATTCTCAAAAAGAAGCGATTTGATAACGGGTACAATTTTTGACGATTTTGTGACTTGACCAACTAAATATTTGGACAATATACTATCAGGTTAATCGTCTTGATTTCTTTTACAGCGCATTAATGCTCTCCGCCAGCGAGGTGAATGAAGAAGGCGAAATTGAAGACGACTGTGAAGAGTCACACTCGCTTGTCGAGGAATTTATGTTGCTCGCGAATTGTTCCGTGGCTAAGTTCACGTTGGAAACTTTTCGCGAGTTTTCTCTCCTTCGTCGCCATCCGATCCCACCACCAGCCAATTTTGAACCACTGCAACTCGCCGCAAAAGCTCACGGCATTAAGATCGTGGTGGACGAGGGTTCGAAAGCTCTTAACGAGTCCCTCGAACGTCAACCAGCCGAGTTGAAAAGTATTTTACGAGTTTTAACGACACGATGTATGACGCAAGCTTTGTACTGCTGTTCCGGTACGACGCCTCCCGACGAGTATCCTCATTTCGGTCTGGCTGCAAAGCTCTACACCCATTTTACATCGCCCATTCGAAGATATGCCGACTTGATGGTGCATCGCCTGCTCGCCATAGCTATTGAGGTGGACCGTCCCAATCCTAGAATTCTGGATTCTCAAAGGATGCATGGAATCGCGGAGAATATTAATTTGCGACATCGAATGGCACAGTATGCATCCCGAGCGTCGTACAATATCCACAAATCGGTTTGAATTTATATTAAGTCTTCAAAATTTATTTATTAGGATATTAATTGGTCGTGTTTTTGGGTGTAGAAAACTCTGAAGGGGAAGAATGAAGAGGAGCACACCGGTTTTGTTCTGTTCGTTAAGCGGAACGCGTTGCAAGTCTTTGTCCCTCGCTACGCCATGGAAGGCTTCATCTTTTTCCCGAAGGATATGCAATACAACTATAACGAAAAGGTTCGTAACGAAAAACTTTTTTTTTTGAGTCAGGGCTTATGTAACTGACATGTTCGTCCGTCCGATCTAAACGATAAAGCCAAAACGGTTTGGTGCCAAATACTAATACTATAAAATATTTAACAAACTCGACCAGGGCTGATAATAGTAATAGTTCGGTCAATTCGGAAAAAAATTAGAATCGGACTGTCTCTGACTTGACCTTCCTAAGTTAAGCCTACCCACTGGAGGGTTTTAATACTTCCCCTAATATATGACAATTTTGATAATTTTGTTGGATTCGGTGACCAAATTACCTTTGGACGATGTGCAATATTTCATATAAGCTTATATTACATCTCTCATATTTTACAGGATGGCGAAATTACGATTGGAAGTACAAAATTCCGCTCCCTGGACCGACTCACGATCGGGCTCTCCCTCGAAGAAGAAAAAGACCGAGTTGTTTTCCGCCTTTTGAAACCCGAGGTGGCCGGACTGAGTGATAAACCTGCATCTTCAACCAAATAACTTATCCTTAAAATAGTTAAACCATTATTATTACCTATCTTTTTATTGTATTTTTGTATCGCATAGTTCATTTGCATACACAAAACATTAGTGATTTGGTCAACTAAAGATAGGATTTTTTGTATCCGTATATATAAAATTGTTTTTACTGGAAAACATGTCTCAACTTATTATAATTTAGCTTCACTTGTCGTAGTTTCAATTTCCTTGGATGGATTAGCAGTCTGTTTCCTGAATTGTTCCAAGCGCTCTTGACTTTTGAGCGAGGATTTAATGGTTTTGGCATATTCGTGAGCGAGGGGACCATCCCAAATCTCGAATTCGGTAGGCAAATTGTCCACGTAGGTTTGAACTTGTCTGAACTGTTCTTTCTCTTCCAGGTCGATCTTCACTTTTCGCTTGGTCGTCGTCGTCTTTGCCCCAGTTGTTGCGATATGGTCGACGAGTTGTTTCGCTTTGGCGTGGATTTGTAAGACGTGAACGAGGCTGCTAAGCTGTCCAATATGATTGTCCAGATCAATAAGCGAGGGCGAGATGGAGTACACCGACGTACTGGCGGTATTAATCAGCACGGCAAGGACTATGCTCTCTAACCTGTTGTAATCTGGCATGGGTGGGATTTCCCGTATTGTGACAGGTGGGACGATGATTTCCCACAATTCGCAAATTTGGAAGGATTCCAACACTCTCTGAACTGCTTGAATGTTACAAATGGCCTTGTTAATGATCCTGATTTGCTGGTAGATCGGGGTGCAGACGATGTCGGCTTGATACGCTTTGGACACGTCGCGTAAGAAAAAGGTTGACCAGGGTCTCACCTTGCCGTCGTCATTTGTCTTCTCTCGAACTGTGAACTCCACATCTGAGTCGATAAACTTTATGAAAACATCGTTCCTGGTCTGTGGATCAGCAGGTTCGTCCTCGTCGCAAGGAGTGGACGCATCCGGTTGGGGGACCACCTTGAAAGGGATGGTTTGACGAAACTTGACAACTTGAGGGTGGAGTTTGATTGCCTCGTCGAGTGTTTTGAGATCGTTTTTTATCTTGGAGAAGACGGCCATAATTGTGCGAAAGGTTTTGTCCAACTCGGTCGTTTTCTCGAGCAGCTTTTCATTGGCGAAGGTGAATTTGCGGAGGTAGGAGAGTGTGTTGCAGTGCCAGCGTTCGATCGTTTGCAAGGTGAGGTGGATGAAGTGGGCGAGCTGGTTTCCGTGAGAGGGGGGAGCCGCGCGGTCTTGTGAGGTGATGCAGTCCATCGTCTCGTAGACAAATTTCTTGGCGATTTCGACCCATTGTTCCAACTTTCTGACGGCATCGCTCATCGTTTTGATACCGTCGCCACAGAGAGCGATGTACTTGGGGTCTAGGTTCACTCCTTTGGAGAGGACGTATTCCACTCGTTTGCATTCACGCCGGGTGTCGCGAAATCTAGAATTTTATGGATAATTATGATAATCTGTGAAAATTGATGTATATTTTTTAAAAGTCGCACAAGAAGCAAGTTTGCTGTACACTTCGGCTCCATTCGGCTGGCAGGTCAAAGTCTTGAGGAGCAGCGTCACCAAAGTTTAAGCGCTCGTGGAGTGGAATCTGCTCAGTCGTGGTGGTGGTGGAGGGCGTCGGAATATCGCCAAAATTAGTGTTCGGGATGGATAGGCTATTTTAGGACGTGATTGAATTAATGAATGAATTAACTAGTTAATTATTTAAAGTTGACGTACAAGTGTACTGAGTTTTCTCGGCTTTCTCCTGATCCACCGTCATGACTTTCATACGTAGCAGCACCACCTTTCCCTACATTCCTCCGATAGCTAAAAGATTGGGAAAAAATAAATTTAAGTAGCAACTTAAGTAGTAATTAATTAATTAGTCAGTTTCATTTCAAGCATCTTTGCGAAATAGGGGTACCCAAAAGTGCGTTTCTTGCACTGGAAAGTAAGAAATGCAAGAAATTAAAGGTGCAAGAAAATGTAAGAAACGAGCGTCATCTTGCGCCGTGCCGTATGAACTATGGCGGCGTGGCGTAGTTTCTTGCGCCTTCGATTTCTTGCAGGTAAAAATAGCTGCAAGAAACAACTTTCGTGCCGCTATTTCTTGAAATGGTTACTTGGACCCGAAACATGTGAAATATACGTGTGGCCACTCACATTTCCGTTGCATAGCCATCGACCTCAATTTTTAGGTCGACTCGTGCCCACTTATCGAGCGGCATTCTTCTCCCAAATCCCTTCGCAACGTCGCGTCTCCTTGCTCGCAAGGCCATCACTGTGTCCGCATATCCGCCCACACTGTCCTCAAGATGGGCCACGATGTCATACAGCCGATTAAGTAGATCCCCATTGACAAGGGTTGAGCAGTGCATCTGGACTTCCTCAGAGGGGTAAAAGGGGGCCATTCTTGTGGAGAGAAGCTCCCTCTGCTCCTTCATCTCAGCTAAAATGCTCTCCCTCCCAGAAGCAGGGACATTGTTGTTATTGCTGCTGCTCCTCTCCGCACTGGACAACATGTTGACAAAGTGTTGCGCGATTCTGCCGACCCGCGGAACAAAGTCGTTCGCCCCTCGGACAAAGTGCTGGATGAGGATCTTCTTGTCTTGCAGGCTTTTGACCGAGTTGAGTTTGACCCAGGCCTGCTCCGTCTCACTCTTGACGCGAAACGTGACCCCGTTCAAGTCCCAGCGCAGCTCCATGACTTTATTCCTTCCCTTGGTCGACTTGATGAGGTGATGATGCTCGAAATGCTTGTGGGGATGACCCCGTTCCGCCCGTCGTTTCAAGTCCATGATGAGCTTTGCCTTTTCCGTGCACTCGTACTCTGTCTCCGCCCCGATCAGATTGGCCCTAAACTTGGCTCGTGACGCCTTTTCCACCCGTACGAACTCGTGCTGTAGCTTGGCCAGAGTTTTCTGCACTTTGAGAACGTCGTCCTTGAGGAGTTTGCAGTTTTTTGCGAACTTTTCAATGCAGTCTTGAGCGAGGGATTTCAGTTCTGGCTTCCTTTTTGGGGGAGCATTCTTGAGGGTGAGGGTGACACATTCTTCCACCACCCAGATCCAGGCTTCCCATGCGGTCACGGGGAGAAGGTAGTCCGTAATAGGGATGGTCCTCGTGACATGATTCGACGCCATTTCGAGGAGCTGGACAGCCTCCATTAGCTGGAATGTTATGGCGGTGGCGACTTCCATGTAGTTTCGATAGGCCGAGATGGTCGTCAGCTCGGTGTGGTGACGACGTTGTTTCTGTAGTTGGGAGTCCTCATTGGTCAGCGTGGTGGTGGGGATGAGGGAGCAACTGTTGTCGTCAAAAGCGGGAGAGTGTTTCATGGAGAAGAGGAGTTTGATTTCATCCTGGTCATCAGAAGTAATTTCGGGGCGAGAAATTCCATCGTCCTCGTCGCCACCGTCCAGCTGGTGGTTGCCATCCGGGAGGAATGGACAGGCGACGGAGATGCTGCCCTGCGTCGAGGTTGATTGCTCGTCCGGGGAGCTACATGTTATCGGGATAAGACAGTCGAGGTTAAAAATTTTGAAGGTCGATGATACTAAAAATTGCCTTACATATAGCGGAGAGGTTCATTTTCGAGTTGTTGCTGGTCCTCAAGAACGACGTCCATCTTTACTGATCAATTTAGATAAGAAGATATCGCTTCGGTTGGTTGGAGAATTGTTCATGAGGGATTTATTCCAAATCGGGGTGGATCATGCACCAGTATAAAACGCCACCCCCGTTTATTTAGCCGTTGCCCGATGGGGGTTGTTTTCGAATAAAATATTTGGACTTTTTTTTGCAATCACAGGTTATCAATTTTGAATTTTGGTTGTGGTTGTCATGAAAAACTTTTGTGTTTGAAAAAAAATCATGAAGATAATTCATGAAGTGATAGTTGGGGCAAGGTGGGATGGGTGCACAGCGGGGAATTTGAACAGTGGCACGATCACATCCTCCTCGAACATGAGCTGACGCAACGTTTTCTTTATCGAGACATTTTTTAATTAAAATAAAATAAATTTAATGATGATTAGGCACACTTAGTTATCAGAGAAGCAGATAAGTGCTGGTTGTGCTGGGAGTGTCGTGTTGTAGGTCCTTGTAAGTTGGTCATTCTAATTTCTTAATTTTGCTGTTGGTCAGAGGGCGTTTTAAATTACAACTTTTAATTTTTAATTTGTAATTATTTAAAGCTTCAAATTAATGTAGCTAATGTAAGTTAGTGTAATTACAATGGTTAATTGTTTATTATTCATTGTCCAATTACAAACTAGCAATGAACTGAAATTAGGTTTTATATTATTTTAATTTAGAGAGAGAGAGAAGAGAGAATTATTTTAATTATTTTTAGATAAGTAATAAACATTTTCCTTCTCTGTGCTTGGTGAACAGAGGCTGATAGACAACAGTTGATGAACTGAACTGACCACCGACAGACACCCAGGAACAGCAGCAGTCGCCTCAGTACAAATTTGGAGGAAGACTGAACATTTATCAAAGACGGTAAATAAGTTTTTTATGAGTGTTGAAAACCAAAAACGTTCTCGTATACTATCATATTTTTTTTTACTACAGGTTTCCAATTCGAATTGAAGACTTGAACATTAAGGTAAGATCGTATACTGGGTATAGTTCTCCATAAGCAACTTTGTTCTCCTCCACGCTGCTGATATAGATTTCGAGTTGCAGTCAATTAATCAATTAAAATGTCCACGTCGCATCCCACATTCGTCGAGGTCATCACAAGTGACAGTGACGCCGACGACAACGATTCTTCTGATGCCGAAGTTCAATACGTGCCTTACGTAAAACCTCCCCCTCCTGTGATAGACTTGTTAATGTCATCTTCCGAAGACGAGGAGGAAGTTTTAAGTAAAAAGAAGACGTCGAAACCGGAAAAATCTACACCAAATGATGCAAAATGGATTTCTACCAACCATAGTCGACCCTCCTCCACCTTGCATTACCCCCCAGCTCGCGGTGACCATAATGCTGACCAAAGTCTTTCGAAAGCAAAACCAGCCTCTGAATTTCCTCCTCCAATTCCTCCGACGCGTGTATCAAATGCTGGCCAAATCGCGGAACGAATACTTATTCATGCCTCGGGGTCAAAAAAGAGTGATGGCGCTGGCGACGACGGTGAACGTAGTAATGGCTATAAAAGTACCGGGTGGGTTATTGACACTAATGGTCGTCATGATCCTAGCTCGAATACAAATGTTGTCCTGAACAGTTCACTGTCCAAGAGAAATGATGGCGATGATTCACTTCATCGCCACAATCAGCAGCAGCAACCACGGGTTGTTTACCATTCAACTGCTGACGCTGCGCCATCTTTTCCCAGTATGCCGAAAGTTGGAGGTTCATCCGTATATGATTTTGAGTCGGGTAATAATGATACGCTCGGAGGTAATAGAGGAGCCGCCCCCTTGCCAAGTTGTGCTTCCACCACCAGAAATAATAATGATGGTGATGTTGGCGTCGACACTAATGTTGATGCACCAGCGAAACAACTTGGTGACACTGGTTGTCATAATCAGGTGGGCGGAGGAGGAAATCATGCAGCTCAGGGTCAAAATGGTACACATCCCACGATGTGGTTGCCTCAAAGCAGTGGACGGGTCAGCAAGGGGTTGCTAGTCGAGCCGCCGGTCAATGGACTAGCGGCCACCGCAGCTACAACTCCTAGTCCTGCTACTGCTCCTGCCCGAAAACGCGTTTCAAAACAGCAGAGGGCGAGACAGCGAACGAATGAAGAAATTAACAATTTTTTAACGACGCTGGGAATATTCGAGCCCAATGAAGCTCCTCCTGCATCGACTCCTCCGAAACGGGTGAGAAAGTCGAGGGCACGACCTTTGATAATTCCTCCGAACGTTCAAGCTCTCTCGTTGATTCCGCCGCCTCCACTGATGGACTCAGGTACAGCTTCGTTTTTCAGTTTAACATTACATCAGGCCAGCACGGGGATATAAAATCATACTTTTTTTTTATAGATCCGTCGAGTCTCTTCCCAATTTCGACGACAGAAGTAAATGATGTGACTTTGCCGGCGACGGCGGTGACGACCACGACCACGAATGAAACAGAGGTGGTGCCAGTGACGATGGAGATAGTTTCAGAAGACGTTGTTGCATTACCAATAGTCAATCAGCCAGCTACAGCGACAGTTGAAAAGTCTGCCGACCGACACACTGACACCGTCCCCCCTGACGTGGAGAAACTGTTTTGTCAACCTCCATTTAATCCTCATATACCAAACCCTGAAGTAGGAATTTTGACTAGAACGGAACGTGCTGCGTTGTCATTTAATGTGTCTTCCGTTCTTGCTCCTACTACTTCGTCGCTGCCGTCCGATCCTAACCCTCCTACTGACAGAAATGTCAGTCTGAACAGTAATGATGCGCCGCCACAGACTAACAGCAAATCGGATAATAATGATACAATACTTCTATCATCCGAATCGGACGAACCAGGTCAATCTGGGGTCGAGTCAGTCCCAGCAACAACGAGTAAAGCTCCGCTATTGAATTTTTCTACTGAGAAGATGACCGAATCTACTACTAACTTCCAATTAAATTTCCCCCTCGAGGGTAATTTCGAAGATAATAACGATAGTGACGACGAAGGAGGCTATACTAAATCACTTCCAGCTTATTTGCCTTCACACTGGACACCCACAATGGTCAAATACTACGATTGTGCAGCAACCGAAGATTTTAGACTGTCCAAAGTGCTGGCAAGCATGTCAGGTATGTATGTAGGTTAAATTGAGAAGGTATTTAATTAATTACAGTGTTTCACAATGTTTGATTTCCTGAACTGAATAGATGATCCTGAATTATGGGAAACGAATGAGAGAAGATTTCCAAGGCAGAAAATGAATTCCAGAGTCCGTTGCCTGAACTGCAACCAGTTTGGCCATGTTGTTTGGAAATGTAGTGAAAAAAAGAAGCAAGCCATTTGCCACTTGTGCGGACAGAGTGGTCACGGTTCGGTGGCCAAAAATCGTGATTCGGGAAGACAAACGCGTTGTCCAAACGCTGTCTGCCTAAATGTAAAACCAACCACTTGAATTTTTCATAGGTTTTATGTCATACTTTCGGTTGCGAATACTGAGATTTTTTGTTTTTGTTTTGCAGTGTGGAAGGAAACAGAGGGGCAGTATTTCTCACGGCTGTCCACAATGCATCTACACCAAATATCCAGTAAAGTGTGGATCATGCTCCATCGAGGGACACACGACGTCTCATTGTCCGGATAATTGGCGACGTTTCTTCTCCACCACCACCACCTCGATGACTGGACGAGAGAAAAGAGGGATTGCGGCTGCCTTTGGAGATAAACCAACCTATCGACTCCACAAGGACACGTATTGTGCGACTTGTTCTCAAAAAGGCCACGGTTTTTTCCACTGTCGATCCCACTGTAGGACGAGTGGCGATAAATATGCTAGACAGAATCCCAGGATTTTTCATGAACTTCCAAGAATACAACCGGTAGCATCTGCGGTAAGAGAAGAAGAAGAAAGGATCGTCTCGCGAGAAGAAATTCTTATTGTGTCGAATTCTTCTACATCATCTCTTGTTCGCCGCCCTGACTCGGTTGACGATCGCCCTGCTACAACAAATAATCATGAACAACAAGATGACCAAATCCTGGAAGAAGTTGTACCATCGCCTCTTTCTGGTAATTCTTCTATTCAGTACGTGGGTTCGATTTGAAACATTGAAACGCGTTTTCCGGGAAAGAGGGGGCGAGACCTATACATACTTGATGTAGGATCCGTTATTTTACAGGCGTGGGAATTTTCCAGGATTTTTTATTTTATTATTTTTCTTTTCGTTTAAAAAAATCGCACTCACGATTCATTTGAATAACCTCATGTTCATATATAATTTCTATAATTTTGTTGTTTACCACCATTTCAGAAAACGGTGATGACAATACGATGAAAAAGTGCATGGATCCAGAATGTCACAATCGACTAAAGGAGAAAACCTACTGTCACGAAATGCCCGTCGCACCAAAAGAGCACCGATTATTACTCAAGGCCCAAGAAGATAATAGGATAAATCTCATGCTAGGAAACACCGATCAGATTACAGTGCTTCAGAAACGTCATGCCGTCCATATTTATGGCGTTGACGTTGTCCAAAGTCAGGTGGACATGTTACTCTTGGTATCTAAACTGAATGCGGAAGCGCGTAAAAATTCTGCAAAACTAAAGAAAAATAACCACACTCCTGAAGTGATCACGCTGGATGATGATGATGACGATAAAGATGAGTCGGAACGGGGTGCAAATTCTAACGAAAAGGTGACAATTGCTCTCTTACATTCTGAATGGGGCCCAATGTTGGACGAATTGAAACCCAACGGATTCATTACTCGGCTCATCGAAATGTTCAAAGTTGACATTCACGTTTCAAAGGAGATGGTCACAATTGAAAATGGGACTCCGGCCGGGAAAATGATGGCTCATAAGAATATCGTCGACTGGTTAGAGTGCCTCTCGGCCAGTGTGAAGTACACGATGAAGATGAAGTTGGACGTGGAAGATGGTGACACAAGTGTGAGCATCATTGGTGATAATGGTATTAGCTCGTCTCCCGCAAAGAAAAGGAAACGGCCACGCCAAGTCCAACGCCCGCACAGTAGAAGGTTCAACAAACGTCAACGACTCAGTAATAATAATCAAAGTCAAACAATGATGGTAGACAATTCAACGCCAAATTCTTCTCAGGCTCAACTATCTAACGAGTTTAGAAGGGGTACAAGGAGCAATAATTCCAACATTGGAGGTTTCGATCATCAGCCTTGGGAGTATAACTTCCCACAATTTAATGATTTAACTTCAAAGTCTGCATCGATAACCGATAAGCAAAGGAAACATTTAATTCGAAAACAACGAAGACAGAGGCAGAAGATGAGGAAACAACAACAACAACGTCAGTTATCCAATGCAGGTCCGACCCAGCAGAATGATGGGTTCACACCATTTTATAGTGACGATTATGATCCACCTGCTCCTCTTCTTCCCATTCCGCTAATGAGCACAGACTTTTCTCCGCCTTTTTTCCATGCACAGCAACTCGTACCACCCGAGTTCTTGCCCCGAGGGGGGCAAGGTGGCCCTCCTTCTTCCCAGCCTGCGGACTATATTGCTTTCCGAGTCAGCGAAAGCGAGCTGCCGCGCGGACGTTCACATAACAAGAAGGGTACTGGTGGCAAGTGGTTAAATGGTCGGGGAGGTAGCCGTAGAGATAGATTTGTCCCCAGCAAGAATAGAGGACGTGGGGGTGGTAGTGGGGGACATGACAGACCTCGGTACTACAAGGATGGCAAAAATGATAACGTCTGACCAAGTCAAATTTAGGTACTTTCCAAAGGATTGATTAGTGTGGTGTGATGTTTACTAATTAATTAAGAGTGTTTCTTAATTATTACGTATTTCATAATTAATATTTGGCAAATTCTTCTCTGACTATTCGATCCCTCAAAATACACTTATTATGAATTAAACAAAAACAAATAAGTGACCGAATAAATAAAATTGTGAACAATTAATTTCCATATTACGGAATTTTCTATTTTTTCGCACTTCATTCTTTACTTTATTATTACACTTATTTTTTACATCACAGTCGCACAATTCGAACAGAGTATTAAAAATATCATCAGATCAGAGGGCTCATCTCACTCTATTCTTCTTGCTATTTATTACATTTCATTACGTATCTCGTTTCCCACGAATGGAATTTGTAGCTAGATTTCATGCAAAGATTTACTTCAACTTGATCACGCCGCCGCGGTGACGACTTCTTGGACTTTCTTTACTTTTTGGAAATACTTCTGAATCTCCTCCATCGTGCGTCCTTTCGTCTCCGGACAGCACAGCCAGACGAAGGCTACGCCCAGGAAGGAAATGCCCGCAAACATGGCGAAACACCAGTGAACGCCAAGAGTAGTTTCGACATAAATCATCCCAAAGGTCGCCGTGAAGCCGAACCCCCAGTTGACCGAGGTGCCAATGGCGGACGCCAGGCCCACCATGCGAGGACTGTTGAGCTCCCCAATGAGCAGAAATGGCACGGGTCCTTAATTAAGCATTAGTAATTTAAATATGTGACATGACGGCTAATTTTTGCATAAATATTTAACTAATTACCAATTCCGATGGCGAAGAATGTAATGAATCCGGCCAAACTGAGGAGTGGGATCCACCCAAATCCATCCACAGCGTGGGGGTCGGTTTCTTTAAAGTAGAAAAATGCTGCCAACATCAACGTGGACACGGCAGCGCCTATTTCAGATATAAAATGAAGAAAGGTTCAATTTTATTATGAACTCGAAAAATTATAGCGACATTTTCTGAATTATTTACTTCGACTCTTATACGCACGCACCCAATTCAGAGAGGAGAAGAAGCTTTCTTCTCCCTGCACGGTCAACGATGACGACTTCGCTGAAGGTGGCGACCACTTGGAGCGCCCCGACAATTATGGCACAGTAGTTAGGATCCCAATTTGAGCCGGCTTCTCGGAAAATGTGGACCGTGTACATGAGGACAGCTTCGATGCCGGAGAGTTGTTGGAAGAGGAGGAGCATGAGACAGATTCCCTGCATTTTCAGGCACCATTATTAGTCGCAAAATTTTGCAAAAAGATATTAAATTGCTACATTTATCTCACCATCGGCTTAATTGTCCGCATTTTGAAAAAATCTCGGATCGATTTTTTCTTATGCGAGTACATGGTGAGATTCGCCATGATCTATTTGCATTAAAGGCATTCATAAGTTAGTTTAACGTGTGGGACTAGATGACTCATCGCCAAAATCATCAAAATCGACACTTTTAATTATTTCTCGGCTCTGTTAAGTGATTCTAAAATTCTGATTCTGATAAAATTTGTGGAGCAGGGATTAATTGCCAATTTGTACAAAAGATTTTTGCAGTTTTTGAGCTCATCTCAAGTTTAAGAAGCCTTATTAGAACCCATCCAAAGTGGCTTAAAAACTTATCCCCATTCTATTAATAAATTTACTGACAATTGTCGTCCGGAATTTTAAAATAAATTCTCAGAACCGAGAAACGATGTGCAGATTTGGAAGATTTTGGGTCCTACATTCATATGAACGAAGTATGATTTTTTTGTCGTCTCACCGACTGAAACTCTGGATGGACTTGTTCCGGACAATCGGCTCCTCTGAGCCACATGAGGGCAGCCATGGCCTCGTCGTTCTTCTTCCTGGAGAGAAGGTACCTCGGCGAGGCTGGGACCCAGAGGAGAAGAATGAGACCAATCAAGGGTCCCACGCCACAGCCAACAGCCAACCACTGCCAACTCACAAACGTTCCCAAAACGTAGGTGAAAAGTATGCCCAGCGTCGCCATCAGTTGGAAACTAACAATTTTATCATAATTTTAGGCCTTTGATGGCATCGAGTTTCGTCACATTTGAGAAAATACCTCGACCCAAACAGACCACGACGACTTTTCTCACTGATTTCTGCCACATAAATCGGCGCCACTAAACTCGCACCACCAGCACAAATTCCTGCAAAAAAAAGAGTTAATGTCAACCTTTGCATGTTCTTGCAGCTTGTTTTTTTTCTTCGTACCTGTGAGGACACGACCGATGAAGAACATTGTCAAATTGTGGGAGGCAGCCATGAGAGCGTATCCCGTCACGAAAACGACGCTAACCATGATAAGGACTCCTTTCCGACCCATCGTATTGACCAGAAATCCGATCGGTGGTCCGGACGCCATTGCACCAAGCTGTACACAAAAATGGCATTTTTGGCTCCTAATTTCTCATCAATTATAAAATAACTAGCAATGGAGTTCTCCCAGCGTATGCTCTCCTATTTTGACCTAACTTGTGTCAATCGATCGCAAATTTAATTATTCGCAAATTATTTGCTCCTCTTCGGATGCAAATATCTCGGCGAAACCTGCGCATTGGGAGATCATGTCTTCTGCAAATTTCATCCGAATTAAATTTGTGATCGATTGACATTAGTGTACTCAAAATCGGAGCGCCTACGCTGGGAGACTTTCATTGTTAGCAATAAGTAATTTACGACTTGCAACGTGAAAATGTCGTCTCAGAAGAAGAGGGGAATTTGAGACGTGTATGTAGCTAGTAGTGAAAGCAGCTATGTAGAGACGACGACATATCTATATTTTTGTGAATGGTGACGAAAATCTCACCAGGGCGGAGGACGCGATAAATCCCAGCACGTTCTTATCCAGGCGACCGAAGGGTTCCTCCTCCATTTTAGGCAATGCGGGGGACGTCCAGGCCTCCACCGTCCCCATTCCAAAGGCTGCCAGCGTGGCTGCAAGAGAAAGTTGGTGGTCAGGAAGAAGGCCATCATTGTGACACGTGGGACGCCATTATGACATCACGAGATGACCAACCTGCCAGCGTTGCTAACACTTGTGGATAGATTTTTGGCTTGAATAACGACCCAGAAGAATTATCCTTATCACCGTCACCTGGCACGTTCTCTTTTTCGTCGTACGCCGTCATCATCTTATCACCCTGTTTGTTTTATTGTTTGTCGCAAAATTATGTTTTAACGAGCTAGCAAAAGAAGAATTATGTCGGAATTACAAGTATATATTTGTCTTTCTAATGAATATGTAAATACGTATCCCTTCTCACTTTCAACCCATTACCACCCTTTTTTCTGATCGTCGTCCTCGTCGTCTACCGACGTTGACAAGATAACGACGCGGAGGAGAGTGAGCTGAAAAACAGCGTCGCAATCTCATTTATATAATTAGTTCACGGAAAATTATGTATTCATAATTAATGGGCTTATTCGTAGCAGAGTAGTAGAACATGCATAATATCACCCACATCACCACTTATGTGTTTTCTTTTCTCCCTGTTTGCTATGACATGCTCCTGGTGTTTATCAAGTTTTAAACTTTTTATGCTAATTGCACCACCAACTAACTAACGATCGTCTCATGGGGTGATACTTAAATACGTATTTGTTTGCAGTGAACAAATAGCACGGCGTGCAGTCACGTATAGATTTTCGATGTATTTTGTTAATCAGATAACGCCACCTAATTCGGAACGGGTGGTAATTATGCTAGATTTCGAGATGATAATCATTGAATATCCTGCTTTGACAGGTGGTCGTCACTTTATCGTGCAAATTTGAAGCATTGTAATCATTATGGGAGATCATGACCTAAAGTGTGAGCAGGTCGCCAGTGAAATTCCCCAATTAAAAAATAAATCATATTGGAATTATGTCCTGGAAAATTTTGGTAATTTTTATAACCGATGAGAAATTGAGTACTAGTCATGTGACTGGCTAGAAAATAAGTCAATTATTTATGAACTCTTGACCTCTGAGGTCGTCCTCCAAGGTGAAGGCGTATCGATTTTAATGCGTAACAAAACAAATGTAATCTGCTATCTGTATTCAGTTATTCAATTTCATTTGTTTGTTTTTTTTGTTGGGTTTGGATCAATTACAATTTCAAATTTTAATCTTTGTGTGAAGGACAAAGATCGCAATTTTTTTCGTTGTGCAATTCGGATTTAAATTACCATTCCTATTTATTTGTGATGGAGATTTATGGGGGGGCTTGATGTCATAATACATAAACACGGAGTTTTTTTCTAATGCTAAACTGACATCTTGATCAATTATGATTTTCGGAATAAGTCAGATTTATTTAAGTGAAATTGGTTATCAAACTGGGCAGCTGGTGGATACATTGATTTTTGGAGGTGGTTATGTGATCGATCACTCTTTTATTCACATGTAAAGAGGACCTCGTCAATTATTGTCGTGCATCTGACACGCGTTTGTTAAGCGCATGCGACTGGATATTTTTTGCAAGAACGCGAACATTCTGTACAAAATATGGAAAATATTCAATCAAGTTTTATAATGCGAATATTTAAAACATTTTGATTATTATAGATGACAAAGTTGTATAATAATTGGTTAAATATTGTGTGAGAGGCAATATGAGACATTCAATCCAAGTCTTGTAATCCTTAGATATTTTTAATTAGCTCTCTAATAAGTTTCAATTAATTGATATTTCTACACAAAGATCTTAAAGACTGTTTTTAAAAAATAATAGAAAAATTAATTTCTACCATAGGTAAATTGATCTCTGAATATTTTCAACGCCGGAAAAGTGATTTTATTAAGGTTAGAATTAACTTTTAGGGTAAGTTAGGTGAAGGAGAACCCTGTTCCACAACATTAGCATATAACCACACATCTCGACTGATCTTTGGATAAGAGGAAGAATCGAAGGTGAATTGGGTGGGTCAGGCGCAATGGATGAGGGGCGTATAGTCTGTGCATGGTTGAAAGCTTCCTCTTTTCCTCGTTTCGCAAAACTGGCAGTTTTTCAGATTCTGTAAAATTTTGAAGAGGTTGATCGTTTTGAAGAAGCGAAGAAGTGGGTTCCATGTCATCCTCAAGGTTTGTGCTGTTTTTAGCTGAAGACGAAGACGCTCCAACTGCTTCGGCTTCTTCGTGGTCACGATTGTTAATTTGTTGAGGTCTGTTTGGATGCTCTGGTGCGAAAGGATTCTTGGGAGGTTTGTTGAATGGCGGTTGGTGTTGTTGGGGTGGATAGTCTCCCGGCCCAAGAGGAGGTCCTCCGGGAGGATATTGTCCTTGTTGAGGTGGTGGGAATGGTGGTCCTTGGGGTGGAAACTGTCCTTGGTTGGATGGATACATTCCTGGGTATTGCCCAGGGAAGGGAGGATTTTGTCCTTGAGGAGGATAAGCACCAACAGGGTATTGACCAGGAAAGGGAGGTTGGCCACCTGGATGAGGAGGCCCTTGCTGTCCTGGAAATTGACCTTGTTGCGGATTTTGTTGAGGTGGACCTTGCTGCTGTCCCGGAAATTGACCAGGTTGTAGAGGTGGTTGTTGTTGCTGCCCATTTGGTGGAAATTGTCCTGGTTGTCCATTCGGTTGATTAGGAGGTTGCTGTTGACCAGGAAATTGGGTCTGACCACCAGGATGATGAGGCCTTTGCTGTCCTGGAAATTGTCCTGGTTGTGGAGATTGTTGATTAGGAGGTACCTGCTGTCCTGGAAATTGTCCTTGATTTTGTTGAGGTTGCTGCCCTTGTTGTGGGGGTTGCCCTTGTTGTGGGGGTTGCCCTTGTTGTGGGGGTTGCCCTTGTTGTGGGGGTTGCCCTTGTTGTGGGGGTTGCCCTTGTTGTGGGGGCTGCCCTTGTTGTGGGGGTTGCCCCTGCTGAGGGGGTTGCCCTTGTTGTGGGGGTTGCCCCTGCTGAGGGGGTTGCCCTTGTTGTGGGGGTTGCCCCTGCTGAGGGGGTTGCCCCTGCTGAGGGGGTTGCCCTTGTTGTGGGGGTTGCTGATGATCACCAGGTAATTGTCCTTGTGGTGGGAAATTATGCTGCGGGGGAAAGTTCTCGTGTCCCGGAAGAGGATGGGCAAGATCCGGTTGTTGGGGAACTTGTCCAGGAATCGGATTCATCGTTACGCCATTCTGACCTCCATTCCCATTTTGAGGAGGAGGAGGAGTTGTATGGTCAATAATAGCGGTAACATTATTCTGCTGCTGCGTCACAGCATCTTGAGGATGTTGAGTAGTTGTCCCATTATGCTCATCTCCTCCTGATGGCGTTGTTGTTATCGTCGCCGTCGTCGTCGTTGTCAATACAACATCCTTCGGCGTCGTAGTTTCTGCCTGACTTAAATTGTGCGGCGTAGTCTCATTCTTTTCCCCTGCTTGCATCGTTGGCGGATAAGTACTCGATGGTGTCTGAGTTACTAACACCTCTAAAATTTCGAATCAATCAGACTTATCATCACGAGGAACAATGATACGCGATACTGCATTTCACACAAACCTGCTTTCATCGTTGTAGTCACATCGTCCACCGGAGTTGTTGTCACCTTGCTTGTCGTGGGGGTGACCACTGTCGGAGTCGGACTTGACATCTCCACTGTTACGGCAGAGCTGACATTATGTTGTCCTTCAGTATGTTGGCCCGGTGGCAGTGTGGTGGTCGGTCCTTCCGTCACCGGATGCGAAGAAGTCGTCGTCACCGTCGTAGCTGCTGTCGTCGTCGTGCTTGTGACGAGGGGTGGTTCTGGCGATGTGGAAGTCACGCTCTCAGCAGAAATAATGGGGGCAGGTTTCTCCGTGCTAGTCGCCTCTGTTGTCAAACAATCCGCCTCTGTTGTCATTGTCACTGCCCCCGGCGTCGTTGTTGGCGTCTTTTTAGGTAGGAATTTATGTAGCTTGTTCTTCGTGGCGAAAACGTGTTGCCAAACTTTGGCAGCGACTCGTGTAATGGGGTCGTATGGGTTCAAGTAGAGTTCAATTGTTCTCCCCTCGTGTGGAGTTTTGAGGATTTGATTATTGTCACCGTTTTTGATGTCATCGTGATCCCCTCGTTTCAAAATGTTGGCAGTCTCGTCTTGATGGTGAAAAGCGTGGACGAGGAGGGACGGAAATAGGAAAAGTGTCAATTTTGCTGCTAGAACCGTCATTTTCGATCTCGTTTTCCAGAATGGAATGACATTTATTTATACGCGTCTGCCTGCCCAATTTCAGCTGCGGGTCGTAAATTCGGTTGGAAATATGTGCGTGATTTCATTTATTACCGTACGAGTCATTTGCATACAGAAAAGCGGTTCATATTTATTTTCTGGCTACTGCTGCGAGTCATTACATAAGTTTTTATTGCACAACAAAAATACCGTTCAAATTTTAAATGTAACCGAAAGGGAGAGCAAAGCAATGCGAAAATTATGTAAATAATGCGACTTCTGGCAAAATCACTTTCACCGCTATTACTAACTGACGTAAATAAGTATCTAAAAATACATAATTATTAGTATCGATCGGTCGTAATGTTTCCTTTAACTAGTAAAATAATCTGCTCAACCAGGTACAAATAATTCACATTCGATTTTACTACGATGGACACACGCTGATTTACGTCATCAACCATACATACACTTTTTCTTGTCACTTGTGAGAAGAAGTGGGTAACTCATTATCATACCAGATTAAATTTTACATGAGATCACAATTTGTACGACATAAAAACAACAACCATCTGCTCCTTCAGTCACACCATGCATGAAAAAAATCATGTCACCACATCACTCCTAATAATTCCAGTGTTATTATTATTATTATGACTTTCATCATGATAAGAAGAAGGGCAACCCGCCCCACCAATATTTTTAGCATGGCCCCCCTTTTTGCGGAAATAATTCTGAATCTCCTCCATACTTTTGGCCCTCGTTTCGGGCACCCAGACAAAGACGAATCCCGCACCGAGCAACGACATGCCACAAAAGAGACCAAAACACCACTTGATCCCAATGCAGGATTGAATAGTCATGAAGAAGGTGGTCACCAGGTAGGCAAATGTCCACGTGAGGGTCGTCGCCACGGAGGAAGCGAGTCCAATGACGGCCGGAGAGTTGAGCTCGGTCAGCATGAGGAACGGAATCGGCCCCGCCCCTATGGAGAAAAAGGTCATGAAAATGCACACACTGGTCAACGGAACCCAGTCCAAGGAGTAGTTGTTACTGGACTCGTCGTCCGGCTGGTAGTGGAAGAAAATCAGGAGGGCCATCATGGCGACGGAGACGCCGAGTTGCGACACGATCAAGAGGAGCCGCCTCCCCGCCTTGTCGACAAGCAGGGCAGACATGAAGGTGGCCACGATTTGGACAAAGCCGACAATAATGGTGCAAATGTTGGGGTCCATTCGAACCCGGGCGGATTGGAAGATGTATACGGTGAAAATTAGGATGACCTCGATTCCCGTCATCTGCTGGAAGAAGAGGAGCCACAGGCAGATGCCTAAAGGGCGAATGGTCCTTAACTTGAAGAGGTCACGGTACGACTTCCGTTCCTCGTTGCAGGTCAAAATGTTACTTTGGATCTGAAAATTGGGAATATTTCGGTTTTAATTGTGCATTTCTTGCACTGCAAACCAAGAAATGCAAGATGCAAGAAATACATATGCACCATCAATCGACGCGCATGCATATGAATTGTAGCGGTTTCTTATTACATCTTGTATTTTTTGCAGGTCAAAATAAACAGTTGCAAGAAACTACTTTCTTGTGGATATTTCTTGCACCCGAAATGCATTTTTTTGCCTACCGCATTTAGCTCGACTTGGACATCTGAAGGTGTTTTGGTCCCACGAAGCCACATCAGGGAGTGGAGCGCATCGTCGAGAGAGCCTTTGGAGAGGAGGTAGGTGGGCGTGGATGGGACGGCGGCGATGAAGAGAAGGCCGACGAGTGGGACCAAGCCACACACGAAGGCCAACCATTGCCAGTCCAACACCGTTCCAACAACGTAGACGAAGAAATTGCCCACAGTGGAACTTAATTGGAAAAGAGAACAGAGAAATCCACGGTGCAGGTCGTCGCTGATTTCGGAAATGTAAATCGGCACGATTAACGAGGCTGTACCGGCGCAAAATCCTGAAATTTTTAGGCGAGCTAGGTGTCATATCGTCATGTGCAAAATTATTAAGTAGTGTCCGCCGCTTATTGCTATCGTTTTGTCCGTCTGTAAGCAGGATATGTCTAGAACGGCTCAACATAGTCAAACGCCGTCTTCGCCATTGTTTGTGGTTCTAGTTTTTAACCATCGGTCGAGTTCGAAATTGAGGTCTCTGCGGTCAAGGTGACCCTGGAGTGAGGCTAAACGCCAAATTTGACATTAATTTTCATATGAAGTGTCATTTTAAAGAAAATTTCACCACGAAATCAATGCCTTCAATCTTTTTGACCTCCGACCAACCTAAGACCGTGATGACCAGGTCAATGGTTATAAATCACATGATTTTCATATAGTGTCATTTTACATTTTGCTGTATGACGTCACTTTATGTTCATTTGAGACTCGCATTACCTACCGGTAATAAATCTGCCCAAGTAGATCATAGGGAAATACGTGGTGGAAGCGATAAGAAGCCAGCCAATGACGAAGGGAAGTGCGGATATAGCGAGGACACTTTTCCTACCGATTCTTCCCACGAGAAATCCGACCTGGGGACCGGATAGAACTGCAGCCAGCTAAAAATATGCAACAATTTAAACTCAACGTCTAAAATTGCAGGCTTTTTTCATACTAAAGCAATGGCCGCAATTTGTGTTTGGTCATCGGACGAAATATTCCCCAATTTTGGACTCTCCACCATACTTGGCATTCCGGGAGATGTGTACGCTTTAAGTGACATAATTTATAGACAAATCACAAAGAAATTAGATTTTTTGCCAAATTTTTAATTACTATACCTTCCACCGTCCCCATGCTAAAGGCTGAAATGGACGCTTTATCATGAAATTAATTGATTAGCTAATTACACATTTTTACATAGAAATGTCCCAATTTTAGTGACGTCCGTTTTACCTGCAAACGCAGCCAAAAGTTGCGGAATGAATTGTTTCCTTGATTGTTGTTTGTCCGTTGTCACATTATCGTCACTACTGCTCGCCATTGTGACGGTTGACGGTGTGTCCATTATTACCGATAAATATTATGGAGTGAAATAATGTGGTCATGGTCCAGTCCAGTTGGGCGTCAAAAAAATGTGAGGGTGGGTGGCAGAGTTTACTAAATATTTATTATTAGCCATTTTTCATGTGACATTGGAAGAGAATATTGATTAGAAATAATCTAAAGAGCATTTCATGGTCAGCATTATTACCGTTTGTGCAAATAAATATGATTTCATGACGTGTCAAAGAACTTGGAGGTTAGTTATTTTAATGGATATGCATTTTTAGGATGCTATATTATCCAATATTTCAACATCCAATAAATCAAAGTATGTATGTATGTATAATAGAGATTGCACACTTTTGGCACGTGTTGTTGTTTATTTGTACATAAAATTGCACGTCTCAATCTATTGTGGCTTTATGATAAAGACATTTTTTTGCAAGAAGAAGAACATAGTTGTATACAATAAATTCAATATTTTCGCATATTTCTCATACACGTACTTAGTTTATTCGTACTTATGCGAATCAACTTCACTTACTTTTTTTCAAGCACATAACTTTATACGATAAATTCCATTTAATCATTATTTTCGCATATTTATTTCGCATACATATTTTTCGCACTTATGCGAATCATCTTCACTCGTTTGTACAGAATATTCAGACAACTTAATAAGTTGAATACGTTGCTATTTATTTATGCATTTATGTGAATTACAGGCTGCCTGCGATTACTATATTGACTGCGAAATTTGCAATACGAATATCGTGTGTCATTATATGAACAATCCATAATTAAATCGCACGACCACCACCGTCATCATCATCCTTGCCAATCATTGAACTTTGGACTCATACACGTAAAATGACAAGAGGTTCTTTACCGTCGGTGGTGGTGTATGGGGGAGAAAGTTGCAGATTTGCACGTTGCGAATGTTCACTCACTTTTATTCGCACAGGATTACATTTTACATTACTTTGTGAGTGACAAGTTGATAACGTGAGTGAAAATATTTACAGTACAGTGATAGGCAATCGCCATGGGCAATGTCGTTCAGCTTCACGAGCACGTAAAGTGAATGAACTCCCCTCTCAAACTAGACCAAGTAACAAAATGCTAAAAAACGACAACAATACAACTTGAAAACAATGCAAAAAAAAGTTATGCAGAAAAAAATGTATGATTGAGATAGTGGGACTCCGTTACACGAAAGTTGCTGAAATAGACATTATTTGTGATCATGTAAAGATATGATGGAAGCTTCTCTAAATCCGCATGTGGAAAAATTTCATGAAAAGTGTTTCGTACTTTGCATTAGGCAAACAAACTATTTACACGTTTGCTAAACTATCTTCGCTAAATTCATATAAGAAACTGCAAAAATTTCATGAAAACATTGCACTTCTCATTACAGCCGATTTTACGTCACATACTAAACTATGTATCTTCGTCATATGCGCATGCAGAAACGTGCAAAAATTTTATGAAAACATTCGACTTTTCATTACACGTTCAGTCAGAGCATAAATCTACTATGCTAAACTATCTTCGCTAAATTCCCATGCAGAAAAACTGTCCAAAAATCTCATGAAAACAATAAAGTGTTTCATACTTTACACGTTCAGAGCACATGCTAAACCAATCCTAAGAGTTCATCATCATGTTTTGGCAAAAGTTGTGCAAAAGAAGACGACAAAACAAAAAAGTACATGTTTTTCAGATCATCATCATCATCACATTCACATACTTTATACGTGTTGGTTGGTTGGTATAATACCGACGGTATTATAGTTGAAATTATTATTATACGACTCATTGTAGCATGTTGTCGTGAAGGTTATACTTTTTGGTGGTGGTGGTGGCTGGCTCTCTTTACCAGCGAGATTTCACTTTCCTTGTTCCTTTATATGTGCTTTTAGTGCTTCGTATATACGACTTTAGTGTAACGCAACTCGCCTACTGCTCTGCTGCGAAATTCATCTCTCTTCTTCTTCTCCTACTTCTGCGTAATTTCCACCTGCAACTAATTCAAATTGCCTACTTTGATGAGGACAAGGTGGTCGGAATAAATATGGACCGTGTCGTAGCGGAGGGGGAGGAGGAGGTGCGGGAGGAGAGGGCGCTCTACAGGTCGTGCCTACCTCTGGAAATCCCATGTGTAAGTTGTTTACTTTTTAATAAAATTGCTCGCGAATTAGAAATCAAGCGAAAGTTGACAAATGAGGGCATTGCACGGCACGTTACGTGAATCTTCGACATGTGGGAGTGATTAAAAGTGAAATTTATTATGACTGGGTTTTAGTGAAGTTTTATTTTTTGACAAAGTTGGAAATTTTAATTAATTTAGAGAAAAGTGGTAGAGTTGGAATTGAAGTTAATTATTTTTAGTGTTGGGATTTAAGGATTCGGATTTTTGAAATAAGTTTAAAGCCACTGTTTATATTTTTTTAGATTTTGAACCAAATCCTGCGATACTTACCGTACCAAGATCTTCAATCCTGTCGTCTAGTCGCCCAGCAATTTAATGAGGAGGCATGTCGGGTGTTGCGGAAAAGGTCGAAAATCGTTCTCAGCAGTCCTAAACGTTTCATTGCGTTCAATTTGGAAATGCTAAATCCGCTGAAGGAGAATCGTTACTGTGAACATTTCCAGCTCATCAACGCCCACGTGACGACGCCAGGTGTGCAAACAAATAGCACTAAATATTTGTGGCTTAATTTGTGAAAATGCAAATAAGTTAGTGAGTTTTATTCTTGTTTATTTTATTAGCGGTGACCATGTTTCTCGACAAATTTCAAAAATGCATAAAATCCTTTGAGCTGAAAGATGCAAAGTGGAGTTGCCACGAGTTGACGACAATCTTGACGGAGACTGTGAAAAATTTGGAAGAGTTGATTCTCCACGGTGCTATTCCGAAGGACTCGCCGCGTCTCTTTATGACCGAGAGTGAGGAAGCGGAACAGAATCTAAACCCAATTCTGGTCGGGGCCCTCTCTCGTCCCCTCGTCCAAACGCCCCAAAAACCTATACCAAAGTTACCAAACATCAAGCAACTAGATTTACAACTTTATGATAAGCTTCCTGACGATGAAGTCCTTTCCCAGTTTGGTGGTAAGTAGAAGACTTACAAAATTCGTAATTTTAAATTTTCGTCTTATCTCAAATCGGTTTTTATTCACTTTTTAAAGCTGACCTTCTCAAAGCTGCGTACAATCTGGAAGAACTGCGATCTCGAGATACTGGAAAGTGGCGAAGTAAACGAGAGCGATTTCAACGGATCCTCTTTGAACTCTTGATAAGCCCTGAGGCTGACATAGTCCTGCCCAAGCTGAGGAAAGTGGCCTTCTCGTTGTCTCCCTGGAATGACGAGCAGATCAAGAGGCTCGCCATGAAACAGTTTCCTCTCCGATATCTCAGTACGGGAATTTTTAAAATATATCAGTTTTTGGAATTTTTTTACTGTAATTCTACATAAATTTCATGAATAACCAATAATAATGCTGCCCATTTAATTGAACAGGTCTGACAATCCTCCCCGACATTTCTGCCCACGCTCTCACCTCCCTCTTGATCTCACTCAAGGACACACTGACCAAGTTGAAGCTGTCCTTTACATCCTGGCGCATCATGGAGTTCCCCGTTGAACTCCAGCTCCACAAGTTGCAACACTTATCTCTCGACTGGTTCAATGGGTCCATTTCGTTCATATCACGGATGGAGAATCTCCGCACCCTCGTCCTCGCACAGATCGACTTGAACGAAATGTTTAACGAGAGCGAGTTTACCAAGTTTAAGCGACCAATCCGCACCCTCTCCAGTGTCGAAGTCTATCAGCACTCTGGAACTCCCGTGACGAGCAGTGTAGTCAGAAACATGTCCACTCTGTTTCCCAGAGTGACGACGTTGGTCTTGGGGAAACTGGATGACGACTCGTTGCGCACCGTCTTCACGGTGTATCCACTGTTGGAATCTTTCTCCGCTATTGAGGGAGCTTTTTCGGATTTTGGCGTCATCGGAGTGGACACCGAGGTGTGCAGTGTGTGCAAAAAGGAGCATTTATCCGAGCTATGTAAAGGGGTTTACTTTGAGGAGTTGGTCAACAAGAGGCGGAAGCATTGCTATGTTGCAGATTTGCAGCGTAAGTATATAAATTCAAATTGAGTTGTAATATTTTGTGTGAATTTGTTCTCTAATCTTTGTTCCAGATTTGAGAAAATTGGTTCTGAGATCTCCTCAGCTGACCAATTTATCTGTGATACATGGGGTTGCGCACTGTCATCGGTTGAAATCTTTATCACTGTGGAGCTATGAGGTAATTTTTAGTAGATTAAGACTCGATGACTCATCACCAAAATCAACACATTTTTAATTATTTCTCGCCTTTGGGGATTTATTTTAAAATTCTGGACGACGAATGTGTAATGATTAGTAATGAGTGAGGTGATTAATTGAGTGTCGGTGATTGTCCTTCAAAATCGGCCAAAATGTGGAGCGTATGTTAAAAAAAAATAGGAGCAACCTGTTCTTCAAATTCGTAGTACAGAATTTGAATTTGAAATGAATTTAAAATGAATCGAGAAATGATTTAAAACGTGCTGATTTTAACGATTTTGGCGTATTATCTAGTCCCTACGTTAATTTAACTGACAATTAATAAATCCTTCATTTCCAATATTTTTATTTTTCCAGATGAATTTCCGCTCCTTAAAAAAGATCGTGGATACTTTCAATCTCGACTATCTCGAGACGACGCATACATTCGGTCACATCGCGGAAATACAGTATGCCCTGGCGAAAATGACTTTGAAAAAGTTTATCCTAAATGGAATCGTGGCACCCACGTTCGTTCCCAGCATCTCACCCGAAATCCGAGATTTCCTCACGCAATTTCACGACAATGTGTGTCGCAGCATCATCTCGCACATGAAGCACAGGTCCAGCCCACCCTACGACCATGATCTTACGATCTACCACAACATGCGGCACCAACACCGACAAAACTTATTTCTCATTTACGAAGCTTGCATGGCAGAGCAGTACGCTTTGCAGGGTCTCATTAGTATTGGAAATGCCATTTAAAGCAGGGGACCGACCGACCGACAGAAGAAGACTGATTCATTCTGGGGAGTTAATTATTATTTTATGGTGGATGATAATCAAATCATGGTCCTACATAAATCTATATATCTTCTAAATACATATATATGAAGCAACACAGATTTTGTGATTTACAATTTTCATTAAGTTTTAACCCATTAATTCAGATACGTGGTCTTCCACTCTTTTGAACCTGTATATTTATTACTTTGATGATTTCTCAATGTGCAATATGCGTTAGTAAGTAGATGAATTAGTATAACTACTAGTTGAAATTAGCTATGTAGCCAATCCCATCCATCCACAGACAGAGTAGTAAATTTATGGGTGTAATAATCACAATACCACCAAACTCATCTTTTTATCAATCACAACTTGCAATCATACTTAAATATGCCAAACCCTACTCTTGATTTTACCTCAGTAATAAATATTAAATTGAATCCGTGCAACAATCGTTTTTTTTATGTCATCAAACAAAGTCTGCATAAGTTTCCGTGCTTATCATTCCATGACTTTTATCCATGTCCTTCTGTTTAGTCACACTTAGTTGATGACATCCTAATTAACGATTCCATTAATTACTCAATCTCCACCACTTGGAAAACTGTTTGTTCCACGGAGAAGAATAGATATAAATTAAAGAACGTCCGGGAATGAATGGGAATGCGCGCTCTAGCGAGTATATTGACAAATCAATAAACCCGCGAACTATAATAATTTAAATTTCTGAAAGCCCACTTCATTAGGGTCAATTTGGTATATCACTCTTAAATTTCAAAAATGGATAAGGGTAGAAGAAGCTTGTTTGAAAGGGAGCTGTTAGCAAAACGAGTGATGGAGTTCTACAACACGACAGCCAACCGAGAATCCAAGGTGACCTGGAACTTTTTTAAGCAGGAAGGAATTCCAAGTTCAAATGTGTATTCCTACATAAAAAAGTTCAAGGATTCCGAAAATGTGCAATTCAAGAAGCCAGCTGGTCGTCCGGCGAAGCTAGCGACCACTCGAGTGAAAAATAGAATTGAAAAAATTTTCAAAACCAAGCCATCAACGTCAGTAGCTGTAGCTGCCAGGAAAGTCAAAATTTCCAAAAGCTACCTGGGGGAAATTAAGGTCCATAAATTAGGAATCAAAGCAAGGACCAAAAGACCTGCACCAAATTACAAGCCCGTACAAGAAAGTCGGATCAAGGATTGCTGTCAAAAATTGTTGAAGAAAATGCGTGGAAAAGTAGTGATCCTGGATGACGAAACGTATGTTCCGGTTGACCCTTCAAATCTTCCAGGGCGTCATTTTTTTCATAGCTCGGATCCCTCTGAAGTGGCTTATGAAGAAAAAGTACGAAAAAAAGACAAATTTCCAAAGAAATATTGCATTTGGCAATGCATCTCCAGTCACGGACATGTATCAGACCCGGTAGTTCTCGAAGGGAATATCAATCAAGATATTTATCTGAAAAATTGCGTCAAGGCTGGATTGGAAGCATTTATTAATAGGTTTCACAAAAATGATAAAGTTTTGTTTTGGCCTGACCTCGCCACTTGTCACTATGCAAAGAAAGTGACCGAGTACCTCAGAAAGAAAAATATTGATTTCGTACCAAAAGATATCAACCCACCTAATGTACCCCAACTCCGCCCAATCGAAAAATTCTGGGCACGTTCTAAGTCAGTATACTCCCGGCTTCAAGATGTGCCTGACACCTTTCGAAAATTCAAAGGACGATGGAAGAAAATCACCTCGGAAGTGGCAAAAACTTCGGGAAAAAATTTAATGAAAAATCTTCGCAAGAAAATCGAACTAGTCGCCAACGGGGGTGTGGCGGCCTTAGCTATTAATTAAATTATGTAGGTACGTATTTGGTATTATACATATGCAAAAAGTTTAAAATTCCGATAACTCATTGTGATTTTATGACCACATTTTCAGACCATTCCCATTCATTCCCGGACGTTCTTTACGTGCAACAAACCATCACGGCATGCAATCTCTGCTCGAGTCTACAAGTTCTCGGTGGTGGTTGGTGATAGTAGTGGTTTGACTATTATATAATTTAGCAGTGATCGGCCAAGTTTTCGTCTCCAGGAGGAGTGAAACTAGACCGGAGAAAGCAAGCCTACCCAACATTTCTCCTGTCACATAAAGTGCACGAAATTCATCCAACTTTTACTCCAATCAGTGAAGCGATCTCATTTTAATTTCATCGCATTCACGCTCCTTTCCTCCTAACCCACAAAAGAAGAGAAAAGCTAAAGTATCGAACTTTCGAGACTTTCGACCTGCGGCAGGCAAATCGTCCAAAATCGAATCGGAATGGTGGATGGGATTTGAGCCGAAGAAATAAATATCGCACGTCTCACGAGGAGAGAGAACCCACTATTTATTCAGCTTAAGCAAAGAGGAGCAAGAAGCAAAGTGACAAGGAGATACATTTAGCAAAATAATTTAGTTGTTTGCACAAGAAGAGAGAGAGAGAAAGTTGCGGTGGCTGGCTTATACACGACCCCGCTTTTCTGATCTGGATAAGGAGGCGGAGAGGGTGAAAGTGTTATAAATTACATACTGCCTGCTGCTGCGTATTCATCCACACCAAGCACGACGAGACCACGACTGAATGGAGAAAGCAGAAAGAGGAGAGAAAATCAGAAGCAATATAGCGAGGCGTTTTATTCTTCTGATGCCCTGCCGTGCCCATGGGGCTCAGCCAACAAGATTCTCATCCCGATAACGCCGCATACTTACTACATTAAATTCATACTCGGAAGAAAAGAAGGAGGAAGAGGGCGACGAAACGCGTGAGCCCATGTGTTGCAAAATGTGTGGAGGAGGAAATTTGCATAGACTAGATTGCATTGCACCTCTATAACAATAATAAAGAAATGAACGCCATCCGTGCTGGTGGGTGAGCTTGATTTTGTAATAAGTACACAGCATCACGCACTTTATGCCGACGCACAGCCAGCACCACATGCAGCCAATGTTATTATTACACACGCATATTCTACGTATGTACATACTTTCTATGTGGGATAGGGTACTAAGTGCCTGGCTGATGCTATTAAAGATTGAAGGCGGCTGCGGCGGCAGAGGTGAGATTCACTTTCTCTCCTCTCTTCTGAGGAGAAAGTGGAATCTCATCGGAGCAAAACAAGGAACGGCCCAGTACCCAACCAACCCAAATAATGGTGTAAAATGTGGAGTGGATCCGGTGGGTCGGTCGGTGGTATAGCTTTTGTGGATTTTCTTTCTCACCCAGGGAAGAAAACGTTCTCTTACTTTCTTTCTCCTACAAAATACTGCACAAAGGATGGGATGGTTGGTCGTCACACTGGGAAAAGTTGTTGTCTTGTTGCCATTCTGTGGAGGAGCGGATGGCTAAAAAGTAGATATTTGTATGAGCCATGCAATATCCTCCTCGCCATTGTGTGACGACGATGGATGATGAATTTTATTCTATCCCAGTCCAGTTCAGATATTATTCTCTGGACGATACACGTTCTTCCGTCGACTTTTGCTTTCTCCGATTGAAACACTTTTAATTCCCTGGTTTCTTTCTACCCATTTCATTTCATGACCTCAATCTGTCCCTTGCACATTACTCTCAAATCCTTCTGCCGTGCGTCCTTCTGCGGAAAAGATTATTTGCACACAGCAGGTAGCTTAGCTAGTTTGGTTTAGTTGGTCGGCTTATAGTTTGCTGGATGGATGGATGGATCGCAATTCTCAAGGTATGCATGCATGTCCATCGGACAGAAGAGAAGCTTTCACTTCACTTTCACTTGCAACATCTATTTCCACTCGGGCCTTGGCAGGCAGGCAGGACAGGACAGGAGGCACGAATGTGTGTGTACTTTGCTTAATTCCATCCAATACAGTAAACCCTATGCACATACCAGAATCCATCCCGGGATAGACACGTACATGGAAAGAGAGAGAACGAAAATAAATAAAATGAACAATAGGACGGAAAATCTGACTCAAATCCGACACATTTTCCTCTCTCATGTACTACGTGGGATGACGCTGCTGCTTTCACCTCTGACGCGGTGGCGTTGTTCTTCTCTATTCCATGAAATCTAAATCTATTTATTCATGACTAACCCATCATAATCCTATTCACAATATTTCATAGCCTGCTTTCCTTCCTCCATCCTCGGAGCTGGCTGGCGTGATGTCCTTCCATCCGAATTAGAGCAATTATCAACTTTCTCCACTTTCTCCGTTCTCTCTCCAATCTCAAATTTTCCCTGCCTGCCTATACTTCTTCTCTCACTCTTTTCCCATTACATGCACTGGGTGGTGGTTTGGTTTGGCTGGCAACTTATTCTCTCTCTCATCTCTCTCGGCCGCTAAAGCCTGAACGCATCTCTCTCTCACCAAAAAGTTATAAAAGTCTCCTCCTTTAGAAATCTACGAGCAGCAGGAGCAGTGTCGAACGAAGGAAAATACACAGATAGGCGATGGTAGTAGGTAATAATATCCATTAAAAGAGAGAGACAAGATACAAGACGAGCAGTGTTTTGTTGTCTTGCAACCCTTTTTCGTGTGCTGCTGTGCATTCCTTTTTTAATGAGACGACAAATCTAATGTACATACGAGAGGAACGCGTAACCTATCTCAACTACTAATCTCTCAAGGCTGCGTAGGACGAGGGCCCTTCTTTTCTTCTATACTTACTAGCACTGATCGTCACCACTACTTAATAAGTAACACCACCAAAAAAAAACATAACCCGCTCTATACTACTAAGCTTTTGGTTTATGTACTGTACACTTGTTACGCAATCCTCCCACAAATAATTTACAGTGCAAATTACTTACATTCACACACACTATTACCTTCTTGGCAGAGGTTACATAAACGCCACGCGACTGTGTGTGTGTATTATTAAAGTAAACTAAGGAGGAGAGAAAGGCCTTTAGTTTTATTAGACGGGAAGTCAAAAGAGCATCTAAATTATGAGAAGGTTTTAATAAAATCGTGTGGAAATGACAAACAGCGATAAAGTTTTACACATCTTACACGTTTTACAAATCTCAATTTGGTAAGAAGAAAATTTATTTGTTTTTCAGTAGTAACGAAAGAAATGAAAGAATGGGGAATTATTTAAAAGTTTTATTGTGAATTTTACTACTAATTTTATTACGTTTTCAAGAACAAAATTCAAAATTAAATTGGCGAAGTTATTTTTGTAATGTAATATGCATATTTTATTACACTCTAAGTGAATATGAAAACTTTAAAATTTTTCAAAGTGACGTTAAAGTTGTCACAAAAATTTAGTGAGATATAAATCTAAATTTAGATTTATATGATATTGTACTTAAATTTAAATGACTTATAAATTTTTTTGCTTCGAATTTTTTCAGATTACCAACCACACATCTCAATTCAAATATTAAACAGCAGCAAGAATACTAAATTTTTGTAACCCAACTTTCTTCTGAGAATCTGTCAAGTACAAAAATAATTTAGATTTTCCACGACTTTGTCACATTTAACGGTTTCAAGCTGAATACCTCCACGAGAATGGGCGAATCTCCGATATTCTCATGCAAGGCTCACGTCTTTCACGTAATGGTTCCACGTAATTTCAATATTCTTAAAGAGAAGTTTTGTAATAATGAGTAAAATGAATGACCTCAGATTGACCCCGTGAGCAAAAAGTCATGGATCCCCGCATCCACGGGTGCTGTTCCAGTCTCCTTCTTTTACGACTCGTCGCGAGGACTGTACCGCATCATCAGTGTCGAAGGGACCAAGGCCGTCATCAACAGCACCGTCACACCCAGCATGAGTTTCACTAAAACCTCTCAGAAATTCGGGCAGTGGTCGGACGTTCGAGCAAATACCGTTTACGGGCTCGGATTCCTCTCCGAGGCGGAATTAAATCAAGTACGGAAATTTTCAGTCTTGTAAGACGGGTGCAAGTAATCATTTGCAAGAAATATATAAAACCCGCAAAAAATGAAATAGCAGAAAGTTTCCCCAAAAAATCTTAAAATTTTAATTTTAAATCTGCACAGTTTATCGAGCAATTCCAAGAAGTGAAGGAGGCGACGAGAAGTTCAGCCAAATCTGGGTCCGTCACAAACGGTCGAGGTCAACCGCAGGACGTTAGTGGGCCTACGATTCCTCCTCCCACGATGATGACGGGAACGTCCCCTTACTCCGCGAGGCACGGCGTATCTCCCGGCGGTGGAGGACAGGACGAGGACCATCGAAACTCGAACGAGGCCAATGCCAACAACTCCACCCTGCTGAAAGGAGTTGCACATCAAAGGAGTCAAAGTTTGACGGCGGTTGCCCCCGGTGGTGGCGGAGGCAATGCTACGACGGAGAGTCCGAAACATGGCGTCACTGCGGGAGGAGGAGGAAAACCCGACTTGATAGGACAGTCGCCAGAAACTCAGCTAAAATATGAGAACGAACGACTCCGCCTCGCTCTCGCGCAGAGGTAATAAAGAATTTATTCGTGTCGTTTAGTATTTCAGTGCAAACCACTTGCAATAAATCACAGAACAAAGTGGTTTCTTCCAGGTATTTTGACCTGCAAGAAATTTAAGGGGCGAAAATTACTTCACACCGCTATATTTCATACGGCGAGTGGCTAGATGCAACATTTCTTACACTTTCTTGAAGTTTCTGGCACCTTGAATTTCGTGCGTTTCTTGCTTTAAAGCACTGTATTTACATAAAAACAGTGCTAGAAATATAGCAAACCTACAAGAACGAAACACTGATGTAGTTTGCCAAGAGTTTTATCCATTTTTAATTTTTTGACAGTTCTGCCAACGCTAAAAAGTGGGAAATTGAACTCTCCACGTTGAAGAACAACAACTCCCGACTGACCGCGGCCCTTCAGGAGAGCACGGCGAACGTGGAGGAGTGGAAAAAGCAGTTGCAGGCGTACAAAGAAGAGAACCAGAGGATGAAACAACGCGTCCTTGAGGCAGAAGCGGCCCGTGGAAATGCCGACGCTGCGGCCGAACTGCGCAAAGAGATTGGACTCATGCGGGAAAAGGTGGACTACTTGTCAGCACAGGTCAAAACCAAGGAGGAGGAAGTCAGAGTTCTCAAAGAGAAAAATGGAGCCAGTGATGCGAAGGTACAAATTTTTAAAATCTCTTGAAATTTCTTAAAATAATAAATTTCTAAACAAAATCCAGGAAGGGGAAAATCTGAGAACAACCCTACAACAAGTTCAGGCCCAACTGGAGGCTGCACTTAGTGCCCAAGATTCGCAGCGCAGAGTCCTCGAAGCACTAAATACTCAATTAGCGGACAAAATCCAAGAGTTAGCCGGTATTCATGGCGAAATTAATACGGCACTGCACTCATGAGAAGGGTCGTCGTCCCACGTGACTGTTTTTGTAGTGAACTTGTAGAAGAAAGTATACATGTGAAAGTATTATTATGAGACGATTCGGACCGAAAGGTGGGGTGACGACGAATTAATTAACTGAATTGTCCCGTTAAGAAGCATTCCGAGTGCATGCAGTTTTTGTCCTCCAAATAATGATCCCGCCTCAATTGAAATAGAATTGTACAACCAAAACCGACGCGAGTTATTAATCAGCCAAAAAGTTAATTTAATTATCTTCTGATGCTGCTTGCTACCATTACATACAAATTTTTGCTTGTTTAGTTACCATCAAACGCTTTTTGTGCCAATGATTCCTTGTACAACTTTTCTTTCCTCGAGTTTTCTACGTATGGATCAACCTAGTTATGAGAATAACCAACCACAATCACAATAGTGCAGTGTTACATAGCCAGCATTTTAATTAATTAATTAATTAATCAATTGCCACCTATAAGTACCCTTTAGAATTTAGTATCCGACTAAATATCACGTGTGCAATTCCAACCACAATTATTTCGCTAATATCTACATGCAATACATGTATCAGTAAAAATGACAATTACTTACTTCCGTACGCGACATTATGTATTAGTAGTATACAGCGCAATTAATAACTTGTTGGTATTACTAGTTCTATCAATCGCTAATAATTAATTGACTTGTAATCTCATCGCTTGATAATCTGAAGACTATTTAGTAGTGCCACTTACTTATTACGTATTTACACCACTAGAAAATTATTACGATATTCATAAATGAATGACAAAGACTTTGAGAAACGCAGGCCAGGTCAGTGTTTGTAGCGGATTTTGTAATAAGTACGTGTGTATTCCTCAGACAGCTAATTAATTACTTAATTATCTGCTAAATGCTAATTCTACTATTTATTACCAATTGTGGTTATTATGTGGTTGTGCAAATTTATTGGTCAGATATTATTATTAAGGAAAAAGTGAGACGACGATGACTACGACGACGACTCTGCTACATAAAGACTAATTAATTCCTGTCTACGGTTACATATTTCTAATAAAAAATATAATACTGTTCGACACAAAGTAACGTAAAATGTTCCAGAAAAACGTATTCCAATCCAGATCTGAATTGTTCTTGTATCAATTTTCTATTAATTTTTTACAACAATAATGAACAAAAAAAAATGACATTTACAGAATTTACATTACCCTTTATTATTTATTTATATTTTGTATTTATTTGCTCTTCCGTATTACGAAATATTCAATAATTATTGAATAATAAGGAACATTTTTCCCATAAAAAAAGTGATCTTGTGCTCCAAAAATATGGCGACTGATATTACTCGTTATTATGAATGTTGTATTTGTATCGTTGTCCTCATTTGGCAGCTAATATGCCCAAAAAATGAAACATTTTGATGTGAATTTAAGCGATATTATTATTTATTTATACAAAATTCAAGGTTTTGAACACAAAGATTTATTTTACAAATTTTTATTTTTTTGTATTCTTACATTTATAACGTTTTACATTTAATCATTATTCATACATAATTAGATATTTACCATTTAAAATCAACTTATGCTTTAAAAACTATGTAGAGAAACTAATTAAGTATTGAGAAATTAATAATAATAATTAAATAATTAATTAACTAGTTAAAAGATATTTATTATTCGGAAGAATAAAGTAATAAAATTTGGGGTGCAGTATACAAAAGGAGCGAAAAATTAATTCGTAAATTGTTACGTATAAATATTTTAAAAAAATGAGATTTCTTCTTCCATGCGGTTTGAAGAGGTACATGTTCACGTAGTTGGGTTGGCATACGTATGTATCAGGAATTTGTGGGTGACGATAATGATGAATTATGAGTGACAGCCTTAATTGGACACACGTACAATGGTCAAATGCCAATCAAAGTGTCATCGTCAGGAGGATGACGGGAAGAGGAGGTTGATAAAAAATTAGCATCCTCTTCTACTCAAAAGCATGTATGACACGTATTGTTCTTAATAATATCAAGTAGCTTTAACACAGGACTCGATGACTCATTACCAAAATCGTCAAAATCTGCACATCTCCGCTCTGGGAATTTGCTTCAAAATTTTGGGAGACAAATTTTTAGTCAGTAATACAAAGTTATATTTAGAAGAAATATCAAACTCTAATATGGTCAGTAAGTTGATTAGTAGAATGACGGTGAGTTTTTTTTAGCCAGCTTCGAGGAGTTCCAGTTTTTCTGAAGGCTTCTTAAATTTATTGAGATCTCCTTCCAAAAACTGTCAAAGTGTGGAGTGCATATTTTTAAAAAATTAGCAACGATAAATGCGTCGTGCAGAATTTTAAAATAAATTCCCAGAGCCAAGAAATGATTAACAATGTGCTGATTTTTACAATTTTGGCGATACTTCATCGAGTCCTACGTTAAGTGATGCATAATTCGGGAAAACTTGACCCTTTCATGTCCCACGAAACCAAACCACGAAATAAATTTGTGACGTGAGATGAGATATGTGAATTGATGCTGGAATTTTGTTTAGTCGAAATCGAATTCAAACTGTGGCTGACACTTGCCCATGATGCTTGGATACGATCCTAACCGACAATTCGAAGCTGGGACACCGATCGAGCCGATATTGGTGTTGAGCCTTTTTGGCGGCGTGTGGCAGCTGGGGATGATGTAATCCTTATGAAATCGGACTACACCTCCGGCCGGACAACCCTCCTCTTCAAATCCGAGACGTGCACAGCCTCCCCCATGAACTGGGACCCACTGCACGTTCTCGTACTGGAAGGAGGAGGAGGCGGCAGGCTTAAGTGATACGTCGGCGTCGGGGTCACCCGAAGTCACGTTGGCGGCGTGGTGAAGGCAATAGTTCTCCTCGCAAAAGGGTGTCCCATCCCTTCGTAGACTAAGCCACTGACCAGAAGGACAAAAGGCCTGGAAAATTATGCAAAAAATATTATGCAAATTTTGAAAAAAATGAATGCAATTTTATTTTTTGTTTTTTTTTTGAAATGTTTGTAAATCATGGTCTCAAAATTTCAATTATATTTGGTTGTACATAAATATGTCAAACTTAATTTTGGTTATGAAATAGTGTCACATCCGGGGTCATATTTTGTATAATCAGAGATTAGATATGTATGTACATTTGCCAACCATTATATTGCGTTTGACAACTAATTAGCACACATTGTGTGTGTAAATATACTGCCTATGACTCCATTTATTGGCACACCTTGTCTTAAGAGGTGATTGATTGATAGACCCAAAGAGTTAATTAGTATTAGAGCAGAGGTGCGACCTTGTCTCTTAAAATAAAAATAACGAGTCGGCCGACTGAGATTGTAAGAACCATCGTCGTTAACATGAACATATTGGACCAATTAATTGTCAAAATATTTATGTGCATATGTGCATAAATAAATAAACGTGGTTGATCTCGATGTATGCATGATAAATAGAAACCGGAACCGATCAATAATAATATTCTCTTTGATCTCAAAAAGTGATTAATTGCCAGGTCATGAGCCATTGTAAAAATGTAAATATTTCTAATAATGAAATGACCCTTGATCATTGTTAAGTAAATAAAATATGTAGGTGGCATTGATCAGGTTTGGTATTTGCAGATGAAAAAAGCTCACATGGCAAGCATGCTCCTTTACGCAATGCATTGCTGTGCAACACGTGCAATCAGTGTGTATATATAATTTGGAGAATCATGTGTCAAATTGTCAAAACTTTTTACTTATGAAATCCATACTAGAAATTGCAATCTTCTTGATCATTCAAGACTAAAAATTCTCTATCCAATAATAAAACACGATAGAGTTCCGTTTTGGCCGGGACTCAAAAAATACGATAGACGATCTAACATGACATTGCAATTAGAGAGATCTGCATATGCGGTGGAAATATATATAGTGACGACTGACAGCTCCTGATAAATAGCTACGTCACTAAATTTGGCCACTCGGGAAATTCCATCATGAAACCCTCCACGGCTGATTGCACTATCATTTGACTTGCAGAATTCTAAAGAATAATTGGAACCCTGACTAAAATTGGGCATTGTCAATGACACTTTGTCATTCATTACGTCACAGTCTGGCGTCAATCTGTCGGGTTGATGATGAAAGAACGTTTATTGCGTCACAGCACAACAATGTGTTAAAATTAGCCCTGATTGTCACTGTCCACCGGAAGTTGAGTAAAAAATGTATGCAAATATACCTGCGTGAAGACGAAGTAGCACTCCTCTGTCGCCTTGTCGTACAAGAGGGTCCTATTAAATAGGTTGTATGGGCAGCTGCATTCGCCATGCTGACTGCGCCCACTTTCTCCCAGGAGGACCAGATTATTCGGACAGGGCCCCTTCGTCTCCTTTGGGTAACACGTACTCGTCTCACGATGCATCAATTCCCCCTCGTTCGGACATAATCTGCTTAACGATACAGCTTTAATTCTTCCGCTTGCGGTATAAAAAATGTGGGTCAAAATTGTGTCAAAATTACAGGAATATTTCTGCATACCTGGGCCTCAAACTGTATAAAGTTACAAGAACTAAAATCGCCAAGACTCCGATGGTCCCGAGGGCGACTAATTTACACGTTTTACTATACGGCATGATGATGTTGAGTAATTTTAAGTGTTTGACACGAGTTATTTATCGTGTTGTTACACGATTCGAGTCACAAATCTGCAAATTAATTTTAGTGATCCAGTCCACAAGTGAAGCTTTGGAATGTGATGATGTACATATGCCGTAACTTATCCATACACACTTATCGCTCCCACTATCACTGGTTTGCGCTTATTGGCAGCTATGCCCCTCACTGCCGGTTCAGATCTGCAAATTGGTCCGTGTTCTGCATTCCTTTAATACCGAATTCTGCACTATACATGCATACGTGTCTCACTCTCTGTCACCCTTTTATGATATGTCATATCTCACTGGGTCACAAACAATTTAATAAATCGAATCATCACTCATTATCACGAGAAATTTGTATATGCAATTTTACACTAACCAAAGTACAAGGGAAATGATATAATAATGCTCGTGATGTAACAATAAGTAAGTGTTCAAGGAATTACTGGGCTGAATTTGTCCAAAAATGACGACGATGAATGAATTACTGGACACTTGTGACACAATGACGAATTTATATTTCCAGTGAAGACGAATAAATCTCGTCGTGACTGAGCTGAAGAAGAAGAAGATGCAATTTTTTATGTGGAGTCGATTTGATCCAATCACGACGACAACCGACGACACATTAAACTGATGGAGTGCGATTACTTCCAATTTATAAGTATTTTCCACTCTCGTGTGCTCCTCCTATTAATAGCTTCTTATGACAGCGATCTTCTTCTGGGGGTGTCTTAATGCAGAATGCGTGCGTCCCATCCCAGGTGCTAACAAGCCAAACACTAAAATAATATTATATACACACGGTCAGGAAGTCGTATGAAAACTAATCATCGACAACATTAGTAAAACTAACAAGGTAGGCAGAGAGGAAGGTGTAAAATCCATATTACAGACAGATTAGCCAGAATTATTATGAGGTAGGGGAAAAGAGATTGCTTATGCAAATCCCTCATGAAAAATAACTTGCAAATCGCATGGAATGGATATGATATGTACACTTTTTGGTCAGAACAGAATACCATTTGGGTGGGTGGGGGCGTCCTGCATACATAATAAGGACGACATCCATCCATCATCCACTATGCAAGAAGTGACGATAATTATTATCATCAATGGACCATTGAATCACTCTTTTTGTGGTGTAAATAGATCCACTAAATACATACACGCATATCCATATTCATATTCGTGTAGTCAAAGTATCCACATTATTGCTACAGATCGAGGCAAGTTTAGTATTTAGAAAAGTATCTCAAAGATTAAGTGGCACAAATACATGAAGTGTATTTTACGGCCACAACTTGCCATTCAGCACGCTATTTATTTATCTGTACTACGAGTCATAAAAATAACCCATCTCCATCCGTGCGAATACAGGATGTCCGTAGATTATATGAACACCACATTTACATGGGTAACATGCGAACGGATGATCCAATTGGCGTCAAATTTGGCACACATGAACTTGAAGTTCATGACAACAGCTGCGCAAAGTTTCAAATTTCTATCTGCAAAGGTGGCCCCAAAAAGTGACCCCAAAGTGGGGGAACCGTAAAAGCGGTTTCCGAAGCTAATTTGGCCCCGGAAAGTACCTAAACGATTATCCAAAAATTTCACGGACTCCAAAATGGTAATTTTTTTGTTCAAAATTTGTAAGGAGCAAATCCTATTATATATATATGTATTCTTGACCAGGGTGACCCAAGGAATGCGCCTAATTTTTTTTGTGAGGTCACACCCCCCGGGGGGCGAACCACCCCCCCTGTGGGGGGAAGTTGAGACTGACCCCAGAATATTGTTAAGCAACTATCTTGCATGTTTCCTGCCAAATTTTAGAATTTTCACCCTCATGGTTCGGCTGGTTCATGCGTTTGAAGGTCATAAAACAGGCGTTCTGGGGCTGTTTCGACCACACCCCATAGCCTAACGGGCAGACATGGGCAAATGTATTTGTGGGGGTTTGACTTATCCCATCGAATACTACATACGCCTATGAGGGTTTCTTGGAATCGGGTGGGATGCTCTAGATATCCCATCTGGAAGTTTTGACAAAAAATTTCGAACTTCAGGTAGTTAAAACCATACTAGGTTCGAAATTTTTTGTCAAAACTTCCAGATGGGATATCTAGAGCATCCCACCCGATTCCAAGAAACCCTCATAGGCGTATGTAGTATTCGATGGGATAAGTCAAACCCCCACAAATACATTTGCCCATGTCTGCCCGTTAGGCTATGGGGTGTGGTCGAAACAGCCCCAGAACGCCTGTTTTATGACCTTCAAACGCATGAACCAGCCGAACCATGAGGGCGAAAATTCTAAAATTTGGCAGGAAACATGCAAGATAGTTGCTTAACAATATTCTGGGGTCAGTCTCAACTTCCCCCCACAGGGGGGGTGGTTCGCCCCCCGGGGGGTGTGACCTCACAAAAAAAATTAGGCGCATTCCTTGGGTCACCCTGGTCAAGAATATATATATATATAATAGGATTTGCTCCTTACAAATTTCGAACAAAAAAATTACCATTTTGGAGTCCGTGAATTTGAAACCCATCTTATCGTGTCCCCCATATATCCCTTCATCAATTTTGCTAGAAAACGAAGATGATTAGTTAAATCCGACCAATGTATATCTAAAAATGCATACCCCTCAAAACGACGAATTATCCCACCCTCAAGCAAAATGACCGCCTCCCTCTCAATGAGAATCCTCCGACCAAACTAAGGCCACAACACAATCCCAGATGCCTCTTGAACACGTTAATCGTGTTATAAATCACAACTTTGAAAAAAGCAGTCCTTAGGAAGGCGAAATTCGGAACACTAAAACTATCCAATGTTGTAAACAAAAAACTAACAGTCGGAGGCTGTTTGAGGGTCATGTTGGGAGTAAAAATTCCGAATTTGTCGTCACGTTGGAGGGGGCACTCTGCTGCATTCAAAACTGCAACTGGATAAAAATAATTTATTGCATAAAGGACCGGAAGCATGTTTCAAACTATGGGTCTGAGAAGAAGGAAAAGTTGTTTGACTGATTCCTGGTGGTTTGTACATTGACGGCCCGTGGAGTGCTAGCATTGATACTGTCTGGTATAATGTGAAAATAAAGTCGAAGTACTTCATGGACAATGTTCGACATAAGTTTTTGGATCTCGAAATTGCTTAAAAGTACCTTTGGGGAGCTCGACAAAGTTTGCAGTCGTCACAACACAACATTTTTATATATTGCGGAGTTTACCCATTATGACGCCCAAGATTTAAACAAAAAAATCGGAGTGACCACGACATCTTATTCCGAGGTCCATATTCAGTAATCTGGAACCGGTCAGATGGATTTTTTCGGGTTTGGATGCCTGAAACAAAGCATTTTCAAGAAGAAGTCATGAACTTTGGTTGGGCTTTGGAAAGTTCTAAATCAAGAATGGGATCTTATCTCCCCTGAAATGTGTCAAAATGTGTTTGGAAGTTATAAACCAAGACTCAGACTTGTTGCTAAGATGAATGGAGAACACATTGAGATCGCTAAAGTAATTCACAGTCATCGTGTTCAGAAGTTATAAGGTAAGTCATACTGTTCATATAAACTGCGGACACCCTCTGTATGTATGATCTCATTTGTCAGTCACAGCTTTCATATGACTGACATTCTCCGTCCTGTCAAAATCATAATATATACCTGGCAATTTGTATTGTGATTCATTCATGTGTGTACGTATTTAACGACCTCGTGGTATTATGATGGGCAGAGTTGAACGTTTTTTTGACAAGTGAAAGTAATTAACATTAATTTGCTTGCTTATTAATTAGTACGTGTTAATTATACTACATGAGGTTGGAGATCATTAATCAAATCGTATTTATCTTGCAAGTCCAAGGTCTGCAAAAATACTAATCTTGATAAAAAAGGTCAAGAACAAAGTTCATAATCCAACAAATCAATCCCGTCTCAGGTTCGTCGTTTAAATTACAGCGATTGATGATGTTTATCTGTAAATTCGCACGTACTTATTTATTATTTTCAGCAGTGTTTCGGATGGGAGTAACCACTTGCACGAAATCATCGAAAGAAAGTGGTTTCTTGCAGCTATGCAAATATTTTGACCTGCACGAAATGCAGGTCTTGCAACTTGCAATTCTTGCGATTCTTGCTTTGCAGTGCACGAAATGTGACTTTCTCCCGCAAGAAACGAAACACTGATCTTCGCAAATAAATGACAACGAAATGCTGAAATGCACGTTTATAAATACCACTCAACCCGAAGACCTAAAAAAATACTTCGAAATCATTAAAAGTCTAAGAGTGTCATAAATGTGCATAAATTATAATGACTGATTTCTCTCCAATGCCGACTGACTAAAATAAATAAATCGTGTTTATGAAAACCACTCGGAGGAATGATTGATTATAAAGACGAAGATGATATTTCATTTCGGAGTGACGAGCATATAAATTGTTTTTTATTTTTTCTGCAATCCATTTTTTTCGTGCTCTTTTCTTCACAATCAAGTTCAAGAGTTTACAATGGAATAAATTGTTTTGCAGGTTGTTAATCTCGTCTGATTAGGTGTACATACTCATTCGGCGTAATTATAGGGTAGGTAAATCTAACTAAAATAAAGGTAGTTGTTGTTGCAGTTGTAGTAAACATGTCATCGTTTCATTGGACAACATAAATAAAATAATATACAATTTGTGTTATCATAAATTAAATTAGTAAGTAATCGGGATGATAGGCACACACCCGTCAGGAATTCGGTTTTGTAAAATAAAAATGAGGGACACCTTGTAACGTGAAATCAGTGGCCACGGAAGCGGTGGGGACGTCTGGGGACATTAACATTGTAGAATAGGGGAGAGAGGGGTTTATCAGGTGATGGGGACATCGACTAACCGTGGGGACATTGTCCCTTTGTCCCCACGCTTCCACGGCCAATGCGTGAAATACTTGTAAAATTGAGGATTCCTGCACTAACTGACATCATAATATTCGACATAAATATCAGGGCTTCTTCGTCTTCTTAGTATCGTATAATACGCAGACACATTTGCATTTATTCTCACAGTCAGGACAATGACGGTGGTTGGTAGGAATAAATTCGTATAAAATAATGAGATGTAAAAACTTCTTGACCGGATCTTGAGGCTGACTCATCACTTGCACACGCACACACTGGCACACATACTTATTTGCATATCTCATCATTAGTCAATACTGTTCATCACTTTTAATTCACGATCCGGATGTAGCGCCTAGATACTTCTTGTCCTTAATCAAAATCGAAATTGATGGCACAATGACCCAACGTTGTTCTGGAATAGCCATGCGGACACTTTGCCGGAGGAACGCCGATCCCACCGGTGGCAAAGTTGAGGGGCTTTTTACTCCCCCTCGTCTTCTCACAGGAGGCGAAAGCTTTAAACTTGGCGAAGTGGATGACATCTTCCGAACTTTCACACGTGGGGTGACTGCTGAGCCCGAGCTCGGCGCAGGAGCCGTCCTTGAGCTGCACCCATTCGAAGCCGTTGTCAGGAAAGGAGGCGCAGAGGTTGATCTCGCAGCGGGCGCAGAGATTCTCCGCACAGGTCGCGTCCTTGTAGGGAACCAGCCAGTGGGTCGCGGAGCAGTAGCCCTGTTAAAATAATGAGGAGAATATGAGAATATGTAGAAATTGGAAAAATTGTGCTGATAAAAATTTGGAAGGAATTTTTACAACGGTTGTTACTTAGTTTTTAGATTTTTACCCTACGCGCAAATAAATATGGAGAACATGCAAAAAAATTGGCACAAAAAAAGATGCTGATAAAAACTGGGAATCGCTTGTAATTCGTAAAAGTATGAATAATTATTACGACATTTGTTAATTAGTTTGACGTTTCGTGAAAGTATGACGCAGGGATTTCCTGAATTACTTATTAATTTCACATAACGATGAACTATGCGTCATGTCCTTCGTTGCATGCATTCATTGAACTGTGGGCTAATCCTCCTAACAAGTAAAAGAGATACATAATTATGGGTGCCGCATACCAACCAACATGCATGAGAATCACCCAGTAAAAGGTCTGACTCATCCCCAGTGATGTGATGTGATCTCTCAACTATTGTGTCAGATTATGAGTTAGAGTTTGTATGGATATTCCACCAGTAAGTACTTAAAGGTAAAAATTGAGTCAATTACCCCCATAAATTTGACAGGTTGGCTGCATAGATTGGGTATTTGGCATGCAATTACAGATATTATAGGGCAGGAAGTGTTAACTGTGTGAAGCATTAAGTGCTAATGCGGCATGAAGATAAATTATGTGTATTATGCCCCTGACAGATTTACATTACATCCTATTGCACTAAATTCCCAACCAACTAAATAACTATTTTTAATCCTCAATTCAATACGGTTCGAGAGTGAGAGGTGTGTTTATGGTAGCCTAAAAATATTCAGGTGCATGCTTATTCGTCGGATGTGGTGGGTGGACGGATTGGCGAGAAATGGAAGACAGAAGAATTTTTTAAATTAGAATTATTTACGATTTACATAAATGCAAAATTTTAGAAACTACGAATAATTCTTAATTGTTGTGCAAATTGGTGCTAAAAATGTATGTAACACAAATTGATGGGAAAGTTAATTTGCAAGTGTATGTAACTCATCGCCCCATAAAGCCACGTTTAAATGCAATGATGATTATGATATCCACGCCTTTCTTCTTATCTTCACTTATCAACCACTCCACTCCCATCATCGTCCAATCCGATACCTCATTAATCCTTAATTGGTACTAAAAATGTAACAATCACGAATTGATGGTTTCTAGAGGAGAAAATTAATTTGCAAGTGCATGTAACTCATCACCCCAGAAAGCCACGCTCAAATATCCACGCTATGGACTCTCTACTTATCTTGGCTTATCAACCCCTCCCTCCACTGTGATATCTCACTAATCCTTATTGCTAATCAAAACCAGAGAGCAATTCTCCATAATCTGTCCGTATCCGTACCTGGGTGAAGATGAAGTAGCACTGTCCAGTCGGCTCATGGTAGACGAGGCCACGCTCATTGTGGGTCAAATCACAGTCACAAACACCCACACTTTCATTCAACGGTTTCGAGTAGAGGATCATATTTTTGGCGCAGGGTCCCGTCGTGTGTTCTCGGTGACAGGTCCCGACCTCTCCCCCAGCACCGCCATCACTCGTACCACTGCTGCTCCCATTTAGTGCTTCGAGGTAATAAAGATCTTGAGCGTTCGGACACAGCCTTTGTCTGCAGAAAAAATACAAAAAATGAGATGAGCACAAAAATGTATCATTATTATTTATGAGACAAATTAATATTTATGTATCTAATTTGCATATCGTTCACTCCCTCCCACTCATTCACTCACCTTTGATTAGATCTGTGCACGAATAAAATTAATATGAATGTGAACGCTATAATTACTGAAGCTGTGAAGACGATGGGTTTCCATTTGTTAGAGTCGCCCATTTTTGGACAGAGTTAAAATCTGCCTTGTTAAATTAATCAAATTGTAGCTCAAGATCACACACAGCGATGATAAGTACTTATTCACACGACACTTTATTATCTTGATGATCTGTCTCTCCTCCACCTTCCAGCCGGTCTAGTGATGAACGAATGACTCCACATGACATTGACACGGGAGAGTTTTATACACGGTTTTTAAAAGACGACGACGCTGGTGGTGATGTGATTCGATGGAGTGACGTCCTTCTTCGGTGGGTCGGTCGGTACTGTTTTGGCCGTCGTGAACCTTTCCTGTTGGCGTCTGAGTCGTGAATGTGAAACAAAATAAGCAAAATCTTTACGAGGATTTCGCCTTCTTCCCACACCACCAGCACCAGCAAAGCATGGGGAAAGAATACTGTGTAACGTATAGATAGTAATAATAATGTCTGTCTAATAAGTGACACGCCAGGAATTTAGTTATTACCACGAACAAGCAGTATAACCGCGTACACTGTAGATTGCTTTAACCACATTCATATGTATATTCATCATTGAGAGCCACGACATCCTGCAATAGTAATTGCATTGTTATTTGGCTGGTATATGTAAGTTCAGTGATACTCTGGATGAACTGGTGGCTGGGGTTTTAAACTATTAAATCTACATGTAAATTCTCATGGTTGTTGGTGAGTATGTAGCATCATCTCAATTTGGTCGAGTTTTACCAGTTATTATTATGTATGTATTGTGCTTATGTATGTATGTATCTAGAATGTGGTTTAATTCGTTGATGATGAGAGAATGACCATTTCGTGTAAAAACTTGTATATTAAATATCCGTTTGTAAGTACATAAGTATACATTCGTGGGTACACAATTGCCCAGACAAGCTTCAAATATTCCATGCATGCAGGCAGCAGGAGAACGGACAAAAAGCTTTTTTATCATCAACACCTGAACCATCACCATTACACCAGCCAAACCAGTCCGCTTTTACGTATGTAACAGATTTTCGGTGAGAATAATATGTACACCCACCCAGACGGCAAATATTCTGTTTGATGGGGGTTCCTGATCTGGTTTCGCCCATGTGTGATAAATAATGGCAAAATCATCCCACATGTACATACAATTGGTTTTGTATTAATAACAAAACCACCCACGCCCAAGCAAGGATACAAAGATAAGTAGTCTCGATAAGCAGGAGAGTTAGTTACCTCATCATTGTTACATATTGATCCTTGAGCAAATAAAGTCTGCTTTCTCGGATTTGGAGTATGTATTGCAAAAATTTGTATATCCCCGAAATCAGAGATTTTCATGAAAATTCCATCCATGAAAATACTTACATTGGTTTTTCTTGGTTACTTTTTATGCTGAACACAGATCTGCCTGATTAGCAGAACTCACCGGGTGTCGAGTCTGCTAGCCCGATTTTTTTGCATGCATGGATCTGTGCAACTCAACTTTTTACATACGCGTCGCGCAATGTACAATGAATGATGAATAATGTAAGATATTTAGATAACAATGGAGAATTGGATTCTGGTTTCGTCGTCGTCGACTTGGTTTATTATTTTAATCAGGACTGAGGACGAGGCAGGCACGTAGAAAATTAAATTCGCTCTCCATCATTATCCATGAATGCCTACATATAATGCATACGTAGGTATTTAAATACGTACGATTTTTTATAAATATACAGCAACGAAGGACTATTCTTGATATTCTGAGAATGCAAATGTAATTCGTCATGCCGGTGTGTGTGTGTATGGATGGATGGATAAGCTATACATATCCACCACCCACATGGTTAGCACATTTTCCTCCTCTCTTGAAATAACCTGTCAACATGTTTTGTGCTAATTGCCAGAACTTTAGAAAATATCGACGTACAAAATCTCCTCCTGCTGAGTCAGACAAAAACCATGAGCATACATTTTTACACCACACCACACACGCGTTACGCAATAACCACCGTCGTACATATTTACGTGGCGTCATTTCCTAAATTTTTGTAGTCTGGCTAATTCATGAATGAACGAATATGGCAGAGAACTGGTCTAATTCGACGGGTGGGTGACTCTAGTTGGTGGCATCGGAAGCCGTGGGGACATTAACATTGTATGTATAGGGGAGGGAGAGTTGTCCTCCAATGTCTCCAGATCATGGGGACATTGTCCCTTTGTCCCCACGCTTCCGAGAACACTGAATCCGTTACACCCCCAATTTCGAACAAGTCATTTTATTAAGTTTTTAAGCACACAAATATCTCTACACAGTAAGATAAAATTTGTTCCTCACATAAAAATACGTATATTTAGTATATTAAATATAAGATCACATCGTTGAGAATGGACATATTAAAAAGTAAACAAACCAAATATGTATGAAAAAACAAGGTCCAAAAATCTGTGAATATAAATACATACAGAAGTTGAAAAAGTGTTAGGCTGTAAAAGTAGTTGATTCACGAAATCTATAAACAAACTCATACTGTTTTGACTTTTACTTCACAATTAGTACAGTTCATATGCACAACATGTGGTTTTAGCACGTGTCGACTAGTCCTACATGATCTGTCGGCAGGGAAGACTTAAAATGAAGTAGAAAATTCGTAGGTAAACATTGATGGAATACGTTGATCTATTAGAAATACTTGTATAATCGATCGGGACACCATATTTTATTCTTTGTAGACTGGAAAGTCAGGGATGGAGACGTGAATGGGACCATTTTCGTTGAGAAATTCATGAATTTGTTCAACCTCCATGTTACCGCAGTATGGGTTGATTATCACTTCGCTGCCTCGATCCTTCCAGATTTTAGATGCCCATTGAATCATGGGCTGAGTAAATTCGTAACAAAATTCAGTCTTGATTTCTTTTAATCCAAGCCTCCTGACAATGGCGCAGAGGGACTCGTCAGTAATCTACGAGAAAAAAAATGAGTTGGTTTAGCACATATAGTAATCTTGCTAATTTGCTAATTTAAAACAACACACCTTATAACATAAAAGCGACAGAGATCGTAAAGATTGCAAATGGATGACACTCGACACGATGCCATAATCCGTCAATTTGTTAGACTCCAGTCGAAGGTGCTTCAAATCTATGAGAAAAATAAATAAAACACGTTCAATAAATATATTCCGCAGTGTTTCGAGTGCAATTAATCACTTGTAACAAACCACCGCAAGAAAGTGGTTTCATGGTGGTTTCTTGCAGCTACATATTTTGACCTGCAAGAAATGCACGGCGCAAAAAACTACTATGCTATATTTCATACAGCGCGTGGCCTTATGGCGCATATTTCTTGCAGTTTCTCAAACTTTATTGCATCTGTATTTCTTGGGTTTCTTGCTTTGCAGTGCAAGAAATGTAGCAAACCCGCAAGATACGAAACACTAATTCCGAACTACATGATAAAATTTTTAGCTAAACTCACTTGTAAGGTTTCCAATGTGTGGGTGTCTACGCAATGGCGAAGATGAAGCATACTGGCCTTGATTGATGACTGGGATCCCACTGAGTCCCGCTGATGTGAATGACCCATTCGTCACTTCCAACTCTTCCAGTTGTGGCATCATCGCGTAAATCATGTCCAACGCTCGATCCGTTATAGATTCCATTCGGAAACTTTTTAATTTTGGGAATCGCTGAATAATAATTTGCATAACGTTGAGTACTTTTGCAGGGCGAGGCAATTCCACGAAGAGGGAGCTGACTGACCAACTAGATAAGGTGACGGGTATGGCATTATATAACCAATCAGAAAGAAAATGGTGACAACACAATACTCACCTTGTATAATACAACTTTAGCGATTCCAATTTGTGGGGTTTTTGCTCGTGTACGTGGAACTCGTCGTAATATTCGAAAAAATCCTCTTGCGTCATGTGCAAGCTTTTGAGTTGGGGAATCAGCGAGAGAAAGTCCAGGTTTCCACTGACCCGGTGAAGGGTCAAATGTCTCAAACTATTCATATGCTTAATCCCGTCAAAGGTGGAGAAGAGCTTGGTCTTTCCCGAGCAGTAGTTGACTTTCAGCGACTTGAGGGTCTTGTTAAAGCTAAGAATGTGACTAAACAGATGTACCTGTCGTGGATGCCATGATTCAAATGTTTGACTGGGAACGATAATTTCCAAACTTTTGAGTGGTAAGACGCGCAAGTGATACACCATGTCCACGTCAAACACAACTTTGACAGATTTCAACGAAGTGAATCGAAAGTGGCGATTTCTGTAGAGAATCTTGCTAAAGATGAGATCCGCATCGATACCATCGGCTAATGTATCCGTTTGGTTATCCCACTGCTCATAATGGAGAGAACCCAATCGTGAGAACTTCGGAGCGGTGCTCAACCTCTTCCCCTTCATTGAATCGAAACCCGTGACGACGGTCAAATTGGGCATAACGCTGAGTAACTCTTGAAGAAAGTGGCACCCACTTGTTTCGAATTTAGCTTCTACTCGTAAAATCTTGACATTTGGTAACTTTTGTTCCGGTTCATGCCTCGAGGATGAGGGAAGAAAGTTAAACTCGCAAATGCGTTGAGAACAAAGGATAAATTCTTCGAGATTGGGTAGTTTTTCGAAAAGAATTCGTCTCAACGAGGCAGGAATCCAGTGCGCCTCGAGATGCAGATATTCAATGTACGGCCCAAATTTGCTGAAGAATCGTTGCATCAAATGATCTTGAAGATTCAAGTTGTGACCAATTCGCATGTGTGTAAACCTGTGGTGACAGTTTTCATGAATTCGCATGAATCCTGCCACGTCCTTGAAACAGTTGAGATAAATCGAAGTTCGGAGTGGCATTATTCGAAGACATTCCTACAATTATTATAGTTATATTAATTATAAGTTAACGTTTTGACTTTGAGTTGACTGCACATATTGATTACTTTACTCACCATTCGCCACTGTTTGCAAACAAGTTGAGTATTGCGAAAATCAGAGAATTCTAGTCGCAACATTACGTTCACGAGAACCTAATAAACAAAGAGTTTGATAATTTAAGTGATAACCACTTTTTGTCAGAATTTCAAAAAGTTAAATTTAACAAGAATTTATTATTTAGCTGTATTACATCTGGTATTAGAAGTGGGTGGACGGTACCCTGCCATTTAAATGGGTCGGGAACCCCTTCACCTGACTCGATAAAGTTGCCACGGTCGTCGATTCGAATTAAACGTGGAGTCGGTGGTCGAGAAGAACTGCTACTCCTTCGTCTCCTTCGCTGGTATCGTGGTCGTGATGCGACCGCGTCGCGACGTTTCCGCGACCTCAATCGACCGTCATATGGGTGCACTGTTGTACTTTCATCCACCACCTCGACCTCGACATCGTCGTCTTCCGTCTCGTCGTCATCATCGATCTCGTTCTTGGCTGGAGGAGAAGGGGGCGGGGGCACAGTTTTTCGTTTCGGACCCCTACGTCGCCTCATCTTATCTTATCTGGAATGAAGACAAGTTTTCAATTGGTATTATATTATATTATATGTTTGGATTATACAACCGATATAGGAGAGTAGACAACAGGAAATACTCAAATTAAGTAATTATTTCAATAATTAAGCAATTTAATTGTTTTTATTTTGCTGAAACAGTACACAGAATGTGCAATGTATCTCCTCTCATATGAAAAATTACAATATTTACCTTTAAAATCAAAATTCTGGAAAAAAGTTGATCTAGTATCACTCCGAAAATGGGTTGGATTTGAACTTTGACAATTTATGGCTTTGATAATTATTAATTTCACCTAGAATTAATTTAATTTGTGGAACGTAAATTCCATGATTTAACACCAGCAACCATGAGCCAGCCAACAACCTGCTCCGTGCTCAGCTCAAGCAGTTCCATATACGTTTTGCTGCTTCTTGCTTCTTCAAAATCTCTCGCTCCCCGCAAATCATACGACTCCACACAAGCAATCAGATCAAAAAATCAGAGACAATTTGATAAAATTTGTAATAAACATTTTAAATTTCTGATATTTCAGATTTGAGAGTCGTTCCAATTTTCCAATGTAAACAGCAGGTTACATTTATACAATTTGCGACGGTCATATTTGACCAACATTTTATGTGTTATGCATTTTTGACCATGATTTTTGCTCGAGAAATTTATGCAGTTCGACTTATTGAACTTATTTTTATATATAGAATTTTCAACTGCATGTGAGGACATGTTGAACTTGATAAATAGCTTTCGATTACATGCAGTAAATCTTCATTGAGAAAAATTCTTCTTATTTTTCATTTTATTTCGCATTATTTATAATAATCTTATTTCATAATTATGATACAAACCTCATCAAATACTTGTAAAACATATAATAAATAGCACATAATTGACTAGTTTATAGTTTTGCATTAAATATAAAATCATACATAAATTAAATTAAGGAACTGAATTGACGATATTTGATAATATGCGGAAACAAGGAACCATTTGAGATATCCACTCTGAAATTTCGGAACTGCGTGGATGAACTCTGGTAAGTATGATGAGGAGATAATAGGCAGCACTGAAATCTTGTACATCTTCCTTATTTGGGGTTCCTCCTCCCCCAATGTTTGACGTGGCGGAGAGATGGACGACCATGGAATTAAGATATTGGCACAGCAAGGAGACTAAAGCGAACGTTTGGGACGGATTACATTGGAAGAAGAGGGTTGATAATCCAATCACAAATGGGAAACCGTCCGCAGGTTCGGAAACTTTTCGGCATGTTAGGCTCCCTGAATGGAATTTAAAAAATCTCGCATTGAGGTAGGCGTCGACGACTCCTCGTCAAAATCGTCAAAATCAACACATTTTTAACCAATATCAGCTCTGTGATTTTGCTTTAAAATTATGGACCATGAATTTGTAAAGCAAGTTGTCAATTAAAGAAAGTATACACTTCAGATATTGAAGGAGATGTCAAGGTTAGGGAAGCCTTAAAAAATTGGAACTCTTCCAAACTGGCTAAAAACTAAACTCATAGTCATCCTACTAATCAACTTCAAATTTGTCTTTCAGAATTTTTAATTAAATTTCCAGAGCGGAGATATAATTAATAATGTGCTGATTTTTACGATTTTGGTGATGAGTCATTGACTCCTGCGTTAAATACGCAAATTAAATTATATTTAATACTCATTCATACCCAAACTTTTCGAGTAAACCAATTTATGAAGATGATTCACTACAATGACCGCCAGATATGTCGCCATGTTTGGAATGGGTTCAAGTGTTATATAGATTTTTGCATATGGGTCATACAATCCAAGCGGCTCGGAATAGTTTAACGTTTCAAAAGCAATATTTGACACTTCATCGTTTGGAATGTTTCCCGTAGTAGATTTCCTACTGCACGATTCAGACATTTGCACCTCTGCCATTAAACTGTAGAAACAGAAGGAATTTAAAATAAGTAGAAATTACATGTCATGCATTATATATGTATATACTCGCCTGTTAACCACGCCAAGGGCATTTTGTAATTGTTTCGCCTGAAAACTAGCAGCAACTCGGAGTTGGTACTGAATACGTTTGCGAAGCAGTTGAAGCTGACCAATCTTTTGGAGAATTACAGCACAGTCCAATGTCGATCCGCTTCTTATAATTTTGAACCATGACAGATACTTTTTTAGAGGATAATCTATTCAGAACAAATTAGTGCCACACATTTAATATTGATTAATTGATTGCTGAGAAACGAAAAAAGCTAGTACCAACTACTCGAGAATGGGGCGAAAGTTGTACTTCCAGAGATCCAAGTAAATCTTTCACACTATTCTTCTCTGTCAACTCTTTCCTCATGAATTTTGTCAAGGCCTAATAAGAAACCCACATAAAAATTAGTATGTACGTCACACACAATTGCAATAGTAAATTCAAACCTGAATATGATTTGCAATCATGAACGACAAAATCTTGTCCAATCCAGTCAACCCAGAAACACCTAAACCCTTCTCCATCACGGAAAAGTAATCTGGCGTGAGGAGGGCTGCATGAGTTTTCAAATCGTACCAACTACTCGTCGCAGTTAAGAACGAGGATGTCTTGGGATCACTAATGGATATCAGTTCGTTGGCCAGTCGGCCTAAAAAGGTGGTGGCAGAGTAATCTAACAAATCATTTGTAGGTGATGATGATGACCCTGGAGACGCGGAGATAAATTGAATCGGAATGGGGATCTCCTTGGATTGATAGATTGACTGAAAATGAAGGACTTTGTTCTTTGTAAAACTGTTGCATTCTTGCTCCGTGAAAAAATTGAGTACTCGAGAGAATTCTTCATAAAATATCTGTAATTTTATAGGTTCAATTATATTTCAACTTGACATAACATCACAGATCGCTTGCTCACCTTAAGTCCATTTGAGTTGACATAGTCTCCAATGTATTCAAATGACCGCAATATACCGTCAAACTGTTTTGCTATAATCGTCAACTTTGACATTAGTTCAGAATCCTTTCCCGAACCTTTCAGCTGAAAATTCAAGTTAGTGTGAAGCACTTGACAAACTTGGCGAACTAATTCTTTTCGAATTCCATTTTCAAGCAATTTCTTGGGATCTATCTTTATCACTCCGACCAAGGTTGTCTGCATCATGAGAATTCCTTCGGCCAAGGCAGACATGTGATGAGTTAGTCGTGAGACCTGCAAAAAGCAAGTGTTCAAAAAAATTGTATAAGGTTAGATAATATTTTCTTTCAACCTTCATTCGATCCTCGAGTTGAGCAAACTCTTTAACTTTATCCTTATCCAGTCTTGTTGGCAATTCTTGAATGGAATTTGTTTGTAGTTCAATTATTTTGTGCAGGATTGAAAATACGGATTCTGGAATGATCTGTAACACTTTTTGGACATAGGCGACCAATTCTTCAGAGTAGTAGGAGGAGACGTTGACTAGTAAATTGTTGGACTTAGCTTGACCAATTCTCATTAGTGGAAAATCCATGGCTGACGAGAGCTAAATAAATACACACACAGAAACGAGATCTTCAAAACGTCCTGACTAAAAATTCTGTAAAAAATATTATTCTAAGTTTGCTACCTTTAAAAATACAGCTCTCAGTTTTGAAACGGCAAAGGGATCGTTATGAATCAATTTCTGCATGTGTGGCGTGTAGCTGTCGATTATCGAACCCCATGCGTAACCCAAGTCCTCAACTATTTGAATAGTTACGAGTTTGTCTTCATTAATGGATCCGGTTCGTATCATTTTATTAAAACATGCCACAATCTCTGTCACCCATTCGCGAACCTGTACTTTACTCTCAAGTCCATGGAATTCTACGATTTAATTTTATCCAAATTAACAGTAGGTTTATACATAAAATTAGGTACTTTAGGTAACCATCATTACTTTACATACCCAACATTTCATCAAAAGCTCGAATCAGTTCGACAAGTTTCCTCCCAGAGACTTTTATCTCGTCAAAATTTAGCGAGTCTACTTGACCAGCTTTTGTATCTAGCCAGCGGTGTAAATTATCTAGAAAATGAAAATCAATGTTATTTATTGGTCAAGTTCTTGTTGGTTTCATTAATATGCGACTTACCATTCCTTTCAATCCGAGATAAAGGCTTTGTCCCACTGAAAACTTCGGACAATTCCTTAATCCGTTCGTTTGCTTCTATTTTATAATTATTCCAGCGATCTCGTTTCTCTGAAAGGAGTTTTCTGAATAATTCCTTAATTTTCAGCTCCAACTGGGCCACGTTCAGCAAGAATTTGAGCGTAACTTCTGGGTCATATTTTACTTCGGATAGAACCGTGTCACGGAGTTGTTTCATTTTTTTGACGCCGTCTGATAGCCAATTAGTTTATAATCATAAATTAAGAGGCTAAAATTAATGGAGATTACTTAATTTAAATATTTCATTAATTGCATACCGACAGCAGTGGGAGGAGTGCAATGTAAAATAATCCAACGTAACGTAACATTACAATCTCTCAGCAAATTTATGACTTTTGAGACTTTTTCCAACACGTTTTCTTCCGTGAGGAGCCCTTCCTTCAGAAACTTTTCAGTCTCTTCAATCAGTAACTAGAAACAAAACCAAAAATTGTGTCAGAATCAAAACGTGCTAAATAAATGGATGTACAAAATCACCTTAACTTTTGGACCCTTATCTCCCGTAATTTGCTTAACTCGTGCCGTTTCCACCGTATTTGCTAAAGCCAACTTGGCCGATTTGAAGGAGTCCCACCCTTCCACTAAATTAATGAAGAATCCCATGTAGACTGGAACTATCCAATTGTCGGGGAAAAATTTATCCGTGATTTCCCTCATTGTTGCATTATCTGAATGCAGCACCATCGGGGTAAAGAATAAGATAATCACGAGCATGGAAGATTGTCCGGCAAATGCGGTCGATCTCTGTTCCGGAAGAGGATATGCTGATCCAACTTGAAGATAAATATCGTCCGATCGAAGTACTCCAATTATCATTTGGACAAAAGTTTCGTCTATGGGGACTCGTCTTAATAATTTAATGATTGAACAAAAATACATGATTCAATTAATTTGACGGACAAAAAAACCAACAATTTTACAATTACTTACTTGAAGTAATCTTGCGGATATCCAGCCGGCCTTTTCCCTTTTGTGTATCCCGTTGCTCTAAATAATTTACAAACTTGGTCCACATGCGTTTCCGTCTGAAAGGCTCCTGCAGCATATCTATAAAATGAGGTCAACATTCTCTCTCTGACCACTCCGTCGATGTGGATGTCAACCAGAAGAAGCATGACGCCATAGAGGAACAAGCTTTCAGTCTGAATAAAGAACATTCCAAACTTTAAAATGAGTACACCATTATTTTCGTCTTACTGACCAATAACTGTTTGCCCTCCTTGTCGTATAAAATGGTTTCCAAGCTCATCTGGATGTAGTAACCCTCGTGAACATCTTCTATGAAACGATTCAGCTCCGTGACGTACTTGAATATACTTTCAAACAAAAAATAAAAGCTGCTGAGTAATTCGATATAATTTTCACGGAGTTCTTGATCAACTTCAGAGAGAGACTGTAAATAATTAAGTGCAACAACTAATTAATTACGTAATAACATAATTAATTGATTCATTAAACATCATACCGGACTGTTTTCCAACTTTTTTTCGAATGCTTCCGACCCCGCAAAATAGCTAAAGTCACATAGGACTTCTCCATACTTTTGAATATCAGATTTATGCTCAAGGCTAAAATTTGTACAACCGAATAAGTCATCATTAAAATTTTACAAAGAACTATTAGTTAACTGTATAGAAAATGTTTCATGCTTACCGAAATATAGATGGAACAGTCTCCTTGAGGCGGAGCAAATCAGCTAAAATAGCATTTCCTTGCTAAAATATAATTAGGAATATATTATAATTTTTAATAAAATAATCAAATACATAAACAATTTGTTTAAAACAAACAACTTTTGTTAATTATTATTATTTACCGATACTAATCGTAGAATCGTCTGACCGCAGAAATTGTTGTCCGCTAAGAAGTCTGACATTTCTAACAATTATCTATTTCTAACTACTTCTAAAAATTATTATATGTCCACAAAAAGTACATGCAAAACCGAAAAATCGGTGTATTTCATATTTATTTTTATGAAATTTACCCAGCTGTAGGTTTGACTGGTTCTGAATGCGACATCGCGGGAGTGAGAGCATGAAGAAGGAGAATCGTAAATTACGATTCGTAATTTGCAATTTATTCCACCTGCATCGCTCGAAAATAATAAAAATAAATACAAAATACAGCGAAAGTTTCAAATTTGTGTTCAGTAAATAATTGGAAGCATATCGACAGGAGGAATGGAAGTAGACGAGTTTGTCCCCCTTCCTCCGTCCTGGTTCGAATTTTTGCTCGACCGGACTTTGCTCGAAAGACATTTGCGCCAAGAAGTAGCAGGTAACAAAATTGTAATTAATTGTACCATTGAGTTTGTCACTATTTATTTATATTTATGACGGCTAATTAAATTTCAGACCCGTCTGCGACCACTTTGTTATCCGAGTTTGTCTTGAATGCGGAGAAATCAGCGGCAGATACTATTCCAGCGACCAAGCTGGAAAAACCCCAGTCGGAAGAAGAATCTCTTATCTTTTCCTATCGACAAAAGAAAAATCGGGCCTTAAGACTTGTCTCGTTACAAACGGCTGCCTTCTTAAATTGGGATTTAGATGTTTTAACCAAGTTAGTAAAGAAGATAGTCAAATTTAGTTATTCTTTACGAGTTTATATAGTTAATGTAATGTATTTCATGCACAGGATCCATGTTTCTACTCAGCATGCATTTATGAAGCACGTTCTGAACGTGGCGCAACCCGACCCAGCGGAAGAAAGTAGGCGTGAATTGTCGAAAGAGTTTCTTCGCGTCCTTTACCACAGATGGGTCTTGAGGACATTTCAGAGTCACAATGCGTTTGCAAAGACGGCGAGGTAAATAAGACCTTTTTGCACTGGGGGGAGGGGGTGTGCTCGGGGAATTAGCTTCAAGTTACTGCAGGTTTTGCAAGTGCAAGTGCAAAAATCTTGTGATGAGATTCGTAGGCTTTAAGGGTAACTATATTTAATGCTCTGGCGTTTTTTTAGATTTGGCCAACAGCAGGCTGATCAAATCATCGCATTAGAAAACGTCTGGAAGGATTTAAACGTTGATGAATCCGTGACATATTTACAAACATGCCTCTCCAACCCGCAACTTGCTTCCGCCATCAAGATCATCATCCCAAACACTGAAACCTTTGCGGTCGATCAGACCCCCGCGTGGGATGTAGGCGTTGAAATTCCAAAGTCCTCCTTTGAGTCCATCATTCACCTCGATCTCGGCATTTTCCTCCTGCACAAAGGGAGCAGTGCTGAGGCGCTCGTCCACTTTCAACAGCAACAAATGCCACTGGAGAATTTCCCATTTTTGAAAATCAGCAAGCGCAAGATGGAGGGATATTTGCGCTCTGTCGGCCTGCTCACCACGTTCGACCAAACCTTGGAAGACAGTAAAGTGACACCGCGATCACTCGATCACGCCAAAATGTTGGAGTCTGCTCTCTCCGTGAGAAAAGGGTTGAGTCCGAGATTAAAGAAACTCCTGAATGTCAAGTTGGATCCACCAGCATTACCGAGAGGACAGGATCGTCTCAACCCGGATCAACGGGATACAGAAGAGGGTGCCTTTATCATTCCAGGTTAATTAATTATAATTAATACTATGGTTGTCCGATAAGTAAAGTTAGTAAATTTGAATTTAGATTGCTGTTATCGTAGGTAGTTGACACAATATTTAAACATTTAAAACACTTTAGCATCTTTGAGTAAAACACTTAGAATTTCTAAGTTAGAAAATGAAGCATTCTGAAAACGAAGCTCCTGCGAAACGTCTTGTCCAAAACGACAAAAATAGCAGAATCTGGCCAAGGATTGTGAGTGCTTGTAGTCGTAGGCGTCTGCCTCATGCCATCAAGTATGATGGCTTTGAATCAGTTAATGAGTAAAACGAATTGGATTCTTTGTGGCGTTACTTCGATGTAGGATAGCAAACTAAATTAGATTCAAATTTACAAACTTTACTTATTTGACAGCCCGTATTATCTGCGATCGCTGCTTTAATTTTACTAATATATTTTTATTAGGAGACGACAAGCTGTCTCTCTTCACATTAGAGAAACGTCTGATCGAGTCCACCAATGCGAAAGAGATTGAAGATTATATCGCGAAATTGCTTGGGGCTGCTACCCACCAAGGGTCAAGTCCTCGCTCTCTCTCAACCCTGTTCAACGGTTGGGAACTTCCAATTCCGGTGCAGCACGCCGTTAAAAATTTAACCGGAGGAGGACTTCCCTTTCAAGAACAGATTTACATTTTCGTTGCAAAGTCGAGACAACTGTTGAACTGCAAGGTATGTGTAATTACAATGCATTTTGTGCCATATTTAATTTTTATACTTAATTTTTTCAGGAATACGAACAAGCGAAAATTATGCTTCTGACGGCAAAATCAAAACTGCAACAAAAATTCCAACAAACTTATTCTGTCGGGGGACAAGTTAACTCATACGTTTTAAATCTGAACAAACTAATCATCATGATGGACTGGGAGATATTGTTGCTGGACATTACTCAATTTGTATCCGAATATCCCGATGGAATTGATCAGGACGACATTGTAGATTTGAAAAGTAGGTGTCGAGGATGTCTCGAGCAGTTGCAAGATCCTAAAACAGAAGTTAATCCACGATCCGAGATTGTGGAAAATATTCTCGTTGCATTCATCAATCTTGGCGAGTATAGTTACGTCGCCAACTTTGACAAGATGCAGAATCAACGGTAAAATCAGTTAAATTAATTAATACAAACTATAAATAAGGTTTTTACGTTAAAATTGTGTTTCTGTTATAGGTGGCCTTTTGTGGAATTTATCGCATTATTGGCACGCGTCTGCCACGACCTATTTATGGAAAGGAAGGAAACGTCGTCAAGCTATCGAGAATTATGGAGTGCTGGTGATTATGATGATTTATTAATTAAGTTGGACTTTACTGATTATAATTGTGTGCACCTTTCCCTCCTCTTTTTTCAGTACTTCCAATCTTCTCCAATAATTCGGGATCTTCTAATTCCGGAATAAATTCTAAGAAGCAAGTTCTCAACATTTCCAGCAAACCGTCAATGCTCTCTTCACGCAGCTCATTATCCTGGGTTATCGATCGCTCTTGTTCTCAACCGTTGCTTTCCGTGTGGGTATCACTTTTGGCAAAGCTACATAATCACATCCTGGACGACGTAGGTATCCAAATTCACGCCGACTTTCTCCACATTTGGCCCAATATTTTGGATGAGTGCGTAATTTACTTAAGTGGTTAATTTTTTAAAGGCAATTTGTAACATGTATTTACTGATTCCTGTAGCGTGACGTCGTCCACATCTGTCATTGTTGAGTTGAAGAACAACAGAGTTTCCGGAAGCTCCAAACTAAATAGCAAACACATTCGTGATTTCTTGTTCTCGCTGTTGGAACGGGCCACAAAGATCACGAGAGGTGGTGACATGTTTATTTGGCTGCGATGTCTGGGTGACGTTCATCTCGCGTCGGGATCTCCTTCCCTCGCCATGAAGTGCTACATCGAGTATTTAGCTATGTGCACGGACTTTTTTGAAAAATCGAACGCCCCAAACTGGGAGGACTCGAAATTGTTCAAGAGGATGATCAAATGTTGTGAAATGTTGGGTTGTTTTACTCAGGTGAGCATTATGATAAGCATGTACACATTTTACAAGTGGTGGGGAAATACGTTGTCAAAATACAGTATTTTTGACAACGGTGGAAAAGGTTAAAAATTTCAATTTTTCCCACCTTTTTATTTTTGAAAGATAAATTTCATTGGTTTTTGTTGGTGCAGGCTGTCGTCCTGAGTCAATTTCTCTCACCGGAAGTCGACTACTCCGTCGCGTTTGGGATGGCTATTGAGAAAACTACAAACGACGCATCCGACTCGCTGTACGGGTTTATCTGGGATCTCACAATTTTAGAATTTTTAATCAATTTGCATACCAAGAGGAATGAAATGGCGAAAAGACAACAAGCTGTGAGAATCCATCCAACCACCTATTTTTTAAATTATAATTAATCACTCAATATCATTCTTTTTGTTTTTGTGTACTTAGGTAAAAGTCATGGGCCTCTTGGAACTGAATTCAAATAACAATGAGGAAATCCAACGAGAAGCAATGTGTTTGCGGCGATCACAATTTATGAGAACATTAGCAAAGCACTATATTTTTGTATAGTTTTATACATATGACGTAAGACTATAACCTGAGTATAAACTATACAGACTTCATTCTCATTATGTATTACGTATTTAAAAGGATTATTTTTAAATAAGTTTACTTTTGTAAATGTGTGCATTTACGACTTGGAAATGATGATTAAGCGTCACGTCATACAACCAAAACAACAACAAAAGTATGTATACGAGTAACACGCCAATTTTGCATACATTTTGCATAAGCACGGGTATAGAAACCAATGCATATCGCTATAGATCTGCATACTGACTACAACTCGTAGTCTAAAGACAAGCAGATATCTATCCAGTTCATGGCAAGAAATGTTGCATAACCAAGAGTAGTGAGAACAGCTTCTCGGCTACAGAGACGAAGATCATCTCATCTCACTCACGAGTCGGAGAAAAGCGTATTATTATAAGGAAACCTTGAGCAACATCAACTGTTCATTGTGCTGTTCGAGTTGGACAGCTCTGCATTCTCCGAGAAAAAACATGTCATTCTTTAACTAACTATTTAGTGCTTAATTATTATTTTTATTTCTTGATTCGTGTGATAACTTGACAAATTGAAATAAGAAGGTAAGAAGTACAAATCCATTAAGAGAACAACTCGTATTCACTTGCTCTTTTGAATTTGCATTTGCATGAACAAACTTAATCACATATATTATCGGATTGGTTGTAGATTTTGTGGACATAATAATAATTCCCAACCTCAATATGTGAGGAATCTGAGAATTGCTTACAGCTATGTTTTTACTTGCATACTTTTGTTCACGCTTTTTGTTGGGCATGTTCATGCAATTTTAAACCAAAATTATTATCAAACTAACAATTTTCGTGCCTCGTTTTCATTTCAGACAGAATCCGGCAAAAAACTAAGATGGAAAAAACACCAGCCAAAGAACAACCCCAGCAAATCCGAGTAATACAATTGGAGGAAAGAAATACTGAAGATGTCGTCTACCGAGTGGAAAAGGGTGCCTATTTTTTCATACGATTATAAATATTTTTGTTATTTATAGGATTGAGTATCATTGATAAATTTTTGTTTTGTGTTTCAGGCACGATTTTAAAATTCAGGCTCTCCACACCCCTCCACGGCCATGCCGTTGAATTATTCTGCAACCATCCTACGTCCCCTCTCGAAGAGTCATTTGCTAGAGAAACGTATCACAAAGTTGATTGGGTGGTGCACAAGGAAAACGAAGAAACATTCACCAGCTTGACCACTCTGGTTTCTGGATGCTTTCAATTCTACGTTCTGAAAGACGGGTATAGTTGAACCGAGACCGTTTTGTAATAAATAATTCTATATCTACGATACATGAACTATAAATTGTGTCGCAGAAAAAAGTCTGGGAGGGGTTACTTCTTAGTTGACCCAGTTCTGAGGATCGGAAGCAACGATGAAGTCTTGGCTCTGGACTCGATCTGTTGTCAAAGTTTTTTTCCCAAGTCGTTGGGTCCGTTGTCAGAGTGGAAAGGGCGTCTTGAAGTTGCTCACCAATCGGGGTACAATATGATTCATTTTACCCCCGTGCAGGTATATAGGTCATACTCGTAGTATTTTAAATTTTTGTCAGAAATGTGAAGTAAAACTTATTGCAATTTATGCAGGAATTAGGCAAGTCAAATTCTTCCTACTCCATTTCCAATCAGCTCGCGTTGAACCCAATCTTTGGGAATGTCAAGTTTGACGACGTCCAGAAAGTAGTGAATGATATGAAGCAAGAGTGGGGAGTAAGTTCGTACTTTTATTAAGGAATTGCACTAAATTATAAATAATGCAAAACCACACCTCAATCATGTAGGTCTTGTCGATATGCGACGTGGTATTTAACCACACCGCGAATGAGACGCCATGGCTGAAAACTAACCCTGAATCCGGTTACAATCTGGTCAACAGTCCCCACCTTCGTCCCGCATACTTGTTGGACTCTGTTCTCTCCGAATTGAGTAGAGACATTAGTCAAGAGAAATATGCGGAGAGAGGTCTTCCATCAAAAATCAATTCTGAAGACCACTTGAATGTACGGTGGACACTTTATTTTTGACTTCTTGGTCCTTATTTTCATGAGAATTAATTTATTTTGACAGGTGATAAGAGCTCTCTTAAAGGATGAATTACTGCCAAATCTAAAAATCCAAGAAGTATTTCTGGTCAATGTTGACGAACTAGTTGATAACTTTTCAAAATTGGTGGATGCTGGTCAAAAGCCAAATCTCGAAAATCTCGACGACCCAGACCTAAAAATTATTCAAGATCCAACATATCGCAGATTCAAATCTACCGTTGATCTTAATCTGGCTGTCAAGATGCACTTTTGGGAAAAGTAGGTGAACGATTCATTATTGCAGTAAAGAAATAAAGTGAGTTATTCTTATTCTTTGTAGACATGGCGGTCATGATAAGAACGGGGCAATCGAGTCCTTTCGGCATCACTTGTACCGATTAAATGAAAACATGTACAACTTGGTCCAGTCCCATTTGCATGCTGCCGTGGAGAATGTAATTGCTGGGGTGAGATACGAACGATTGCAGCATGACGGACCCAAATTGCCTCAGGTCACGGACAAAGATCCGCTAAGCCACAGGTACTGTTTAACAATGGAGGTCTCCCAGCATATGCTCTCCGATTTTGACGAAACTAGTTTCAATCGATCAAATTCAGTTAACAAAAAATTTGCAAAAGGGCACGATCTTCCTATGCACAAGTGTAGCAGAGATATTTACATCACAAGAGAAGAAACTTTACAGTAATTTGGAAATTGTCACCCTAAAGGCTCGTTTTCTCCTCTTCAGGTGTAAATACTTCTGCCAAACGTGCCCAAATTTGTGATTGACACTAGTTTGCTCAAAATCGGAGAGCATTCGCTTGGAGACGTACAATGGGTACGTCGCACTATCCGTTGAGCAATTTCATACTAAAGAAAATTGTCTTATTTATTTCCCAGATACTTTGTGAACGTCGTGGCACTCGAAGAACATCAAAGTATTGCTCAAGCCGAGAAATTACTGGCGAGTGAAGATGCTCACTTTGTCCTTGCTCACAACGGGTGGGTCATTGGTGACGATCCTCTCAGAAATTTCGCCGAAGCAGGTTCCAACATTTATTTGAGAAGAGAACTAATCGTTTGGAGTGACAGCGTCAAATTGAGGTGGGGACAGGACACACATTATTTAAGATTTTTAAGATCATTAATCATTCACTCATGTTAGGTTTGGCCCGGGTCCATCCTACTGCCCATTCTTGTGGGACGTCATGAAAAAATACGTGGAAACGACGTAAGTGATCACGTATTTATCCATTTAGAACCAGTCGACAAAATAAATATAATTAATTTAATATAGCGCTACCGTTTTTCACGGCTTACGCCTCGATAACTGTCACTCGACGCCAATTCATCTCGCAGAATACTTGTTGGATGCGGCGAGAAATGTTCGCCCAGATTTATTTGTGGTTGCCGAGCTCTTCACCAATTCGGACAGGACGGACAACATTTTTGTTAATCGACTAGGAATCACGTCATTAATTAGAGGTTGTTATAATTTTCTAAGAGTTCGACGGAAATTCTCACTCCTTGGGAAATTTTTATTTGCAGAGGCAATGTCAGCTGGAGATTCGCACGAACAAGGTCGTCTCGTCTATCGGTATGGAGGACTACCAGTCGGAACCTTCGTCCAAGAACCGGTCAGACCAATGATGCCTTCAATTGCTCATGCGCTGATGATGGATCAGACCCATGATAATCCGAGGTATGTGCATTTCAAACTAAGGAGACTGAAGATTTTGAACGGCATTATTCAGTTTAATAATTACTTCGCTAAGCCCCATCACCAAACGAAGCGTTTACGACGTTCTCCCCACCGCCGCGATGGTATCAATGGCTGGCTGTGCAACGGGAAGCAATCGTGGCTTGGATGAGTTTGTTCCACATCACGTAATAATACTTCTTGTTCACCTACATCACTTAACGTAGGACTAGTCCTACTTTAATTATTTTGCAATGGCTTGATTAAAAAAAATTATTTATGCAGATTCATGTCGTTCACGAGTCACGCTTCTACTCAAGTTGGTCATCTGAAGATTCGGTCAAGGCAGGAGTCGTGAGTAAGAAGAGTGGGATCATATCGGCGAAGAAAGTGCTCAACAAGCTGCATATGAAACTAGGACAGGAAGGATTTAGTGAGGTGTGTATTGTATTTATTACTAAATTTCCACATGTCTTGTGCCATCGTACTTGTGCATATCCTAATTATTGCATACCTTTTTGTATTTGTAATTAGGTATTTGTCGACCAAATGGACTACGATATCGTCGCTGTGACAAGGCATCATCCGACCACTCATGCAAGAATAGTGCTCGTGACATACACTGCTTTTTCATACCCAGGTTGCGACTTTCACAGAACGGGTAACGTCAAAGATCTAGCATTCGAAGGTGTCTTGGAAGACGTTTTGTTCGAAGCTCGACTCAAACCGAGTGACCCGTGAGTTTAAATTATTGTAGCCAAATTGTAGATTTGGACCACAATTATTACAACTGAAACTTCTCATTTGTTTTTCTAGTGGACGAGGAAACTTCCCAACTCCGTCTGCATTTGAAAAAGATGGCACCTTCATCAACGCCGTGCAAGGTTTTGAATGCGTCGTCAAAGAAAACTTTCCCGTAGGCGAGTCCAAATTTGTAAAATTGGAAGGAAATACTATCAAGTTTGTCAACTTCCAGCCTGGATCGGTCATTGCATTTCGGTTGTTAACATTTTTGTCTGCGAAGCATCAAATAATTTCCTGTTAATAATCTATCATTTTTATGGACAGGATAAATCCTCCCTCATCCGTCACTGAGGCTGTAGTTGCTCTAAGGGAACTCATTTGCAAGGACCATCTCAAGCAGACAATTGCGCCCATGACATTTAACGATTTGAACACGACGCTCTACAAGTGCGAAGAGGAAGAGAAAAACTTTTCTGGATTCGGATTGTACAACATTCCCAATTTTGGGACCTTTGTATACGCTGGACTCCAAGGCATTCACAGCACTTTGGCCGACGTACGATTAAGGAATGACACTGGACACCCGATATGCGACAATCTACGAGCTGGGGACTGGTTAATGGGTGTGCTATATTATCACATATTTATCATTTGCATATTTACTTATTCGTCATAATTATTAATCACATATTTACATTTATTAACCAGAAGGCTTTAATTTTGGCGTGATATTTTGAATTTCTTAGAGTACACATATTCTCGCCTGCTCAAAACCGAAGGGACAAAGCCGCTCGGCATATTAATGCAAAAGTGTGCAGATGAGATGCACAAAATACCACGATATCTAGTACCTCGCTATTTCGACCTGATTATACGAAACGTGTACCTGTCTTGCATCGATGAGGCATGGAATAAGATGTCACCGTAAGCTTGAGCAAATTGGCAGTTAGCAAAACTACTAAGATTTCCGTAATATTCCCTATCTATTGAACTGGGTAAAAAATTCATACTCTTCAGGGTCCTCTGAATGTTTTTCATATTGACTCCTGAAATTTTGACCTAATTCAAGAAATAGAGAAAGTTACGGAAATTTTAAAAATGTAGATTTGCTAACTGCCTAATAAACTTATCTACTTATCTACAACTTATCTAAATTGCACCTCAAAAAATATTCACGTCCCTATTTTCAATCGAAATTCAGCTTCGTCCAAAACTCGTCCCCCTTTGTGAAAGCTTTATCTCTCGGCTCAGTACAGTGTTGCGGATTGAGTTTGTCTGGACCGCTGCCCAACCTTTCACCAAATCTGGTCGGACCAAAACCTAGTATGATCAAATCTGTGGATGGTCATGAGGTCCAGGATTGTGGATCACTTTGTGCTGGTACATTATATTCGTCGACTCGAATTTTGTCGGTTTTTGTTGAAATCATTAAGTAATCTTAATTTTACTTTTTAGGCCTTCCTCATTTTTCTACCGGTTACATGCGAAATTGGGGAAGAGACACGTTCATCTCACTGCCTGGTCTTTTAATTTTGACTGGAAGACATGCCGACGCAAGGTACTCAATAATATTATCCTCTTGCATCAATTCTCATAAATTGTGTTTAGATTATAAAATTATTGCTGTATTTCTCTAGGAATCATATCCTCGCCTACGCTTCAGTGCTAAGACACGGACTGATACCAAATCTGCTCGACCGTGGCACCAACTCGAGATACAACTGTCGCGACGCCACATGGTTTTGGCTTCAAGCAATCAAAATCTATGTTGAAAATGTTCCCTTTGGAGAAGGAATTTTAAAAGACAGAGTTTCAAGGTTGATATGCATTACACAATTACGATTATTAGCAATTATTAAATATATTCCCTCGCTGCTTTCTACAGTTTGTTTATTTATGTAATTGCAGAATGTGGCCTAATGATTTTGGAGGTGCAGTTTTAGATCATTCGGTGGTGGGTTGCATATCTAAGTTATTTTTATTGTGAAGGATTTATGGTCATTTTAAATTTTATGCATTTAGGAACAATCCCTCGAAGACGTAATGCACGAAACATTGCAACGACATTTTGAAGGGATAAGTTTTCGTGAAAGGAACGCCGGGAATCGGATTGATGGTCATATGCAAGACGAAGGATTTAACGTTGTCGCTGGTGTAGATTTAGAAACTGGGTTCGTTTATGGTGGAAATGCTTTCAATTGTGGAACTTGGATGGACAAGATGGGAAGTAGTGACAATGCCGGCGTGAGAGGTGTCCCTGCCACTCCACGAGACGGTTCCGCCGTTGAACTGGTTGGATTATCTGCCAGCGTTCTCAAGTTTCTGGCCGAAATTCATTCCGCTGGGAAATACAGTCATAGTTCAGTGCAAAGGACGGATGCAGATGGTTCGTACTATACCTATACGACTTGCCTTGTCCTAGCTACTCAAGTTCAATATATTTTTATCTCCTATTTTACAGGAAAAACGATCACTTGGACCTTATCTGAATGGAACTCAAAAATCCAAAAGAACTTTGAAAGTAAGTTTTGGATCGCTGAGAATCCCAGCGACAGGTGCCATGATCCACACGAAAATCTTATCAATCGTTCCGGAATATATAAGGATTCATATCGTGCCTCCTCCCGATTCTGTGATTATCAATTACGACCCAACTTTTTAATCGCGATGGCTGTCGCACCGCACTTGTTCACTCCAAGCAATGCAATTATCGCTCTTGGGAAAGCGAAATCCATCCTACTTTCTGAACTTGGCATGAGAACGTTGGACCCCTCGGATTGGAATTATGACGGAAATTATGATAATAGCAACGACTCCGCGGACAGGAAGGTTGCACATGGTTTCAACTATCACAACGGACCGGTGAGAAGTTATTCTACAAAGTTTTCATCGATTAACGTAGGACGCGATGACTTATCACCAAAATTGTCAAAATCAGCACATCTTAAATCATTTCTCGTCTTTGGGAATTTATTTTAAAATGACAAATTTGTAAAGCAAGTCATTGCCAATTTAATAAATATGCACTCCAGATTTTGACAGTATTTGAAGGACATGAAGGAGGAGATCTCAAGTTGAAGAAGTCTTCAGATAATTGGAATTTAGAATAAATTCCAAGAGCCGAGAAATGATTAAAAATGTTTTAATTTTGACGATTTTGGTGATGAGTCGTCGAGTTCTACGTTAAGCCCATGTGTAATTCTAAAAATGAATCTATTTGTAAATAAATAGGAATGGCTGTGGCCTGTTGGCTTCTATTTGCGAGCTTATCTCAAATTCTGTACCCAAAATGGACAGAAGTCGGACGCAATTCGTCACGTACGTCGCGTCATTTCCAAGCACTGGCGATACGTTCAGGCCTCACCGTGGAAAGGGCTGCCTGAATTAACCAATTTGGATGGGGCTGAATGCTGGGGAAGTTGCCGAGTTCAAGCGTGGAGTATGGCGACAATGTTGGAGGTGCGGTGATTGTGATTTATTTATATTGAATTAATTATTGTGTAGGCAATAATATCATCAATTTTGCTACTCTTAGAACGACTATTTTTGTAATTTCAGGTTATAAAGGATTTAACAGAGCTAGAAAAACACTCATAGTGCGCGAAATTTCGTTTAGATCATTCCTCTACTTCAATTTTGACGGCGGAATAATGTAGTAAACTGATCACGTTATTTAATCCAAATGAAAATCATCTTTCGTTGCAAATACTGAGACTTTAGTAGCAATAAATAAGTGGCAATACATAGAGCTAGTAATATATGTCGTAGTGTTACATATGTACTCGGATATACATAATATGTGTCAAAATGTGTCAATGTCTTGTGTTCCAAAACTGCCATATTTTTAACTAGAGCAGGAATCGCTAGCCAATTAAAAAACAAGTAGTAATACGTAAAGAAATCGTGTAGTAAGAATACTCAGCAATATCATGTCGTAGGTTATAAATAACTAAATAAATCTGAATAAGTACGTGTACTTTTCTTATTAAATTGAAAATCTGCACGCTGTGGGCAATGAAGTCATCTGGGTTTAGGAAAATGTTCAACATCTTTACATAAATCAAACTTTCAGGTTTTAGATTCAGCAGATTTTCTTTTATAACCCATCTTTTTCTTGTAATTTACTCGGGGTCCATTTGTTACTCACCTTTTGTTTCATCATTGTTTTGATTTTCTCGGAATGCGAGAACTTCAGATGTTTGTTTAATGACTAATAATTCCTCTAAATACTTACGTACCACGCAAACACCAATCGGAAAAGCATCGTCTCGTCTCCAGTGATCTCTATCTTCCTCACAACATGTTTACATAATTTCACGCTTGAAATAACCGATTAAATTAAATTACTCACTTTTGAACCAAAGTTATTCATAATGCGTAAAGGTGAGTTTGCGTCGGTGAACCATTTTTGAATAAATAATCAATGAAACAATCAATTTGTGGGTAAAGAGCTTAATATTTATGAGACGCCATGCCACTTGCAGAGATGCAGCATGACGAGGCGTCTGTTCTTACACGGCTTCCTCTTATGCCGGATCATGTCCAAAATTTAAATTTTTCATTAATTTATTATTCTCCAGCGTGGAAAGAAACAACAACAATTCATCGCTTCATCATCTTCTTATCTCTTTCTCACCAATTTGAAAGTCAAATTAGTTAAGAAATGAGTTATTTTATGCCAAAATATTTTCAGCACGTCATCATCTCTAACCCGGATGGTTGGATAAATAAATTGGATTATTAGTGGGGGAAAAGAACAATAATTATTTATTTTCATTCAACACTTTGTCAGTGACGGTTCATAGCTCACGTACTCAGCATTTGATTTATATAGTTGTAATAATTAGTTTTTCAGTTTTTTATAAGTTTTCAAGTTCACGCAAGAATTTGCATGCAAATGTTGCAAGATATAAAAGTACATAAACCCGAAAGTCTCCAAAATCTCAAATCTGTGACAAATTGCGTTTATTACTGAAGAGTAATTCAATTAACGTAAATGTGTAACCGTGTTAAGAAAAAGTTTCTTTAAAAAGGTAAGAATTTCTGACAAAACGTATAAATATCGTCCTCAGTAAGAATTCAGGAAGTTAGAGGGTATAGTTAACTAGTCACTTTGGTAGAGTACTTACAAAAACTAAAAAAAAGCGTCAAGTTAATCAACTGTCATAATTTCTTGAGAGTAAAGTCGCATAACTATAAAATCTGCTACTAAAATATTGAATATCACATGCACGACACGCTGCCCAATATCATTATTACGTATTATCACAGTAACAATTAATATGTATGTATAGTTGAGCATGTGAAGTTTACACAAGCAAATCTCAACCATCTTATGATTATTTACATAAGGATGCTTACTTACCAAAGTGTCACAATAGATATGTAAAGCAGTGGCCTTCACCGTATCAAGAATCAGTAGTTGTGCATTTCAGGGCTCATTCCATCCCAAACATTCACAAATAACAGTATTGCATGGCATACAATTCCCTAATTAATTGCTAAACGGTACACTTTTTTTGCCAGCTTTGTTTTATGTAATAGATCAATATACGTGTTTACATACCTAAAATTCACAAATGCCAAAAAGTTGTTGTTTTGTGTAAAAAAACTCATCCTCAGTCTAGGAACAATCTATATCCAGTCCGTTTTATAAATAGCTCCATTTTTTGGCATTGTTACAATTACATTGACGGATCAACAGAGTTTGTTGAGCTGCATGTGCATGCAAAGCAAAACAAAAGTTGCAAAACAACAAAAAGTTGACCTATTTCGTTAAATTCAGCATTTATCTCTGGATATCTCGCTCGCCACGTTCGAAACAGGAAGCAGGTATGTATTTGTTTATTTATTAAAAACTAGTGTAAACCAAATCTAAAATCTATTACGTGCCGATAAAATATTCTGGCTAAAAGATTCCTATAGTTCTCTGGACAGTACTATGCACGTCTCATGTAAATCATTTTATTATACGCATTTTTTGCCCATTCGTCTACCCACCCATTCATGGATTAATTTTTGCACGGAAGAGTGAATATGTATAATAAAATCACGTCATGGTAGAAATATAACTGCCAATTTGACGCTGTTCATGAGATCATGGGCATTACAAAGTGTAAAGTGCTGAAAAATGAGAAAAATTGAGAAAAGAATGGGAAATGGGCAACCCCGATGATGATGAATGACGAGATTAGAGTTGAGATAGTCATTAATTTTTCCCCAAGTACAATTAACAGGATGGGAATTTATATGTCTACGTGCCGTAAATATATTTAGAAATGACACCAACCAACAACGGTGATCACAAATGAATAGGATAACATTATTCATCTAATGATTACCTAAAACATAAAATGAAATGACACTTTTGTTCCCACCACCAATGAGACGACGCTCTGAGTTGTTTGGTTATGAGGCGTCTATCCATAAAATGGCAAATTTATTAACCTTACTATTTCTAGAGTTATTTATTCGCAGAAGTTGACACAGGTGGTTGGAATTGAAAATATGTGCAATGTGCGGCTTGCTCTTTTCTCATCGTCGCCAAAACATTTTGACTGTTTGACTTTACTTTTAGCTTGGGAAGACTAATTACTTTATTTTATGGCTGCATGTCATGCTGCGTGTATGCATAGTAGGCAACTGAGTAAAGGCCAAGTTGGTGAGAATTGTCTTAATTCCATGTGCAGTTAAGTTTTACTGTGATTTTTCTCATTAATGCAGCAGTGGGAGAAAAATAGCCAGATAGATGACACAAGTACGAAGAAAAGGAGCTGGTTTGTTACATAGAACAATTTGTGGTGCTATATTTGTACAGGAAAAAAGTGAGGGTGCAGTTTTTGCAGTGCAACAAATGCAAGTAATTTACGTGCACTTTGTTAAGTGATAAACTTCTGGACATTAATTAATCGTATTACGCAGAATTTTACATCATTCACACCACGACGCCTGGATGATATCATATCACGAGGGTTAGTTATTGTTCTCTTTGCTTAATTTAAGGTACAGGCAGGCTAAAAAAAAGATTTATTATTTGCATATTTTGAGACGGACTTTTTTATACATATTTTCATGTAACTGATCTATATTTTTTTGATATTATGTAAATATCATATTTACATAATTGTAGATCACCACAATTTGTGGAGAAGAAATAGGGTTTTTAGTGTGGTCCTCAATAATATTAATTAGCTCGGCACGTTAATGAGTTTCTGTAAGCCGGATCTATATTCGAATTGAATATGCATGCAACCAAACATGTAATTACGTAATTGTCTTTAAAAGTTAATTAGCACTTCTCACTTTATGGATTGGTAAAAGAAAAATATTCCATCCTGGATTTATATCTATTTTAGTTACTGCCACCGTCTCAAATAGGGGGAGACGACATTTCGTAATAATTAGTCTGATTTATGACTGGTAAACAATTAATTAAGCAGTATAATAATTTAGAGGTGAAAGTTATACGAATAGTTTGATGGAATTACGCATAAGATTTCTATTTCAATAGAGTGGAGGAATGGGGCATTGTGAAATTTGCATATAATTTGCATATAATTTCGCATCATTTCATTGTATATATTATGCCAAATTGTGACCTAACATTGATGTAAGCCAAGTGTGAGTGAGGGAAGAGGGCATTGCGAAATTTACATATAATTTCACCGCATTTAGCGTAATTTCATGGTATTGTGAACTATGTAGCTGACATTGGTGTAAGTCAAATATGAGTGAGGAGATGATCGATATTTGCGAAAAACCAACAAATTATTCCACTTTAGACTGGGATAAGTAAATAAATTATGAGCGTGGCACCATCGTGAGACTCATCTCCTCCCCAAAATTGCAGATGACCACGGCACGATCGGCCCAAACAAGCGTGGCGTGTGTTGTATCCCATTCTTGAGAAAATTGCAAGCAACTTTCCAACCCCAATTATCATGATTTGCTTCTCTTCGCAATCCTGTCCAGCGTGAATACGTACGTATTTGTAAAATATTATTGACATCAAGTCGATTGGATCAGTTTTTAATACTTTTATGTAAATACACACACCTCACGTGATTGAGTATGAAGTAGTGGGTGTGTCGGTGGCAAAACACGCCACGACTTTTTAGTCTGACACAAAAAATCTGTGAGAAAGTCGACCCTTCGTAAGACAGGAGGCGAGACCACCCCCGAGTCTAAAACAATATTTACTTATTTAATCCCATACATTTTAAATGAAACACATTTGCAAACTATTATATCTATCGTGTGAGCGACTTGTTGTTCTCAGTCTAATTTTTGCTTAGTTCTTTCCTCACATTTGAGCAGTAATTTACATATCAAAGTCAAAAAATAAGTGCGTAAAATTGCCAGGAAAGATTTCTGTCTTTGCAACTTTTTGTTTGTCAAGGTTTTGCAATCTTTTTGCATGCAAAATAATTTATCAACTTTTTATTAGTGCCGCAAATAAATAATTTCCTTCCGAAAAACAGTTTAAGCCTTATCAGAACTAAAAATAGTTTAATTGTGCTTCCATTCCGTATTATTATTAAACCGCATTGCACGCCAAATTTCATGGTAAGCCTTCGTAATTTATTGTTTATTATGACAAATCACGCTCCGACATTGATCTCAGCAATAAATAAATAACAAACAAACAACAATATTGCTCACAATCAGCTAGCATCATGACAAACCTTTCGAAAAGTGAGGTCTACGTATCAGCGAAATCTAAATCTAATTCGATCCACCATGCCTAAAATACTTCGTGAGACATATGTAAATCTGGTCTCGTTTTATTTTTACGTGGCTCATCAATTCATCATCCCCATACATTAATTAAAGTTTAGGAAAGTTTATTAACACCTCGTCATCCATCCATCCCAAGAAAATCTGCTGAGACGAATAATCCTCAAGGTATCGAATAACAGTCACGAAACTAATTTATCTCACCTGCCATTGTTGTTACAAATTGAAATGGAAGTCGTAAAAGGTAGCCATGACCTGCATCATGTTAAACATAGGTCGGTATGTGTCATGTATGCACAAATATTCAAATTTGTATGTAGCACCGACCGGTGAAAGACGTGACGAGGTGCTAATCTATTCATTCTTATTTATATTTTCTGCTGCTTGCACATCCTTATAAGTCAGTAAAACTTATTGTTAACTGGTCGTAACTGGTATCGTTCGTGGTGCATTGTTGGTCGTGTCGAAGGAAGAAAAATACGAGAATAGTGCACACTTCTCTTTCTGTGTGCAGTGCAGTCAGTGACGCCATTCACTGATTTGCAGAAACAGTGTTTCTGCAAATTGCACTTTTGAATCATACATTTGAGACGCGATGTGTCATCTTATTTCTGAATACTTATACTAATTTTTGGTCCATTGTATACATAATTTCCAGGAGTACAACCACCACCACGACCAAAGTCAGAGTGATAGCGAAGAACACCACCACCACGCGTCCACCAAATCATCCCGACAGAAACTAGTCAAAACTGCGGGACACCAGGAGGACGACGTTACCATAATTTTTCCTGAGAGCACGACGACCACTCGAATCGCGGACAAAATGTTTTTTCTCCTCAAACTCCTCGTTTCCTTGTCCCTCTTCATCTTTGGAATCCAAGTCGTCCTCGCCGCCACGATTATCACGACCACAGCGCAAGGGAGATCTCTCAAGCACGCGCAGTACGACAACGAACTCGATGGCGACTCGAAAGGTCCCTTTCAGCCGGATGTGGGTCTCTACCTCAAAAACTATGCAGGTTTGTTGTAGGATAGATTTGAAAATTTGGATGGAAGGTAAATGTGTAAATGCTATACATAAATTCAGGGAAAGTGGTGACGACGGTTGGGTCAATTTCTGGCTCGGCTGCTGCATCCGCGGACCATTTGATCCTGACCGTGCCTCGGCTCAAGGTGGAGGACCACATTTGGGAGGGTAAATCAATCACGCTCGAGTGTTGGAGTGAGAAATATCCCGTTTATTGGGAGTATAGAGGACTCGGCGTAAGTAAAAATGCATTTTAAAAATTTTCTGAGCTTATGATTTTTTAAGTTTCATAGATCTCTTAGAATTTTCAAATTTTTTAAATTGAAAAACAGAATTTTTTAGGCATATATGTGTTTATTTCGAATGCTATCTGCAATTCGTTATTAAATTATGCGTAGCAAATGACGAAAATATTATCGCGAAAATGATTTTAGCATTGTTGGAACTACTTTTGGAGATAATATTAAAAATATTTCTAGGCGCCCACCGTCAGAGTAACGACCGAGCGTAAGGCGCCGTCTTTCCAGAACGTGTCCTCCTACAAGTTCGGTGCCATCGTGACCTTCTCCTCCACCGAGTACAAGCAGACGGGGGAATACTCCTGCAAGGATTTGGGTGGGATGGGTGGGTCTGTGTCCCTCTATTTGCTCGTTCCTGGCAAAAATATCTTCGTCCTGAGCAACGAAGGTTCTGAGGAGCAGAATAAATCCGTTTCTGTCACAGCGGACGAGGACAACTCGTGGGTCACGGTGCCCTGCGTCGTGTCAGATAAGGATGCCGTCGTCGAGTTGTGGGCTGAGGAAAAAGATGGCGTAAGTTCAGACTAATTTTTTAGCCCGAGTCAGGGCTTATGGAACCGTCATGTCCGTCCGTCTGTCTGTCTGTCTGTCTGTCCGTCTGTCTGTCCGGCACGATAGAGCCAAAACGGCTGAACCGATTGACTTGAAATTTTTACCATATGCATATTGGACAAAGTTAGGAAACGAGTTCGAAGATGGGCGAAATCGGTCCAGTGGTTGACCGGTGGGGGTCATCGGAGTGGGTGGGGTCTTATGCACCAAAATTTCAAAATTGTTGGAGAGAGCTGAAATTTGGTACAGAGGTTGCTAATGGCTCCTAATAGAAAAAAATAACTTCAGGTTGGAAAAATTTTCATCATGAGTGACCCTATGGGGTGACCCATACCGATTTTTCAAAACCATCATATCGAACTGAAATTTGGTGGAGAGGTTGCTTATGGGTCTTAATAAAAGAATATGATATGATATTGGTAAAATTTTTATCTGGAACGCCCCTATGGGGTGACCCATACCGATTTTTAGAAATTGTTTTAAAAAGATGAAATCCGGCACAATGATACTTAATGACTGCTAATTAAAGAATATGAAGTTAAAAGTGAACAAAGTGCAACCAGACCAAAGTGACCAGAGTGCAATCAGTATGGGGTGACCCATACTGATTTTTAAAAATCGTTATATCGAGCTGAAATTTGATTTGGAGGCTGAATAGCACATACATACAGCTTAGAACTTCAGGTTGTTAAAGAAGGCACTGGTCATGGTGGTCAAGGCACATGATTTGTAACTAATTCAAAAATTTGGTACCAAATAATAGAAACTATCTAACAAACTTTAACCATCCACAACACGGAAGTTGGTGATATTATGTCGGTCAGTTCGGAAAAGAATTTAGAAGCGGGCTCTGACTTATTGAGTCAGGGACTATGTCCCTGACTCGGGCTATATGGAGTCTGCACTGTAGGTTTTTTGCGATTAGAATTATAATCATTTGATTAATTTGTATGCAGACTACGAAGAGAAAATTGTCTACAAATGAGTCCTCCATCGAGTATGACCCACTGGAAGGGTTCCGGCTAAAATGGAAGGGTTTCGGCGCTGTAAAGAATCCGTGGGGAGACTACGTCTGCATCGGAAAGGTCAACAATGGGAAAGTTAGCAAGGAGGAAAAACTCCGAATCCGAGTTAAGGGACCTAATTCCACGGTGAATAGATGTGAGTCAATATTTCTGACTTGCCAGGAATCATGGCGTCATTTTATGTATACTAATATTTCTGTTGTAGTTTCCCTTGGTGGTGTTGGAAATGGTCAGTCTACGTCGACTTCGGGTGGGTTTTTCTGTTCTATGGAAAAATAGATAGGATTTTATTTTAGGCACTATTTATTATTCTTGCTTCTTAATTCGGCAGGGTCCACGGTGTCAATTTCCTACAACCCGACAGCCCGTAGGATCGAGTGCTGTTCCTCTATGACGACGATTTCTAGAACTCGACGCTCTCGAGGGAAACGGGCAGTGTCACTCCCCCGAATGCGACTCTCTCCTTGCGCCTCAATTTCGGATTGTGCGTTAACTAAATATGATAACTTTTAACTGTAATTATATTAATTTAAAGTCTGTATTTTTAGGCTACTTCTCCTCCACCCATCTCGCCTCTGGGTCTGCCTTCTGTTCCAAAAGGACGAGCGGGGAGTGCGAGTCGGACTCTTTCATCAAGCGACTGAACGAGACCTGCGTGGCGTACGAGTTGCCAGAAATCCACGAGGCTGGCGTCCTCGACTGCTCACTGGACGGGGCAGGTCTGGAAGACGGAAAAGCCAAAGATCTCATGGAAGCACAGATGCAATTCTCGTACGAACCTGAGCTAGGATTTGGTATGTAACTTTTGCATGTCATTTTAACCTGTAATTTTCATTTCTCTGCCCTTTCAGTAACCAAATTTGACCCGGAGGAAACCGAAACTCGTGAAATATTAGGAATTGGTCGTGAACAGGAGGGCAGCACGGCGGGATCTATTGCGACCTACTTTTGCAGAGCGAACTCGTTCTTCTTTTCGGACGGAATTAAATGGGCGGTCGAACGGAGGGGGGCTACAAACACGCTAGATTTCCTCACTCAGGGTAACTTTTTTTAATGCGAATTAAAATTTTTGTTATACAAAATAAGTCATTCCTTACAATTTCACCATTCATGAACAGAGGATGCTCGACCCACAATCAAGGTGGATGAGGCTAAAGTATCTCGAGTGTACTGCTTCGCCCCCATTTGGGATTCGGCCACGGATTGGAGAAACGTCTCAATGACGGCACCACTCCCGACGTAGACGGACGTCACTTCTTTACACTTTTTATGTAGATCTTAAGGGCCGAGACGTGTAGACTATGATAGTTAATCAGCCTACATAATTTCAATTTGCAAGGAAAATGGACCACAAGTATTTTTAAGTATTTGATGATATGCATATGTGTGACTGCGAATATGTGAATCTTATCGAGGAAAGAATAGTTATCGAGCATTTCTTAGCATTTTTTCACAAAGTAAAAATATTTACAACGAAACGACGACGATGAGAAGATTTTTTAAGTATTGATAAGTACAAGAAAATAAATAATGTGTCGAACGGGGAAAAAGTTGAGACAAAATTTTTGCAAATATAGGTTTAATTACAATTGAAATTTTGCATGATACTGAATTTGGTCAAATATTCCAATTGTTTGAATTATTGAGTCCTACATCCAAAATGTAGTCGATCCGATTTGTGACCTCGTCATCCTCATGGTCCTGAAACTTGCTGAGTTCCACGAGAACCCCACTCTCGTTCAGATGCCGCTGCAAAATGTCCTCATCGTCAAGTGAATTATTGGGAGACCGAAATGACTGCACAAAAAAAACAATAATTAGTAATTAGCTAATTAATAAACGATAACCATTTCATACATACCTTGACGAACAAGTAAATGGCATCGAGAACATTGACCAGGACGAGGTCGGGGTGTTCCTTGACGAGCTGGATTAGTAAGGAAAGCACGCCGTTGTTCACTAACCACTCCTTGTGCGCCAAGGAACCCTTGTCCATAATGTTGACGACGGTAAATACAGCTTCCTTTCGACCTGGAAGACTTCCCTGAAAGCGCAAACTCATCATGAATTTCATCTCTTGACCATGAATTGTCTTCTTTCTTACGGATCTGAACACGTCCAAGAGAAGGGGGAAGAATCCAGCCTGGAATAACTCCTCCTTTTGGGTCACATTCCCAGCCGCAATATTGGACACGATCCAGTTGACCTGAATATTATAAAATGCATGCATTCATTATCTACATTTTTCCATCCTCTCACAAACAAATTGACAAAATTTCTCATACTTTTACTTTACACAAATGTACACTCGATTTGCATACAAGGTCATCTTGTCAACGAAAAATTAAGTGAGAGTCTCACCTCGCCCGTCCACTCGGCCTCTAACATGAGGCGATTAAGGTGAGGGAGGACGCCACACTCGAGAACAATGTCAGTCTGTGGAACGGGAAAATGACTCAAAAAGATTGAAATTTGGTGTCATAAGATTCTACTCACATGAACGTCAACCGTGCTCGAGACGACATTTCCAATCACGTTGAGACAAGGTCGGAGCAGTCTTTGGCGCAAGTGGTGATTCTGCCCGTCACGTTGAGCCAAGGCGACTCCATGGACCAGATTTTGAATTATGGTGGGACTCTCGTTGTCCTCATTGCGCCGAACGAGGACATCCATGGCGTCTTCTCGACCAGTTTTTGTGAGGTAGTAAAGCCCCCAAGTCGCGTGGTCTGCAGCATTATTTGCCGTGCACGATTATGAACATAAGTAAATTTTAAGAACAAATCCAGACGCAAATTCTCACACAAGATGTCAACTTCTGTCCAAGAAGAATTCTCGTCAATCCTGACACGAGCGCAAATATCGCACAAAGTCTTCAAGAGTGACATCCGGTCGGTCGTGATCTTGACATTTTTGGGCACGTAGCACACACTTTTGGCCAGTCTGGTGAGGGCGAGGAGGAGAGGATATAAATCACCCTGGCAGAATTTAACTGGCATTATTAATTATTTTCCGTCACAATTTTATTTAACTTATTTACATTGGATGTCGTGGTGGACATCTCATCCAAGACGTGTCTCACTCTACTTCTCAGAATCGGAATTACTCCACCGTCTCGAATTTCATTGACGAAGAGGCGCTTATCATATCCACCGCTGGTTATCTACACAGGTGACCATATTATAAATATTAAAACCGGAAGTGAATGATGATGGGAAACAGAGCCCCAACAGAGGTCGACGCCGCCGGTAGCATTTTACGCCACGCTGGCGAAAATAATCTGTCGTGTTCCTTCAACATTAGGATGCCGCGATGCCGATGCAAAATCACCAACATTGGCGCAGCAAAATTGGTCGGCGTCAACCTCTGGTACGAAATCGACCCACTCACTGCAAGAACGCTCAACCCATACGCGGCAGGAATAACGGGTGAAGCATTGGTAAGATCTAATCTTTCCGCGGTAAGAATTTGTATCAATTTTGGAATAGCTCCCTTGTCCACGAGGAGTTTGGACTCGATTCTGGCCAGTGAGGCGACCACCCAGGCGGCCGCTGTACGAAGTGAGGAGGATGAAGATGATGGGGAGGATGTTGTGAAGCCGAGAATCTGACCCACTAGACCCGCCTCGATGATGGGGTCCAGCAAGGAGTTGAGGATGGAGGGCAAGGACGCCGTTGAAGACGACAATGACGACTCTGACTTTTGAGGAGTGGTCAGAAGTAAGGATTGACACGCGGTCAGTTGGAGGGTAGGGTCATCGCTAGGAAAACAATGCTAAATTGGAATTAAGTATTTCAGATGCAAGTAACCACTTGAAAGAAATAACGGAAAAAGTGGTTTTCTGCAGCTATTTTGACCTGCAAGAAATGCACGCAGCCAGAAACTACGCCTCGTGGCTACTTCAGTATACTTCATTCGGCTCGTGGTTCGTAAACAAAACACTGTTGACATCACGTTTAATTTTGTAATTCAGATTCTGACCTCTTGATGCCTTGGATGATGTTGTGAACGAGGTCAGCAGAAGAGGACGAGGGGTGCAGCAAGACGCTCTCATGTCCGGAAGAAGAATCAATTTGTGGTTTTGAACCTGTCGTCACTGCAGCATCCGGTTGTTGCGTCGTGGGTTCGTCCTCTTCCAAGTTGTTTGATTTGATGAAGGTATCGTCCACTACTTCGTCCTGAGTGGTACACCCAGATTCTGGAGGTGTCGACTCGGCACTGTTGTAACCCTCCAGCTCCGATTCCTGCGCACTTTGATCCATGATTTTGCTAGTAAAATCTACAAAAGCTGTGGCTCTACTGGCCGGATTAGCATCAAGGTTGCTTGACAATTTATCATAATACAAGGTTACGACAATTGCTTCGAGAGCCTCAAAAACCTTCATTTTTGAAGGGTTAATTATTTGGGCTGTCGCTAACGGTAATTAAAGCACAAAAATTTCTGCTACCACGCCGAAATAGCCGACACATTTACAAAATGATCCGTTATAAATGTTTTTTTATTTGATCGATTAACTGACAAATTTAATTTTGTATTGGATTTATCGGACGACATGATCAGTTTTACACATATAAAAATACATAGAAATAAGCTGATAAGAACAGATTTTATTTACCGAATGTTTGGAATGATTGAATTTACAAAATGAGAATAATAATGTGTTAAATAATGAGTACCTAAGACTAGATCATAATTATATCTAAAAACATGAAAAATATGTAAAGTTGCTTTATGGTTTTTTGTATTGGGGAATGTTGGTAAGATGCTCGATGTAGATGTCCCTTGACCACTTAATACAGTCCACTACACAAAGTTTTTTAAAGAGTTTTGCATAGGATTTGGCACACACTAAGCGAAGGAATTGGTCGTTGTTATTATCCCATGATCCAAGAGATCCGACAATGAATGGGACAATATCGACTGCACCGTATCTTGAGAGAAGGGCTTGTTGAAGAAGTTTGTATCTCTCCATCTTGGTTTCTCGGGCTTTAGTGAATGCTTCGGGTCGATTCTCAAACGGGATGGTGACGTCAATGATGAAGGCATGGTTATCTTTTACTGCTAGTAAGTCAGGACGGATGTCTAGGTTGGGGACGACCGTTTGGTTTTCTGCGATGATGGTGAACTTGGCAAGAGCGGTCTTCAGTCGATGGACTATGGCGTTGTGGCGGTGGGTGTAGGCTTGACTGTACCTCATGCAGTGATTGAGGACGTGAGGTAGAGTTTCTTGTGGGTGGTTGCATCGCCTGCAGGCTGCATTTGCATCTGATTCAGTGGATTTGAATTTGAATTATCGTTATGCAAAATGAAATAAAAGAGGATTTATTGCAAAAAGAAAATGCTGATTATTGCCCCGTTGCCACATTTTAGCACCGTTAAGGGGGACCAGGTTGAGTCTTGCTCGGTGAATGAAACGCCAGTCAGCAAATCGGATGTAGTCACCGTTTTGAATGAAATGATGACTTGCTTTAGATTGGGCAACAACCTCCATCACTTTTCCTTGGTTGGCAAGACTGTGGAGACGTTTGTCTCTGACTTGTCGAGTTTGTTGGCGGAGAGTGCGGGCGATAGCTTGCCTGTGCCGTGGTTCGAGGGTGATGTCCAAGTGATGGAGAGAGGGACCGTCATCATCAATCGTCCATGAGACTTTTATACGGGATGATGCCTGTCTTGCTTGTGTCCACACGTTGGATATGGCATTGGTGGTGGTGCGGTATGAGCCTTCATTGTAGCCGGATAAGTAGAGGGCAGCGTCCTCAAGGGTGGGAGTTTGGGGTCTGGTTCTTTTACTCGTGGTGTTGAGTAGGTCGGCTAGGGCTAATTCTTTTATGGTGGGATCATTGGAGGTGAGCAGTTTGAAGGCGTTGTCAATGAGAAGGAGATCACTGTCTTCCGCAGCTAATGGTATGGCGCAGGATCCGGAGTTTCTTCCACCGTAGAGATATTCGTTCGCAACCTCACGTGGGAGTTTGAGGGTATCTTTGAAAAGTGGACGGAGGGCTTTATCCACTTTCTCCCACTGGGTCTTGGAAAGCTGCGCTGTTCTCATTGGGAAGGTTAGGGAGGAGTAGAAGAAAGTTTTCATTGCATCAATCTTTTGCCACGGGGCGAGGTTAGAGCATAAGATCTTTTGTCCGGTTTGGATGTAAGATTCGACCGAAGAATTGTCTTTGAAGAGTTGGAAGCCAGTTGGCTTCCCTAGAAATTGAGTTGACTCGTGGTCATTGAGATATTCTATGGGGGATCTTCGATCCTGAAAATGGATGGTCTTGATCCAACCGGAGTTTTTCCGCTGAGATGTAGAGAGACGCACTTTTTAGGGTTGAGTTGGATGGAGAGACGTTGGGACTCATAGTTGATGATGTTGATTTTATTTTGCAGTCCTTCATAAGTCTCATCCATCGGGGTTAGGTCGTCAGCGAAGGAGAGGGCTTGGTGGTTGACGTCGCCCGAGTTGTGGATCCTCTCTAGGATGGGGTTTATCGCGATGTTGAATAGAATACTGGAAAGTGGGTCACCTTGGTGTATTCCAGATCGTATTTGGATGGGTGCGGTGACACCGTCACTGGAGACGACGTGTGTAGATGCATCAGTGTACATATCTTGGATGATGGGAGATAAGTAGTCACTGATTCCATAATGGCGGAGGGAGTCAGTAAGAGCAGCGTGGGGGATGGACCCAAATGCGTCAGAGAAGTCCAACCATGCTACGTAAAGGTCCTGTTTTCGAGTCCTTGCTTCTTGCATCCGATGTTGAAGCACAAAGTTGTGTTCGAATACACCATCAAAAGGAAGAAATCCTTTTTGACTAGAATGGAGGACTTTGTTGTTGACTAGCCACGTTGTTAGACGAGACGCCAGGCATCCTGAGTAGAGTTTGTAGAGAGTTCGGGTTATTGATATTGGTCTCCAATTTCCTGGATCGGAAACATCTCCCAAATGAGGATGGTGCGGGAAGATTTCCATGTCTCGGGAATTCTTTGGTATTTTAGGCATATGTTCATGATAGTGGTTAGAACGTTGCCTTCGGGATCAAGGCTGAGCCAGTGTCGGTAAGTTATTTGGTCGTCACCGGGGGCAGAGTTCTCAAACTTGCGAAGCCGTTTGATGACCTCGGTTTGTGAGAACATGTCGCAAGGGAGTGGTTCACGAGAGCCCCCATATGGTTGGTAGAAAAAATTATCGTAGGGTTTTTCTGACCTACGCTCGGTGAAAAATTGGTGGAGAGTGTTGGTGGGAATGACACACGGGGGAGAATCCCCATCCAGGATGAGCCGAACTGCTCGTCTTCTGTTTCTCTTGTAGAGCTTTTGGATCAGTTTTGCATCCAAGGCTTCAGTGACCGTTGGTGGGCGTCGGGGGACGGCAGCTTGTTGAGGACGGGGGCGGATATTAAGTTCGGTTCGTGCTTCTTCTGTTAGGGAGTCAAGGATTTCGGTGAATCTTTTCCACTTGTCGGGGTGATTCAGAGATCTAAGGATTTTTAGGAGGTCAGGCAGGTATTGATAGAGGGAGGACCTACCATTTGGGTCAATGTGAGTAGGATGTAAGGGACTAAGATTGTGGTTGACCAGCGTTCCCTCCTGGTTATTCTCCTCCTCTCCATAGTGGAGGTGGTCGTTATCTGATATCGCGAAGTTCTCGTCGTCAGACGTACTCGAGTTGGCACTAAGGACTTCCTCCTCCTGTGTGTATGTCGGAATGCGAAGAGGCGAGATTGTTTCACCTGGCTCCTCAATCGGGTGGCAAGGAGGTGTGTTGACAATGAGGTCACCAATTGGAATTGGTGTCACTGGACGAGGTGAATGGGATGACGGTGTTGTTGATGGTGATGATGGGGATTGATAGGACAGCGGAGTTGTGGTTGCGAAAGAGATCGCCATTAGAGGTGTCAAGTGGCGATTTGGGGTAGTGAGTGATCGTGGAGTGGGGGCGTGAGCAGTGTGCAAAGAACGGGGGGACTCAGTGAGGGGAGTTGACTGTGTGGTTTGGGTGTGGTTCTCTCCTTGGGTGGAAAGACGGCAATGCGGTGGTGTAGGTTGACGAGAGGTGGATGGGACGGACTGAGAAACTGTCCTTGAGCCTGCACCCGGATTTTTGTGTATTTTCTGATGATTTTGTAGGCCTTTTTTGTGGGGGAAGGATTCTAGGCACGTAGCACATACATGATTGAAAGTTTGTACCTCTACCTCGAACTGGACGGGGAGAAGACACTTGTGGAGAGATGGTCGATTCCTCAAGGTTGCGCGACAGCCAAAACAGATGTTAATTGTGTTTTTTATCTCAACCTTATGTTCTTGGAGCAGATGACGGATGAGGCTTCTTTTTCCAGAGGACCAGTCGGTAGTCGCTTTAAACACTTTATTACACGAATCTTCTGTGCACGGCCAAGATGAGGAAGGTGGGTGGAGAACTGTGAGGGTATCACTAACACGGGTGGGGGCACGAGAATCCATCTTGCGGTGGGGACGAGGGGCGGCGGGGGGGGGGGGGGGGCACTGCGCACGGATCTTAGCCAAGGCCGAGAAGCGATACACTTTGATCTTAGCCAAAAGGCGTAGAAGGGATTATTTTTTTTGTATCCTAATCTTAAGTCGGTTCCACGGTCGTATTGGGCTCGTGGAGATCCGAGCTTTGATTGCAAGGAGACGTTTTCTGGGCAGCTTTTTACGGGCCAGTCGTCGTCGAATCGTTGGCCTATTCACCGCGATTGCAATCATTTTTTGTGGCGCAGTTGGTAAATTGGTCGCCACTAGTCTTTCCAATTTCACAAAGCAAGTCAGAGGACACATGAGGAAATTCTTATAGCCTACAATAATAAGATAAATTTTATTTAAATAAAAAAATAAGAAACAATTATTTTAAAATTTTAAATACGTATTTATTAACATAAACATTAACAATGATTCTGAATTACCACGGCAAGTCCTTTGATGCCGGTCCAGTGAATCAGGTCTTGCGAAGAGACACGAACAACCAGGACATTTCGGTTTCGGTAAATGCTTGAAACGGTGTTGCGACTTCGCAGCGTAGCTGTTGAACAGTTTTCCGCAGATCTCACTTGGAGGAACCTTATTCTTCTTCTTCGCCGTTGCAGGGGTGAGACACAACAAAAACTCCTTCGCCTGGTTAATTAATTTAAAAATATCTCCTGCTGCAGGGTCCTTGTTCTTATCGGGGTGGTATTTGAGGGCCAGCTTCCTAAACACCCGAGTCAGGGCTTATGGAACCGTCATGTCCGTCTGTCCGGCACGATAGAGCCAAAACGGCTGAACCGATTGACTTGAAATTTTTACCATATGTATATTGGACAAAGTTAGGAAACGAGTTCGAAGATGGGCCAAATCGGTCAAGTGGTTGACCGGTGGGGGTCATCGGAGTGGGTGGGGTATTAAGCACCAAAATTTCAAAATTGTTGTAGAGAGCTGAAATTTGGTACAGAGGTTGCTAATGCCTCCTAATAGATAAAAATGACTTCAAGTTGGAAAAATTTTCATCTTGAGGGACCCTGGAGGGTGACCCATACCGATTTTTCAAAATCGTCATATCGAGCTGAAATTTGGTACACAGGTTGCGTGTGGGTCTTAATGGAAGAATATGAAATGACATTTGTAAAATTTTTATCTGGAGCGACCCTCTGGGGTGACCCATACCGATTTTTAGAAAGTGGTTGAAAAAGATGAAATCCAGCACGGTGATACTTAATGGCTTCTTATGAAAAAATATGAAGTTAAAAGTTTGCAAAATGCAACCAGAGTGACCCTGGGGGTGACCCATACTAATTTTTCGAAATCTTCATATCGAGCTGAAATTTGGTATGGAGGCTGGACTATATGCAGCTTTAGTATGTATTTCAATTCGGACAAGAAACGGACTCGGACTTATCGAGTCCAGGACTCTGTCCCTGACTCGGGCTATATGGAGTCTGCACTGTAGGTTTTAATCATGGATGTATTACGATAAATTGTCAAGCAATCTTCAAAGTTAGTGAGGAGAAAAGACCAAACCAAAATGTCTTTTCTCCTCACTGAAAGACTGCTGGAAGAACATAAGAAAACTGTCTTTTCTAGTTAAAAAAATGAGTGAGTCTCAGTCTAGCTTCTGAAGAGAGAACATGGTTCTCTGACATGAGTCTCATTCATTCAAATATCTCGTCTGTAAAATCGAGAAATTATTCCATTCAATCGAGTCGTCGTCTAATCTACATGCCTTCCTCAAATTGAACAAACTCGTCTGTAAAATCGAGTTATACATCAAAATCCAAAATAACGTTCAAATGAGAAAAGGTGTAAATAATTTTCCGCAAACACCCACATCTTCAAGTAGTAAAAGATCTAGATGTAATGACCAATTAAACTCTTCGTTCGAATCCTCACCTTCGCCACAACCAAAAATAACCAAAAAGCCTAAAGTTATTCAACCCACAACCAACATGGGCGACAGTGACCTAAAAGATTACATTCTAAAAGTGGTCACAGACAGTGAAAATAAAGTTATAACCCGACTACAAAATTTGGAAAAGCTAACAAGTCCGCCGAAAGAAAATATTAACCAACTGAAAATAAGGATCGATAAATTACAGACAGCAGATCGACACAAAAATGTGGTTATTAACGGAATAGTGGAAACCGTCGGTGAGAAATGGTCAGATCGTGAAAAACATGTTAAAGAGCTAGCAAAAAAACTGGGACTCGCACAAATCGATTATGATTGTTGCTACCGAATGGGTACTTTTAACCCAGATATGGCCCGACCTCGACCCCTTTTGCTTAAGATGGTGAGACAACGCGACGCAGCACAAATCCTGTCCCTTCGCATGAAACTGAGCGGAACCAATATTTTTATTGATGAAGATCTGGCACCCGAGGAAAGAAAGATGCGTTCCCAACTGAGAGAATTTGCGAAAAACATGAAGAAAGAAAAACCGGACCTGCTGTTCCGATGTTACAAGAAACGGGTGAAAATTACAACGGAAGGAGCTACAACCTGGTACACAATAAATGACTCTAATCAAATTGTGGAGGATGGAAAACAAATGACGTGACGATA